GTCCGCGATGCTGGGCGTGCTGGAGAAGACTCTTCTGCAGGCAGAGCGTAGATAACGTCCGCGATGCTGGGCGTGCTGGAGAAGACTCTTCTGCAAGCAAAGCATGGATAACGTCCGCGATACTGGTGTTGCTGGAGGCTTCCTCTTGCATTGGCAATGATAACCAGAATGCCGAGTCCGATATTGATTGTTGCAGACAGTTTGATGAAGGCGATGGGGTAAAGTGCCCAGGAAGGCTCTAGATAACGTCCGCGATGCTGGAGAGGATGAAATACTTCAGATATTGGATATGGTAAGAATGTCGATAATTCATTGCTTCGTCTTCTTCGTAGGCTCTTCTAACACGGTCAGTTTATCATACCTCAACAGCCGATACAACTTACCACTCTTCAGCGACTCCCCTTCCCTTTTCTTGCCTGCTTCCGGCGTACTGGGCCGAGAAACAGGAGGGGAGTCGCTGATGAACAGCTCATCCTTGGACTTTGGCCCCCAGTGCACCTCTCGAAAACCTGAACACTCTACCCCGTTCTCTACCCATACATCCCACACCGTCTGAACGAACGCGAAAGTTGCTGACTCGGTTGAAGACATCTTGTAAAATTGAACAGTATTGGGACAACAATCTTGGACATTCTGCCGGGCGAAATTCTCTACATTGAGGGGTTTCATCGCTCCTTCCCAAATATCAAACTCGACCTTCCTCATTCTCCCCAGAGTCATTTTGTAAGAGTCCTGCCGAACAAGTATCTGATATCCTCGATAGCCTCGTCTTGCAGCTTGTCCTGCTCTCTTGCTTTCATCTCTTTCTCCTCGGCTCTCTCTTGTGCCTCGTATTCTTCAATTTCAGCTAGCTCACGTTCTTGAGCTTCTTGCGAACGCTTCTGAAGCATCTTTTCCCATTCTCCCTCGACCTTGATAACACGCGAATATTTCTGGTACATCTCCACCATGAACTCGTGGAAGTCATCGTCATATTCTGGTAGGTCGGCTTTCTGATCTTCTTTCAAATCGTCCAGATGCTCGCGCAATTCTTTCAACTCTCTGTCGACCTCTGCATCCCTGTTTGGAGGCCACAGAGAACGTGTGTTGCGCCACATATTCTCGGCCTTGTAGCGCTGTTCCTGTTTATGTGTCAGCGCTAGATCGATGTCTGGAAATATGCTTGATTGAACATGATGTAGGCCAAAGAGCGGCATGTCTCACTTACCTCAGCCTCATACCAGTCGTTCATAGAGTCTGCGAGAAGAATGGTGGCGTAGATGTGTTGCCATCTCGATAATCTGTGCTCGAGCACGGCGCGAGTCGCAGCTTCAGCCTCGGCGTATCGCTTCTCGTTGAGCATGTCGACGGCCATGTCGATGCGTGCGTTCATGCCGGGTACATCGTTGAAATCGGCCATATTGAATTGACGAAGAAAGATTTTAGAAGATGGGATGCGCAGAAGGAAAAACAGAGTTGAGTTGGAAAGAGCGAGTGAGTGAAGACGAAACGGTATTAACGAAAACAGTGAGTGAAGAATTTCAGATTGCGCGCTCCTCCGACTCAATCAGCCTATCCTCAAGAACATGTCACAAACACAGCACTCCAACGGAAGAGCAGACTCTAGGCTACTGTCGATCTACACCGTGCGCCACTCATGGGCTCTCTTTGGATGCTGCTCGGTGTGGGCAGTCTCTGTGCCTTTTGATAACATCTTATCTTCGAGGTAGAACGAACAGAGCTGTAGACCCTTCTCTCACCGTATGTCCTTAGGTGGCAGACATAGGGCTTGTGGAATGAAGGTCTGGTCGAGATGTGCAACACGAACCGAAGCCTTTCATTCGACAGGGTCACGCTCTCGGCATCTGTCACGGGGACAAGAATGGGCCAACAACAGCTGAGACACGATTATGAACTACTACAAATATATGCTCGCATAGTCTGAGGAGGCGGTTCGTCGCTCACAGAAGTGCAGATTTAATGCTCTGCATTGGTGCATTGTAATCAGCTTTCGTTGGTTGATAGCAATTTGGGCGTAGAGGGCGAGATCCAAGCGCACGACCGTGAAGCATATTCAACAAGCAACCACAAACGTGTGTCAGATTCTCATATACGCTTGTGCTAAGGAAGACTACCTAGCAAGTTCTCTTGTGGTACAAAAGGCTGTATTCGTCACTCTCCTGCCATGAAGGTCTGCAGAAGCGTCTCGATGTGGAAACTCACAACGCTCTCAGAGCTACAAGTATGTTCAAAGGAAGCCTGTAGAGGCAGTCGTGACTCAATGGACGCTAGACTATCTCTCGAGAGTACTGTAAGCTTTTATATCTATGCGCACGTGCTGTGGTACCTAATCGGGAAGCGAGCCAAGAATATTGAAGCGGGTGAAGAGGCAGGAACGACGACGTCATGCCGAAGATACGCACAGACGTTCTGTCACGAAAGGAAGGAACAATTGAGGTGGATGATCACGCCCTAAGTTACTCTTTTCCTGCACGCATAATTGTTAGGTCTGTCAACTGACGACAATGGATCCGCGCAATTCAATCGCAGACATTGCCGGCCCGGCTGCCATGGCAAAGCCAAAGGTGCCGCAAAAGTCTTACGCCTCGGCGGTGGGAGAGGAACCAAGTTCGACTAGAGACGGCGCAGCAAACTCGACAGCGGGCGGCAGCAAGAAGAAGCGCCATCGCGCAGGCAAAAAGCGTCGCAACCGCAGACAGAGCTTTGCTGCTCCTTCCGAGTCGACTGTTGCCGAACGTGACGATGACCAGAACCAACGACCATCGCTAGCCACGACGCGACCATCAAACACCCAAACCAGCTTCTACCGCCTCAAGTCGGCCGCACGCAGCAATACCAGTCTCGAAAGTGATGCGCTTCTCGACCACCGTGAGCACCAACCCATCCGCCCCCGTCGAGGAAGCATTCAACAACCTTCGAGGAACCAGGGCGGTCTGTTCCCTCGCAACCACCGCAGCTCACAGCATGCCCAGTCGAGTCCTATGAAGCCTCGTCAGATGCACTACAGTGATGATGACGACGAAGAGGCCGTGACTGATCGTACCCCTCTCATCTCTCAATCCTACTACGACCGACCTCCAATCGAACGCAACAGATCTGGTCACCGCGCTTACGGTGGTACTCGCCGCAGACAGTCGGCCACGAGTCACACATCAAGCAAGAGAGCCAGGTATCCGAGCGGTAGCGACGACGACTACGATGTCAACAACCCTCCGTCAATGCCAGGATCCCCCAAGTTGGGCACCCTCGACGATGTCATGATCGCTCAGGAGTTCTCAGGCTCACCCTCGTCCCAAAACCGTGATGCCGTCATCAACATTGATCGTGACAACAACTCTGACCGTTTCCCTTCGTCTTCTCCACCGACCCCGTCTGCCGAAACTCGCAGACGTACTCTTGCCAACCTGGCTGAGAACGATGTGTGCTATCCCGGTAACATCGCAGAGTCAGAAATGGGCGAGGATGATATGACCCCAACTGATCAAGGTCAACGCCGCACGAGTCGTCGCAGACGCCACCGTCAATGGCCAGATCTCGAGGTTCTGGACGAATGGAGCCGTATTGAAAAGGAGGAGAGAGACCACACCGAGCAGATTCGCTCCAAAAAGATCAGCGAGCCTGTCATGGTTGGTGGCCGCCTGCGTCCTGCAAAGACTCAATGGCACCGCGAAGAAGATGACGCGCCATATCGCTACACCTACTTCAACGAAACCTTTGATGGCACTATCCATAGCAGGACTATTTCCGAGCTCTGTCAATTTGGTGCCACCTTCCGTGAGCTGTTCAACCCTGAGCCTCCAGAGCTGAGCGATGATAGTAGCTCCGATGAAGAAGACCACCCGCCACCAGAGGCACCTTCTGGCCGAGAATCAAGGCTCAGTTCGATCGCTGGCGATGGAAAGGCCCCGGATCGTTCTGCTTCCGCAACCCCTGCTGGTTCTCGCCCTCGTGTACTCAAAGACAAACGCTACGGCCCTCGCCCTACTTTCTGGCTCGATGTCCTCAGTCCTTCCGAGACAGAGATGAAGATCCTTGCCAAGGCTTTTGGTATTCATCAACTGACTGTTGAGGATATCATGATGCAGGAGCCTCGCGAAAAGGTCGAGCTGTTCCAGAGCTACTATTTCGTCAACTACCGCAGTTTCGAGCAAGACAAGGATAATGAGGAGTACATGGAGCCCGTGAACATGTATGTCGTTGTCTTCAAAGATGGCGTCATCAGTTTCCACTTCTCCATGACCCCTCACCCTGCTAATGTTCGCCGTCGTATTCGCCAACTTAACGATTACATGTCTCCGACAGCAGACTGGATTTCCTACGCCATCATTGATGACATTACAGATGTGTATGCTCCTTTGGTCCAAGTCATTGAAGATGAAGTAGACGAGATTGATTACGAGATCCTTGCACTTCATTCCTCCGAAGAAAATTCAGATGACAAGGCTAAGAATAGTGCAAAGGCCAAGGAGCTTGAATACGAGAAGATGAACAAGGTCGCAGGAAGCGATACCGCATCCGAAAAGGGCGAACGCACGGCTGGCGACAGTGGTGGGGACATGCTCCGACGCGTTGGAAACTGCAGAAAGAAGGTTATGAGTCTTTACCGTCTCCTTGGTAATAAGGCCGATGTCATCAAGGGTTTCGCCAAGCGATGCAATGAGCATTGGGAAGTCGCACCCAGGTCTGAGATTGGCCTGTACCTCGGCGATATTCAAGATCATGTCGCAACCATGACCGGCAACTTGTCACATTACGAAAAGTAAGTCATAGCTGTAAGACGTCCATGCCATTTAAGGTCACTAACATTTAACCTAGCCTGCTTTCGAGAGCCCACGGCAATTATCTCGCCCAAATCAACATCCGTATGAACGAGCGTGCAGAGCAGACCAACGACGTTCTCGGCAAGCTCACCGTTTTGGGTACCATTGTCCTCCCTATGAACATTGTCACCGGCATGTGGGGAATGAACACGAAGGTATGCTATATTAGCTGCACGTCTGGAGTGAGCACGCAAGCTAACTATTCTCACAGGTACCTGGACAAGACGGTGAAGATCTGACCTGGTTCTGGGGCCTCACAGCAGGTCTGTTCGCTTTCGGATTGATCTGTTATTTCATTGCCAAAAGAGTTTACGGTCTTGTCTGAAAACGTCCATGCATTGTCGACCAGGACACGTACGCAAGCAAGATGCGCATTGTTGGCACATAGTACGTTCTTTTCTCCCGGGGTCTCTATTTCAACCTAAGTATTATTATCAATCCTATGACAAACCAAACTAGCACTGAGCGTTGCATTGCAGCAGTAGTCAGCTGCCGAAAATTCTTCTTGTTCTGATGTCGTACACAAACAGACTATCAAGAACCGTCATGCATGGAGAGTGCGTATCAGGTCAAGCGGCCCGACGATGTTGACCTGCAGGAGACGACACAGCTCCTGACTCAGGCCTTGTCTACTTCCCTTTTCGATAGCCAATGCTTTCCAGCTTTTCCAGTACCGGCAGATCACTACCACCTGAGTGCCGAGAGGATAACCATCACTAGGATGAGATGCCCAAAGGCGCAACAGACAGGGCTGGGCCTGACTCCGATGCGCATCTTCACATGTATGAAACGCATCCGCGCTGCGCCTACGGCAGTCGTTGGGACTTCTATCGACGTGTCGATACCGATCATGGGGCACCGAGGGCCGATCTGCCGCTGTTGTGTTGTGATTCTTCTCGGACAGGTGCGGGCCGTGGGGTGCGCAGTTTCGTGATATGCAAGCCATGGCCCCAGTTCCGCAGCGTCGGGTCATCGATCTGCAGCCACACGGAGGATTATCAACATGACTCTAACCAATGTCCTTGGGCCATCCATCCAACTACCCTTGTACTCAAAACAGGAATTCGCCGGGGAATCCAACGCTTCGATTTAGCTGCATGTCACACCTCGATAGCGTTGAAAGATGAAGAACACCTACCTCTGTCTGGCTGGCTCTGTCACTCAATCCGGCACAGAAACCCTTCTACCGCGAGAAAGTGGATATGGAATACCCAAGCCTGGTACAGACATTAGCACCGAATCCCAGGCCCAAGGTTCGCATACTCAAAGGCAATAGCATTTGGAATGGCTGCTTTACTCCACGCAAATCCTCCTTTTGACAGCCTTCCCGTCACGAAAAACGGGTTACCGTGCATGACTCGCAGGCCTTACTGTCCACAGACCTGGGAGTGCCTTTCCTATACTTACCTTGGCAGGCATTGCAATTGGCCCGAGATTGATCTATTATCATGCAAGAAGAAGCAATGTCTTACACTGGCTGTCGGCGATTTTCTCCTGTCTGAGGCTACGAGAGCTTATCCTCGCTCACGTTTCGGGGATAATGCGTCCTTTGCTTCTGATACTGTGGACACCAATAATTACTTGTAACTCAAGATCGCATCTGTCAGTGTGCGTAAGCATTGGCTGTATTGTCTGTGTACCACCGTGCATTTGAGATGCAGAAGGTTCGGCTTTCTCACCATCCGTGTGTACATCGAAACAAGCCACCGACTCAATCCATCCATCTTCCTTATATGCTCTCCTGATTCTTACTTCTCACATTGCGTGATACTGGATGAGCTGCTGCTGCTTTATGCTCTACTTTGCCCTATGACTTTCAGCCCAAACGTCAAGACGGAACATCAGTCGTCGATACTTTCGGCACCCTGGAATCTTGCCACTCAGCAACCCTACGAGCGTCGCAGAGCTGATTCCGGAATGGTGGATCCCTCATCGTCACCACCGATGAGAGCTAAAGCTGAGCCTATGGACAGCTTGAGTCCAAGTACCAGTGTTGAGTTGCATAAGAGGAGTAAGACTGGTTGTGCGTATACTCATTTTCCGTAGAAATCCGAGACGTTTGCTGACTTTCGTGCAGGCAAGACTTGCCGACGACGAAAGAAGAAGTGCGATGAGGCCAGGCCGGGATGTAAGTTTCCATTGTCTTACAAGATACAACACATTATGACTTTAGTCTTGCGCTGGTTCATGTTGTGTTTAATGACCGCTTGACGTGTCCAGTCGCTAGATCCGGAGGCTATGAGATGGATCGTCTGCTGACAAAGTACCAGGCCAGAATTGTGCAAAGAATAATATCCTCTGTGGCGGGTATGAGATGAGAAAACCTTGGAAGAAAGGAGCTCGCAGCAAGAACTCTGGTATGACATGTCGTCAGTTGCGGTAGACCGGATGAAGAAGCTGACAAGTCGAATCCAGCCCTGATCATTCCGGAACTACCGCATATCATCAGCGCAGTAGACGACCCTCTAGACTCGCAGCTCCTATCTTACTTCATCACCCACGCCGGCTCAGCCTTGGATATATACTCCGAGACCCACAATCCATTCGACGGCTTCGTGATCGACGCCGCCCTGGCGAACACTGGCCTTATGCACTCGCTACTCTGCCTATCCACATCTTGTTTGCTCATTCAACAACCAGCGCTGGCGCAAGAAATTGTCGTCCGCCACAGCCACCACTTCGACCAGGCTGTAGTCACGCTCAGAAAGGCCGTTGAAGCCTATAGCTCAGACACATCCACACAGCATGCAGATTGCATTGTGCTACAAACGACGCTGCTCGCGCAGGAAGCCATCATCACAGGACAAGTGAATGGTAGCTATCGATGTCACCTGTTCGCTGCACAGCAACTTATCGACTGCTGCGGGCACTTGAGCGTCGACGTGCAGAAGTTTGCTCGTCAATTCCTGCTGTATCACAATCTCGCCAACACGATCTCCTGCCTGGACCCCGTCAACCAGACTCCGACATCGCTCCAGCAGACTGAAACAGTGGATCTCTCGAACCCCGTCTCGGAGGGTTGTGTAGACGGAATCTTGCATGGCCTTCTCGAGCCAATCGCACACATACGCCAGGTCAGAGATGGAGTTCGCTTCCATCGCCAGACGCAAAACTCGAGATGGTTTAAGGACGAGCGCCTGCTGAGCTTGGCATTGGGAGTTGAAACACAGTTACGCACCTGGCAATCCCAATTGCTACCCAATACACCCCAATACTGGTGCTCTCTGGCGTATCGGCAAAGCGCCTACGTCTATCTTTATCGCACCATACGGCCCTCTGCACCAAGTCAAGGCCTGGCTCAAGTGGTGGGAGAAGGCTTGTCCTACATTTCGCTCGCGTTGCGGGAAGTCACCAAAGCGAATGGAGAAGTAGGAAGTTGGGTCAGCGGTGTTTTGCTGCCACCGCTGTTTTTGCTGGGCTGCGCTGCCTGGGATCCAATGCAACGACAAGCAGTCATGAACAATTTGGAAGACTTGCATGCATGTAGACAAGGAGTAGGGACTGTGCATGCGAGAGCAATACTTGGGGAAGTGTGGGTGAGGATGGACGCAGCTGGACAGGGCGCTGGTGATGACGCTTGGGATTGGGAGAAGACGATGAAGGATATGGGTATGGATGTCTTGTTGTCATGAATAGAATCTACGACTCTCCTGCTCTCGTTCTCGCTTGGTGATCTCTTTGCTTGTTATTCCTTTGGCCCAAGTCTCGGAGGTTTGTGGTAGTCCTGTTGATCATTAGTATGCAGTCCTGGCATCCGCAGAACAAGTTTCGAGAGGCGACCTTGATGGCGAAACCGATGGCACGTGTTGTGGATCACCGCCTCCGGGGGATTAGGTAATTGGATCCTTTCTGTCTCCTCATGTGTGCAGAAGGTCTGTCGCAGACGTAGTCCTCGAGATGCAGGAGGCTCTTCGAAGTCAGAAGCAGAGAGCAGGTATCCACCAGAGACTCTTGCCAAACGTCAATCTCATCCGATCTCGAAGCAAGAGATGCACGTGTGTGCTTTGACTGCCGAGAGGTCGAAGTGGAACAGACTGCTCGCCTGAAGCACAAAAACACTCAATTCACCCACGACCATCACAGCGTTGACACTTCCATGTCGTCGCAGAAGCAGAGTAGATCAATATACTTCAAATCTCCTCCACTCCGACCATAAATTGCTCTTGGTGTGGTCTTTGGGTGCGATCGAGGCACCGATGGCACACTTTCATATGTAAAGTTTCGTAGAGCATGTAGCTATATAACTGTACAGTGGACTCTAGAAACATGACAGTAGTCATTGGGAAGCAATAAATCAAGGGTTCTCTTTGTATATGTATTGAATCCTGAAACTCTCTATAGCGAGAAACTCGCTCACTACTCTACTGTCGTACGAGGAGTATGGCAGTCACGAGATCCGGCACACGGGGAGGCAGCGGAAAAGCAGGAAAGGGGGTTGTCTTCGCGCCAGTACGGGTGAGTTTGAGATGCAGCCGCTAAGGGGGCTGATGCTTGCAAAGCGCTCTGCCCTTGTCACAGTCGCGGTTTGGAAAGTTGGGTTTTGTGGTTCGGTGGCTGTCAGTTTGAGACTTGGACCCCATGTTCAGGGAGATTGACGTGTGTCTTGCGAATCAAGAGTTTCATGGATTGAGCTCGGTATTCGTCTGTGGCCGAGGACGTCGAGGTGAGAGATATCGACAGCATGGTGATCTTGTTGTAATCAGCTACAGTTTTCGAGACACACCGAAGTGTTCTCATGGAGTCAGTCTATACCGATGCAGAGAGTAAATTTCTCAGCAGCATCATATTCAAAGAGATTCTACACAAAGAGTTGTCGTTCGAGATGAATGCATGCGATTGGCTGCTCGGAAGCTTCTCGGCCGCGACTTCTGTTTCAAACTTGGCGATGTGAACATGTTTCTCCCTGCACCAACTTTCGTGATTGAGAGCTTCCAAGAGCGATCATTGAGGCATTTTGCAAGGCTGAAACCAATCTTGGAAAGCTTACGAAAGCTTGGGGATCCGATGAGACAAAATCAGGTGGCTCCTTCCTGTCGAAGACTTCGTCACCTGCACTCGCACACCAGCGGAGTGATCGATTGATGAGCCCACAATGACACACGGTCTTGGTAGCAACGGGCGGATTTCACTCAGAGCTACAACTTTGACAACACTTTCTTGACAGGCTTCGATACGAGCACAGGATGCTTTAACAGCTGCTTGAGACGAACTTGTGGACACGGAGAAGACCGATCAGGCTGAATTACATGATTTAGTACTGGAAGCAGGGACATACAGGCGATCCCGACACATCAACCCCGGACTGGTCGTTGCTACTATAAGAATTTACAAAATTGGCAGTGAGGCTCAAGCAGCAAGTATAGGCTTGTGCTTGCTTCAAATGAGTGGAAATTTGGAGTGAGCTTGGCACTCGTCTGAGTGTTACAGACGAGCGTAACGAGCTCAACTCGACATGTCGCCATCCTGATGAGTTCAGTTCCATGGTCTGGGCCAGATCTACAGAAGTAAGTCTGATGCAGCAAAGACATATTAGAAGACTAGGTTTCCCAGGCATCTCTTCTTTCTTGTTCATCACACAAACACTTTCTCTTCTCTTCTCAATTCAAAACCACCATTGTTTTACGACACACCGCAGACATGCACTTCACTTCTCTCCTCGTCGCCGCTTCGGCCCTCGTCACTGCTCTGGCAGCACCTGTCGCTGAGCCCGTAGCTGCTGAGAACGGCCTCTCCTCGCTGGTCGAGCGCTCTACCCCTGCTGGCACTGGCCAGAACAACGGCTACTACTACTCCTTCTGGAACGCTGGTAAGTTTAAACTTTGTCTCTGGTTGAATCTTCAACAATCAGTATACTGACAACAATCAGGCGGCGGTACCGTCAACTACAACAACAAGGGTGCAGGCGAATATTCGGTCTCATGGCAAAAATGTAATAACTTTGTTGCTGGCAAGGGCTGGTCCAAGGGCACCACCCGCAAGATCAACTTCAAGGGTACCTACTCCCCTCAGGGCAACTCTTACCTCTCCGTCTACGGCTGGAGCAAGAACCCCCTCGTCGAGTACTACATACTCGAGTCCTACGGTACCTACAACCCCGGCAGTGGTCTCCAGCACATGGGCACCGTCACCACCGACGGTTCCTCTTACGACATCTACAAGGGTGTTCGCACCAACCAGCCCTCCATTTCTGGTACCGCTACCTTCAACCAGTACTGGAGCATCCGCAAGAACAAGCGTTCTTCTGGTACCGTCACCACTGCCAACCACTTCAACGCCTGGGCTAAGCTTGGCATGAAGCTTGGTACCCACGACTACCAAATTGTTGCCACTGAGGGTTATCAGTCCTCTGGTTCCGCTGACATTACCGTCTCCTAAGCGGATCGCGTTCTGACGGTCTCAAAGGGGTGTTGATCATTCCTCTCTTGTTTCTTCCCCCTTGACTACTATGACCTAGGGTGGACGTTTGAGTTGAACTTTTTTCTTCAAATCTTTTGCATCTTGCAGCATTCGATCTTGCATGATATAGAGGATTATCTAAGAATTCAAGATTACTTTACGCGGACGCGCCTGAGCACATTTCGCTCCTGACTTGATTCTTGTGCATGTGTTCGACAATAGTGAGAATGCCAATTGAGTAGTGCCGAACCTCCATGCTATTATTGACTTCGTCTGGACTTAAATCCCACTAATCTCGTACACCTACCCATTTGCACGCCTGGGTGAGAGGAAGGGTAAGATTTCGATGGATGATCGGTCGTTCCTTCCACATTCAAACCTGTTTCCCCGTATGCAAAAGTTCGTCACGCTGTGGCTGTGAAGATGCACAGTGATCTTGTAAATTGGATTGCTCCCATCGGAAAATGATAATACACCGAATCCGCGTGGACATGTCTCCGAGTCAACGTCTGAATCTGAACACAAAGACCTATTCTTAGCCGTTTAAGATGTCAGCCAACAAACGTCTGAGACTCATGTGTCTTGCTCTCTGCAGGTCTTGCTCTATATAAAATTCTGCTGCATTGTCTCGTGTGAGACATGCTGTTCTTCCCGAGTCCAATGCATTCTTTGAACTTTTATATAAGTCTAGAGTACGGTCCCTATGATCGACCATCTTGGACCACAGTCAAACTATTCCGATAACCCCCAATCCAGCGACATCAACAACACAGGACTAAAACACAGTATCAACCACGAACATTCAATCATCAGCATCCACCAGAAAATACCCACACACACCGATATTCAATTACCCATACCGAATCACCACTCGTTCTCTCAAACCACGAACGACCACCATGCCCCGCTTCCCGCACTCCTCCAACTCTCACTCCACCCTCCCACCCAACTCCCTCGACATTCCCTGCATCATCTACTCGCCAAATCAATCCTGTCCCAGCACCCCTCTCACACCCTTGGCACATGGCAAAGAGATGGCTGCAGTTATACGTTCAGAGTCTGCTTATTGGAGACCTATCTATGAGGAGGAGGAGGATAGAAGAATTCGTGCTGAGGAGTATGGGATTTGGTGAGCGGGTTTTTATGGTTGGTTGCGATTGAGGTGGTGATTGGTTAGAAGGAAAGAGAAGGACGAAGGATAGAGAAATGATGGATCGGTATCTCATAAATGGTTGGAAGTTGCGGGGTACTTGGGTAGAAAGCTATATGTGGTTTGTTAGAATATTCGATTGGTGTTACGCGCGAAATTGGTTACAGAGAAGGATGCGACTGATATGAATGGTTGCGTGATCTTTGATGAATAGAGTCCCTCTCGCAGTCATGTGCTGAATCCAAGACGACGTTCGGCGTCCTGGGGCCTAAATCGAGTGCAAAAGGAGAGATGATGCTATCTAAATATCGATGACATTCTGGCCGCAAGTCTCATAGTAACTCAAAGTGTATGGCCTGGTGGTAAGTCAGTATCCTTCTAAAGGATAGCTAGCCGTACATCACTAAAGCCGGTCTAGAAACAGAGAGAACGTTGTAAAAGAGCTTGGAAATATGCTTATCCATAATTTTAGGATTGATATTTTGTGGACTATAGAGTAGCTACACTCGGAGGTCCGGTCTAGTGACCTTACCAGGGATCTCATCTGAGTAGACGTTTTACGTACCCTTTGATCAATCATAGCTAAATACGTGAAGACCATCAATGTTACGGAGACGAGGCTGTCCGGACAAATGGTCAAGCGGAAGTGTCATGCAAACAGAGCAGAGAAGAAACATAAGTCGTTGAATATGACCATCTATATAATGCCTGGTTTTGTCCCGAAACTCCTTACAGCTTGCTACCAGTAGTGGTTTTGCAGCACACATCTCCTTCTTTGCCCACAATACCTTCAACAGTAGGCTGCTTGTGTGTCTCACTAAGCAACGTACTCTTGTTGAACTCCTGGGTACTCGGCGGCACATCCAAAGCAGGGTTTCTATCGAAGAAGTTGACTGGCTTCAGACTAACCTTGATAATCTCACAAGGCATGACAGGGAAGTCTTCGATTCTCGGGATGTGGTTGATGCCGAATTGGACAAACACGACAAGATCTTCATCGACAATGTTGTCCTTGCGGTCAGCCCAGGTGCGTACACCAGTGCCGCCGCGAGATTGGTTGGTGTATTTGCCGCCAGCGTAAAGTTCGCCGTCACGGTGTTTGACTGCGTAAATGTTGCGGTCGGAGAATTCAACGCGCTTGTAGTTGAAGCTTTCCTTGTCGGCGATACCCTTTTGGAATGGAGGAGCGTGAATCTTGTAGGCGACTGGCTTGTTGTTGATGGGGTTGAGGACGTTGGCGTTCTGAATCTTGAAGGTGCGGTTTGTGTCTGGGTTGAGGTCGTAACCGCCAGATTGCGAGACGACGGTTTCTTCTGTGTAGTAGCCTGTTCCGTGAGGGTTGAAGTCGCTGCGAGGCATGGGCAGGGCTTCATCATACACGAGGCGGTTGGAGTGTCCATCGATGGCGGGATCGACACGAAGGGAGAAGATATGTTGGTGGTGAGTGGCGAGTACACCAGGGTGAACCACTGTTCCCCAAGGGACGCTGATGCCGTCATCGATAGGCTGGGTCGAAAGGATACCAGTAGCTCTCACTTCATAAGTCATCTCACCGGCCTGGTTGAACATGAAGGCCAAGATGTACTCGTAGTTTGCAACGGTGATGATGCTCTGCAGAACGAGCTCACGGTTACGGACGACAGCAGCACGGCCGGTCCTGTAGTTGGTGTGCTTCCAGCCGATGCCACCATCTTGCTCGTGGACACAAATGACATTGGGCATCTCCTCAGCCTCACCCTGGTCGTTGGCCACGGTTCCAGAGAGGTACTGGATGGAACCAAGACAATCGCATCCGAGTTTCAGGTCGTTAGCCATGACACCGGCGCCAACATCACCAAGATCAAAGGCAGCCTTCTTGTGGAAGGGGTGACGAGGGTCACTGTAGGGAATGGACATGTCCGACAGCGATAGACGGTAAAAGACGCTGCGACCGTCGTAACGGACATTGTAGAGAACCATACCCTCTCTTTGATTGAAACCGACACGGAAGGACCACTTCTGCCAGTCGAGAGTGTGTGATGTGCCTTCCTGGGTAACGCTGAAGCTGGCGCCTTCAGGTTGCAGGACCTGGAGAGGCTTCAAGTCGGTACGCAGCTTCTGAGCCTCAGGAATGTACTCATTGGCATGGACAGGCTTCCAGGGCTGTGTGGGCTTGATGGTGTTGTCCTTTCCGGTGGGCATGATATCAATGCGGATGACCTTACGTTCCACAGCGCTGAGAACAGGAGAGATGGCGAGAGGGAAAGCGTAATGGTTTGAGTCGAGCTCGTCGGTGTTCTTGGGGTCACGCATGTACAGGAAGCACTGGTACATGCGTTCATCATCACCGACACCGTCCGAGCCGTAGATCCAGGGGTCGCAGACAACAGCAGTGCCTTCGGGTAGTTGTAATTTGGCAATCTCTGCTTGTACACCCTCGTCTTCGAGAGCCAACTTCTCAATGTCCAAGATTTCTTCTCCATCTCCTGCCGCGTGTACGTTGGGTCCAAGTCTGACGTTGCTTTCGACTGTTGATGTCGTCAAGTTGACAATGGCTTCGTGTAGTTTGTTCTAGTTATGTGATCAGTGTCTGTACTATTTGTCTGGGCAGTGAGTCGCTTACGGTCTTGCGAATGTAATAAGCAATTTGGACCCTGCGGTCAATGCTGGGCAGGCCTTGACCCTTGAACTCTGCTTCCAGGAAAGGCACCATCTCGGCCTTTGCGGGCTCCTCAAGTGTAAGGACCTTGAATTGAAGGTCCGTTTTCTCGGGCCATTGGTTGCGGATGAGGGAGGCTGCTTCATGGATTTCCTGTGCTGACAGTGGCGCAAGTGGGTGTGCCACGATCGACTTGGACGTGCGAACGGGCAGTGATGTGCTGTGTTGGAGAGACATTATGGATATGTGCGATACAGAAAGACCAGCAAAGAAATTTGTGACGGCGGGAGGATTTTATATAGGCGAGGGAATGGTAGAAAGATAAGACCATGCGGGTGGCACAGTGGAGTCGATCTGCATCAGGGTCAGCGGGGCTCCTAGGCCTATCTCCGTATACCATGACAATTTTTGAACCATGTCTTGGCCGCCAAATCCAGATTCCGGGTCGGTCAAGACTGATACCTCACTGGATCAGTGATATCAAGTCTGAGCGTCTCTGGTCGCGAATAATGTGTCTGCTCAACCCTCTTGGGAGTATTCATGGACATTCAATTCGCCTGTCAACCGGATCTCAAAAGTTTTGGCCGACCCCACCATGTCCAAATCGAGCAAGTCCATGCGAAGGCTCGCATGCACAGCGTTAAGCTCGTTCCCCACTAACACGCACTTCTTGGCCGAAAAGAGTAGATAAAGTGAGAAAAATTGTCGCTACCCTAGACGACACGACGTTATCGGCGAATGAGATTAGAAGTTTTGACTACTGGTCAAAATTTTGCGACAGACATACCCTGTCAGCATTTGCTATCTAGTATCGTAAGCATGATTGGAGTGAGATTGGGAACTGGACTCAGTCCAAAATTCTTCTTCCGCCAGGCGGGCTGCATTTTGTCTCAAAAAGGCACCTTCGAGTGATTATGCTCGCACCCCTTGTGAATATAAGCTTACGAAAGCCGAGACTCAGGACCGTATGGTTTGATAGCACTTCGAAATCAGAGCCAGTCTAGTGTCAGTATCGTCTGTGATAATTAGCCAAAATTTCATATGTCTGAAGGTGACCCTGTTCGGCACAGATAAGCCGAGATGCCGACTTCAGGCAGCAACCCCAGCGCTTTGATGCAAGGTGTCAAGCGGACAATACGACAAACGTCTACAACAACTCGGTCAATCAAACACACAACAACATGGATCCAGCAAAGAAGAAGCAATATCTCGCAGACAGCCCGCCATCTGTCGTGCCTCTGGCTATCAAGCCGCATTTCGAAGCACTTGGCAAGACTGAGCAGCTCTATTCGCACCACATCAGTAGGGCTTGCTTCGCCGGTACTAGAGTTGTCCTCAGACAAGTGTCCCCCGAATCTGAGCCTATATACGACTTCATCCTGAGTCTGCACAAGCACTGCGATGGCGACTACTCAAAGCTCAAGTCCGAGACTGGTCTTGATGACCAAGAGATGAACGACTGGTTGCACTATGCTGCCCAATTCCTTGGCAATGCCGGAAACTACAAGTCGTTTGGTGACTCCAAGTTCATCCCTCGTCTGGCACCAGAGAAGCTTGCCGCTCTTGGAAACATCTCCAGTGCATCCAAATACTACGAACTCTGCAAAGATGCTTTCTACGAGACCAAAGTCGAGGATCTCATGCATCTTGGCTACCCACCTCAACATCTTACGACTTACTACCCAGACTCTCCCGAGATTACCAAGGACGAGATTGCCGCTGTGGCAGACTTTGTCAAGGCGAATGGAAATCTGCTACCTGAGAACACCCGTCTGAAGAAGCTTCCATCTGGAGACTTTGAACTTCTTATCGCTTCTGCAGAGACTGACCCTGCCAAGTCCGACAGAGATGTCCCAGAATCTTCGTTCACACTGGATGCTGAGTCTGTCAAGGACAAAAAGATTACGCTGAAGTACGGAGATCACTCCAAGGAGATGGACAAGATCGCCTCCTTCCTCGCTGAGGCCAAGAAGCACTCCGCCAACCAGTACCAGAGTGATATGCATAGCGAGTACGTCAAGTCCTTCAAGACAGGATCCATGACCGCTCACGTTCAATCACAACGCCACTGGATCAAGGACAAAGGACCTGATGTTGAGTCTAATATTGGCTTCATCGAGACCTACCGTGACCCCCATGGCATCCGCGGAGAGTGGGAAGGCTTCGTTTCCATGGTCAACAAGGAGCGCACCAAGGCTTTTGCTCACCTTGTTGCCGAAGCACCCAAGAATATCAAGAAGCTTCCCTGGCCCGCTGAGTTCGAGAAGACATTCGTCGCCCCTGACTTCACCGCCCTTGAGGTTCTCACTTTCGCTGGATCCGGCATCCCTGCCGGTATCAACATTCCCAACTACGACAGTGTCCGTCAGGATCCCGACGGTGGTTTCAAGAATGTCAGTCTGTCAAATGTTCTCTCAGCCAAGCCCCCAAACGAGAAAGTCCCCTTCATCAAGGACGAGGATATGGAGGTGTATCAGAAGTATGCGGACAAGAGCTTTGAAGTTCAAGTTGGACTTCACGAGCTGCTCGGCCACGGCTGTGGAAAGATCTTGCAAGAGACTTCGCCTGGAGTGTACAACTTTGATCACAAGAACCCTCCGATCTCTCCTGTCACGCAAAAACCGATCACTTCCTACTACAAACCCGGTGAGACTTGGGGCTCTGTCTTCGGTGGCATGGGTCCCAGCTACGAAGAATGCCGTGCTGAAAGTGTAGCTATGGCCTTGATTCCAGATTACAGTATCCTTCAGATCTTTGGTTTCGGAAATGGCGAAGAGGTATGTCAGACCTGAGCTCAGCTGAGTCTTCTTGCTAACTTTGACACACAGGACCTCTACGGAGAAGCTGGAAATGTCCTTTACGTCGCATATTTGACAATGGCACGCGCCGGTGTAGCTGCTCTTCAGTTCTACAATGTCGAGGCTTCGAAGTGGGGCCAGGCGCATATGCAGGCCCGTCACGCCATTCTCAAGGTCTTCCTTTCCGAGCCAGACTTCTGCAAGCTCGAGTACACCAAGGACGACCTCAGCGACTTGACCATCAAGCTCGACAGAACCAAGATTGCCACCCACGGTCGCCCCGCTGTTGAGAAGTTCCTGCAAAAGCTTCAAGTCTACAAGGCTACTGCAGATCTCCAGGCCGGTAAGGAGTTGTACGAGGGTATCACCAGTGTGGATGAATGGTTCGCTACCAAGGTCAGACCAGCTGTCTTGGCGGCAGCTCCCCCCCGTAAGGTCTTTGTTCAAGCAAACACTTTTATCGAGGGTGATAAGGTTGTTCTTAAGGAGTATCCCGCCACTCCTGAGGGTCTGATCCAGAGTTACGCTGATCGTGATTACATCTGAGTGAAATATGTGAAGAGTTATCATCGATGAGAGCATAGCGTTCCAATAACATAATTCCTTGTCATCAAAAATAAGTGTGCATCTACAAAACTTTGTATCGTTGCCACGTTTCTCAATTCTTAGCATGAATCGCAATAGCGCGTGGAAAGTGACAGCTCAGCAATAAGGCAAAAGAAGAATATTGCAGCGAGCGAGAGTCGAACTCGCGATCTCCTCACCAGCGGCACACGATTCCCGAAGGAGCAAGCAGTGCAAGGGCACGCAGTGTGAACCATCGCTTGTGTTTGCAAGACGATATTGCTGAGGCGTCTTGACCACTAGACCACCGCTGCATTTGTTGGAATTGATGAACTTTGAACAAACATAAAGGTTAAGGGGAAGAGGGGAAGGGAGCTTTAGCATTGGAAGCAGGCAGTGGAAGATGTTTGATAGATGCGACTTCCTCCACCACTGCAAATTCTGCACACACGCGTCTTTCCCTTCTTCCAACTCTCGGCAGCGTGTTGCAATTCGAGCAATGATCTAGCCAGCTATCGTCACATCAGGTCTCATGATGTGTTGGATCTGCTCTTCATCTTTCTCCGCTTGTTCCAATCCTTTGCCAGCCAAAAACGCCGGACCCATGACTGAAGACTTGAAGCCCTGGGGGAAGTACTTGTCTCCCTCATCGCCGGGGATGGGTCTGCCTGCCGACCAATCTAACCACGATTGCAGACACCAGCGATTTACGAATGTTGGCTCGACGTACCTATGTCACATCATCAATTGAGGAATCTTGGTGAGATGTGGAAGCAGAACACTTACCAGGGCTCTGTGTCCCAGATCAGTTTGTAGATCTTGCCATGGGAGTTGATATCGTCGGCGATGATCTGTTTGCGTGAAGCGTCTGGTCTGGGTAGAGTCAAGTGTCGAAGCACTAGTTTGCGAGCAGTGAGTCCTGTGTCGACTAGCCACTGCAACATTGCCGGCGGGTCTGGGTATCTGGTGTCAAGCACGTCAGTAAAACACTCTCACCATCCAATTCATCAAAGTAAGCGACTCACAGCATAGCCCTCCTCAACCTCGTATCCATCAACGCACTAATCACCTTCCTCCCAGCATCCTTGAACGCCACCGGAACAGGATACAACAGCATCTCAGTCGTACAATCCGCAGTCTGCTTGTTGCTCTCCGCAGGCACCATGTATTTCTCCTCATACTCTTCCACCCAAGCCTTCAACTCCTCAGCAAACACACCTCCATGCTCCCATCCCTTCTTTCCGCCAGGCAAGCAGGAAAAATCAATCTTCATACCCTGCCCAACCTTCAACCAAAACAGCCCCATAGCTGCCGCTTCCATCTCTGTCAATTCCCTCCACTCGTGTTCATTGATCCAGCGTATCGGCTCAAGCAAAAACAAACTCAACGTATACAATAAATCGTCATTAGAAATTTTGCTTCCATACAGCGAGTGCAGAAAATTCGTTCGCGCCAAAGCCTCGCTGGATCTAGCACTCGCAGGCGCATTCTTTATGATTTCAAGCATGAGTACCGAAGTATCTGTCATGCGCTTCGAGGCGTGTTTTGCAGTGCTCAACTGCTTTGTTTGCATGAGCAAAGAAGAAATCGAGGGAATGCCATAGGTGCGGAATAATGCGAATTCCAAAGCTTTTTGGGCGAGAAAGGGAAACTCGAGTTCGAAAATGTAGAGTTGGATTTCTTGGGCTTGGGCGAGGGTGATGGAAGAGAGGGGTTTGGGGTTGTATTGGATGTGTTTTTGGTGTTTGCGGGAGTTGCGGAGGTAGAAGACGGTTAGGAGGTATGTTGCGCCCAGTGTGCCTAGCACTTCTGGCCGTAGGAGGAAAGACATGATGGTGAGTGTTGGTTTCAAAGAACCATGGAAATGGGATGTCGAAAGGGTTTATCAGATATATATGTATGCCAAATAGATGAAACAGCTGACTCGGAGTTGGGTGCCTGGTCTGACTCAGGTGGGGCTGGCTGGACGCCGCCAAGGAAAATGGTATCAAGCAAGTCATATACGCAAAGTGTCAACAGACGCATAGTTCTTTTGATCAACAGGTCGAGCTTATCACTTTGACTGCTAAGACTTGGGCTTCCGTCCATAATAGGGACGGTTGCAGGTGCAGAGGTATCGTGAATTTGCCTGTTTCCACTCAATTATATGGAGTATATTCCGTACGAGAATATCTACTCGTTGAGATGAGTAGATGGCAGCTCTGAGATTCAAGGCGGAACATATAGTACTACATCGGCTGATTCGAGTCCAGCCAGTCACAAAATCACCTAAACCACCAGTTCACGGATCCAATCATACCCTGACCTACACCCTTGATACTGTGCCACCATCCCTTCGGAATGAACAAACCATCCCCTGGACCAACCTCACATTGCAGTCCTTCATCTGTCCAGAAAGAGCCAGACGGTGGCTCCCAAACAGCTTGTTCGAGTGCTGCTCGCTCAGCACCTTCCATCATCTCTGCGCCCCTGATGGTCGCGTTTGCAGCTCCTCCTATGCTGTTCTGAACGTGATGGAAAATGGCATTGCCCAAGTCAGGTTTGAAGAGACGGACTTGCTTTCTACCAGCCAGTTGAACGAACAGATTAGGATTAGGATCGCGGTGCAGAGGTGTGTAAGTCGGCGCGCGGCCCAACCAGATACTCGTGTCGTAAATGTCGCCTTTGCCAGCTTTTGATACGAGCTCTGGCGTGGGTAGATCCTCCAGCAGAGAAAATGGTAAATCGGAGAGAGAAGCCTGCGCCAGGTAGATACTAGCTTTTGTTTCTAGCTCAGAAGCACTACTCCTGTGTCAGCGAGAGCAGTTTGATATGCAAATTAGATGCATCATACTCGAGGAAGAATTGAAGGGATTGGTGAATTTGCGCGAACTTGCCGTCTTCGTTTGTGATCTCTAGTGGAACAACAGCTGAACCCCATCTCTTCAGATAAGCAGTGTTCAGATGACACCGCGCAGTATGCTCTGAAGATTTATGAAACCATTTCTGGATAGCGGGGATCGACGTGAACGACCCTTGAGGCAGAAGATGTGGTACGGCGGGAACGAAGGCCTGGTCCCGGAATGTCTTCAATGAGGCGTCTGGAAGAATGGGTACAGCACGGAACGAAGATACCGATGTTGAGTAGTGTCGACTATGTCGCAGAAGATTTCTCAGCATGACCAGTGTTCATTGTCGAGACGATCGTGATGTGGTAGATGGAGATTCTTAGAATCGAGACAGGGTCATGACCAGCCGAGGCGCCGGAAGCCCCGCCAAGTGTTCGCGACTTGATCAGGCCTTTTTATTGTTCGCTCATCTTCGGACAACAAGACTCGAGTATCGCGTGACCGCAAGAAGACAAGATGGTCTACTACTTCACAAGCAATGTGACGTCCCCGTCGGCGTACATCTACATGGGCAAGGACAAGGTCGAAAGTCAGCATTGATTCGTCGCATTCAACATACGAGCAAGTCGCTGACTGGGCAAGAGACGAGGACTTGATCGCATACGGCTTCGAAGAGGATGTCTGGGTACGGCCGGTCGATACACAACAATGTCAGGCACGCATCGTCTGACTACCTTTCACCATAGTTCCACGTCGACAACCTTTCCAGTGCTCACGTCTACGTCCGTCTCCCTGATGGAGAGTCATGGGAGGACATTCCCAAGCTGCTCTTGGAAGACTGCGCTCAGTTGACAAAAGCAAACTCGATCGAGGGTGAGGACGAACATCTGGAGCCTACAAGAGAGTGCGACTGAGACGGCAAACGCAGGCAACAAGAAGGACAACATCACAATCATCTACACCCCGTGGTCAAACCTGAAGAAAGATGGCAGCATGGCCACTGGCCAGGTCGGCTTCAAGGATCAAAAGAAGGTCAAGCGCGTCTATGTCGCCAAACGCGAGAACCCCATCGTCAACCGCCTGAACAAGACAAAGGTCGAAAAGTTCCCAGACTTTAGACAAGAGAAGGAAGACAGGGCTAAGGAGCTACGAAAGAAGGATCGTTCGGTCATTGCTGAAAGAGTGCGTCGATCCGTCTTCCGAGGCAAACGAGAAACACTAGCTTACACCATCATCAACAGGCAAAGGAAGAAGCTCGTATTGCACGAGAGAGGAAAGAGTTGGCATACCAGAGGGACCACGCCTACGACGACTGGAATCAGGAGGAGCAGGTCATGGCCTCCAGTAACCAGAACCGCGATTCGGACTGGGAGGACGATTTCATGTGAGGACAGCCGCTTCTTTAAGATAATGCTTGAAACCAAAAAGTAGTAAGTCAATGATTGGGCCATACCCATGCACAATCGCAACTTCCTGGAATGCTGTATCTCGCTCATGTCCGACGACTTATGATAGTGCTCCGGCACACTACAACTAAGCTGGCGATTCAAGCACAGTAGTAGATGGTATAGTCCACTGCAGTCAATGTGTCTCTGGTAGCAGAGAATTAGGAATGGGTACACGTCCTTCTGGGTCCTCCGCCTTGCTATGCGTCGGACCGACGATCCCACAACATTCCACATACGACCAAGGGACCGGAAATATAGTCACTTGTTGGGTCTCTGATTGACTGTTTCACAGAGGATTTCCGTGCCGCATATGTTTACTTGGGCGGTACGCGATCGCCCTGTGACCTGTAGCGTGGGAGGCTTGATTGATTCTGGTCACTTGCAGTGCCATGGTTCCTAAGTCGCATCTTTGTTGAAACCTCAGACCTCAAGTCAAGGGTGGTATCAATAACAAAGCGACCTCACTCCAAGATCGTAACTTTATGAATAACATCTTTATGACCTTTGGATCTGCAATGTTGAATCCCGTCAAAGCTCAGGGCCAAGTCCCCGTGAAATCTAACATACAATGACCCGCGGTCGCCACTTCTCTACTCAGATGCACATGAACCCGTGTCAGCAGTTTTATACGGAGAGTAGATTGAACTTGAGATATGGCCAGAAGTCTTTGCACGCAGCACTGTTGAACTCAAGGACAGAAGTATTGGCCATGGCAAATTGCGTTGTCCTTGCCCGTCCATCGACTGAGACAAACTCGCGAAACACCTAATATTCATCACACTTATCAAACTCTCGTCATCAAGGTTGCGTGGACTCAAGGTCTGGTCACCCCGCTTGTCCTCAAGATCCAGGTCTCTCAGATCTCACGTGGTGCCATACCTCAAATATGTACCAAAAAATCATCGGGACAGGCCGTCGAGCTGGTTGGCTGCCATGGCATCATGCCAGATCGCAACGGCCCTTTGCCATCTCAGTTCCTAGGAATGCCTGGCAAATTCCAGAAAAACGTCAAAGCGAGCCGTATAGAGACAAGCATCCACAGTCTCGTCTTGGAGAATATGAAACCATGAAGGAAAAATAAAGGGCAGACCCGGCGTATCGCGCTAAGATTCTGCTCGACAGTAAAACAAGAACTCGAGCCCGCCTTGCCTTGCTCAGCGAAGATGAAAAACGTCAACGAGTTTTATACGAAAGGTTTCGAAGGCTCGTGAAGCATCGGCTAGAGCAGGGCAGGCTCCCGCATTGGGAGAATCATGTTCCAGAGATCGTGGACGAAGGCGTAGTTTGTCGTTGCGCTGGCTGCGGGCGTATACATTACAAAGCCCGCGCTAAAATCTGGTGGAAGAGCAAATCAGATGGGAGACATGAAGTAAGTACAGAAAGAGCCGCCCAACTCCCGCTGCGTGTTCTACAATATGGATGGAAATGATACTTGGATGTCGTCCTCAGTTTTGAATCGCGTTCTGATCATCATCCACCAAACCCCTAATCTCGTATACGCCTTTCACATGCTGACTATTGTTCTCGCCAACAGTGTTTCCTTGTTTCACCAAAGACTTCTCGAAGGTCACTCCCATAGGTTTCGAAGGCAAAAAGCTGTTCAAGAGCATTCTGGAGTGGAAACAGAAACAGATTCGAGACGCGAAGGAGTCATCCGCCCAGCCAGATTCTGGTTCAGACTCGACATCTTGACCGTGCTAGCTGTGTTTCTACGTACCGTGGCCCTTGACAGCCTGCTCTACTTACCAACTTCGCCTATCATAGTCAATTCGGGCTCCCGGAAGCAACGCCAATCTCCATGTGCGCATGATCATGTCGCTAGTAGTCACGCGTACTTCAGCCATGTCGGTTATTCGAATCCTGGGCTATGTGCTCTTGACAGTCTCTCATCTAGTGTTGTGGACCGACCATCTTTCTGGGCACTCAGAGGTGATCAGCCGGCCAACTTCCAGACAATAATTTCGCCTAAGCATTGTGCTTGGAAACGAAATGACCGACGATATTGCTTGTCCAAGACTGTAGGCTTCGCTCGATTGATCAGGTCACGTACATTTGTACTCGAGACCAGCTTTCTGAGCCCAGTCAGAGGTCAAAATATGCTGACTGCAGCTGATTTCGATGTATAACCTCCAAAATCATCTTCAAGGAATCAGACTATGCCCGGAGACCTACGGCGCATTGTTCCACGGGGCTTTCAGCAGGCCGGGACAAAATCTCAAGCATGAAACTCGCACGATTCCTGAGCCTGGTTCGCTGCCCGGAGCAATGTCTTCCAATCTTGGGCCAAAAACTATTGCAGCAGCTGAGTATGTCAATGCCGACAGGTGAAAGATGCATTTCATTATGCGTAACACGAAACAAAACGTACAGCAGCAGGGATTCCCACGTGGTCACCCACCGTAGTACTAATCTGCCGTTCAACTGCTTATGTATGGCAGAGCGGACGGGATGCCCAGTTTTCAGCTGACTGTGGCCGTACGTACTGGTAGACCCATCTTGTTACCTCATGATCACATAGATATGCAAGGAAAGAGCTAGGAAACCTCAACCTGATCTGCAGACTCTCAATCGTCATCTTCCTCCGAATCCTCCGAATCTTCTGGTTCATTATATTCTTGGCTTTGGTCGATGGTTTGCATTCTGGCTGCCCTGGCCATGACACACTTGGTGATGGGCTTCGATCCTACGATATGTAAACGCCCGATCATGCGTGGCCCTTGAACCTCGAATCGGCGACATAAATACGCGCCTCGAGGCTCGCGCGGGATATTGGTCCAGAATTAGAAACGTACATTTGTTCTGCGCCTCTAAGCGACCGAGGTCACCGGAAAGGAAGCCACTGTGCGTTATCACCCAGCGTGTGGAAGCTCTTGCTAAAACACTGACGGAGGAGTAAGCTCGACATACATTTTGATTCACTCGCTGCAACATACGGCAAGCTGCACAGAGCAGTCGAAAACGGTTGATATGACCTTGAACGCAAAAGACCAGAAACTCATGGACTCACAACTCAGTGCCAATTTCATCTTGCATGAATCCGAGACCCTACGAGGATACAGCAAGGGTCTTGAGTACGATTCGCAAAGGGCCACTTTCAAACCAAAGACAAGCAGCCAGTACGTTCCATACCCATCTTCGCTCTGGCATCATGGAGTGGTCATGATGTTGACTTTGCAAGTGACGCAATACAACTTACTAAAGGAGCCCTTGAACTTTACTGCAATTCTGATCCCAAACATGTTACTTTCTCTTCGAACCTTACATGGGACGATGTTGCCGTAGCGTCGAAAGAAGCAAGAATCCGAGAGAACACAAGAAAAGACACTACCTGGAGTACAATTGTTGATACTGTGAAGACTGCCAGAGCGGATTATAATTCGAAGGGGCGCTTTCGAAAGGTCGGTCGGTCACTCGGAGACATTGCACCCGCCATAGTTCACAAGTTGGACTTTGCTCCCGACCAAATGTACTTGAACGTCATCTGTCAGGGTCTAAAGTTCGTTTTCGATGTAAGTCAAGAAACTCCTCGTTCTCTGGCTGTTGAAGCTGAAGCTAAACACATTTCCAGGCCGCTATCAAGCTCGCAGACAAACGGAAAAAAATTCTTGACACTTTCGAAAACATACCCGCATTGGTCAAGGACGTGCATGCATATGACCAGTTCTTCGACAAGAATGAAGATTATGTGCAACTCAGGGAGGACTTTGATGTTTGTCTGCTAATGGCTATCGCCAATTCAATCCAGTGGTTGGCGAAGCCACCAATATGTGTGTCGTTCTCGAGTATCCTTGTTATCATCTGGAGCTAAACGACAATAGAAAAGTTGATTCTCCGTGACACCGTTAGAATCGGCAGTAGGTTTTAGGAGATCGATACGCATGCAGATTGAGGATACTAAGGATGTAACAGGTCAGGTGCTTCTGCCGTCAGAACAGCAGCAACACCGACGACGACGACAAAAACAGAAAAACGAGAAGCCCAAGGTGACTGAGCCCATTATTCACCAAGGCCAGCTCACAAGTTTCATGGCCGTCGATGACGATCATCTTGCAGACATCTCACATATTCTTGAAAACAGCACCCGCTTCGACATGGACGAGGTGAGGCTAGCCTATACTGTAGCCAATAGCACAGATATAAGGGACTGGTTGTCCGCGACCAGAGGTATACTCTTCCTGAATGGCTCAGGTGACATGACAGCAGCTAGGGAGCCTCCCTTCTCAGCAGTACTCGCTTCGTTGGTATTCGGAATCAGTCAAAATCCTGAGGCTGTCGTGCTTCGTTTTCTCTGCGGTTTGCACTCTGAGCCTAATCAAGCCATCTCGGGAGCCAGTGGCCTGCTGCGAAGTTTGATCACACAGCTGTCATTCAAATACGATTTCAATCTAGGCTTCATCAACAGCGAATCCTATAGAGAGGGACTTCGAGAGCATGATCTGCAAACACTTTGTGAGACCTTTTCCGCTATGGTTTCTCAGCTTCCTACCGACAGCGAACTCTACTACGTCATTGATGGCATCTCGTGGCTCGAAACTCCACGTTGGCGAGAGGACCTTATTGCAGCGGTCGCTTATGTTTGTTACTTGTGTGTGGACCCTGTTGGTCAGACTCGTCTCAAAATTCTGATGTCGAGTCCCGCGAGAAGTCTACTGTTGACACAAGAGTTGAGAGAGTACGGCGAGCATATCAACGTGGTTGAGGTACATTCTTATCAAATTGATGAAACGTGATATGCCGACGAAAAGAGAGCTTATGGAGAGGACTCGTCGTCGATAAAACCTACGAGTTGTCAGTATCTTGCACAGGACAGGGCTCAAATCAGCGCCGCGATCTTGACACCGCTATATCACATTTTCCAACTCGAGTTGACGATATTGACTGTTCGTTTTCCTCAATTCAACCGGCTCCGATGCACTATCTTTTGTGCTCTGGATACCAGCTCCGATGCGGCCGCCACAACTGCCAGCGCAGGCGTTCGAAGTTGCAGAGGACTTGATGGGATCCAAGAGGTTGGTGGCCTCGGCTATATAGAGTATTGAGGTTTCGAAGCCCGGAGATAAGCCCTTAGCATCAAACTAGTGATACGTTCGCATCAGGTATCAAGAGATGGCAACACTCAGGATCTAAGCTCTTCCAAAAGCTGGTGGGATGACAACCCAGTCTGGCCCTTGCAACCGTTGCGTTTGTTGATGGCAATCACATTGGCTTAGCGCACCTCTTCTGCAATCTCAGGCATGCACTAGTCAACTCGACGATTCAATTCGCGCCTAGATTCATCACATACCTAACTCTACCCCTGGCGCTCTAGGCCAGTGAATTAATGAATGACCCCGTGACGATGGCTGCGATACGAAGACGGTCCCAGGAGCCTTCGGGGAACTCTGCTCGATGTCAACAGCGTGTATGGATCTGGTTACAACTCAACAGCGAGCATAGAGCAATATCCATGGACGCTAGTGAGTCGAAATTAGCAGCGACATTCTGCTTGCGCAAAGGTTTCTAGCGCCTAAATCTCTTACCTTTATGGTGTCGACATCCGATTCGCCAGCCTGAGTGACTGCATGCATGAAGCGTCCCGGGATCGTGGCTGGGTATCAGCTGATCTTCGACGCGCCTGGAAGATCCATCCATCTCTGGAGTTCCGAACTACAGGATACCCGCTGGCAGTTTGACACATCATGTCACACCCCATGAGCTACACCGTCGGCTGGATTTGTGCCATCGAAATTGAATATACTGCCGCTCAGACATTTCTCGACAACAAACACGATTCACCGGCCTCGTTGTCGCCCCATGATACCAATCACTACACTCTCGGTGATATCGTGGGGCATAACGTTGTGATGGCGGTCCTCCCGGACGGCGAGTATGGGACGAGTTCTGCTGCTATAGTCCTCGCCCATATGCTCGAAAGTTTCCCCAACATCCAGATTGGATTGATGGTCGGCATTGGTGGCGGTGCCCCTACTCAGAGGAATGACATTCGCCTTGGAGACGTTGTTGTGAGCTCGCCAAAGGATGGATCAGCTGGTGTCTATCGATACGATTATGGAAAGACAATCCAGGGAAGGGATTTTCTCCAAACAGGATTTCTGAACCAGCCATCACCTATCGTGCGTTCTGCTGTCACTGGCTTGAAGAGCAAATACAGACAGCGTGGCCATCGCATTGAGGAGACCATTGAATCGATCCTGGAGAAGTGGCCGAGATTAAGAGAAGACTTCTCTCGTCCTCCTCCAGAAAGCGATCGTCTCTACATCTCCAGCTTTGTACATAGCGGTAACGTTTCCTGTGATGGCCACTGTGCTTTCAGACTGGACAAGATCATCACACGCCCACGTCGACAAGTGAATCAGGATAACCCACGTGTTCATCATGGAATCATTGCTTCGGGCAATCAGTTGATGAAGGATGCCTTCATACGCGATCAGTATTCCGAGGAACAGAACATCTTATGCTTCGAGATGGAAGCAGCTGGAATCATGAACCAACTCCCATGTCTCGTCATACGAGGTATATGTGACTACAGTGATAGTCACAAGAGTGACAATTGGCAAGGATATGCAGCGATGGCAGCGGCAGCCTACACTAGAGACCTGCTGGGAGAGATGCACCGAACCCAAGTTGCTGGCCGTCGATCAGTAGTCTTAATTATGCTCACGCTTGTTATCATCCTGGCAAACTTGCTTGCTAGCCTACTGGAGTGGCTCGGAAGCATATTTGTCGCGACGATAGGGAAAGCTTTTGGCATCTGAGCTGGTAGAAATCTGTGGAACCAAATGAAGGAAAGACATCTTGCAACAAGAAAGACCACTGCTTGATAGACTCAGCATGAGAGCATCACCACAGGACTCTCCGTCTTGTGTCCCTTCTGGAGGCTTTATCAGGCGTCCGGTGGAAGCACATCTCATGGAACCCCGTATCTGTCGGTCCCGTTGTACTGAGATAGGCGGACGAGAGTAGCTTCGTCTCTCACTTGGTCGGGAGGGATGTTGGCATCAAATCCGGGACGAGAACAGGCTCTGCAGTCGTCATTATAGACGGCTGCGTCCTTGTCTCTAGCGACTGATAGCCTCAAGGGCTAACCAATCCGTTCGAATGATCGACATATGATCCTCGCCAATCTACTAAGCCCTTGCAACAGCACATGTAGCCTGCACGTGAGTGTCGCTTCCATAAACCTTCAGCGCACGGCTGTTTGGAATCATCTCTCTCCATGCGATCATACGGAGCCATGTCTTAGACCCTGTTTTGGAGGCCGTCTCCTTGTTACTAGTAGAGTTCTCGGAGCATAACCGGCTCGAAAACCTCAATTTAGCAATAAATATCTGGGATACTGCCACAACGCAGAAACGATTTGACAATTTCTCCATGCCCAGAACAGAAAATGCTCAAATGTAAAGCTTGAACTGTAGTGCATCGTTGCAGTGGGCTGATGCAATTATTGGGAATCAGAGGACCAACTTCACGTTTCACACTGACACATCTGCGTTAAGTGCCACTCGGTCGTCCGTGTTTCTCAGCTTCTTGTGATTCATTAGAGGATTTGTTGGTCAAACTCGCTGCAAGGCCCGTATCGCGTCAGCAACAAAGCGTGTACTAACAAATCGTCTCTTTCGGTCTGGGTCAAAGCCGGCGATCAGTCTGATGTCGGTTCCTCAAGGAACACTGAGCACTTTGATCAGTCAACCTCCGTCAGGGTCACCTAGACGGCTTTGCAATTGTTCCCTTAGAAGCTCATCAGCAGCCAACAAATCAGACTTGTTGCCATCATGTCTTCGGAACGTGCATAGCAACATGTATCAGAAACGTCCACCTACCAGAATATCGTAAGATCAGTAAACACTCAAATTCAGGAACGGTATGCCTATCCACCGAGCTGTAGCGATTTGACAAGAATGTCTGCATTACGGTTCCTGACTGTGATGTGCAAAATCCCACAGGTTTGCAAAAATATCGTGATTGTACTGCACCAAATGCTCTGCGCCTTTCAGCTTTCGAGTGGTGATTCTGCTTTTTTTGATCATGTCGTATGCTTTCGTAAATTACTGAAACGCCGGAGACTGCGCCAATGTCCACATGTTCTCCATCTTATATCTGCCCAGGACATCTTTGGCTTCACCATCCGTCTCGCAGGCCTTATATGGCATCCAGCGCTTGAATGCCCTCTGCTTCTCTTCACCCTCAAACACGAGCTGACACCTGTTGAAAGTATTGTCCTTGAGCTTGCCGTCATCGTCGAAGGCATTAAGCCATGCAGCATTGGCTTCTTGATTGCCTTCGCGCACATTTTGCGGCATAGCGTTCTCGGTCCATTTCACGCGGTTGAGCATAAGCTTTTTGTAAGCGTTGATACTATGAGTACCGCCCTCAACGATGACCAAGTTCATCTTGGGATGGAAGATGGTGATACCTGTCAAGGCTTGCTGTTCCGCGTTCTTGTTGATCTGGAAGCGGTGTTTGCCGTAGCTCAGATTGTCAATCTTGAACACGAGCACCCGCATACCCATTGTAGCATCTGCTTCTTGTTGTTGAGCCAATTTTTCGAGACGTTGCTCCTTTGTTAGTTGTCTTTCGGCATTGGCCGTCTCGTGATCATCGGCGCGCTGAGCGATTTCGCGGTTGACGCGAGCTTCGACAGCAGTGGGATCCTTGACAGCCTCATTACCCAATACACGCATAAGGTTTGATTTCTTGACCTTAGGCGGAGGTGGAGCTTTGAGACCAAGTCTGATCTTGGCCTGCTCTTCTTTGTGATCAGCCATACGACGTTGTCGTCGTACCTTCTTCTGCTCCTGCTTGGTGAGGTACATGGCCTTGGGAGCCGGTACATTTGCATCCTGAGGAGCCAAAAGCAGAACGGGATGTTGAACGTATCTTGTTATGACGTCCATGTTGATCTTATTCGGAGCTTCAAGGTTTTCGTAGTTGCCTCCAGTCACAAGACCTTCGTCCCACCATTCAATTTCTGGTGGAGCAGGGACTAAGAAGGACTTTTCCGTGGCTTCTTCGATTGCCTGTTTTCGTGCTTGTTCTTGCATCTCCTTGGCCATCTGTTCGATCCTCGCCTGCTGTCTCAAAGCTTCAGCCTGTGCCATGAACTTACCCTTCTGGTTGAAGAGCAGTTGCTTGGACTTGCGGTCCTTCTGTTTCTGCAACGAGGGATCGAAGAAAGGCTCATTCTGGGCAGCAGCCTTCTGATCATCGCCGGTCAGGTAGGGGTTGTGCTTTGCGGGATCGTCTTTTTGCTTCTTGTTGTTGGCAGACTTTGACGGACCACCTAACAGACTGGGATGGAGCCCGACATTTAGACCACCTCTTGCGCGTGCAGTAGTATCGTCTCGAACAGGAGGAGAAGGGGCGAGTCCAGGAGAATGAGCAGCGGGTCGTGTAGGAATATCTGTTTGGGGTTGTTGGTGTTGTTTCTGAGCAATCTTTGCTTTGATGGCAGCAAGTTGTGCCTGGATTTGGGCCTTTTTCGCATCCTCGGCGGATAGTGTGGTGGACGGAGACGCGGGCGTGGGTGCAGGAGAGGGTGATGAGGGCGCGGCGTTTCCTTGCAGACGTGCTTTCATAGCAGCAATACGTGCTTGCATATCGTTCGCAGAAGTTGACGGAGCGGCAGCGGCAGGTGTCGGAGCAGGTGTGGTATTAGCGGGTCCTCCTTTGTTTGCCATGCGAGCCTGCATAGCAGCGATGCGCTCGGCGACTTCGCGCCTTTTGCGCTCGACATCGTTGTCTGGCGCAGGTGATGCTTGTGCTGATCGGGGTCGTTTCGAATCATGGCCATCGTCCAGACCATTGCCGGGGAACGGGCGCTTTTCCGACATGTCGTAGAGCGGTGGTGCATAGAGACAGGCCAGGGACAGCGACGGCAAGCTCAAGGCAGAAGTTCAGATGCCAAGAAAGTCGAAGCCAGTCGGAGTCTAGAAAGAGTGACGACGGATATGGAAAGAGCGACCAGCTTTGGAGGACGGGATTTGCCGTTGCAGGGCCGACGTTGGTTCCTTCCCCGGATCGAAAAGTTGCTGCCAGCCGGGAAACTTTTTTGTTGCTAGCCACCGTCGTCTTCTGCGGCCGACGACGATTTTGTGTTGCTTCAAGCTGTGAACCGCTGCTTGCTAGCTTCCATATCGCCACCATGAACATCTCACAACCTGTATCGTCGCAGATTGGCGGCGTCGAGTTCGCCTTTCTGCCGTCCGAAGAGATTCGCGCCTTGTCCGTCAAGCGCATCACCAACCCTACCACATTCGATACTCTTTTGAACCCCGTGCCTGGCGGTCTCTACGATGCTGCCCTCGGAAACTTCGGCGACAACTCGTGAGTTGGCTCTCTGCTTTGGCTTCGACCTGAGCAGCTAAGCTAACCCACTCTCTGTAGATGTACCACTTGCAACCTCAAGTTCGGCTGCCCTGGCCACTGCGGTCACGTCGAACTTCCTGTCCATGTCTACAACCCTACCTTCATGGACCAATGCTTGCGTCTCCTGCGCGCAAAATGCATCTATTGTCACAAGCTCAAGATGTCTCGCGCCGAGGTCAATCGCTTTGTCTGCAAGCTCACCCTTGTCAAGTACGGCCTGCTGAAGGAGTGCTACGATGTCGATGAAATCACCCTCTCCACTTCCGATTCGACCACCAAGCCTGGCAAGGATGATTCCGACGACGAACAGGACGAGGACACCAAGGGCATCATTGCTCGTAGAAATGCTTTCGTCAAGAATGCTCTCAAGCAAGCTGGTTTCAGCAAGAAGCGCAACGACTGGGCTGACACCAAGATCGAAGCCGTCGCAAACGAAAGACGCGCCATCGTCAAGGAGTTCCTTTATTCCATCACAAAGAGCAAGAAGTGTAATAACTGCATGGGTATCTCACCAACCTACAGAAAGGATCGTTTTGTCAAGATTTTCAGAAAGCCTCTGTCTGAGAAGGACAGAATTGCCATGGTTCAGGGCGGCTTCAAGGCTCAAGATCCTCTGCTTTTGATGAAGAAGAAGCGCGAGGCTCAAGCTAAGAAGCAAGGTCTTGCTCAAGACGAGGCTGTCGCAGATCTAGAGGACTCGCCCGCAGAGTCAGAAGGAGAAGGGGACGACATCTCGATGCTCGACATCGAGCAAGAGGTCGCAGGTGGAAACGCTCTGGAGTCCGAGACGACGAGCGCACCCTCAAAAGCCGACAAGGACGAAAAGCAGAGCTACTTGAACGCAGGACAAGTACATGCTCATCTCGTCCAACTCTTCGAGCAAGACGCAGAAGTACTGGGCATGATTTATACTCCCCGGTCCAAGGGTCGTAGAGGCGCTCCCCTCAGCGCTGAGATGTTCTTCATCAAGGACTTGATCGTTCCTCCCAACAGATTCAGACCCGAGGCTAGAACTGGCGCCGATGAAATTGCTGAAGCCCAGGAGAACTCTCTTTACAAGAACATCATCAACGTTTGCGATCAGATGACCCAGATTCACAAGGAACTTAACGGTACCATTCAGAACGAATACACCAGACGACCAAGGAACTACGCCGACTTCCAAGACGCCTGGATTCGCCTCCAAGATGGCGTCAACTCCCTACTGGATCGCGACCGTAACCCTGTGCAAGGAGGTGCTGGAAAAAGAAACGAAGACGGTATCAAGCAGCGTCTGGAAAAGAAGGAAGGTCTGTTCAGAAAGAACATGATGGGAAAGCGTGTCAACTTTGCTGCCCGTACCGTCATCTCTCCCGACCCCAACATCGAAACCAATGAGATCGGTGTCCCGCCGGTGTTTGCTCTCAAGCTTACATACCCCGAGCCCGTCAACGATCACAACTACAATGACCTCAGACAAGCCGTCATTAACGGTCCCTACGTCTGGCCTGGTGCTGTCGCCATTGAGAATGAGAATGGCCAAGTCATCAACTTGCAGATCAAGAACGCCGAAGAGCGTACTGCTCTGGCCAACCAACTTCAGGCTCCCTCAAGCACCAACGTCAGTGGTGTGAAGACCAAGAAGGTTCACCGCCATCTGAACAATGGTGATATTGTCATCATGAACAGACAGCCTACTCTTCACAAGCCTTCTATGATGTGTCACAGAGCTCGCGTTCTGCCTGGAGAAAAGACTCTTCGTATGCACTACGCCAACTGTAACACCTACAACGCCGATTTCGATGGTGACGAGATGAATCTGCATTTCCCTCAAAACGAGCTTGCCAGGTCAGAGGCCATCAGCATTGCTGACAACGACCACCAATACCTCTCTGGAACTGCTGGTAAACCTCTTCGTGGTTTGATTCAGGATCACATTTCGATGGGTGTCTGGTTGACCAATCGTGACACTTTCTTCAGTCGTGAAGATTACCACCAGTTGCTTTACGCAGGTCTGAGACCTGAGAACAACCACACCACCTCGGGACGTGTCGAAACTGTGCCACCTGCCATCAGAAAGCCCCGCCCGCTCTGGACCGGTAAGCAGGTCGTGTCATCGGTTTTGAAGAACTTGACCCCTGAGGATTTCCCTGGTCTTACCATGACTTCAAAGTCTTCCACTGCCTTCAAGCAGTGGGGTCCCAATTCTGAAGAGCAGGCCGTCATCTTCAAGGATGGTGAGCTGCTGTGTGGTATCTTGGACAAAGCACAAATCGGTCCTAGCGGAGGCGGTCTTGTCAACGCTATCTACGAAACTTACGGACACACTATTGCTGGAAAACTGATGAGTGTGCTTGGTCGTCTCTTGACGAAGATGCTCCACATGCGCGCATTCTCATGTGGTGTTGAAGATCTGATCTTCACCCCCGAGGGCGAGAGTATGAGAAGGGAAGCGCTCAGCAAGTCACAAGCCGCTGGTCTTGGCGTTGCCGTCAAGTACGTCTCTCTGCAGACTGAAACACCCGACACCAACGATCCAGAGCTTCGCAGACGTCTCGAACAAGTTCTTCGCGACGATAGCAAGCAAGCTGGTCTCGATGCTGTCATGAGTGCTGCCAACTCTGAAGTGTCCGGTAACGTGACAAACACTTGCTTGCCCGCAGCCTTGGTCAAACCATTCCCCAAGAACCAAATGCAAGCTATGACTGGTTCCGGAGCCAAGGGTTCCGGTGTCAACGCCAACCAGATTTCTTGCAACCTTGGACAACAAGTTCTGGAAGGCCGCAGAGTCCCCGTCATGGTCAGTGGTAAGACTTTGCCTTGCTTCAAGCCTTTCGAGACAAGTGTCAGAGCCGGTGGATACATTGTTGATCGTTTCTTGACTGGTGTAAGACCTCAAGAATATTACTTCCACGCTATGGCTGGAAGAGAAGGTCTGATTGATACCGCTGTCAAGACATCCAGATCCGGTTATCTGCAAAGATGTTTGATCAAGGGTATGGAGGGTCTCAAGTCCGAGTACGACACAACCGTCCGTGACGCTGATGGATCCATCATTCAATTCATTTATGGCGAGGATGGTCTCGATGTCGGCAAGGCCAAGTATCTGTCCGACTTCAAGTTCATTGCCGAGAACCACATGTCCATGTTTCACAACCTTGGCATTAAGTCGGAGTTCGGTCGTATCATGAGCACCGAAGCTGCCGAGTACAACAAGAACGCCGAGAAGAAGTACAGAAAGACTGGTGACCTCGCAGCTAGCGACCCGGCCTTGTCTATCTACTCACCTGCCCGCTTCGCTGGTAGCACATCTGAGAAGCTCATGCGTGGCGCAAAGAAGTACATTGATGAGAACCCCGACAAGCTTATCAAGGACAAGAAGCGCAACATCGAGGGTGTGTCAGGACTGACCAAAAAGAGTCTCCAGGCCATCATTGATGTTAGATACCTCAAGTCGATTGTCGAACCTGGTGAGGCTGTCGGTGTCGTTGCTGGACAGTCAGTTGGTGAGCCCTCAACACAGATGACGCTCAACACCTTCCATTTGGCTGGTCACTCTGCCAAGAACGTCACATTGGGTATCCCCCGTCTTCGTGAAATTGTCATGACTGCCAGTGCTACCATCTCCACACCCAGCATGACTCTGCATCTCAACCCCGAGGTCACCAAAGATCAGGCTCAGCAGTTTGCCAAGGGTATCAGCAGACTCAGTCTCGCCGAGGTCCTTGACAAGGTCACTGTCACCGAGAAGATTGGAAGAGGTGTTGCTTACGAGCAAGCCAAATCCTACACAGTTCGCCTGCAATTGTTCCCCTCTGATGAGTACACCAAGGAGTACGCTATCACTGTCGAGGACGTCGCTCGCACCATTGAGACCAAGTTCTTGCCCAGACTTCAGGCTGTTGTGCGCAAGGAGCTCAAGAAGAAGGGTGACCAGAAGACACTCAAGAAGTCCGACGCCATGCCTGAGATTGGTGCATCCGCCGGTACCATCGAGCAAGAGTCTGGCCGTCCTGAGGGTGAACGTGAGGGTGGAGACGATGACTCTGACGACGAAGGCGATGACGATGCCACCCGCGACAAGGCCAAGTCGAACAAAGCACAAGGTGGCTATGATGCTCCCGACGATGACGAGGAAGCAATCGTTGCTCGCGGTCGTCGCGAGACTACACCAGAGGATCAAGAAGATGAAGGCTTTGTTGGCAGCCCCAACACTTCTGACGACTCTGATTCCGACATGGAGGACTCGGGAGCCAGCGTCAAGAAGGTTGCTTACAACTCGAGGGAGCGCGAAGAGCGTATCAAGGGTAACAAGTACACCAACGACGTTTCTGCATTCAAGTTCGACGACAAGACTGGCGCATCATGCACCTTCACAATCGAATACGCTGCAGAGACCGCCAAACTTCTCATGCTCAACTTGGTTGAGAACTGCACCAGAGACGCCTTGATTCAGTCTATTCCCGGCCTTGGCGCCTGCCACCTGGAAGTGGAGAAGAACTTTGTCGATTCTAACACCGGCAAAGAGAGCGACGTCGACGTGATCTCGACGGATGGTGAGAACCTTATGGCTATGCGTAATCACCAGGGCGTGCTCAACCCCAACCGTTTCTTCACCAACGACATTGCCGCTATGCTCCGTCTGTACGGTGTAGAGGCTTGTCGTGCGTCTATCGTGCGCGAGGTTTCTGCTGTCTTCGGTGGTCACGGTATCAGTGTCGACCAGCGTCACTTGAACCTCATCGCCGACTACATGACCCGTGGTGGCGGCTACCAAGCTTTCTCTCGTCAAGGTATCAAGGGCAACACCTCGCCATTCATGAAGATGAGTTTCGAAACCACTGTCGGCTTCCTTCGCGACGCTGTGATGGAGGAAGACTTTGACGACTTGAGCGGTCCCTCCGGACGTATTGTCGTCGGCAAGATTGGAAGAATTGGTACTGGTGGCTTCGACGTCATGATGCCTGTGCTTCAGGTCTCAAGTCCTGCTCACGAAGATGCCGAGGAGAACGGGGATGTCATGGCTGTTGACCAAAGCAGCGAGAGTGAGGAGGAGAGCGACGACGAGTAGATGTGTTTTCACAAAAGCTAGAATCTGATCGGGTTGTGTTTTGGGGTCTTTGGTTTGCATGTGGGATGTTATTAGCCATGGTGTTTCTTGATTGTCTATTAGAATAGGCATTTGTATTCATTCTTTTCACTTGATCAATTTTTCTTCTCATGATGAGTGCCGGATGCTGTATACCGCTGCACCTCGTGGCTGACGGCATGGCGCTCATACGAGTCGTGCTACCGAAGAGCTAGCCTGCAAGTGTAGGTATAGGCGAAAGCAGGCGCTGCTTTCTGCCCAAGTCAGCCATGAGCCTGAATCCAACCAACCAAATGCGAGTGCGAGAACCCCTAGTATACCACAATCGGATTCAGGAGTAGCCATCGCAGTGAACATGTGGTTAGCGTTGGTGGTGCACTTGTCTACGCACGTAAAAGGCAATTTCCACCCTTTGGGACGCTTATGTAGGAACCAGGCGGCGTTGAAGCATGTTGGACGCCTTTAGCAAGAACCTTGTTTTTAACTTAAGCTTACCTTGTCTGCTTATCGAAAGTTTTTTGTGAGGGATATAGACAGGAGTGTCTCACGGCCAAGGGTCCAGCAGTTGCCCTCGCAGCGTTTCATAGTGCGACTTGTCTCAACGAGGACTACAAACATGAACGTCAATTCCGGACTCCAACAACAACATGAAGAGACTGCAATGAATATGGCTTCTAGAATTGATGCTAGAAATGTCGCCTACCACGCTACGTCGGCCCAAGTGTTGAAAATCTCCCGCACCGCAGATCCTGCAGAGCCGTTGCGGCTAGCTTGGTGGTTGGCATGTTCAACCACAGCTCGTCACGGATCCAACCTCACATTGCTACTCACCCCGAATACTGTACTATGCTGGTCCCGTGCTATGCCGATGCTTAGTCTCTTGTCTGCTAGCATGGACTGAACTCTTTGCAAGTGCCGGACGTCCGCACCGTGGATCGCACCGATGTCCGTCGTGTTCGACTCGAGGACCACACGATGCTTCTTTTCGTAGCCTCTTGCGTAGACGCCAGCCTCTCCCGCTGCACCGCAAGGACCACTGCGTTCTCGTATCAACAATCAGACCGACGAGGTCGTTTGCAGCACACAGTCCTAGGAGTCGAGCAATAGCCTGGACTACCTCGCCTGTTGAACCTCTGCGTGTACAGTTGCAGCACATCCTTCCGCTGCTTACGGCCGAGGTGATAGAAAGAGCTTGGAACATATACCGACGACATGGCCGCGGGAAACCAGTGCCATCCGCTGCTCGGACCTTCTATCTCCTTGCCCTCTGGAGTCAGTCTTGCTTTTTCACCTCGGCGTGGTAGGTCATTTCTCTGGTATTGCACGCTCAGTAGGTTTCCCTCATGCATGTCTAGCGCACATGAGTTCAATAGTTTGTGCAAGCAGGAGAGCCGTGCGTTGTTGACTCCATCTATACCGGCTAAACTTCACTGTATGGTGACAGTCATACCACCGCACTCACCAGTTTGCGATCAAGCGATGTCATACAATGACGCGAGATGAACACGCCGTTTGTCTCCTGGTTCCCCAAGAGCAAAGAGACTAGCCCCCAACTTTCGCTAATGCCACGCTTAGACTCCTCACTGCTGACAATTATACACGATCTTGGTATGGGCTCTGTAGTCAAGGGATCGAGGTCTCAAGACAGCCATCATGGAACTCCTGTGACCGAGAAGCCATAAAAGCCACTGGTGCCTTCATAACTAGTACTCGACCACCTCCAGCTTCATTCGTTTCAGCATCTAGGAAGTCTTTACCACGATGCGTCTTACACTCGCTATTCAAGGCTTTGCCGCCCTGGCGGTGGCCATGCCCGCCGCTCGTCCTCAGGAGATCGACGTCAACCTGGTCCTCAATGCTCCCGAACCAGTGATCTACGACCCTGCTGTCGGAGCCACAGCTCAAGTTGTGTCTTACGACTTCACCTCTCTCGTTGCCCAGGCCACTGCTCCTGCCACTTCGGTCACCAGTGATGTCGCTGCCACTGCTACCGCGATCGAGAAGAGAGGAGCTGCTTGCACCTCTCTCGCCCCTGGAGCAACTGGAGCTCCTGCTTATTCGCCTGATACCCCTGCTGCTTTTGCATCCAACTCGGACTTTGCTTCTATTGCTTCCAACGCTCCCGTCCCCAGTGGATACACTAACACCTTTTCCAACATTAATGCTTCCAGCAGGTATGTCTGAATTTGGTTTCATGGTTGGGCAAGAAACTGACCATGTCTCAGCGCCTACGGCTATCTTGTAAGACTTGCACTACGCTATAACATATGATGTTATCACATTTTGGAAATTACTAAACGATGGAAGGGTTTCACCACCATCAGCACTTTCGACACCACCAAGTGTGCTGCTAAGTGCAGTAAGTTAGAATCGTAGATCATCGATCGACGACCTTGCTGATCATCCTGTCTTAGATGCTATTTACGGATGCCTCTCTTTCAACCTCTACTTCGAGAGAGTGAGTACACAACAAGATCTGATTGCCGCGGATGGTATCGGGCTCTGCCCAGCCAAGCCGTATTAGACTCAGTCTTGCGAAAATGTGCTGACCGTGATATCCTCCAGGATCCCAGCGTCGACCCTGGCTCCGGAGCATCTGGATGCGAGAACCCCGCTAGCGTGACATACATCAAGGTACAACTGATCCTTGCATCTCTCTTATACTCTAAGAAGCCACACTAACCCTTCAAAGTGTGTGTTCTGGGGTGGCCCTGTCACCAAATCTAACGCCAACAACTACGGGTGAGTCTTATCATCTTGCTGAATCGACATTTTCTAACACAAAGTTTAGACAGTACCGCAACCAGTTCCAGGTATTGATTGCTGGCTCAAACGGCTATCAGAACAACACTCTGGCTGCTCCTGCCGGGTACTCTGATGCCATCTACTACGGTACTCGTGCTATTGACGCACCTCTTGATGCTCAGGGCTACAGCACTTTCATCACCAGCAAGATTTTTACTGGTCCATTTGACGCTCGTCTCTGTGCCGCAGCCTGCGATGCTCAGACCCAGTACGCCGTTAACAACCCCTCTGCCGATGGAACTCCTGCCAAGCAGTGCAACTTCTTCAACACTTACATCATCAACTTGAACGACAACAAGCACCCTCAGGGTCAGTACTGTACTCTGTATACTGAGGCTTGGTCTTCCAAATACGCCACCAACTCTGGCTCGTCCACTTCTGGTGGCAAGCTTATCATCGAGTACAGCTACGGCTATGTTAGCAAGTCTGGCACTGGCATCGACCCCACAAAGGGTGACAAGACTGGTGCTATCTACCAGGCTTCTGGCGAGATGAAGTCTGACCCTGCTCAGCTCAGCTCGGTCTTCCAGCCCTTCTGCTCTTCGTACCTTGGTTACTCTGCTGTTTCCACCGTCACTATCACCGCAACCACGACCGTTTCTCCCGTGGCTACCTCAACCGCATACGCCACCTCGACTGCGCCCGCTATGCGCAAGCGCGATGATGGAGACGAGTCTCAGTATTTCCCTGGTCTGACCACCAACTCGACCAACGCTATCCCTGCCGTCTACGACTCCAATAAGAATGTCACTTGGTACCTTCCCGTCGAGTCCGTTGCTTCCGGGGAGGCTGCTGCAAGCTCCACTGCTGCCCCTGCCAAGCGTGATATCTCTACTCCTTCTGTCCTGACCAAGTACCCTGCTACAGTCATCTCTTCTGCCTGCTCTATGCAGGTCAGCCAGAACACCATCGCCTCGACTGTGACTGTCAACGAGACCACCACTCTTGCCACTTCGACCACAATCACCACCATCGTGTCTGTTGTCACCGCCAGTGCCACGTCGACCTCTTCCGCTGCTAAGGCTTCGGCTACTTCCACTGCACCCATCGCTCTCCGTATTTCGTCCTCTGGCACCAGTGCCGACGGTCAAGAGCTCGAGTTCGACTCCTCGACCGCTTCTTCGGGCTACTCAAACGTCTACGTCGACTACTACACCTACAGCACTTTCCTTCACGGCTCAGCCATCACCCCCGGCTTCTTCCTCGACCCCAAGACTGGATACCTCACCGATAAGAAGTACGGCTACATCATGGCTGTCTACAACTCCTTCTTCCCCGGTACTGGCTTTGCTTACACCGTCATGTTCCTGCCTGCCAACAGAGTCAAGGCCAACGGATATATTCCTGTTGTCTGCAGTGGTTCTTCGGTGTTGAAGTGCTCGGCTAAAAACTCTTGGGGTGCAGTGTTGGAGAATGTGGTTGTTCATCCTCAGGTTGCGATCACTGGAGAGCTTTACTGGTCGCTCAGACTTGCGGATGATAACTACATCCCTCTGCTTGGCGATGCTGCTGCCCAGATTGGATTCCAATAAATGGGATCTAAGCCAAGTGCATCTTGAGCTGGATCGAATGGCTCTTTCTGCTTTGGCACGGTGCAATTCAAAGTTTTCGTTCTTGGCAGTGTCGATCTCAACGGGGTTGCTCTTTCCTGTATAAACTTCTTTGACTATGGTCGTGGGGTTTGTTCCTTCTGCGAGAGGCCTGTGCTTTCTATAATGTCTACATATCACAATGTGTTTATAATTCTTGCGTGCTCTTACTCATTCGTTGTATTCTCTTTTATCTAGACCTTTTCTATCCGGTGCCGACCTACGTTCCATATCCTTCCACGAAAAGTAAGCACTAATCTTGATCAAACGAGCAGCAATGAATCATCAATCGACTACATGCGAATTTGAAGATGATCTTGAGACATATCCAACCGCCGATCTAAGCATTTCAGCAGATGGAGAGCTGATTCGGGAACCTCCTCGAAGGCTTCTGCGGCAGTTGCCCTTTGGTGGGCGATTGTAAGCAAGATCAAAAGGTATATTTGTGTCGCAGAACTCAATGTAGCTTGAATCCGGTATGGCTCATATTGGTAGATCATGTGTTGATATGGTCATTTGTTGTAATGGTAACGACTTCTGAACAGTAAAGGACTGGTACGGGATGCTACTGATAGGCATCGAGAAGGAATCGCTGGCTCCTCAACTCCCGAATTCTTCGTCCAGGAGTTCGCAGTAATCTGCTTCAATCTCTCTCAGCAAGCGCCAAATAGAAGCCCTCTCTGCCGCTAGATCTCGACTTGATGCCTCAGCTGCCTCGTAGAGTGCTTTGCCCTCGGAGTTTGTCGCAATCACCGTGTCCCAGCTCCCGGCTTCTTCTTTTACTCGATGCTCGTATTCTTCGTCAGACTTGATGCATGAGACATACGCTATCAAAGCGTCATGGAATGCAGAGACTTTTACACTTTAGGTCAGTCCTGATGGCTATGCTGGAATAACTCGACGCCAAACATACATTGTTCATTGGTTTCCTCACACGGTCTCTCGACTCCAGTATCGAGGCATTGGAGCGCGTAGCGTGCCAATGCGACCATTTTTTCCTCTTCTCGGTGGAGCCTCGCTCTAATTTGATCTCGTTCTTGCCCGAGTCTTGTGTGTTCCTGCGATAGGTCTCTCACTTTTTCTCTGTGTTGCTCCAGGGCAGTTCTGTACTGGTCCATCATGTCGAGTTGCTCGAGCTGCGATTCCAAACTTTGGCTCTTGTCGGAGAGTCGTTGGAGAGACCCCATGTGCCTTATGGTGGGCTTGTATAGGTAACTCAAATCTGTGAGATCTGGAAGCATCAGTACTTTGCGCGATGTTGTACGTGCCTGGACGAGCATACCGTCACCTGGTCCCGGAGATCCTTTAGATCGCAAAGGCAAATTTGTCTCCATGAGATGCTTTGTTGTAAGCACTTCGATACCGTTCGTAGATCTTAAAGAGATGTTGCGAGAGGAGTCTGCGTTTGTTTTGTTTTGTTATGTTATCCATGCCAGGTCCGGGTCAGCATGAGTGAACCGCAAGCGCCTATCAAAACACCCATTTACTGATCATTACAATCATTGCATGTAGTATGACGACGCTCTCCACCTGTAGATCTATCCCTGATGTCTCAGCTACCGCAGAAAGCTTTTTGGCTTCCCCAAAGTCTGTCGCGACCTCTGTTGCCCACTTGGCTGTTTCCTTCTCCTTCGCCATCTTTTTTCCGACCGTCTGATCACGCTCGGGCAGTTGGTCATCACATCTCATCGAACTCTTACAGATGTCGTCTTGTATCCTGGTCAGCTTGGACTCCTGTGTTTTGAATGACTCATAATTGCACACACTCTGTGTCTCCGTTCGCGTTTGAGATCTAGTGACAGCGCGTGTGGCGGATCTCTTCTTGGGAGCAATGCTCATGAATTCCAACAGCTCTCCTACGTGTTCGTATGCAGACTTCCTCGGTATACCCCTTTCTCTGTCCAAGTCTTCCGCGATTGCTCTCATCACATCCTTCAGCTTGTCTATGAGCTGTGTAGAAGGATGAGTGAGCTCCTGCTTCTTTTTTTCGTGTGGTTGTAAGGCTGCTCGGTATGCCTCTATCATCTTGATTTCGTCGTATCGTTGCCGTAGAGGTCTCAATCCAGCTTTGAGCTGTAGGAGCGCCTCGTCGGCTTCGTCGAATGGGGGGGTTAGGCGTATTAGTTCCAAATCTGGGAAATGTCAGTCGATGGTTCGTTTATTGGTAGATGTGCTTGTATGATTGTACCTGGGCTTGGATCTGTGGACCCTTTAGATCGCAGTGGCAGACTATGCTCCATGAGATCGTTGGCAGTGGATGTCACAGAGCTGGTTGTAGAAAGTGAAAATGTAATGTCTAACAGATGAAGTGCACGAAGGGGCCTGCATCTGTTATTTAAATGGATTGCATGGTTTTTTCTCGGGTCAAATCGAGCAGTAAGCGCCGATCAAAACATAGGTATGCATGACAACAAACACGATTGGTGATGCTGCATGCTTTGACTGTCTGCAGGGACTTGAATTATGTCTGCATACACTTGGGCTAGATCCTTGACATACTCTATTGACATCACTTTGTTACGTCACACTTTGCACTGCAAAGACGTCGTCCAGCAGAAAGCTGATTGCGAAGATCGAGGATACGCCGATGTCTCAAGACTCTCAACGATAACGATTGTGATTTTACCCCTGGGCGATGGAGAAGCTCTCTTCGCCGTCACATCTACCTCTACCATCCTAACTGCCTCGGAAAGAGCCTATGGCTATTTGAACGTCTTCGTGATCGTTGATTCCCGTCTAGCTGTTTGATTGAGTTTTGAGGCAAGCACGCCCTGAGGTGTTCTGGACGACTCTTACACAGCCCTTTGTGTCTGTCATCAGCCAAGTCTAGTCCACTTGCTCATTCTTGAAACGAGCCTCTGCACCTATCTTGTGGACAATAGTAAGAACGCGCGGAAGTGAATACAGACTTCGGAGACTCGACTAAAGATGGTGTATGTGGTATACTCCTGGTGACGGAAGCTATTCAACGTAATCTGTTACATATCTCCCTGATCGCAACGATGCCCTTATCCAATTCTCCGCGGGACCTTGCATCGTGCTTGTCGATCAACAGCTTGAGGGATGCTGTTTCCGCCACCACATCGACCCCTGATGCCTCGGCTGCCTCAGAAAGTGCTTTCGCATCTCTCAAGTTTGTCGCAATCTCTACGGCCCATCTGGCTTGTTCTTCCTCCATGCTCTGTCGGTTCGCGGTATCGTCATGTCGGAGTCTGTCCATAGATCGCTTCCATATCTTCAAGGCTTCATCTGTATATCTGGTCAGCCTAGATTCCCACATGTAGGAAGATGGATTCTGCATACCTTGTTCTGCTTTGCTCTGGACTCGTGGTTGGGACCTTGTAACGGAACGTGTCATGATCTTCCTCTGGGGCACGATTCCCATCGGATGACCCCATTGTGCAACTACATTTTCTTTATACCACTCTGTCTCCATTCTCATTTGTTTTTTGAGCTGTGTAGAAGACCGATTCATCTTCTCCTCTTGTTCCTCGCGTTTCTGGAGGGCTGTTCGGTAAGTCTGTATCAACTCGAGTTCGTCTCTCCGTGAAATCAAACTTTGATGATTCCCTTCGAGCTTCTCTGGGAATAATCTCATATAAAGAAGGTTATCCCACAGTGCCTCTTGGCTCCGATTGGGTGTGCTGGTTGGCTCAATCATCTCCATACTGGCCGGACGGGTGGGTGGCGTCGAGTTCAAGTCTGAAAAGTGTTAGTTGGTGGTTTGTTCATCGAGATACGTACTTGAACAGCCATACCTGAGCCTGGTTCCATGACCTTTGTAGATGAGAAGGAAGGGACTTCTCGTCGGAAAGTCTCTGTTCGGCACGTGGACCTGAAAGAGGAAGAAGTCACTGCAAGAAGTTCATGAGGGTCTGCGTCTGTTCTGACGTGATGTCGCTGGAAGCGCCCAAGGTTTTCTAGGGATGCACGATTTCAAACACGGGCAGAGTACAAACAGCATTCGTCATATTGTTTGGTAGCACAAAATATTGATATATGCGGCTACTGCGCGGCACAGACGCAGCAGATGCAACGACGCCGCATGCTTGAAGCAACCACCTAGCAGCCTCCTGCATGGACATGGATCATATCTTCCATTTGAGGCATTCTGTTTCAAGTTGGTTAAATCATCCAAGAAGACGGCAGAGAAAAGTGATCGGAAATCAACTGATCACAAACATGAAATTTGTTTGTTGTGCTTCTGACATCCTGAATGTTGTTCTTGGTAGCACTTGCAGCATCATGCAGAGTCGTAGGCCGTGCCTGGCTTCCAAGTGGTCGCTACAGTGCATAGATAGCCTACGAAAAAGGAAGGAATCGTGGCAAGTGAACGCTTGCATTAATCAGCAGGAATCTCAACTGTGATCGCACCTGACACTGGGCCGGAAAATACAAAACAGACGTGATCTCCTTCTGCATGCTTCTTGCAAGCAATTTCTCCAATCTTCTGTGAGCGGATTGAGATAGATTGTACCTACGTCTGCCGTGTGCCATTTCACGGAAACATATCAACGACTCAATCAACCATGACTACGACCAGAAGTGAGGTCCACTGAACGCATGCATACACATGGATTAATGCAGAACTGACATCGCCTAGATCATCCCAAGGATTCCCTGCCAAAAGATTCTCCGAGAAGATCATCAAGAATCAAGACTGAAGGACCTCGCTACACGAAAAGGGTGCACAACAGCGCTCGAAGCCCACAAAGAGAAGAGAGTCACTCCCCTCTCCACCGATGGAAAGACGAAGAAAACGCCAAAGTCCTCAAAGTTGAGCAAGAAAAAACCCGGGTCGGAGACCTCGAGACGTTAGTATCAGCATCATCTTGCTCGAGTCAGTGAGCAAAACACTGATAACATTCTACAGCCAAAGGCACTCCACTTACAAGCCACATAGACTGTCAGGGTCATCCAGCCGAGGATTTTTCCCACCTTTACAACGAGTTACAAGATCTGAAAAGACGATACCCGCGGTGGGGCAAGGAACATGCTGAGCTGTATTTCGGGGCAGTACGTGGTATCCCCACTTTCTTGGACCAGAGACGCAGCGACGCCTTGATGCAAGACGCATTGCTCAGATTAGACTCCATCGCTGGCTCGAAGAAAGATGTCCAGATGTTCATAGCTCATTGGAAGGCTGCCGCACCACTCGCACAGCGTCTCACATCCCAGAGACAGTTTGACTTACATTATTATCTCACGTTGCCTGTGGGCAGAGCATAGGGAGATGGCATGAGCTTGGGGAAGCATATCTGGATGTGACGGTCAGCATCATAACGTGTGTCGCGTACCGTAGGATGGATGGCAGTTACAGATGTTGGCGCAGAGCAGAGGCCCTAAGGCAAAGGTAGATGGAAGTCATCAAAGGCTTCCTCCAACGCAATTTACTTACGTCCTCTGAGTTGTGCAAGAAACCAATTGAGCCTCTTCGCCGCGTGCCTGTGAGGTTGCTTCACGCTTACTATCGCGAGAGGTCCGACGAACAGACTTGCGTCTGTTTGTTGTGATAACGATGTCGTCCTCGGATCAAGATCGACCCGAAAGTGCTTATCAGAACATGCGAATGCAAGATGCGAAACACAGACAGCACTTGTCATGTCGTCGGGTAGCACAACAGATGTAACCATATGCATAAAGAAATCCCAAAGGCCGAAGAGGACCGATGAACAGGCGCTTGGGGAATAAAGCTTGGACTTGCACTCATGAACACTCGCATTCCCCAAAGATGGACAACGGTCAGAATATTGAAGCCATAATGAGGTTGCAAAGGAAATGGCGAGGATCATGATCAGAATCAAGAAAAATCGTATGTTTTGCTTTTTTGCGATCTGCCAACTAGCTTACAAGAAGACATCGAAGAGCTTTTATCCGCATCTCCTCTACTTATATTGCTCCAGTCGTGCCTTCATTTTGACATGGTATCGGGGGGGAAATCATATGCAGCCTGCTTAAGACTGTTCTCTGCCAACCACTTAGGCAGCCTCTTCAGTGATGAGCTTAGTAACCTTGCCAATGGCAATGGTCTGACCCTGGTCACGGAGAGTGAATCTACCCAGAGTAGGGTACTCGGCAAAGGTCTCGATACAGACGCCAGCGCCGTTGTTGCTGGTGACCTTCAGACGAGCGATGATGCTCATGCCCTTAGTGGCGAAGCCAGGAGCCTTCTTTGACTTTCTGCCTGTGCCCTTTTCGAGCTTGTGCAGAAGAGCGTCGAAGGTGACTTCTTCGGTGGCGGCGTGAACTGTGAGGTGATTGTTAGTAAGCATGTTAGAGTCCGAGTGGAGTGCAAACACTTACCGTGCATGACACAGTTGAAACCGGCTGAGAGAATGGACTTGATGTCGAGAAGGACAATCTGTGCTTCGAAAGTAGAGACACAGTTGACAGGGCGGCGAGGCGAGCACAGCACGAAACCGGGCATGATGTCTTCTTCTTCGATACCCTTGATACGCAGACGAATCTGATCACCGCAGGTGGCGTTGGGGATCTCGTCTTCAGTCTCGCCGAAGAGCGCCGAAATGGAGATTTCGACGCGGTTGGGCATCATCAGGTACTTGATATCCTTCTTGATAACACCAGACTCAATCTTGCCCTCGATCATGGTACCCAGATCACGGTACTTGGCAGCGACGGGCATCAAGAATGGAGCGTTTAGCTTGCGCTCCAGAGCTTGCATGCTGTCGAGGTAACCGAGAAGCGAAGGAGCGGTGTTCCAGGGGCAGACATCCTTTGGTACGGGGTCCTTGATACCGAGAGTGGTTTGAGCAGAGATGGGCATGAACATAAGGTCGGTCTTGGGGTTGTAACCGACACCCTTGAGGAACTGAGCGAGCTTGCCGGTACATTCCTTGTAACGCTCCTCACTCCACTCGACAGTGGCGTCGTCCATCTTGTTAACGGCAACGATGAGCTTGTTGACACCCTGAGTCTTGGCCAAGACGGCGTGCTCACGGGTCTGACCACCCTTTTCGAAACCAGTCTCGTACTCACCCTTTCTGGCAGAAATGACGAGAACACCAACATCGGCCTGCGAGGCACCACCGATCATGTTGGGCACAAAGGTCTTGTGACCAGGGGCATCGAGAATGGTGTAGCGACGCTTCTCGGTCTCGAAGAAGCCCTTGCCGACCTCGACGGTCTTACCCTTGGAGCGCTCCTCCTTGGTCAAATCAAGAGCCCATGACAGGTACCATGTCTCTCTACCGGCCTCCTTGGCATCACGCTTGTACTTCTCCATGGTACGCTCATCGACCATACCGCTGGCGTAAAGGATAGAACCACCAAGAGTTGACTTTCCAGCATCGACGTGACCAAGGAAAATGACGTTGACGTGCTCCTTGCCGTACATGTCCTTGAGAGTCTCTTCGTCGACATCGGCGGCCTGCTCTGCGGCAACCAGATCGGCCTGGCGGGCCTCGGCACGCTTCTCTGCAGGAGTGGGCGAGCTACGACCAGAAGTAGGGGATGTGCGTCCAGATGCGGCAGGTGAGTCGCCGGTCTTCTCCAATGCTTTGGCAGCAGTGACGGCCTTTCCGGCACCAGCCTCGGCCTTGTTGACGGTCTCCTTGACAGGTGCAGGCTTGGCGGGCTCGGCGTTGAGCGAGAGAACCTTTGTGCCAGCGGTCTTCTCAACCTTGGGGGCGGCAGGGACGCCCAAGCTCAGGACCTTTGTTCCACCAGTCTTCTCGACCTTGGGAGCCGAAGCACCAGTGTCGGATGCGCTGAGCGAGAGGGTCTTGACGGCAGCCTTGGGAGCGTCAGCAGCAGGCTTGGGTGCAGCGGTCTGGTCACCTCTCTTAGCGATGACGGGGACTTGACGCTGTTGCTGTTGCTGGGCGGGTTGTTGGTAGGACTGGTTGTATTGTTGTTGACCGTAGCCCTGCTGGCCTTGCTGTCCGTACTGCGAGTATTGCTGCTGGCCGTATCCTTGCTGTCCGTATCCCTGGTTACCATATTGGTTGTATTGTTGCTGCTGGCCATATTGGCCGTACTGCTGGCCGAAGCCGCCGTATTGTTGTTGTCCGTAGCCCTGACCAGGGTTGAAGAAGGCCTGGCCGGGGTTGAAGGAAGCAGCTCCAGGGGTGAAGCTGCCCATGCCGGGTTGGAAGCCGCCTCTTTGCTGTTGTTGCTGGGGCTGTTGCTGCTGGCCGCGCATGTTCAGGCTCTGCTGGGCCTGTCTAGACAGGTCCTGGTCCTGCTGGGCGTCCGGCGAGTCTTCCCATGAGTTGAGGTCCGACATGGTTGCTGGTATTGTAGCGATCGGAGGTGAAAGGTTATGCGACGGTCGATTGTATGTGCAGGTGGGTCGGGCTGCACCTGATGTTTAACAAGGAAAAATGTTGACAGCGCCAGCGGAGTCTGGTCTTGGTGGGGTCGTGCCTGCTTCACCGGCCGGCGGCGACTCGATTTTGCAATGTCAAACACTCCCGCATCTACGTCACGTGCGTCTCTTTGGGCATGAACGATTCAGATTATCAAAATATCCAGCCATCTTTTTTTTTTGCTAAGTTACATCACAGCTCATCTGCATCGACCATTTGCACCACGATACCCGTCGCTGCACCACCTCCGTTGCAGATGGCAGCACAGCCATATTCGCCCTTCTTGAGTTGATGCAGCAGCGTCACCAAGATTCTTGACCCTGAGCTTCCCAATGCGTGTCCGAGCGAGATTGCTCCGCCTCTGGGGTTGACATTGTCGTTACCAAGTCCGAGAATCTGGTCTAGGGTAAGTATATGGTCAATAATTACTCTCACGATTTCAGACGTACCTTGGCATTTGCCTTGATTACCGCGGCGAAGGCCTCATTGAACTCCCACACCTTGACCTGATCCTTGGTGATGCCTGCTCTTTCGAGCACGATAGGGACGACCTTGGAGGGTGCGATCGGGAAGTCGATGGGATCGGTTGCTGCGTCTGCCGTTGCTACGATACGTGCGAGCAATTTGTTGCCTTTGCCGTACTTCTTGGCCAACTCCTTGTTACCAAGAACCAATGCCGAGGCTCCGTCTGACAGTCCCGAGCTGTTGGCAGCTGTCACGGTACCCGAGCCAGACTTGTCAAAGGCAGGCTTCAGGGTAGGCACCTTGTCAAGCTTGAGTCTGTACACACCCTCGTCTTCTGACACGACTGTATCGCCCTTCTTGCCCTTGATTGTCACTGGAACAATCTCTTCCTGGAAGAGTCCCTGTTTATAGGCTTCTTGTGCGCGCTTGTAACTTTGAACAGCGTAATCATCCTGCTCTTGACGAGTGACTCCGTGGTCCTTGGCTGTCTTCTCGGCGCAGTTGCCCATGTGAATCTGGTTGTATACATCCCACAGACCATCCTTGATCAACCCGTCGTCGAGCTTGATGTTGCCGAACGGCGGGAGTTGAGATGATCGTGGCAGGTAGTATGGGACCTGGGTCATGTTTTCCATTCCTCCAGCAACTTGTGCTTCAGCCAATCCGAGCTGGATCTTCATGGCGGCTATTGAGACGGCCTTCATGCCCGAGGCGCATACTTTATTGATGGTTGTCGCTTCTACCGAGGGATCGAGGCCAGCAAAGATGGCTGCTTGTCTTGCTGGTGCTTGACCGGCACCTCCCTGCAAAACTTGGCCCATGTAGACATCGCGAATGTGCTCTTTGGGGACGTTTGAACGGGCAATGGCTTCCTTGATGGCGTAGGAGCCGAGTTTGGGTGCTGATACCGACGAGAGAGCTCCATTGAACTGAACGATCTTTATCAGTTTGACTTCGAAGCCCTGCAGGTCTGCAATATACGTACAACTCCGACGGGGGTTCTGACTGCACTGAGAATGTATGCGTCTTGGATCTCCTTTGCCCGGGATGTGGAGGAGCTGAATTGCCTACAGCTGCTGAAGCATGTTTGGCGAGCAGAGAGCGGTAGGCGACCGAGAGGATTACGAAGAGCTGCGGATGACATTGTGTATGGGTTTGTTGTAGATCTGCAGAGACGAAGAAGAGAACAATCCGGGTATCACAAAAAGAATGGAGGAACGGAACATCACATGAAAGGCGCAAGTGCTCACCGAGGTGGAGCGTGGAGATCGCGGGGCAGTTCCGTCCGAGATGCCCGTCGTTTGAGCAAGCCTCGGCTGTCTTCTCGACGACGACGCCTTTGTTGGAGCCGATTGCGCCCTTCAACACCGACAAGCATGGTTTACTATGGTCACAGTCATGCATACCCGATCGTTGCACTGCCTGATGTCGATATATCCGTTGTGATCTTATGACAGAGATCTTGATGACGAGCCAAACACATCGAGACTTCAGAGGCCAAGATGTTCGGTCGGCTATCAACTTCCATCGAGGTCACATCATGAAGGACGCGACGTTCGTCCGTCCTCCACCGAAGCCCTGAACAGGATATATACAAGCCATTAGACCTGGTGACAGGCCTCCAGAGTCTTAGAAACGATTCACTTGACCATCTCACAACATTCGACCCGGACCTGGGCCTGCCATGCGATACGGCCCTCCCGGCGGTGGCATCATAAAAGCCTCACCAGGCATAGGCGGCGGCTGCATCGGCGGCATACCCTTCCTCCCCTTCGACTCCCTCCTCTTCATCTCAGGATCTACTCCGCCACCAAACACAGGTTCCTGAACCGCAACACTCTTCTCATTCGGCAACTTGAACTCCACGAGATTGAAATAGTAATCCAGCACTTCTGGATATCTTTGTAGACTGTTTTTCCAATCCTCATCTATACCTCTTTGATATGCGCTCTGTGCAGTCGCCATTTGCATGCGCAGTTGGTGCATTTGAGGTGCTGAGATGGGTGGGCGTCCAGAGTATATCTTGTAGAGGTCGAAGTATGGTACTGTGGCTAGGTGTGCTTCGTATTGTTGTTTTCGGATGTCGACCATCTGGTTGAAAGTGTGGATTATCCATTCGCGAGCGTGTCTAAGTGCCCAGTGTCTGTAAGCGGGAGCGTTAATACTGAGAGGTTTGATTGTGGGTGCGATTAAACGTGCTTTATCTGTCGTATCTCGACGCTTATCATCCAGCGGTGACTTGCTTGGTCCAAGGCTCTTTTCAACCTTTCGTCTTCGTGTTGACATTTCTTGGATGGCGGTGCGCCGCAGACGGCGCATGATGCTTCGGCTTGCATTCGTTGAGACTTGATTTTTGAACGGTCGGCACTTGGTCAAGAGGTATGTGATGCTCAAGAACGTGGATTTGCTGATCAAAGATGGGCTGGGTCTGGAGGGAGGAAGATATGTAGGGTGATTGCTAAGGTGACGCAAGCAAGGCGAACCAGGCCACTTGAGCCATTCGATTGTTCCGTCAAAGTATCAAGTCAGGTCGACCTTCTGCTGCAGGTTGGTCACGTTCGTGATAGCCGATTGGTGCCCGACTGCGTGATGAGCTGATATCTGTGGGGCGACATGGTCAAGGACTACCATCGATGCTGCATGTTGGCAGGCGTGGGAATTGAGCCATTGATTGATCGAGATAATTCTATATTCCAATTAATGTATACAAAAGTTGTATCGAGGGTCATTGACTCAGTGTCATTGTCCACGGGAAAGAGCAGGGTTGTATGTGCAACATCGAGACATGAGAACTCGTATCGTCTGATCTGGAGTGACAACCTCAAAGTGACGAATGTATCAAGTAGACTATTATATACTGTACAGCAGATGGATCAATGAACGGTTGTGTCAGAATCAATGGAATCCAAACCACGATGACTTGTAGTAGATCGTCTTTGGCGAGACACGAATAGCTGAGCATAGTGCTTACGCACGCTTAGAGGTATCCGCAACGACTAGATATACTCATATATTCACGTGGTATAACAAGGACGTCATGTATGGCTTGATGATACTTACTTTGAGGAACAGCTTTTTACCTGTGTAACTATTTTTACATGGCTCGTCGCTCGTAATTTCGTGGTGTTTGGATCCTTCAGGAGAACAAAGAGAGGAATAGATCGACTGAAGATACTGCCTGACTTGACCATCTCAGTTCGTAGAAGGTAGGACGCTACGTCGAAGGATTCAGCTTAAGCATACAGCGCGCGGATATCCGGCAAAGCAGCAAAAGTGTATGCGCGTCACCGAAAGAGGCCGCGTGCATCTGTTACACACATTTTCCTGATGATTCAGTTAGAGTCGAACATAGAATATTGAGTACCAGAGAAATAACACCCAGAGTGGCGCCCATGCACTGCATTGCCGCCAAGCTCAAATTTCAAAGCTTGGTGTCGACCACTCGACATCGGAGCTTCTGTACTTCCTCCAACGCTTTCTAGCCTCTTGCACTTCGAGACCAATAAACAACTAGGAGAGAGAACCAGCAAGCACTCGGAAACAATCATGTCATCTCAACCTGAGTGAACTATAGCGGTGGCGATTGGTAGTTTAGACTCCCGCGCATTTCTGGATCAACACATTCTCGCAGAATCGATTAGGATCAACGATTCAGGTGTTACATACGAGCACCTACGAAAGCTCTTGATCTCTTTGTTCTTGAGAATGAACACGAGGAAGCTTATTCTAGATGTGTTCAAGCAAATATCAAGCTTTCCAAGAACATTCGACAATGTATTATTTTTGGACCAAGCTACATCAGGATAGTCATGAGGCAGACTTATAAGGAGGAAGATCTTCGTCCTCGGAGGGGGACGTGACCGCAACGGTGCTGATCTTGCTGTGCTACGCCAGAGAGTAGTTGTCCTATCCATACCATCCCGCTTGAACCGACGCGTGTGTTCGAGCATATGACAAAACATCAAAGGCAAGAGCGCACTAAAGCCTGGGCCGGATAGTCTGCCCACCCTTGGTAATCTTTGATCGTCTTCGTCAAACGATTCCAAGACGACCGGGAATACGTCAGGAAGGATGACTGTTCTGAGCATCTCTTGTCGCTACGAAGCAAGGACTATGCCAGAATTCATGAAGCAGATAGGAAGGGCGAACCTCCTCAGATGGAATCATCGTTGTAGATGATGATCACGAAGTCTTCAGGTGCACCTTCCTGAAAACAACTTACAACAGGAAGGAAGCATCGGCGGTAGTACAAATCCACCATCTCTGAGAACCAGGACCTCAACTTCTTCTAATATTCATCCCGTCCATTCTCATCATCGCATTACCAACTTCTATCATTTTGCAGTCACTTGATCGAGCGATGTCATCTGGAAGCACACCCACAGTCAGACTGTTACATTTTAACGATGTCTATCGTCTTGAGCCTTCGGAACACGATCCAGTTGGCGGTGTCACTCGCTTCCAGAGCCTGTGCAACCATTACAGACAAGATCCGCAGTATCAAGGGCAGCCGGAGCTCATCACGCTCTTTTCGGGAGACGGATTCGGCCCGAGCCTGGAGAGCAGTGTGACCAAAGGTTGTTCAAGGCAGCCGCTGAGGATTCCATCGTGATAAGCTGACATTCTGTGGAACCAAGGCGCTCATATGGTTCCAATCTTGAACAATGTACCAGTTGCTGCTGCTTGCATCGGGAACCATGAGCTTGATATGGGCGTTCCTCAGTTCGAGTATCTTGCTGCTCAATGCAACTTCCCCTGGCTGCTCGCCAATGTGACGGATCCAGCACTAGGAGAAGATGTTCCTCTTGGACACGCACACAAGACCGCCACGCTTACGTCGTCCACTGGAATCAAGATCGGACTCATCGGACTAGCTGAGAAGGAATGGCTCGAAGCTGTCAACTCTCTGCCGCCTAACCTGATACATACCGATCCTACCGTCACAGCGCGCGAGCTGATACCGAAGCTCCGAGCTCAAGGTGCTGAGATGATTATCGCACTGTGTCACCAGAGAGAAGCCCATGACACAAGACTAGCTCAAGAGGTCCCAGAGATTGACATCATCTTATCTGGTCACGACCACCACTACCGCCAGTCGAAGGTACGCGAGACCCATATTTTGTGCTCCGGTAGCGACTACAAACAGCTCAGCTACATCGAAGCGGTCAGAACAACCAGCGGCACCGTCCGAAGTCAGGAATCGAACATGGGCAATTTTGTTTCAGACCTGATGCGGTACTACTACGGCACAGACTGCGCAATGATTGTTGGAGGTACGATCCGAGCCGATGTAGTCTATCCTCCAGGCATCTTACGGTTGAAGGACATCGTTGATTGGTCAGTGCATCATCTTCGACGAAATGGAAATTGAGAACAATATGCTGAAGACTGCTAGCTTTCCATTCGAAGACCCCGTTGTTGTCATCAAGCTCAAGGGCCAACAACTACTCGAAGCACTGCGGAACGGCGTATCCAAGCATCCGGCTCTGGATGGTCGTTTCCCGCAGGTATCCAACATCAGTTTTACCTTTGATCCTTCCAGGAACAGTGCCGATCGAGTTGTCGGAGTACAGGTTGGGGGAACGCCGCTTGATATGGATCGAGAATACACTCTAGCAACCCGAGACTTCTTGGTCAGAGGTGGAGGTGCGCATTGAAGATTCGCGGACCAATCAAGACGCAACGCTGACTTGATGCAGATGGCTATACATGTCTTCGTACACAATCACACGGAGGACGGACTGTGTCTGTGGTCGATGAAGAGAATGGCATACTGATTTCGATGCTTCTGCGACAACACTTCCTGTCATCGATGACTCTTGGACGCTGGAAGCACTGGGGTGCAGCACTTGGACAACACTGGAGTGCAGTGCAAGAGCATCTTCGACGCGCTGGATCGGTGGTCGAGCATACGGATACCAGGCACACCTTCAGAAGAGACAGCAGCGATGTGTCAGCCCGGAGAGCCAGTGTCGACGTGTCAGCTGGAAGAAGAAAGAGCAGTACCATTTGGGACAGACCGCCAGTGAAAATCATCGAACCAGCAGAAATGGATCTCAGTGCGTCGGAAGACGAGGCCGAGGTGACTGCTCCAGCGCTGGCCAGGGAACCATCACCTGAAGAGCACGAACTGATGGTGGCAAGAAAAGCCATGCGAAAGTGGTGGCGGTTGGCTGGCTTGAACAAACGACATGCGATGGGGTATGAGGCAGGCGAGGAACTGGGAGTGGGTTGGACCAGAGGCATCTGTCCACAGGTGGAGGGACGCATCAAGATGGTTCTGCGTGTGCTTTGAAGTGATCGACCGACCTAAAGACCTAACATCCATTACTCCGTCCTACGTTCGTATACTTTTGCCAATCAAAATGTTCGTCATAGAGTGGTATGCATGAAAAGGTGAGTCTATCGGCATTATTGTCGTCGTGAATGTGGTATTGTGACGCAAGGATTCCCTCATCTCTTCTTCTTGCTGACAACAGTGGTGAAGCCATCTTCGTCGACCTCTGGCTCTTGCTTCTCGCGCGGCGCGGAGACAAGAGCGGGGGCAGCATCGTCCATGTCGATATCCTCATCATCGCTCTCGTCCTCGCTGCTCTCGTCACCATCTTGCTTGTGCTCGACAACCTGAAGGTTCTGAGGAATCTTTCCTCCACGTTCCTCGAATCTCCTCTTGACAGCCTCAAAACCAGCAAAGTTGCCCTCGGCGGTCTCTTTCCTGAGTTTCATGATCTCTTCGGCGACAGGGATTTCGCTCTCGTCCTCGACGTTGAGATCGAACTCGTCCTGCATGACCTGCAACAAGACGGCTTCGATGTCGAATTCGTCGGTATCGGGACGCTCGACAAACAGATCACTGATGGCACCGGCGAACCAATCGCGCTTTGCGGAGCTGTCCTCGCCTCCCCAGCTGCTGGTGACGGCAATGGTGAGGGCAGGCCAGAGGCCCAGAGCGTACCAGATGCCGAGGTCGAATTTGGATTGGATTGTTTCTGCACTCTGTTAGCTACTGGATCCAAACTTGAATCGCGGCGACTCTGCATACCTTGGTCTGCCATGATTGTGTTTTGGTGTCGAGTTTGCAGTGATGGCATAATTATCTCTTGACAAGGAAATTTTGAGCTTGGACCGCCTCTTCTCCAGGTTTCGGAGGAGGTTGGTGGGTGGTGGTGGACCCTGGGGACGGCGGAGCGCGCCACCAGCGTCACGATCGGCGGTGTGCGGGAGGCTCCATCTCCGCTGTTTGGACGGTTGCGCTTGCTCGAAACAAATATAGACAAGACGGCTCCTGCCTCACATGCATGAGCTCCGAGTCTCTGTTTCGGACTTTGCTGCGTAAACAATTCCCTGCACCAAGTCCGCCTCCCTTTGACCAAGGTGCTATGCGTCCATGACCACGACTACTGGCAACCGGATCGCATTCATCACAAAGGAGCCTCTTGATCAACAACATCAGCCATGGTCTTGAGTACTCTCGGCGTGGCTGCCGATGTCACCCCCTCAGTCATTGAGACCTTCTTCTCCCATGCAAGTCTTGGCCAGTCATTGCGCCATACTCAGTCGACTGTACTGACACGATTGATAGTACCTCAACCGCAAGCCGCTCAAGGGAAAACCTACCGCCCATGTCTCGTACCACGAAGGTTTGCGCCTGATTCGCCAATTCCTTTCTTATGCATCACAACACACTGTCGAAGATATCCAGGCCTTTACGGGCCAATGGGTGCCGAGTCCCACCTGGGTCAAACTCGATGAAGTCCCCATCTCAGAGGCTCATCTCAAACGTTCTGCCCAGCTCGTCAAAGCGCAACTTGGTCCCGCAGGCTTGCAAAGAGTCGGAGGTCAGGAATGGTGGCAATGGAGACGACCTGAGATTGCTTTGAAGGGCGAGTGGATTGAGATGCGCCAGGACTACAACGACCGAGTCGCTGCCGACAACAAGAGCGATCGCGTTATCCTCTACGTTCATGGCGGCGCCTACTACTTCGGTTCGGTCGACGAACATCGCTACCAGATGCAACGACACGCTCGAAAGCTCAAGGCTCGCCTATTTGCCCCAAGATACCGCCTTGCTCCTCAATTTCCCTTTCCATGCGGTCTGCACGATTGCATCGCCGCCTACCTCCATGTCATTGAGCAATGCGATCCGTCGACTGTCCTTCTGGGTGGTGATTCAGCTGGTGGTGGCATGGTCATCAACATGCTCGTCACCCTTCGCGACCAGGGCATCCCTCTTCCAGCTGGTGCCCTGCTCCTATCTCCTTGGGTCGACCTTACCCACTCCTTCCCCAGTGTGGCTGGAGAGGGCAATTTTGACTACATTCCCGCCAACGGCTTCCATCACAGACCGTCGATGGCGTGGCCACCTCCAAACGCCAACGACATGAGAGAGCTCAAATCCCCGGATCCCAACCCACCCCGGAGGTCCAAAGAGGAAAAGAAGAAGCTCGAACGAGAAGCAACCATGGGCTTCTCCGTGAATGATTTACCCGAGGACGAGAAATACGACAGAGCAATGCGCCCACGTGCTAAGAGCATTCCGGGCGGCGAGCATCTGTCTATTGAATTGGATGGCAAGCTCATCGAACTCACCGATCAGATCCAGATGTATACGACCAACGACATGCTCGCACATCCCATGGTCTCACCTGTGATGCAGCCATCTCTCGGCGGTCTACCGCCTCTTCTCATTCAGACAGGCGGTGGCGAGCTCTTGCGTGACGAGCAAATCTACATCGCCCACAAGGCCGCTAATCCACCTGCCTACCTTCCCAACAAAAAGGTCATGGACGAGTTCGACCCTGAGCGAAAAATTGTAGACAAGTATCCGCCAACCCATGTTGTTCTGCAGGTTTGGGATGATCTCTGCCACGTCCCGCATACTCTCAGTTTTACTCGACCTGCAAAGTACATGTATCGCAGTGTCGCACAATTTGGTGCCTGGGCACTAGCTCGTGCTCAAGACCAAGCAATCACCATTCTTGACGATGATGCAATCAGCATCATCAGCACTAGATCCAGCCAGGAGAGCGACGACCCATCCAGAGACGAAAGCGACCGTGGTAGAACCGTGGACAAGAAATTTCCAGATGCTCTAGGTACTCCGATCCGTGCTCATATCGTTACTACCGCGTCTGGATCTGTGGGCAAGGCTGGTGATCCTCTGCCCCCCTTCAAAGACCATATGGTACGGCAGAGAGTCGATAGACACGGTGTCACTTACCCGCTTGCTGAACAAGAGGACTTGCCATGTTTGCACCTGGACCCCAATACTATCGGCATGATCAAGCCTGGTCCTGTTAGGAAGTGGATCGCAAAGAAGGCTGATTGGGATGTGAAGTATGGCAAAGACAAGCGCGCGATACAGAAACAACGCATCAAGGACATAGCCGAGGGCTACGATACATTCGGAGCCGGAGAAGTCCCACCGCCCACCGCTCTAGCTGGACGCCGTAAGAAGGATATGCCAGGTCAAAAAGCACGCAAGGGTAAATCGTGGGGTCTTGCCATGTGGTCAGGATGGGGATCCAAACACGACGAGGACACTCTCGGCCGTGAACAAAAGATTAACCGCGCGCCCACTCAGTCAGTCGTGGTGCCAGAAGCCGGCGCTACACCTGCCAAAGGCGATCTGGACCAAGCAGCCGCAAGAGCAGCTTCACCCTCCATGGAAACTAGACCCACATTCGACCGCAGCATGAGTCCCAGATATCGCACCATCACAGACCTTGGTCAAGCCGGTCCTCGCTCCCGACCCACCACCTCATCATCTATCCCACCACCACCGGTACCAGCCAAAGATTCGCCTAAAGGTAAAGAAGCCATCACAGACGACGAAGCACATCTCGCGCCCTATGGCATGCACACCAAGGTCCCCGGCTCGGAAAACACCTTTCTTAGCAACAACAGCGCTCGCCCTCACAATGGTGAAGTCGCCTATCCATTCAAACTCAAGAATGAAGCTGCTACCGCTAGTACAGTGACGCTAGATTCTGCGGCTCATGTAAGGCCTATGGGTAGGACTGATGATGAGTCTGTGGCCGAGAGCTCGAGACCTGCTACGGGCAAGGGTGTAGGTGCTTTGGATGGACAAGAGGATGGCATTATTGTTGATGAGCCAGGTGTTGGTGTTTATGAGACAGTGATGGGTCTCAAGGGCAAAGGTAGGACTGAGGACAACAGCGCCCAAGGAAGCGTGAGACCGCCTTTGGAGTCATTCGTCACTGCCAAGGAGTTCTAAAGTTCTCCGAAGGGAGCGAAAAGGCGAGGTCGTATTGTTTTTGCAGGAGATACCCCCTTTTTTTTATGTAATCAGTTTGCAAGTATTGCTTTTCTGCGATCTTCTGAGCCGAAACTAAGAACTGTGGAACAGTAAACTGCAAAACATCTGGTTCTTGCCAAAAGAAGATAGACGCGGTAACATCCTGTACTCTATGCTACCGGACTACCCAAGTGGAAAAGACACGATATCTTCTCTGTTGCCCTAGCAAAGGTCTATGTTCCATTACTCTCCTCCCCTGAATGAGCATCTCGGAACGGCCAACCCAAGCAAAACAAAAGATGAAAACAACTTCGACCATGCGAAAGAAAAAGGGTAGCCGAGAGAATCAGCCAAAAAGACCTCTAGACGCCAAAGAGAGCTGCCCATCAAAGGTCAGTCCAAGCCTCTCCTGCCTCATCTAATTCTCAGGCAACCCAGCCCCCAAACTCAAACTCCTGACCCTTTCCCTGACCGCTTCAAACTCTTTAATCGCTTCCCCATGTCTCTCACATCCGACCATCCAATGTTCCCTCACTCTCTCATCTTCCTTGACGCCCTGTGCATAACTCATGAAGCCCTCGCCGGTACTGGCCTCTCCCACAGCCTCTAGAGCTCTGATACCCGCTCTGACTACTTTTGCAGCCAACTCCTGCCGAGAAGCAAAGTGTGCGACAATCACTGCATTGTACTTGTTGAATTTGTCGAGGTAGATGCTGAAGGTGGTGCAGTAGGTTGACCATGAGCTGCGGGAGAGCTTTGTGGGAGTAGAAGGGGCGCGAGGTAAGGGGGGAAGCACCAGGTTCTGGGGTGTAAAGGTGGGAATGGTGGTAGAGGCTTTAGAGGTGAACGGCAAAGTGCTGCTGATGTCGGACAGACCGTCTAGACCCTGAGATGGTTGGGGATCCACTGCGGCACCGAGGTCGTCGAGTTTGACGTTGAAGCCTGAGTTTTCGCTTGCCTTTGCTTCGGAGTCGGATTGGCGGAGATTAGAGGTGTCGACGGGGTAGATGCGAGGTTCCTGTGTAGTGGTGGGTTGAGGTACAGTCGGTGTGCTCGCTGGTGGTGCGTCGTCAACGTCCATTTCGTCCGGTGATTGTGTTCGAGCGGTGTTCTCGTCTACTTCATCTGCTACCGTTGCGGGCTTTGGTGTGTTGATTGGAATCTTATTGGCAACTCTCGAGCTTTTCCTCACTGCAGCCGAGTTACTCCTAGAGGCTGTTTTCGACTCTGGCTTACCAGGCGAGGAAGTACGGAGTGTGTTGGGATCAAATGCCCAGGATGCGTCCTGGAAGTGCTTTGCCCATTCTTCAGGTGAGTATTTGGCCGGCGGCGGAGGCGGCGATGGCATCGTAGGGTCCATGGTAGGATCAACAGGCATTTCTTGGGCAGACGTCTCATGAACAGTGTTGGTCCTCGATGGTTGGCGGAAGCCTCTCGACGACTTGCGTGAGGGTGTAGAAGATTTGCGACCAGTAGCGGCCTGGGCGGCAGCAAAAACATTGTTACTGGTAAAGTCACCGGCCCACTGTTCGGGTACGAACGAGGTGTTGATGCTGTCTTCGCTGCGGCTTTTAGCCATGTTTGGTCTGAAAGTGTCAGCATGAATGGGCATCGTAAATCTGTTGGACAATATGTCAGCATCGGACGAGTGTGATGAACGATTGTCAAAAACGATACAAATCAGCAGCATCGTCTTTGGTGAAACAAGTTCTTTTGTGAGGTGATTTGAGTATGGGATTGTCATCGGAGGTCAAGTCGACAAGATCATCATCAATGGGCGGGGGTTGCTGCGGTCTCTTGCGAAAAGTTGGTTGACTCTTTTCCACGTTCACAGACGACTCGGAGTTGGTCAGGTCTACCCAGGCGCGTTGAGCGGCCGAATGGCTCCGTTTGAAAGGAGGAACAGAGGACGGAACAGCCCATCGAGGAATCGAGTCGGGGCTTTTGTTGTGTTGGTAGTTTCTCCCAAAAGGATGAACAGGGGAGGGCATTTTCTGTTGCTTTTTGGAAGGAGGAGTAGAGAAATGGTTGGCATACATTGTTGGTTTGTCCTTTTCGCCAGCATTCTCTGCCGCGTCTGGATCGGAGTTGGTGCTTCCGCCGGCCTTGCCTGGAGCCTTGTACGGTACGCCATTCTTGAACTGTCGGCTAGGCGGATTGGGTGTCTTCTTAGGACGAGTGAAAGAGCGTGCGAATGCATCAGCGGGCTGATCGGTAGTCGTCGGTTGGGGGTTCTTCTGTGCAGTGTCAGGAGTAGTGGAAGCGGAGTCATCTTCAGTCTCGGAGTCATCGCTTGAGCTGTAGACGACAAAAGGTTTCCTGGCAGTACCAGTACCCGCCTTACGTGTCGACTGACGGAACTGTGATGATGCTCCCGCGGCTCCGGGCACATGGGGAGTGCTCGCTGTGCGCCGGGTATCTTCGGCCGCGTAGCTTGTTCTAGTGCGAGCATCTCCAGCAGGAACATCGGAGTAATCCTTTTGCGAAGCAGAGCGCGGTGGAGGAGGTGGATAGTATGGTGGGTCGGCAGACTTTCTCCTGGACGATGAATAGTTGGCTGTACTGCCTGCCTGGCCCTCATCGCCAGTTGACGTGGGATCAAAGCCATCCTTCTTCGGAGTGCCAGAAGCACTGTTGTGTTCGGCCCAGGCAGAGCGGAAGCCACCGTATCCACCCGCAGGCTTGGGAGGAGCCTCGCGGTAGTTCATGCCCGCCCGAATGTCCTCTTCGGTGGGATAGCGAGTGTCTTGCCTGGGAGGAGGTCTTGGTACTGGACGCTTGGGTGTTGGTCGTGGCGGTGGCTGCGGCGATGCACCCGCCGTCTGTGACTTCATGTTCTGCCATGCATTGAAGACATTTGCAGGGTCTGCCGGGTTCTTCTTGCTTGTAGGAGCGGGTTTCGGGAAGTTTGTGAATCGGTCGGCACCTGAGGCGCCGGCAGCTGTGCTACGCCATGTGCTAGTAGGGTTGGGTGTACGTCTCGGCGGCGGAGGGAAGTCGGATCTGGTCTGGTACATGGGATTCGTTCCCGAGCTCCTCGGTGGCACATTGGGCTTGGTGAAAGCACCACCGCCCAGGCCTGCCTTTCTGCGGTCTGCATCGTATCGGGTCTTGGACACTGGGTCGTGGAGGATCTCGTGTGCGGCTTGAATGGCCTGGAACTTTGGAACGATTTCTGATTCTTTGCCGGGGTTGCGGTCGGGGTGATACTTTAGCGCTGCTATGTGTCAGCGTGAGCTATTTTGTTGAGCAGAGGGAGTGGTACCGAGCTTGCGGTATGCCTTCTTAATATCCTCGACAGAGGCATCCTGGTGTCGGTGTCAGCTGCTGTCGCTGAGCTCACATGTTGCGAGCAGACGTACAGTAGGCAGTTCCAAATCGGCATAGTAATTTCGTTTGATATCGGCCTTCACCATGATCCTGACAAGACTGTGGCTTCACAACAATGAGGCGTGGTGCGATGCAATACCATCAAGGCCCTGCGTCGTCGGCTCGTGCTGCTGGAATGTCGGTGATGTGTTTGGTTGTAAGAGAGCTGGCACCAAGACGAGGATTGATGCGCATTCAAAGGCGAAGTCAGCAAATGAAGCGCGGCCAACGGTCAGAAGCGCGTGTCATGCGTTGTCTTCAATTTACGAAGGCCCGCTGCTTGGTTGTTGCGCAAAAGCTCGATGCCCCTCCAAACATGTGAAAGCCCGGGGTTTTGTTTCGACTTCACTGCAACGACGACGACAATTATTATAATCTTTCAAATAGAATCAAGTACTGCTGTCAGGAATGGAACAGTCTAGTATAGATGACAAGATGAGATTGAGCAATGAAACAAGAATACTCAAGTCACTACTGCCTTGCCGTCCGCAGCTGGCGGCTTTATGTTGCTGTTTCCTCCGTCGCCGCCCAAGCAACCAACAGCCTGAAGCCAACCATCACCCTCTTCCGGTCTAACAATTGCTATACACAAGCCACAGCGCTCAAAAGCCATACTTTGGCTGCCGTATATCGTCGTCTGTGTCATACTGAAACAATAAACCATCCTACGGGCACACTCCTTTGTGAACACGGAGCGCCCAGAAGATTCAAGAACGGATTCAAGATCTTACTGCGACTCATCTGATTGATCCATATGCATACATGGTAACATCAGCAAGGAAACGCTGGAATGTAAAATTTATAGAGTCAAGAGAATCTTGACCATTGCAGTATAGAGACACAACAACCCTCGCAATCCGCCAAGTTCCCATTCGCTGACATGTAAGAGAGGTATAGGAAGAAAAGACAGGAAGAAATGGAAAATTTTGATATTCGCTTGCGTCTCGATCAGAGAACGGGGATATGGATTTTGCAATGATGCAGGAAGACAAAATCGATGAGGCTCAAAGGAAAAGGGCTTGCGATAAACACCAGAGGCATTTTGTCCTCGTCATAAAGGTCATGAAGGTTTGTAACCAGAGCGAATCAAAGTCATGTACAGTCAGTCGCCCCAGGCTCTTTTTGCTTGAGCTCTGCGGGCTATTGTTTTGTAATAGTTGCTAGTTGTGTGTTGGTGGGTTATAATGTCGCAGCTTTATCCAGAAAGAGGAGAGGTCTGAGAGGTGAGGTTCCTTAGAACACAGCCGCCAGTCCGCTCTTGGAGTGCCGTTTACTGAAACGTGGTTTTCTGCTTTTGACGCTCTCGTTGTCTCCGGGATCCTTGCGGAGGGTGTTCCGAACAGAGTGTATTGACTGCTGTTCACCGCCACCATCACCACCACTCGCACTGGTGGGGCTAGACATGGTCGATGCCAGATCGCCATACTGCGACTCACCCGAGTACGAGTTTGCCATGGCTTGCGACTGTGCGACATCCTTGGCACGGTCAATGGCCTCCAGCCACTCTTGGGTGGAGTACTTGGAGCCCTCCGGATCTGATGTCGTCGCTCGAGGATCTTCAAACGAGAAATGTTTGTCGCGCTTGAACCTTGTTAGCTTTTGGATCATTGTTATTAAAACCGTGGTACTTACTGTGTTGATGCAGAAGGCGGTCAGCCCGGTCTTGCTATCTTGGACCGGTTTGCAGGTTGTGCCGTTGGCGAGCAGATTGAGCTCAAGTTTGGCCTTCTTCTCATCGCCGCCAGCAGCGGCTATTATGACTCGCGCACTGGAAGTTATCATAACGAGTCGTTGACGTTTCTTGGTTGTTGCACCGCCGAAGAATCTCGAAAACTTCTTTGATGCTTCCTCGCCGCCTTTTGACGTGGGACTATGCGCAGCTGGAGAAGAAATGACGTTGAGATTACCCAACTTGATGATTCGCTCGTTGTTGCGTGTCAGCACAGGCGACCAGTCGATATCCAGCTGACTGGGAGGGGCCAGCTCAGTTATAGCTCGTAGTTGTGGCCGAGGCACCTGTAGACCGGAGGGAGCTGTTGGAGGTGAAGTTGCATGCGACATGGGCGCCGTTGGGATACCTGGGATGGTAGGAGCTGGAGCTGAGCTCATGTGGTCTCCACCGTTAAGTCTGATGGGCTGAGATTGAGAAGGACCAGGCACGTAGCTACGGAGCCGTGGTGCTTTTTGCTTCCACAAACCTTTGCCCCATTGGATACCTTCGAAGAACGAGTGCGCTTTGATGTGTTCGATAGGCAAACGCTTGGAGGGATCAAGGACCAACAGTCTTTCAATGAGGTCTTTCGCCACTGCAGGGAAATTGTCCGGGAAACGATAGTCCAGTGCGACAATCTTTTGGAATGTCTGATACTCGTTACTAGCTTTGAATGGCGGTCGACCGGCGAGTAGCTGGTAGAGAATGCAGCCAAAGGCCCAGAGATCACTTGCTTTACAGGCATTTTTATCGGTCAGAAGTTCTGGACTGACGTACTCTGCAGTACCAACGAACGAAACTGCCCTCTCCTGTTCAGCGCCATCCATAGGATCGCCAGAACCGGGACCGTCGGTACCAGTGCCGCCCGCGGACCTGATATCGAGAATCTTGGCGGTTCCGAAATCAGTGATCTTGGTGTGCATTTGTTCATCGAGCAGAACATTCTCCGGCTTTAGGTCTCGATGAATGATACCCTTCGAGTGCATGTACGCTATGGAGTCGAGCATTTGAGCGCCGTAGAAACGAGTGCATTCTTCATCGAAAGTACCCATCTTCTTTAGGTGGCCTAGTAGCTCGCCACCGTTGGCGAGATCGAGGACGAAATACAGCGATCGCTCGTCTTGGAATGTATAGTACAGACGGACAATACCAGGGTGTTCGGTGAGTCGGTTGAGAGCGTCCTTTTCGATATTGACATATTTGACCTTCTTCTCTTTGATTATGTGGCGCTTGTCAAGAACCTTGACGGCATATTCGCGGTGAATCTGACGGTCGGTTGCTGCAAGGACTGTGCTGTACGAACCCTCTCCCAGAGTGCGGCCGAAGTGGAAGTCATTGACACCCTTCTTAACGATCTTGGATACCGGCCTTCCGTTTTGATCGACTTCTTGTCTGGTAGCGACGGCGGCGCCGCGCTCTTTCCACTCTTCGCTGCTGGGCAGCGGGCCACCCTCGACACTATATACAGAGCCAGCAGGGCCATGGCCGTATCCAGAGGTAATACGCTGGGAGCTTCTTCTGGGTGGCATAACATTTTGGCCGTCGGGACCACGGTAACTCCGGCTTACAGAGCGGACAGGAGGATGACCAGCCATGGCAGCGGCAGCGGCTCGTGAAGCGCTCCTGGCCAGTCCAGACTGAGAGGGGGCGTCATCTCGATACCTATATGAAGAAGCCTGAGAGATGGCGGAATTACTCGAGGCATTCTGGTGTGTGTACATGTTTGACATGCGGGCGGAGTTTTGAGGGTAAGGAGGGAGCTGAGCCTCGTATGAGCCTGAGCGTTGGCGATAGCCTTGGTCGGCGTCGCCTAAGGCTGCACGGTAGGGTCTGGAGGAATTATAGGGGTCGGAGGCTAGGTGACCTGCATCATAGTCCGAATGTGACGGAGCGTTGGAGTGGAACGAAGCGGCATATTGGGAGTGCGAGTCCTGATCAGGTTGGTGTATGGATGAGAGTTGTGACAAGCCACGCGAGTGATTAAGGTTGGTGATGGTGCTGCCCGACGACTGCGACGAGATGGTGGGTCGGTCATCGGGAGTCGAGTGGGCAGAGTGCAGTTGCCGGCTCGGGCTCGCAGCGACGTCGTTGGGCGAGCGAGCGGTCGAGGTGGTGGGCGGCGGTGTATGCAACTGCGTCTGGGCTGGGAGCGTCCGGTTGGAGATGGGAACTTGTTGGTCGTTGTCGTCGTCGTCGCTGTCGGGGTTGGCTATGCGGAGACCACCCAGCGAGCGCGACAGACTCAGGTCGCCGTTCATAGTTTGGCTATAACGATGCTTCGTCGGGGACGAGTGACTAGGCCAAGCCAAGGCCAGACACGACCAGGCGCGAGTCTGTCTGGCTACGAGATATGCGGTGTATCCGAGGGAATGGTCGACTGGTCGTGTGTGCTACACGGAACACGAGGACGACACGATCAGCAAGACAGGAGGCTTCGTCTTTGCATGCAAGCACAAAGAGGACCGACGAGACAGAGATTGGTGCCAGCTGCATCCAACAAGTCGACGACTTGAGATCCTCTCGCACTTGTATGCCGCACGGACCGCCTCCAGCTTGGGCCAGCAACGTAGTTCAAGTCGACCTGATGAATCCTGTCTGCTTCTCTCCTGAATCCATGTTCCACACGAACTCATCCCACTGCTCTGAGACAACACAACAGCTGTCTTTGTTGACTATGCGCGTCTTGGGCTCGCTCATCGATCAACATGTGCGCCGTTGCTGTCTGCTCTCCTTGCATGTCTGTTCGTGCGCGTGCCTTCGATATAGAAAGACGCACATGTTGGCTTTCGACGACATGCGCCTCACTCCGCCTCACTGGCTGAGTGTCTTGCTCTTTTCTTAGATCAGGGACATTGTTGTACTCTTGTTGTACAGACGTCAGATCTTTGAGGATATGTGTCTCCAGACCCTCTCCCCACCTTTGATGGATGCACAATCTGGTCGCACCTGCCTCAATCGTTGCTTCCCATGTCTCCAGTGAAAAATGCTAGACAGCTCAATGCTGCGCTCAGGACAATGACACTTGCCAGTCTCAACACTGCTTGTTGCAAAATTCTTCCCTCATACCTGTACTCATGCCTTTGTAGAATACATTATGCTTCGCAATCGTCCATCGAGAGTCCCTCTTGGAATGGCTGATGTCAATCAGGTGGAGCAACGCCTAGAGCTCAAGCAGGCTTCGCATCCCCTTGTTGCCCAGACTGACTGGGCCTATATCCATCACCAACAACAGAATACCCGCACTCCGCCACAGCCCCACTACAACCTTGGTGAAGACGCTCAAAGATCGAGGGATGCGAGCCTCGTTCAGCTTGATCCAAACCGCCATGTTCCGCAGTTTGCCGTCTACGAGTCAATTGACTCTGCTGAAGACAGTGATTCTGACGACACCGCCTCTACAGCTTTCAGGTCCGTTGCTCGGGTTGTCCATATAGCAGAGGTCAGTCCCATCATCACTCAAGTATCTGGCTACGATCCTCCTGCTCTTGTGACCATCGACCCTGAGCCACGGCCAACACAAGGCCATCACCGTTTTGGAACGACCGACGGTTATCGCCATCATCCGAACAACCTCCTTGCACCTGTCAGATCTCGCTACAGCCTAGATACTCGTGCTGGCTATCCACATCAGCCTTCTCGACAAGCTCCCAGTCACATTCCTCAAAGAGACTCCGATCCAAGGACGACGACTATTTCTCGAAGAGGACAGAATCCAAACGCTGTCTCTTTTGCTCCTCGCGAACATCTTGGTTCTCCCTTTCAGGAAGTTGATCCTCAGCACCGGGCCAATATCGCCTCTGTATATCGTCGAGGAGGGACACTCAGGACAAGGCCGTCTATGTCCGGTAGTGCTACAGTCGGTCGTGGTGGAATGAATTATCAAACAAGGCCTAGGCCGATGCCGCGCCCTCGAGGATCGTTGATGCCTAGAAGGCCATCAGTCAGGGCAGCTCGTCGGACCGGCGGCCATCTGAGACCACCAGCTGCATCCTCGATAGACTCAGTCATGGACCGTTATCCCATTTTCCCCTCACTGGCCGGTCAATCCGATTCATCAAGACCGGACAGCCTATTCATTCCACAACGCGAACGCATACCTCAGAGAAGAGGCATTCTCGCTCCACCGAGGGAATTGAGGATCAACAATACGCCGCATCCTCCATCTTGGCTCTCATCAGCTACGAAATCTCAACACTCCGTATCATCTCGAGCCTCTGGCAGCAGCTTCTCCGATACGCCCATGCTTTCCGCCCCCAACGAGGCTTCAAGACATGGTTCCATTGGCGCTAGAAGCTGGGATGGTCATGGGATCATCAATGTAGGCAGTGTCCGCTCCTCCTATGCTGGTAGCCGAATTTCCCTGCTTAGTGGAAGTGTTGGAAACCAGAGTAGCGGACTCCCCCCATCGCACTCACCCCTGGATCTACTGACTCAAGCGTTGCGGCGGTTGTCTACGGATCAATCAGCGAGATCACAATCTTCGTTAGAGTGTGCCTCTGGCGCGACATCCACAGACGGGCGTCTCTTGAGTGGCAGTGTGTTTTACTCAGACTCTGACGAGGAGATTGGTGAGGGCGAGACTAGGTCCCCGAACTACAGTCGTCAAATGTCGTCGCATACCGACGGGCAAAGTATCGATGAACGAGAACGCGACTTTGATCGCAAGCCTCTGCGTCACCTCGGGATAGCGGCACGAATCGTAGATGTAGAGGCTGATTGTCAGAGCGGAACAATCAGACCATTCTCGACGTCGCCATCTAACCAGTCTCTGAACTCAAACCCTAGGATTGACACCGCCCTGGTAAACAGTTCGCCCCCTGGAGATTTGCCTGACCTTCCACAAAGCACTCCAGGTCAACAGCTGGCGCGGCCAATAAGAGCTGCTCACGCGCCTGGTCCCAGCCTTCGACCTCACGCAACTCCAAAGGTGAGAGTCTATGATGATGAGCAGCCAGCTAGCCTGCAACCTCAGACGCCCGCAGACCTCCGCCATCGATTCAAACCCAGTACCGACACTGTGGCGCCTGCCACTTGTGAAACAGTACGTACTCATGCCAGGAGCTCGGCCACGGAACAGTCGCTTCTGGTCCCACCTCGAAACGCTCATCGCAACACATACCCTGCGTTCCAACAGCCTAGCCCACAGCCGTACACGACGAACTCGCAACCGTCTAGTCCCTACTCACCCAACCTCGACCTGAGGAATGCTGCTGCTATCAGTGCGGTCCAAAGAAGACGCACAGCTCGAGCGGTGTCCAACGAAAATGTCATCGATCCAATCACAAATGGTATGGAAGCAGAGAGGGAGGCGTTCTTGAGACGTATGAGACCAGATGGTACGTTCACTATAGACGATACGCCTCCTCGAGAGGGCAGATATGAGCGATACATATCGTGACGACCGTTGGAGACAATAAGTCTGTGAGAGGCGCAGGGTTGGAGGCACAACAACATTCTTGAGATCATCGTGATAAGCGAACACGAACTAATAAGCGAGAGATGAATGCGTCAAGTATCAGCAAGATGTATCCACTATTGTGTGCATCACCACATTCTTTGATAGCTGTTGATAATATATGTACACGTCAATGGGCAACCAACGAGCATTCTTCGACGCTTTGTCACGAGGTCAAGGGCTTGCAACTCTGGTCGTCCCATTTTCTCCTTCACAGGTCGCTTCAAGGACGTCTGGAGCCCGGACCTAATGAAGGAACGTCTAATCGTCTACACTATGGCTCACATCGAATTATTCCTCGCGTCATTATGGTATGAATTAGCATCAATTGATAACTATTTCTATTTTTTACGTTGATTGTTGTGTTGAAGCACGTTCGGTAAGTTGGCGATCTTCATATCAGTCTTCCAAGCTGTCAGCATCATCGTGTCGCTCTGTGCCGCTGCACGAGCGCTGACCTCGTCATCTTGCATGGGTCGAGTCCGGCACAAGATGGGAACGAAACAGCCAATAGAGCCTCAAACGCGCATAGAGATAAGGAAGATTCTCGAAATTGTGTAAAGAGTGATTACCGCAACCACAGGAAACAGGCCGATGCGCCAGTTTCGCTGAGTATTAAGATGATAAATGGCTTGTGGAACAATCCCGTTGTGGGTGGTCTATCTGCAGAGATCTGCACTTGAGGCGGTCGTGCATCGTTCAAGCTTTCTTTCGGGGTTTCGACCGATCTTCGACTGCGGCGTTTCAGGTTTCTGCTGGGAAGTCGGGACGCGCAAGACGTGCAACACCAACCTGTGACATCTGCTGCAACCCGCCACCTCCTCTCGCGTCAACTCACGCATCGTCACTCGCTTTCAAGGACTCACTCGTTATCCTCCCATGCGCCGAATCGATCTCATTGATTAAGTACCTCTGTTTCTTTGACTGCTTTGCCGTGACGACTTTCTGGTGAGAAGTTTCACCATACAACGCACAAAGATGGGGCAAGCCACGCCAGCTGCAGGACGCGGTGGACATGTTGCATACAAACAGGCCCTCCTGAATCTAGCCCAGGCTCCTCGATGGAGGGGCCTCATCATCGGAACATTTTCATTCTTGCTTGTTTTCTGGATCTGGCAAGCCAACTCGGATCCCAACGCGCGGTCGAAGCTCTACAACAAAATCTCAGGTCGACCACAGAATGATTTCATGTGGAAGCCGCCATCTGTGCTGGAGCCATCGGAATTTACGATAGAGCTGGAAGCCGGAAAGACCTCGACTGCACCTAGCGGACTCAAGAAGGAGAACCCTCAATTTCACCTTCTGATCCATGCACCCAAAATCACGAGTAATGTCTGTCGGAGTTTACTGTCATCTTTCCTGTTGGACTATCCGACTCCAACTTTGATTGGATACAGACCCTCCCCACCCAATGAGACCAAGGAAGGAGATTTCTGGCTCGATTACGGTCTGGCAGACGTGACCGCATATCTGTCACAACAAAATCGCATCTCGGCTCAAGACTCTATTGCCATTGTTGACGGAGAGAGCACTGTTTTCCAGCTGCCCTCAGAGGCTCTCCTAGCCGAGTACGATGCACAGACAAAACGTGTCAACGTGGAGCTGGGTAGCAAGTATCGTGACATACCTGTCAAGACAGCGGGTAAGCAGAAGTTGCAGCGCTTCAATCAATCGGTGTTCTTTGCAGCAGAATATCAGCTCGTGGAACAACCGCACAACGGATTCCTCAGCAGATTCAGACTTCCCGAGAGAAAGCAAAAGACGCTTCTGAACAGCAATCTTGCAATTGGATCTGGGTCAGGACTTCGTCATCTGTTCGAAACAGCATCGGAGCAGAACACTCGCATTGAGCGTACAGACCGCGATACCTTCAACACCATGTTTGCACAGCAAGGGCACCTTCGCACATCCCAGGCCAAAGAGCAGCGCGAGTTGAAGACATGGTTCACGCGTAATGTGTTACCATCCAACAAAAAGATCAAGACAAAGATGGCAGAGGATCTTGCTGCAGCCAAGCAGGACCTTGGTATGGGTCTTGACTATAGGGCTACCATCTTCCAGACCATCCCAGCTTCAGCTCAGCATGTCGCCGATAGTGTCATCCCGCTGTCAGAACACCCCAGCTTCCCTGTACCCGAGACCTTCAAGACCTTGCAAGATCCATTCATCATACACACTTCGACACCCCACCTCAACTCTACCAGCGCAGTCCTGATTCAAAAACAAGAAAAACTTCCCTACGATTTGCACTGGACAGACGTTCCCCTATTCACCAACCCGAGGTCTCAACGAGTGCCCTCGTTGATCTCCATGCTGCCACCGAAAGCCAAGGACAACACGAAAGCAGACTCGAAACTTCTCACAGCTCCAGATACCAACATGCGCGAACTCTGGGAGTCAATGTGGTTCTACCCCTACGCACGACCACTTCTCAAACAATACCTTTCCAAGTCTACCAGCAAGGAAATTGCCTCCGAAGCAGCCATCGGCGGAGAACGTTGGTACGACGCCCGTGGCGGTCGCGGTGGTGTCTGGACCGTCGACAATGAATGGCTCGACGCCGCAGACCTTTGCGCACCATTTGGCAAAGAGATATTCGAAGACGGATACAGAGGATGGGCCGAGGCTGTCCCTGATGGCGTTGAGTTGTCGAAGGTTGAGAAGAGTCCGGATGGTAAGGGCATTGTCATCGGAGAGCAAGTGAGAAATGGGCAGATTCACAAAATTGTCGCTGTGCAAGCTGAGTCTTGAGGAAAGCATATAGACAAATATAGCATAGCATAGCATGGTAGCTTTCTTCATTTGGTTTCACGGTGATGGATGGAGCAGCAACGGGGTTTTGGAGTTTGCCATTTGCTGCTACTGTATATAGAGAGTGCATCACTACTATTGCTCAACTTTGCTACGATCTCAGAGTTGATTGCCTCTTTGTCAGCGGCATAGTCTTCTACTAACCCCATTGTCTCATGTATGTCTGATCTCAAGACAAAGAAACAAAGCCGACGCGGATGAATACTCATAGCACCGCGACTCGGGTTTTAGCATCACAAAGAAAGCCACCCTCAATCTGACCGAGTGCGGCTCTCAGACAAAGAAATGTCGATCGATGGTATCTCATGACTCTACCCAGATACTCACGTTTCGTGCATGTCAAAGTCCGCGAAACAGACATAACTTCTCGATACGTCTTGGGCATTACTCGAGTCTCGCAACCATGTTGTACACAATCTTGCGCTTCATCCTCCTCGTCTGGTTACTTTGTATGACCTTGCTGGTCATCAGAACGATATATCAAGCCACCTTCCCAGCCTCACCTTACAACAGAGGCGAAGTCGTCGACTATGGAGCCGAGTTCTTGCAAGAAATATTCGCAGAGTTGCGATCCTACTGTCCACGCTTCGATTACTTTGTGACGACGGTCAATCTGGTGCTGTCGCAAGTGTTGTTGACGGTCACCATGAGGTATAAGGTCAAGATAGCAATGTATGCTGGTGCCTCTATCGCTTTTGCTGTCATTGCTTCTGCTATTGTTGCTGGGAGACTGCTGTTCTGGGTACTGTGGACGATGCACAGGCTGATGAACTGGACGGCTCGATCGATCGTGGACTTCCTTATGTACTCCCTCATGGATTACCTCCTGAACTTTTACGAGAATCTTTGAATCATCTGGTGGGTGATCAAAAAGATCTGGAATGGTAAACAGAATGAGCCTGGAAATGCTTTTCACGTCAGGTCTCGCAAGCAAGACATCAGACCTGCCGCTGAGGAACATGCACGTGCACCCGAGCCTGATCATACACGTCCACCACCTAGGGGTCAAGGTCCCGGACGTGGACGTTCTGCCCCTCCCAGATCTGCAGAGAGAGACGAGGAACTCCGCCGCTCTGCTCGCAAAATGGAAAGAGACATGCAAGATCTGTACGGTGACGCTGACACGCCTAGATGAAGACGTGGGAGGGAAGAATTCGTGGATGGGTTCAGGCGTAAGATGGGGATGGAACCAGAATACCAAAAGCAAGAAGCAGGGGATCGAATCACAGAGCTTTCAAGCGATGATAAGAACGACCGAGCTGGAGAGTGGGTCAGGGCGGTCGATGGATATGGTGAAGAGAACGAAATCAACGAGGCCAACGAGATCGACAGAAACCTACAAGTCCAACAATCTAAGCCGTTGACATCAATGCCCACGGTTACCTCTACCCCTAGAAAGGTTATTTACAATGACGGAGTTGAACGAATGGAGCTCGGAAAGGACGATCAACACATCGACTCCGTATGGAATCATGATCAGATCGTGGTTCAAACATACGGTAAGCCAACTAAGCTTGGAGTATGCCGAAGAGATAGTGGTAAAGAGAGGTGATGAGACACTCAGGTATCCTAAGCATGATGGAAAGATCAAATCTAAGACGATTGGAGGGGTGGAGCTTGAGACGAGTTGAGCAGGCCTGGAAAGAATGGCAAATAGATTTGATCGGGATGGTATCATGGAAGGACTAAGCCAAGAATGAGAAGATTCTTCTCGCGACTTCTGAGATGTATTCCGCAGTCTTTACTTGTTCTCCTGAGAGCTTTCATGATCGTGAGACTCCCCGAAGCGCTGTGTTAGAAAGGCCCGTAATCGAACGGAGTATCTGTTGAATGTTTGTGTCTCCTATTTCTGTCTCGACAACAGCAGATTCGGTGTCTACTCCGAGTACGTTGTAGCAAATTGGCACCACGGTCGGGAAGAGTAGCTTCTAGAGTGCACCAACATCGGTTGGCGAACAAAGCCTGAATATTGAAAACAGCACATTTCTTAAGCGCCCCACTGATTTGTCCGTCATCGATGTCGACTTGAATGGTCCGGAACACGAGGCAGTGCGCATGCTGTATCATGTATGACGAGGAGTCGCGCGGTTGTTCCGTTGGCAACAGTGAAACTGTGGAGATAGGATAGTGCCAAGCATCGAGACAAGAATAGAGGCTCCTTTGCCGCCCATCCGACGCCTGCGCCACGGATCAAGGCGGGCTGTTGCCTGAACCACCCAACTGACGCCAGCGCCTTCCTGAACGTCTTCTTGTTATCTCCTTTGCCATCAGCCGTCCTGGCAAGCCCATCGCTCCTTCCCTATCATCAAACCACACCGAAGCATTTGTCTTCGTCAATTATCACATACACCACCTCTCGATAAGCCAACCACCCTCAGCACCATGCACGGAGAAGTGCTCCACCACCTGGTCCGTCGCGGCTTCGAAGCCGTGAGCATCAACGAGTCTGGCCAGACAGTCGTAGCTGAAATCGACCCTCTCGAGTTGCTTCCTGTCGGCCTCACTGTTGCCCTGTTTGTCTTCATCCTGGCTTCGGTACGTAGACTATTGTCTGAAGAAGGTCGACAAGTCACTAACATGATAACAGGTCAGATACACTATCGGAGGAGTTGTCGCCAGTCTGGCCATGATCGAGGATCGCCAAACTACCGTCGTTGAGACACGTACTCTCGCTGTCGATGAGAAAGAGGGCTCTGACGCTTCTATGGACAAGGCCCGCTTGATCGACGAGGAAGTCATGGTCATCAACCAGATCCCTTTGACGTCCAGCATTCGCAAGACCATCAGACACCTCGTCTCGGTCGGAGGCTTCAGAGCTCGCTGGAGAGGCCTTGGCTCTGCGCTCATCTACAACCTCGTTCACTCGCTGTCTGTCAACTTCATCGCCATGTTCCTTGCTGCCTTCACTGGTCTGCCTGTTGTTGGCCGTATCCTCGCCAACATTGCTGCCAGCGTCTTGTGCGCTCGCATCCACATGGTCTGGACCCACGCTGTCGTTTCTGAGCCTTCGCCCTTGACCTGGGCTCAGCGTCTCTCCCAGACTGACAGAAAGACATGGCGTGCTCTGGCTCTGCCCACCTTTGTCCACTCCATTGCCGAGCTTGCCACCTACGGTCTGCCTCTCGCCATGTTCCTTTTCGTCGGCCCCGAGATCACCAACGACATGGACAACGAGTACTTGCTCGTCCGAGGTGCCATGTCTCTTCTTGCCTTTGTTATGCTCAACGTCCTCATCCTCCTTCCTGCTACCGTCACCCTTACCCGCATCGAGGCCAGTTTCTTGCCTGAGGACACCAACACCATTGTTCCTTTCGACCGTACCTTCAATGGTGCCGTCAACATGCTTTCTCTGGACAGCCGTGCTGGGCGCAAGAGCCTCTTCGTCGAGGCTTGGCGCTCATTCGACATGGCCAGCAGAGTTCGCCTGGTCAAGTTTTACGTCAAGGAAGCCGGCATCGAGCTCTTCTTCATGGTCACTGCTGCCATCGCTGTCGGCAGCCAGATGCTCGTCTTGTAAACGGTCAAGGACGACACTGTCCGTGGCAGGTAAACCTGAAACGTATCCCGCCTCATATCATAACCTCTCTTCCCTCAAATTGTAAATGGCGTTTAGGGTTTTCATATGTTCCTGAGAATGACCGAGCTTAGATATCCATCAATTCCAAATCTTGTCTCATACATCAAGTTTCCCGTCGTGCGACAAGCATAGGTACTGATCCAAACTTTGATATTCTAGACTGTCAAGAAGCAAATTGACACAGACCGGAGCGACCAATGTTTTTCAATCGAGATGCCATCAAGCATTCAGCGAAAGCGAAAGATGGAATGACAAACATCGCACAATCATCAAGAACACCCCACTATCCTCCCCACCCAACCCTCTCCCTCTACTTCTCACCCGCAGCAACCTTCTCCTCATACAAAATCTCTGCTTTACTATCCACAGCAGCACCCGCATAAGCATCAATCTTGTACTTGGCAAACTCCCTCGCCGAAACACCTTTGGTGAACAACAAATCCATCTCTTCGTAGGTACGGTCTTTGGCCTCAGGGAGTCTAAAGTATGCCCATATGAAAGTGAGGAAGGAGGTTGCGAACCAGAAGAATGCGGTTTTTCCTTTGAGGTTCCACTCGGTTGGGTTCATGAAGTAGGATTCGAGCTATAGAGGCAGCGGTGTTAGTGGTGGAACAGAAGGAAGAGAGGAAGGGAGGGCAAAACCTACAGTGGAACAGACGATATTCATCAAGGCATAGGCGTTACGGGCCAGACAGACTGTTTTTGCGCGTACGCGGATGGCCGAGGTCTCGGCGACGATGGTGTAAGCTACAGGTCCGACGGTCAAAGAATAAGTGAAGAGCCAGACTACCGTCAAGGCTCCAGCGACCCATTTGACGTCGTCGGATTTGCTTGCTGAGGACACAATGCCGATGATGAAGAGTAAAGCACATAGAACGCCCATGCCGGTGGTGTAGATCTTCCTTCTGCCAACGTTCGCGAGGATGAACCACGACGCGATTGTGCCACAGAATGCTACGGCTGTGCCGCCAAGTCCGATACTGTAGGATACGGTGTCTTTGATGCCTGCTTGCTGGAAAAAGTAGGTAGGTGTATATGCGAAGCACGAGCCTGAAAACAGTTGGCCCATGAAGGTCATGCAGCAAATTTCCGTTCGCCGACGATCGGTGCCCTTGAAGCATTGTAGATAGGAGGTCTGTGAAGCTACATTGTCGAGTTGAGCTTCAATCTCGGTGGTATGAACCATCATTGCTAGTGTTCCTTTGATCTCGTCTTCGTTGATGTTTGTCGAGATGCGCTTCAGGATGTGCTGGGCCTCGTCGAGTCGATTGTTGCGAACCATATACCATGGTGATTCTGGAGCGAAGAAACAGGCGACCATGAGGGGTACGGGCCATGCCCACTGGACGGCGAAGGGGATACGGTAAGACCATTGATCGGTTCTGGCGACGAGACCTTTGAGAACGCCGGCGGCGATGAACTGCCCAATAGCCCCTACGACACGTCAGAAATGTCCTTGTCGAGCGAGAAGACTACTTACAGCACAGATTCACGTAAGACGTCAGATAGCCACGTAGCTGCAAAGGAACGATCTCCGAGGCATAAGCTGGCCCGATCGTCGCGAAGACACCCCAACTGAAACCACACAAGATCTGACCGACGACCAGGACAGGTTTGTTTGGCGCGAAGAAAGTGATGAAGATGAAGGCGTTCAGGAAGAAGAGAGCCACGATGATGACTTTGCGGTAGCCGTATTTGGCAGCGAGCCATCCGTTCAAGAAGATACCAGGAACAATACCGACATTACTAGCGTTGCTGTTTCGAGGTCAGTATCTGCTGTGTCTACTTGTGTTACGATCCTACTCACTTGAGAGCCGTTTGCCAAGCACCAGTAAGCTGATAGTCGTTGGTAGCCACGTTGTATACACCAAACTTCTTAGCGAAAGAAGGATAGGCGAAGAAGCTTGACATCAGGATAGTATCGTAGCCCTCCATGACAACAGTCATCGACATAACCATGCTCCAGGCAATCGCTTTCCAATTCCTCTTGATAACTTGCATGAGCGGTGTATTGTGCTCAGCATCGGATGCATGCTTAGCATCCACGATGGCATGTACGCCAAACACCTCCTCGACATGGTTAGCTCCATGCTTGAGCGAATCGTCTGCTGTGTGAGATGCCATCTTGGGAACTCCTCGAACCACCTTGTTGAGGTGAGGATAGAAGCGAAGCAAAGGACAAGATTGAGAGGTTGTCTTGCACAAGCCTCATAGGGCAACAGCGTGCCTTTAATGCCATGGTACCTCGGACTGTACAGGAAAGATACATGTAACACCTGATCGCAACCCTAAATCAATTGACTGTTATGTAGAAACGGTGGACGCATGACAAGAAGATGGCATGCTAGCGTGTGGTAAGGCAGGAGTTTGCAGATTATCCGGTACGTTCAGAGTAATGATTTGCTAAGGATGCGATGCATGAAGGAAGATCGTCGAGTGGTGGTCGATTCCACCAATCACACCACATCACCCCAGATCACAACCCCGCGTTTGAAGGAAGGCGTGGTGGAGAGTTCGGACGATGTTACCGCGAACTTGCCTGCTTTCAAGCCTCGCTTATGCGGAGAGCCTTGTCTAGAAGCCTGAGCCTAGTTAAATCCTTCAATTCATTGGTGGTCAATCTCTGCTCTTGTGGCTTTCCACATGCGCAAAAACAGGTCTTGATGGGACCAGGGCAGTAGGCTTCATCTGACCTGAATGATTATCCAGAGATAGCCGCAAGACGTGGAGAAACTCTGGACCAATCTCGAGAACTCGGGGTATCCTGTGCTGAATCTTCCCTGGTTGAGATCCTCACAGCAGTACACTTCTTTTTTCACTCTCACCATGTCAAGACAACATCTTACAGTGTTCGCTGGGGAGAATCTCATCACCGCCTCTTTGGACTCCAAAAGTTGACCCGCACAAACTGGACGTCGGCCAGACGCTTGTCAGGGTTCCTTCCGAGCATATCCACGAGGGCTGGACCAAGGCCAGCGACCAAAGGTCAGTAGTCTTCTCACTCCAGGCAAGAATCCTTCCATGCTACAACCGCCCATGGGAAGTGGAAGTCTTCACCATAAAGCCACAGCTGGACTGTGGTGGTAGAGTGTGTCTCTCGAGACAACATATCGAGTAGAGACACTTTTGAGATCCAGGAAACCCCTAGTTCGCTCGATTCTCAGTACCTGGGCCACGAGCAGGTTACAATATCACACAGTGTCACACTTCCTGTATGACCGATGCGGAAGTTTGTTGCGAGACTATCGATAAGACGAGTGTTGAAGATATCTTCCAATGGCCAGTGCATCTTGGAGCCCTGCTTGCCGTGGACGAGAGGTCCCGTTGCAAAGCTGTTCTGTAATTTGACGGCCGAGCCCACTGGTATCGAGCACACTTCAGGTGCCCATATCTTATCAGCATGATATGAGTCAAAATCATTGAGAGTCTATCCATTACCTGTAGTTTTCAACATACTTCATGTTGGCATAACATGCTAGGAAAGTGTTGATCTGACGATAGGATACGGACTTCGTTAGTTCAGGAAAGATACCCAGTGAGGGAAAGCTGAGTCTTGTTTTTGGGTCACCGAGCTGGCAGAGTCGCGTTTCGGCGTTTCAACGCGTCCCTATCCTCATTGTTCTCGGCGACATCACCCACACATTGGACAGAACAACCAACGGCAGCAACGTAAAACCATGGAAGTCCACAAGAAGATGCTGGCCAAGAAGCTCAAGGCTCTTTACAAGATCGTAGAGCACCAGAACCCTCGCCTCCACCTGTCTCTCACCATCCGCTACGCCGACGATCTTAAACGCCCTGACCACGACGTCGTTGAACTCAAGATGCCCGAGGACGTTGGCCGCTTCATCAAGGCTGGAGAGCACATGTCTGAGGCTGAGAGACACGAAGCCGGCATCGATCGCCTGCTTACCACCAACATGCACCTCGCCCAGCCCAGCGCATACAACCCCATCAAGACCCTTGGAGAACTGAGAAAACTCTTCAAGTCTGGCTATGTGCGCAAGCCAGAGAGCCCCAGATGCGCCCAGTGGGACGCCTGTGTTTTCGAAGAGCTGCAGGTCCAGGGCTTTGTCATTCAGCTGACCATCGATGACTTCTGCTGGGCTGCCGATGAAGTTTGGGGTCCTGCTAAGGTCGCAACTCACAAGCCTGTAAGTCATGTTCGTCGTCGTGCTCGTCGGTCTTGTCTAACCAAGGAAAGGTCCACTCTGAAGGATGAGTTGTTTCGAACGCATCGAAAATCGACTTCGTGTTTATTGAAGGTCCGTGGTCGATGTTTCCAGCACCAACAGCATATACTGACGGCAAACATCAACAGCGTGCGCCCGCGGTACATGCCACCGCATTCGACCCAGGGGTATAGCAACCATTGAGGCGAAGAGTTACCGGAAGCAGAGAGTAGAATGTCAAAAGAGATAGGTATTTTCCGTGGCTTTCAGATACGAGACGCTATAGTGTTAGCTGGCAAACAAGACCGACCGACGTCGCTGGTTCGTCGTGGCCGTTGCTCTATTACCCTTCTCTTTCCGGACCGCTTCTGCTCAACTTGTGATGCTGTCGTCGCCTTCTCTCAAGGCCGAGTGCCATTCCTGACCGAAGGATGGTCGGTTTATTGTCATGGGTGAATAGAAGGACACGAATCCTCGAGCTGGCTGAAAGGGAGGGGCGTCGACGCCTTCGTACCCAGGTTTGCCGGCCACAATATTGAACCACCCTGGTCCTGCCTCTTCATATACAAGTTCTGTCAGCCACCAGCAGTCGTGCCGTACTCAAGTAGCCTGGTGACCAGACGTGATCGGCTAATTACGATGGCATAGGAAGTAGTAGGTCGATCACTCGGTTCGTCGGCTGAAGACTCGTTTCTCGCCCTCTCCTCCAGGAAACTTGGCGAAATGGCAAGCTCTTTCCCCACGCGGGGACCCCATTCTCACAGGCCTCATCCAATCTCATCTCATTTTTGCTCGTGAACGTCAACGAATCATTGCGATATGGAGCTCCTGAAGGCGTTGATTGAGTGATCTTGACGTCCACAGCAGACACGCGTCAGGAATGCATCTGCTCTGCACCCTTGGACCCGCCACTCAAGCCATGCAATTACGCTTGTTGAATGCGAAGGAAGAAAGGCCAATGCACCTGCCATTCAGGATCCCCGCAACGTCATCCGATACCATCTTGTAGCGGTGGACCTGACGATCCTTTCTTTGAATCAATTTTCCCAGAGCGGGGTCCGGCAGAGATCCAATGCTATAATACTTAGGCTTGGCCTACCTTCACATCTGTTTTGTTGTCCGTGTTACTCATCGCACTCACTCATAATCACTTGTTGGGTCAGATCAACACTCAGACAAGCCATGTTCTCCAAACTCGCTGCTTTGGCGGCCCTCCTCCCTGCGACAGCTCTTGCTGCCAGCATTGCCGGCAACGGCTCGTCAGTGCTGTCCAATGGCAAATACGAGATCTCCTCTGAGGGCATCCGCGCAAACTTCATCCCTTACGGCGCATCCATCTCCAACCTCTTCATCAGAGACGCCCACGGTATCGAGCGCGATATCGTCCTTGGTTGGGACAATGCTACCTACTACACCGAGGACAAGTCCCACCCTCACTTCGGGTGAGTATCATTTGCCAGGATTCAATTCAACTACTGACAGGTTGTAAGTGGTGTCCCCGGACGTTACGCCAACCGCATCAAGAATTCGACCTTCGAGATTGACGGCAACACCTACCACGTAACCCCCAACGAGAACGGAGGCCGCGACACCCTTCACGGTGGACTCGATGGTTGGTTCGTAGTACTACAATCAGCAGGTGGCATGCGGCCATTGACATATTCTATAGGGACTGGCGCAACTGGACCGTGGTTGCTCACACCACTGACTCCATCACCTTCTCCATTGTTGACCCTGACGGCAAGGAGGGCTTTCCTGGGGAAGTTATATCATACGTCACTTATACGTTGACTCCCTAGTAAGTAGACATGGGTGTAGTATCCAGGGTACGGCAAAATACTAACTGTATGCAGCCAATGGCACTTTAAGATGGTTGCAGTCGCAACTACCAAGAAGACACCCATCATGCTGAGCTCTCATGTATGGTCTCTTGCTCAGAATTTCCGAGACATATGCTGATTCAGTTCAGGTTTACTGGAACCTTGACGGCTTCCAAAACCCTAACGACGCTACGGTCAACAACTACACAGTACACTTGCCTTACTCTGGCCAGCGTGTCGCAGTCGATGGTATTCTCATTCCTAACGGAACCATCTTGCCCAATCAGAAAGGCGATGTTTTCGACTTCTGGTCGTCTCCGAAGAAGCTAGGCGCCAACTTGACTTCCCCCGATCTTGTTGGTGGCTGCGGTAGCGGATGTATCGGTTACGACACCTGTTGGCTCGTCAACAGAGAGCAGAATGGACCTTACGACTGGCGCGAGTCAGGACCTGTCGCTACTGTATCCAGTCCTTTCTCTGGTATCCAGATCGACATCTTCTCCGACCAGCAAGCCTTCCAGATCTACACCTGCCCCGGTCAAAATGGTATGTCTTGTCTGCCATTCGAAGATAGCATCTTGCTGACTCTGTTGAATAGGAACCACTGCTATCAAGGAGACTCAAGGCTTCTTCAACCAGACTGACCAACCTCGCGTCGTCCAGAAGTACGGCTGCATGGTCATGGAGGTTGAGGACTGGATTGACGCCATCAACCAGCCTGAATGGCAAAGAGAAAAGAGAAACATCTTTGGCCCTGGTGACGACCCATATGTTCTCCAGGCAACTTACAAGTTCTCGGTCAACGACGTGGCATCTACCTCTAACAGCACATCCAGCTACTAGAAGGCAGATAGACGTGCAAGATCGATATAATGAACGATGAATAGCTAATCAATACCTTTTGAGATACTCACGCGGTGCCGTCGCTGTGAAGCTCGTAATGAGAGATGACGACATAGAAACTTGGTGAGGAATAGAAGTCGCACGAACGTACATGACTCGGAATGTAAGTGACGACGGCAGTCGAGCTTATCGATCAGATATTCACCGCGGTGTGTTGATGGACTTATGCTTCACTCTCTTTAGCGATGCGCAAGCGATTTCCCGCCCATACACTTCCATCATCACATTTCCTCGTTCATCCCTCGTTTTCGTTCTTTATCATCTACCCTCTGACGTCCGTTGACTGGCGCACATCTCTTCTGACACTAACAACATTACGCCGGCTCTTTCTGAGAACACCCAGACTTGCGCAGTACAACAGAGATCGTCACCAGCTGTCAAGGACATTCCAGCACGTTGTCAGCGACATCTCAGTACTATAGCACTCCAGCTCTCTGTCCTCCACGGCGTATAACAACTCGAAGCTTGGAGAAAACATCTCTGAGATCGTCAAGAGAGATCCTCCAACAGATATTCAAAATCGCCAGAATGAATACGCGTGAGAGAGACTCGTATCAACTCAAAAAGGTGTTTCGAGACGCCTTGCCTAACTCGAACACGGCAGCAGACAGACTTCAGGTCGCCATGGGATTCGAGTCAGGAGAAATGAATAATCACGGACAGCTCGTTGTCGCACCCTGGCATATGCCTCTGCCTAGGGAACTACAAGGCCAGCCTCAGAAGAGGCCTCTTCAATCGCTCAATGCAGCCGCAGCCATAGCGGCCGATACCACCATCGCTGGTCTTGACAACACCAACATCCCTAACACACAAGCTCAAATCGGACCACGCCCGAAACGTAGTAGAAGAAGAGGTCACCCATCTAACCAACTCGAACGCTCACTTCACAACAAAGCTCTCGCCCAGCATCTTTTCGCAGCTGAGACAGAGGGTTTGGCTCCTCTCCCTTCCACGGAGGCAAATCTAGAGCCTCTTGTGAAAGATAACAGACCCCCTTTCAACGCCGATGAGTTCACGAACAAGGTACTCAAGCGTAAGCTATCCATGGTCAGCATCCCGCCAGCCCCCGTAGACGATTCTATCACTGGAGACGTGCCCAATCTCGTGTGTCAACAAGCCTTTCAACATTATCGTCGCATGACTGGACGTATGACTATCAAGAGTGACATCAAACTCAAAACGGGCAAGTCTGAGTACCCAAAGGCTGTCGAGTACGCAGTCAGACCTGATACACCATCACCTCCTCGACGTCGCTCCATGCCACCCATCGAAGCAGTGCTGGCTCACGGCTTCAAGACTATCAACTTTGACCGCCCAGTTGAATGCATTACTCCACGCTCACACGCCCATCACCCATGGACAAATCTCCTGTTCAGCCACAAGATCCTGTCACCTACTCCAGCATTCCTACTCAACATCTCTCCCTTCGTCATCGATGAGAACAGTAATGCCCGCTACTGGCAGCCTTCACTGCCACAGATGCTATCCCATCACCTCGCCAACCCAGCAACACTGATCGAAGAAACACCTATCCAAAGCTTGACTTTCCACCTACCACCTCCGGACCCGACTCTCGTAGCTACAAGCAACGGAAAGCAACCCAGAACATCCAAACATGCCCACTACAAGACCGAAGGGCCCGAAAGCGGCACCGAGGTCAGAATGATCAGAATGATTCTCTCACCTGCACTCAATGCCGATACGGGCAGTGAAGAAGAGGTTTCCCATACAGATTGGTTGCTTTTCTGCCTCGGCGATTCTGGCACACCCACGACAACAAGGGTCTTGCGCTCTGCTTCCCTCGCACCCAAACATCCATACACTCTAATCGCCATCCCCAGCTACGCAATCGCCGAGACTGCTTTTGTGCCAAAAAGCCCTGTGCTATCTACCGAAGGATCTGCCGAGGGAGAAAAGACACAAGAGACGTTCAGTACGGTACTCAAATTCATACTCAGAGGAAGGCTGCCTTTGATGTTCGGCGTGGGTAGAGACATCAGTTTTGCGGATAAATGGATCAGAGGATTCGGAACAGGAATCGCGAGTTTGGAGGTTGAAGTCAAACGTGGGAACTTGCCTTGTTGGTTGTGAGGGGGGCATGCGCTGGATGCACTCACGGTGGTTCTTGTTTTTTGCTGAGCTGCAGTTGCTTCCCTTTGTTTCCCTTCTTCCTTGTAATTCAACAGTCAAGACCGTTTGAGCGTTGATGATTCAGTCAATCATCGCGACCCTTCGATTGTAGTCGAAGCTGTTCTCTCAGTGTTTGCAAAGACAAGTAAAACCTGTAGCTATAAAAAGGCACAAAGTTCTCGACAAACAGAGTGATGTCCATTGGAATGCCAAACATCCTCAGCTCTCTCCGGATACGTCACTGATCTGAAACATCGTTGTGCCTTCCTACGGAAGAGATCATCCACACTAGATCTTCACAAGGGAATGCATAGGTGACTGAAACACGGTGCTCTGGGTGGTCGACAGTATTCGTCGGCCTGCACGATGGACTACGTACACTACACGCGCAGGACAAGCGATAGATGGAGACTCAGGCGGTGGCGACCCGGTGGCGACCCGATACGCCAATATTGTGTTATTGAGCAGCGCAATGGACAAAGATACACGCAGGCACCCTGAGTGCACTGGTGCTGGCTGGTGCTCGCTGCGTTTTGTCGCTGCGGCAAGTGTGATCGAGCTTCAACGGTAGGAAGGACGTTTTATATACGAGCCTCCAGTGCTGCAACATGGAATATTCCCTTCCAACAGGAAAAAAGAACAGATGATTGCGCTCTAAAATGGTACAGTGATATTACATCAGAGTCGGAAAAGATAAATGTGCTTTGTTCTATACATAAGTTCGTCTGATGCGATATTTCCATGCTGAAAGAGAAGAAGAAGGGGTATATCCCAGAACGCCTGTGCCAGTAAACGCCGTTTCAGTCACCTATATGCTATTGCTGGTCTCGAGTCTTGTTCTTGAATGTCAAGAAATCAATCTCCTGTCAGATCCAGCTCCTCAACACCACTCTTCCTGTACATTCGCCGATCCTTTGGCGTTGGTGCAGTCAAATCAACCTCCATAACAACTTCTTTCCAGTTGCCGGGCAAGCTATCCCGAGGTTGTATAAATCTCTTCTTCACTTTTTGTGCTGGTGTCTGCAGCGCCTGACGGTCGTCAGCTGTATGGATTGACTGCACCGTCGGGATATCACGAGCACGCGCAGCATTTGCTACGTTTGACGCAAAAATCGATGAATCTCTTGCAACTGCCGCAGTTTTCGTGACTGTAGCTTCGATCTTTCTGTCACGTAACCGCTTGTTGACTGGAAGTAAAGCAGAAGCCGATACAATAGGTCGTTCGGGGCTTGGCATCTCCTGTGGCCGCTCGGGTTCGCAAGGCGGTGTGGGCATGGATGACGAGAACTCAATCACCTCGATCTCCTTTGCGAATGGAGCTGGCCTATGAGTATCCTCTGATGCACTCAATTCGACAGATGGTTCGCCAATGGGCGTAGGTATGGTTGAGAGCTCGACTGCCTCACTTAACTTATCAGACACGCATTTTAGTCCACCAAATCGAGGAAGTCTCGGTAGCGACTCTGGTGAAGCTAAGTCGATTGCCTCTATGTCGATACCTCGAGGAGTAGAAGGCCGAAGCAGGAGTGAGTCCATATCATCGGCGCCTGCGATCGGTGCGGTCTGGTATCGCTTCAAAGGTGATCTTCTTCTCCTTCGCGTTACTGTGTCAGGAAGTGGTGCATCGGCGTCGACGTCTTCCTGGGGAGGCACGACTGGTTTGCTGAACTGTTTGAAATGGTCTTGTATGCTGGCTGACCGCACAGGCGCTGCTCTGGGTGGAGCTGGCTTGACAGGGGACGAGGAGAGTAGATCAACGACTTCCGGAGGTCCAGAGGGTTTTCGGGCTGGCGAAGTCATCCTTGGCCTGGCTCTTCTGGGAGGCGATATTGGCTCAGGCGAAGGCCGCTTCGAAGATCGCTTGTGAGGAATTATCATCTCGAGACTGAGGTCTACCTCTGCTATCGAGGGCGTCTTGCTTGCCGTATTACCACTCAGATCTAGTTGGCGCACGGGTGCTCTGGTTCTGAATGAGCTGCTCTTGGGTGCTGGCTTCGCACTATGCTCCCTCGAATTCTGTTTTGCGATAGCATCGATCTGAGTCAAATCCAGCTCATCACATTCTGGCGATCTGGACTTAGATTGCGCGGTGCGATCTACACCAGGCTTGGTGGTTTTTGTAAATTGGTCCAGAGCACCTCTCTGCATACCACCGGCCTTCTTAGTGGCTGCAGGCTTGCGAACAGCTGCCACTTCGCTGGTGGCGGCTTTACGAGGTCGTGGGGCAGGTCTCGACTTGGGCGCGCCGGCACCGGCCTCCCAGTCTTGAACCTTTAGCGGCACACCGAGACGCACAAAGGTGTCCAGAAGCCAGACCTTGTCATGGACAGTGGGATCGTAGGTAGAAGGACCTCGCTTCTTCTTTGGTGATCCAGGACACTCACCGTCCTCAGTTGGCAGAGGCTCCGAGTCCTCATCTTCCTCATCTTCAGGGATCTCCTCATCAGGATCTTCGAAACTGAGATCGATGTCAATCAACTCAATGGGCTTGAAGCTGATTCTGAGCTCCGGTATGTTGTCAGTCGTTGGATGCAAGCGCTTGCTGTGGATCGCGTTGACCAAGGATGCTTCTCGAGCTTTTTGTATAGACAAACTATCCCCGTTGCCTTCAGTAGTCTCGCCTCGCATTCTGAGTTCTCGGACAAGCACAGCAGGAGCAAGGTTGCGAATGAACTTCTTGGCACCACCAATGCATCGCCAGTCAAACGCATCACCTGTGAAGTCTCGAAGACTGGGATAGTCCAGCGGCATGTCCCATTTGAGGGTATCCTTGAGTTTGGCGATCTTGTCGGGTGCGGAGATGCATGGATGGGTGTAGTAGCGGAGAACTTTCTGATCGGGGAACGTGTCCGGAATGGTCAGAGCTGGACGCTTCTGGCGAAAGTGCTTGCTTTCGTTGGTCCGAATCTCATGGCGAAGCTTCTCTCTCCAAGTGTTTAGAGCGTCGGTCTCGTTTCTGTCTAGGCTGCACAATTCGTCACCAAAACCAGCTCTTGCTGCCTCGCAGGCTAGTTTAGGACCACATCCAGGGATACCCTCAGTGATGTAGTCACCTCCGCTCATCATGGCAACCAGAATCATGCCGTTACGATCCAGGCCACTGGTTTCCTTTGTGGCATCGGCTCGGTATACGTTCACGTGGGTTGGAGTCTTGCTGCTCTTTTGTTCCGGAGTCCAGCTTCGCAAAGTCATGCCACTTCCAAACATGAGAGTGTCAACATCTTCACTGAGGACGGCGTCGACAATGCCCTCTCGCTGGAGCAGAGCGCATTCAGCTTCGGCCTCACCCGGAGCATAGTGGAGAGGAAAGCCGAAGTGTTTGAGAAGTTGTTTGGCCAAGAATTCGGGCACACTCGATACCCTCACATTTGGACCTCCGACCTTCTTGTTTCGTTTCCAGGTGGGCTTGTTAGGGCCATCGAAGACGAATAGAGGGTGGATGTTGAGGGAGAGAAGGCGTAAGAGGCGATAGTAGAAGGTTCTCAGAGCAGGATTGGTGCCACCCTTGCCGGACTGAATTTGGAAGAGCCAGATGCTGATATCGATTGCGAGGCGGAAGGGACGGGAATGTTGGATGTAGTGTTCGGCGGCGAGTTTGCTTACGGCGATGCGCTGACCAGGGCCGATCTCTTTATAGATGCTGCATCCTGTGTGAGCAGAGGCCTTGTATAATTCCAAGGCGGACGGCAATATACCCATGAATACCCATCTCTGGTGCTCATCCGTTCGTGAGCGCAACAAGTACCAAAACCAACCTCCCATCCATAGCCACAGAGCCTATCATATGATAGTTCTTGCGGTCGACTGTTCTCTGTCTCTGTCGCAAACTTGTTTGACCAAAGCCGCCGCTGCCTCGAGGCGTTGCCATGGCAGCTGCGGCCCGCTCCGCGGCATCACATGACCTCTTTGCGCCGTACCTTCCTGTCGACACGTTTGGTTGCATTTCCACATAGATGGCTGATGGTCTTCTTGGAAACTATCGTGCCTGTCTATCGCATTAATATACCCAAGATATCTGGTCTTGTTTGGCCTGTTCATCGTCTGGCTCGGTCATCAATAGGTTGGAGATCATACCGCGTCACCAGATCTTGAGGCTTCGAGGTCGGGCGCGAGCTGATTGTTTACTCGTTACGCAAGGGCCATTGATTTTTGTTTGCATCTGTACATATCTGGCTTTGAGCATATCCTGCGACTCGCAATTGACTCGCAACTATGAGAATGCATTCTCCACTGGACTCTGCGACAACAAGCGCAACTTCGCCTTTACGACCAACCCACAAGCAGTCTACCAGAGGTCCTCTGGCTCCTAGATCATCCAACTACCACACATCGCCCGCTGTCAAATCTATGCTCATTGAACCAAAGGACTCTCAAGGTGCTCCCTGGCAGTCCAAGGTCACTGTTGAGGCCGAACAGATGCCTACATCAGCCAAGTCGACCACAAGGGCACAATTTATGCCGCAACGCCATGTAGAGTACAGTCAGGTTCCCGATCTCTGTCCCGTCTCTCAGTCTGGCGACCACCCTGGAATTGATTACTCTTTATCAGAAATCGACTTTGTCGACATTCCATTCAAGGACGCTCCTGCTCCAGCAGCTGTCGACTCTCTGTCATCTGAGCCAATGTGTTCATTCGCAGATCGCAGAACACCTCCGAGTGCGCGCATTGGATCATCCAGAAGACATTTCAGAAGCAGTGCCAAATTCGCATCAGCTCGCGTAGAGCCGACTGCTGCAGATGAACCTCGGTTTGAACAAGACGACGACGAGGAAGAGGATGTACTTGGCGCTTGTGCTCCTGGCGATGCAACAATGCTCGAGAGCGAGGAATTCAGCATGATCTCGGTCGATTCCTTACCTAGCCGAGCCATTAGCCATTCTTCGCCTTCGCATGCTCTGCAGGCTACCGAGGGCGATGCCTCCGCCAATCGCTCATACATGCCCTCATCTCCTCCTGTTGCCGACAGGATTACCCCCATGCCTGAGAATTCGACCCCAGAGAACCCCGGAGCGCCACAGCCTTCGCAAAACAACGACGCCGATATTGCTACACCTTTGAGAGAAAGCGCGCGCAAGTCGGGAAGGGCGTTACAAGACGCTTTGAATGGTCCGTTCCGCGAATCCGTGTCTAGAGAACTACCTTCAGCTCGAGAATCTATCTTCAGTGGCTTTAGCTCTGGTACCAGACGCCAGCTGCGCCAGAGTCTCCACACCGGCCAGAGTCTAGCTACACCGACCGCTATGCAGAACGCGCCCCGATTTTCACCTACTATCAACACCATGCCAAACTATCTATCCCCGTTTCACAGCCCAGTGCGACAGCAAGAGACCTTTGATTCGCTTCCTAGCCGTCTTGTCAGTCCTGAAACAGTCGGTCAATCACGGTCTACTGCCGACGTCCAACCTAAAGCCAGCGTCGAGTATCCCGAACTTGCTCAAGCATCCAGAAAGAGCGGTCCAGTCCACGAGGAGCCCGAGATGAGTTACGTCGATGTCTCAAGGCCATCAGCCACCCATATGCAGAGCCCACCACGCTCCTCGCCAGCTTCCGGACATGATGGAGCTGAGCACTCTGTGGAAGATGCAGCCTTGCAAGACGTAGACGAGGAGGACAAAGACATCTGGCAAGAGGAAGCTAGCCGTTCCGTCAACGAGGCAGAAGGCTCTCCTGAACAGACTGATCTGTTTCTGGATGACCTGGTCGTCAAGCCACGCAGGAATAAGCTACCTGGTACTTGGCGTCGCAACTCAGGAACAGCCTTCTCGTACAGTGATTCACCTGAGTCTCAAGAACGCCAGAATCGCAAAGCAAGTGCCTCTACCAAGGGCTCTTCCAGAAAGAGCAGTGGCGTTATGACACCACCATCATCTGATGATGGCAGCGTTGCTAGCGGAAAGAAGCTGAGTGAACGAGCTGACTCTTCCGCTAAAACTGCGACGGACGAAGACCACAGTCAGTCCGAGTCTGGTGATGATACAGGTGTGTTCTTCCAGAAGAATCTTCCCTCGGTGTACAACTCGAGAACAACCAAACAAATCGCAGACTCGGCAAAGAGTAGTTTTGCGCCCAGCAGCCCGCTTAGAAACACTGTCCTGGACATCAGTCCCATGAAGAATGTCCAGAATATCGAAAGCGGTTCACGATCAAATCTCTCCGCTGGACCGTCACCACTTCGTCGAAGCCTGGTCGGCACTCAAGCGACACGACGAGGTGATGAAGTCGACACTTCGGAGACACAGACAGACTCTAGCCTGGCTTCAGATGCGCAACAGATACAAAGAGAGATGAGAGGAAAGTCTAGCAGAGCTGCAAGCACGATCTCTAGTCTGACATCTGGAAGCCAGATGAGAGGGTCGAGGCGAGCACCAAGTGCAAATACTATTGACCTCACTATCAGTAGCTCGTCTGAGCATGATGTTTCGACAATATCCTCGAGATCAACAAGCTATCAGGAAGACCTGAACTTGGAGTCACCCATGCGTGTCAAGGTCAACTTCAACGATGACGCTGGTAACTCGACTCTCCTGGAGCCCAAAAGACAATATCTTGCTTTGTTTGACAATGTTTCAACATTATCGAAACCTGCGCACGAGTCTCATGAGAACTCAGAACCCAAGTCCCCGCTGGCGAAGCTCACTGAATCTTTTTGGGAGGCTGTAACCAAGCCTCCAGTGTATGCATCACCGGAACGCAAGCCTCAAGTTGTGCTAGAAGCGGCTCCAATTGCCACCGTACCCGATCACGTACTGCGTTTGCGTCGCAAGTATGGTCTGCTGCCGGATACCCATCCTTTCATATACGCACATATCCGCACACTGCATCGCATGCTGAACTCTACACGGTCCCGTTCTGGCAATAGTATTGTACCTCAAAGTGGACCTCTGAGTCACGGTCTATCACGTCTACTCGGCAAGTCCAAAACCAACGCACTTGACCAGCGGTTCGTATGGACGCAAACACATCTGCACGTTGTTGACTCATTCATGTCGCTACTTCTACCACAAGAAAAGCGGGATCGCCTGCAATACGATACAGGTTCTTGGGGCGATGCTGAAGCGCTCAGACACCGTGGACGCGACTCGAAAGGCAGATATGGAGATGAAGTCGTGTTCAATGGCGTCAAGGGCGGTCTGATCGAGGCATCTTGGGTTGCAGATGTGCTTGTTGATATCGTGTTCAAGGAGGAGATGAACGCCAAGAAGAAGAGGGTGGCTGAGATGATGGCCCGCGCTGAGAGCATGGCGGTGTAAAGGACAGGTGTGCGAAACGTGTCACGACTTGATGTACAGGAGTTGGTTAGATGGTGTTTGCTCATACGGTCATAGAATTTCGTACCGTTTGGATAAGATGTTGGCGTTTGATCTGATAATCACTTTCTGAACATCGATGTATCTCAAATCTCTTTCTCACGATTGTGCATCAGTGACCTGATTCGCTGTTTAGATTGTTCTGATGATAACCACATGACTGGGGGATGTCAAGAGATTGTAAGGCCTGGTGGTTGACGTCAAACACTTGTACACATCTCGTCTGTACCAATTTTGCACGTCAAACTAGCCAAAAGTCACAATACCTTTACACATCTCACCGCCATCCGCGGAAAGCCCAGAGAACGGCTGTTCTCACTAGACGACCCTACATCTCGCGACAACTCTTTGCATTGTGATAGTCCATCAACGACCACCATCTCCACGATGAGACCACAGATCCCCACACTTCGATACCGATGAAATTCCACCGGGCAAGAGTGAAAAGTTTGAGCCGGGTTACCGTTCTTGTATACTTTTTTCCTCAGCCGTCGACTCGGAAGTACAGCACGAGCTTCTACATTGAGCTTTGTGGTCGAGAAACGATTTACATTACCCAGCTCTCGCGTTCGTGACCCGAGTGTCGATGTATGGGTGCGGTAGAGCCAAAGAGAACGATGTGAGACACGGCACACACACACACACACACGATCGGCAGCTTCAGTGTTGGAGACGGTTGCCCGGTGCTGCTACTAGCAGCATTGGTGGGGTTGATGGATCCAAGCTGAGACTGCTGTGATGGTATGTTTATATAGTCGAATCTTCTGGACAGAGTGGTGGTTTCAGTGACAAGATGGAGGTGAAGGAAAGAGCAAATTTGGGAGAGAAAATGGATATGTGATAGGAAGAGAAGGGTATCTACCAACGAACCGAAGAACGCAAGTTCTACAAGACAGGGGGAAAAACATGTCCAAATGAACCCCAGTCAAATTTTTCAATCCATCCCACTAGGTCTCTTGGGCTTCAGATAACCCAAATCCTCGTCGTCATAACGTTCGTAGTTGCTCTCGTCGCTGCGACTGCGACTTCGGTCCATACGCGCGCGACCGAGATCACCCATGACATCTTCAGGACTCTCGCTTCTGCCGCTCGTGACGAGCCAGTCGTCATCATCAGCTTCATACAAAGGTAACTTGCTCTTACTGCCAGAGGTTTCAGCTGCATCACCAGTAACGAGACCTAGTCTTTCTTCCTCGCTGGCATTGTTACGGCTGGAGGGACGTTGGTGGGAGGAACTGCTCTTGCGAGAGGCGAAACTCAAAGCGCCGCGGGAGAGGGGCCGGATGGTACCGTCGTCTGCGAGCTCGTCGCCGTGGCCTTTGCGGTGAAATACGTTTTGGAAGCTGAAGGTGCGTTTGCCGGAGGAATCTGGTCGCGAGTGTGGTGGCGGCTTGGGAGGCATGAGGGAGCTGGTTTGGCTCATGGCGCGTTCTCTTTCTCGCTCGTCGATGCTGGTTGTCCAGTGGATTGCACTGCCGCCTTTGTAGGAAGTGTCGGTATCGTGGATGGGTGAGCGGAGACCAGAGGGTAGGCCGTAGACGTGCTCGCGTGCGGGTTCTTCGTCTGCTGTGGTGGTTGCGAAGCTCGATTGTGATTTCAGGGTTAGTGGTGGTTTCATTTCCATCAGAGAGTGGTCGCCAGAGTGGTTTCGTTGCTTCTTCTTACTTCGGCGGAAACGTGGTAGGAAGCCGGGATGAACGTCGTTGTCACTGTCGCTATCGGTGTGGTGGCCATCGATGAAGTGTGTCAGCCCCAGAGGAGGATGGGCAGTCCTTGTTGATGACCGTAACGATTGGTGTCCACTGGATCCGACGACAGTCTTGCGGCGACGTATGCCATCGAAGTAGACTTGATCGTCCTCGCCAATGGGTTCCATGTGCTCGCTAGCGATTGTGCGAGCTTCGTCAAGCTGCTTCATAGTACGTTTTCTGCTCATCGCGCGAACGATTGCGGCACCGCCACGAATAGTATCGGCGCGTGGTTCGGTCTCTGGCTCTTCCTGCTCGGCAATGGTGCGGACTTGATCCAGGTCTCCTTTGAAGACAGCTGTGTCCGGCACATCCTTGGAGGATTTCGCAAGTTGGAGCAGCACAACACCAGAACAGATTGTCAGGAAGCCCATGATGACACTCACGATACCCACTGTGCTGCCACCGAATCCTCTGAACAAGATAGCTGAGGTGATGATGGTGGCAGAAGTAAAGTAGACGTAGTATGTCGGTGTGACCAGAGCGGCGTTGTAGATATTGAGCGCTTTCTGTAAAGGGTCAGCACGTCTGGTGTGCAACCAGCTTGATTGCTACTCACATTGAGATAAATGATCTCAGTCAAGAGAGTACCAATAACGAAAACGAACAAGACCCAGAGAAACCATTGCTTGAACTGGTTGACAGGGGTAGTCTTGCCAATCGCAGCAACGATAGCAGCACCAAGACCTTGGGTCGCAACAACGCTCAATCCGCCAATAAGACTGCAAATGGTGAGATAGACAAACATGCTCTTGTTGCCGTAGCGGGGACCAGCCCAAAGAGCAGTAAAGGCACAGCCTAGAATGACAACTCCAGTATATGTCAAGAAACCCGGTGCGATGACAAAATGTTGCATTTGCTGGATGTTGGCAGCGGAAGATTGCTCAGGAGCATTCAGGGCGATGATGACGGCGCCAATCACACATTGAAAGCAACCAACCTTGCCAACGAAACTGAGACGTTCTTTGAGGAAGATTGCAGATAGTACCGTAGTGATGACAACACTGAGAGCTCCGAAAGGGGTAACAAGAATGGCATCGACCTGGAGAGAACAACAGTCAGTGGTCTTCCAAGGGACTTCAGGAAGAAAAGGATGATCTTACAAAAGCGTATGCCACAAAGTTGCAAATCTCGCTGCATTATGGTCAGCCTTTAGACACAAAGATGAGTTGGGCGACCGTGTCTCACCCTATGATCATCAGAATCATTCCTGTCCACCACCACCCATTTTTGAGGTAACCGTAGCCCTCGCCAGCAGCCTCGTTGTACTTCTCATTCGCCTTGAGCAAGCCATGCTTTTTCAAGACGAACGATGTGCCAATAAAGAGACCAGAGCATACGGCAAGAATGATACCAATTGCTTTGTATACTGGAGGTCTCGAGGCGTGATCTTGGCTTGCTTCGGTGCTGGTTCCATTGGTAGCGTTTGCCCGAGCGTACAAGTTGCTGGCTGTCAATAGAATATGGCCGGCGGAATCCATGTCGTATCAGAAGGCTTGAAGAGCAACAAAAGTATGGATTGTTGCGACGTCGGAACGCCTTATCTTTTGCGCTGCTCACGCAGCATCAAGCGCTTGGTGGTTTGTAGGATGTGTCTGGTCGGTATGTATGTTCCTCTATGGTTCGTGTCCAAAGTCCTTCTCTTTTCAGAATATGTCCAGCAGAAACACGACGGCAGATCAGGCTATGTACAGGGCGTTGTCGTAGGTGTAATACGGAGGTGACTTGTACGTTTATGGTGTGCTGACAATGTGGGGATGCGGTTTGCGGGCGGGAGTCTTTCGCCGTGCGCAACTCGGGGCGAATCTATCGCGGGCCTTGTCTTGGAGAGAAAGAATTTGCTATGAAGATCCAGATAAGATGGGCTGAATGCAAATGCTCTGTCGTGCTGTATGCATGTGGTGGAAGGAGATGGCGTGTGCGGCTACACAAATTGTCCATCTCCTATGTGTACGAGAACTGCGCCCCGACCGGCAGAACTCGAGACGCGAGGCTGGCTCAAGGTTTGTGGATACGCGCTGCTTTTGCCGACGAGTCCTCTGCTCCTTGCTCAGCAGCATATCTCACCTTGTGCTCATCTGGAGACCGTCTTGGTGGACGAACAACCACATATACCATGGCCAGATCTTTTCCATAAGAACGTCTGCCCGGCCAACGAGCATGACTCCATAAACATCAACAACCCCACTTGTGTACTCGAGTAAACTCTCTTGTTTTGTTTTCGCTTCACAAGTCAGGAGAGCACATTCAACATGATCGACGAGCACCATGAGAGGTACTCGTACAAATCTGCAGAAAACATGCAGAACAAGGTCACTATACGAGTTGGCGAGCTGAGCATAACGTCTTCAGCCGTGGACCCATGGCCTTGTCGACATTCGAGCCGACTGTTCAACAAGCAGCTGGGTACTACACATCGCTCAAGGATCCTGCAGGGTACGAGACGGTCACTATTGTTAAGACATAGCCTGTACGATGCTTGACTATGGTTCTAAGGTCGATTTATACTCATGATTATCATGTCCTCTGTACCTGATGATCACGGCTTCACATGCTCGGACTCGCCGTGCGCGAATCTTCTTCCACCCCAACCCTTTCGTGAGACGTTGTCATTTCAAACCAGACCAGCTCCTGAGTCTCAGACAAACCCACGCTGACCGGTACAACGCCTAAGCTGAACCGCTGGAGTCGGTTCGTCAACAAATTGGCGAGCTATCCTTCTTGAAATAGAGGCCGACTTTTGCAGACCTTGCCCTTGTCATGCGCAACAAAGTTTAGGGAGCTCGAGAGCAGTTCCCGTTGAGGCTGACGTTTGTCCAATCGAAAATCGACTCTCCTGAAACAAGCTGATGCGTTTATTGTTGAAGCTCCCATAATAGCGATTTAGACTTTTCGGAGAGACGCTGGCGTACGGAGAGCTTACGGTAGGATGCACGATCAACGAGAAGTCAGGTGTGAAGGAAAGAGTGGATGGGTCGTTGCTGCTCTTCGTATTGGTACAAGATTCGTCAGCTCTGCAAACATTCTCTTGTCTCCTCTTCTTTTCGTACCTCGCTCTGAGCATTGCGTTTCCTCATGTTGCTTGCTTGGTCTCAATTATTCCTCTAGGGTCTTGTCCAGCCATTGCGACCGAGATCTGCTACAAGCCAAGATATACCAAGCCTGTCAACGACTCGTGTGCTACACATCTCTGACGACATGGCGACATCCTCGGCCGGAGTCTTCAACGCCTCCAAGCTTGCCATCATCTTCGCCTTGGTGTGTTCACTATATCTGTTTCGCGACACATGGCTTCCATCCACACCAACCAGGCCGGTGCATGCCACTGCTACAACTACCCCTCCATCGTCAGCATCCGCTGAAACCGAATTGACTCTCAACCACACGGTATCAATTCAAGATGCTGCCAACTGTCTCAATGCACCAGGCGCCGACCGCGTCATGATTGTGCTCAAGACTGGCGCATCAGAAATCTACGCGAAACTGCCAACCCATCTCATCACTCTGTTCAGATGCACCCATCACTACCTGATTTTCTCGGACCTGCCCCAGACTTATGCCGATTATCAGATTCATGATGCTCTGGCTACCGTCAGTGACACTTACAAGAACGACCATGAGGACTTTGAATTCTATCGAAAGCTACAAAAGTATCACCGCGAAGGTCAGGATGTATCCAAGCTGAAGGGTGACAAAGGATGGAATCTCGACAAGTGGAAGTTCCTCCCCATGATGCACGAGTCGTATCGATTAGCTTCTCCTGACGTTGACTGGTTTGTATACATCGAAGCCGACACTAGTGTGAGCTGGACCAATCTGCTGCAATTTCTGGGAAGAATGAATCCAAAGAAGCCTTTGTATCTAGGTGCGCAGAATGTCGTTGGTCCTACCACGTTCGCTCATGGCGGCTCTGGGTTCATCATCTCTCGTGCTGCAGTCAAAAAGATGGAGGATCGTAGGAAGCAAATGAGTGCCAGGAAGTACGACGATAGGTGGGAGCTGTCGACGAGTCTTTCTTGCTGCGGTGACGAAGTTGTCGCACGTGCACTGATGGAAGTCGACGTTGAATTGACACCATCCTGGCCGCGTCTCCAGGGTGAGAGGGTGCATACACTTGACTGGACTGGAAAGCATTGGTGTACTCCTGCCATCACCTGGCACCATGTCACTCCATCACAGGTTGACAGCATGTGGCGGTTCCAGAACGAATGGGTAAAGAAGAACGTAAAGTCATTTCCAGCTCCAAAATGATTCGTCCGCGATACTGATACCAAGATAGGGATGGTCAGAGCCTTATCTCTACCGCGACGTATACGATGGCTTTGTGGCTCGGCATGTCTCCGTCAACCGTACTCACTGGAACAATATCTCCAAAGACAAAGAATTTATTGCACCAGCTGAGGATGCTGATGAAAATTCGAAGAAGGCTTGGGAAGGATTGTCCGAAAGAGAAAGAAATTCAGTCAAGAACTTCGACAGCTGTGCTGAAGCTTGTCTCGCTTGGAACGATTGTTTGCAATGGATGCACGAAGATGGGGTTTGCAAGCTGGGCAAGGATATCAGGCTAGGAGAAACTGACGAGAGACATCGCGACACATGGTCCAGCGGATGGCTACAGGACCGGATCCAAGGAATGCGGGACGAGCTTGCTGACTGCAAGATCAACTGGGATCATTGAGCACGCTCTGTGCTTGGACACCCATTCTTCGCCTTTTCTTTGTCCGGTGCCAAGGACCATGAACCAAGTGCTGGAAAAATGGTTTCTTTTACGGTTGGTGATTGGAATTCTTACTCTGGATGCATGGTGGGAAATGCTGGAGGTTTGGCATGGTATTTCGGCGCGTACATTGATTTGTCCATAGGTTTTGCATTGGAGTGAGGAAATAACGGGAGATTAACGAATTTGCATGATCATGAAAATACTCGTTACAGAAAAGGCAGAAGTTACATAGACACGACAACATTGTTCCGTACAACATTCTGCAATACAGCGTACTCATACATGATCGGATCCAGTCTCTCACTCGTAACAGCTGAACAAGGAAAAAGAAAACATGACATGAAATGACTTTGATCCGCCAACGATTTGAGGGGGGGTATATGTGACAGGGGAAAATAGATCCAAGGCAAGGAAAGATACAAGATGATCCAACCATCCAAAACCCCATCTCTCCCTAGACATCCAAAACTCAAGCGAGAACGCCTAAATCCAAACAAGAAACCTCATGATCCAACAAGACATTCGTCGTACATCTCAGACATATCATTCTTTGGGAACAGCCTCACTACTCACACTGCGGTTGTTGGCGCCGAACCAGCCCATCCAACTCGACCTCTTTGCTCTCTTGGCTGCCTCTTCTTCCTCTTTGGCTTCCTGCACCAAACGCAGGGGCCGCATGCCTGCTCCCCGCATAATGGCCCCAGTGGGTTTCTCGTTGTTGGAGGCTGTGCTGCGGGGAGGACTGACTGTGCTCATGTTGTCCGGCAGCCCTGACTCGGAGTATACGCTGTTGCGAGCCGAGTCTCGAGGCAGAGCGGGCGGGGGCATGCTTTGGCGTCTGTCGTCGCCCACTTGCGGTACGGAGCCCGAGGAAGGGACGCGGGCTGCAGCGGCGGGAGCGATGGGGAGGGAGGGGCTGAAGAGGGAGCTTCCTCGTGGAGGCACCATGCTGGGGCTTGTGGGGCCCGGGCTGGCAGGACCGCGGTACATGTTGTTGACCAAAGCTGCTGGGTTCCCGAATTCAGAGTTTGTGCGGTTGTGGGAGGCCGGGGCGTTGCCCATGGACATGCGGTTGGATTGAGTGCGGGTGAGGGGGATGCGTGGTGCGGTGTTTGGGTCTTCGGTCAAGCTGGGTTGGGGCTCTGAGTGTGTTTCGATGGGCTTTGGGCGGCCGCCGCGGACGACTGAGGTGGCTCGTTTGAGGAGAGAGGGTTGCTCGTCTTTTTCTGCTGGGGGAGGTGGTGGCAGGTCTTTGTCTTTTGGTAGGTCGGCTCCTGACATGAGGTTGGGAGTCTTATCGAGGATGTTCTCAAACTCCTTGTGCTGCAATAGGCGGGAAATGATGTTGTTGATGTACAGTGTTAATGCCTTGTTCTCTGCTCTCATGGACGCCACCTCGGCTTGCAGACGTCTGTTGTCTGCCATGCCATCGTCGCTGGCATTGTCGAGTTCATCGGCCAGACTCGATGCTCCAACCATAGCCGAGGGCGAAGAGGGACGAGAACCAGCGCTCATGATTGAAGGAGGACGCAACAAGCCGCTGTGAGAGAAATCGCCATTCAGCGTCTTTTCGCTCAGCAGCAGCTGGAAGCTCTCGTTGTCCTCCATCAATCTGGCATTTGCCATTCTCGTCTCCATCAGTGTCTTTTCCAACTCTTGCATGCGGCCACCGCCCATGTTTTCCATCTCGACCAGCTTGATTTGCGATTCGGCCAATTCGAGACGTAGTGATTCGATGATCTTGTCTTTTTGCAGCACCAGACGGGACGAACTGCGCGAGGAGTCGCTGCGCTGGAGGGAAGATGGAGGAGCGAATTGGCCGGCTTCTTGGTTCGGTGAGGCATTGCTTCTGAAGCTTGCTGGGAAAGGAGTCAGTATTGTGGTTTGCGGTAGTCAGGCAACAGAATAACATACACGCTCTGGAGATGCTCTGCCGCCTCTCGTCTTCACCGCGCATTTCTTTCTGAGCCATCGTCTCCTTCAATCTCTGAATTGTGTCGCGGAGCTCCTCTTCGCGGACTTGCAACTCTTCCTTCTCCTTCATGGATTGAGCACGCTCTGCTTCATAGATTGCTTCAAACTCTCTGCGTTGGCGGATGCTTTCCTTCTTCTCGATTTCCAGCTGCTCCAAGCGCTCCTCTTGCTCATGCATCGACTCTTCTATATTGTTGTGCTCTTTGCTTGACTCGTCGAGACGAGCTTGGGCGATGGCATGCTGCTTCTGTGCCTCTTCGGCCGCAACTTCAGCCTTTTGCAGGCGTTCGCGCAGATCGTCAATGACAGCAGCGGCCTCTGCCTTTGCGTCGGCCATGGCAGACTTGGATGTGTTCAGAGTGGATGTTGTTGTTGTGGTCGGCTTCTTGACAGCAGCGCGGGCAGATGGTGGGGCTCCTCCGACTGGGGTACGGACAGACTTAGCGCGAGAAGGGGTTGCGCCTGAGCCAGGCGTTGTCGAGACTGTCGGACGCGAAGGACTGCGAGAAGGAGTTGTCTTGGGAGGGTTCATGGACGGACGACGAGGAGGTGCCCCAGGCTGGGTAGAAGTAGCGGTAGCAGCAGCAGGGGGCTGCTTGGAAGGCGTCGACATGGTGAAGGCTAAGTAAGCTGAGCGCCGAGCTTACTTGAGCCTAGATTCGTGCGTGTCACAGGTACAAGTAGTCGAGATGTTTGTTGAGGGCCAGGCTATGCGTGAGTAACAGGATGTCGAGGTCAAGGACGTGGAGACGAATTGACAGACGAACAGGCAAGACAGACAACAAAAAAGGCCCCTCGGCCAACAGCAAAACAGCTGGAGCGAAGGAGATTAAAGTACCATATTTATTTGATGAGCGATCCGACACCGCCTTGCCTTGCCTCCGCTTCCTGTTACGTGCACCTCACGTTCAAACTCGCTCTACCACTGGATTCAGCGGTTCTCCGTCCAACACACAGCAGCAACGACAGACCAACATTGGACATGTGTTGGTTGATGCATGTGATGAATACCGTCGCATGCCAACAACAACCACAACGGTTCGAGGGGCCCTGAGCACTGATCGGCGTAAGCGATCCCCGACTCATCCTAGCGCCTTGGCACGCCCTCGCTTGGGCGCTCGAACCACTTTTGAAAATTCGACGTCCGACTTCTCTTCTTCTCTCTCCAGCAAGCGATTATAAGCCAAACCAGGACCGGAGCGCCGTACTTTTTCAACAACCAGACAATCACCAAAAACCGACGCAGAGATGGCCCCCAAGAAGACCAAGACCTCCGACTCTATCAACTCGCGCCTTGCGCTTGTTATGAAGTCCGGGTAAGTCGACTTGCGACACGCCAGCACCAAATCACTGCTGACGACTTGCACAGAAAGGTCACCCTCGGCTACAAGTCCACCATCAAGGCCATCCGCTCTGGCAAGGCCAAGCTCATCATCATTGCTGGCAACACCCCCCCTCTCCGCAAGTCTGAGCTCGAGTACTACTCCATGCTCGGCAAGACCGCCGTCCACCACTTCAACGGCAACAACGTACGTGAAAACATTCGCTCTGAGAAAAAGCCTGGGCGTGTGTTTGATTGCTCCTGCAAGTTGATTCAACATCAAGCTGGCTCGCCAACTGTTGGAGAACCAATTCTGCCTTCAGTGGTGAAGGCGAGGCAAAGCAATCAAACACACTGCCCACTCAAGGCTTTGGAGAGCAGAACATTGGCTAACGTGTTTTTCTCTTACAGATTGAGCTCGGTACCGCCGCCGGTAAGCTCTTCCGTTGCTCCACCATGGCCATCATCGATGCCGGTGACTCCGACATCCTCACCGCCTCCGTCGCATAAGCGTAGAGTGCGTGTTGATGAAAGAGATATCATAGAGGAATGTCAATCTGATACCCCAAACAAAAGTTTCTCTTTATATCCATTTATACTCTCTCTTCCTTGTGTCACTGTCATGTTTGTATGTGCTGTAGCTACCTTCTTCAGCCTCCTGAAATGCTGAGTCAACATCGAAGGGAGACTTGTTTGATGGTAAGCCTTCTGACACAAATCTTTGTCGAATTGGCTGATTCAATATGACTACGGTCAAACTCACCCATCTCGACCAGAGTACTCCCACAGAACGACTATCAAGGTATGTCGCTATTTCTAAGAAGACTGTCCTGTATCTTGACAGCTATCGAACTGCATGCATCCTTACGTCAAAGACATGGACAGCCACAGTGACGGCGACGTGTTTCACCGGGCGTTCTCGAATTCTCTGAAGACCGTTGTGTATCTCTATGGGTACGGGAGTGTAGGTTTGATATCAGAGAAGGGGCGGTCAAGGTGTGGTCAGAAATGAAGAGAAGGTGCTCTCCGTGCCTGCCTTTGCTCACGCCTTGTCACTCTGACTTGCTTCAAGGATTCGCTTGCGCCTCTACATCGAGGAACACGGATGGTTGCCAGGCCTATTCGATGCCGGAGAATCGTAAATTGTTCCTCGTCACTTTTGAGATCTTTCCGCCATTCTTCGGGATTCTTCTTACCAGCAAGATCTTTCGCATCGCCGCGTCTCATCACCGCGCAATCACCACAAGATGGGTCGACTAGACCCCAAGCCGATGCTTGCTGTCAGTGGCGATGCTGTCGCCGCCGTTCGCGTGGTTCCAAACCGCAAGGCACGCAACTATAGAGATTATGATTATGTTCCTACTGGACCCAGAGCTCTCGAATACGACGAGTCTGACCTGGAGTCAACCATCCCTCGCCACAAGAGAGCTGTCAGCCAACACAAGAGACACAACTCCCAAGATGGCTACCATCTCGTCATGCATGGTCCCGACCACAGCAGCGGAAGACCCCGAACAACCACTGCGCCGCGCATCAACCCTCATGAAACTCCGGAGCAAGCCCGCAGAGGCAAGGTTCCCGCGCTTCAAGAGCTACCTCTCGACAGAAAGCGAGGTGCAGACTCGGAAGAAGAAGACCGTCAGCGCTCGTCCAAGAAACTGCGCAGAGCCAAGGATGACCGCAGTGATCGACTCTGTATGAAGTGTGGTAACTACCATAGTACGCCTTGCTATGTTCCCCTCTGCAATGCCTGCGATCTGAACCACTATCACAATGTCCCATGCTCGGACGCTACGGAGAAGTTGAAAGAGCGCCTTAAGCTGCATGACCTTCCTGGGACAACACTGTCGCCCAAGCAGAAGAACAAGAGAAAGACGGCACTGAACTCAATGCCCGTGCGCCTCCGGGAAGAAGATCATGTCAAATCAGCATTCTTGTCGGAGATGCGCGCTCTTGGATCTGGATCGGTCTTTCGGTCCTCCGCCGCTGACCAGAAGAAACAAAGCCCTGGCAAGCGCACTTGCCCTATCTGTCCTGAGTGTGGCAGCTTCCACAGATCTCCTTGCAAATGGCTCGTATGCGAGACCTGCAAAGTCAAGCACCACCCAGAGACTCCTTGCGCCGTGGCTGAGGCGCGACTCAAGAAGCGTCTCGATGAAGAGGCCGCCAGGCAAGTCCAAGTCGAAGAGGAAATCAAGCAGCGCTCACAGGATATGGCTGAAATGAACAACAATATGGCATCTACCAGTCTGCAATTCAGGCGCTCCTCCGCCCCCAGCCCGGGTCGTACATTCAGTCCTGGAGTTGAGTCCAAGAAGTCCAGGAAGCTCAAGAAGGGTACCAGATTCTGCAGAGACTGTGGTCGCTACATCAACAGACCATGTACTTGGCCGACCTGCACCAAGTGCGGTACAAAGCACTTCGATCACGTTTCCTGCTGGCAAGCCCAGCAGACTCTACAGGATCGCCTTGATGTGTTCGCTCGTGGTCACGGCACTTTTCAGCAGAAGAAATCGAAGCTCCAGACCTCATCTGACACCACACAGTCCCACGCGGTGCACGTTGAGCAGTCGGCCAACTCCACACACCTTACGCCAGTCGCACCTGCCAACATTGCAGCTCCTGTCAACATGATCGTCAGCATTGCTGCAAATGGACAGATGTTCTGGTCCCTTGACTCGAACAAGACCGTCCACTTTGGACTTCCTCCCAGCATGCCCGGCTTTTCTGTGTTCACTCCATCCGTGCCACCCCAGACTAGCAGCCATGTCCACCCGAGCCGTCAAGCTTTGCTTCTCGGATTGAGTGAAGGAGCAGGTCTTGGTGCTCAATCCGTGGCCGACTTCTCCTCGACTGAGACTGCGCTCCCGCTTGCTAGCTCGGGTGACGAGGCACCCCAGGTCGTTACTCGGGGCGCATCTGTCGAACAGAATGTTGATGCTTTTCTCGCGGATATTGTCCAGACTATGCATGGTAATGGTCAGATTGCTATGGAATATGGTAAGAGCCCCCAGAGTGCAACTTCTTATCTGGAATACCTTCGTCGCAACAGCTCGACCTGATCTTGCATTCTGCATGTTCTCAGCGGAGATGCGACTTGGCTCACGTGGTCTGAAAAGACCACGAAACATTGACTTGTGTATCGGTGGAGCAGATCATCCTCAACAGTCGGTCTGAGCACTGTTTGCATAGCATGAAAGACATGAGTTCGGTCGCTGATACAGAGCGGATTGCAGGATCATCAAATGGTGGTTTAGCGTAGATACGAATTCCTCAGCTCGACTCGATCAGCTAAGTCGATAGCTTTCTATTAAAGAAGATAGTGGGGCCTACACAGCATCGTATCACATAAGTAGTTGAGCTCAAGAATGACAAGTCGACTCTTCACATAGCATGTGTCATGTCGAGGTTATCATCAAAGCCCGAAGGTTTTGGTCATGCCTACCGATGATGTACTGGTCCTTCATATAAGTCTCTCTAGTCCTTATCCTTGAATGCAGGGACGCTAGCTATACACACATGGTATCTTCTTTTATGGCCTCTGTCGGTATGATTTCTCTGCTACCTACGGTCGGCAAAGATGCATTTCAGTTCTGACAGGGTGGCTAGGACAGCATCCCACTGCGTCGAAGTTGCAAAGGAATTCATCGAGGTACAATATACAGGCCCGACATATCGTCGTGTATCCTTCCAGTGCTGAAGGGATTAACACTTCTGTACATGGGGGGCAAAAAAGACATACTGCCATCTCCTCCGAGCACGTGGTCTCGTTCTTCGTGTTTTATAGCAAGGATCATTGGCAGTTTCACATGAGCATTGCTCGTAACCTTACACTTTTGTCATTGCCTTCGCTTTCTTCGCTCATGAATCATGAGCTTGATTCCGACTGGTAGTAAAGACTGCCTGGAATCGATACAGACGTCATTGTTATTGTGCAGATGGAAGAGTGTGGAGTCAGATTTGTTTGGTCGCAAGATAAGTCCGTGCACTGAATGCTTGGCGGTCGCCAACCTCTACGAGCAAGCTTGCTTTCTTGACTTCACTCCACTATGCGCGCAACCAGACATCGTTCAAGATGCCGAAGAACGCGCATAACTTATCGAGGTCTTTGACTTCGAGATGGAACAGCGCAGCAACAAAGCTATACACTGACGCTCACGATGAAGCAACCGGTGAGGTACAGAACCTGCTTTTGGAGCCCCGACTGCCTTTGCTTGTCAGACTACATGCTACTGTGAAGCTGGCCAGCGCCTTCGAATCGTGGTATATCCCCGAAAGCTACCGCAAAGAAGCAGAGGATGTGTGGAAGCATATCCAAGAATTCCCCCAAGGCTCACAGTCAGGAGATGAGAAGCGCCTCGGCGAGCTTAGGCAAGAGCTAGATGAGCTTGCGAAGTACCAGGAAGAGAATCCCCCTCCACCTGGCGAAAACATTTCACCGGCCCGTCAGGTCCTGCAGGAAAACCAGACTGTAGTTGACCATGACTTAACAGGAGATCACCAAGGTCCAACCAATGCCTCAACATCAAAACCAGAGGAAAGTCGTCAAGACGGACAACTTGGAAGTGTGTCAACCACGCATGCCAATACAGATGATGCGGGTGGAACTTGGGCACAGTCCCACACGCAAGACTCTGAGAGCGGCGGCGAGGTCAGTGATGGCCTTACCGAGTCCACGCATCGCACCTAAGCAATGCCAACGATTGTAGTCGCGACGATGATCAACTCATCTGCCTTGACGCCCACATCAAGTCCTTCTCAGAGGCGCCAGTCTGCTTTTACCGAGCATGTTACACCGACAGCACCTCTCCAACTACCAACCGGCAGCGTGCCCGACACGCAGAAGACTCCTGTTTCTGGTCCAACTGACCGATCCACACTGCACGTCGATCAGTCTTCGCCCCTTTCTGGTAGAAGCGAGAAATGCCTATCTCCAGACCCCGAATGGAGAGATCATCTAGCTTGAAAACGACAAGTAAGCCTTTTTTGGCCGATGGTGTCCTGTGTCGAAACCCTCCTTCACGCTCGTTGCTGCTGGTCATGTCCAATAACGATAAAGACGTCTGCATGATCAAGCCGAGCAGACAGTTCGATTGGCTGAAGTGCGCTAACTTTTGTAAGTCGGGCGGATGATGCACGTAAAGGGAACCTCATCAATTGGGACAGGGTGTCTGCTGCGGATCACAATAGCGGACAATCAGGTGTTACAAGGAAAGATCGGCTATCTGTACTATATCATATACACCGCGTTCTTTATTCCCTTATCATAGTACGTGGATGTATCTCAAACGGCCTCTCGGCCTCTGTCCAAAAACACGGTGCATTGGGAGGTGTTGTGTGCAGGAGCAAGTTATAAGTGGCTAAGTCAATATGAGCCGCACGATCGTAATTTCTCCTTTATATTCTAGGTACAATCAGTGATGAGGTAAATCTTTGCATGTCCCAGAAACCGCCCGCTCTGCATAATTACGGTCTGACAAACTTCGGGAATCAGAATGGTGTTCATGTGGAGTCATTCGTGATTTCCTGGAAGGAACGTACGACTGTCCTATGTTGCTTCGATACCATACTTGGCTTCGATCGGAGCGGTAGTTGGGCATGTTCAGAGATGGACATGAGAGGTGCGAACGCGGCTGATGGACAGTGTGAGGCTTGGAGACTGCTTATTATTTCGAGCTCAGTAACACCATACGTCCGCTGCAGTCCTTGATAATAAGCAGTCTGCAAGCCTCACACTATCCATCGGCTGCTCTCGCACCCTGTACAGAGCGCACAGTATGGACGCGACAAGGCCCTGAGTTACGCGCGCGGTTGTTTGGTAGTGCGTAGTGTCGAGTTTCAACGTGATTATATTGCGAGAAGGCTGGATATGCAGGGGGTTGCGAAACCTGTCACATCAACCTCCCGCACCCTCCTTTATAAGTGCCTTCTCGGTTACAAAACTTTCATCAGTACTCTGCTGCGTTGCGCGCAAAAGTTTATTCCGTGTCGTCACAATGGCTCCGACGATCATGAGCTGCGCTATTCGCCGAGACGGATCGCTCGTCAAGACCAAGTCAATCATCGGCAGGGGGGTCGATGGCTTTGTCCTCCACAGCAATGGAGAAGCGACTGTTTTGAAAATACCAAGACTCTATGGAGATTTCTTCCCCGACGGCACGATGAAACCTGAAGCCGACAATGAATATGCGAACGATCTGAGTAGCGAACAGGCGATATACGAACGACTTAACGGCGTACCAGGCGTTGCCAGATATCTGGGTGCGACTGGAGACGGATTGCTGCTGGAATACTATAAGAATGGATCACTCGAGGACTACATGGAAAAGACCTCTCCACCAGAATGGTCACAAAAGAGGGATTGGATACTACAAATCATGGATGTCTACGCAGCTTGCCATGCTAAAAGGGTGCTTGTTTACGATATTGCTCTCCGTAACCTCCTACTTGCAGACGACTACACAATTCGAGCCATAGAGTTTGCAAACAGCGGCTTGTATCCATTGGACAGTACTGGCGAACTTAAAGATGGCGACGGCTATACGTCGATGATGGACACATTACACGTTACTAACATCATCTACTCGCTTTGCACATGGAAGAAGTTCCAAACTGACTGCATACAAATGAGTGAATGGCCGAAAGCAGAAGAACTTCCATCGACTAGTGGTGTGCCACTTGGAAGCGTCATTGCAAGATCATGGTCCCGTCAGTTCAAAACCCTTTATGAGCTACGACACGCCGTTGTATCCTCCTTCCCTGTAGAGCCAGCATCCTCATGGTCATGACATGCCTACTTCAAAAGCCTGTCTCCATTGTCTGCGCGGCAGCCTGCGCCGTGGTGTTAGCGGTGCGCCTCCGGCCTCAAGCACAATGAGGGACACGTACTTTTGTGCAGTTCGGGCACAGGTAGAGTCTGTCGGTGGTAGCTCCTTTGCTCGTGTGCTGCGGGTTCTCGCAGTTCTTGCCACTTAGCATGGCATCCCCGCAGGTGCGAAGTTTGGGCTCGGTAGGGACATTGACCGTGTGGTGGCATTTGATGTATCTGATGGGAGCTGGATACTCTCAGTAACACATCTTGAGGGTTTTTGGATCTGTGCTCGAGGGCGAATTTGCGTTGGATCGGATTCTTGAGTCGAACCTGGAGGTGAGGTTGCAGACTTGGATGGAAGTGTGCCATGAAAGACGGACTATTCACCGCTCCAAATATACTCAAACACATCAAGCGCCGAACTTCACAGGCCCCTTGTCTTAATAGGAACTGGCGTACACTGGCATAAGTTGATTCGTCGTAGTGATCCCGACACAATCTGAACAATACCAAGCCTGCCGCTACCATGCCAACGTAGGCTGGTCGCGTATGCATAATGAATTCGTGCAGATATGTTGGTATCGCGGCCAACCATAGAGATCGCAAGCCGATTGCTGATCGCCGAGAGGTAGACTGTTGGATGCGAGTTGCCTGCGTGAAACCATTGGAAGACTGATGGAGTTACGGCAATGGAAGCATGTCATTGGGCTTTGAGTACAAGGTGCAGGACCACGCCGATGATCCTCTGGGACTCGCAGTGTGTTGGCAGCGCAAAGTACGGCACAACTAGTGGCGGCGGAGCAGTGAGGCTCTCTTTATGTTTTGGTGATAGAGACACAAGCCTGCTGTCCCGCGCTTGAACAAGATTGTGTCAGTAAAGAGAACATGCAACACGCACGGATGATCTTAAGACCAGATCTCAGCGTTCTGGTTGTTTCTCACACCTCTGCCTGATCGAATTCGCCTGCAGATGAAGCCAAAGCAATCTGGCCACGGTCGACAGCCGTCACTGAGTCCAAGTAGTGCTTGGATGGCATTCCTAGCAAGAATGTGTAATGAAGCGGAGTAAATTGAGGCCATACATCAGCTTGTATGCAATTACTGAGATGGAGAATAAGAGAAAGGACTGACGGCAAAAGGACACGAGATTCCTGCTTCACAACCTACTGAAGGCCAGGTAGGCCACAGAATTACATGGCCTAAGTCAACATCCTTCTTACCTTCACGTGCCAGATATTGTGCAATCACATTGATGAACGACCAGCCTACGGTGCTGGAGTGAAACGGACTGAACCGAGACCAGCCAATGAGATTTGCTGTCGCTACCGTAGCAGAAAAACGACCATAGTGTGTGAACATGAGTCACAAGATTGGTATTGGTGGCATGCCCACGAGGAGCCGACAGGTTGTTATGAAGCCCGGGAGGATGCGACTAGAAGCGAGTGGTGTCGGCTTTGGGGAATGTTCGAGTGCGGTGTCTGTACTAAGACGTGCTCAAGGAGGCAAGTTGATTTCAAAGCAGCATCAGCAGGTGAAGAAAAGCAACAGAGGACGTTGATGGATTGCTAATCGGAGACTTGCACGTCATTGGCCGGGGTAAATAAAGCGTGGTGAGGAGAAGGGCCACCAGGGCTTCGAGCTGTCTGGCATTTCCAATCGCAGCGCACGCACAGACCAACGCACACAAAGCAGCCGAGATATTCACATCGCCGCGCGCCACCCAAACTCTTCCTTTCTCTCGAACACCCAGCGACATCACAACACCGTCAAAATGGCTCGCCGTCCCGCTCGTTGGTGAGTACACGACCCCGACGACTACTGGATCGACTTTCCCGGCCTCGAAATGCGTCTATTGGACCCATGGACGATATCGCGCTTCTCGACCGCCGGGAGACGTCCTTTCACGTCCCAAACCGCCTATAAAGACTCTTTGCTGACATCTTCATAGCTACCGCTACTGCAAGTAAGGATTCCCCGTTCGATCGAGTCGTTTTGCGCCCGGAAACATGCCCTTCAAAATCATCTACCACGAACATTGAAAATCGTCAAACCCGTACAACTCCGTCATATCAATACAACCCTTCACCGCGCGACTCTTTCTGGTCACTACATACCTTCGACATGCACTAACCACACCGCCACAGGAACAAGCCCTACCCTAAGTCGCGCTTCAACAGAGGTGTCCCCGACGTATGTTGAAATCTCCCAATGCTTAATTAAATCAATGTACTGATGTCCTGCAAGCCTAAGATCAGTGTGTACTCTAGTAGAAGCCTACACTTCTTGTCTAACTTTTGCAGGAATCTTCGATCTCGGCCGCAAGCGTGCTGGTGTCGATGAGTTCCCTCTCTGCATCCACCTCGTCTCCAACGAGTACGAGCAGTTGAGTTCCGAGGCTCTTGAAGCCGCCCGTATTTGCGCCAACAAGTACATGGTCAAGTCTGGTGGCAAGGATTCCTTCCACTTGCGCGTCCGTGCCCACCCTTACCACGTCGTCCGTATCAACAAGATGTTGTCTTGCGCTGGTGCCGATAGACTGCAAACCGGTATGCGTGGTGCCTGGGGTAAGCCCAACGGCACTGTCGCCCGTGTCAACATTGGCCAGATTCTCCTGTCTGTCCGCTGCCGTGACTCCTGTAAGTTGGCCTGCTATATCTCTGCTTACAACAGATACTAATACTACATCTAGCGCGCGCTGTCGCCATCGAGGCTCTCCGCCGCTCCCAGTACAAGTTCCCCGGTCGCCAGAAGATCGTCGTCTCCAAGAACTGGGGCTTCACTCCCCTCCGCCGTGAGGAGTACGTCGCCAAGCGCCAGGAGGGTCGCGTCCGCGTTGACGGAGCCTACGTTCAGTTCCTCCGTAACAAGGGTCCCCTTGAGTACAACGTCCGTCGCTTCCCCGATGCCTTCTCCGCTTAAGCGCGGATACCCAGTGGAAGGTCGAACGCGAAGGAATGATGGGCTTTGGTGCATTACGGCGTGTTGAGGCTTTCTAAAATTACCATACCATTCGTCAATGAGACATGCTGCAAGACCACTTTATCTTCTGTACTTGTGACCTGCTTTTCTATATGTATGATGAATCAAGCAATATGCGCACATGAACCTGAAGAGTATGAAGTAACGATTGCTTTGGAGAGGCTGACTGACGGACTTGACGACTGGGTGGTGATATGATTGCCAGAGTGTAAAGCTGCCCGCATTTCTTGCCCTTCAATTGTCCCACCATGACTTGATGCCGCTGCAACCTCGCCCCATCACACTGTCGCTCAGGCAGACGTGTCTGTATCATGCCTACCGACCACGACTGAATTCACTGGTCGGCGTGTTGCCTCGCCATCGACAATTCTCCAAGACCGTATACTGCCCTCAAACCGCAAAGACCGCCGAAACAGCCGTACCGCTACGCAAACAGTTGAAGGAAGAAGCCAAACAACGGAAGAAGTCTGCCAAAGCAGCTGGAAAAGGAAACCACGAAACCAATGCATTGCTGGACAAGTGGGAGTTGACAGTGGGCATCGAGGTGCACGCCGAGCTCAACACCGCCCACAAGCTCTTCTCGACTGCCCGCACCTCTGCCAATGCTGAACCCAACGAACATGTCGCTCGCTTTGACATTGCTCTACCGGGTGCTCAGCCGGCTTTCCAGAAAGCGACTCTCATACCAGCTCTCCGTGCGGCTCTGGCCATGAATTGCGACATACAACCTCGTAGCAGCTGGGATCGCAAGCACTACTTTTACCAGGATCAGCCGAATGGATATCAGATTACACAATACTACGGTATGTATCACAGCTATCGGATCACTCTATCACTCGCTAACTTCCGCAGAACCCTTCGCTCGTAACGGCTCCCTGATTCTGACCTTGGAGGATGGCATCGACCCAAACGACATCCCCGAGCCCAAGGGAAGTGCAGAGAACACAAGTCTCACCATTGGAATCAAGCAAATACAGATGGAGCAGGACACAGCAAAGACTGCTCTGCAACCCCCCTCGACATACCTTCTCGACTTCAATCGTGTCTCGCATCCTCTGATAGAAATCATCACACTGCCTCACATACACTCCCCCGCCACTGCTGCTGCGACCGTCCGCAAGATCCAGTCGTTGCTCAGATCGGTAGACTCGTGTGTTGCTGGTATGGAGATGGGCGGTCTGAGAGCCGATGTCAACGTCAGTGTACGTCAACGAGGCTCCACGGGCGACAACAACGAGTACTCTGGCGTCACGGGCCTAGGCACAAGAACCGAAATCAAGAATTTGAGTTCGTTCAAGGCAGTCGAAGATGCTGTTACTGCCGAACGAGACCGCCAGATCAAGCTTCTTGAGGCTGGAGGTGTGGTTGAGGGCGAAACGAGAGGTTGGACCATTGGCAGCACGGAGACAACTCGTTTGAGAAGCAAGGAAGGAGAGGTCGATTACAGGTACATGCCGGATCCGGATCTACCTCCTGTCCTGATCTCGAATGAGCTAGTCGAGCATCTGCGCAAGACTCTGCCAGAGTTGCCGGATTCGACAGTTTTGAGATCACTCAATGACTTTGGCCTGTCCGTGAAGGATGCGAAAACACTCTTTTCGCTAGACGATGGCGAGAGACTGGAATACTGTGCAGAGACCATCGAACTGATCCAGGCAAAACCCTCTGCTCAAAATGATGGCCAGGACCAAACCAAGGTCGGCAAACTGGTTGCCAACTGGGTCTTGCATGAAGTCGGTGGTCTTCTCGCTTCAGACGGCCGCGAATGGTCCGACCTCACGATCACAACAGAAGAACTTGCTTCTCTGCTTGCAAACCTCATGTCCAAGCAGATCACCGCTCGTGTGGGCAAGCAGATTCTCCAACAGCTGTACGAAGAGGACTCGGACGAAAGGATATCTGTCGACGCTCGCATCGATGAGGGCAATCTTCGTCTACGCCCGATCAGCAGAGAAGAGTACATCGAGCTGGCTCAATCCATCATGGATGAAAACCCAAACATGGTCAGCGCAGTCCGCGACAAGGGTCAAAAAGGCAAAACCATGTGGTTCGTTGGTCAAATGGTCAGAAGAGCAGAAGAAGGCACCGTGGAAGCTGAAAAGGCAAAGGAAATCATCGAGGAGCTTCTGTTTCCATGAGGATGTAGAATTTATGTAGAAACAACCCAATCACACCAGCTGTATGTTCTCCCACGCGCTGTAAAGGGTATCTAAAATGCAAAGTTCCAAAGTCTAAACGCCATCCGTCTGGAGATTCTAGTATGCTGGGTTGTAGGGTATCTGTGTTTGCTTGGAGGCGACTCCTTCTTTGAGGTAGAGGATCATTCTGTATGCACTGTTGCCATTCAGGTAATAGCGATGCAAGCGTTTCGTCCTCAAGAAACCCAGTCGTTCGTAGAGTTTGAGGGAGGGTATGTTGTCGATTTCAGTCTCCAGTGCAATCTTTTTCCACCCTCTAGTGTCAGTGCGTTATTCTTTGGACAGATTGGGGTGTTTGAGGAAAGACAACAAACCTCATCTGCATCTTTCGCTATCATGCCATCCATAGCCATCCTCACGAGTTTTGACGCAATGCCCCTGCCTCTGTGCTCCTTTTTGACTGCCAACATGGCAATGTATCCGCGCATGGGACCATCACGATGAGGCTCCAATTTGCACACGACCACGCCTATCAATTCTCCAGATGAATCTACCGTCTGTGGAGTAAAAGTTAGCATACCACGAACACAACTTTCACGAAATATTGTATACGCACCATGTAACACAAGTCTGCCCATTGGTACAAGAAATAGCGGTAGACATAAATACTGTAGGGCTCGGAAAGGTCTTTTGATATCAATTCGCGGATGGCGGTCAGGTATTGTGCTTCCTTGTCTGGATCGTATTGGATGTAGTGGAGATCTGAGGGGGTTGTTGGCTCCAGAGAACCAGCTAATGTGGTTGTCATTCCAAAAGTCGTAAAGAGTTGTGAAAGAGTGATTGGGTTTCACGAAGGTGTTTTGGCCATAGATATTCATATGTTCTACAGCGTAGAGGCTCCGCGGGGAAGAGAGAAACAGCAGCAGCAGCACATGAAAGTATTGAGCTCGGACCGCCAATGACGGAAGTGGCAGGTGATGGACAGGAACGAAGAAGATGCTCTCTCTGCTTCTCGCTGCCGATCCCTGCAGCGGCATTCATCTGTCGTAAGCACTCGACTCGCCCTTCTCGTCCGCCATGTCTGGTCTACGCAGACGCATCTTTGGCACCTCGTCCTCGGATTCACCCTCGCTCACACCCGAGCACTCACGAGAAGGCACACCGACTTCCGAAGAGGTCCGCGTCGTCTCTGCAAAGAAACTGCAGAAACTCACTGCACAGCACAAGGCCAGAGGAACAAAGAGACGGAATGCCTGGGTCTTTGGCTTGGGAGGCCTGTTTGGCATTCTCGTTGCTGGCTTCTTTGCTTCCAGCAATGACGTGTTTGACATGCAGGCTCTGAAGGATATGAATCTCGACTCCATCTTGGATGTCTTGCCTGCTGGATTGATAAAAGATGCACATGAACTTCAGGTTGGTTTTCTTCAGAGCGCGCTTGTGATTACCTTATACTTCTCCCTTCTTGTTTCTTCCTCGCTTGCCTGCTGTGCGACCCAAGACTATGTAGCTTACATATATGTGCTCTGTGTAGAAGAATCAACGAGACGCCATCGCGTATGATTCCTTTGCAGTCGGCCTGCACGCTCAGTCCCAAGGCATATCAGCCAGACACCCCGTCATCATGATCCCCGGCGTCATCTCCACCGGACTGGAGAGTTGGGGCACCGAAGAGCACTCGCGGCAGTACTTCAGAAAGAGGCTATGGGGCAGTTGGAGCATGATGCGTGCTCTGGTTCTGGACAAGGCTGGTTGGAAGAGACACATCATGTTGGACAAAAAGACCGGTTTGGATCCACCCGGTGTAAAACTCCGAGCTGCTCAAGGCTTTGACGCAACCGACTTCTTCATCACTGGCTACTGGATCTGGAACAAGATCTTGGAAAACCTCGCCACCATCGGCTACGACCCTACCAACGCCTTCACCGCAGCATACGACTGGCGAATGAGCTACATGAACTACGAGATCCGCGACCAATACTTCACCCGCCTAAAGCACCACATCGAAACAGCCACAAAAATCTCGGACAAGAAAGTCGTGCTCCTCAGCCACAGCATGGGCTCCCAAGTCCTCTACTACTTCTTCCACTGGGTCGAAGCCGAGGGTCATGGAAATGGTGGAGAAACATGGGTAGACGATCACATCGACTCCTGGATAAACATTTCCGGCTGCATGCTCGGCACCCCCAAAGGCCTACCCGCAGTGCTCTCCGGAGAAATGAAAGACACGGCACAACTAAACGCCTTTGCCGTCTACGGCCTCGACAAATTCCTCTCTCGCAACGAACGCGCAGAAATGTTCCGCGCAATGCCCGGTATCTCGTCCATGCTCCCCATCGGCGGCGACGCGGTCTGGGGAGACGAATTCAGCGCTCCCGACGACCGCCCAGATCAAAACGTCACGTATGGCAAATTCCTCTCTTTCCGCCATCTCAACTCGACCCAGCTCCCAAAGAAAAACTTGACCGTGGAGCAATCTCGCGAATACCTCTTCAACAGCACGGAAAACTGGTACTCGGAAGCTGTACTCTCCTCCTACTCTTTCGGCATCGCACACACGACACCAGAAGTAGAAGCAAACCAACTCATCCCCCGCAAATGGTCAAATCCTCTTGAAACACGTCTCCCCAAAGCCCCCAATATGAAAATCTACTGCTTCTACGGTATCGGCAAGGAAACAGAGCGCGCGTACTATTACCGCGAGGACAATGAGCCTGGCAGCAAGAATGATGTAATGATAGATACGCAAGCCTCGTTCATGAATCCTGACAAAGATCATGTGGCTGATAGGGGTGTGGTGATGGGTGAGGGAGATGGCACGGTCAATTTGTTGAGTACCGGGTATATGTGTAACAAGGGGTGGAGAATGAACAGGTACAATCCTTCGGGCATCAAGGTTACCACGTATGAGATGCCTCATGAGCCGGATCGCTTTTCGCCAAGAGGCGGGCCTAATACTGGTAAGTTTGTCTGAGATCTATATCGAAAGAAGGGAAAAGAAGCTGACACGGAGAAACAGGTGATCATGTGGATATCCTCGGTCGTGCATCTCTCAATGACTTGATCCTCAGGATAGCGGGTGGCAAGGGTGGCGACATCAACGAGACCATATTCAGCAACATCGTTCAATACGCCGAAAAGGTCAAGATCTGGGATGATTGATTCCCTTGACATGATGAGAAGTGTAACGAGAAGTGTGATATGAGAATTGTAATGTATAGAAGGTATGGGTTTATTGGAATAGAAGGGAATGTTTGCGCAAACGGCATTAATGATCGTTCTTTCTATACTCAAACTCTCCCTTTCTTTCCTTGCCAACATGAATGTCTTGCTGCTATAGCGATGGGCTCTCAGACACCAACGAGAGCAGATGCGACGACAGCTCGACCATCAGATGAAAAAAAGCAACCATCCCCACATACAAATACCCAGAGCCACAGCAGCCACAACAAAGAACAACATCTGAATCATTCTCATGATCTTAGCTGCGGTATTGGTGCCCGAGGCAGCAGAAGCGTAGCTATACACCATCTCCAAAATCGCCACTTGGACCGACATAAGAGCGAAAAACCTGGCCCAGATGAGTCGCTTTGGGAGTGAGGCAAAGATGACTTGCTTGGGTTTGAGCTTCTCGACCGAGCCTTCACGAGTCCATTCAGCTTTGGGAAAAGCTTGTGATCCTTCGTAGGGTCCGAACAGGCAAGTTGCCGTGACTGCCAGACCGATTGCGAGAGCTATAGTGAACAGAGGGCGGTGATATGACATTGCCATGTCAAGCTTTCTGCGAGGTTTTGGTTCTGGACGAACATCCTGTTCCTGTTGAGTGTTTGCTGCCTGGGCACCCATAGGGTTCATCTCGATGTCAGAGGCGTTGCCCGTATCGTTCCCTGTACCACGGGCTGAGTCCCGAAGTCTGAAGAATCCAGGGTTGTTGAAGATGGATCCAATGCTCTTCTTGTTGATGGCCATGATAGCAACTTGACGATGTGTCTGGCGTTGATGGGGTTGGATGAGGCGAAGCTCGGAAGAGATGGAAATGGGAAAAGCCTTGATGATTGAGCAACGATATGGATGAGCTAAGCAAGTTTGGAGCTTCAACATGGAAAGTGGTTAGCACAAGTCAACGGTTGTATGCATTGCTCGGGCATTGGCATAACTTACAGGTGCCAGTCAATATTGATAGCGTGCTATTGATGGTTGTGATGGTTGTGATGGTTGTGATGGTTGTGATGGTTGTGATGGTTGTGATGGTTGTGATGGTTGTGATGAAGAATGGATCGGGTTGTGGATGAGAGAAGTCAAGTCCTGAGGTCGACGACGGGAAAGTAAGAAGTCCTCCGGAGTGGCACTTACCCTTGGAGCTGTCAGGAGCGCCTGCTCTGTGGCAGGCTGCAAGAATCAAGACTCTCTATGACGAAAGGGTTGTTGAACTGCTCGACGCCGAGTCACCGGCAAGCGCGTTCCAGATACAGTCAAGCATAGGGTGGCTCCCACTAGCAAGAGTATTGAGTGGACGAATTGACCAAGAGACTTGCTTCGCAACAGACGAGCTTCCGCACACGCTGAATTGACATCCAAGCAGCTTTGGCAAGAAAGGTCAATTGAAGTCTACCTCTGGCAACCCCCTCGCAACAATCGCATCCTGGACGCTTTTTTTGACGTCCATACATGCCTGCCCCCAACCCTCTTTGACATCCTCGCCCACTCCTGATTCCAAAACCTCTTGCTCGATGACGAAACTCAGCCATCTGGCCACCTTGACAGCTTTATCCACGTCTCTCTCCTGTTTGACCACAGCAACCAGGTACGTGACCAAAGCCGCAGTATCTTCTTGATACGGTGCCTCGTCCCAGAACTCTGCAACCCACTCTTTCACCGCCTTTCTCAGGTCCGGAAGCTCGGTCAATTTGTTAGATGTGAAACTTGGTTTCGGTGGTCGAGGCGGCAGTTGGAAGAATCGTTCAATCGTGTTGGCTGGAGTTTCTTGCCAATTGCGTCCAGTGCGTTTATTGGCTTCGATACCGCCTGAGCGGCGTAGATGAGCTGACCTTCGTTCGTCTAGAACTTCTTTGCGGAGTTCTGGTGGTAGGGCAGCGAGGAAGTCTTCATCAATCTCGTCGGCTGTGTCGACGTCCTCTGTGTCGGTTTCCCGAGCGACGAAGTTTGCTTGTGTCAGTGTGGAGTTGCCATCGCTGACCCTGGCTCGAGCAAACAGTCCTCCACCACGAGGTTTCCTTCCACCGAGCTTTTTTACTGGAGGTATGATGCGGTTCTTGCGTGGGGATTGAGGTAGGATCGTTTGATCGTGTCCTTTCCGTGGAGATGTTGTGGTGGTTTGATACATTGCCATGACATCCCGACGCACGTCTTCAGGGAGTGAGTTTAAGATCTCAGGATCGAGTTGCGATTGGTTAGGAAGAGTAATTGCAGCCGAAGCTGCTCCTCGAGGTGGCTTCTTGACTGAAGCAGGACCTTTACGACCATCATCTTGTGCATCAGGAATCTGGTTAGGACGTGATTGCTTGATAAGTCTCGCTCGGATCTCTTCCGGTAGTTCGGCGAGTACCCGCGGATCGACTTGAGTGGGAAGTGCGAACTGCGTACCGAAGATATTCAAGGGTCGTTTTGTAGGAGATTGTTTGTTGACAATATTGTCCAAGTAGCTCGAGCCACCAACATCACGCACTTTGTTTCTCTTCGGCGTCCTGATGTCATCTGTGATGGGGTCTTCGATTGGTTCAGTGTTAGCAGCAATAGTCGGCTTTGGTCTTGTGTTTTGAGCTGGCTTGAACTGCAGGCGTGGTTGACTGCTGTCAGCGCGTCCGTCCAAGCTGGCTTTCAATGATTCGAGTTTGGTCATCTGGATTCCTATTCCACGAAGCTCCCCTGAACTGAAACCGAAGCTGCGCATCACTGTCAAGACCTCCTTCGTCATGACAGCACTGTCGTTGGTCGCAACGCCCAGTTGAATGCTCTTGTTGTAAGTATCGCACTTGCCATGTCCGAGGTGTTTGGGCGGATCAAGAGGGGCATCAGGAGACCGCCGCATCACCTTGACGGTCAACTGTTTGCCCTTGACATTCTCCTTGATCAGTCGTTTTTGCAGCTCTCCGCAAAGGCTGACCATGAACTCATCAACCTGCTCTTGATTCTCGAAGCGCACGCCCCAGTTCACATCTGCTGAGACCGATTTGCGAACAACTTGATCACCGACTTCAGCTCTGTCGATACCACGGCTGTACTCCCAGATCTTCTCTCCTGTTTTCGGCCCAAGCGTGTTGACTAGCTTCTCTTTCGAGAGTTCGCGAATGTCTTTTACATACTTGACGCCGATCTCTTCAAGCTTCCCGCCAATACTATAGGCGACGCCTGGTAAGCTTTGTACTTCAAGAGCACCGATGAAATCGAGAATGTCTTCCGGTTTGAGCTGGAATTGTCCTGCTGGCTTTGCTTTGCGGAGTGCAATCTTGGCGAGCAGGATATTGCCCCCTATGCCGACTGACACGTTGCATCCAGTCCGCTTCAATACTTCGTCCCGAAGTTCTCGACCAATTCGGTCGGCCTCAAATTGTTCACGATAGTTACTGCCCTCAAATCGCTTTGTACCATCAGTGCCACCGGCAGCTATACATTGCGTGCTGATATCGATGAGCGCTTCATCGACACTGACGCTCTGCACCAGACCCCCTGTCTCGAGTATAGCGGAATAGAACTGCCTGCTTGACTCTTCGTATGCTGGGAAATCGTAGGGAAGCACTTTCAAGTCAGGGCATAACTCTTGAGCTCTTTTCATCCACCTGTAACGTTATCAGCTTTATAGTCTAGTAGTCGATCACTGTGTAAAAGACTTGCATTCCGTTCTTGACGCCAAACTCTCTGGCGGGATAGTTGCAAGAGGCGATCTCAGACCCGTTGCCACCAGCTGAGCCAGTGCCATGAGCAACCACACAAGGTTTGTCTTTGAGGTGGGGGTGCTTCTTCAACGAAACAGCAGCGAAGAAGCTATCAAAATCGACGTGCATGATATAGCGACGAGCGCCTACGGGACGCTTCTGGCGAGTCTTCTGAGAAGCCGACCTCTCGGCAGTGAGTGCCTGCAGCTGTGATTTCAGATCTGCTTTCCAAGTTGACAGATGATGCAGACGTGATTCTCGGTAGTATTGTTGGAGGAACTCTGGATTCACAACTGTCGACTTACGCAGACGCGGGTCGGCAAGAAGTATGGCGTTGTGTTCCTCCGCAGTCAGTTCAGCAACATTCTGTGGAGGCCCTGTCTCCGGTGTACTTGTCTCTTTCGCGTTGCTTGGATCAGAAGAGTCTTGACCATACGGTGACGTAGAATGGGGCACCGGATCTAGCTCGATATGCTGTTCTACAGGGCTGGTACGAGGAGGAGTCTGCGGGACGTCTTCTAGCGGCTCTTGTGCTTCTTGAACAGATTCTAGCTGTTCCGGAGCATCGTCTCCCTCTCCTCCCAGTGCCTCGAAATCGGAATCATTGATATCATCATACTCAGGGGTCAATGTCGGCGGTTTGGAAGCCTGTGGTGGGCCTTTGAGGAACGAAGGCTTAGGTGAAGAGAACTGACCAGAGGTGTCGGTCCGAAGCCCCTTGAGCTGGGTATTGTACCAGCTGTTGTCACTCTGGTCCTTGTAGCCCCTGATGGGTCTGTTGACCTGACTTGAAACCTGCCCATTGTTGAAAGCAAGCACTTTCTGACCGACTCCCTCATCCACAACACGGTAGTTGTCCCATGGCAGGCATTTTGCAGCTGCGATACTGTCGACAATCCAGGCAGGTTTGACGATGCGATATCGTTTGAATTCGACGGCCTTCTTGGGAGTAAGACTACTTGCGACGATGTGCGTCACAAAAGTCTTGCCATCGAGATACTGCGCAAAGCCGCCACCATGAGCGACGATCATGGTATGGAGGTCATTGAGCGAAGGTTGGGTGTAGCCGTTAACATAAACCACGATGCCTTTGAAGATGGGTGGATGCTCAGATCTGGCGCGTATTTCGGAGTCCAGATTCTGCAACTTGATTCTCTTCCGACGCATGTACTCTCTATGGCCGCCAAATTTCGAACTCTCATACTCGTCGCCAGCTTCATCTTCAAAAGTGTGATTCTCGATGCGCTTGCGCGTTTGCGCAGATCTGGCTTCAAGGCGAGAGTTCATGCCGCATGTCACTGGTGTTGTGGTCGTCGCATTGTATGCTATGAGTCAAGAGTTGATGAGATATAACGTGTCGTCGAGAATGGCATTGTCCATGGTGGTTCACGACGACAAAGAATAAAGTGGAACGCGAAGAGACGCGCCGAGGTCAAACGCCACCAGTCTGGAGAATTGGTCAGGCGTGCCAAGAAATTACCTTCCAGAAGCTATCATAATTGATATCCATTGGAGACCTTGGATGGAAAGATGCTCGTCAACAGGGTGAAAACTGCAAGCTGGACTGGATAAGCGTTGAAAGCAGGGAGAAGTCTTCTTGTGCCTTCAGAGAGCTCAAGTGAAGGTTCGAGTTGTGGCAAGAGATGTTCTGTACGAACGCTGGGACCCGATGGGCTTCTTCGCGCTTCGAAGTCTGAACGGTTGCCCTGACGGTGCTTCTGGCCCGTGCATCGAGTTTTTTATCTGCCAAAGTTTCCACCAGCGCAGCCTTCTGTCTTCATTCTCATCACTCTTTCTTTTCCCAAATCAATTCATATCAAATCTATCACAATGGGTGTTCTTCCTATGGCTGTTTTCGGACTTGAGGTCCCTGCCGGCGGCATGCCCGTCGCTGCCAGCGGTGAAATTCCCGCTGCTGTAAGTTCTCACCACACTCGAATAGCTATCCAGACAGCAATGCTTACGCCTATCTCAGTTCCGCCTGACCATGGCTGCCATCGACCCCAGCGCCGAGCCCGAGTTCGACGAGGACACCAAGGGCAAGAAGCCCCGTGCCACTCTCAAGATCATCCGCGCTCCTCTCCAAATGGACGACGAGGACGACTCCGACTTCGACCCCGAGGAGATGGACATGATGCTCGCTTCCGACGACGACGACGAGTCTGACGAGGATGCCGGTCCCAGCGACCCCGCAAAGTCCAAGAAGGCTCGCAAGGCCGCCGCCGCCAAGCAGCTCCTCTCTGAGCTCGAGAGCATGGATGTTGACTCGCCCAAGGTCAAGGGCAAGGGCAAGGTCCAGGTTGATGACGAGGACGAGTCCGACGAGGACGATGAGGATGACGAGGATGATGAGGAGTTCGAGCCCGAGGAGTTCGTTCTCTGCACTCTCGACCCCGAGAACGTAAGATACCATTCCTGCCACCCTACCGATCGCGAGCTTGACTGACCACGCCCAAACAGCACTACCAGCAGACTCTTGACATCACCGTTGGTGACGACGAGCGCGTCTGGTTCATGGTCACCGGTACCCACGACGTCTACCTTACCGGTAACTACGTCGAGCCTGATCACACCCACGGTCCCGAGGGCGAGTACGACTCCGAGGACGAGGATGAGGACGAGTACGACCTCTCCCCGGATGAGGATGAGCTCTACGGTGACGAGGATGACTCCGAGGACGACCTTGACGACATGGAGGATCCCCGCATCACCGAGGTTGACGACGACGAGGCTCCCGCTCTTGTCCCTGCTAAGGCTGAGAAGAAGGCCGACAAGAAGGGCAAGAAGCGTGCCGCCGAGGACGAGGCCGAGACTCTTGACGACCTGATCTCCAAGGCCAAGCCCGCCGAGAAGAAGAACGCAAAGAAGGTCAAGACCAACGAGGGTAAGGCTGTCGCCGCCGACGAGGTCGCCAAGAAGATCGAGACTCCCGCTGCGGCCAAGGCAGACAAAAAGGTACAATTCTCTAAGAACCTCGAGCTGGGTCCCACTGGCTCGAGTTCCCCCGCTGTCGCAAAGGGTGCTGAGAAGTCCAAGGCTGCCCCCTCCGTCAAGACCGTCAACGGTGTCACCATCGACGACAAGAAGATCGGCTCCGGCCCCGCCGCAAAGAAGGGTGACCGCATCGGTATGCGCTACATTGGCAAGCTCCAGAACGGCAAGGTCTTCGACTCCAACAAGAAGGGCAAGCCTTTCAGCTTCAAGCTCGGTACCGGTGAGGTCATCAAGGGCTGGGACATCGGTATTGCCGGCATGCAGGTTGGTGGTGAGAGACGTGTTACCGTCCCTGCCCAGCACGCCTACGGCTCGCAGTCCCTCCCCGGCATCCCCAAGAACTCCACCTTGATCTTTGACGTCAAGTGTGTCGAGATCAAGTAAACTTGGAACTACGCGACGACACAACAACAACAACAAAAAGAATACCCGGGCCCGACAATGGCCTAAACTTTAGAAGATACCCAACTTGCATCTCCTCGACATAGAGGTGACAATTACGAACGAGACCTTATAGGGGCGAAAGGAACGCACGACGACATGTACAGCGTGTGGCAGGAATGAAGGGTCATCTCTGCAACATCTCTATCCTCGAAAAAGAAGAGGAAAGGAAGAGACAGTGCTTTGGTACAAAAAGTTTTCTTATGTCCAATATTTTTAGCGAGAGCGTGTTGATTACCACCAATCTTACTATTGAACCAAAATATCTCATGAACCCGAACGTGCCTCTTGCTTTTGTGATCTATCTGTTTACTCTTTGTTGTGCCTGTGTCTTACGGGTCTCAAGTTACCTGGTCTGGTTCGGTCGAAGATGACACTTTGAATCCGTGCAAATGTCGTGAGCTCCTCTGTGGCAGTCGAGTTGTCCGAGTCTCAAAATTGGTATATGACAATAACAACGTGTTTTGACAACAATCTTATCATTCTCCCACATTATCAATGGATTTCTCAGTCGATATGAGGAATAACATATCTCGTTGAGCCTGCCGTGGGTGGTATATCGACAAAAGATGGTATGGATTTATCGTCGAGGGTATCACCCTGGAAGTCAGCATGATACGTGCTGCATAATTTTTGCACCTTCATATCTTACATAAGACTATATGCACAAAATCATGTGCTCGGCCGGCGAAATAGCAGTCTTTGGCATTCGTGGTACCATCGCCCGGCCGGATTTATAGAATGTCTGGAAAAATTCGCAAGGTCTTTTTCTTCTTCTCGAGATGTTCAAATTCAAAGGCAAGTCATGTTTCGAAGGAACACACACTAGAGAGTGGAGAGTCTAATTTCCAAATCTATATATGTGAATATGTATGTACAGATCCTGTCTACAAGGACTGAGACTGGCAAAGTTTGTAGTACACTCCTCTCCGCTCAAGCAATTCAACATGAGTGCCCTGTTCCACCACGGTCCCCTGATTCAAGACAAAGATTCTGTCTGCGTCTTTGATGGTAGAAAGCCGATGAGCAATAGCGATAGTGGTGCGACCAGTCGAAGCCTGGGCAATAGCCGCCTGTACCAACTTCTCCGATTCAGTATCTAGTGCCGACGTAGCTTCATCAAGCAAGAGCACTCGAGGTTGCCGGATAAGCGCTCTGGCAATTGAGATGCGTTGGCGTTGACCACCGGACAATCCTGTACCCCCTGCTCCGCAAGCAGTCTCAAGGCCTTCGGGAAGTGAAGAGACAAAGTCCCAGATATTGGCTTGACGACATGCGGCTTCGACTTCGGCTTCCGAGGCTGTGTCGATTGACCCGAGCAGGATGTTTTCGCGAACACTGGTGTCGAAGAGACTAGGCTCTTGTTGCACATATGAAATGCCATCTCTGTATTTCCGAGGGCAGTAATTCTTGAGCTCTTTATCGTGATGCTTGACTTTTCCAGCAGATGGCTCGTAGAAGCGCTCCAAGAGTGAAACAACGGTCGACTTGCCACATCCCGAGGCACCGACAAAAGCAACGAATTCTCCAGGATGGACCTCAATATCCAAGCCCCTGATGATGGTGTTCTCAGGCCTGGTGGAGTATGCAAATCCGACTTGTTCCAGTTCGAATGTGGCCGAGTTTTCTGGCTCCTTTTCGTTGATATGCGTCTGAGAACAATAATCGTGCATACCTATGCGTGGCGTCTGCGATCGGAGCCAGAGTATCTCGTTTGCACCAGCGCGTGCCTTGGATAGCGACGTGCTATAGGCAATGAACTGGACAGAACCCTCGGCAGCGAACACGACTGCAATGAATACGGTGAAGAATTGGTTGGTGCTGTATTCACCATAAGATATCAGGCGTGCACCGTACCACAGAGCCAGTGCCATAGCAGCAAACTCGATGGCCTGCGCCACAGCGAAGAACAGATTTGTGGTCAGCAGCATTTTGCTGGACCTCTTGGTGATGTTCTTGAGTTGCGATTGGTAGGTGTTGATGACGTATTGCTCCAGGGCGAGCGAAGCCACAGTGCGAATCGCCGACACTGCCTCTGAAGCAGTGGCTGCGCTGTCCGAGAAGAGTCTCTCTGTGGCTTCTTCGAGTCTGATCTCCATCTTGAGACGGCAGTATCCCATGCCGACTACTGGAACCATGATAGTAAAGACGGCGACGAGTCCTAGCTTCCATCCAAAGACGATGGCTGTGACGGCCGAGGACACTAGCATAATCAAGACGATCAGAAGCAAGGCAGAAGTGATACCGATGAGCTCGAGAAGATTCGAAGGGGCCTGGGACAAGCGAGATACAATCGCTCCTGTGCCATTCTCAGGCTGGTCGAAGTATTCCATGTCTTGGTAGATGGTGTTCTTGAACATGTCTTCGCGGTACTGCCTCGAGATGACCTGTACGACTAGGTTGGAGACATAACCAGCAACGAAGTACAGGATACCGTTGATGATCGCGACAACGAACAGCATAAGGGCGTAGAAGTCTCCACGGTTCGTCAGCTCGGAACCCTGGAGTTGGAAGGTTGTGATAAGCCTGCTGATCAAAACAGCAAGCGCTGGATAGGTCAGACCACCGACAACGCAAGCGATTGCTATGATGAACAGATTCGCCCAGCAATCTCGGCGTTCTTGAATAACGATGCCGAAACATTTCAGCAGACCGTAACCCATCGTATGGCCACCGTCCTCCAGTGGCTTGCTGACTTCTTGCCCAACACCGTGGGAGTCTTTGCGTGATAGACCTCGATTGTCTGGCGAGTCCGGTGCGATTGCCTCGTACATCTCGATCGCACTGTTATCATTATTTCCGAGATCTTGTGCCATGACAAGACGATAATAGGCGCCCTTTTGATCCAGGAGCTCGGCGTGAGTGCCTTGCTCCTTGATGACACCTTTATCCAGGACCACAATCCGGTCGGCGTTCTTGACGGTTGAGAGTTTATGTGCAATAACGACCGTGGTCCTTGATCCTTGCAGTCGATCTAGTGCACTTTGAACTTGATGTTCCGCCTCCGGGTCCAGAGCACTGGTAGCCTCGTCCAGAAGAAGGATGCTGGGGTTTGATATGATGCTTCGAGCAATTGCAATTCGCTGCTTCTGGCCTCCGGAAAGTCGACTGGCTCTTTCGCCGACAACAGTCTGGTATCCATCGGGAAGATTTCTGATGAAGCTGTCTGCGTTTGCATCTCGACAGGCCTCTACCACCCTCGCCTCGATCTCGTTTTCCGGCAGATCTGCTGCGCCTACGAGACCTAGTCGTACGTTTTGATATATCGTCGTGTTGAAGAGCACCGGCTCTTGTTGGACAAACCTGACTTGGGTGCGAAGCCACTGAACGTCAAGGTCACGCACATCTCGGCCATCGATTTTGATGGTACCGGATTCTGGCTCATACCAACGCTCCATCAAGCCTACTATGGTAGATTTTCCAGATCCCGATGCACCAACCAGAGCAATCGTGCTTTTTGCGGAGACTTTGAGTGAAAAGTTGTCAAGAACTCGAACGTCTGGCCTGGAAGGATAGGCAAAGTTGATGGCAGTAAGCTCTATTTCTCCTTGGATTGACTCGGGTCGTTCCCCTTTGTTGTTCAAGGGGTCAAGAAGAGACTTTCTGTCGATCACTTCGAGGAGCTCTTCGGCGCTACTGGCTGCTTTGGCTATGGTGCGAGTTAGCATGACTTGAACATTGGCTGGAAGCAGCATGCTCCAGGGGAAGATCATGTGGTCACTTAGCCGTACGCACCAATAACTTGCATCTGAGGGGCCACTTGAGTTACAGATTGTGCTGCAACGAGAACAGCGAAGATCACCCTACAGTCTGTCAGTTATCAAAGACGTTCGAGGGATAGTGATGCAACATACGTTATGATCTTTCCAGGGGCTTCGATCTCGCCGTTAGCATACATATGAATGCCTTGCCAGAACGCTAGGCCGTATCCTGCGTAGACAAAGAAAAATTCGTTGGCGTAAAGCAAACCCCAGTTTAGAGACTTTCGCAGACCTTCTCTTCTGGCGTCCTCTAGAATCTGGTTGTGCCTCTCGATCATTCTTGGCTGAGACCAGTAGGCGTGAACCACACGGATACTCGAGAACGTCTCCGCGGCAAAAGAACCTGCCTTGGCATACAGCTTCATACATCTGTTCTCCTGCGAGGCGTCGATAGCAACACCGATGCCAGTTGTGATGACAATGGCTGGTATAATGCAGATGGTGATAAGAGCAAGCTTCCACTGTACTGCAAGAGCGACGATGAAGGCGGTGATGAGGGCGGCGATTGCTTGAACTACCAGACCCAACTTCTCTGCAATGCCCAGTTGTATATGGCTAGAAAACGTGTTGAGCTTCACAGCGATGGCACCGGTGTCACCGATGTCGAAGAAGGCAATCTCTTGCCTCAGTGTCTTGTCGACACAATCGATACGCAGTGCTCTGACCGTTCGCATCGCTGCGAACGATATGGTCACTGTTCCGACATAGAAGACGATCAATTTTGCAATTGCCAGGTAGACAAGGTACAGACTATGACAGTCAGTCTCGGTACTTATCCTGCTATGTTGAGTAGCAACAACCTAGCTTTGGCAATCTCAGAACGAAAGTGGCTGACAGTGATATTGCCTTGGGCAAAGTCCTAGCAAAACTTGTCAATACGATCACCCACCACTTTGTGCTCTGAAAGAGGTCCATCGATACTAACATTGAATGTGTTAACAAACTGACCAAAGATTAAGTCGAGTAGAGGCAAGGCTGTCCCTGAAGTTGCCATACAGAGCACACCAATACCATACAGAAACTTGCTCAGTCGGTCGGCATATTGGAACATTCGCTTCGCACAAATCAGTCTATACCTTCATGAACTATGGCTCTACTCACAAAGTACGCAGCCCACCCTTGTGTCTTTGCTACCTCTCCTGTCGAGTTTGTAACTGATGCCTTCTCGCTGTCTGACATACTAGGCGAGTCGAAATTTGCGTATGAAACTGCATCGTGTATTGCTGGCGGTAGCTATAGTGTTAAATCTCAGTTTCGAAGACCAGACTACATCCCGAAGACTAATCCGCTCCTTGCTGCGCCCCTGCGGCCAGTAGAAATGGTTTGATGTTGATGTCGATCGAGGAGACTGACTCATTCACGGCGCGCGCGGGCGCCGTGTTGTTGCAAAGGAGCTTGCAGAACAGCGTGGTGTTCGCTAAGCCAGACCCTGACTTTTTCGAAGGGTAGTTGCAAGATTGGCGTTCTGTGCACGGAAACAGGCGCTGCCTGGAGATTCGCTGTCCGCGGACACCCGAACTAACAAACCGAACCACCCGTTTCTCTTTAGTCCTCAACACATCGTCTGATTATGCTGGAATCGTCGTGTCTGCCTGTAAAAACTGCAGGCTGCCACGCGCCTAGGCTTGGCTCAAGAAATATATCCATCGAAGATCCTATCTGACGGGTATCGAAAGTAGGGCAACATCCATCTCTTGCTTTACATTAGCCGTCACTTATACCACTCCGGATCTTCGGTCATTCTCGGGACCCGAGACATACCAAGCCATTGATTGTTTGCTGAAGTGGAGGTGCTACGGGCAAGCATGACGGACTCTGAAAATGAATCGACTGCTTTCAGCAAGTCACTGCCTAGAGCAGTATGTTTACCGAATCTAGATACCACCATCACGCTAACTTACAGTAGTGCGATACTTGTCGAATACGCAAGATACGTTGTGACAAGACCACACCTTGCTCCAACTGTAAGACTGCGGGAGTGGCATGCAAGATCACTAGTCGGAGCAATGATATAACCAAACCCAGATCTAGAGTGCTCATCTCTAATCAATAGTAAGTGATCTGTCTAAACAGAGGCTCGTAGTAATAAATCTTTGCCTTACGCATAACAGTGAACAAAAGATCGACCGCATGGAGCAGCGTCTCGAAAGCATAGAAAAGCTGTTACAGATACTGGCATCAACAGCAAAAGCTCCTCGAGATACGCAGTCTGGACCATCGTCTGTTACGTTCACACCTGCGCCTAGCGCTTCTGTACCAATACCTACTCCTCAGGTCGAACAATTCGAGGGAGAGACTTCCTTAGTAGCACACTCGAGACAAGCCCACGAAGCACTGCAACATATGCTGGAGGCGGCGCCAACTACTATCCGCAACGATCCCAACACAGTCAATGCCCTCGCGTCTCTGCGAAACTTGTTGGAGAAGCACCGCTCTGAACCTCCTAGCAATCTGTTGTCACGAGTCGGGTCAACAGGGGATCTCCAACACTCAGAACTACCTTCACGCGACGAAATCATGAAACTTTTCGCTTATGTGGAAGGTATGAATCCTGAATTGCGGTGAATTTTCCTGATACTGATACTTGTATAGCTGACGAATTGCACGACATGTTTACCTGGTGGCTCTTTGACGAGATCCAGGACTTTTACGATATGTACGACGAATTTTGTCACTCGCCATCAACGTGCTCTACTGCGATTTCCGTTTTAGTGTATTGCGCACTATCTTGGCTCTTGGAAGGTAATCCAGTGATGCAACGGGCAGGGATAGACATGTCCCAGTATGCTGCCTATGTTCCGATCTGCCACAGACATCTCGCGACTTATATCTCGTCTTATAACTTGTTCCTGGAGCCTACGGATACGAATATAGCAGCTCTCTCGGCTGCTGTAAGTGGAAATGCAGCTATGCTTGACAGAGGTTGTGCAGTTCTGACTGGATACAGGCCGCCTACGCTATCTATACAGCCGATATCAATGCCGCTTGGACCCTGACGAGTACTGCAGCGCGTTTGTGTCAATCCTTGGGATACCATCGCTTGAGTAATGACAGAAGCGGAGATACTAAACTCTATGAGAAGCGGGCTATGTTATTCTGGTCAGTCTACTTCATTGACAAGTCGTTGTCGCTTCGACTTGGTCGAGCGTCCTCGCTCCAGGACTTTGACATATCCTTTTCCGCAAAAGAGGTCTTTGACATTTGGAACAATAAAGATCCCCTGGACCTCAAGACTGCCAAGCTGGCTGAGTGGTTAAGACTCTCGCTTGAGATGGCAAAGATTCAGGTAAGTATCAACCAATCATCTCACACCACCGATTACTCATGATCATAGGGTGCGATCTACGACAAGCTCTATGCACCTGGAAGCATTAAAGCTTTGTCAGAACGCCAGATCCAAGGTCAAGAATTCATAATAAAGATACACGAGATCTTGTCGATGAACCAGAAGGTCAGTGCTGACTGACCTTGACGCTCTCGTTACACGGCTGACCGTGTCTTCGTTTCAGTGTTTTTCGGAACCAGGGTGGCTCCAGGAATACACGTCATTCTACAAAGAGAGCACCGATGTCATTCTCTACAGTTTGTTCACGCTCGTCTATCGGGCCATGCCCGAAGTGTCGAATGCGCAACAACTTTCGTTACAAGCTGCAAGGTCGACTATGCAGGTTCACTACAGTTGCAGCAAAAAGGCGGAGTTCATGGGATCAGAGTTCAAGCTTGAATACTTGACCTGGTAAGTCGAACTATGATCCACTCTCAGGAATCCTACTGAAGCCTTCAGGTCTATCATGTTGTGTCCGTTCACATCATTCATCGTACTCTTCCGCAACGTTGTCACAGACCTCAATATCGACGACCTGAAGCTCCTCGAATATTTTGTGGTTTCGATTGAATGGCTCAATGATGGACACCAACGAGAGCCTCTCCAACGCTTTCAGCAGTTGTGCCATGCCTTTTACAGCCTTGCTAAACACTTTGTGGCTGCTCGACTGCGTGCTGATCACGAGCATCGAACTTCCATTAGTACAGACCAAGCACTTACCTTGAACATCATGCAACAGACGACGGATTTCGACCAGTCGTCGAGCAATGTGGTGTTTCCTGAAGACTTCCAGACTTGGATGGATACGAACATGGATTTCATGAACGATAACTGGTTGGCTTTCGGAACACTCTGAATTCGATTAAGATGCCTCCAATCGACTCAATATTCCTGCAGTAGGACTTAGCCCGATAGATCGGCCGTCTTCATGAACACATACTCATTGTGTCTCCAAGCGGTACGCAGCATTTACTTCGTGTGACTACTCAAGCCCCTCGACAGTCTCAATACAGGTCAGAGTCTCGTGAGCTGTACGGGTAATCAAGCACTCGGTTTCTGGACGAACATTTATTCTCTATCCATCTCTTGGATCTATTCAATACTTTTTCCATCGGATTTTGATACTTTCCAGGGAGGAGGTCGAATGTTATGTTGAATTGCTCCGACGCCGTCGGGTAGATTGGTACAGCTTGGTAATTCCGCTTAAATCCATTGATGACGAAGTGTTAGACCCCACCTATAGAAGATCACGACATATCGCGAAACAGTTAAATAGATCCTTTGGACCCTCGTGCACCATCACAAACTCAGTCCATACATACAGCAATCATGGCAAGCTACACGAACGGCGAAAGCAACAACGGCGAGACCAAGGGCATCCAACCAAAGATCACTCTCTACACCAACCACCTCTGTCCTTTCGCTCACCGCGCCCACATCACCCTTGAAGAGCTGGGCCTGGACTTTGAAGAAGTCATCATCGACCTCGATAAGCCTCGCGAGCAATGGTACCTTGACATCAACCCCCGCGGTCTCGTACCTTCGATCAAGTACACCGTCCCCGGTCTCTACGACGAGGAGATCATCACCGAGTCGAGCATCGTCGCACAGTTCCTCGCAGACGCCCGTCCTTCGCATCTGCTACCCGGTAGCTTGCATGATCCTTTCGCTCCGCTGTTCAGAGCTAGAGTGGCTTTCTTTGTCGACACTTGGAACACAAAGGTTCAGGGCAGCCTGTACCCAATGATGAAGGCCGAGGGCGAAGAGAAGGACAAGCTGGCCAAAGAGACTGTTGCCGCTATTGAGAAAGAGATTGAGCCTCTGTTGGCAAACGCTGCTCCCTTCTTTGGCGGCAAGGACAAGCCCACCCTTGCTGAGGTATATTTTGTCTATCGTCTACGTTCAGCGGGCACAATGCTGATCAAAGACACAATTGCAGGCCATCATCGCACCCTTCCTCATCCGCTTCTTTGCTTTCTCCAAGGAGGGCAACCTCCTTCCTTCGTCGCTCAAGAAGTCCATCGAGGCTCTGCCAAACACTGGAAAGTGGGCCAAGGCTGTCGTCGAACTTCCCAGTGCTCTGACTATCTGGAACGAGGAGGACGTCGTCAAGAGAACGTCGGCTCGCGTGGCCAAGATGAAGGAGGCTGCCAAGTAAGCGGCGCTTGCTGTATGGCTGATCGCAATGAGAGACTAAAGGGAGCAGACTGTGATATGCATGACGTGAAACGACTTGAGTATGAGGCATACGGCAATAGCAGAGTACATAGTCTCGAGCAAGTGATCGATTTTTTCATAACTAACAAACGTCTTCTTCACTGTGTTTGTGCACTCTGTTCAAGTAAAACTCAGGAGAGTGGACGATGGTATGACCTATCTGCAAAAATATTTCACTGCTGCCATAATCTTGAATAAACGATTGATAAAGCCCAAGGGTCCAAACTCCAAAGTGGTTCGGTTGGTGGCGGCTTGGCGTTGTGCCAAGCATCTCGCGCACAACCTGCAAAAATGGGAAGCCGCAAGTCTGAAGATTTCCTTCCTTCTCGATTCGTCCGCGACCACGAAAACTAACGACCCAGCTTCCCCAATACCGTAACAGTACGTCGAATCTCTGCATCGAAAGGATCGATTGCAGTGGCCCTGAAAGAGTCGCAATCGCTGACAGTTGCCAAAGATGGGTGCCCTCAAATACGTCGAAGAGCTCCAGAAGAAGAAGCAGTCTGATGTCCTGCGCTTCCTTCTCCGTGTTCGCTGCTGGGAGGTACGCGCTACATGAGAATTGATGCTACTCGTTGAACTTTGCTGAGAGTGCATCAATATAGCTCCGCCAGTTGAACGTCATCCACCGCGCCTCGCGCCCTTCGCGCCCCGACAAGGCCCGCCGTCTGGGATACAAGGCCAAGCAGGGATACGTTATCTACCGTGTCCGCGTCCGCCGCGGTGGTCGCAAGCGCCCCGTCCCCAAGGGCGCCACCTACGGTACGATTGAAGATTCTGCAACGAGGAAAAAGATCTGGTTCTAATACTCCCTCCAGGCAAGCCCACCAACCAGGGTGTTAACCAGCTCAAGTTCCAGCGCTCCCTCCGCTCCGTCGCCGAGGAGCGTGTCGGCCGCCGCTGCGCCAACTTGCGCGTCCTGAACTCGTACTGGATCAACCAGGACTCGACCTACAAGTACTTCGAGATCATCCTTGTCGACCCCCAGCACAAGGCCATCCGCAAGGATGCCCGCATCAACTGGATCGTCAACCCTGTCCACAAGCACCGCGAACTCCGTGGCCTTACCTCGACCGGCAAGCACAACCGTGGTATTAACAAGGGTCACCGTTACAACAACACCTCTGCTGGCCGCAGAAAGACCTGGAAGAGACAGAACACTCTCTCTCTCTGGCGCTACCGATAAACGTCTCGCCCCTCACGGCGTTGACGTGGTTGTTAAAAGGGATCTGGGCAAGGGTCTTCGTTTCGTATCGTTGCGATGTTGGGACGAAGGCATCCACAAAATTTCTGGGATTAGCGGGCATTATCATGAACTAGCCAAACTGTTGTCATTCAAAATCACAACGCTACCCGCTCACTTCCTTTTGTTCTCAGTGCATCGTGAATTGTGATTTTCCTGAGATTCAAGATTGTAGGATTTGAAGGCTTACGACGCCTGAAACATACATACAGGGTTATGAATGAGACAAGATGGATTCGGCGCAGGTTTGAAGTTCAAGCCGACGGGAGAAAGAGCAAGTTGTAGGACAGCAAATTGGTGAGATGCGGCTGCTAGGTTCTCTAAGTGGAAAGACTAGGTTCGGCGAAGGGCGGCCCCAGAAATAGGCGCGGTAGTGACTAGTGAGGGGGGACTCGGAGTCATGTCAGGGAGACGGACGAGGAGCTGAGCATTGTCGAAATGTGGTGAACACGAGCTCAACCGCTTGGTGCCCGCTTCGTATTCGATTCTCTCTGACAATCCTTGCCCTGGTCGTTGCAGTGTCGACTCAGGACATGACTGTCGTGCTTTCCCCCGGTACGCCCAGCGTCCGTCTCAGCTGCTGCCCTCCTGCATCAACAAGACATTGTTCCACCTTCGCTCCTCGTCATCCCGAGCCAGGAGCTACCTGAACCATCACCATCAGGGAAAGCATGTCTCTGTGGCCGCCGCGATTCACATCTCTAACCTCGGGCTCGTCGGGGAACGCGAATCGACCGCCTCCTGCATCCCCTCCACGCGTTCCGAGAGACCAACACCCTCCACCAGGCCCTCGACCCGCCCAGTCGTCGAGTCCGCGACAGCAACCACACACACGTGCCGTCAGCCATCCCTTACCAAGAATTTTTGGAAAGAAGAAGAGTGCCCCTGTCTTGAGAAGCGTCCCTCTCGATGAGCACTTGGTACCCGTACTGGATGCTGGTCCATCATCCGGAGCACCTACACTAGACAAGCCCATTGGTGGTCGCAAGAGAGATGAAGAGTTGATCACACGCCAGTGTATGTGCTGCGATAACAAAGTCCGCTTTCCTCGTGATCTTCACGTCTTTCGTTGCACCAATTGCCTGACCATCAACGACCTCGAACCCTACGTGAAGCAGGCCCGCGATCCAAAGTCTTCCACCTACCCGGGCCAGCAGCAGGGTCCGCAACGTGAGTTTATTGTTTGACGACCAAGGCTTCGCTGTGTACTAACAGGAACAAAGCCATACTCCCATTGTCAGTCGAGCGGACCAGAGCCCTTATCGATCGCTGCCTCATCACCTACCTCGAAGCACGGTGCCGTAGAAGAGATGTTCCGACCTCGCCGAACGCCTCCGTCCTTCCGGATCCATTTGTTCGTAGCGATCCAGCAGCAGAGAATGCATTTTTACATCCACCGTCCCGCTTCGAGCAGTCGCCTCCCGAGACGCCTGGACCCGCTTCGGCAACCTTAAAGACTCCAGATGACTTCCAATACTTCTCCTACACGACTTCTCCTTCGCCGAACAAGAGTCCTTCGAGACCCAAGACAGCTGGCTCGTCGTATACCGCCCCTCATGTGCCTCCAGTACCACCAATGCCATCTTTGCCGCCAAACAGGAGGCCCCCACCACCACCTGGTTTTCATTCTGCACCCCTCCCTATGCGTCCTCAGCCTCCTGTTGATGGTGACCGCAGTGCTCAGCGTTACGATCGAGTCAAGGTCATATTCAAGCCTCTTGAGGATTATATGCTCAGCAGCTTTGGAAATTACAACTGCCTCAATACTTCTTTCAGTATTGTACGGCATCCCGTTGCTGCGCGTAGGAGGAGCGAGAGCGCTATCAAAACTCCTCCCAGTGAAACGGTCGAAACTTTCCTCCAAAGTCCACTAGACTCGTTCTCTCAGCTCGATGCAAAGACTTTGCTTCTTGGTGATTTCGCAGAGAATGGCGACTGGTGGACAGGTCGAGTTACTCGCAACTGTTCAGACAAATCGGACAAACGCGGTCATCATAGCTCGGAAAGTAGACGTTTGACTACTTCAAGGTCTCCCCATATCGATTGGGATCAGCTTTCTCATTGGTACGATGTTGTGCATTCTGCTGGGCTTAGGTGGCGCGACAGAGTTGCGAACATGAGAGGTGTCGACCAGGAGAAGGTGCAGGAGCATATTCGTGGATCCGTCAATGCTAAGGAGATTGACGAGGACATTGCAGAAGCCCGGCTGCACGTTGAACGAGCCTTGTTGAAGATCACTGAAAACATATTGAAACGGCCTACGCGACCCCTGCTTGAACCAGACCACATACGCTTTCTGCTTGTCATTCTGGCAAACCCTTCATTACACCCCTCAACGCGCGCACCTGGCAACAGGCCACCAATTCCTCGCACTCCATCTGGACTCAAGGCTTCAACTTTGGCGCCACCGTCTTCCTCAAGACTTCCGTCTCCCCAGAAGCCGTCAGGCACTCCTGGAAATGAACCTGGACAGCATGCTGGCATCCTCAAGCGCATCTTTGGACTGGTCGCCAACGCTTCCGAGAATTGTCATCGGTGTCTCACTAATTGGTTCAGTAGACTGCCTGAGCAACAATTCGTAAAAATGGTTGATCTGGTGGCGAGGTTCGTTACTTACCGACTTTCGCGCCGCAAGAGTCGACCTCGCAGTATTATACCTCAAGATGGTGGTCTTATTCCCGATTTGTCTGGGTCTGCGAGGAACACGTTTGCCCAGCTCCAATCAGCAACTGGTTTGAGCGGCAGCAGTAGTGGAGCTGGCAGGAACAAGATGCCACAAATGGAGACGATAAGTGTGATTGACTATAGTGAGGACTGGCAGTTGAAAGCTGCTGCCAAAGTCATGGCAATGTTGTTCGCTGCAAACAACACATGGCAGACGAAAAGGGCTGGTCTTACTCCTGCCCAAACAAGCATGAGTTCTCTGTCTAAGCCACGCACAAAGATGCACGGACAACTGCTGCCTACTTCGGACTTCTACAACACACTGCTCGATTATTACGATCTCGTCGCAGACTTCAAGGCTTGGGAGTCTAAGAAAGCGAAGTTTACCTTTTGTCAATACCCGCTCTTTCTCTCCATGGGCGCCAAAATTCGACTCATGGAGTACGACGCACGTCGTCAGATGGAGATCATGGCTCGTGAGGCTTACTTCGACTCTGTCACCACACGCAGGTCCATTGACGGCTATTTCCACTTACGTGTAAGGCGTGAGTGTATGGTTGACGACAGTCTGAAGCAAATCAGCGGTGCTGTAGGGTCAGGTCCAGAAGAGTTGAAAAAGGGACTCAAAGTCCACTTCACAGACGAAGAAGGTGTTGACGCAGGTGGTTTGAGAAAAGAGTGGTTCTTGACAGTGGTCAGAGATATCTTCGATCCCAATCATGGTATGCCTGTAATTTCGACACAGTCGACTTGACATAAGGACTAACACTATCACCTAGGCATGTTCCTTTATGATGACGACTCGGGTTTCTGTTACTTCAATCCGTCTTCCTTCGAGACCAGCGATCAGTACTACCTTGTAGGAGCTCTCCTCGGCCTCGCGATTTACAACTCTACCATCCTAGATGTAGCCCTTCCACCATTTGCCTTCCGCAAGTTGCTCGCTTCGGCCCCTCCTCCGGCGCAAAATTCTGCTCTGCCCTCGAGTGGCAGAACTCAAGTGACTTATACCCTCGAGGATTTGGCAGAGTACAGGCCCGTGTTAGCGAAAGGTTTACGCGACCTTCTCGACTTTGATGGAGACGTCGAAGCAACCTATTGCAGAGACTTTGTTGCAAGTACTGAGCGGTATGGCGTGGTGACGGACGTTCCATTGATTCCAGGTGGCGAAGCTATACCAGTCACCAACACGAACTGCCGTGAATATGTCGACGCCTATGTGCGCTATCTGTTGGACACATCTGTGACTAGACAGTTTGAGCCCTTCAAGCGTGGCTTTTTCACCGTTTGTGCTGGCAACGCTCTTTCATTATTCCGCGCCGAAGAGATCGAACTCATGGTCCGCGGCTCTGATGAAGCCTTGGATGTCAATTCCCTCAAGGCGGTTGCTGTATACGAGAATTGGCGCGAGGTTGCTCCGCCGCATAAACCACTACCCAACCCTGCTGACCAAGTACCGGTCATATCCTGGTTCTGGGACTGTTTCCGAGGTGCTACACCTGAGGCACAACGAAAGCTCCTTGGTTTCATCACTGGCTCCGATCGTATACCTGCTGTTGGTGCCACGAATCTTGTTCTTCGCATCGTCTGTGGTGGTGACGGGACTGCTGGACAAGGGCAAAACGCTGGCACAGACCAAGAGAGGTTCCCTATCGCACGGACATGTTTCAATATGTTGGTACTTTGGGGCTACGAGAGCAAGGCGAAGCTCGAAGAGAAGCTCTGGCGTGCTGTGTCCGAAAGCGAAGGGTTTGGATTGAAATGATTGGCGACCAAGCGGGTCCTGGCAGCGTACATTCTTCTATCCTACAACGTTCAACTACTTCTTTCTTCGTTGCACCTTCCTCCATCGATCTATTTATTCATCGCTAGCTAGTGCGCTTGGCATATGCACATTAGTCGCTCTTGCCACATCCCATCGGCTCTGCAACCCCTCACGTTTTCTCAGCTCGACGGTCTATCACCGCTATCTGTTGCCAACTCCTGTGTCCATGTTGACCGTGACCTGCCGTTCAGTTCTCCACGACAAGCCATAAACACACTTTTGTGTGCATTAATGAATCCTTCAAAGGAACCACTCCGCGATTTCGGCAACCTTCCGCACGTATGTATACCTGCCACGCCGATCCCCCACAACTCTATCCTCGGATACCCCATATGGAGATGGTGCAGACCCATAGTACATGTAGGTACATTCGGCTAGTCGTTATCGAAATCATATAAATGACCGTGTTTGGGCTGCATCCTTCAGGACTTCCATTCCCAGTTCCTCCCTTCCTGCCGGGTCAATTGCAAATATGAACGATACATCCAAGAAACACTCGATCGAACACTTTGAATTTGTGGAGGGGAATGGTTCGGATACCGCTGTCTTTATCGACCCTATTGCTGAGAAGAAGTTGCTGCGGAAAATTGACCTTAGAATCTTGCCGCCGTGAGTCTGGATGCTGGGTATAGAGAGAATATGTTCTGATGTTCTTCCAGATTAACTGTTTTGTTCCTTCTTGCCTTCTTGGACCGTACGAACATTGGCAATGCGAAGATTCAGGGTATGACTGCTGAGTTGAAAATGGGTGGACACGATTACAACATCGCGTTGTTCGTGTTCTTTATCCCTGTGAGTTCTATTCTCTTATGTCTAGGCTTTATATATGGGCGGCATGCTGACTCGTTGGCGATAGTACATCTTATTCGAGGTACCGTCCAACGTGGTACTCAAGAAGATTGCCCCCTCCCTTTGGTTGAGTTGTATTATGGTCCTTTGGGGTATGTTGAGTTCTGGTTGTAGCGAGATTGGTCTTACTAATTGTTGTTCCGCAGGCATCGCGACTATTGGGCAAGGTTTAGTCAATACTTTTGAAGGACTTGTGGCCATGAGAGTCCTAGTTGGCATATTTGAGGCTGGACTGTTCCCGTAAGTCTCAAACAATGTTTCGAAATTATATACGTCTAATCGTTTTGCAATCCAGTGGCTGCATCTATCTCATCAGCATGTGTAAGTAGGGAATGGTTATATTATCCACATCACGCATTATATGCTCACCTGAATCAGATTACCAGCGCTACGAACTACAATGGCGACTCTCCTTGTTCTTCTCTGCCAGTATTCTTGCCGGTGGTTTTGGTGGTGTGAGTGTCGATTAAAGCGTGCTATTCAACAATTTTATACTGATATTGTGAAGCTTCTGGCCTATGCTCTTGCAAAGATGGATGGTGTTGGTGGATACTCAGGCTGGAGATGGTAGCGTTCTCTTCTGTGATTTACTTTTGAGAGATGCTAACTTTTGAACACAGGATCTTCATCATCGAAGGCATCTTGACCGTCCTTGTTGGCTTCGCTGCCAGATTCTGGGTTTGCGACTGGCCCGAGACAGCAAAGTTCCTCACCGAAGAAGAGCGCCTGCTCTTGATCACACGGCTGCAGACCGACTCTGGAGAAGCAGTGATGAACAGATTGGATAAAGCTGCGAGTACGTGTCTCCTCTATCGTTCCTTCTTGCACAACCACCTGTTTTTTTTTCGAGAACAGAAACCAGCTGACAGAACACAAAACAGCCCGCCGCATCTTCACAGATTGGAAGATCTATTGTGGTGTGGTCATGTACATGGGAATCGTCAACACAGGCTACTCTGGCTCGTTCTTCGTCCCAACTATCATCCGTGAAATGGGCTACACGAGCGCCTCGGCCCAAATCCGCTCCATTCCCATCTTCGTCGTTGCTGCCATCTGCTCGCTCGTCGCTGCTTGGTTGACCGATCGTCTTCGCCACCGCTTCTCGTTCTGCATCTTCGGCCTTGTCGTGGCATCAATCGGATACATCATGCTGCTTTGCCAGACCAATCTGACGGTCGGCGTCAAGTACTTCGCCCTCTTCCTCGTCGTTCCCGGCGGCTACATCACCCAACCAATCGTTCTGGCCTGGGTACAAAACTGCATGTCAGGTCACTACAAACGATCTGTCTCGGCTGCCATGACAGTCGGATTCGGCAATTTGGGAGGAATCGTCGCTTCGAATGTGTTCTTCACCGAGGAAGCTCCATTGTATCGCACAGGATATGGTGTTGGTCTAGGCTTCCTATGGATCTGCGGTCTGGGCTGTGTTGTTCTCTTCGTTGGTGTTATACTGGAGAATAAGAAGAGAGATAGAGGGGAAAGAGACGATAGGTTGAATTGGTCGGATGTCGATAACCTTGGGGACGACCATCCTACTTTCAGGTTTACTACTTGAAGAACAGTCGAGGGATGCCTTAGAAAGCGAGTTGTTACGCAGAGAAGTAAATATCGAACATAAACCAATCCGTCGTACCCAGCTGACCGAACTGGGGACGTCTTTTACCATCTGGTCCGATGCTGGTAAATATGAGCTAGCGTCCAGAGTCGGGAATTTCATACTCACGAGAACTGCAGTGGTTCTTGCCCGAGACTGCCCAATTCTTGCAACCTGCAGTGCGGCACCTGGTGGCGGCCATGTTTCTGTGGTGAAGCAAGGACTAGCCGCGCAACTATCCAGAAGCGATATCATCTGGCCCCGCGCAGCTACCCGATGCCGACTTCGTAGCCAACATGCATGCCAGTGACAACGCTGCTTCACCAGCTTTGGGCCGTAAGGATGAGTAGCCAATCATGTCAGGCGTATACAGGGTGCGAACTCAACTGATGGACAGTGTGAGGCTTGCAGACTGTTGTCTCGAACTTGGTAACACCATCTGTTCGCTGCAATCTTTCAACACGCAAACGCAGAGAGGTACGCGCCACGTATGGGCCATGCAAGTACTTTGCACACATGATCAGCAACTTATCTTCTCCTGTCGTAGCCGGGGTTCCAGAGCGCGTATGCAGATTATGATGCTAATCCTTTGGCGCATCGTCATTGGTCAAATACCCTTGCGGTGGGCTTGAGTGGAATGCTGCACTAATTGTCTGGTACAGGAGAACCACTCGCTTGTCAAAGATCTGTTTGATAGTGGTGGCATACTGATGACTCTTGGCACCGTGCGGCCAGGTTCCCAGTTGTACTCGTTTTTCTCTTCCTTTATTTCAACATCATCCTGTTGAACATGCCACTCAGATATTGCGTCTATCCTGGTTGCAGCAGGCCTGCGGAGCGTGGAAGCGGCGATTGCATGATCTGCTCTGGTCACTGTTGTTTGAAACATTTGACGCCCGAATTTCATACATGTCCATCCGAGGTTTGTGACATCGCACCGCGAGAAACTGGAATCAAGTGCTCATTGTGCAGAACAATGACCCTGATGCTTTCTTCACGGCATACGACTCTGCAAAACAGAATCATTTACAGGCGTTACTTGACAAAGTCGACTTCGATGCTCTCATATCTATCGCAACTCGTCTCCACAATCATATCCCATGCCACATACCCGCTTTGCTGGACAATTCTGTAAAGGCAGCACCAGATGCCAAGTCAGAGCGGATCTTGAATCAAACCGGCGGTCAGAATTGCAACCTCGACATCTGCTTCGATGGTGGCGTTGTCTGGATAGCACGGCTACGATTTGAAGAATCCACCGTCCTGCCTCAAGATGCGCAAATGACCATCTCCACGAGCGAAGTGGAAACACTCAAGTTTCTTGCACAAACCAACATAAGGGTCCCAAAAGTTTTCCACCATTCTTTTGACAACATTGAGATCGGTACCCCATTCGTGCTTATGGAGAAGCTTCCCGGCAAGCCACTAGATTGGTATAATGCTTCGGCCCAGCAAAAGACGAAAGTCATGGAACAGCTTGCAGACGTGTTTCTTGAACTCGAGAAGTGCCCGTTCCTAGAGACCGGATCACTCTCTCAAGGTGGATTGGTCGGACCATTCGCCCAAGGCCATCTTTTCGTGTCTCCTGCGAATCCACTCGGACCGTTTTCTACCTTGGAGGAGTCGCTCACCTCGATCTTGAAGCACGAGCTGGACATGATTGTAGATGGTGAACTAGCCACGCTCGCTACTGAAAACTACTTGACTCATCTCTGGAGGCTAGAGCATCTACCCAGTCTCTTGGCAAGTGCGGCAGGCGATAAATTCTACTTGAAACATGGCGAAGATAAGGGCGACCACATTCTCGTCGATCAAGATTACAACATCACCGGCATCATCGACTGGGAATTCGCAACAATCGAAACCAAGAAGTCGGCATTCAGTTCACCATGCATGATGTGGCCCGTCTTAGAGTATTACGATGGCAGCAACGAATTATCACAAGAGGAGCGTGAGTTTGCACAAATCTTCAACACTCGCGGACGACAGGATATGGCGCAGATGATTCTGCAAGGCCGCAAGTGGCAGAGATTCCTTTTCTTCCTCGGTCCCACTGGTACACACCACTGCGAAGACTTTGGTAACTTGTTCCAAGGTTTGCGAAGGACCTTCGAGGGGGAAACCATCGGATCATACTCACAGTGGATACGTCTCTCCAGCGAGGCCAATGCGGTCTCACTCGAGGCTCTTCAGAACAGTTCAGGCTCATGAGACAGTTGGCTTCGTATTCGAGCATATGCCTTGTCCGCTGCACCAGCCCTGAAGGCGCAGTGCCCCATTTCAACGCGCCGTACGAATAGGGGATAACCATGGTCACCATCCCGACGCTGCGTTCTTCGACACCCCGTTCTTCGACACCCCTACATCCCCTTTGTTGATCAAGTGTACGACATGGCCCCGTAGGGCATTCTTGTGTTTTGGAATAAAAGGCGGCCCATCAACAACCGTATCCAGCGCGAGGCTGGCCACATTATCATCGGTCTGACATTCCAGAGTTCTCTTTTGAGGGATGCGAGAATCTCGGGCCAGCCACGATTCTGCACGCTGAAAGACAGTGAGCCTGCAACTTCGTAACAAGGTGGTGGCAACCGTATGACACAACGAGAAGACAACGTAGACGCTTGTGATGGGGATGATTGATATTCGGATTAGTGGTGGCTAGTCGTTAGTAACCGATGTAGCTATTCAATGGCAACAAGGTGGCTCCAACCCTCACGCGTACGAAACCACGAAAGAGTCCGCTCGTTCACGATTCGGCGATCTCTGGTCTCTACCGAGTTGCCGGATTCGTAGTGTGTTGTGCTCGCTTCAATGTACAGCGTATTCCGTGACGTTAGTATAGATAATCTCGAGACGCTTGTCATTCTGTTTTTCTTGGTTCAACCAACAACGAACAACAACAGCAGCTAAATTTGGTTGACTTTTGGTGGATTCGCGTCGGGAGTCGGCTTCCCGATGCCATCAGCTTTTTCGGATGTCGTCATCGGAAGCGAGCATCATCATCGAAAACCTCCAATCATGTTTTCATCCATTCTATCATCTTAGGAGGTCTTTGCAATATACATTCATCTCTTCAGCTCAAGTCTGTACTTTTCCGGGGTCACGATGCTTCTATATGTTTTGCTTGTCGTGTTCTCACCAATGGTGAATTTGTGCCAACAATACACGTGGTTCTTGTTGTTCTTCATAGATTCGAATCACAAAAACATATTTTGTCGATTTCCAGCCCTGAACGCGGGATTAATGGTCTGAGCTTGATGTTTGTCCTAGATATGGTGCTAAAGTGTCCATAAAGTGTGTTACATACTTGATAAGACCAGAGGCGGACGTGTCGTCGTCGATTATCCTTCATTTTCGCTTGCAAGAGCTAGCACCCTGTCTTCAATGGCGGGGGCAGGGTCGCAATTGAACCTGCTGACCCAACGTGACCAAATGTTAGATACACGTCATGTTTTGCAATAATCACGCAAGCACCGACAATCACCGAGAAGAATATGCGAGTGGTACAGAAAGTAAGAGGGAAATGGAAAATGATTGCTCGCTGATTCGAAAAAAGACATCAACAAGGGACCCCTAGGTATCAATCTGTGTGTTCCCTTAGGCGCGTCCTCTTTTCAACAAACTAAGACTACATTATCGACCTTTTTGTTTTCAGCATGTCATGCATGTGCTATGTGAAAGTTTTCATCATTGATCTTCGTTGAATCCATCATTACGACCGTATCAGATGCGATGATGTATCTCTTTACAGGAGGGGAGCCTCGGCTCTGACGTTCTCAGGTGCAGAGTTCTCGTGGTAGACGTTCTCGTCACGGAGGATGGGCTGGGTGTGCGAGGCAGCGCTGGGCTCGGTGGTGGGAGCGCTGGGAGCATCGAACTCGGTCAAGGGTGTGCTGGCGCCGAAAGAGTTGTACGAGTCGCCAGTGGTGCTTGAGGTCTTGTCAGCGGCCGATTGAGCGGTAGCAGAGGTCTTGTCGGCAGCAGACTGAGCAGTAGCGGAAGTCTTGTCGGCAGCATTCTGGGCAGTGGCGGAAGTCTTCTCAGCGGCAGACTGGGTGGTGCTGGCAGCGGAGTCATAGGCGTTTTGAGCAGTGGCAGAGGTCTTGTTGGCGGCATCCTGGGCGGTGGCAGCGGCCTTGTTGGTAAGGTTGTTGGCAGCGTTCTGGACGTCCTCCTTCTTGATTTCTCTCTCGGGCTCGTTCTTGGCGGGGTTCAGGTTGGCAGGGTTGGGGGCATCAGCCTGACCGGCACGCTGCTTGGCCTGGCCGATGAGCTCAGAGGCACGGTTGGAGAGGTCGGTAGCGGTGCTCTTGGCAATGTCGGTAGCGTGCTGAGTCTGCTCGGCAGCGATGGTGCGAACCTGCTGGGTCTGCTCGTTGATGATGGTGCTGGCGTTCTCAATCTGAGCGTCAATGACCTCACGGTTGTTGATGTAGACAAGAGGAACGGTGTAGATCAGGGTGGTGAAGAGAAGAGCAAGACCCCAGGTGGGCATGATCTTGACGAGGAAGTAGGAGACGAAGGTGACGAAGAAGGCACCAACAGTGACAAAGACGTTCTCGCCGAACATAATGCGCTGGAACTCAATAACGAAGAAGTTGATGAGCTGCTCAACATCGTCCAGAGAGGCCTCGAGGGTCTCACGGGGAATGGTGTAGTACTTGCGAGGACGCATGCGCGAGGCAAAGCCGCGGTCCATGACAAGCTTGCCAACAACTTCAGCGGCAGCGGTAACTGATATGTATGTCAGCCACAGTTCCATCAGTTTGGCCAGAGTTGGTGGCTACTTACTACCGAGGACGATGTAAAGGGCCTTGAAAAGGTACTTGAGGATAGGGACATAGCGGGTGAAGAAGATGAAGGTGAGGATCGAGGCGAAGGAGATGGTGGTGACACGGGGGTTCTCCCAGCTGAGGAGGTTGTAGAAGAACGAGTGGTAGTGAGTCAGGGGCTGGCCAGTGGCAGCGGGCTGGTCGGGCACTCTCTTGGAGTCCATCAAGTTGGAGTACTCCTGCGAGGTCTTCTCGCTCTCAATTCTGGCCTTCTCGGCTGCGGGGCCGTTGGCGAGGTTCTGGTAAGCAGCACTGGCATCTGAAAACAATGTGAGTTGGAGCTCTGGTTCGCTCAAGAGCGTGAAATTACTGTGGAAAGAGAGAGTCAGCACAACCGAAGATAAAGTAGATGTATACTCCTCATTGATAAGGCATGTTCTAGGAGTCAAGCTGGAAACACGGATCAAACAAAGCTGCAGCTGTGGACTGATGTGCCACACAGCTACCATCTTTCAATGAATGGATGCCGACAGAGGATTGGCCACGTACCTTACTGTTGACGACAGCGTCCTTAGCGTTGATGGCAGCGCCCTTTGCGTTCTGCAGCTGGGGGTTGAGGTTGGGGTAGTTTGTGTTCGACATGGCGGCGGCTAGTCTGTGGTAACTGATGAGACGAGTCCAAGACGCAAGGGATACAAGCTGCAGGAGAGGCTCACCGACTGAATGGATAGGAATTGGAAAGAGTAGTGAGGATGGGAAGACAAGGAGGTGTTGAGGAAGAGCACGCGACAGAAGAAGACAGCCGGCAGCTTCCCAAGCTGCGCCCTGATTTTTGTTGCAGAAACGTCATCCACGCGAAACAATCAGAGCTCCGTGCACTTTCACATGCACATCCGCATCCGCGAGCTCCACATCTCCTCCGAAAGCTCGTCATGGACACGCCGTACTGTTGGCTCCTCGGTCCTGCCGCCCATAATCACTGCCTTGATTTCGTTCACGCAATCTTGTTTAACGCATGCAATTCCTGAAGGCTAGCCATTCTATTGCTTGCTAGAATCACCTCTGCAATCCTCCGTCCTGTTTTGACGCTGTATCGTTTCATCCTCCCCATGGGCTGCGTTCCGATCGCAAACAAACAAAGATCGTCAAATAAAACCCACAAGACCCGCTACCCAAAACGCCCATCAAAAGAGCCTCATGCTAGAAAATGCACAATGAGACCAAAGAAATACGAAGTCCTGTGTTCATCCCACACGTGCGTCTTCATCCATGAATCTACGCGTCCTGTCCAAATCTCCACCCACCTTCCTTGACAACTCGTGCGCGCATCTCGCGGTCCTTGACCTTTTCCTCTTTCGTGACTGCGTCTCCTGTGTCCACCCAGCGAGCAGATGATCCACGCTCGCGGAACTTCTTCAATCGCTCGGGGTTCTTGCTGTTGCGGAACACCTCTTCCATCTGCAGCGGTGCGATGGGTCCAAAGATACTCTCGGGGTCCACAAGCTGTTGCTGTGTGAGCAGATCGCGGAGTGCTGGGGAAGCAACCCAAGATGGTGCTCGGAATCCACCAGTCTGATCGTCGTCAGAATCCTCGTCCTCACTGTCTGTAGCAATTTCAGGCAGGTTGATGCTGTCTCCATTGGGGTACAAGGGTGAAGATTTAGCAGACTTGGGCACTGATTTCTTAGAGACAACCTGAGCTGCCGGTCGCCCAGGAGTCTTGAAGGCAGAGGGAGGTGCTCCCTTGCTCGACGATGCTCCGGGAGGGTTCGAGTTTTCTGCGAAAGGAATCCTGGCTGTCGACAACTTCATCATATCATTAGGATGCATACCCGCTTTGGCGTGCTGTGCGTAATGCTGTGCTGTGACCGTCGCCTTCAACATGTTCTGAGAGTGGTGAGCCGCCGGTGGAGGTGCATGAGTGTAGCTGTGAGGGAACTTGTTCAGTGTCGACTCCTTGCGCATATTCGAGGGTCTCTTTGGAGGAGCTGTCAATGCGTTGTCTGAAGGTCTGTCGGTCTCATCGTCATCGCCCTCCAGCGTCTTGCGTCGCTTGTCACCTTGCTGCTGGTACGAGGTTGGCGCTCTGCTGATAGTAGGACGTTGTGACGATTCTTCAGCCTCCTGAAGGGGACGCTTAGCGGGCTTTGCAGTGTTGGCCTGAGGCGCAGGGCGGTCCTGCTTGGACAGCTGTCTCAATGTGCCGCCAATGTCGCCCCGAGGTAGTGTAGACGCCTGTGTCTGCTGTCTGTCCATTTTCTCTTGCTCCATAGTCGCAGCCTACGAACATTAGCATGAATGACGACTCCTCCAAATAGAGTCCACTTACCAATTCAGCACTCTTCTTCTGCTGCAAAGCCAACTGTCTTTGCTGCTCGACTTTCCTCTGCTCTGCCTGCCTTTGTGCCGCGACTCTACCCTCTTGAAGTCGTTGCTGCTCGGCCGCCTTACGTTCCTGTTCAGCCTTGCGATCTTCTTCAGCTTTGGCAGCTCGTTTGCGCTCAATCTCGCGCTTTTGTTCTGCCTTCTTTTGCGCCACCTTTTCATCCTGCTCCTTCTTTCTGGCAGCAGCTTCGAGAGCCTTGACACTGCGAACAGAGCCTGCTCCTGCACCAACAGATTTTGACAATGCAGGGGGCTGTGCACTGCCAGCGCGAGACGGCTGTTGGCGAGTGGCTGGCCCAGAGTTGACATCTTGAGAAGAATTTCCAGGCTGAGTAGAGCCAAGTCTTTGCGAACCCGAAGCCACCTTGATACTGACCGGAGCAGGCTTTGGTTGAATGCTACCCAATCTCGATGGCTTGGCCAGTCTACCAGGTGCTCTCAATTTGCCAGCTGGAGCACCAGTCTTGGAGGGCACTGGAGGACCCGTCTCATCAACGTCGCTTCCCTCGTCTGCAGTCGACCTCCACGATTGCTGTGATGCAGCACCAGGGCGGCTGGCTGCTGCGAGTCTCTCCTTCTCAAGGCGCGCTGTCTCGTTAGCCTTTTCTTTCTCGGCCTTCTCATGAGCCTTTTGCCTCTCTTGTTGCCTGACTTTCTCTAGGTCGTCCACAGTGTTTTGTTCGTCCTTGTCCTTCCTACGGGCGTGCTCCGTTGAGCTGCGAGTTCGCCTGTTTCCGCCGGCTGTAGGGAGGGCGGTAGCTGGTCTGTTCTGGCCAAGATCAGGGTAGAGTCCTCCAGGCATCTTGGACATGTCTGGATCAGGACGCTCAAAGGTTGCAGCAGAGAGCGGTCGATGGGGAGAAGAGAGTGAGTTCATCTTTGCCTGGGCACTGGCTGCAGCGCTACTACCGAACATGCCCTTGGCCGATTTGAAGACGGAGTACAGTTTCGCCTTGGACGCGCTGATGGGTGCTTCTGCGAACTTTTGCTTCGTCGGGGAAGCGATAGAGTTATTGATAGGAGTGGTGGCACCGCTACCAGGCGGGAAGTTGGGGTTCGAAACTGATGTGTTCTTCTGGTGATGGACGCGTTGAGGAGCAGTCGCAACCTTTGCAGGAGATGCGAGTGTGGCTGTCGAGTTGGACTTGTGATGTCCCATGAAGAACTTGGACGGCGATTCGCGCAATGCAGGTAGAGGGATGCCGCTGAAGGCTGGCTGTGCCTCTTCGACCGAGACAGGATCAGACACTTGGTCGTTCAGCTTCTGCGTATCGACGCCACTAGCGGCACGAGAGCTGGGGAGTATAGGAGCAATCCAATCATCATCGTCGTCAACAAGTGGTTGCGTGTCACCTGGAATGTTCTCTTGAGATGGTCCGGAAGTAGATCGGTGCTCATGAGCTGGTAGCGAAGGATAAGTAGGCATGTGAATGGATTTCGACGTGCGAGGCTCCTTTTGCTGACCGAGTAAGGTTATGCGCTCGTGCAGTCTTTGAGTCGACGTCTTGTTATGTCCGTCTGCATCTTCTGCTTGCTGGGAATTGGTCTGCTGCGTGATGCCAAAGCTCTTACCAAAGGCACTTGTGCGAGCGCCACCAAACGCATCCATGTGACTGCCTCTGGGACCAATGCTTCGCTTAGCAGTCAAAGGCTCACGGGCAGGCAGAGCGGCGAACGTCAGACTGCTCTTACGCGTCAACGGCTTGTCGGGTGTTGAGGTGTCGGAGGGCGATTTGGCGTTGTCGTCTTCCTCGTCCTCTTCCGGCTCTTCCTCATCTGTCATCTCGTTCTCATCCTGCTCAACCTCGGCAGGCCAGTTTTCGTCGATAAATGGCGCGTGCGAGTCTTGCGTAACGGGGCGGCTGCTGGACTCGGGGTCGGGCACGGTGGCTTGGTCGTCGTCCTCTACGGAGTCCTCGTGGGCGTTCTCGGCGTCTTCGTTGGCCGAAACAAAAGATGCCGTGTCGTTAACTACGGGATCATTTGTGACGTGCTCTTGCAGAGGCTCGAGGTCGGGAGCTTGAGCGTGGCTGTTTTTGAGCATGGACTGCTGCGAATCAACGTCCATCTCATCCTCAGTCAAACCGTGGTACCCAGAATCCGTGTTCTCCTTGCCAACGCGTAGAGGGCTTCTTCTGGATGTTCCTGAGCGAGGGCGCTCCTGTTCGCCATCCTGAGCGATCTGGAACTGAGCAACTTTCGAGTAGAAGTCGTTCTTGGGAGCCGGGCTAAAGGTCGATTGAGGGTTGGGCGCAAAAAGATCCGTCAAAGGCTGTGATTGCTGTTAGTGCAGTTCCTCTTCAGGCGCGCAACTGGGGAGATTTACGGCACGGGCAGCAGCGTTCTTGCGCGCTGTGCGAGGAGTTTTGCCTCGCAGCTTTCCAGGGGTCTTGAAGATGTCGGCAAAATTGCTGCGCAAACGTAAGCGCAAGCATTTTCAGAAAGAGATTGAGACAGCGTACACAGGATTGCTGCTGAAAATCTCGGCCATGTGCTCGTTCAACCATTCCATCTCGTTCTGAGCAGCATAGCCAAATTCCTCAATCTCCATATCGACAAACTCGGCAGCCTGGTCGCGCTCAGTCTGGATCCATTGCGACGAGCCGACAGGAGCTGTCTTGGAACGGGGCGCCATTGTTGTTTGACGCGTTGTTGTTGTGCTTCGACGGAGCTATCCTGGAAGAGTGCGCCAAAAAGTGTCTGAGCTGGACGTGGAATGGATCAGACTAGATCATATCGCTGGACGTGAATGGTTGGCGTCGAGTAGAGGGACGGGATGGCTTTGGGACGCAATGATGGAACCTCGAAGCTGCTTTGTTGTGACATGGATGTTTATCCTCGTCAACTCTGGGCCCCATCATTTTGTCTTGGCGCACGCGTTCTACGACCAATCACGCTTCACCGGCCCGTCGACTTGCTTCTCCTCGCCATCACCGCATCATGAACCGAGACCCCTCAACTCTCGATCGGCTTCTTAGTTTTCTAGCCGAGTGCTATATCATTGAGATGTAAGTCGTTCAACTGAACATTGTTCGTGTCTAGATCCCTCGTGTAATCATGTCAAAACACTTGCTTGCCTCCGCTCGTGCTCTTTCGCGACCCTGTTCCCTCACTATACGTCAGTCCAGACCACAAGCAAGATGGCTCTCCATAACAAAGTCTACGCGGATAATGGAGACCTCTGGCTTCTCGGAAGAGCAGTTGGAAGTGCGTGACGCTATCTCCAAGATATGCTCCAACTTCACAGACGACTACTGGCTCGAACACGACCAACAGGAGAAATACCCTCATGAATTGCATGCAGCACTGGCAAAAGATGGCTGGATAGGAATCGCGTTACCCGAATCTCTTGGAGGAGCAGGCCTCGGTATCTCGGAAGCCACTATGATGTTGCAGACAATCTCAGAGTCCGGTGCTGGTATGGCAGGTGCTCAATCGATACATGCGAATGTCTATGCCACCCAACCCGTCGCCAAGTTTGCCACAGAAGAGCAACTCCAGCGAATGCTTCCGAGACTCATTAGCGGAGAGTGGCGAGCCTGTTTCGGCGTTACAGAGCCAAACACTGGTCTGGAAACCCTCAAGCTTCGAACAACTGCTCTCAAAGACGGTGACTTCTACAACGTAACCGGCCAGAAAATATGGATTTCCTCTGCTCAGGTAGCCACAAAGATGATCCTTCTAGCACGTACTACACCAATCGAAGAAGTCACCAAGCCATCAGAAGGTCTCTCACTATTCTTTGTCGACTTTGACAAGACACAGCCAGGTCTGGAGTTGAAGAAGATCCGCAAGATGGGTGGACGAGCAGTCGATGCCAACGAGGTCTTCTTCGACAACTATCGCATCCCAGCCGACTCTCTCATCGGCAAAGAAGGTCAAGGATTCAAAATCGTGCTGCACGGCATGAATGCAGAGCGCTGTCTCCTCGCTGGCGAAGCATTGGGTCTGGGCTATGTAGCCCTACGGAAAGCATCACAATACGCCAAAGAGCGTGTTGTGTTTGGTCGGCCCATTGGCGTGAATCAAGGAATACAGCATCCTCTCGCCCAAGCATACATGCATCTCGAAGCCGCAAAATTGTCAACCTACCATGCAGCACGCCTATACGATGCATCTACAACTGACCCAAGTATAACTCAGCACGCTATCGGTGTCGCTTGCAACACAGCAAAGTATCTAGCTGCTGAAGCAGCGTTCACGGCTTGTGAACGAGCAGTCCTAACTTTGGGTGGCATGGGTTATGCAGCGGAGTATCATGTGGAGAGGTATCTGAGGGAGTGCTTCGTGCCCAGGATTGCACCGGTCAGTAGGGAGATGATCATGAACTACGTGGCGGAAAAGGCTTTGGGGCTACCAAGGAGTTACTAGAACAAAATCCAAGTTCTGATACAAGCAAAGTAATACTGCAAAGCATCTCAATTGTCATCCATTACTCTTCCAGTAAACGGTAAATTGTCCAATCAGTACGCGCTTTGCGATAACCCCCCCCTTTAGTTTTGTCAGAGTTCAAGAATCGCGGGCTCGACCCTCTGAGCGGAGTTTTCTCTCTCTGGTACAAAGGTAGAATACTCTGTCAGCGAGAGGGGGCTTTCCATGGCCGTAAAGCTAGTATGGCCTTTTGCCCTTTGTTTTTGCTAGACATTGAGCTGTTGCCGGTATGGCCAGAGTGTTGCCGAGTCAGGCCTTAATGGTCTGTGGCCTGACATGGAATTGCGGTAGGCTGATCAATGCTTGAGTGGGATCACGATATCAATGTGGGTATGAGGAAAGACTGTCTTGTATTGGAACGAATAGTGGTATCGGAGGTAAGCTATGTACTCTCGAGTCTTGCTCACTCCTGTTTTCGTACCCTTCATGGATAACGCATGAAGTCACTGGCAAAGAATGGGCCTTCGACAATGGTTATCGGTATCTCAGCCACATCTCCTGCTCTCAATCCCTTGCACGGTCTCATTCGGACCAACACATTCTTGACCACTGATCCAGTTTCTGTGGTCGTCTCCATACCAAACTTTTCCAGACGAGACACGCACCTCAGAAGCCTCTCGGCAGAACGCTGTGCTCTGCTAGTGTTAAGCCAATTGAGGCGCATCGAAACGGCGGGCATGTCGACGAGGCCTCTGTAGGTGAACAGCCCTTCGCCTTCCATGTCTGTCACGCTGCCCAGGTATAGGCTCACCAGATTTGGAAACAGAGGCCCTGGAACTGTCTGAGTGGGCCCCATGTGTACAGATCGTGATCGTAGACGAGAGCACAACGCTTCAATAACGGACAGGCTTGGGAGATTGACCTGATCGATGCAACACTCAAGTACGAACTTTTCACGTTCAAGACCAGAGTGGTGAGTTGTGAGAAGCCAGAGACTAGCCGTGCGAACGTGCTGTCGTCCAATTCAAGTAATCTAGGAAGTCCGGCATGTCTACATCGATATGTAATATCGAGGCACTCGAGCGACGTCAGATTGGCAAGAGGCGATAGATGTGTCATGGACAGCACCTCTTGATGCGGGTGTGAAGCTATGGCCAAATGTCTGAGCTGTCTTTGACTCCCGATGTATGAGAACAAACGTGTGGTGACGTCTTGTAGATAGAGCTCGAGCTTTTGAAGGCGACTCGATGTCTGCAGTAGAATAGTAAGCGCACTCGACGCACAGCCCGATTTCATCAATGACTTGAGCTTTCCGAAAGATTGTACTGATGTTGACGACACGGGGATCTGCTGCAGTAGACCAGGACTGAGCCAATCGCCACTTAAGTGTTGCAGAGGATTTGCGTTCAACACATGGGCTAAAACTCTGCCAGTCATGAGCTGTAAAGGCCGTGCCGCTGGGTTGCTGTGGATGCTTAAATGCTGCAACGACTCGCAGTTCATTACGAACATGCGGAATGACTCGGGATCTGGGGAGCCAACGAGATGCAAGTCCAGACGCTCAAGTGTCGGAGCCAGGTTTTTGGTATTGCGTTTGAGCATTATGGTAGCGGCCGAGGCGGCGAACTTGCCGCCTAGGAACAACTCTCGTAAACGGGACAAGAGCTGAACGAATTTTGCAAACTCGTAGTCTTCGACATTGACAAGAAGATCGAACATCTCTAATCTTTCCAGGGCAGGACAACAACTCGCTATCAGACCGAGAGATCGCGAATCCAGCCCACAACCGCGAAAGCTCAGCGTTCGGATGGCCCGCTGTAGATATGGAATGAGGTGAATCGATGCGCGTGGATCGCCGAGACTGCTATGCAGCCGAAGGTCTTGTAATGACGAGAATACAAGTTTGTCGAAAGCACAAGTAATGCTCAGTCTGTTGATCTTGAACTTCTGGATTTTGCTCGCATAGTACTGACGTCTCTGCACAGATTGCAGAGTAACCAACTTTGCGATCCGGCCGAAGGATGGTTCCTCCCAGAGTAGGTCTGCACTCATATGATGCCAAGCCTCGTTGACCTGGACGGTGGAATGTAGTGTTGGTCTGTCAAACTGTTTGAAGATGAGTAGCTGGATCTCCGAGGGCAGCTCTGAGAACTTGGCCATCATGCTTGTCGGCCTCTTGGTTTGAACAGGTACCTTGATCGACAAAAGACTGTAAAGATGAGATTGTTGATAAGATCAGATTATCAATGGTGTAAAGAAGGATTGATGTGAAAGAGTAACATGGAAGGGACTCAATGACTTACTCAGCTTTGCTAGAATTGCACGCTACGCTTCTTGTTCTCCCTGGTTCCTGCAGAAGGAGCGATCAACGCATGTACACAAATCCGACTTTGTTGCAATTTCCTGACACTCAGCTGTCAGATCTTGCTTGCACTTCGCATAAGCATCGTACTCGAGGGAGAGCATCTGATAACTTCAATCACAGACAGGGATTTGCAGTCCGCCTCAAAGAGGGACAGTATCCGTCGAAAGCACTACTATCTCGGCTCTCTCTAACGCTAGCACACCAAGTGGTCAGAATATTCAAGAGAGCTCGATTTGCGTCGCCCAAAGATCACATCTGCATCCATGTTGGAATTATCTTCCGAAGCGAGCATGTATGTAACTAGCACGGTCATGCTAAGAAGCTCGAGCGATCTCTGTATCACGGGAAGTGACGAGGAGAAGTACAAGTGTGTTGTGGCTTGATTAGAAAGAAGGTAGGCAACCTGTGTCTGTCTTGGCAACACCGAACTGGTAGCCTACGACTTTATCGACCGCACAATCTTGGACAGATCTCTCATAGATGCGGCCATCTTCCTGTCATGATGCGCTCGTATCTGTCAACGTCGTCGTCCGACTAGGATCTGCACCTCGAAACGCAATCCAGGTTGACACTCAGGTATTCGCAAGGGTCTGTAGTCGCGTTACACGAAACCCGTCACGCGCAGGAAGCCGGACGGCAGAGACGAATGGCTGGCGTTCCAAATGCTATGGTCTGATTGCAAGGGGAAAGGAGAAAAACGACAGGTTCACGCCCAAACTCGAGCAGACTCGACTGAACGCAGGCTTTGTGGCCTCAATAGAGTGATACACAGAAATTGGTTGGGCGGCTTCATCGTGAAAACTTGCTGCAGACGCGATTGAAGCTCCTTCAATGGATGAACACTCTCGAACCGGAAGAGAAACCGCAGTCTCGAGTAGCGCTGGTGCTGGAGTTCTGCATCAATATAGTTCAATGCTGACTCATGATAGTGTAAGAATTCGCTATACGAGCAAGACACTCAATCGCTGTCTGGCTCACATCGAACGCTTCTCCATCGAAAGTGAGCGTTTCGCGCTAGCATAACACAATGCAGCATTCGTGCCACTGTTATACAGCCTGGATCCGTCGCATGAACTACACGCGGAGAGGGGCTTGACAGGCTTGTAGTACCGCCCCCAGAGGCTCTGAAACGTTCTACACGACACATATCTATCACTCCCAAAGATCCCCGGTTCGTCCGGCATTCCACAGAATTGATCCGAAATCTGGACAATATGAGACAGGCAGGAAAGGTTCAGTCGCACAAGGAGTTCATGTCAAGGCCTCGTCTTTCTCTTGCGATTTCCAGACTTGGTATCGAAAGGCTTACACGGCATAATGTGCCTGTGTCCCATCCATCCCTGCTGCTCATCCGTGTTGTGGTGCATTGGTAAGTTCGAGATTGTTGGTTGATCGCTGCACGACATGTCAAGGTGCAGGAACATGCCTGACCATCCATCATGATCTGCGCCGGAAAGCAATCGCCTTGAGATGCCTTTGAGTTAGATTTGCGGTTTGATCGTCCTCGCTCTCCAATAATTTCGAGCTCTTACAATCCCAATCACAGGTTTGTCAGTGATTTTCTCATTCGAAAGCGGTCACGCCTCGTTACAGAGCTGCGGTTCATTTGTGACTGTTGTCCAAAGAGACCGTGATCTTGATGGAGACGGATGTGGCGTGTGTCTAGGGCATACTATCGGCAGTCTGCATATGCAAGTTCCAAAGGCTCCATGGCAACTTGCAGTCAACCCTGAGGCACTGCCGCAGCAGAAGGCATAAAACTTGTATAGGTAACATTCAGTGCATATAAAGTATATCAAAAAGACCTTTTGCCGCTGCAAGAACGTCTTTGGATATACCATCGCCCTCCTGAACCCACGATCGAACATACCCCTCCAACTTCGAAGGTGCGGCGCTTCTTGAACACAAACAGCCAATGTTCCAACACTGAATCGTTCTTGAACTAGCTTGGCAACCAACCACGCAAACTCGACGGCGCTTTGATCTTCCGTTGATCATTCCGGAAATCATTTCAGGCGATAATCGGTGTACAAACGGAGGTCTCCTCAAAGCAGGAAAAAGAAAGCGACGTTGCCTGGTCAGGCGAAGTCGCTGAGACATACAGCCCACTTGCACGCAATCAACCGACATCCGGCATATGAGGTGCAGGCCGATATGAATGGAACCCGGCTTTCATAGCAACACGCCAGCCAGTCAAGACCAACAAAAGACCGGTGCAGAGAAAGTGCACCATCGGGTCTCCTGCAAGAAAAGGCAGGGGAGGTTCAGGTAAAGAAAGAGATAGGAGAAAGAGGCCCTGGCAATAATGACAGACGTTGCTTGGTCCTCCTGGTCCTTGGAGCCTGTCTTTGATACGTACTGCATGCTTCCCTTAGACTTGCTGAGGTGTCGAGCACTCGCATATACTCACCGCCCATCGCCTCCCTATCTGGATACCCAATTGAGCTACTTGAACCCGGTCCAACACGCTCCGATACCAACCCCAGCCTCGCTCATCTCTACACACCTCGACTCGCTCATGACATCGAAGGTCAACAACACAATGATTAAGATTTCATCCCTCCTCAACGCTCCGCCATCTCCGGGTATCTTGCCTCCATTCTCATCACTGAGTCCGCCTCTCACCCCAGCACCGACCAGCCAGGCATCCTCCGTCACTTCCAGTCCTCCGCCCCAAGTTGCTCGTTCTGGTGGAGTCTTGCCAGGTCTTCGTCAAAAAATGGCCAAGGACGCTCCTGTGTTCAACCGCAACCCAGCCCGAGGCGAAGTCCACTATCCTCCATTCGAGGTCAGTGACAAGTGTGCCATGCTCACGAAGAGAGAGCGCCAAGAGCTGTCCGAGAACCACCGTCGCTTCAACATCTACCCCAATGGTAACGAGGATGGTCTGATCCGCGACTTTGTTCGTCACATACCTTACAATAGCGAGAAAAAGGCGTTCTCCGACAAGACCGGTCGCGAGGCTTTCGAGCGTGAGTAAGACCAAGGCACTTGTGTTACGTTGTGAGTACTGACTCGTCTCAGTGTTTCAGTACACCTTCACCCTACCCAACGAGCCCAACAAGAAGTACACCGTCATGTGGGACTATCAAATTGGTCTTGTGCGAATCACGCCTTTCTTCAAAGCATGCAACTACCCCAAGACACAGCCCAACAAGGTTCTCAGCCTCAATCACGGCCTGCGTGAACTATCCTTCAGCATCACTGGTGGTGCAATCGCAGCTCAGGGCTACTGGATGCCCTACGGATGTGCTCGTGCTGTCTGTGCTACCTTCTGCTGGAACCTTCGCTGGGCGCTTACCCCTATCTTCGGTCCCAGCTTCATCAGAGATTGCCTGCCTCCGAACCACCCTGGGTTTGCAAGATTCACCATCGATCCAGATGTCGTTCGTGCGTGCGCTCGTGAAGCAGAGGGCTGGCGCGCTGATGCCAGTGCTACTCACTACAGCCTTGTGCCGAGCCACCCTACCTCTGCTCCGGCGCTCTCCGTCCCTCGCTCAGTCCCTGTGCCCCTGGCAGAGCCTAAGCGTCTTCGTGCTCGACCTGTGCGCCCTCGTGTCGATACCACCGCTCACCTCGAAAGCCCTTTCCACAGTGATGATGAAAGCGCCGCCATCGTCACCGGGTCGTTCGCCACACGCCGTACCATTCCTGACTCGCCTTCGGTGTCACCCAAGACTCTTGTCTCTCCCAAAGTCCACTGGACTAGCATCAACGACTCTCAAGACAACAAGGAAGGTACACCCACCCCTTGTGTCAGCCACGAGGAGACCTCCAAGTTGCCATCAGATATGCAAAACCTCCTTGTCACGCCCGTCTCCACCACTGGATTCACTCTTCTATCTCAAGCATCTGTTGCTCGTAAGCGTCGTCGCTCAACCAGATCCGAGGCCATGTCTTCATCGCCTAATACTTCACCCACCGCATCCCCTGCCACCAATTCTGGTTCCGATGGCGAAGACCCCGAGTACGTAGCCTCGGCCAGCGAGGAAGAGGAAGACGAGAGCGAGGGCGAAGGGTCGAGCAGCCAGACCAGAACAAGCAAGAAGAGAAAGATCAACGTGCCTGGAATCGGCAGCTTCCAAGCCCGAGAGGTCAATGCCGCCAAGATGCTTCTTGCCTTACACCAGGATGACGCTTCTATCGGTACTGACGGTGTCGCTGCTTCCTCCTGATCGTCTTGGCTGATAAGCTGTCATCAAGATAGCATTCCTGGCTTTTCTGCCTCCAGGCCTGGTGATGGAAGGCACGATGCAAAACTTTCATTCTTTCACGACCATTTTTTACGGCCCCTATTTCCTGTTTCCTTTGATGCTTCTTTCAGTATGGCTTATGACTCCAGTATAATGTTATCACGATCCACCTCAATCACTGCAATTGGTGATAGATGGCAACGACTTTTATGTATTGATACCCCCCTCTTTCACTAGCTGAATAAAAGAAGTCTTTGTTTCCAAGCATGTCTACAACTAGAAATGTGCTCTTCGTTTGGCTGGAAAGTGTAGATAAACGTAAACTCTTCCCATGATGTTGGATGATCCGTGTTTTGAAGAGAGGGCAAGTGAGGAGGATGTTCTTGTGATTGCTCTGCGTTGCAACGGTATCACATGAATTAGACGCGAGTCACGAAAGTAATGGCATGTATGGCAGAACCAACGGATTGCAAGCATTGTTGTCTATCTCCACGGAATTTCTTAGCTAGTCAACATGAGCATAGCGAGCACGAGACAACCCTCGAGCAAAAGACAGAAAGGCAAAACAGCAGTAACCTACGAAAGCGAATGACCAATCATCCGCCAATCATCTGCCATCTTTACAAAACACCAACGAAGGTTTACTCCCAGACACCAGCTAAACCAACCCTGATCGATATATATCCACAAGTTCCCGCACCTTTTATTCAACACCATCGCTTTATCAGCAAGCGGAGGTAGTCTAGCAGATGGCATCGCCACTGCTTCCGTAGGTCATGGGTTCGACCTCCTGCGGTGCCACGACATTAGAGCCTTTGAGGCTTCTCACGCACAAAAATGAAACCAATCGATTTGGTGGCTTTCCCGTCCCAGAGGGACGGTTTGTTTTGCTTATGCCGTGGAAGGCGGGTATATGTTTTGCTATGGGTTGATGCTTGTCGTGTATGATGTGATATCCTGCTGTTGGACGTTGACCTCCTCGTTATGGGTCTTCGTCTGGAAACATGCGGAAGACTGCTGTAGAGTGAAGAGTGCTCCAAAAATATGTGGTTCAAGAGATTCTGTTGTTAGTGACAGTGATCATTGAAACGGCATCGCGAATATTGAAGCACTGTGGCTTGTCGTTGATTCATTTCTCATCTACTAGTCCTAACGCTAGCATTCTCCAATGCAGATCTCATCAAAACGCCAACCGTCATGAGAGAGATGTATTGCCCATTCTAAGTTTCCTGTGAAGCGCCGTAATGAAGATCAATTCGCCATTAACCGAGTTTCGGTCCCTTGCCGCCAGCATGGGCTTTGGAGTATTCAACCAGAAGTCCCAGGACTCCATTGTTTGGACGGCGCTCGTTAGCCACTTCTGACTCTTCCATATCTGCTCTTTCGCCAAACTCCTTCCACGAAGTGGTTAGTTCGTTATCTTGCTCGATGAGTCTGCTAGTCGTCAAGGCGTCCAGACCTGCCATTTGATCCTCTTCGCCCTCATCAGGACTGAGGTACGCAGGCGCGCTTGCGCCTTTACCACCTCTACGCAGCTGTGTCAACCGCTTTCCATCCAGGCGTCTACTTCCTGCCGGGGCAGAATGTTGTCGGGGGACATCCAGCAACAAAGACTGATGTGGTGAAGGTTGATGTGATGGTGGTTCTCTTGCACTTCTGCTCTTGCCAGCGGCAGTCTGGTGCGTTGGAGCGTCTAATGGTGGAAAGGCAGGTGGAAGTTGAATTCCATGGTTACGGTTCTGACGGAAAGCCTGCTGTCTGTCATACTTGCTGAGTCGCTCCATAAAGTAGTATTGAGACATGGCCATCTTGTCATCCTTGGTCCCGAAGTAGTCCTCGCGCAGTCCGTCAACGTCTTTAGTCACATCATCCTCGACGTTCTTGCTTTTTCTGAATTCGAATACAGCAAATGTACACAAGTGACCAAGACCGTCAACTTGAACCGTAGAATTGCGGAAGAAGTCAATGATCATTTCGCTTCGCTTCCCAGAGTTTCTCCATAGGATGAAAGGCGCGATCAGGACACTCAGGATCTCCTCGAGGAAGATCATGACTTTCATCTGATACAGTGCAGAGAACTCCACGCGAACGTCGTCGCTGTGCAGTTGGTTCTTCCATCGAGCTGGACAGTAGTGTATGGCGCTGATCACGTTCTTGAGATGGAAGATGGGCTCGTGTACTTTGCTCTCGTCAGGGATGGCGCTACGTGCTCCTGTAGCCACTGCCAGGAGTATTGAGACGTAGAAGAAAGCGGTACGACCAGGCGTAATCTCGAACCCGAGGAAGAGCTCTGAATCCCATAAGGTTGCGATAGTCAAGAGGCCTGCTAAGGTGCCACTGACGAGGCTGACAAATTGTAAAAACTGGTGCGTCTTGTCTCGAGGGAACTGGTCGAGATAAGCTGCTGCCATGGGATGCGCCTGTTTGATACGATGACGGAAATCATGATCAAGCTCGTTGAACTCTCGGAACTTCCACTCGGCCAGGGGTGTAAAGGTACGAGCCCCAATAGCTGAAGGGCTAGCGCGGAATTCCTGGAATGTGTTAGTCCCGATACACCAAGATCATGAAAGAACTGTTCGACTTACAGCATAGTATCGTGAGAAATAGTAGATACAGTGCAGTGTAATAGTGAAAGGAGCCATTAGGATGCTCATGATGGCGAGGAACCGGAGACGCTGGCGAAGAGCCTGGACCAGACGATGTCTGTCTCTCCTTTGTAGACACAACGGATTGACTTGACCTTGACTGTCGAAGATGAAATCTGAGAAGCAATAGTTGAGGTGGTCTTCCAGACTCCTCGAGTAGTACTGGCGATTGCCAAGGATAGGTATTGAGAGGGTCAAGTCGATGATCTCTTTGTTAAAGAGGGCAATACTGTAGTTGTCGCGACGCATCAGACGGTTAGCAATATCATGTGCATCCATCTTCTGCTTTGACTGCTTCCCTGCAGCCTTCACGTACTTGGGCACGTTGTCGGCAGTTTCTGGATTGAGATCGCGAAGCTTCATGAGTCCCTGAACAACTCTCTCCCATGACACGGCCTGGATGTCAGTGTCGGGAATGCCGAGCAAGTGTTGGTAGAACATCTCCATGCTGCGAAGTCTGGGAAAGTCGGTGACGTACTTAAACAACGTCCATATCCACCAGAAACAAAAGACCCATAGAGCCAGACTCTTTGTCCACGTGGACTTCTTCATGCACTGAGGTATCAAGACTTCCGAGGTGCCTTTACTGGTAGGGACCTTCGTATAATCGACACAAGTTGACAGGAACATGGAGAGGCTGAAGAGAAAAGCGGCTGTGGCCAGATGGATGATACGCGATAACAATATAGACCACACACCGTGGCCGGTGAAGTATGTATAGACTTGGAGAAGGAAGGCGTCCAAGTTCTGTACGTTGGTCCAAAGCCACATAGCTTGCTCCCTGAGAACAACATCTTGGTTGACTGCATGCGAGACAGCAGGACGGGGCCGACTCTCAGGGTGTAGTTGTTGCCTTTCTTGAGTCTTTCTCCATTGCGACTCGGTGTGATGTGTCGGGGGTGGTGCGAAGGTGCTCTGATCGGTCTTGGGTTCCACGAGCAGCGAATTCGGAATGTCTTCGTCGCCGTGTGGTCGAGATGATGAAGGCTGGTACTGATCCAGCTCGAGATCGGACTCGGCTTCGGCCTGTGCCTCAGCTAGTAGGGCGTCGAGACCGTCGTCGGAATCTCTCATGGCTCGTTCAGCTCGGTCGGGCGTGCGGTCATCGTGTCCATAAGTGCCATCGTCAGCCGAGGGGAGGAAACGAGACAAGATGCGTGAGGCCATCATCTTGTTCGTCGTCTGAGCCCGTGTAGGTGCATGGAGGAATGTGTCTGTCCCAGCTCGAGTGTGTCAAGTTGAGTGAGTTGGTTACTCCCGTGCCTGCGCTGGTCACCCGAGTGTTGATTCGACACTCTCCACATTCTTGGCGCGTCGGCCCGAGCCTCAATCTTGCAGTTCTAGCCTCCAACGACGGTCGGCCGGTACCACAACTTTAGTTATATGCGCGTATAAAGTTATGCATTATTAGTATAAGTGTAATAATAAATTATAATCTTATAAGCTTCTCTTATTTCGTATGCATAGATATAATCAAACTATGTTAGCAACATCTATGTAATCATCTATATATAAGTGTTAACAAGCAAAGTACGAAGCAAATTAGTAAATTAGCAAAGATTAGAATACACGAAACGTCAAAGATCAGAATAGTTGCGGAGTTGTGGTATCGGCCGACGCTCCCAACCTTATTTACTCTGACATGTGATACACTTGTCGTGTTCCACTCCTCTAACAACCAACCACACCACAACATGAACTCATCGTTGCAGACGCTCGTCGATGAGTGGCTGCGTCTCGATCAAGATGCTTCCACCCGATCAGAAATCGAGAAACTCGTTGCTGAGAACAACACCACAGAACTCCAACTACGACTCGGGAAGCGCATTGCTTTCGGAACAGCAGGACTACGTGGAAGAATGGAAGCAGGTTTCTCTCGCATGAACTCTCTCACGGTCATTCAAGCTTCTCAGGGACTGGCTGAGTACCTGCTGAAAGCGAACCCCGACACCAAAACTAAGGGTGTGGTCATTGGTAGAGATGCTCGACACAACTCTGATAAGTTCGCCAAATTGGTCGCTGCCGTTTTCGTAGCAAAGGCTATACCCGTCAAATGGCTAGGCCAAGTACACACTCCGCTTGTACCTTACACCGTCGGTCACCTTGGCGCAGCTGCTGGTATCATGATAACTGCTTCACACAATCCGGCTGCCGACAATGGTTACAAAGTATACTGGGGCAACGGATGCCAAATCATCCCTCCACACGATGCTGGAATTGCTGCATCGATCGATGCAAACTTGGAGCCAATTACTTGGGACGTGGATGTTCTCGAGCAGGAGAGTGCTCTAGTAATCCATGCACTACAACAAGTCGAGGAAGGTTACATGGCCACAGTTTCCAGGGTCGCATCAGTCTTGGACTCTGAGGCCTCTCTCCCCTTTGTCTATACACCTATGCATGGAGTCGGGTTACCATTCTTTACTTCGGTGATGAAACAACTTGGTTTGGAGAGCAAAATGCATATTGTCAAGGAGCAGGCCCACCCAGACCCTGATTTCCCTACTGTTCGCTTTCCTAATCCTGAGGAAAAGGGAGCTCTGGATCTTGCCAAACAAGTTGCCGACCAAAATGGGGTGAAGCTGATCCTAGCTAATGATCCTGACGCCGACCGGTTCGCAGCCGCGGAAAAAGTCGATGGTGAGTGGAGGCAGTTGACTGGCAACCAGATGGGTGTCCTACTTGCCTCGCATGTGCTAGACACGTATCAATCGGAACAGAGCAGCAAAGGTCTAGCAATGCTCTCATCGACCGTCTCTTCGAAGATGCTGGCAGCCATGGCTGCAGCTAGCAGCAGTTTCCACTGGGAGGAAACATTGACAGGATTCAAATGGCTAGGAAACAGATCTCGTGATTTGCAGAGCCAAGGCTACGATGCACTGTTCGCCTATGAAGAAGCCATTGGGTACATGTTCAGCGAGGTGGTTTTCGACAAGGACGGCGTCGCCGCAGCCGCTGTCTTTCTGGCAGCCTGCGACCGCTGGAACAAGGAAGGCCTTTCTCCTTGGACCAAGTACAACGAGCTCTGCAAGAAGTATGGTTACTTCGAAGATGCCAATATCTATGTCATCTCACCATCTTCGGACATCACCAACGCCGTCTTTGAGCAAATACGACAGACAAAACCTACAAAGGTTGGAAGTCGTAGTATCCTTCGATGGCGCGACCTGACCATTGGTTATGATTCTGCAACACCCGACAACAAACCAACTCTGCCAGTTGACAAGAGCTCTCAGATGATCAGTTGTGAGCTCGATGACAACGTGCACTTTACGGTCCGAGGATCGGGAACTGGTAAGTTTGAGTACGCCTTGTGGCAATGTAGGACATACGCTAACAACTTCCAAGAACCCAAGATCAAGTTTTACATCGAAGGTAGTGCAAGCACATCACGAGAAGCAAAGTCATCGGCCCAGGAAGTACTTGAGGATTTGATGAGCGAGTGGTTCAAGCCTGAGGTAAATGGGTTGAAGAGAGAGTAAATACATTCTGATTAGAGTGCTGCAATAGAGCACGATATACTGTACAATGCATGGCCTTCTTATTCAGGGCTCGTCGGTGTATCCATCCTCAATAGCATCTTCGTGGCGGCGCTTGTGATCCTCCAGATCTGCTGCCCAAAGAGCACTTCCTGCAGCAGTCGTGATTAAAAAGAACATGCTGAGCACAGGAACAAGTTGCAGAACAAGTGCAACAGTACCAAACCACATGTACTGGAATCTCATCGACTTGTTGCGGATGAAGATCTTGCGCTGGTCCTTGTTCATGCCCTTCAGGTTATGGTAACGGCGTTGCAACAGAGGTCCAGCACGGTATCCAGTCAGAATCAAGAAGAGAGGTACTCCGATGAAAGGTATAAAGTTGAGCGGTAGAAGAACCACAAACTCAAACAGCTGGCGGAAAGAGAAGGGCGCGAACACCGCACCCTTGTCGCGAGGACCAAGTGCTTTGAGAGGTGTTTCGGGCTCTTCGGTATCCACTGTTCGCTTTGCCTTTACGAGTTCTGCATGGCCTCGGGCTACCATGACAGTATCGAAGACGTCGACTTGAGTGTGGTCGACAAGGAAAGCTTCGAAAAGAAGAGCAATGATGAGATTTCCTTCAGTGAGAACCAAGAATGTGCCGTTTACCCAGGCTGAGCCTCCCTTGTGAAAAAGCTTCAGGAGGGCGACTTGGGGCAGGTAGGCTGTCAAGAACAATATGACCAGGATGAAGATTGACAGGACGATCAGAGGCAGCATCTTGGCTCCTAGCAGCGGCCACATGTATCTGTGTTTCAAGAAGAACCAGACACCCTATTGAAGACGAAGATATCAGCTTTTGATTCTTCAACACTCGTGATGTTTCTCTCCCATACGTCACCACTATATGCGATTCCAGTCACGAAATGGCTGTTGTGTATTTGAAGGAGAAGCAGGAAACGGCACGACTTACCAATATAGGGTAGAGGAAGCTGGTAGTGAAGTTAGCTCTCGCCCAACGGTGGAACGGCGTATCTGCTGTATTAGCCATGGCTGATGTCTCTGAACAGATTTGGTTGTCAAGAAGGAAGTCATGAAATGGAATCTGGATGCCTTCAGCCTGCCACGCCTGTTTCCACGCGGTGGCCCGTGCGCAACGACGTGAAAAATGTTGCTTGGTTATTTTCTTGTCAGCCTCACCAACTAACTATTTTCTCGTGTTCAGAAGTATATCTAGATCAAAATCTTGAATACCGTGTACCTCTAGTCTCGTGAGTAAGTTGCAGTACAGAAGTGGTGGGCGATGATATTCGCGTTCATCCTTCATCTCCACGCTTCCGGCTGAAGTCCGTCGCTTTTGTTTCACCATCTCAACGACAGAGTTGAGGAGCTCAATCTACCTTCCATACCTTCAACCAAGCAGCTACAATCGTCAAGATGGGGTCAGATTGGGACGACATTTACTTCATGGTATCGGACAAAAGACGACCAGATCAAGAAGGCGTCCCAGACGTGTTCCATGTACCTCAATGCGATAGCAACGATGTCTACGAGTTGAGTGCAGATGAACTTCAGCATCTGTTATCAACCAAAGCCATGACCTCGGTATCGCTCGTTAAACACTGTCTGGAAAGAATTAGAAGGGTAGGTTTACTATATGATGGCTGTACTCACCACTGAGCATTGTTAGGTCAATCCATACCTAGAATGTGTGATCGAGACAAACCCAGATGCTCTCGATATCGCCCAACAACTCGACGATGAGCGATTAAAAGGCAAGACCAGAGGACCACTGCACGGCATTCCTGTCCTGGTCAAAGACAACATGGCTACTAAGGACAAAATGCAAACAACTGGCGGTTCCTGGGCACTCCTCGGTGCTATCGTTCCGGAAGATGCGCATATCGTGCATCTACTCCGCAAAGCAGGTGCAATCATTTTAGGACACTCAAACCTGGACGAATGGGCTGGTATGCGCTCAAAGATATATTCCAACGGCTACTCTGCACGCGGCGGTCAGACCAGAAATCCATATATGCTCAGTCGGAGTCCCCAAGGGTCGAGCTCTGGCTCTGCTGTGTCTGTGTCTAGCAATATCGTCCCGCTTGCCTTTGGTACAGAGACAGATACTTCTGTCATCTGGCCGGCTATGGTCAGCGGTATTGTAGGCATCAAGCCTACTGTTGGTCTGACGTCTCGCAGTGGCGTGATTCCTATCTCGGAGACGCAAGACTCAATCGGAACATATGGCAGATGTGTGTCTGATGCAGCTCGTGCTCTCGACGCGATAGCTGGGCCCGATCCGGAAGACAAGCACTCGGTAGTCCCCGAGAGACGACAGCCAAAGAGCTACGTCGACAGCTTGACTTCGAGAAAGGCACTATATGGTGCGAGATTTGGTCTTCCCATGAGACGATTCTGGGAACTGGTGCCAAAGCAGCAAAGAAAAGTGGCAGAGAAAGTTCTAGAGCTTATCAAAGATGCTGGAGCACAAATCATACCTGTCGAGATGCCCTGCGCAGAAGAACGTATCGCACCTGACGGCGGATGGGATTGGTAAGCAGTATTGCAAGCCTCACACGAAACACAACTTGCTGATAGTGTGCAGGGAGCACGGTAAAGAAGAAGTGTCAGAGTTCACTATCAACAAGGTGGAATGCTACTACCTGATGAACGAGTATCTCAGTAAACTCAAAAACACGAATATCAAGACAGTCGAAGATGTCGTCCGCTTCAACGACGAGAATGCAGGATCTCAAGGAGCCAAACCTGGCGATCATCCGGCCTTCCCCTCAGGTCAAGTAAGAAGACACATCATCTTGTTCAAGAATATCCTCACTGACACTATATCAGGACAATTTCCGCGAAGTGGTCGAAGCAAAAGGCATCAAGTCGCCAGCTTACTACTCCGCTTTCGCCCACATGCGCAAGCAGTGCCGCGAGAACGGTATAGACGCAGCCCTCCATCCAATTGTAAACGGCAGAAAGATCTCTCTCGATGCCCTCCTCTTCTGCGATGTTCGTGGCTCAGGTCAACAAATTGCTGCTCAAGCTTGTGCGTATTCTTCCGACCATCTGGAGCTAGCATATTTTACTAACGAGCATCAAAGCATACCCCGTAATGACCATCCCCATCGGTCTCGATCCTGATGGCATGCCCATAGGCTTGAACCTTCAGCACACCGCTTGGGAGGAGGCAACACTGGTACGATGGGCGTCTGCGATAGAAGATCTGCTTCGTGCAGAAGTTGGACCTAGGAACCCTCCTCGCTACCAAGATCATCTGGCCAAAAACATTCCTGTGGAGAATGAGTATAGATACCCAGGCGCACCACCTAGATTTGGAGATAGACCGCCACCCTCCTGATTCAGTCATGACTCTGCTTGATGTTGATGGTAGTGCTGGAAAAGCAGTAAATCACTGTGTTGATATGGTAGCCCCATCATCAGTTCGGGAGATGGGCATTGTTCAGGGACATTTTCTATCTTTCTCGCCATGCACCCGGAAATTGCTCTAGGATTGTGGTCAGACATGGGGCACATGTCCCCAACGCCACTATCTTGCAGCTACGATGGCAGGCACGATGCACGTACCTGATAGATGGCTTCGACCGCGCGTTGTCAACCATGACAATTACATTGACATTTTCAATCAAATCATCTGTTGCTCGTTGCCATCCATCACCGCGCCGCCAACGATAGAATGCTGCACGTCGCGGAGGATTTCACGATCCCGTGACTCCCGTCTATGCCTCGTTAAGGCACGTCTCCTCACTACATAATCCCGCCTGTGGTGCCGTTTTTTGATCTTGCTGTTTTACGATCAATCCGTCCGGATTTTCATAATGGTCACCAACCAAGAACTGAATGACAACAAAGAGGCAGAGTGCATGTACATCACCGTTGAGCGAAAGTATTTCCATGTAAACGGCACTTTCATCAAAAGGAGCTTGCGCCCTCGAGAATGGCAAGAAAATCCATGGACTGGTGAGACGTACGAACCTCGTCTTATCCAGGCAAGGTTGCTCAATGAAGCGTCCGCACTCGAATTTATTGCACACAATACCACAATTCCCGTTCCAAAGCTATACGCCTGCTTCAAAGACGATGAGGCTGTCTATCTGATAACAGAGTACATCGAGGGCAGAGGCATGGATGAACTAGAAGACGAGGAAAAGTTGATCGTCGGGGAAGAACTCGAAAGCTTTGTGCAGCAGCTTCACGGACTGAAATCAAAAAACATTGGAGGACCTTCGGGACTCATCATACCCCCTTACCGCGTCCAGCAGGAGTCTAAGATCGACACCTGGAAAGTCAAGCCAGCAAAGACCGCTGGGTACGTCTTTTGCCACAACGACCTCGCACAACAAAATGTCATTGTTTGTCATGATTCTCTCAAGGTCCGTGCCATCATCGATTGGGAGTATGCTGGATACTGGCCTGAAGAATTCGAGGGTCGCTTCTACCAAAGATCTGGACCATCTGTCGCACTCGAAAACGAGGAGGATGATGCCAAACGCCTTCTGCATTTCCTGAAGAGCATCTCAGTGCAGACAGAGAGTACTCTCTAGCTGTAGTATCGCCCATGTTGCTGGATATCAAAGTGTAGAAGATGGTGTTGGGAGAAAGTCTTGTACTGATGTGGTGTCTTGTGCAAGAGGTTTGTGCGATGAAAGCATACAGATCACCGAGGTGCAATGCGACAATTCATATCGCAGTATGGGAAAGTCTGGTGTGGTAATCCTAGGCAGCATAGCATCACCCAAACAGTCAATCACAAGCTGATTCGACTGCGTCTACCTTGAACCAACACTGATGACCTGGCGCGAAGGGGTCAGATCACTCACGGCGCCTGTTCGACTCCTGTTCGACCCCAAACGAGCAACAGTGCAGAAGGCGTCCAGCCTCATCCACGCATATACTTTGATTTGGCGCGCTGGCAGACGCGCTGCGTACACAAATGAACATGTCCATTCGCGATCGGCAATCATGAACCTATGGTTGTTCTTCGATGTCAAGCCACCAGCATGTCTCTCTTGCGGCACGGTGTTACGGCGGCACAGTCTCTGAGCTAGTGCAACGAGAGGTGAAGAAATTCACAATCATCAGAAAGTGATACATCAGGGTGGAAGAGCTGGCGCCAATGTCTGTTTACTGTGCCGCGATAGCGAATCAGCCTTCTAAAATTTTCGATTTGGCGACCGGGCCAGATTAACCTCGTCATCGAACCATGCAAGCGACTGTTTGGACTGGTGTGTTACGCTTCATCTTAGCGCTTGCCTATCTGCGAACCGCAAGCTGGGTGTTACAACAGAGCTCACTTCGAAGCTCTATTGCAAAACTGCGAAAGCTCTATCCAAGACATGACCAGGGGACGAACGGAGAATGAAATTTGGAGTAAGCGGGAAAGATATTGGGAAGCAGCCAAAGATGAGAGAGAAACGAATGAATCGCGCTACCTAGCCTCTATGTATCGGGAAGTCCAAGTTCGAGCCGAGATAGCATGACAAGACCTTGCGCGATGACCTGTATTTCCTGCAGCAACCCTAATTGCTCCGCACCCAATCATCGAGACCTCGTGCTCCTCACTGAACTCTGCGTCGGTGGAGGCGGCAAAGAAAAGTCGAAAAGTGTGTCCGGCAATATGTCTCTGAGTCTTGAACGACCTCCCTCATCTTCTGACTCCTTCTCATGTTCATCTTCCACAGCGCGACTGATGTCATTAAATCGCTGAGGTGCGAAGTCTAGATCCATGCCGTCGTCCTCACCGCCGTACTCAGGTAACTCGGAGTGGTCTGTATCCATTTCATCCTCATCATCAGAGTCATACATGTCAAGAAACTTCCTGAAGCGTTGTTTTGCTTCAGGTGGAGGCGATGATGTTGAAGGGGGCAGAGGTGGTGGGCTACTACTCAGATATGCAGCTTTCTGGGTGTGTCTTTTGAGAGAATGGAATAGCTGTGTACCACCAACCGTACTAACCTGTGAAGGAGGTATTGGTAGGATGATTGGAAGAGGCGGCGATGAATGACGTTCGGCATCGTTCAGCAGCTCTTGGGCTTCTGCCTCTGCTTCCGCTTCTGCTCGAAGGCGCGCATCGTTCTCAACAACAGCAGGTGGCGAAGACGGATACTTTCCGCTACTGACACTCTTGCTGTTTGGAGAGGAGGCGATTTGTATGATCTCTCGTACGATCGTTTTCGGAAGAATTATGTCACCCGACAGGTCTATCTCCTCTATTTCGTCGGACTCGTAGGTTACTTGAGGAGGCTGTTGGGGAGACGAGCGTGGTGATTGGGTAGGTGGATCCTCGTAATCTTGCTCAGGCTGTTCAAATCTTTGATTGGAAACAGGCAACTCGTCACCTAGTTCTTGAGATTGCTGGGCTATCGGCAGGTTGGAATCTTGGAATCCTTCAACTTGTTCTCGCCCGGGCTCCTTCTCGGTCTCTTGTTCTTCAGCTTGAGAGAAGCTTCTTGCCTTGTGGAAAGCGTTGTAACCGATGCGATCTCGATGCAGTTGTGTTTGCATAAATCGAGCGGCGTCGCGGTCCAAGGCGCTACCGACTGGGTCGAAGTTGTATTCATAATCGTCGTTTTCGGCGTAGTATGTTCCTCCAAGATACTGGGTGAAGTTGTCGACTGGAAGCTGCGTCTCAGTCACGGCGGCGACCTCTTCGCCAAACAAATCCATCTGAGTGTCCGGTATCTGACTCCGGAATTTGTTTTGTTTCAACGGGGTCACTTGTGTTGCCGTGTCTTCAGAGTCGGGAATGGTACTACGATGCTGGAGTGTCGGAGGCTTGGCTGGTATAGCGAAGGTGGGTCTGTTCTTGACGGGCGATAGACGGAAAGGGGATATAGGTTTGGTAGGACTCTCCGGAACAGGGCTCATCCTGATGTCCTCGACGGCATGATTTTGCGAATATGCATTGATACTTTTGTTTCGCAATGGCGAACGCTCAGGTGAGCGCATCGTTTTGGCCGAGCAGATGGATATGATAGCGCTTTGTGGAGTGTTGGACGATGGAATTTCGGACATGAACTTCCTTCTCGGGGTCCTTAGAGTCATGGCAGATACCGGTAGTTCTGGACTCGGCCTCTGTTGCCCTTTCTGTTTAGCAAAGACCGAATCTACCCTGTCCTCTCCATGCTCTGGGCTGGGTTGCGTCCTCTGGCTGTGCTCTTCCTCGTCTTGTTGCACCTCTGCGTCGCTGGAATGCGCTCCATCTGCATCTCCATCAAAGTCTTCTTGAATCGCTACATCCGGGTTGTTGTGTTTGTCGAAAATTGGTTGCGACTGTGAATCTCGGACGCTATCGAAGGACTCGACATTGACGATTTGTAACAGGACATCAGCAGCTCGATCGGAGCGCTCTCCTCTGAAAGAGGATGGCACATATTGAGTCATGGTTGTCTGCTTCTTGCCATCGCTCTCGCTCTTTCGCTTCTTCCGTCTAGGTCTTGATCTTTCCAAGTCGTCCTCGTAATCTTGATCCGTAATCTCAACGTCATCTTCAAGTTCGGCGGTTGGCGAACTACGAGACACAGGCCAATGTGGTTGTTGCGTCAAGGTGGACTGCTGGCGCAGCGGAGCAAGTGTACCGACCCCAGACGAGCGTACAGTGCGTCGTCGATTGGGGAACTTCTTTTGTCGTAGTGGCGTTTCCGAGCGATAGGTGGTGTCAGTATCAACCCTGACTTGTTTCGATGGCATAATCGACTAGCTTGACATCCATATGCAGGCTGATCGCAGGGTATTGTTCTATTGATATGCTCGTTGGATGACCTTGAGGTAGCCTCGAATCGCCCGAGGACGCCCAAGAACGCCTTGGATCGTCGTTGCCCGCACGCGACTCGAGAGACGCGCCGACATCCGTGCACGCGTTCTTTCCGAATCTAGACCGACGTCATACGCAAAACAGTTCTTAGGTTTATAGAAGCATTCAAAATCAACTCCATAGGGGTATATAGCGCCTGTAATGCAATCATAACTCATTCACCATGCTTCAGTCAGAGTCGTAAGCAACCAAAGCAAGCGCTGGGGTTGGTTGGATCTTCTCCGTCTTCTCCGTCTCCTTCTCCTCCAGCTCCTTCTGCTCCGAACTGTCACTTTGTGCCTTTCTCTTGATGCCAGCAATCGCTCGGAACGTACGACTATCTGTACTGCCGAAAGCCAGAAACGGATCTGCTGCTGCACGCGAGTTGTCACGAACTTCTTGCTGCAATGCTTTTTTCCTCCGCTCGAGCTCTGCAGCCACTTTGGCTTTGGATGAGAGTTTGGTTTGGGTGGGAGTCCTCTCAGCCTTTGTGTCTTCTTGGAACAGAGGCCGCGAAGTGACCCGCAATGTGCTTTCGTCAATATCCTCGTCGGCAAGGCCACCGAATTCGATCAGAATAGCATGTCTTCTGTCTTCGTCATTCTCTGGCATTAGTTCGACGTCCAGGCCCATCTTGTCCCTGAGCTTCTCCGCGTAGTCATAATCCTTCTCTCTGACTTTACGCTCAGCTCTGAAGGTTCTCCTCAGACGCTTGTTTGCTTCGTACGGATCATCCCAGTGTTGATCGCGCACTTCTTGCAACTCGATAATGCGCTTGCCTTGCTCTTTTTCTTGAACCTTGTCCTGCTTCTTGTCCTCAAGAACAGCAAAGGCGTCCTGTCTCCTGCGTTCCCTCTCCTCGGCGGAGAGAATCGGCACACCCTCCTCTCCTTCTCTTACACGGTCCTCCCCAAAATCTCTCGCTTTCCCGCCTTCTGTAACCACATACGCTGTGTTCTTGGGATCCGTGTGTATTTCAATCCAGCCTCCACAAGCGGGGTGTTTCATGCGAAAGGACCAGATGGGTGTGCTCAAGTAGTTGCCAACCTTCTTCTTCTCGGCGTTGAATCGCACACCTTGGCCTATGATTGTGGGTTTGGGACAGTGGTTGCACCAGACTGCATAGGGCATCTCGAAGCGTACGGTCAGGATGCCTTCTTTGATCTTGTTGGCTCTTTTGCCCAGGGCGTGTTTGCCGGCGACTTTATTGGCTGACATGGTACCCTCGAGCTCGGGAGGGACGTAGCGTCCCATGTTGAACCCCTGCATACCTGCTGCCTGGATGGAGCGATCGCGCTCTTAGGTATTGCGTGCTCCGGTGTCTTGGATGTATTGGTAGGTTATTGTCGAGAAGTTCGAGGATGCGATCTTCAAGATGTTGCGACAATGTTGCCGAGGTGTTGCCGTACGACAGTGAATTTAGGATTCAACCGGGCGTCTGGTGATGATGAGCTGGTGTTCTTCTCCCTTTCACCAATAACATGAAAGACGTAAGTTTGTGATCGTTCTTGTGTAATTTGCCATCGTAAGCGGTAAGTCTTCAGTTGATGATAATGAATGTTTCTCGAACAACCTGCTGCAGTCCATAGGTTGGACAACATGCATCTGGCGCAAACCTGAGGTAAACAACCTATAGCCGGTAATATTGTAGCAGACGCAGTCGACTTTGTTTGGTGTAGTGATTAGTCGAGGCCTATGGTTTCCTCATACAACATAGAATTGTCTCGATGCCTACGAAGCTTCGACTCCATGTCTTTCACACGACATTTTCGATTTCCAACTCATGGCTTTGTTCATTGCACAGCATTCTCCGTTCCAGCGATCTATCATCTCCTCAAAGCCTCAATCCAGGAGTTCAAGAATACATCCGCCATGACGCGCAAGTCTAGTGTCAGCAACCCAGAGGAAGGCGAGGCGTCTAGACAGAACTGGGAACGTTACACTTGGCTGTCTATAAGCAAGGAGTGCCAGAAGCGTGGCTTCTTTCCTGCCACTTCAGCTTATGATGAGAAGGGTCTCCTGAGAGAGTCAGCTTGCCCTGATCTTCACCGTCATGTGGATTGTCATGCGTCTATCATATCACACGGATACTGCTCCTGACATATAATAGCATACCTACTACTACCAGCACATTGCCCACTATGGTAGCTTAGACGCAATGTGAGCAATTAACACAATATTGTTAGAATCATCACTGATTGGATCTGTACAGGCCTGTCGTCAAGCTTAAGCAGGGAATGGTCGTCATTCGGTGGACTACTGCTAAGGAGCATGAACGCCAGCAGCGAATCGCCGATAGTTCGTAAGGTCGCGTTTGACTGCAGAGCAGAGTCGTGATAATAACGGGGCCTGGAGTCACCATCATACATGATCACAAGATGTCACGTCGAAAACTAAAAGCCTGATGCCCACTACTGGTTTAGATGAGGATAGGTTGAATAAAGAGACACAATGACAGAAGGTGGCTGCTCCGCGCTCTCATCTATGAACAATACAAGCACACAGATTCAATGCTGATTAACGTTTTGTTGCTTGCGTGTCCATCGATGCTGAGGTCGACTCACAGTCGATAGAGTCGAAGATATCACTTGCATGGGAAGAGCAAAAAACCAAGTCGCTGTTGTGCGACTTGGGAAAACCCCTACCCGCTTGGAGAGTATTCTACCTTTGCAAGTCAGAGTATAAGTCGTTTCCGCATGCCATGAGGGTCGAACAGATGACCTTCAGTCCACAGAAACTCCTACGGAGTTTTATCGCAAAGTGTGGTTCCCAACTGGGCCAACTTACCGTTTGCTGGTAGACAAGGGGTTTGACTAGGACATAAGGGTCCGAGTGAGTGAAGGTGCGTGCTCTGTCAACCGAGACGACCCTCGCTACTTTCCCATGGACGGAGGTAGGTGGCCTTCACTCATTACTGGCCGATCAACCCACCACTGTCAACCCCTACTCGGTATTACTATGTCCTTCACATGCGTAAGGTAGCCGGTCAGTGCTGGATCTGGAAGTCGCTCGCTGATCAACAATTCGGGAGCGTATTTGGTTGTGCACTTCTTCAGCCCCTGCCCTAAACACACTAGATGCATGCGGTAAGACGACTCTTGGACCAAGGTTGGGCATGGATACGTGCACATACGCACTCCCCTTCTGCGCTCTCGGTCGGCATTCTGATATCGAAGTGCAGAGTCCTGCTCATCGACAATGCAGTCAGGTGTTGGCTCGCTGCAAGTAGGCGTGCAGGCTGCGTTTAACCGTTGTGATAGCACAGTGAACCACAGCACTACTTATTAAAAGTAACACTCTTTCGCAAAACGCGAGTGATTTTCTGTCAGCATCTCGAGTTCTCTGTGGCGATATACGCAGAGCTTCGATTGCGTCTCCCATGTCCAAGTGTCTGCAACGCATCTGGCTGTAGAGTTGCACAGTGGTTTTGAGAAACCAGATAGTATACATCGAGATGTGACGTTCACTCGGCTCTCTTTGTATGTGACTCCAGTCTGGAAAGTGTTGTGCCTTTCACAGCGAGAACCTAGACTTTCGTGCGAGAGGTGTGAGATTCACAACCTTTGGCATACAGGCGGTCGAGATAATCTGCGACAAAAGCGAGTAGCTCGCTGGTGACTGGTCTGTCCATAGAGGGCAGGCGATGGGGGATATCACGCTGGCTTGCTCTCATTGCTCGGCTTTTTCAGCCATCCGTTTCGTGGCTGGTCAGGTCTTGAGATCCGGGTAGTCGGGTCCGACAAGCCTTGCCCAAATATCCTAGGAACGAACCGATGTGCGCGCGTATCAGTCTATTTGTTCAGCTAGAGGATCCTGCCCCGGATTCGTTCGTTGATCGACGGAATCTTCATGTAGTTTCGTACATGCAACTCAAAGCCGGTAGCCGCGATAGTGACATGAGCTATCGCCCGAGGGAAGAATATCGAGGCGGTACCTGTCATCCGTTGATGAATGCCGATGGCGAAGGATTATGGACTTGTTGAGGTGTTGGTATCGAGTTGCACGGCGTGGATCCAGAATACGCTGGTATCATGCCAGTGGAGATTGATCATGTATCTCGAGATTGCCATCTTCTCGATACCCAAAGATGCGGGTCTATGCCTGAGTGGTCATCTTGAGGACTGATCAAGTTTGTCATATGCCACAACGTGCTGCTGCATACAGTGCGAAAAGAAGCTGACCTCGAGACTTGTGGTGTGATGGTTACTGACGGCACGGGACTGCGAGATTCGGTAACGGAAGAGCTTGCATGCATGGTGGTTACAGACCTTCCAAAGACACTTCACGCTGGGCTAGAGTGAGTGAGCACTGGACTTGAGTTGTTTCATGGATCAACGGCTGCTGCTCATTCTGATTCAGAGTGCAGAGCGAAGATGAGGGTGACACAAGAATGTCCATTGGCCCGGGTTCCTCTTTGATAACTAGGTATGCGACTTGACTTTCGACTATGACCGCGGACCACCATCCGGCAGAAAAATGCTGGGGTACAACCATGGTTAGTATGCATGTGAGCAATGAAATCGGTTGCTGGATGAATTTGTTCGATGAAAGACACTGCCGTGTCGAGTTTGGCAGGTGCGGACATCGGTTACGGGATGGCTTGCGTAGCCACAAACTATGGATCGAAAATGGGGTACAGAGATGGACTCGATGCAAGTTGCTCGGCTAAATAATCAAGCATGTAGCAAAGCATGGGTGTATCCATATGACCAGTGACCATGACAAAAGTGATCTTCTACGGGCACTTTGAAAGCTGTTTTCTCTTGAATCTCTCCCAGAGAGGGCTAAGGACGGGATTGGGGCCGCCCGCCCGACAATGCATGTTTCCTGTAACGCAGAAAGGCTGTAAGGAGGCTTGCAGGATGGCACCTGCCAGAATATCGGAGACGAGCGACGTCTGCAGACTGATTTTCCCACCCGAAGCAAGCCAATCTATGTTCAACAGGGATCGTGATGGTTGATGAAAACACAGAGCAACGGGGTCCGACCAGAGATTAGAAGATTACTACTACACGCGTATGTGGATGCATCGGGAGGAGCCGCAGACAGTGGTTTCAACAGATATTCAACTTAGCAAACAACAATAAAGATGTTCAATAGGATATAATGCGTGTCTGGACTGTGGAGTCGTGCTTTTCGATGCAGATAGAAGAGGGAGCACTTCTACGGACCGGTCGCGTTCACAGGACAAGCTTCAAGTGCGATTGCAAGGTGCAGTCAGGATCGGGGTCTAACAGCCACGCCGTCCAACGCTTGTAACGCAGCACGGCAAGAAAACGTGGCCTCGGTGGGCATGCATCAGGCATGAACGTTAGTTGTGCTGCTAAATGCTGGGGAGGAAGATGGTGCTGTTGAATGCGGGTCTCAGCCATCAGCCCAGTCTATAGAGCAAGCTGCGGGAACAGCGTTTCACAATAGATTGATGCGACACATAGCTGGAGAAAGCAAGATGGTGAGGACGATGAGATTAACAGCTCCGATGACTGGGAGATATCGGGCATCGGTTGAAGGCTGGACGGTGGATCGCCAAGGCGATTGGGATTTGGGAGGTTCAATTTTCGGGCGGGCACTGGACAGAAACAGGCAGTGGAAAGCGCAGTGGAGATGGCGGCTCCAGCAAGGACAAAGAAGAGGAGGGATGGAGAGCGCTTGATCGATGGCGGCCGTTGCAAGCAGCGAAAACAAGCGAATCAAGGGATTTGAGAGTTGGTGCTTGTGATTGGACTCGACAATGACAAGGCCGTCAAAGCTGTAGTGTATATTGCCCAAGCTGCACGCAGTCTCCCCCCTGCTTTCGCGTGTCAGTGTCAGTTGTCGCCGGCCGCGATTCATTAATTACCTATTCCTTGCATCTCGACGGCCGTACAAATCCACGTCCGGCTGTACCCGCCGCAGCAGAGAAGCAGCGCTCTGGATCCGAGCATTGTCGCAGCGTGCTGTAAGTGTCAGTGTCGACAAGTCGTGCTGCTGTTTCGGCCTTCCAACCAACCACACTCGCTTGCCCGGTCCCATCTTTGTTCAAAGCCCGGCTCCTGAGCCCCTTCGCCTTTCATGGCCGACTCGTCCGCAACACCTCAGCAACTCTTGAGGAAACACTCGCTGCAGCATTCGTCGTCCTCGCTTGCCCACCAATCATCCCAAGGCCCGCCCAAGCTGCGCAGAAGCGCCTCGGCTGCCGTCCGCTCCCAGTACAACACGTCGTCGCACACGACCAATCAATCTCGCCGACCGACCTATCCCACTCTTACGCGCGACCTGTCCGAGCCCGAGTTGCGCTCCCACAACGGCCTCTCCTACAACCACCTTGCCAACCTCGACGAACACGCACCCGACCAAAACCCCCAGCTGCGTGTCGTACCGCCGGACGGTGCTGCTCGTCCGGACTCCATCTCGCTCTTCAGCGCCGCTTCGCACTCGATCTCTCCTTCTCCCTCGCCCTCTCCCGCTTCCTCCTCTGTCGGCTTATCTGCACCCCACTCTGCAAACGCCCAGTCTCTTTCTGCCCAGCCCAAACGCCCGTCCATTTCGCTCAGGTCGCAGACGGCCGGCTCGCGCTTCAACTCACTGCGTCACTCGACCAGCTTCCGACTCAGTCGCAACAATTCATCCGCCGGTCCCATGGACACTCTGTCTCCCCGCCCTGAGAGTTCGAAACGTCTCAGCGACGAACTGAAGGCTAAGAAGAAGAGCGGCTTCAGCATATCCAGCCTGTTCAAATCTCCAGGACGACCCACCATTTCTGCTCCCGAGAATCCTGTCCATATCACTCATGTCGGCGTTGACAATCGTACGGGCGAGTTTACCGTAAGTTCATGCACGTTCCCAGGCCTTCTCACAAATCAGTTCACTAATTCAACCAGGGTCTTCCGCGTGAATGGCAGAACATCCTGGCTAGCGCTGGTATCTCGGAGCAGGAACAAAAGCGAGATCCCAAGGCCATTGTCGACATTGTCACTTTTTACAAAGAGAACGCGGAAAAGAACCCCGAAGATGGCATCTGGCAGAAGTTTGGCACGGCTCACGCCCGCGACACCCCCCAGCATATGTCTCCTCCAAGTGGTCTCACATCGCCAATAGTCACCCCTTCCTCGGGCTTCGCATCGCTTGTTAGTCCCCCGCAAAGCCCGCGCTTCCCGCCCAACAACGAGGATAGCTTCGAGAACCCCAGAGCTGCTCCTCCTGTGCCTCGCAACGTCGGTCTCGGCCTTGGTCCTATGTCACCTACTATGCCTAGCGGGAATACGATTCCTCTGCGTGCAGCCCCACGTCCTCCTCCCGGTGCAACCCCTGCCGGTCCTGCTACAATCCCTGCCCGTGCACCCTCTTCTGCCTCCGGAGCAACGTCCCCTCAACAACGAAAACAAGATGATTATCCTGCCGTTCAATATGCTCCACCAACCATCAACGAAGTCTCACAGCCTACTGCCTCCCGCTCGCGATCGAATACTGCAACACAAGCGCAACATCAACCCTCCGCTGCTTCCTCGCCGTATGCATACCAACAACAGCAGCAACAAGCCATGGCTGCGGCTCAGGCTGCACTCCATCAATCGAGTATCGAGCGCAAGCAAAGTCAGCGCGTTCCCCAGCAACCGCATATCCCAATCCCGAATCCCCAAGCAGTTCCTGCGCCTAACCAGGAGGCCCGCGTCGGCCCTGTGCCTCGACCAAGACAGCGGCCTCAACGCCAAAGCCAGCAGCAGAATGGGGAGATCATCGCGAAACTCAACGCAATTTGCACACCTGCAGATCCGACAAAGAAGTACCGTAATCTCAACAAGATTGGCCAGGGTGCTTCTGGTGGTGTTTTCACTGCGTACGAAGTCGGCACTAATAAGTGCGTTGCGATCAAGCAGATGAATCTGGAGCAACAACCCAAGAAGGATTTGATCATCAACGAGATTCTGGTCATGAAGGATAGCAAGCACAAGAACATTGTGAACTTCATGGACAGTTATTTGGTCAAGGGAGATCTGTGGGTTGTGATGGAATATATGGAGGGTGGCAGTCTGACAGATGTGGTCACGTTCAACATGATGTCTGAGCCACAGATTGCAGCTGTGTGTCGCGAGGTATGTTTCTCTCAGCTGGATTACTCTGATGCACTGGCTGACGTTATATCTAGACCTTGCACGGTCTTCAATTCCTTCACTCCAAAGGAGTCATTCATCGTGACATCAAATCGGATAACATCCTCCTATCGCTTGAAGGAAACATCAAATTGAGTAAGTAATGCCGATCTGCGACAAGAAGTCTCGGCTAACATTATGCAGCCGACTTCGGTTTCTGTGCACAAATCAACGAGTCTCAGCACAAGCGTACGACTATGGTCGGTACACCATACTGGATGGCTCCTGAGGTGGTAACACGAAAAGAATACGGCCGCAAGATTGACATTTGGTCACTCGGAATCATGGCCATCGAGATGATCGAGGGCGAGCCCCCGTACCTCAACGAGTCGCCTCTGAGAGCTCTGTACTTGATTGCGACCAACGGCACACCTCAAATCAAGGCTGAAGAGGAACTGACACCCATTTTCCGGGATTTCCTCGCCTTCGCGCTCAAGGTTGATCCTGATAAGAGAGCCAGTGCACACGACTTGCTGATGGTATGTAATCGCGATATGGAGATTCTTCGAATCCTGAGCTAACCGGGGTCAATAGCATCAATTTATCCAAGGAGCAGAGCCACTGGCAACACTTGCACCCCTTGTACGGTCGGCTCGTGCAGCCAGAGCCGAGGAGCGCAAGAACAAAGGCATATGATCAACATCACACCACACGAACCGCGAGTACGGTTCAAGCATTTCCAAGCATTACGGAGATTTTCCTTCTTTCTCTTCTACGAGATACGACATAGTCATTTGAGATGTAGACTCATCTTTCTGACATAGACTAACCTTCGGTACGTCTGGGCCATACCTGAGTCCAGAGCCGGTGGGCAAGTGTCAAGTTCGGCCGATGAGGTTTGGTCTGGTGGTGTCTAGTGGACTCCCGCTACAATCGGGCATGACTTCTGGTTGAGCATCGACATCAAAGGGTCCGGTCTTTGCACTGGCAGCATTACAGAGTTGAGAGGGGTTTGCGAGGGAGCAACGGGTATTTGTGGGCGAACAACTGCTTTTTGTCAGTATACGAAAGAAAGGAGACCATGGCAAAGGCCAGGATGAAACGATCTGATTGCAGGAACTGTGGATGTTCACAATTCTACACGCTGAAGGGCTTTGCATTGTGGCTATTCATATAGCCTCACACAATACTTTATGGACGGAAGTTTTTCTCGGATCAATCACGTAGCTGCGACTCTGGATGGGAAGCGGCGGTGTATGGAAAGTGTTGAGTTCAGGGCGAGGCAGTGCAGTTGTGCAAGTGAGTACAAGTGTTGCGTGGTCTTGAGGAAGTTGCGTGTCAAGATTTGGTGGTGGTGGCAAGAACCGGATGAGGTCACGCGTACAGCTGCACAAACGCACAGTACTTTTGAGATACAAATGGTCTTCATGTAGAAGCAACATTGTATTAATACTCTATGAAAACGCCTCTGTTTTGAGACCCATCGTGCATTTCTAAAAGGGAAGCCACGCTCTGCAACTTCGTGGAAGGGCTGCAGGAAAAGGGAAGGAGTTACAGACTTTATGGTTGTAAAGGGCCCAACTCGGCGAGCGGCGATGACGCGCGATGTCCGGGGGAGAGTGTTCACATGCCCTCACTGCCGAGACGAGCAACTTGACCAAACACATCCAAGTGCTCAGGCAGCAACTTAGCAATTTTGTCCCTGGAAGACTATCCAGAGCTACACTCGTTCAATCCCATTACAGAACAACTGAGCTTCCATGTTTCGCGCTCAGGCAAACACGTTCGACGAGGTCGTCAGTGAGTAGCTCTACCGACCAGCCATACAACCCGAGTACTAATGCTGCTATAACAGCCAAGGCAACCGACGAGAACTTGACGTCCGAGAACTGGGCCCTCATTCTCGATGTTTGCGATCGCGTATCCACCTCGCCTACAGGGCCTCAGTCGGTCACGGCTGCCTTGATCAAGCGCCTCGCCCATCGCAACGCCAACGTCCAGCTGTACACACTCGAGCTCGCCAATGCCTTGTCGCAAAACTGCGGTGCTCCTATTCATAGAGAGTTGTCCTCTCGTTCCTTCACCGACGCCCTGCTTCGCTTGGCCGCCGACCGCAACACACACCAGCAAGTCAAGAGCAAGATACTCGAGCGTATGCAAGAATGGAAAGACATGTTCAAGGGAAACCCCGATTTGGGCATCATGGAGCAGGCCTACGACAAGCTACGCTCCTCGAACCCTGGTCTAGCCCCACCTAGCAAGCCCGTCAAGCGTCAAATCGAGGACACCGACCGTCGTAAGGAAGAGGAAGAGCTGCAGATGGCTCTCGCCTTGAGTCTGAAAGAGAAAGCACCTGAACCAGAGGCTGCCTCGGCAAACTCGCCTCATCCTCAGTCTGATGCCCAGCAAGGTACAACTGCTGCCACGGTAAGCAGAGTCAAGGCTCTCTATGATTTCATCCCGTCCGAGCCTGGTGAGCTGGCTTTCAAAAAGGGCGACGTTATTGCTGTGATCGAGTCTGTGTACAAAGACTGGTGGAAAGGATCTTTGCGTGGTCAGACCGGTATCTTCCCATTGAACTACGTTGAGAAGTTACAAGACCCGACCAGGGAGGAGCTTGAAAGAGATGCCCAAACGGAAGCAGATGTCTTCTCACAAATTAGAAATGTCGAGAAGTTATTGGCGTTGCTGAGTGTCAGAGGCGAAAACTCGCGCGACACAGGCAGCGAGGATGAAATCACCGATCTGTACAACCAGACCTTGTCAATCCGACCCAAGCTGATCGAGCTGATTGGAAAGTACTCGCAAAAGAAGGGTGAGGTTTGAATGCCGTTTTTATCTGCTTGAATCCAGACTAACACTTCACAGATGAGTTCACACAGCTGAATGAGAAGTTTATCAAGGCTCGTCGCGACTATGAGGCCCTTTTGGAATCGTCCATGTCGCAACCGCAATACTCTGCTCCAGCCAGGCAACATTCTGGTGGCTATTACAACGCCTACCCTCCTATGCAATCCGGGTACCCACCACAAGGCCCCCCTCCTGATCAACGCTTCTACAATCAGCCCCCACAGTCCGAGCCTCCTCAGCAGAATGCTTACGCTTACCCTCCTCCCATGAGCAATCCATCAGCAACTCCAGCACCTGCTCCTTTCCATTTTCTTCCAAATGGTGCACCGCCACCAGAAGCACGTCAAAGTCCCAAGCCAATGGGCCCTGGTCCTAGTGCTCCCCCCAGCGATGGCGCATATGGTATGCAGTCATACAACAACCGTCCTCAGAGCATCCACACCCTCAACTCGGGGAATCCTCAAGAACTGAGCACGAGCGCCTACGAGAGTCCCACCGATGGCCGCAACAATGTCTACGGCGCTGGTGCTCCTGTACCAGCGCCTTCAAACTACCCTCCCTCACAACCGCCTCAACAACCCTCAAATGCACCTCCTGCAGCACCACAGCAAATGCCAATCCGACAGCGCACCTCGAGCTTCGAAAGTCCGACGTCTGTTTACTCTGCCCAGCCGCCCCAGGATACATCCACCGCCTCTTATCCTCCACAGTATCCACCTCAGCAGCACAACAATCAGTCTTACACGAGTCTGAGCGGTGCCCAACCTTCTGCTCCTCTTTCATCGACGCCTGCTTACCAGGCTTACAATCCTCAGGCTGCACCTCCTCAGCAAGGACAGCAACCACCACAACAGCAGCAGTATGCACCGGCGGCTAGTGCAGATGATGCTAGTGATTACTACCGCTAGATGTGGAAGTCGGAACGTGGGCGTGGTCGCAAAGTGACGTTTGTGGACGATGATGGTGTATAGCTTTTTCTCCGTATCCAAATCAGAATCAGACAGACCTTGTTACAAAGCACATTTCTCGACGGCCAACAAGTCAGTTGAGATGATCCATCCTATTGGGTAAGTTTATACGGCTTGTACCTCAAGCACATGATACACTGTCTCTTTTCTGGATTGTGATGGTTCAGAATATATGAAATTTGTTTTTGACCAGCTCCTTGAATAGACACACATGCGCCTCAAGATCTTGACTGAGGGCTAAACGCCCCTTCCTTACTCCTGTCTCTCTTGTTCTCTGCTGCCTGAACCAAGAAAGATGGTCGTCTCTTCTCGTGCGTTCTGATGCCAGGCAGATCCTTCTTCTTGCTTTGTTTGTATTCGGTCCGTCGTCCAAGATCCTCAATCTGCCAACCTCCCACTTCCGTCCAATCCTCATCAGGAAGAGAAACTAGCTCTCTTAGTTCTTGACCTCCCCGTTTGCCTGAAGGTACGAGTAGGCGAAATAAGCCAAAGCACCACCGACCAGCAAAATAGCATAGAGACCAGCGCCGAGGCCGGCAGCATCAGGGCCAGAAGTCTTTGAGGAGGTGGGTTGAGCAGAGGATTTGGGGGTGGGGTCGCCGGGTTGGCGCTTCACGGTGCCGACCAACAGGCCCTCGAGGATTTCGCGGGCTTCGTCGCTGTGGCCGACGTCTTCGAAGGCTTCGGTGGCGTCTTGGCCGCCGACGTCGAGCATTACTTCTTCACCACCGCTGTTTTTTTTTTTAGTGAGGGGTTCCTTTGAGAGGGGAAGTGGTTCTGCTGAGAGGGGATTCTTTGTGCTGATGGTGGGGTGGTTGATTGAGATAGGTTGTTCTTTTTTCTTGTGATACCACACGGGTGCAAGAGTGGGGGCTCTTGGGGTGGGGTATCGAATGGGTTAAACAGGGCTCGAAAGGCTCGTCGAAGGAGAGGCTCGTCGAGAGGCATGAATATGGATGAGGTGTGAGAAGGAGAGAACGTACGGATGCTCATCGACGAAGCTTGTGCAGTCGTAGACCTTGTCGTGGACGACCATGTAGATGTCCTGGGATCATGTCAGTCCGGGATGTTCTCTGACTCCAAAGTTGCTGGACGAGTTGTTGTTGAGCTTGTCGGGGGCGCGCGTGTGTTTCTCGTTTCTTCCTGTATGCAACCTCCTCTTCCGCGCGTCTAGCAGCTTCTCATGGCTCTGCTCACCTTCTTGGTGTTGTGCTCGGCAATGTCCGAGTAGGTGAATTCCTTAGACATAGTGGCGGTTGTGTGTGTGTGGTGTATAGTTTGTAGAGACGAAGGGGTCAAAAGGACAGCGAAGTGTCAAAGGTGAGAGCGAATGTGCGAGTCGAGAAAGTTGACAAGGGTCGTTGGTATAGAGCAAGCAAAGAACAAGGAAACGAAGAAGTTGACAGTTCACAAGCTGGACGCAACAGCAATCACGGATTGGCGGGCCAGTATCAACTGATTTCCCCGGCCCTCAAGAAAAATAAGCCCCTTCCTGATTCGTTGAAAACATCGAGACCCTCCCCTTCCGCCTCGGCCTTCCCCACTCGAAGTGGAAAGAGTTTCCGTCAAGCTGCGGCTTCCGTTCCATCCATGTTCCGAGATTATTGCTATCCAATTCCGCTCATGGGATGTCTCTCTGCCAGTCTACAGTCTTTGTACGGTTGTTGTGCTGGATCGATATGCATCGTGACTACCAAGGTTGACGAGGGCTTTGTCTCTTAGGTGTTCGACTGTCGGCTTGGCGCTGACCAAGGGTCGAGAATCTGCCGAGTGGTGCTCGCCTTCTAATCTCCCTGATAGCTTCCTGTCTCAAACCTCTAATCTCTGCTATCACGGTTGCGCTACCGGCTCTAACTTGGCATGGGCTTCCATCTTCGCGGCCACGACGAACTTCTCACACCTTGATTGTTCGACATACACAGGCCGGCCAACAAGAGATTCTAGAAACATGATTCGTTGATATCCTTGGGTCAGATCGTTCTAGGTAGCTACGAACTCTTCAATGCATCTCACCGCTCTCGGCGATGCTCCTCTGGCAAGCAGCCAAAATCTTAGCTTGTCTAGCCACATCTCCTAAACGTCCGATGACTTCCTTGTTGCCGTCGTAGAAGCCATAAATCGCATACGGAATCTCCACCTCGTCGCAGAATTCTTGGACCAGCTTTTGCGCTCTACGCAGGTTGTGGCGAGGCATGCGTGGGTACAAGTGGTGAATGGCTTGGAACTGGAGTCCGCCATGGAAGAAGTCAAGCCATTGAGGGCAGTCTACGTCCATGGTTGTGCGCAGCATGCGTTGAGGGAAAGACTCGTTGATGCCAAGGTCAGCAGTACTCATGGCAAAGTGACTGAGCGTGATCTGGACATGCAAGGGCATGGTGACGGCGTGGCTGATCATGATGAAAGCAAATCGGCTCCACCCATCAGGAATGCTCTTGTACACAACTTGGTAGCCGAACCAGTACCAGAAGAAGCATTGTCCAGCAATTTCAAACCAGCGGTGCCACCATGCGGGACCTTTGCGAGGACCAAGACCGAGGATTAGGTACTCCCAGCTTAGGCGGTAGAGGTTGAAGCGACCGAAGCAGAGGATGGGATAGTACAGCCAGTGCTGGTATTGGATAACGAACTTGGCAAAGGGGTCGTATGTCATGACGCGGTCGTAGTAAGTTGATCGAAGCGACTTGAAAAAGCGGTGCGAGATGGCAAAGAAGGGCATGTGCTCAATATCAGGGTCGTGTTCGGGAGAGTTCGTGACGATGTGGTGAACATTGTGGTTGCGCTTCCACCATCCGAGACTCAGACCTCCAAGGTAATCGGCGATGAACATGCCAATGACACTGTCGACGTGGAAGTTGTGAGTAATGCCCATGTGACCGGCATCGTGGGCACTGAAGACCAGCTGGTGCCAGAAAGCACCAATGAATACGGCAGAGGTGCAGTACCAGCCGTAGTGCAAGGTGGTCAAGAACATGGCAAACAGGAACGAGTATCGTGATATCTCAATGGCGTAGGATTTGTAGTCGCAGTTGTAGAGGCCTTCGCTTCTCATGCGCTGATCCAGCAGGCGGTACTTTTGCATAATCTCATCTTGCGTCTTGGGGTCAAGCTCGGGGTATCTGTCCAGGTCGCTCTTGATTTGGTCTTTCGTCCAGGCGCTTTCGGGATCGTGAATGTTGTGCGGTTTCTCGTTGTCGACGTCCAGCGAAGACATGGATGTAGCAGAGGAGGATCGTGACATGGCGGGCTTGCGCTGGCGAAGTTGGGCATCGACAGGTTCGAATAGAGGAGAAGGCTCTCCTGAGCTTCCCTGGCTCGACGAGTCGTTTTCGTTGTCCGAGACTTGATCCTCTGTATCGACGACATTTCTAAGACGGAATCGTCCACCTTGGATCGGGGGGAGGAAGTTGGTCCAGCGGCCCTCGGTAACGCCAATCTGGTAGGCGTGCATGCGCTCGAGAGCTTCGGCAGAGTGCAAACTGTATACAAGATCAGAAAAGGCTCGGATGTAGTCAATTGACATAGTAAGACGACATACGCAGTCACTTCGTCTGTAGCATCCCTGCCAACCATGTGCATGATTGCCTTGTCACCACCAGGGTGATATTTGAGCCAGGCATCCACCTTGAGCACCTTGCCATTCATGACAATGATTGATCGGCCTTCGGCAATCAGAGCTTCGACTTCTCTCCGGCTGAAGACTCGCTCACGCCTGCTAACCATTTTGACTGGACTCATGGCGGAATGTTTCAATGGGAAGCGATAGACAACATGCCCATGAACAAGAGCAGTTGAGAATCGAAAAGGAGCCACGAAAGTCTGTTGAAAGACCCTTTCGTATCGACTGACCTGGACCAAACACGAGACACTCACGCCTTCCCCACAATTCTGCTCTGCGCCACTTCGGGGTGCAACTCTTGACGAGGTCAACGTGAGCCCCTTGTGCTTGGCTGCTTGCATACACACATGAGAACATGTCTTCTGTTATAAGGTGAACGGTCCATGTTATCTGAATCTGGTATGTAGTCTTCGCCGAGCGTCTCATGTTATAGTATTCAGACCGAATGTGCTTCGACAGCGAACAAGACAATTGTCAAGATTCATACAAACACCCTTCACACTGAGTCTCAATTCTGACATTACGAATAAGCAGTAAAAGTCATAGTTGATACTTTGGCCTGGACCGATCGCAGTCATGGCCAGTGACTACTTCCCTGAGCGGCTGAAAGAAGCCACACTACCGTCTTCGCCAGCCATGTCTCCCGGCCCAACAGCACAAAGATCGAATGCTCTGCAGAGTCGGATTACCAGTGTACTTGCGGCGTCATACTCAGACTTAGAGATCCGAGATGCATTGGAGACTCTGGATGACCGCAAAGTCCACAACACGGCCGAGACACGGCGCAATCTTCGACTAGATGCACAACAAGAATTGATCCAGTGCAATGGAGAAATTATCCGTGATTTTGGACAGGTTGCTCAGGTATGACATGTTAGAAATCTCGTCTCGAACCTTGCTGATCACGAGATAGCAACTACAAAGGGTGGGCACGGCCATCGATGACCTCAACAAGTTGTGCTCAAGCATGCGATCCTATGTTTCCGCTGCTAACAGAGAGACTGGACCTATGATGGAAGACAGTACAGCAATGACGACACAAAGACAGCAGACCGAGACCAAGCAACAACTACTGGGCGCATTCACCTCACACTTCCTTTTGTCTGACACAGAGATTACCTCCTTGACATCCACTGCAGAACCGGTTACAGATGCTTTCTTCCAGGCATTGATACGGGTCAAGAAGATACATGATGACAGTCAATTATTATTGGGAACTGAAGATCAGCAACTGGGTCTCGAAATCCTAGAGCAAAGCTCGAAACAACTCAACGCAGCCTTCCAGAAGCTGTTCCGCTGGACTCAACGTGAGCTTCGCGAACTGGATCTCGAAAACCCCCAACTCAGCACTTCAGTCAGACGTGCTCTCCGTGTGCTCGCCGAGAGACCTGCCCTGTTCCAGAGCTGTCTCGACTTCTTCGCCGAAAATCGCGAACAGGTGCTCTCGGACGCCTTCTATGCCGCTTTGACTGGAGGTTCGGCTCAACGTGTGGGAGGTCCTGCTTTGGGTAAAGCAATTGAGCTCAGCGCACATGATCCGTTGCGTTACGTTAGCGATATGCTCGCTTGGGCGCACGCTGCTACTGTCAGTGAGCGTGAAGCATTGCAAATTCTGTTCATCTCAGATGCAGATGAGATATCAAAAAACATCAAGGCTGGTCGAGAACGTGAGCCTTGGTTGCAAATCACCGAGGAAGTAAGTGGCGAGGAGGTGGCAGCATTCGACGGCAAGAAAGCACTCAATGACCTGGTCGATCGAGACTTATCTGGCGTACTCCGTCAGTTGCGGCAACGCGTCGAGCAGACGTTGCAGAGTCACGAAGATGCAACATTGGCCTACCAGATCTCCAACCTGATACGCTTCTACTGTTCCATCTTTATACCTCTTCTTGGATCGGACTCGACGATTGTACAAACACTGCAGCCTATCATACAAAAGGCGTTCGAGCAATTCAGGACGCTGATGAGAGACCACATCGCAAACATTCACAGCGATGTTGCGGTGACGCCACTAGATTTATCACCACCGGACTTCTTGTTGGAAGCACTAGACACACTCAAAGGCTTGATGAAGAGTTACGATACATCATTAGCTGGTGCTTCCTCGGGCGAGGATCGAAGCGGGTTCCAAGCTGTGCTCGAAGAAGCACTTGATCCTTACCTCGCGGGCTGCGACAGCATTGCTAAAGGTATGGGGGCACCACAAAGCCAGATACTTGGCATAAACTGTCTGCTCGCGGCCACCGAGACACTCAAAGGTCGAAGCTTCACGGAAGACAAGATTGGCGAGATAGAAGATGCAGTGCAAGAGCGGGTCGACAGACTCGTAGACACAGTAATCGGATGGTTTGAGTCAGAGTCGGGGCTCAAACGACTCTTTGAAAGCCTTGACGAGTACAAGAATACCAAGCTCGGGCAAGGAATCAGCGGCATCAGGAAGCTACGGGAGATGCAGCCAGACCGGTTGGCAGACATGGCACAGAAGCTGGACGCATTCTTGCCAGGAGCGATGGAGGATGCCAGAGCATTTATCGGCAAGCTTGCGGAGAAGAGGATGGTGCGTAGGGTGTGCGAAGATGCATCGAACGTGTTTGTCAGCAAGTTTGAATCAGCTGAGAGGATCATGATTGGCTTGGACGAGATGACATTGGCAGAGCAAGGAGAAGAGGTGGAGGAAGGCATGCTAGTGCGGGATATGTTCCCTCGTACTAGCGACGAGATCAAGGTGCTGCTCAGCTAGACGTAGAGTAGTCTTGGATGAAGAGTCAAAGTGGTATCATTTACAACATTATGAACTTGTCATGTGAGACAATGGGTATATGTAACAATCAAAGAGAGCCCTTCTTCTTTTCCCACTCGGCGGGCGTCATGCACTTGGGCGTCCAGGCGTGGATGGCAGCGATTTCGGCTTTGAGCGTGTTGTTGACAAGACGATGGCGGGCGAGCGAAGTCTTCTTTTCGAATTGCGGTGACACGATGATTGCTTCGAACATTTGGCCGCATCCACCTGTTGGTTCATGAGCATTGGAATGCCAAACGAAGGCAGATGAATGGTCTTGTCGTGATTACCTGACAGATCTTGGATGTCTACATGGTGTGCCTCGAGCTTCTCGAACAGAGTGGCCTTGAGCGACTCGGGTGTGACACCAGACGAGAGCTGGTTCTGAGTGGCTTCGACGTCTGTTCTGGCGCTCATGGTTTTGTGATTGATCGTGTGGTCGGGTGCTGAGTTTGATTGTCGCAAAAGTGTCGGTTGCTCAAGAGTCGCTTTGAGAATGACGCAGGTTGTGGTGGAGCTTTGGCCTGGACTTTGACATTCTCGACCAAGATCTCTTCTTCTTGTCCTCACTCTGTTGCTATACATTCATTCTTAATTGTTGCACATTTCGTATGTTCTCTACAACGCTGCGTCGTACAATCAAGATGAGCTCAACAACCTCTTCGGCCCCCTTCTCCAAGGCCGTCGTTGGCGCAATGCGTAAACTGTTCGCTACCTATCTCTCCAACCTTCTATATTGTCCGATCGCTAATGTAGCCAGCTACCCAGAGGCCCTCGCCGACAAGAGTTGGGACAACACTGGTCGTATGTGAATCATTTGCGTCGTCTTGCAACACCCTGACCTGGACTAGTCCTTCTCGAATCGCCCTTCGATCCCATCCGCCGTCAGATGAACTCCGCCCTCCTAACAATCGACCTCACCAAAGCCGTCGCCGATGAAGCTATTGAGCGCGGAGACTCCATCATCGTAGCCTACCGTACGCACATCCGATACAACAGTCCTACCAAAGACAAGCATGCCTAACTTTACATCAAGCATAGATCCCATCATCTTCAGAGGTCTCAAGAGCTTGTCCCTAGCCGATACCCAACAACAAACACTATTACGATTGGCTGCAGAAGGCATCAGCGTATACAGCCCCCACACAGCAATCGACTGCGCGCCCGGCGGTCTAGGCGACTGGCTCGCCGACATTGTCTCAGGCACCCCCATGAGCGCCGAAGAACTAGCCGCCCAAGCAGAAGAGAAGGCAAAAGAGAACGACCCGACGAAAGAGCCAGAGACACCCTCCAACGAACTCAAACGCCCGACCTTCCAACTCCAACACCATCCCAGCCAGCTCAGCATCAAAGACCGCACCCTCAAACTCGGCAACGACACTCATACCCGTCGCCCGATCAAGCCCTCCTCGGTACCTGGATACCAGAATACAACTGCAGGAATGGGCCGTATCGTTCGTTTCTCCACCCCTCAGCCCCTCCTCGACATCATCGACCGTATCGGCCGCGGCCTCGGCAACCCCAAGGGCTTTCCCATCGCCATCCCTCAAGGCAAGCAAATGGACGAAATCGACATTTCCAGCGTCGCCATCTGCGCAGGCAGTGGAGGAAGTCTTTTCGGCGGACTGGGCAAGAACGGCGAGGAAGACGTGGATTTGCTGTTTACCGGTGAATTGAGCCATCACGAGGCATTGGCTGCAATCGAGCAAGGTAAATGCGTCATTGCATTGTTCCACTCAAACACAGAACGAGGATTCTTGCATGGTGTTTTGAAGCCGCAGTTGGAGCAGAGTGTCAAGGACGAGTGGGAACGCGTGAGGAAGGAGGAGAAGAACAGGGCTTCTTCGGCAGCGCTGAGTGAGGATTATCTCGAGGCACTCGAGGACGATCATATTGAGATTCATGTCAGCGAAGTAGACAGGGACCCCTACGGTATCATGATCTCCAAGGATGAGATCTAGACGTGTTGAATTGAAGGACAATGTCTAGACAATTGGGTCATTGTTTTTGGGGGAAAGGATGTGTGGTATACCCCCTACCCATAGCTTTTGCAAGTCTGAAGGGAAGGAAACAGTACAAGAGATGTCTCTGCAGAGAATCATCCCGATGATGTTTTTGTCAGGGTACTCATCTATAGCTACAGGTCGTGAACGGCTCTAGCACACGACGACGACGAGAGATGAAATTACTGATCTTGATCGAGACCGAGACCGAGCTACCAAAGTGTTACTTACTATCAACAGTTTTTTGCAGAACATATCGCGTCTCGAATTTTCTACCGCCTGTGTCTTATTTTGACCTGACCCATGGTATCTTCCAATTTCCCCTTTCCCATCCCAGAAATCCAAAAAGAGAGCACATAACTAGCGACCTCCCTGCTCGTCATCGGCAGCACCAGCTCCAGCTCCAGCGAGCCTGATGCCCTCCTCATCACCTCTCAGCTTCTCGAAATAAGCCTTGATATCTTCTGCTCCAACAGCTTGTCCACTCTCGGCAAACGGCTGCAAGAAAGCCTTTACCCTGTCACGCAGATGGTTATACACCATGACGCCCTCGATAGCCTTGACGCGATCCATATTGCTGAGCAAAGCTTCGCCGCGTTCATAGGTGCTTCCCGAGCCTACACTGCCACCACGTCCGTTTTGAGCTTCTTGATCGTCGCTTTCTGAGACGGGGGGTTCGTAGGCCTCTTCCTCTTCGAGGAGTTGAGGGTGGGATTTCAGGTTGGGGAAGCAGGAGGGGCAGCGGCAGATGTGTGTGCGGAAGTCTTGTTTGAGGAAGAGGGAGAAGGTGCCGGATGGAGCTGGGGGTAGTTTGGTATGTAGAGGGGCGTCGTTGACGGTGGCTTTTGTGCTTGTAGGGTCGGATGTGACGGTCTCGGAAGCGACATGACCCTCAGGTTCGACCTTTGTCTTCTTAGACGTGAGAACTTCTGAATCGTCTTGGGCGGTCCTCTTCTTGCTCTCGGTCGATGGTGGCAGAGTTGTATCATTTGTAGTCTCGTCAGTCGTAGTCTCGGTGTTGTCGGAAGAGGATTTGTGAAAGATAGGACCGAGGAAGCCTGCTTGGCCGGCGTATTGTTTGATCCAGGGGAAGGAGCTGACACACTTGTAGCAGATCAAGTGATCAAAGTCGTCCTCGGCAGGGAAACCAGGTGGTAGAGGTGCCTCGTCGACATCTTCTTGGCCTTCTGAGGGCTGTGCAACGACTTGTCCATCCTGTGCAGGCTGCTTTGACTCTTGGTTGATCACATTCTCGGAGGGTTGAGGTCTCGGCAAGCCCATCAGACACTCAGGGTGCCACCAATCTTCTCCACAGCCACCATCTTGTACCGTACCCAGACCCAAGCATTGGAACATGGTACCCTTCTCTTTCTCTGGATCATACGGTTCACCACATGCGCAGAAGCGACCAGAGAAGTTGTGGTTGTACTTGTTGTTCTCATGGGGAGTTTCGCCGGTCACATTACCCTTCTGGGATGTGGACTCGTCGATGCGTAGAGTACATGGAGCGGATGAGGGCACTCTGGTGGTACCGCAGTCGCATACGAAGTTGCGCTTGGTGAAGAGTTCGACAAGTTCGTGTTCGCCGTGACATGAGATGCTGCACGAGTAGCAGACGGCGGCGGGGGTGTGGGACTTGTCGTCTGAGGAGTGTGGCGGATTACATGTCAGACAAGCAAAGATGGCCTGTCTGAGTGGACCGAGAGGCTTTGTGCAGGTGTCGAATTGCTGTGGTGGTTAGTGGTTGATATATTCTGTCAGGGCGAGTAATGCATACATATGGGAGAGCCTCGCGCGCGTCGGCTTCGAGCTGCAATTGACTTGCAATAAACCTGCGGATTGTTAGCACCATACTGTGCAAGTAGTGCTGGTTGACCTACTCTTGAGCAGTCTGGGAGGCTTCGGTGTTTTGAGACATTCGTACATGCGAGGTGAAGAAGATGGCGTGGTTCGGTGATGGACGATCGGGAGCACTTTACGCGTCGACGCGCCACCGTGCCGAGGGGTTTGTGTTTCGAGCGTTTGGGCCACACAAATCAACAAACCATCAACCCTGTCAATTGACATCCCTATATTCCACACATCACACTTTCACAATGAGGTACGTTATAACACCACAAATCTATCTACATGTCCACTGACACTTGCGCAGTTCACCACTCGGACCTCCTGAATCTTCAGCTGCCGGTGGCCGCAAGCGCCAGAGAGACGACCAAGATGTTCACATGCGCTCATCCTCTGCCGCTCCTCCATCAAGCCCTCCCAGATCTTCTCCCCCACCGCTACTGCGAGACGAACTTGATCTTGACCAAGACGACGTAATTGAGCCAGACGAGGACCTCATTCCTGACCTTGACGATGCCGAAGAACAGCTCGAAGACGATGCCGGTGTCGATTTGTTTGGCGACAACTTCGAAAACGACTACAGACGCCGCGAAGATGATTTCTACCAAGGTCAGGATATCGACGATGAAGGCGACTACGATGACCTGGATTTGGCTGCCCGACGACAACTCGATGCCCGCCTGAACCGTCGTGATCGCGAGCTGGCCCGCCAAAGGAGACCCCAAGTAGCTCTGGACGACGACGAAGATGACTTGATGGACCTGACCAGACAGCCCCGCAGGCGGCGACACAGATACGACGAGGAACAAGACGACATGGACATGGGTGAAGATATCATGACCGAAGAGCTCTCTGCTGAAGGCCTGGCAGATGTCAAGGCCGCCAACCTGACCGACTGGGTTGCTCAGCCTGCCGTCTATCGTGGTATTGCTCGTGAGCTCAAGGCCTTCTTGACCGAATTCGTTGATGACAATGGTATCTCTGTTTATGGTGTGCGCATCCGTACTCTGGGTGAAGTCAACGCCGAATCTCTCGAGATTGACTGGGAACATCTCAGCATGACAAAGCCGACAATGGCATACTTCATCGCCAATGTACCTACCGAGACGCTCAAGATCTTCGACCGTGTCGCCATGGACGTCACTCTGTACCACTACCCCGACTACGAACGCATCCATTCAGAGATCCACGTTCGCATCGACGGCTTGCCCACATCATACACTCTGAGAGAATTGCGCCAATCCCACTTGAACAGTCTTGTCAGAGTCAGTGGTGTCGTGACACGCCGCACTGGCGTGTTCCCCCAGCTCAAGTACGTCAAGTTTGACTGCACCAAATGCGGTGTCACTCTGGGCCCGTTCCCTCAAGATTCAAACACTGAAGTCAAAATCTCTTTCTGTCAAAACTGCCAGTCTCGTGGTCCTTTTACAGTCAACTCTGAGAAGACTGTCTACCGCAACTACCAGAAGATCACTCTCCAGGAGTCACCCGGAACCGTGCCTGCTGGTCGTCTGCCCCGCCACAGAGAAGTCATTCTTCTGTGGGACCTGATTGATTCGGCCAAACCTGGTGAGGAAGTCGAGATCACTGGCATCTATCGCAACAATTACGATGCCGCCTTGAACAACAAGAACGGTTTCCCTGTCTTTGCCACCATCCTCGAAGCCAATCATGTTGTTAAATCCCATGACCAGCTCTCTGGCTTCAGACTGACAGAGCAAGACAAAGACGACATCACTGCCCTGTCAAAAGACCCCCAAATTATCAACAAGATCATCAACAGCATCGCACCCAGTATCTACGGTCACACCGACATCAAGACAGCCGTCGCACTCAGTCTGTTTGGCGGTGTGAGCAAGGAAGCTCAAGGCAAACACTCCATCAGAGGTGACATCAACGTGCTGCTTCTCGGAGATCCTGGTACTGCAAAGTCGCAAGTTTTGAAGTATATAGAGAATACTGCACACAGAGCTGTCTTTGCCACAGGTCAGGGTGCTTCGGCTGTTGGTCTGACTGCATCCGTGAGACGCGATCCCATGACCTCAGAGTGGACTCTGGAAGGAGGTGCTCTGGTATTGGCAGACAAAGGAACTTGCCTGATCGACGAATTCGACAAGATGAACGATCAAGACCGCACATCCATCCACGAAGCCATGGAGCAACAAACCATCTCCATCTCCAAGGCCGGCATCGTCACAACACTACAAGCTCGTTGCGCGGTAGTCGCAGCAGCCAATCCCATCGGTGGCAGATACAACGGAACCGTCCCATTCAGTCAAAACGTCGAGCTCACCGAGCCCATTCTCTCTCGTTTCGATATCCTCTGTGTGGTCCGCGACACTGTCGACCCCGAAGAAGACGAACGCCTGGCTGCCTTCGTTGTCAACTCCCATGGCAGAGCTCATCCTCTTCTCAGCGGCTCTGCCAATGACGCACCAGTCAACAGCATGCAAGACGCCAACATGGACGTTGACGGCGATCAGGGAACTGGCAAGCAAGGCGAAATCTCGCAGGAGTTGTTGAGGAAATACATTCTCTACGCTCGTGAGAGACACCGTCCTAGGCTGGCCTCGATCGATCAAGACAAGATTGCGAAACTGTTTGCGGATATGCGCAGGGAGAGTTTGGCTACGGGTGCTTATCCCATCACTGTCCGTCATCTCGAATCCATTCTCCGTATCGCTGAAGCGTTCGCCAAGATGCGTCTGTCCGAGTTCTGCAGCAACGCAGATATCGATCGCGCCATCTCCGTTGCTGTTGACTCCTTCGTCGGTAGTCAGAAGATGAGCTGCAAGAAGCAACTGGGTCGGGCGTTTGCAAAGTATACGCTTGCTAGACCTGGTGCTGTGCGTAGTAGCAGAAACGCCAGGGCTGGTGCTTCCAATGTTGGCGTTGCTGCTTGATGTAATTTCTCGTTTACTCGAATATGAATGGATGCTGGGCAGGGGTGTTTGGGAGTCGTCGCGAGATATACCTGTGTCTTTTACCTTTCTTGTTTTCCTTTTCTTTCTACATGATGGTAGCTGTCAAAATGCACACATACTTTCAAGAGACATGTAAATCTCTACTGAGTGATGTCGTATGTATGATCTTTCTGTGCCCTCAAAGACGGCTCTTGTGACGAGCAGCGGGGTCTGCATCTGCAGGCTCCAAGTTGTATTTTTCAATGCGCTATCGAGAAGAGCAGACGACTCTCTGCGGAGACGCCTTTGGTGTTTGAGAAGCATTGTGCATCGTGTAGTAGCATAGCTCACATTCGGAGATTTCATCATCATAATCCTACACCTCTCGTCAATCCTCCTTTCTCGTCTCTCTCTCTCTCCCCCTCATATCCTCGCCCCCCAATTCCTCGCCATATTGACCGTAGCCATCCTCTGGAAGCCCATCCACTCACTCACGTTCCTCCAAGCACCACCCACAACTCTCGCCTCTTCCAACCTTCTCTCCAAAAACTCTTGTGTGTCTTTGAAATCTGTGCTTTGGTCTGTGGTGGAGTATGTTTCTGTGGCTGCGTAGATGGAGGAGAGGGTAGCGCGTTTGGTGTACCAGGAAGTGTCTACCGCGTCGTCGCCAGCGAGGAACCAGATTTCGTCGGCGAGGAGGAAGAGTTCGCGGAGGGAGGAGGGGATGTTGCCGGCGAGGGACATGAGGGCTAGTGCCTGTTGATTTGTTGGTTAGTAGGTGTCCAAAGGGTGTGGTAAAGAGGTAGTTTGAATCTCTTACTTCTTGCCATCTACTCTGCACATCAACCTCGACATTCCCTCTGATCCTCTCCATGACCAAGCTCTTCACCTTCCTCGTCTGCCCTATTGCTGCTTCCTCGGGGAACTGCACTCGATCCTTCAGACCCAATCGTTGCGTCCGTAGATGGTACAGCACCAGTTCAAACTCGGCTTTGGGGAATAGGTTTGTGGTGACGTCTAGGTATCCTGCGTCGCGGGCGCCATTGCGGAGGGAGAGTTGCGTCCAGCCGGTTGTGGGCACGTGGGTGAGTGCGGAGGAGAGGATGGAGGTTTCGGTTGGTGGGTAGGGTGGTGGGAGGGGTGTTTCGTAGCTGTAGTATGTGCGTTTTGTGGCGGAGAGGCGAGGGAGGGTGGGAGAGAGGTGTTTGAGGGTTTGAGGTGTGCGTAGTAGAGACATTGTCGTGTTTGTGGTGTGTAGCGGGTGGCTAGGAAGGCGATGTTTCGTGTGCAATGGAATCTTTGACGATGTCATCGGTGACTTCTCCGCTTGCTTGTTGCCAAGGCTTCACTAGGTATACCGATGTATATCTATCATGCATGAGTCTGATTTGAAGTCTAAGACTTTGTCGTACGTCTGTTCAGTCTCTAAGCCGTCGGTGAGGTGTGGTTTTATAATGGATTTATTGATTCTCTTAACATTGTCTCGACTTTGAGCCTGGTCCCGATGCAAATGCTTGTGGTCTCCGGTGAATAAAGCTTGTTTGACGTAAAATGGTCACCACGACGTCAACAGCGCTCCGAATTACTTGGATATCTAAGAAATCGGTAGTAATGAGGGCTGTCAGACATTCGATAAAATGGATAGAGAGGTGCAAGGAGGCCGAACGCGAGGAGAACATTGGTAAGAGCAGGGTCATACTCGGTGCAACTTTGACTTGGATAAACCAAATTTATCATCACAGTTGTCAAAAATCAAAACCAGGAAGATGAGATAGGAAGGAGTTGTCAAGCTGCATGCATTGAACTCGCAATAATGCTGTCGTAAGGTTGGTTCATGATAGTGCCGAGACTGATTGCGAGACGATGCTCTGATGCGTGGTTTACCAGCGGTCGTTGTTGTCATCGTCATAGCGTTCATCGTCTCTGCCCTGGTCGTAGGCGTTGTCCATGTTGTCGCCGAACCTGTCAACGTCGTCGCCCCAGCGCTCAACCTTGCCGACACCCTCTCCGGCAAATCCTGCAATGTCTTGAGGGATATCCTCGACATCCTGGACACCATCATCCCAACGTCTTTCGACGCCGTACTTGGCACGGTCGTAGTCATTCTCGATGTTCTGAGGAATATCTTCGACCTCTCCGACCTTGGGAAAAAGTCAGTATATGATCGAGTGATAGTAGTAGGGAGCCTTACCTTGCGGCCTGTCCAGCGAGCTGCATCCTCAGGGGCATCTTCCACGCGGTTCTCGAAGCGATCGAACTTGTCCTCGGCTCTGTACTTGTCTTCTTCCCAGTCCTCCTTGACTTCATGACCCTCGTGCATGAGCAGTGCACCACCAGCAAGTCCAGCGGCAGCACCCATGGCGCCGTATGCTAGGTTGTGATTCTTCTTCTGCTGAGGCTGTTGCTGTTGTTCGTAGCCGCCGTATTGGCCTTGAGGAGGGCCTTGGCTGTAGCTGCTTCCGTAGCCGCCGCCGTAGCCACCAGCGTGGCCAGGGTGCTCGAAAGTGCGTTCGCCGTTCTGCTCGTTGATGAAGAGCCAGCGGTTCTCACGATCGTCCCAGACAGCGCGCCATGGAGGTGGGACTTGAGGTGTGCCTTGGCCGGCGCCGTAGCCCTGCTGTTGGCCGCCGTACTGCTGGCCGCCATAGCCCTGCTGCTGGCCACCATATCCTTGCTGGGGGCCGCTGTAGTTGCCTTGGGGCTGTTGATTGTAACCGCCTTGGTTGTAGCCACCCTGCTGGCCGCCGCTACCGCTCTGGCCCTGGTGGGTGAATTCGCCAATCAAATTTCCGAGGAGACCCATGATTGTGATGTGTCTATCGAAGGTGTAGGAAGGGCGAGATGTGTGCAAGGAAAAGGTTTAGGATGAACCAGAGGAGAAGTGAGGATGATAAGTGATGTGGAGGGATGATGAAAGAGCTGCCCTAGCTGAGGGTTGACCGCGTTGATCTAGAATCAGCCCCACGTCACATAGCATAGGACAACAAACACGGTCGGACATGAGGTAATTTTGGGCGAGGGGATTGGCTTGTCAATACGAAGTCAGCATCGCGTTTCTCATTTCTGTGGCTGTGTTGTATCTATTTGCAATGTCGCTCAGCCCAACGACCGGACCATGATAGAGCAAGCCTCATCGCCTGCTATTGCAATACTGCGGCCGCAATGTTTCTCCCTCGGTCCAGAACTCGCTTTACCCTGGAATACGGTCATTTGGTCTGTGCGAATAAGCCTTTGCCAACCTTTGCCTAATTGCTTGGTCTGTTAAGCTTTAGTTCTCAACCATTGACAAGACCCAGCCATAATTTGACGCTGACGTTGCCATCACGATGTTGCCTTCGTAGCAGTCCAGTCTGAGAGACTCTTGTTGCCAACATGACAACGAATTCGTGCCAAACGAGGGAGAGGTCATGATCCTGCCAGGTTTACCATGGTGGCAGCTACCCTACTGCTTGCCTGTGCAGTTCCGAGTGAACATCGACCTGCTGTGCTATCCGAGGTGTCTACAGGCTTGTTGGAGGCGTTGTTCGCCAAAGGAGGTCTGCCTGTAGCATGTGTGTGCTTTCCTTGGTTGAACAGATGCGGTCGCCATTTCCGGAGAGTCTGTCTGTTTGCCAGTTCCCAGTCGTGTTTCATCATCTAGCCAGGCCTTCGATATCCTTTTCCATACTGCTGACTCTGGATTGGAGTGCTCTCTTCTTGTCCTCGAGAGCGCGAATCTCCTCTTCCTCATCTACCAGGTCTTCCTCGGTCATGTGGACCGTAGGCTCGATGTGGTCGTCCTGATAGTCATAGTGGTCTTGATCATAACCATCATGGTTCTGGTGTAGATGGTCCAGTTCGGCAGATTGCATTGCGACTCGTTCTTCGTAGTGAGCAATGTTGGCACTCAATTGGGCATATCGGTTTCTCAGTTCACCAATCCTGTCGAAGGCACCTGGGATCGGACTGTCGCAACAAAATTAGGACACAGAGTAGCGTTTTCAGATGTGACAAACATACTAGACTCGACAAAGCTTCTCTGCGCCTCGCAGCAGGAGTTCGACATCGATATCACCCTTAGACAGTTTCCCACTGTGTCCAGTTCTAGTCTTGCGATACAAGTCACCACCAAGAACCGCAGCGACAGCGGTATGGCGACGAGGGGGTCTTTGAGTATTTGTTGTTGCGATCGATCGAGAAGCAGAAGTGGTGAAAGCCGAGGATATTTGCTGAATCTGCGACTTGGAAGGCACTGGAGGGGGAGCGATAGAGAACAGGGCGCGTTCGTGTTGTTCAGTGTCTCTGATCAGAGCAGTAATGTCGTGGTGGCTGAGGAGGGCATTGGTGAACTGTTTCGGCCGTGAAAATGGAAGATCGGATATGGATGACGCGCAGAGAGAGATCTGGTCCAGATGCGACGACAGTAGAGACGAAGTCATGGTTGTGGTGGTTGCAGAGTGTTGTGCAACAATTCAACAAAAGTGGGTAAACAAATGAAGCGACTCGCATGTGATGATGGACCTGAGACCTGAGAGCTCCGGCTTGTGCTTGTGCTTGGCCGGCTTTCCGTCATCACCGTCGCCATCGCCATCGGCCTCCAATCCACCAGCACCATCAGCTCCAACTTGGCAAAAGGCACTACTCCATCAACGCATATCATCTACACAAGACCACGCGCTATCTCCCTTCTTTCGCATCCACTCGTCTCTGTTTCCGAAGACCGCCATGGCCGACAAGATGGAAGGCGTCGAGGTCGCCTCTGCTCCTGTCGACAACGCTCCCACCGCCGAGCAGCTTTCACAATGTACCTTTGCCCATCTGTGCTGTCAATCACTGTACTAACATGCAGTCTCAGCCATCATCGCCAACTTCGCTCTCCTTGACCAAGCCGTTGCCCGCTTCGATGGACGCTTCACTCTCCGTGTACTTCGCTCGATATCGAGCGTGCGCAAGAGTCCTCAGCTCCATGACGCCCTGTCGACTGCAGTTGCTTCGCTGTACGCCTCTCACCAAGACTCGCCCGATAAGCACTTCCTAGAGTCTGCTCTCCAAAAGACTTCTTCTGCTCCTGCCAACGGCAATGCTCACAAGGAAGGAGATGTCCTTCCGGAATCCTTCATCTACCTGGCTGTCCTGATCCAGGTACAACATTGCTTATCCTACTCTACAAACCCACACCTCTGACTTCTCCCCTCAGGTCTACCTCTTGGATGCGCAAAAATACTCACACGGTGCCGAGTTCTCATCCGCTCTGGTCGACAGAGTACGAGAGTACAACCGCCGCACACTGGACTCGCTCGCCGCAAAGTCATACTTCTACTACCACCTCTTCCACGAGCAGCTCGATCCCAAGCCGCCATCCAAGCAATCGCCCGTCATTGCCACGAGATCGAAGCTCCTGGCTGCTCTCCGAAGCGCAGTCTTGCGCAAGGACAACGACACCCAGTCCGCAGTTATTGTCCTTCTTCTCCGCAACTACATCTCGACCGCCGATATCAACCAGGCCGATCTTCTGGTCAATCAGACCACATTCCCTCCGAATGCTCCCAATAACCAAGTCTGCCGCTATCTCTACTACCTTGGACGCATTCGCGCGATTCAACTATCATACACTGCTGCCCAAGAGCACCTGACAAGTGCCACTCGCAAGTCTCCAACCAACAATGTCGCAGCTGGCTTCTACCAGTCGGCGATGAAGCTTTTGATCATTGTCGAGCTTCTTATGGGTGACATCCCGGATAGAGCCATCTTCAGACAGCCCTCGCTCGAGCGTGCCCTCTACCCCTACTTCCGTCTGGTCCAGGCCGTCCGTGTCGGTGATCTGCAAAGCTTCGTTCGTGTTGTCGATGAGAACGCAACTCAGTTCCGCCGCGATGGTACTTACACTTTGATCCTCCGCTTGCGCCAGAATGTCATCAAGACTGGTGTTCGTATGCTCTCCTTGTCATACTCTCGCATCTCGCTTCGCGACATCTGCTTGCGTCTTGGTGTCGAAAGCGAGGAATCCGCCGAGTACATTGTTGCAAAGGCTATTCGCGATGGTGTCATTGAGGCCACTCTGGACCATGAACACGGTTTCATGGAGTCCAAGCAAGCAGGAGATATCTACGCTACGAGAGAGCCCGCCGAAGCATTTCACGAGCGTATCAAGGCTTGTCTGAGCATTCACGACGAATGTGTGATGGCCATGAGATATCCCATGAACAAGCACAGACAAGAGCTGAAGAACGCTCAGGAAGCTCGTGAAAGAGAGCGTGAGCTTGCCAAGGAGATACAAGATGGCGACATGGACGAAGATGATGCTGGCGAGTTCGAGGGTATGTAAGCACGGAAACGCATATAGATACGCGACTGGGCCATGTAAGATCAAGATGCGCCTGGTCAAAGGAAAGACGTGGAGTGATTCATGAGCAGCATGGCGTCCGCCGGTTGGTGCATAGAACATCTTTTCCAGCAAAATAATGACAACTTTGCTCGTTGATCAAACAATCTATTTCTCCCGTCTGCATGTTCTGATCGAAAAGCTACTTACTATGTTCCAAGTGTCTCTCCTCCGCTCGTTGTTCCAGTGATGAGCTTGGACCAGGCAGTCAGACACCCAACCACCAGCTTTCATTGTGCCCATCACTTCCCAGCCACCTCGACAATCGTTGCACACCGCATTGTAGTCTTTGCTTGGTACGGTTGCCGCCCTGCTTTCTCCTGACTGACGTAGACTTCACTATATTTGCCATACGAGGAAAACAGATGGCTGGAGGTAGTATCACGCTATTAATCATTTTGCTCTCCACCATGACTTTTTGCTTGCATTCTAGAGTACACCTACAACTTTATCCATCGCGGTCTTTTTGTTGTTTTCGCCTTTCCTAGCATTCTTATCCGTCCATCGTAAACCGTGGAACATGCTATACCCGTCACGCTTCTCAAGCGTGCAAGCGTCCATGCGATTGACGATACTTGCCACGATCGCATCTCTCACCTTGACCCAAACTGCACGCGCTCAAACAACAAGCAGCTGCAACCCAACACAACAATATGGCTGCCCTGCTGATCCGGCACTTTCAAAATCGATCAACGTCGACTTTACCTCTGGCGAATCGAATCAATTTACAGCATCAGGCTCACCAACATACAACTCCAATGGCGTATCATTCACCGTCGCTCAGTCAGGCGACGCACCGATGCTTACATCAAACTGGTACATCATGTTCGGGAAGGTCGAAGTGAAGATGCGAGCTGCTCCGGGTCAAGGAATAGTCAGCAGCTGCGTGCTACAATCAGACGACCTTGATGAGATTGATTGGGAATGGGTTGGAAACCAGCAGGACCAAGTCCAATCCATCTACTTTCGAAAAGGTGATGCTTCAACGTCTGGCCGTGGCGCAGCCTTTCACATGGACAATCCTACGGAAGACTTTCATACCTACACCATTGACTGGACGTCGACAGAGTTGGTTTGGCAGGTGGACGGAAAGACGCAACGTGCCTTGAAAGCTACTGATGCTGGAGATCAGTACCCTCAAACGCCCATGCTGCTCAAACTTGGTATTTGGAGCGGTGGTGATTCGTCAAACGCTCCTGGTACAATTGCATGGGCAGGAGGAAACACCGATTATTCAGCAGGGCCGTATACAATGGTGGTACAGTCCATCTCGGTCACGGACTATTCGACTGGAACGTCTTACACGTACTCAGACCAGAGTGGTAGCTGGACTAGCATAAAGGCGGCTGGAGGCTCCATTAACGGAGGCTCGACCAATGTCGACACTGCGGCACCTGCTATCACTTCAGTTGTAAGCGGTGCCGTTCCATTTGAAGGTACTCATCGCACATGGACTTCGGTCTCGACCCCAGGAATCGGGAACTGGAGAGCCACGGCATCCGGCATGACCAGCACGGTAGCCACCGCGTACCCCGGACTACCCTCAGGGTGGACAGTAAACGGCTCTGGCAAAGTTGTGCCTCCAAGCAAAGCCACCACAGGTGAGTCACTGGACCTAGAACAAAGCCCTCCTGGCCCCAGGCACTGACCAGCTCGCCAGTTTACATCCCCCTTCGCATGGTCTTACTCCTCAGCTGCAGTCTTTCTCTAGGTCTAGCCATGGGTTTCCTCTTGTGAAGACTCTTCAAACACCCCGCTTCCTCGCGGAACAACTCGCGATCCCCCCAATTCTTATTTGGTAATATTCGTAATGGAAAGCCTCATTTAGAGAAAGGCCAGCGGGCAGACCCTCCGTCGCTCCACGAAAGCCGTTTGCCCCGCAAATGAAGAGCGAGGGGGACAAGCCATGTGAGCAGTCCTGGGGAATCAGAACCTCTTCGTCTTATGGCGCGAAGTTGGCTAGAGTCAAACTATGACTAAAAATACGTAACAGCGTATGCAAACATGAGCATTTTGAAGAGACGAAAACAAGACAGCTGGTCCGATCGGATGACGGAAGTCACGATGAGAAGAGAGGAGATACGTGGCTGCCAGCACCATTCACTCTATACGGCCACGAATGAGAGCAGGAAAACGAGCTTTTGTGCTGTTATGCTCACTCCCTATACTCCGTCTATAACCGCAGATGCAGGGCGTCCAAGGGCGTGTGAGAATAGATGAAAGGCGCAGCAGTTTTGGCGCGCGGGCCGAACATTTTCGGCAGCGCTAAATTTCCCCAGATCGTCTTTGGACGCTAGCGCCTCCGAGGTGATCAGGTACAAGTGGGTATGCCGCGAGTATGCGAGAAAAAGTGCTCGAGTTGGATTCGACAATGATGCCATGTGACTGGGAACGTTGGTATATAGATGGAGCTGATGCCAGGTCAGAGGGCCTGAGCCATTTTATCGCTCGTTTCAAAACAGCTTCTCCTTGTTGTGATTGTTCAGGCCGCGTCTTTATCGTGCGTCATTTTGGGAAACCTCGATTCACTCAAAGGCTCCCTGCTCCTGCTCCTTCTGAAAAACTCCTGAACCGTACCTTCCCTTCACAGCTGCTCTTCCTCACTCGCTGCTACTTCGGCACAAGTCTCTTGTCGTCACCAGTCACTTATAAAGCGGCGTCGTACGCTCGCCGAGACTTTTCCCTCGACATCCACCTTTCTTCATCAAGGTGTTCCATCACAACAACATGACAGACACCACCATCAACGGACACGCCAACGGCAATGGCGTGCCTCTCAACAAGCCTCTCGAGCATGTCATCAGACCTGCCGACAGACAGCCCTCACCCCAACCCACACACTTGAGCGTGCCCGGCGCCTCGAATCACTCCCGCGTCTTGAGCGAGCAGGGCTCTGGCTATGAAGCCCCCAAGTTCGAGGGCAAGACCCAGCAGATGGAGGAGTAAGCGTCGAACGATCGAACTCCAGTAAAAACATGCAACTAATCCAGATGTAGGGTCATGGACAAGATCGAGGCCAAGGGCTTCCTTCCCCCAGAGTTCGTCGAAAGCGAAACGCAATGGTTTTACAATGAGTTGGGCATTGACGACATGTACTTCTCGACCGAGACTTCCGATGCGTATGTCAACCCTCCCACATCACATGCAATTCACAACAATAGCTAACACCTTGCAGCATCGTCAGCCACATCCATTCACTCTACGCCGCCAAGGTAGCTGCATTCGCCAGAGACGACAAGCAGCTCGAGATCCGTTTGGACAAGGAAGCCGTCGACCACGCCGTCTTCATCGACACCAGCAAGCCTGGCATCACCTCCGTCGGCGGACCTCGCTACGAACAACGCATCGATGAGAAGTACCTGAACGTCTCTAAGGGAGCCAATAGCTACCGCGTCGAGACCTTCAGATCATCTAGCAAACTGCCTGGTGATCTCGACCAACAGCTGAGATGTTACTTCGTATACCAGTGCTCTTTCGAGCAGCCCAACCCAAGCCCCGAGGAGACCAACCTCGACCTCATCTCAGACAAGAGATTCCTCCAGAAGGCCACCAAGAACACAAGAGATATCTACCAACACATTCTCGAATCGGCTGTCGCTAGAACCGGCCCCGTCATCGAGCTGTTCGAGATCAAGGGCTCCAGAGAAAAGAGATTGGTCATTGCCTTCAAGCAGGGTTCAGCCTTGGGTCTCTTCAGCGCCCTCAGTGATCTTTACCACTACTACGGCCTGACCTCGTCTCGCAAGTACGTCGAGCAATTCTCGAACGGATACACCATCATGTCGTTGTACCTTCGTCCTGTGCCCGGACCTGAGTCCAACCTGCACCCTCCCATTGAGGCCTCAATCCACCAGATCATGAAAGAGGTCTCTCTGTTGTACTGCGTTCCCCGAACCAAGTTTCAGAACCATTTCGCAACCGGCAAGCTCAGCTTGCAGGAGACCATCTACGCTCACTGCGTCTGGGTCTTTGTCAGCCACTTCCTGAACCGTCTGGGTTCCGAGTACAACACTCTCAGCGCAATCCTGGATGCAAACAACAGTGTCCACGCCGAACTGCTTTCAAAGCTCAAGCGTCGTCTGCGTACCGAGACATTCACCTCAGACTTCATCCTGGAAATCATCCAGCAGTTCCCTGACCTGGTAAAGGCTTTGTACCTGAGCTTTGCCAACACCCACTACGTTCAAACTCGTGGTGACGAGGACGACTTCTTGCCCACTCTCAGTTACCTTCGCTTGAAGGTTGATAAGGTCTTGAGCGACGATGAGCTTAAGAAGATGATCTCCACCACCTGCCAGAACGAGCACCAGGAGATGGTCATGACAGCCTTCCGTGTCTTCAACAAGGCTGTACTCAAGACCAACTACTACACCCCTACCAAGACTGCTCTGTCGTTCCGCTTGAACACCTCGTTCTTGCCTATTGAGGAGTACCCTCAGCCTCTGTACGGCATGTTCTTGGTCATCAGCTCCGAGTTCCGTGGCTTCCACTTGCGCTTCCGCGACATTGCTCGCGGTGGCATTCGTATCGTCAAGTCTAGAAGTCCTGAAGCATACGACATCAATGCCCGCTCTCTGTTCGACGAGAACTACAACTTGGCAAACACTCAGCAAAGAAAGAACAAGGACATTCCTGAGGGCGGCTCCAAGGGTGTCATCCTGCTTGACGTTGAACACCAGGACAAGGCCAGTGTGGCCTTTGAGAAGTACATCGACAGCATTCTCGATCTGCTCCTTCCACCCACTAGTCCTGGTATCAAGGACCCCATTGTTGACCTTCACGGAAAGCAAGAGATTCTCTTCATGGGCCCCGATGAGAACACTGCTGGCCTTGTTGACTGGGCTACTGAGCACGCTAGAGCCCGTGGTGCACCTTGGTGGAAGTCATTCTTCACCGGAAAGAGTCCTAAGCTTGGCGGTATCCCTCACGACGCTTACGGCATGACAACCCTGTCTGTTCGCGAGTACGTCCTTGGTATATACCGCAAGCTCAACCTTGATCAGAAGAGCATGAGAAAGCTTCAGACTGGTGGCCCCGATGGTGACTTGGGAAGCAACGAGATCCTTCTCGGACAGGAGAAGTACACCGCCATTGTCGACGGTATGGGTGTTCTTTTCGACCCCCACGGTCTGGACAGAGAGGAGTTGCTTCGTCTGGCCAAGAAGCGTGTTATGATTCACCAGTACGATGTCTCCAAGCTCTCACCTCAGGGCTACAGAGTCCTGGTTGAAGAGAACAACATTACCCTTCCTTCGGGCGAGGTTGTCAACAACGGCATGGCCTTCCGCAACACCTTCCATCTGCGCCAGGAGGCATACGATGTCTTCGTGCCCTGTGGTGGTCGTCCTGAGTCCATCAACCTGAACTCGGTCAACAAGCTCATCGTTGATGGCAAGTCTATCATTCCTTACATCGTTGAAGGTGCCAACCTCTTCATCACCCAAGACGCCAAGCTCCGTCTTGAGAAGGCCGGCTGCATTCTCTTCAAGGATGCATCTGCCAACAAGGGTGGTGTCACATCATCCTCTCTTGAGGTCCTGGCTTCATTGTCGTTCGACAATGCTGGTTTCATCGAGAACATGTGCGTCCACGAAGACGGCACCACTCCCGAATTCTACAAGGCATACGTCAAGCAGGTGCAGCAAACCATCTGCAACAACGCTAGACTGGAGTTCGAGGCCATCTGGAGAGAGAGTGAAGCCACCGGCACTCCCAAGAGTGTCCTCAGCGATGTTCTGAGTACCGCCATCACTAACCTTGATGAGGAACTGCAGAACACTGAGCTCTGGGACAATGTCGAGCTCCGCAAATCTGTGCTCAAGGATGCCCTTCCCAGCCTGTTGCTGGAGAAGATCGGTCTCGATCTTATCATCGAGAGAGTAAGTCCACTTTGAGCTAATACACTACCCGTCGACGATGTGCTAATCATTATGATAGGTTCCTGAGAACTACCTGCGCGCCATTTTCGGCTCGTACTTGTCGTCCCGCTTCATCTACGAGCGTGGCATCTCAGCCAGTCAATTCGCTTTCTTCTCTTTGTAAGTTCACAGATCGGAATGTAGTAAGATGAACAACCAACTAACCACTTATGCAGCATGAATGAACGCATGGCCAAATTGCGCTCGTAAGCTTTGAGGAATGTACCTTGTCTCCAAGGCCTCAACAGCGGGCCGGTCTTCTGCATTCTTCTGGCAGATGGACTCAAAAGTTATAAACAAATAATCATGCCGTGACGGCCACAGGCGTTGGGGGACTCATTTGCTCTATTTCCTGGTTCTTTATAGTTCCAGCTCGTCGTAGCTTTCTTCTAATAGATTTGCTCGATACAATCCAAGAAAGTGCTTCAACAAGTCGTCGGTGTATTGCTCCACTGTAAATCTTTTTCGTAAGTATTCATGATCTGATCTCTGTTTCGCAATAAATCAGGCATCTGTAGAGATGCTTCGAACACCTGTACACTCATGCCTTTGCACCCTTCGAGTACTGTGTTTGCCCAGCAGCTATACACTAGCGGATCTCCAATCCCATCTTCTTTCTGCTTTTTCAGACCCGTACATTGACACAATCCTCAGCCAGATATCGTATCCATCATTATGGCACCCAAGAAAAAACAGTAGAACGCACCGCCGCGTCCACGAGGCCAAAGCGAACTCCCAAACCAACCACCGTTGCTGCACCTTCGGCTCCTGCTCCAAAACCCAAGAAGAAGATCACTGCCACCAACAAGAAAGCCGCTCCAAAGAAGTCAGTCACAGGCTCCAAAGTCAGGAAGCTTTCCCGTCCTAAGAGGACTCCCAAAAAGGCAGTTCCTAAAAAGGATGCTTCCAAGAAATCCGCTCCCAAGAAAGCTGCCTCCAAACCAGCCGTTCCAACGTACGAGAAGTGGGTCGTCAAAGCCGATGGCAGCAATCCACTGGGTCCCGCAGCTCAAAAGAAGATCGACGACAGAAAAGCAGCTGAAAAGGTGCACAAAGCCATGTACAGTGCAATCGATGCCCGATACACTCTTGATTTCATCAAATCTCTGAGAACCAGGTACTCGAACGGCAGGGCTGTGGGCGCTTTCAGAGACATCGACAGCTTCGAAGCCTTTCTCGAATGGAGCAAGGAAGTCGACGAGCAAGCATGGGAGATAGCCCACAAGCAAAAGATTGGTTCCATTGAAAGCCAATACACTTCAAAACAAGCTGATAAAATGATCGAAGAAATGCATGAGAAGCAGAGCAGGGGTGAGATCCCTCATATCAGCCACATGACGGATTTCTTGTACTGGAAGGAGATTGAGAAGGAGCGAGAGAGGATCGTTGAAGAGTACAGGGTCAAGGAATTCAGACAGCAGCAACAAAAGGGGAATGGAAATGGAAATGGAAATGGCAAAGGGAACAGAAACGCAAACGTCAGTGCCATCAGCTCCCCGGTCAAGAAAGCGCAGAACACCATCGTTAATGCGAGTCCAGTGAAGAGAGTCCAGGAAGCGGTTACTGGAGGCAGCAAGAGCAAGCCTAACAGTCCTCAGAAGAGGCCAAACAGTCCACAGAAGAAGATGAACAGTAATGACAGCGGATACCAGGCTGATAATGAGCAGCAGGGTGTTATGAGTAGGACCTGGGAGCTTGCTGCTAATGCTGTCGAGGCCATGAGGAGTGCGGTCGTCCCGGAGTAGTTGGGGGATCTCTCTTGTTACCGTTTCATTGATTATGTTGGAGTTGGTCTGTTTGGTTAATAAGTTCGTGTAATACTTTTGGCACATCCGCGAGAGTCCTTTAATCCTTTCTTCCATACCTAGCCTCCCTGTGAAGCTGGGAGATGGGAACCCTGGGTCATGAACTTTGGTGTGTGAAAGAGTATTCCTCTTTTCGATGATGTTGAGTTGAGGTCCCAAGTCATGGATGGCTTGCAGCCTGTACACTGAGATCTAGCCATCCGGAGGCCTCATGGAGACATCAATGCCAGAAGAAGCAAACACAGGAGCATCGGAAAGGAACAAGCTGAGTTCAAAGCCGAAGGGAGATGATACAGCTCCTCCGCACTTTGATGGTCAGCAACCCGTATGCACCCGAGAAAGCCGATGAGTACCCCACAGGATCTCCACAGATGGCGTTCAAGGTTTGAGGCAGGATGAGAGATGTCGTGTGCAATTGATGCTGTACAAGAGGAGACGGGTGTCTGGAGAGAGCTGGCAAACAAGTAGGGGCTCACAAGACGCGGGATCAGATGTTACACCAAGAGGACATTTGATCTGTTTGCATGCCGATGCCGATGAGTGGAGGACGAGCCATGTCGGGCAGTCGGTCACTAGTGCTCGTGATTTGTGGCTCTTGTACAGCGTGACTACTCATCATCTCGTCAGCCCCTGGCAACTGTCTCGGCTTCGAGCGATGAAGGCTTGTAAAGAGGCGGACCAGTAGCACTTGTCTTTCGAGGTGCTACCCGTTGATAAGCAGGAGAGAAGGCCGAGGGACGAGAAAGAGTGACTGGGCAAGAAACTAGCGCGACCCACGTTCATTCGGGATTAAGTCGTAACAGCGCAGCAACGAACCTGAATCAACCGCCTCTCTAGTCATCACAACCGCGCCCTCTTCTCGTGGACCAATGCCTTGTCCTCACGCTCGTTATCACTCAGCTATCTACCTATCCTAAGAACTTTCTCCTCGGCCTCTCCCCGACGTGTTTTCAGCATTGCGACTTGGCGTTACTCGCCAACACCGTCATTCTCCTGCGAGTACCACCAAGACAGTCGGCACACACAAGAGCGCGATAGGATAGGCCTTTGAATCTTCGACGCGTCTCCGACTTGGTCTCCTCCGAGCTCGTCGCCTCTACTTGGGCACGCAAATCTCGACTACCCCGAGGAGATTTTACCTGTATTCTCAATGGCCGGATCTGGAGTAACACCGTCTAAGCCGTGGGACGGTACGAAAGAATGGCTGTCACAACCGGTAGTCGCATCCTTCATTGCTGGAGGTATGGCCGGCGCCGTGTCACGAACAGTCGTGTCGCCGCTTGAGCGCCTGAAGATCCTCTTTCAGATTCAGAGCGTTGGCCGCGAAGAATATAAAATGTCAATAGGCAAGGCTCTAGGCAAGATGTGGCGCGAAGAAGGCTTCCGTGGCTTCATGGCAGGCAATGGCACAAACTGCATTCGCATCGTCCCTTATTCGGCTGTGCAGTTTGGCAGTTACAATTTTTACAAGCGTGTATGCATTGCGCCTTCAGCTCTTGTACATGAACGCCGTCAATGGCTGACCCATTCTAGTTCTTTGAGGATACCCCTGGTGCACCTCTAAGTGCTCTCCAGCGCCTGTCGTGTGGTGCCATCGCTGGTATCACCTCAGTGACGTTAACCTACCCACTCGATATCGTCCGAACACGACTCTCAATCCAGTCAGCCTCATTCGCAGGGCTAGAAAAAGCAGAAGCTGGAAAAAAACTACCAGGCATGTGGCCGACACTGGTCAAGATGTACAAAACAGAAGGCGGCTTCTTCGCTCTCTACCGCGGTATAGTCCCAACGGTCGCTGGTGTTGCGCCATACGTAAGGGGATTCTATTATTTGACTCCAATCCGAGAGCTGACTGTTGCCAGGTTGGATTAAATTTCATGGTCTACGAATCTGTTCGTGAAGCATTTACGCCAGAGGGCTCGGACAACCCAAGTTCTATTGGAAAGTTGGGTGCGGGTGCCATTTCAGGAGCCGTAGCGCAAACATGCACATATCCTTTGTGAGTTTCGTCAAGGTGGAATCCAATGAGATGATACTGATCAACATCCGCAGTGACTTGCTTCGACGCAGATTTCAGATCAACACCATGTCAGGAATGGGCTACCAGTACAAATCCATCTTCGACGCCGTCAGAGTTATTGTCAAGCATGAAGGTATCAAGGGTTTGTACAAGGGTATTGCACCTAACCTCCTCAAGGTCGCTCCTAGTATGGCTAGCAGTTGGCTGAGTTTCGAGCTCACACGCGATTTCTTCGTTGGTCTCAAACCAGAAGTCTGAGAGATAACATACATGACCTCTTCTTCTTGTTGTATCTCCTTTCGCCCGTTCATAACACTTTTTTGACGGCTCGGTCTAGATGGAGGGCTACATCATAAAATGCATGATGAAAAATGATTGCCATATTTGATTGGGTTTTGTCTTTCTGTTGTTCATTACAGAGACCCACGGCGTCTCGGGACATAAGTATTTCCTGATCCTCAGGCATCGCACGGAGTTTTGGGCGCATGGCGGGCAAAAGGGACTTGATGTATTTGACCTAGATGTGCAAGGCAGAGCAATGTAGTTATCGGCGCAAAGCCTTGAGATGTACTTGACGTGTCGAGTAGGCATTTTGTGGCATGTAAAGAGATATGTCACGCGGTCAGCTACAAAACTGCACAGTCTTTTTTAGCAAAAAGTGCACCCGTCGAGAGCCACGATGTCATCGACTCTCTATGGACATAGCTATCGGGGGCAATCAACCGGACCGGCTAAATTACAGGTGCTACCACTGCTTCAATCAAGATTGCTCAGCCTCAACTCGACCAAACACTTCAAAGCAACGCAATTCAATTCAAGCTAACAGACATTACAAAGACCCTGACCCTCAACGTCTGATACTGCGCCGAGAGCTTGAGAACATACCAGGTCTCGAGCCGAACAGCTCCGTTGACAAGCCCCTTGACGATGTTGAGCCCCCCTTAACGCCCCGTATGTTGCTGAGTGTTCGATCATATGTTAGTCCTCTTCTTGAATGAGGTATGTTGATGCTCGATGCCAACGATGGAACCTTCGAAGGTAATGGTTGAGGTCGACCGGAGTAGAAGGATGAATGCATTGTCCCGCGTCTCGAATCATCTACTAGCATTGAGCCTTCACGCAGGTCACGTCTCACGAAAAGACCATTGGGATCTCTTGGAGCTCGGTTCGTGAGTTTCTTTTGACGATCGTCAAACATCGCGTCAACTTCGTAACCATAATCACGACCGTTCTGTGGACGTTCAACGAAAGAGAGACCGTTCATTGTTTGGGACCTTGATTGAAAGCTGCTTTGTACAGGTCTCTGAGGCGGTGCCATCCTGAAACTTGGTATGGTCTGCTGATTAGAATGAGACACCATAGGAGAAGAGATAGGGTAGCGTCTGGAGCTACGATTTTGGTCTGCTCGGAAGAAAGGGCTGCTCACTGAGGTATCATTTGACTGTTGGAGAACGCTGACCTGCTGTGGAGATGGAGTATGAGGTCTATTCCTCTGTCGATCGTATAGCGTTTGGAATGCGTTCTGTTGAGTCTGTGATCCGCGATATGGCGACTGATACGGCCTTGGCAAGACACGTTGAGCAGACGGACGCTCAAAAGATTGTTGTTGATCATAGTTTGTACGTGAATCTCGAGCCCGCGGCGAGTACTGATTAGTCGCCGAGTAAGCGCCATACGGCTCTTGCAGCTCATGGAATGTGCTGCGTGAGTCGTATGCAGTATCTCCTCCAGTTGCATATTGCTGAGCAGACAGCACATGCGCTGAAAGTGGTTCAGATGTGATGAAGTTGGATCTCGAGATGTCATCGATGCTATCGACTGGCTGAATCTTACTCTTTTGCTGCTTAGGCGCTTCGAAGGGGATGGACGGGTCGAAGTCTGAGTCTTCCGGCTGTAAAGCACCGCTCATATAAAGGCGATCGTCAGACGTAACGGCAGGATTGTGGACGGCTCCAGTACGATCCCATGGCTCCCAGTTTTGTCGTTGAGTGTATGTTAACTGAGAACCGATGCTTATACCGTCATCATGGTGTATATTGGTCGTTCGCTGACTGTTGCTTTGATATGGCGTAGGATATGGTTGAAAATGTCTGCTCCTCGAAGGGACGGTGCCGGTGATTGATGATGCAGGTGGAAGTCTTATCCCAGGCCGCTTCTGCACTGCTGAGCCTTTGGACGGGCTTTTTATGTTATTCGGCTCATAGCGATACTCGTCAACTTTGCGTTTCTTGCTTTCGGGTCTCTGGAGATCATCTTCTACATCTTGCACAATGTTAGAACAAACGTTCGCCAAAGGGTTTTGTTGCTTACGAGCTCTTGAAGAGTCCCCCCGCATGGTGGTACTCGAAACACTCGGGATATAGTCGTCCACGGTTCTCGGGTTGGCTCGATCAACGCGGTCGCTACGTTGAGTGTGTCCAGTAGATGCGTCGTCCTTATACAAGCGGGGAGAATGGAAAGTGTAATCGGTTTGAGGAGGATGATGACCAAGTCGTCTTAGGTCTTCATTGCGGCGATCTAGCTCTCTAATCGTCTCTGTCAGATAACGCTAAATCCAAACCTCAGGAGACTTACCGTTTGACCAGGGCGAACTGCTGGAGGTAGTGCTTGATTTCAGGCTCTTTGGCTTTGTATTTTCTCTCTGCTTCTTCCGCTAACGTTATCCGCTCGGTTAGCGTCTGGATCTCTGTCTCGGCTTCCGTCTTTTCCAGCTTGAGCTTGTCTGTCTGGTCCTTGAGATGGGAGTGCGCCGTCTGCAGATTGCGAAATCTGGTGGCGACAGCAATACCGTATGTAACAAGACCAAGGAATTGAAACTTGATCAATATTAGTCGAAACTCGCACATGGATTTGGGTTTGATGACATACCCGAAGCGCGTCCATGCCACCCTATTTGGTATCGAGAGCTACTGGTGGACACTGGAAGAAATGATGAGGAATTTCGGCATCGTATTGGCCTTTGGCGAAGCCACTGATGGCATACATCTGCTTGAGCGCACGGTTGTTCTGCCTATTGCCACAGACAGGACAGACGGCGCGAGGAGCTTGTCCGGCAGGATGGAACGGAGGAGCTGTCGACGGCATGAGGAACGACCTTGGGAGGGAGAGTGCTCATCACGTACCTCCACCCTCGAGGTGTTTCGCACATATCAGATGTGCGCATTCGGTCATCCAAAGTTTCGCGACTGGTTTGCGGCCGCCTTCGAGTTCTTTGACGTCCTGTACAGGACTGGAAATGTCACGAATGGATTCATGGCAGATGTTGCAGCTGAAGATAAGGTCAAGCGGCTGAAGAGGCTTCATCAGGTCAGCTTCGGTGGCCATCATGCTCGGGTGTAGTCGCGGTCGAAGCAAATTGAGCGGTGTGAAAGATTTGGAGGCTCAAGGGTCACAGACGCACCTGCCTGACTTGGAGCAGATGCGAACAAAATTTGGGAAAGTGCCCGCCTACTTTGTATGCGCTTTCAACACCACGTGCCAGAGTTTGTCACAATCAAGACTTGACCTCCTACAAAGTCAAGCGGGTACTTAGAAAAGGCTTTGTTTCAATGCATGTCGGATTTGAAGCGTCTAAAGAAGGGGAAATATACATGTTCGGTGCATCTACTCGAACGTTCTGCAAGAGTAGCTGGAGACGAGTCAGTATATCAGCGGTGCATGACGAGAGGTATCGAATAACATACTTTGTGCTGTAAGCCTGCTCCTTGAGCATCTCGTAGCGCTTGGGAGTGGATGAGGGGTATCTTGAGGTAGGGAAAGGAGGCAGTCCGTTAGGGCCCAGCACGCTGAGACCAGCCTTGTTGTCCTTCTGGAAGAAGGCCGAGAGACCCTTCTCGCCCTCCTCCTTCAACGAGACCAATTGCTTGGCGCCAGCATCGCCAATTTGCAGTACGCTCTCCTTGGGGTTTTGTGCACTTCCAACAGTCAAAAGACCGACAACGTCGGGCTGTTTGACGACGCTGAGCTTGGGGTATTGTCTGCGGACGTCGCGCTTCCAGTAGGGGTTCTCGGCAAGATCAGCGGCGGGAACAGTGGTCGGGTCGTCGTAGAGCTTGGGATCTACGGCACCAGGGGAGGGCAAGCGGTATTGAGGGTTGAGAGGAATACCCGAGGAGCGCTTGGGGTCGACAGCGAAGAAGTCGCCGATGCGCTTCCAGATGCCCGTGGGTTGTACTGTGTATTTCTTGTAGGCGGCGTGTTTACCAGCAGCCGAAGAGGCCAACTTCTTGAGCTCGGCGACCATTGTGTATGTGGATTGGGAGTGCGACTCGACTGTTCAAAGACGACGATGAATTGACGACGGCGAGCTTGGCCGCGATGTTCAAATGCCTTGATCGGGATTGGATGCCCCCGGTTGTCCGTGCACTCACTCACTTCGCTCACGCGTCAACCACAAAACAACTACGGTACCCGTGAACTCGTCATGTCTTGACTCGAATCGAATCCTGTACAAGAGACAGAGTCTCCACTGCATCTCCTCGAGTATCCGCGAACATCGAGCGATAGTTGCATCACCCATCATGACCACAACGAAAAGTTCTTTGCGTAGCATCTTGCCGCAACTCGAGACGGCCCTCAAGTCTTTCCAATCATCTGATTTCAAGTTCCGCATTGTCCGAAGTATCAACCCTTCTTCTTCAAATCCGCCCTCTCCAAAGACTCTGTTCATCCTCGATTCATCGTTCAATCCACCTTCCAAGGCCCACCTGGCTCTTGCCAGATCTGCTCTGCACTCTTCTTCAACCCAACAGCATCAATCTCCATTCAGATTGCTACTCCTCTTCAGCACTCACAATGCTGACAAGGCTCCCTCCGCGGCCTCTTTTCCCCAACGTCTGGCTCTCATGACCATCTTTGCTGAGGACTTGCTGAGGGATCTCCAAACTGTGGCCAACCACAAAGATTATGTGCTGCCAGCAATTGACATTGGCTTGACCACCGCTCCTTACTACACCGATAAGAGCTTGGCCATCTCGAAAGAGGGCGCTGAGCGTTATCCAGACTCTCCCAGACATGTGCATCTTTTGGGCTTTGACACTATTACCCGCTTCTTCGCTGCCAAGTACTATCCCAACTTCGATCCGCCATTTTCGGCACTCATCCCTTACTTTGACGAGGGTCACCGACTGCGTGTGACTCTTCGACCCTCAGATGAGTACGGCACATTGGAGTCACAGCAGGAGTTTATCAATTCGTTGGCTAGAGGTGACATGGAGTCGGACGGAGGCAAACGGGAATGGGCTTCCCAAATTGAGGTTGTACATGCAGAGGAAGGTGTCGGCGTCAGTAGCACGAGAGTCAGAAAGGCGGCCAAGCAACAAGACTGGGACGAGGTCCAACAGCTTTGCACCGAGGGGGTTGCACAGGCTGTGAGAGAGGATACCATCTATGAAAGTGACGATAAAGGTGCCAAAATGGCCTAGTTATTGCTCTCGAGAATTCACAATCAATGAGGACAAGTGTAGAGCTGGATTGGTGAATTTTGAAGCTGTCCTTCTGAAGTTCTCTTGTTATATGCCATTGGCTTTTCTGAGATATTTACACCGTCATCGGGCGTGTAAGGACGAGTCGAGTTGACTCCCGCGGGACGCTTCGCGCATGTGTACCGTGACAGCCAACGCGAGCGGGAGTCCAGCCTTGTGATTCGTATGTTCGTGTCCTTGATACCATTTACAGAGGAGGGTTGAGGTGGGAGCGAGTTCAGGCGCATCGATGTCGAGGCATCTCGAGCGTGATGGCCAGAAGAGAGCGTTGCTCAGTTGGCAACCCACATGACGCAGACGACAACATCCATACCCTTGGCCTCACCGCCCTCGTACTTGTAGTTCCAGATGCCGTCCTTCTCGGTGTTCCAGTATGCGCCAGTGGCCGAGTGCATTCCGCGGCGACCAACGGTGGCGGTGGTGGGAGCTGTAGCGGCGTCGGAGCCAGCGGGACGTGGGTCGGTCAAGTGCTGGATGATGGTGGAGTTTACGGCAAACTTGTACTGGACCTCGCCCTTTGATTCGGAGATGAGAGCGGTCAGGATGGATTTCTGCAGAGCGTGTCAGAGAGCGAATGGTGTGGCGTTTGGAAGAGCGAGGCATACAATGATATCGGAGTTCCATTGCTCGGTTTGGGCGTGGTTGTATGTGGTAGCGCTGCTGAAAGCGTTGGTGCAAGCCTGAGGATTGTCAGTAAGGTATGTATGGCCTCTCGGTATTGCGATCGGAGGGCATACGTCGGCAGCAATCTGGCTGAGGCGGGTTTCGGTGACTGGCTAAAGAGCAAAGTCAGTTGGGCAACGTCGCGGGCGGGATAAGCATGGCGTACGCAGGTGGACATTATGATGGCGATCGCAATTGCGATAGAGGTTGGTTCGAAGTAGTGTTGAGTAAGTGGAAGCTTTCAATAAGGCACGGGGGCTTTTGATGCGAGAGAAATGGTATGCGACAGTGACTTGAGTTGGAGTGGTTGGGTTTGTTTACTACTTGTGTGATGACGCTGAGGCCATGGCTGCCACGCAGCCACGCAGCGGAACACTGCTGCTGGTCCGAGCGTCAGTATTCATGACCTTCTGTTTGCCATGTGCAAGTGACTCTTGCCCGTTGACATGCTCTGAGACTGTACATGAGCAGAAACTATTCACACGTCTTATACCAACCGGCTTGCTTGCGCTTCACTAGATCACGCATTGAGCGACCGAAAATGTTCCTCGTGTCTTCATGCTGTGTCTCTAAATAACGTTCAAGCTGCGAGAACGTCTGGGGTTGAACGAGCATCCGAGCAGCGATTTACGAATGAGCGCGTAAAATGTGGCTAACACCACCCAGTGCAGCAGAGCTTGAGCTAGGCAGGTACAAGGTGAGTACCAAATATATGAGCACTGGGAGAAGACGCCTTGGTCTTTTGATATGGCGACTAGGAAAATCAGGCATGTCGCTCAATGCAAAGGATCCTGACCAATCACGCGGCGCACGTGTCAGTTCTCCGTTCAGCGTCATGCTCGAGCATTTCACTGCATCAACTGATTGCATCTTTTTTCTTCGCCAGTCGCTCTGATACTCCAGCAATCCATTGACGGCCCTCTGCTGTACCGCTCACAACTCTTGCTGCCAATCCGTCCCCTCAATCGCCTCACATCGTCATCATGTCTTCGCAACCACTCCTCCAAACAGCACCTGGTACACACCCTCTCCTCGAAGCTTCCCGTGTCCCGACGACCTCGAATACTGACCCAATCTCTTCACAGGCAAGCGCATCGCCCTGCCCACTCGTGTCGAGCCCAAGGTCTTCTTCGCCAACGAGCGTACTTTCCTCAGCTGGCTTAACTTTACCGTCATCCTGGGCGGTCTCGCCGTCGGTCTCCTCAACTTCGGTGACAAGGTCGGTCAGATCTCTGCTGGTCTGTTCACCTTGGTCGCCATGGCCACCATGATCTACGCTCTGGTCACCTTCCACTGGAGAGCAAAGAGCATCCGTATGAGAGGTCAGAGCGGCTTCGACGACCGCTTCGGTCCCACTGTCCTGGCCATTGCCCTGCTGGCCGCTGTCATTGTCAACTTTGTCCTACGTGTCACTGGAGCTGGTGGTAGCCACAAGTGAGAGTCTCGACTACCTGCGGAAGCAATCAAAACAACAATCACCACAATATAGACTGGCCAACGAGTTGCAATCCGGTCGTTGGCCCATCACCGCGCGGTTCTATGTATCGTTAGGATGTTTACACTGAGATTCCCCGAGCAATTTTTCGGCGTTAAAGGACGGGGTTTTGCATGTATCAGCCAGCAAGCAGAGTAAAACAATGTACATAATCACACGATAGGGACGTTGGATACCGTCTTTGGATAAAGTCATACTCTAAGATTTCGTTATTCACTCGTCTCTATCATCTAGAAACTTGGGTCGGGCCACAAAGAGAGCCAGAAAGCAGGTCAGTTTTGGATCTCTTCTTCCTTCCAAGCACCGACTTTTCTTCCGCCCTCCTTGCGCTTGACTCTGCACCACAGGCCAACTTCCTTGTCCAAGATGAACTGCCAGATGACACCAACCCAGCTACGGTGGTAGGGCAGGTCCTGGTAGAACTCCTTGGCAATCTCGTTGACCTTCCAGAGTCTGGTCCAGGGAATGGCAGGGAAGTCGTGGTGCTCATTGTGCAGGCCGACATTGTAGGTCAGGAGATTGAGAGGTCCGTAGTACGAGAAAGTCTCGGGAATCGGGATGTGCTGCTTCGGGTCGCGCGCCTGCTTATTCTCAATGGCAGCACGGTCGAAGACGTAGTGCTCGGCGATAAAGTGGCCAGCCACGGGGTGCAGAGATCCGGCCAGGAAACTGCTCAAGATGAAGTAGCCCACAGCTTTGCCGCCCCATGATTGGATAAGGACATAATCGAACAGTAGTTGAACGACAACGTTGAGTGCGTGGATCTTGGTCAAAGGGATCTGGTAGACCATCATGGGTCGTAGAGCGTAGAACAGGATCTGGAAGGTACAGAAGAATGCCTTGCCGGCGATGGAGTCGAGGAAGAAAGCTTCAAAGGCAGTAGGCAAGTCGGTATCGAGGCCATCGACGCCGAGCGATTTGTGGTGAGTCAAGTGGTAGGGCTGGACAGATGTCAGTGCTTGCTCGAATTGCAAGTGTTCACGGAAACGTACTCTGAAAGAGGCCGAGTAGGGAATGCCGATTGGCAAGTTCGCAACGATAGCGAGAAGACGGTTCGCCAGACCAGATTTGAATGCAAGGTTGTGTGAGATTTCATGGATGGCCAGGAAGAGATTCTGGTTGGCAGTTGCGCCAATGATGTAGGCGGTGAGCCAGAAGCGCCAGGACCAGAAAGGAGTGTTGCTGAGGAGGTAGGCGCAGGTGCATTGAAGACCTACCACGGCGAGGACAAGTGGAATGGTCAAGGGCTCGGGTCCGCACAGTTTGAGCACCTATGGGTGGCAAGTCAGCTTGGTCCGCTGGGTTGGCGTTCGAGAGTAGCGATTACCTCGGGGTGAGCCTTGATGATGGCCATGCGACGGGAACGGTGAGGCTCCTCTGTGTAGGCCCAGAAGAATTGGTCATCCTGACCCTGGTGCTTGATGGGTGCCGGGTCGGTCGAGCTCTTCATGCTGGCACGGAGTGTGGGTGACTGCTCGCCCGCGAGCGTCGTGGTGTTAGCCATGGTGCTGGAGGCCATGGTTTGAATGACAGGAACGAGTGGATTGGTCGATGGCACGAGAAATCAAACACGAAGCATCTTTCGACTTTTAACAACCGACAGTGCTCCGCCTCGCTCGCCTGCCCTGTGGACAAGGACCCCCGTAAAGTTCCACCTTTCTCAAGGGACCTCCTGAGATCACCCGGTCGAGACCTGCCCGCCTATTCGCCGCAAACTCTAATTCTTGCCGGAGGTACGACCCTGTTTGAAACACGTCATGCTCATAGTGTTGCCATCCACCAGTCGAGTTGGTCACACGTGCGACAGAGACTTGGATAAGCTTGCAGACTGACGCTTCCGAGGTTCTTCTCGGGTCTGTGGCCCTGATGCGGCGCTGAGGGTGACAATGGCCAAATTGCGAGTGTGCAAGCTGGCGAAGCTGTTTTCTCACCACCTTCGACAGTCGTCGAAAATGAGAAGTTCTCAAAACTTTACGACAGAGCAGTGAAACATGGAACGAATCGAAAAGTGTGCGCTCTCTACATTCTGTAACATCTTCTCGCCAATTGAGCATACTAGGTCAGCATCCAACCATAGAGACGTTGGCAACTAAGCACGAAACGTTGAGAACACGTGTGACTTGGCAGGCGTGCTAATCACATCAGGGACATCTCAAGGGCACGCAACTATCTCGACGTCGTCCAAGATATACACTCTCTAATCTTGTGACTGGTCAGTCGGTGAAAGTGCGCAGTGCTACCAGAAAAGCGCGTACGACTGGCCCACTTCGTAATGTCCTGATACATACGGCTCCTTCGCGTTACTTGATTACCATCAAGCATGCATGTCCAATAACGGCAGGGCGAACACTACACCAGCCTGGCGTTCAACCTCTCCGCGAGACGCTGCCATGGCAGATATTACGCCACAACACGATGCAGAAGAGGCAGACGCACCAAATCTCGGAACCGGTCCATCTGCAAAAGATCTGCACCATCATGAGCCAACGCATGACAGCGAACCATGCCAACTTCCGCAGGGAGTAGAGGCACATGATGTTTTGGAAACTTCGGGCATCACTGCCATGAATCATGCTGACAAAGACCACGACGGACATGCGAAGATCGAGTTCGCCTCCATGCTCAATCTTGATGGAGCGGCAGCGCAGGATGTGCCCACGGAAGATGTAGAGCATTCTGTCAACAAAAGTGTCGATGAGCAACCAAAGAAACCTTCACAGAACCCGGATCAGCAGCAACCGTCTCTTCACAGAATGCACAAGTTCACGCTGTACGAGACGAATGCTCGATATTGGATAACTGGCTCGGATATCACAGACAAGTATTACAAGCTGCTGAAGATCGATCGCACCGCGCCCCCGGGCCAACTATCTGTCTTCGAGGACGAGATTGTGTACAGCAAAAAGGAAGTCACACAACTCCTTACGACGATTGACGATGGAAACAAGGCCACTGGAGGGCTGCGTGTTAAGTGTAGTTTCTGGGGCATTCTAGGCTTCATCAGGTTCACCGACTCATACTACGTCTTGCTTATCACCAAGCGACAGCAGGTTGCAATGATCGGTGGTCACTACGTCTACCAGGTTGACGGCACCGAACTGTTCCCCCTTACCATCGGTGCTGGCTCCCGCTTTACACGGGAACGAAACGCCGAAGAAGGTCGCTTCTTGGGTATTCTGAACAATCTCGATCTTACACGCTCGTTCTACTTCAGCTATTCATACGACATCACTCGCACACTGCAATACAACATCACTCGACAGCGGAACGCCCTCAACCAAGGCATACAGCAGCCTAGCCGTGACTACAACGACATGTTCGTCTGGAACCATCATCTTCTAAGTCCGGCAGTCAAACACCTCAAGAATGCTTTCGACTGGTGTCTACCGATCATCCATGGTTTCATCGATCAGTCGTCTCTCGACGTGTTTGGACGCACAATTTACATTACTGTTATCGGGCGGCGATCACGCTTTTTCGCTGGTGCACGCTTCCTCAAGCGTGGAGCCAACGACATGGGGTTCGTGGCCAATGATGTAGAAACCGAACAGATAGTCTCGGAGATGCTTACAACCTCGTTTCATGCTCCCGGACCCAGGATGTTCTCAAATCCCAACTACACTTCATACGTTCACCACAGGGGCAGTATCCCCCTCTACTGGACTCAGGACAATAGTGGTGTCTCGCCAAAACCAGACATAGACGTCAACATGTCAGATCCATTCTATACCCCAGCGGCGATGCATTTCGACAACCTCTTCCAACGATACGGATGCCCCATCTATGTATTGAACCTGATAAAGTCTCGCGAGAGGACACCGCGAGAGTCGAAGCTCCTCACAGAGTTTCAGAATGCTCTGGCATATCTCAACCAATTTTTGCCCGACGACAAAAAGATACAGTACAAGGCTTTCGATATGAGTCGGGCTGCAAAGACAAGAGGAGGAGACGTCATAGGTACGCTCGAAGTGATTGCAGAGGAGATCATGCAGCAAACCGGATTCTTCCACAACGGCGAATCAGAAGATGGAACGTCCCAAGTTCAGAATGGCGTGGCTCGAACAAATTGCATCGACTGTCTGGACCGTACCAACGCAGCCCAATTCGTCATTGGGAAGCGCGCCCTTGGACATCAGCTACGAGCACTAGGTGTGATACCGACTGCAGATATGGAGTATGACTCCGACGCGGTGAACGTCTTTACACACATGTTCCATGACCACGGTGATACCATAGCCATCCAATACGGCGGGTCTCATCTGGTCAACACCATGGCTACATATAGAAAGATTAATCACTGGCACAGTCAATCGAGAGATATGGTGGAAAGTTTCAAACGATACTATCACAACTCGTTCCTCGACTCCCAACGGCAAGAAGCATACAACTTGTTCCTCGGTAACTATATCTGGGCACAAGGTCAGCCCATGCTATGGGATCTTTCTACAGATTATTATCTGCATCACACAGATCCGAAGAAATGGCTGGACCGTCCTCGCAAGGATTACATCAATTGGTTCACACCAGAGCATCTTGAGGAACGAACATTGCCACCGACGGCTCAGTGCAGTCAAAGTACAAAACAAAGCCAAGGTCCGGCAGAATACGACGACTATTGGTTAGAGTACTACAGACCTCTCGCAGTGTCGTCCTTTGTCAAGGTCTACTCTTACAAGATGAACACAAACCATCGCTTCCTACCCGAAAGGCCAAGCAAAGATGCAAGGTACGATTTCAGTCCATTCACACCTCGCATCGACCTCAGCAGAAACTCGCCCGAATCACCAGAGAAGAAGCCTCCGCGTAAAGGCGTGACTATCGTAGACCCGCAAGACGAAACCGAGGAACGAGGACATCAGCAACCAGGCAAGAGTGCAGCGGTGACAACGATCCCGGAGAGCATCCTGCGAGACACCACAGCAGAACGCACTTCAGCGGACCCAGAAAACCAGAAGACGGTCACAATTGCGGACAAAGCTACTGTGGCGCAGTCGACTCTCAACAACATCTACGATCACTCGCTCAACCCTTCAGTCACCGTCGAAGAGATGAACGAATACGAACGATACATTTCACACCCGACTAAGATCCCGTTGGTCGTATCGACCGAGCTACCACCGGAGACCACGCTGAATCTGGACTTCGTAGACTATGTCAACAGCGGCAAAGCAGGTGTTGATTCTGGTGACGAAGGTAGTAATGGTGTACTCGAGCCCAGCGATGAGGACTTGGCCGAATTTGCCGATTTCTTGACAGTCAGAGAAGATCCGCTGACTGTTTGGGAAGAAGACGGTGGGAAGAAGAGATACAAGGCGTATCGGCAGTGGCTTAAAGGCAAGAGCTTGTTCAAGCAGAGCAAGATGGACCCAGAGTACCGACAGTGAGATTCATAACTTGTATTTCAGTATATTTGATGCTGTATAATCAAGCATGCAACGGAAGCAAATGAAAGAATTACAAGTTTCAACCCAGGCTATTTGCTAGTGTCTATCAAATTCAACCTTTCATCATGAAATTGACAGTTTCATCTGGAGTAGGTATTGAGACCTGATAAAGCTGGCGATGGAGGTAGATCAACTATCCCAAGTTATGGTTCTGGTAAGCCTGGCGTGCGACGGGCGAGGGATAGAACTTGTCAGATGCAGTCTCAGAAATGTCATCCTTGACGGTTGGTGATTCCATGACAGGATCGATGTACTCCTGTCTAAGCCTGGCCTCAACTCCAGGAGTCACAGGGTTGGTCAAAGCTGCATTGAACATGTCGAGGCGGAATGAAGAGTCATGACCAGAGGGAGGTGTGACACGGGCGTTGCGGTATGTGTTCTCCAGCTTGGCTGGTGCACAGGTGTTGAAGACGTCAGGACTTGGGATAGGGTTGTAGCCGTTGAAGGATGTAGAGTATCTGTTGTCGTCGACGTGTTCTGGCTTGACACTGTCGTTGTGCTCGCGGGTATAGGGAACAGAAGTGTTTGCAGGACCGTAGGCGCGGAAGTTGGCAAGATGAGTTGATGTGTGCTGGCCGCTTCCATAGCCATAGTCATTGCATTGCGGACCAATTGCCATATGAGGTAGGCGGATGTATGGAGTTGTGTGATGAGCAGCCGCAACAGAGGGGATGTTTCCAGGTCCTAGAGCGCCTTCCGTGCCGATGGGCATCTCCTGAGTTTGAAGATCGGAACGAGAATCTTTGATCTCGCTCTTCGGTGCGCGGCCATACTCATCAAGTCCGGCTTTGGCCATGTTCGTGTCGTCCTGCTCATCGATACCCTCTTCCTTCTTGCCCCAGAATCCGTCCTCCTCACTCTTGATCATTTCAGTGTCTTCATCCTTGATCAATGTACCGTCCTCATTCTTGATCATCGATCCCTCCTCACGCTTGATGCGCATCAGGCGTGCCCGAAGGCGTTGCATCAGTGGCACATCGTCCAGAGACTCGTCGTCGTCATCTTCTTCGCCATCAAAGTTGTACATCTTGTCCTTGGCTTTGAACGGATTGAGTCGGCGCTTTCGGTCCTTTTCTCTGAAGCCTTCTCTGCTAGACTCTGCTTCCAGTGCTTGACGAAGACGCATCAAGCGCATGCGAGCAGCCGGAGCCTTGATCTGGAAGTAGGAAGCGACCTCATGGAAGTCGACCTGGGACGTGGTCAGTAAGATAGTTAACGTAGTCAAGGTGCAGACATGGCAGAACCCACCGTACTGAAATTTGAATGCTTGAAGCAGATGTACAAGAATCGCAGGTTGAGTTCCGTGTCAATCTTTGCAGGCATCTTGTCGCTGGTGAACTCTAGGTTATGAATTTGTGTACGCAATATCGATAACGATCGTAGAATTCGACCAAGGAGCCTGCTCTTAAGTAGATATTGCTAGATCCAATCAGGAAAGGGATTTTGCCAGAACATTCGTTCCTTGTCTGATGAACAATGGAACAGCGGTTGGACAAGCTTGTACAAGTCTGCAAAGGCCTCAATCACTGGCCCCTCGACCGAGTTGGGCGACTTCAGCAAGTCGATGTATCTGGCCAACTGGAATGAAGACATTGCTCAGATCTTCTTGCAGCACAAACAAACATATGCGAGTCGGAGAATGAACATGATGACACTTTTCAGAACGCGCAATGAAGAGTCTACACAAAGGCGTGGCGTTCTGAGTCACCTTCATGCGACGAACAATGCCCATCGTCATCTATCACTTTGTTCAAGGCTGGTGTGTGAACGTCTGTGCAGAGCGATCTAGAAGCGGTACGTTTTGCTGCACAGTATAGAGAATAGATGCATCCAGGCCAGCCTATTTGTCTTCTACAAGCTTTTTGATTCGTTAGACTGTCATGTTTGCTGGGTGAGGCCTTGTGCGATGAGACCTGAGAAATCCACACCAGCCTCACCCAGGACAGCAGCCTGCTCTCGGACAACGTCGATACATTCATTCCACAAGGGACTTCCTTTTTCCACACTGCTGAGCTGACGACTCAAGCTTTCATTGAACTCGTCGATTCGCTCTTTGGCCCACTTGACTACTGCTGATGACGAGGTTGGAGGGAACGAGGACGAGAAAGTTCGGAGCGTATGCAGGATGATCGCAAACGTGACGTAAGAAAGCGCAGTCAAATGTGGTGGGAGAGATCCGGTGAAAGGGATTTGCCTGGAGAGTGTCAGCGTTGGAAGGCATGCAAGAGCAATAAGCACGAACCTTGCTCGTTTTCGGAGAACCTCCTTACGAGATTCCAAGTAGGCAGAGCGAGCTGTCTCTTCAAACCCGAGCCTCATCAGCCAACCCACGTTTTCCTTGGTAGCCGCTGCACCAGAGTTGGTATCCTTGAGCCGCCTGGCCAGCATAGTAGCCAACTTGGCATTGCGCTGGTCTACCTTTGAAAGAATGATGTCTTGAGCAACATTGTTTCCCTTGATGTTTCTTGCGAGCTTGCGCAGCTTCTCACTCAAGGCGACAGCATCATCGAAATGTTGCAATGCTATGCCGAGATCTAATGCATCTACCTGGTTCTCGACCCAACGTAGAGTCTGTTGTTTGCCATCGACATCAATGAGCGTTGAGGACGAGTTTAGGGCGGAGTTGTCTGTACTTTGAGATGAAGCCTTCTTGTAGAAACGAGATTGACCTGTGAGAAAAGCGAGTTCGTCCATAGCACGATCCCGATGGTCTTGGTCTGCAGCCATGGTCTTGCGTAGGTCTTCGACAGATTTGCGAAAGTGGACAAGCAAGGTGTTCACTTCCTGGCCAGCATCAGAAGCGCTGGATGATGCTAGTGTCCAAGACTCGTTTCCAATACGCACACTGAGAGCGGTGGTAATATTATGTCGATCGTCGGTAGCGCGTGTAGATATGTCGGTCATTTGGATATCCTGGAGCGGCCAACATCGCTCAGCGACGAGCTGAGTCTGTGTTTGAGTCTGCTGATAAACCGAAGCACGTTTACTTTGAGGACTAGCATTCATTCCAGGTGGGTCAAAACGTTTCTTTTCACTGGCCAACAGTAGATGGTCGTTCAAGAGGATGACATGGACACGGCGACGAGGTTTCCAGGTGGCAGCGTTCAATTCGAGCCAGCGGCCAGACTCGTAGACTATATGACGGCCGGGTACAGCGGGAAGGAACTTCTGAGAACCTTCGACACGCTTCCACATGGCTTGTAGATGGGTGGACCACAACGCTTCTAGATTGGCAACACTGCTGCGATTTTGACGCTTCCGATTCTGTTGGGCAGTCTGGTCCTCCTGGCTCGAGCCAGCAGAGGTTGCGTGAGATAGGACGCCGGTGAGTTCTGACATGAGAGCTCGGAGGGTGTGCATCTCGGACTTGAGCTTGTCGGCCTCGTTGGAGATGTGGATGAATTGGGTACGATTTTGGTAGACATTATGTTGCAGGTCGGTCGAGGTGCGATTCTTGAGCTTGCACAGCTCCTGCTGGTAGGCGTGGATATCGGCCTCGGAGGCATCTTGCAGCAGAATGCTCACATATTGGTCAGGTTGGAGATGGGGATCACGCAAGGCATTGACATCGACTCTGATGGGTTCGCCAGGTGCGGCACGACGGTCGGGAGAGCGATCCGGACGCGATTGGGCGAGGTGGTGGGGGATGTTTGGGACCGAGGGAGCGCGTTCGGCTTCTTGGGGGTAATTGGCGAAGCGAGTCGAGTAGCGGCGCTTGACCAAGTCGGCAGTACGGTCAGGACCTCCCAACGACGGCCTCGGACGGGGCCCGGGTTGACTGGCCTGGCTGCTCTGGCTGTTGTTGCGAGGGGCAGTGTCCGAGGAGGGTCTGTGTTGGAGCGGTGGGGGGTGCAACGAGGGTGTCGAGTCGTCGGGTTGGGCAGAGACTATTTGTCGGGGAGCACTGATCTGGGGACGTTTGGTCGTCTTCTTCTTGCGCAACGAGACGATGCCCTTTGCCTTTTCCGACATGGCGGCGTGGTGGGCGTGAACACAGATGGACAGGGTGGGCTGGCTTGGACGAGACTTGACGCGACTGGAGACGCGGGCCGGCCCACGCGGGCTGACGACGGTGGAGAAGGAAGGCGGGCAGGCAGCACTTGCAGCCAAGATGTCAGAAACGAAAGCTGCTGCCCGTCGCTGAAACTGAAAATCACCGTCACCACTTGCCCGCCAGCCCACGCTTCGCATAGCCTCAACCAACCTCGCGTTTGTCGCTGCACGTCAACAACTGCTCTCGTACCTTCGCTCTTGCTCTACCCTCTCTCGCACATCTCACCATGGCCTCAACAACACCCTCGTCAGGCGTCCAGACGTCGACCATCGTCCTCGCAACTCTTGGTACCGTCACCACCGCTGCCCTCGCATACGCCGTCTACTTTGACTACAAGAGACGCTCCGACCCTGCTTTCCGTCGCTCGCTCAAGCGCCAGCAGAAGCAGGTCTCCAGGGCTGCTAAAGACGAGGCCGTTGCTGCCGAAAAGGGCCAGAAGCAAAAGATCCGCCAGGTTGTCGATGCTGCCAACGACCAAGGCTTCCCCGAAGACCCCGAGAAGACCGAGGAGTACTTCATGACCGAGGTTGCCCGCGGCGAGCAGATGTGCCAGGATGGCTCCGACCCCGTCGACGCTGCCCTGTGTTTCTACAAGGCTCTCAAGGTCTACCCCCAGCCCAGAGAGCTCATCAGCATCTACGACAAGACCGTCCCCAAGGTATACTTTCCCCAGCACCCCCCCAGTCCATCACCCGTGTACTGACCCGCTATAGCCCATCCTCGATATCCTTGCCGAGATGATCGCCGTCGACAGCAGCATAAAAGTCGCCGCCCCCGGCGCTGACTCTGACGCTCCCGAGTCCGAGCCCGTCGAGTAGATTTTCCATACAGACTCTCGATACGACACTTCCCTTCTCTCCTCCTCCTCCTCTTCCGCCTCCTCTTCATGCCTGTACCACCACCTCGTCTTGTACATATAGCTCACGTCTTGGGTCCCCAAAATCTTGCGAATATTCTGTTGTTTTCTCAAGCTTTCTCTGAATGCTCCTTCTCAAGGTATAAAATATCTTCATCTTCCGGTAACGCCACGCTCATGTGAAATCCGTAACCCCTCTTCTATGCAACCAAGTCGCCTACGCCCTCGGGCCAGTTGCCCCAAACCAATGCTCGATCGCCCCACCTGCTCGGATGCGGTGCCAGGAAGCGGACCTTTTTCCTGGTCTCGTCCACCTCGGCTACGTATACGAATCCCATGACACAGCTGTCGCGCACGCTGTCCAGAGACGAGTTCCCTGAGCAGAACTTGACAGACAAGATTGCGTTGACCATGCCTTGACTTGCTGTCACTCTCTCCAGCCATGTTACCGGACCTTGTCCAGACGCCGATTCGTCGTCGTAATCCATGCCAGGCAAGAAAGACGATTGGGCCTGCGATGCTGTAGTGTCGACCGCCTTGTAGATGGTCAAGTCGCCAAAGTCCCACCATTGGCCGTGTGGGTTCAGTGACGTTCTGCTGTCACCGAAAAAGTAGTTCTTGATCTGTTGCTGTCGAGCTTGACGCATGAGCCCCTCGTCCCTTGCTACTGCGCCGCCTGACTTTGATATGCGAAAGACGTGCACCACATCATCCGAGCTCTTGGGGCTGGCAAACTTGCGTAACAGGTCGTTGTAAAGCCTCTCGGAGCCCAGTGTGAGAACGACGTTGATGCTGAATTCTGAAATGATGTGCATGAGGAGGTCGTAATTGCCCTTTGGCTGGTTGATGCTTCCGGGTGTGTCGACAATAATGCCGCTCTGCTTTGCCTCGTTGTCCTCCTCCAGTCTGCTGGTAACAGCCAGAGCAGCGCGTGTGACAAGTGGTTTGAACATGCGGATGCTGTCTTCGGGGGATGCAAAGGGGAAATGGTAAACCAGCGGCGTCTTCACGGGCACTACAGTAGGACCAGAAACAGGACTACTTCCCCAGCCATCTTCGACATCGAGCATGCTACCCATTGTGACTGCACTCAGACTGCCGGGCATGCTGAGCAGGCCTTCGCGTGGGTCCATGTTGACAACAGTCGGCGTTCGTCCCATCTTCAAGCCCCATGCCGTCAAGCACTTGAGCAGACTTGTCTTGCCGCTGTCATCAGGGCCTACGATCAGCACGCGCGGACCGCCGTTACTGTCTCTGCCTGTTCCAGCATCGTCTCGCGCAGTCTCTAGCATGCCGTGGACGTTCAGCCACTCGACCATGGCTTCTGTTTCGGAGCCGACATATTCGCTCTCGACATCGCCATGCAGCTCCAAGGTGCAACCGTGCCATGTGAAGACGGCGCCTTTTGTGCCGCTGAAGGTGTATGTGGAGCCAGGTGCGAGTTCGCTGCCAAAGACTTCTGCTGTTCCTCGTACTAGACGTATGCGATATGACTTTGCGAAAGCGACTTCGAAGCGCAGCTCTGAGCGCGCGGGCAGCTCTTCGGTTCGTGGAGGCGCATGCGATGCTGCATCCGGTTGTGGTGTTGCCGCTGACGGGGCCGAGAGGGAAAGACCAGGCAGAAGCGACATGGAAAGCGGCGCAATGGGTCGTGTTGTGTTGATCGTGCGTATCGATGCGACTTGGGATGGTGGGGCTTTCAAAGCGCGAACGAGCTAGGATTTCGCTGCATCTTTCATCAATCATGTCACAACATCGCTCGATTGAATCACCCACGGTCCTGGATTGCAACACGTAAAATGAAAAGTCACTTGAGACTCGTCATGTACTTTGATGGATATTCGCTCACAGATGATCACCGTCGCTAGCTAAGACCCTATTCACTCGTGACTGACTTCTTTCATCAGATCCCTCAGGACTCTGCGGACGTTGCGTATGCCCATCAGCATGTTCTCGTCCGGTCCTTGCCCTGGTGTCCACTCTGCATGAGCAAAATCAATCAATTTGATGTCGAATAGCTTTGGTTCAGCTTGCTCGTCCTCTTCATCGTCTTCATCTTCAGCAACATTCTCGCCCTCTTGTCTGCGATCATCGGAGTGCCGACTCTGTTCCGTCTGAGTAACAGCAGAGTCAAGAGCTTCTTTACGCGCTTGTGGGTCTCCCTCATAGACAAACAGTAAGCTCGCCGAGTACATTCTGCTTTCCTGCTTGGCAATGATCTGTTCTATAGCGCCGACGGCCTCTTCAATGTTGCTGATGACATCTTCAACTATGTCTGAAGTCTCCGTCTTCTGGTCGACACAGAGAAAGGTTGAGAAAGCATTCCTTACATTGTCTGACGTCAAAGTTCTACCGTAGAACTTGTCGAATACCTTGTACTCCCCCGAACCCTCGGGCTGCCATACCTTCATGCCTGCTATCCTGAAGCCAAGCGAACCACTGGTCGTCTGGGATGCGACATCGTCCAGCTTGTTACGCTTGGAAAGTGGTGCATCATCAGCCCAGAGTCGTTTGCCCAGCTTCACATCAACGAAGTTGGGCTTTTGGAACCCAGCCAGTACGTTCTCCAACACAATGGCAAGTCCTGTATCCAGTTTCTTTCCTCGTAGGGGGTTGTTGGCCTCGTCTACAGTCTTCGAGTCCTTTTCTTCTGTCTCTTTGTCGAGAGCGGCAGGCAAGACAATTGCTTCGTTGCCAGCAGAGCGAGCAGCAGCAGTGGTGAGATGATCCTGTAGTTCTTGAGACTGGCCACGTTGTAGGCTGCCCATGAATGTCGGCATCAGCTGCGCGAATTCTGGGTGCTCAGCATTGGAAACCTCATAGAATTGCACCTCGGCCGCGACGCATGGTTTGATGATCAAACTACCAGATGCGTCTGACATGACGCCGTCGCTGTTGTCTTGTCAGTCTTGTAGTGCCGAATTGAACAGGCACAACTTACTGGCCAGCTGCGACATTGTCAAACGCAACGAGCGAGTTCCAATCTAGACCACTTTCCGTCATTGTTTACTTAACCGTTGTCGTGGACTCCGGGAAGTCGTGAGCTCCAGATGTTTTACAGTTCGGGTGGCGCTTTGCGGAGGGAGATGAGCCACAGATGTGGCGCAGTCGACTTCTATCAATCTTCTACTCCGTAGATTCTGTTTATGCATCGCTCTGAGCATTGATTGATCTAGCTAGGCATTGTTTATCAAGTAGTCGCATTGATAACACGAATAATGGCTGTCCTGCCATAACTTCCCCAAGTGTGATGGTTTTCATGGTTGCCAACCTCGTATGTACGACATTCTAGGTGCCTATCTTCTTTCGGTTCACTTTTTCGCATGTATTTGAGATTATACCACCATTTGTTCACTACTACTGTCAAGCTCTCGATTTGAAGCACCGGGATGGACGATTATGTGGTCAAGGTGTGTGTGTGCGTCTCTGCCGATTTTGTGACACGTTCGATCCAAGCCTGCATCTTGCCGACTTAGCCCTGCATCAATCGACCATTCATTGCTTCACACCAAGCAAATTGCGTCCATCACTTGTCGTTTGCCTTTCACCAAACACTCAAACTTCCTCGCCATTAGTCTTTGGTCTTCGCTCTTCGCCCCACACTTTCCTACTCAAGCTCCATCCTCGCTACTCTATCAAATTGACCTATCCTTTGCTGCACCATCCAGCAGGACGGAGTTCGCCATGGAGCCCACCGACATGCCACTCCCAGGAGAGAGCGCCGAGAAGGCTAGCCGGTATGTGCACAGGGAGAGGGATATCAAGATGACAACGCCCTGACAGTCAGCAATCCAGACTCGACAGCTCCAACACCACAACATTCGACACAACTGCCGAAGCCGGACCCAATGCCCAAGTCGTAAGCCCTCTTCAGCCACCGCAGCCAGTAGAGCACCCTCAAGGTGACGAGATTGTGAAGCAGGTCAGTCCCCCAACTCTGTCTTGATCATCGCAACCTTTCAGCTCACCATCAGCAGGTTGAGTACTACTTTTCCGACGAAAACCTTATCACGGACAAATATCTTCTCGACAAGACTGGAGGCAAGGAAAACAAGCCCGTTGGTCTCAAGAGTCTCTGCCAATTCCCGAAGATGCGAAAGTACAAGCCCTTCAGATCTGTTGTCGAGTCTCTGAAGAGAAGCACAAAGCTTGAAGTCATCGACAACAAGTATATCAAGCGTAGGGTTCCACTCGCTATAGAGCCCACTGTATCACCTGAAGAGATCAAGGCAGCCATGGAGGAAGAGCAGAAGAGGAAGGGCAACGTACCTCCACCCGATCAGCCATGGATAACCAAGGGCATGGTGAGCCGCTTGCAATCGCACACTACAAATTTAGCTCCTGACCTTGCATACAGATGAAACCCACAGGTTTCGAGGAGTTCTTTGCGGACGCACCTGTCACTCCTGCAGCATTCAAGGAGGAGCAGTCAATCTACGACAGGTCCGTTTCTTGTTTCGTTTGCCGACAAATGTGGGAGACTGCTGACTGAATTCATAGAGACATCTCGTTCGAAACGTGAGTTGCAGAACCATCCAGGAGTGGACTCGCATGCACTAACCGTATCTCAGACGTATCGAGACAGCCATTCAGCGTTACCGCGCTCGACGCAAATTCCACCAACAAACAGCCCAGATTTTCAACAAGTTCATGAACTATGGAGGCATCGAGTCCGGTCCCAAGATGTTCGGCGGAAGCGACAACAGAGATCTGGCCGAGATGGATGCTGCGCAGATTGCTGCCCTCACCGCCATACATTTCGTCGCCGAAGACATACTTTACACCGACAGGTGGGAGGTCGACTTTGTTGGTGTAGCAAAGGGGTTTCTGTAAGTCGTGACGATCCGTCTGGGATTGACTGTAGCTGATTGCCTTCAGATCCTGCCACATGTTGACCGAGCTTGAGAGTGGTTCAGGACAGGTGGATAGTGCAAGAGCCACAAACGTCATGCGCAACTTCTACAACTATCTGCTGCACCACAACGTCTGCCCAGAGTTCGAGAGCCAGATCCACGCCGCACGCAAAGTCTGCGATCTCGCAGACGTGGAGCTCTTCAATGTAGTCGTCGCCAGGGAGAAGCTTCCAGGCCCCTTCAACACAGCCGTCTCGGCTACGCACAGCGGAACCGTCGCAGGCGTGTACAGCAGTGAGCAGCACTGGGAAGATAGTGGTATCATCGGTCGTACGCTACAGGACTGCAGAGACATCGTCAAGTTCGCCATCTCAGCTTACGGCTCTCAACAGCAATACGAGCAGGTTGCCGACGTGGGTAAGTTTGAGACTGTTTATCAAGAACAAATTAGCCTGGAGGTGATCAAGATCGAGATGGCCGAAGAAGCGACGCGTACCCTTTATGCTGCAGCTCGAGAGGAGAAACCTTTCCTCGCTACCCTTGGCAAGCTTCATTGTCGTCGCTGGACCTACCCACTCGCACCTAACTTCGACCATTCAGAGGAGGCGCTGAGACGACAACAAACGGAGCACAGCATGACTCTGTGGGTTGAGGAGAACATCCTGCAGTACTGTGCTGTGGGCATGAAAATCGAAGGTGAAGTGCGAGAGCTTGACGTCGGTATCAAGTGGCTGGACAGCATTCGTGCCATCGGTCCATCATTCTTTGAATGGCTACCCAACGAGCTCTACAAGCAGGAAAAGGCTCTGAAGGCTGAGTACGAAGCACAGCAGAGCAACAACCAGGTAAACATGGAGCCGGAGGATATTGAAGGTCCCGCTTAGTCTGTTGACCCTCAGACACAAGATTATTGAAAGGCCCGGTTAAGTCGGAACAGACACAGATAGCAGGAGAGACGTATACTAGATCCACATGCCTTCAGACTGCCCTGTAGTAACATCTTTGTGGTTCACAACCCATTGAAAGAACAAGATACCGTGATCGCTGGCAATGGAGAGAAAGTGGTGAATTTGCTGCAAAGATGACGTGAGCGGAGCAGTGCCGCCGACAGCTCCCTTCCCGATTGCGGGGCATCGCTGTATTAGCCGCCGCATTACAAATAAGGTGACGTGGATTCCTCTGTTACCACTTTCAAATGTCCATCTTTTTGAAGCACAGTGTTTCTTCCATACCCGTTCTAGCTTCACGCAGACTGGCTGGATTGTCTGGTCAACTTGTCCGCAACATGGCATCTCAATCACTCCCAAAGACAATGAAGGGTGTCATCATCGAGAAGACGGGCGGTACTGAGGTTCTGCAATACAAAACAGACCTCTCAGTGCCTGAGCCCAAGGACGGTCAAGTTCTGGTCAAGAATGACTATGTCGGAATCAACTACATTGACACGTATGCACACCCTCCAAAGCAATAGTGATCACGGACTCACAGAGTGACAGCTATTTCCGCACTGGCTTGTATCCTGCTCCCAGCTACCCTTACATGCTTGGAAGAGAGGCAGAGGGTACAATCGTCGCGACCGGTCCCGACACACCTCATGGTTTCAAGACTGGTGACCGTATCGTTTACTTGTCCGAGGCAACCTACGCCGAATATACTGCAGCTCCCGCAGCCAAGGCTATCAAGATCCCTTCTGGCATTGAACCTACCGTAGCCTCTGCCGCGCTTCTCCAGGGTCTTACTGCTTTGACCCTGATCCGAGAGGCTTACCGTGTGCAAAAGGGTGACTGGATCCTGGTTCATGCTGCTGCAGGAGGAGTCGGCTTGTGGTTGTGTCAGTTGCTCGCCGCTGTTGGCGCAAGAACCATTGCAACAGCGAGCACATTGGAGAAGCTGGAGCTGGCCAAGAAGGCTGGTGCCCAAGTCCTTATAAATTACAGCCACGAGGATGTCAAGGCAAAGGTTGACGAGGTCACCAACAAACAAGGTGTCGCAGCAGTCTTCGATGGTGTCGGCAAGGCGACATTCGACCTTAGCCTGGATTGTCTTGCTCGCAAGGGAACCATGGCCAGCTTTGGCAATGCCAGTGGTGCTGTGCCACCTCTTGCAATCGCGCGTCTTGGAGCCAAGAACGCAAAAGTGCTCCGTCCAACACTGTTCAACTACATTGCGACGAGGGAGGAATTCGAACAGTACACCAATGAGCTCTTCGATTTCATCGTCAAGAACAAGATGGACGTCCGAATCCACAAGGTGTACGACCTTGAGAATGTCGCAACTGCACACGAGGTAAGTAAAGGATACCGAGCTGGAGACTTGTGGGATGTGATGAAGGCAGTACTGACGAAAAGCAGGACATCGAAGGCCGCAAGACCACGGGAAAGCTGCTGTTGAAGCCATGAAATTAGAGGAGTATACTTTTGGGGCTCAAACACATCGGTGTCAAAATCCACATGATCGTCAGTGGCGTTGTTTACTTCAATTTTGTTGTGCATATTGCCATGTGTACAGATCCTTGGCCCCAAGAAAGGACGACGAATATACGATTGTCCAAGAGTGTAGACATGAGGCGCAGCAGATGTGTTTCGGGAAGTGTGGGGTCGGATGTGAATCCCAAGATCTCACGTCCTGTCACCTTCCAGACCGCACCAACCCAACCACCCACTACACCTTGAGCAATCACGTTCGTTCAGAGTGTACCGTAGGAGATCCGAGGATGTTGACATCACTACACGGCTCTGACTGGGATCACCTGCAGTATTCCAATGAGGCGGGATCTTGATCGTAACGGCCTGCCAAGTATACGGGTCTCGCCCAGCAGCCAAGAAAGTGCAAACAACAACACCCAAGGCGCCGAGTAGGGGATGCCGCGGATGGTTGAGTATGTAAGATGGGAGCAGTCGCATAAATCCAGCGGCATCCCTCTGTCATGGTAGGATATCGTGCCCTCTCATAGTGTCATTCGTTCCACCAGACTCGTCTTCCTTGGTCATTTCACTGTTTAACCAAGACCCATCAACCATGCGCTACTCAATTGCAGGCCTTGCTTTGTTGGCTGGTCTGACAGTCGCCGTCGACCCCGTCGAGGTACGCGGACAAGACTTCGTCAATTCGGTCTCTGGTGACAGATTCGTTGTCATCGGTGTCGACTATCAACCAGGCGGCCAAGGAGCCATCTCCGCAACCAACGATCGCGATGTCCTCAGCGATCCCGAAGCTTGCACTCGCGATGCAGCTCTGATGCAGAGTCTCGGTGTCAATACTATTCGAAGCTACAACGTGGATCCTGTGAGTCAACTCCTGTAAATTCTCTCAATATATTCTTCGGCTGACCCATTCACAGACTCTTAATCACGACGAATGCATGTCAATCTTCAATGGCGTGGGAATCTATGTCATTCTTGATGTCAACACTCCATTGTATGGACAGCACATCGATCGCAGTAACCCTGGGAGCACGTATACTCGCGACTACATGGAACACGTCTTCACAGTCATTGAAGCTTTCAAGGGTTATCCCAACCTGCTAGGCTTCTTCGGAGGTAACGAGATCATCAACGACTTGGAGACAGCCGACGATAATCCTCCCTACATGAGAGCAGTCCAACGTGACATGAAGGACTATATTGCATCTCGCGCGGATAGACCCATTCCTGTCGGCTACTCAGCTGCTGATGTAAGAGAATTCACCGAGGACACCTACCATTATTTGGCCTGTGACAATGGAGACTCGAGTGCTTCCGACTTCTTTGGACTGAACTCCTACTCATGGTGAGCTTGCAAAAATACTGCAATTCAACCTCTTGAGCTACTGACATGAAGCGATAGGTGTGGCTCTGAATCCAGTTTCGAGACAGCCGAGTACGATGTTTTGGTCGAGATGTTCTCCAACGCCTCGATTCCAGTCTTCTTCTCCGAGTACGGCTGCAACGATCCCAGTCCCCGTGTCTTCGAGGAGGTCGAGGCATTGTACAGCCCCCAGATGACAGTCATGTCTGGAGGCTTGGTCTACGAGTAAGTACAACATACCAGAAGGAATCCAAGACCCGAACTAACTGGCAGTAGATGGTCGCAAGAGGACAACAACTACGGCCTTGTCAACATCTCCTCCGACGGATCTGCCCGACTGCGCTCAGACTACAACAGTCTCATGGAGCAGTACAGCCGCATCAACATCACGCTTCTCGAAGCCAGCAACGACACTGCAACCAGCATCACTGCCCCTCGTTGTTCCTCCGACTTGATCGAAGCAGACGACTTTAGCGACGAGTTCGACATTCCTTCTCGCCCCAGCGGCGTTGACGCCCTAATCTCATCTGGCATCTCCAGCGCACCAACCGGTTCTCTCGTTTCCGTCACCGCAACCGCAGTCGCCCTTCCAGTCTACGGTGTTGACGGTGCGTCCATGAGCAACCTTGCCATCACTGTGACTAGCGAAGCAAACCGTCCTGTCGGTACTGCAAGCAGGACTTCAAGCAGAACTTCGAGCAGATCTGGCTCTGCTTCAGGCTCCTCAACAGCCTCTGGAGCTTCCGCGACTCAAAGCGGTGCTGCACACCGTATGTCTGGCGCTGTTGCTCTTGCTCTTGGTGCTGCTGCCCTTGCTTTGTAGAATATTCCAGTCTGTCACATATTAGATCGTCTTGTACCTCTGAGCGTTTCTCGACGACGTCTTGTCATCTTTCATATGTAGCCAAGTTCTTTTCAAATTGTGTATCAAATCTCTTTTCACATCGTGCAAGCACGATTCTCTGAACATGGCTAGCAGAATGTACCTCCTTGTAGCGCCAGAAGTATTTTATTAGTCATCTATCACAATCATGGCACGTACAGCACAGATTCGAAGTTGATGAGATTAAACAGTTATATTCTGCAGCCTTATTGTCCAGACTTCGCTGCTTTACCATGTTACTATTTACTTTTTGCCAAATCAAACGCAACAATCTCTGTCGGTGTTATACATTAGTGCAACCATGATCAGACAGGGAAAAGCACAAACAAAACAACTTTCTTTCAAAAGGAGCGTATGGACGTTCTTGTCACTTTTAGTAGTTGTACAACTCTGGAGCTCAGAGCAACATCATGACAGCAGCCATGATAATGGGCGCTGCTACGGTCAGCAGGGAAGTCTTGACGTTTTGTGCAGCTCCCGAAGCCATGTTCGTGTCAGTAGGGGGTGCCATGCTTGGCTCTGTGGGGGCTTGTTAGCATTGGTCTTGTTTGGTTGCAAGGAAAACGCAAGCTTACTTGTGGCGGGACCAGTACCAGTGCGCTGAGGAGTAGAGCTGGACTGAGGGGAGCTGGCCTGGGGAGAGCTGGGCTGAGGAGGTAGGTTGGAGTTCGGAGGCGAACTAGGCTGCGTAGGAGGGCCGCTTTGAGGGGGCGAGCCAGGCTGTGTGGGTGGCCCGCTTTGAGGTGGTGCACTACCTTGGGGCGGAATATTGCCTGCAGGAGGAGAACTAGGTCCAGCAGGAGTACTTGGCTGAGGAGGCGAGCTGTTCTGAGGAGGCGAGCTGTTCTGAGGAGGCGAGCTGTTCTGAGGAGGCGAGCTGTTCTGGGAGGGAACGGCTGTAGGTGACGATGGTGGACCAGAAGGCGAGCTCGCACCATTAGTGTTAGGTCCGACCAGCGAGGACATTGGTGGGCCTGCCGGAGACGAGGCAGTAGACACTGGTGGCTGTGCCGCATCCGTATTGCACGTCGGACACACAGTGCGAGTCTCGTAGACGGGAACCGTGACAGTCGGCTGTGTGTTAATCGGTGCAGATGGCGATCCTCCATTGGCTGTGCTGACAGATGGAACATTCATGTTGACAGAAGGTGTTCCAACACTGGCGGCGCTTGTCGCGCTGGACACAGTGATAACAACAGAGCTTTCCTTGACTACCCGTGAGGTGGAAGTTACTGTCTGCGTGCTTGTCTGGTGGTCCTTCGATACCGCAACAGTAGTGGTGAACACAACGTTCGAAGTACTGGGCTGTACGGAAGGAGCACTGTTTGGTACAGTGTTGCGGGAGGTCGATGCAGGGCCAGCTGGTGAGGTGACTGTAATGACACCAGTGTCTGGTGGAGCAGGAACAGTCGCAGGGACACTAGTGTATGGACCAAAGCTGGTGGAAGTGGCGGGAATCAAGGTAACCGTGCTGCCACCGGGGCAGGAAGCACAGCTGGCCGTCACTATCTGCACCCGCGTAGCTACCACAGTGGTAAATGTGTATGTCTGCGAGGTCATATCGCTCTTCGGACAGGTCGGGGCGGAGCTTGGGCAACCCACGGTGACTATGGAACTGATAATTGAAGTCACAGTCGTCCAAGGGCGGGGCGGTGGAGTGGAGGCACTCGCGGTAATGGTTGTAGAAGGCTGGACGGGCGATACTGTCGAACCACTTGGTGAAATAGTTGTCTTTGCCGACCATGATGTGGATGAGCAAGGGCTCGAGCTGGGTTTTGACGAAGATGTCTTCGGGCACGGACTTGACGAAGACGAAGAGGTCAAACAGGGAGTGGTCGAGGAAGAAGAGGAGCTCGTGCAGCTAGTGCTTGACGAGGTAGAAGAAGTTGAGCAAGGAGTGCTCGATGAAGAAGAAGAAGTTGTGCAAGGGGTGCTCGACGAGGAAGAGCTGGAGCAGGAAGTGCTTGATAAAGAAGACGTCGTGCATGGAGTCGTCGATGAAGAAGTCGAGCATGAAGTCGTCGAGGAAGAAGTTGAACACGGGGTCGTTGATGACGTTGAATTCAGGGAAAGGACAGTGCAAGAGGTTGAGAACCGAGGAGTTGTAGAGGTCGAGCAGCTAGAGCTCGATGTGGTACGTGTGTTGATGTAGTCGGTTACGGTTGTGCAGGACGACGATTTGGTGTTGATGTAGAAAGTTTGCGTGGTGCAGGAAGCATTGACCGAAATCGCCTGGCCATAGTTGTATGCAGACTTGCCATTACATGTGACACTGATGACAGCAGATGAGGGCGGTGTAGAGGTCGCTGCCAAAGCCAGGCGAGGCTTCATTCCACGACCTTCGGCATGGTAGGACAGCGCTAGCGTAGCGATTAACGAAAGGAAAGCCTTCATGATATCTGAGGGCTGGTGGCTGACGAGGTCCGGGGGCCTTGCAAAACGATTGATGAAGGTAAGGAAAGAACAGGAGTCCGGGCTGGAAATGCCATTAAGTACCTTACAAGAGTGCATGGCGGTGAATGATCTGATCTGATGTGCCCAGCGGGGTTGGCTTAGCTGAATTGGAAACCAAAGGGTTGAGCCAGTCATGATCAACAAAGACCAAGGAACCTCAGTGCTTGTGGGAGCTAGAATTGAATGCCTCCACAGCGATCCACATAACTTCCCTGGATACTTCACACACATCCAGTTCGAAGCTGCAATGCTTGGTGAATGTTGATTGTAGTCGAAGACTCCAGACCACCTCTTCCCGCCATTAACATGACACATCAGCTAATCAAGACACCATTCCTGGCTCTTGAAAGCAGACTGACTCAGAAGCCCAAGGACTTGGTAGTTCGTGTGTATATGAGCGGAGATCTGCGATAAGGTTCCGTCGAATGAAGTGTAGAGCGAGTTCTTGTGCTTCCTTTGCGATTAGTGTTCATAATCTGCGCGAGACCAAGACGGCCCTATAAAGTCAATTGACCATGGCATGAGCTGAGCGGAGGTGAAGATCTGTACGCTGGCCAGTATACTACGGTTCAGCAGTCGCAACAGCCGCTCAACAGAACGTAAGCTCTTCGACAAGGAAATTAATTGGCAAAGCTTGTACTGGTAACGCGCAGTTGATCTATCCATGACGGAAACTGAGAGCAAGAGGGCGGGCTACGAGGCTCGAAGAGTGATGTGTGGTCAGAGAATGGCTCCTGGTGAACCACGACGGATCACATAGACCGATCTCCTACACAGACTTGAATCTTCGCCAGTAGTGAGTCAGTCTTGTGTATGTAGCGACTAGGAGCGTGCATGGAAGTGACCATATTCCTTTCACACTGAGTAGCAGTCGAAACGCTGGAGACCATTTGTATTTCTTGATAATTTGTCCATGATGCATCATGTCTGATCGCGATCCCAATCATTGGTGGCTCTCTGCATTGCTGGAACTCGCGGTACTTCTTGCCGCATCTGAGAGTAAAAACATGGATGGTACGATGCCGAGTGGACGTCACGTGCTTGATCGATACTGTAGCTCAAGACGCTGGAAGTCGATTGATCTGAATGTGATAACCACGAATGGCAATCAGAGACGTATGAAGGGAACGGAAGCAGACAGTCACGCCAAGTCTCCTGGACCAAGCGCACGACCAGTGTGCAAAGTTTGTCCCTCCGGGCGCATCGCGGGGCCAACGCGGCGACGACGAGCCAGGTCGAGCAACACAAGATATACTATCGCGATCGTGACGTTCCAGATATCCGCGCAAGCGAACGGACTACCAAGGCATTATGGGAGGCCACAACAGCAACGGAGACGAGCAAAAGGTCGAGAAAGGATATGCCACTCTCGCGACTCTCAGGTGCGTCGTGGCTCGCCAAGCCTCTATATGGTCCTTACTGACTCGGACAGGGTCGGAGTCAGAGCATGGGTCGACAAGGTAAGAAATACACCTTTTCGTGTCGTTCGAGGCATCTTTGATTGCGAGCGAGTAGCAAAGTCATCTCGGTTTTGATTTGACATTTTACAGGACGATGAGAAGCGCAAGGCCGAGATTCTCTCGATCCAAACGCGAAGAGGGAAACCTACCTTTTAGTAAGTCTGGACAATTTACTCCAACAAGCAAAATTGCTTACCGAATAGTGTGCATTATCAGGACTTCAACAAACGATTGGACGGTACGAGACCATCAATGGAAACCAGGATTGCAACGGATGGCTGACTATTAGATCAGAATGGGTTGCAGCAGAGCGCATCGATCTATCAAGAGAGGTCGAATGGCCTCTTCCCGAGAAGGCCGATACAAAGCAGAAAAAGACCACAAGTAAGACAGCAGCGAAAGCCGAACCTTCGAAAGCAAACAAAGCACCAAAGCGATCGCGAGCATCGAGTGTCAGGGAGCCTTCTGCAACGCCCACCGACGCTTCCCAATCATCGAGAGCGGGCACTCGTCGGCCGTCACTAGCAGGAAAAGATCACGGATCGCCTTCTGTAGCTGTCCTCGCACCCGAACTTATTGATGGGACCCCGCAGCCAGATGGAGAGGTCGACGATGACACGGTAGATCTTATCGACGTGCAGAACGCTGCCGCGGCTGCAAAGGCTATCCCAGAACATCTGTACTCACGCGAAGAGGAGATTGAGAAGCTACGTACTGGTGGTTCCATGACGCAGAACCAAACAGAAATCAGTAGAGTCAGAAATCTGGAGAAGATACAGATGGGAGCGCATGAGATCGAGCCCTGGTATTTCTCGCCGTACCCCGTTGAATACTCTGACTGCGAGCTGGTCTACATCTGCGAGATGTGCCTCCTTTACTTTGGCAACGAGAGGCAATTCAAGCGACACAGGAGCAAGTGTACTCTGTTGCACCCTCCTGGTAACGAGATATATCGTGATGAGATGGTCAGCTTCTTCGAAATCGACGGAAGGAGACAAAGAACTTGGTGCAGAAACCTGTGTCTTCTGAGTAAGCTCTTCCTGGACCACAAGACACTCTACTACGACGTGGACCCTTTCCTGTTCTATTGCATGACGACTCGCGATCAACACGGTCACCATCTGGTCGGATATTTCTCCAAGGAGAAAGAAAGTGCCGAAGGCTACAATGTTGCATGTATCCTGACTCTACCGCAATATCAGCGCAAGGGATACGGTCGACTACTCATTGCATTCAGTTACGAACTCAGCAAACGCGAAGGCAAGTTGGGAAGCCCTGAGAAACCACTCAGTGATCTTGGACTTCTGGGCTACCGTGCGTTCTGGCAAGAGATTATCGTCGAGTTTTTGATGGAGAGCAAGGGTGAAATGAGCGTCGAGGACATTGGAGCACAGACTGCCATGACGACCAACGACGTGCTGCATACGTTGCAAAATTTGAACATGTTGCGTTATTCTGTAAGTTGGAGCATACTCATTGTACCCTGAGATCAGACTGACCAATTTTCCAGAAAAACCACCATGTTATTGTCCTCACAGAAGCCATCCTCAAACAAAGAGAGCGACAAAAAGAAAAGGAGAAGATCAAAGGCAAACATCAGATCGACGCAGAGAAGCTGCAATGGAAACCGCCGGTCTTCACGGCAGCAAGCAGGACTTGGAACTGGTAACACACAGCAGCGTGTTCAAGAAAGAGATGAATTACGAAAGGATGCGGGGATTATATTTTGATCGTTTTCTTTTCATGGCATGCTTTAGATACCCCCAATGCAATCGAAAGACGACAGTCGACACACGGACCGTTTTCTCTACGAATAGCTGCCAGAAAGCCTAAGTGTACAATCTATCAGCCAAAGGGCACCCGTGGTCATCTAGAGGAAGTAGTCGGGGGTGCGACGAGACACCATAGGCTCGCCGGCGCGTGGGCAAGGATCGAACTGGAGGCTAGAAGGCTGGTCAGCAATGTGTGGGTCAGATGGATAGGTAAAGGAGACGCACAAGGTGTATTTCAGATGTTCGTCAATCTCCATGATTGCGGCTTGATTGCCACAGCGGTAACAGTAATTGGGAGCCGAGAATATCGTGACGACGTTTCTGTCTTGACTCCAGTTGTAGCCCTCCATGACCAGTTGATGGGCGCGAGCGACCAGTGTCAAGCCGTTGTTGTGGTTGAAAGCCTCGCTGATGTCCTGGCCAAACGTGTAACCGGCACCTCTGGGACTTATTCCCCAACCGCATCTGTCGTCGGGATCACTCCAAAGCAGATCACACATGGGACCCTCATGGGGCACCTCTTGAATTCTGTCGAGCGCACGGATATTGTCCAGTGTGTCGATGCTCGGTGATAGACCACCGTGGAGACAGAAGATTTGGTTGTCGATCAAGGCGGTAAGGGGTAGGTAGTCGAAAAGATCGGTAAAGTACTTCCAGACGTTTGCGTTACCGTACTTGCGCAGGCACTCGTCGTAGAAGCCGTAGACTTGGGTGATTTGACGGGACTCGTGGTTGCCGCGGAGGATGGTGATGCGTTGTGGGTAGCGAATCTTCAGGGCGACGAGCAATGTCACCGTCTCGACCGAGAAGTAACCGCGGTCGACGTAATCGCCTGGTGGAGCACGTGTCAGCAAAAAGCAAAAGCGACGATTAGGAAGTGTCGAGGCGCACCCATGAAGAGGTAGTTGGTGTCGGGGTTGGGACCTCCGATCTTGAAGAGCTCCATCAGATCATGGAACTGGCCGTGGATGTCACCGCAGACGGTGACGGGACATTTCTGTGCAGCAGTAGTGTCAGCTCGAGTGAACGGTTGAGCGGTGGCAGCAGAGGCAGCAGCAGCAGCAGAGGGCGGGAGGACATACGACAGGCTGAACGTTGGACTCGTCCTGGAGGACCTCTCTTGCCTTTTCGCACAGTCTCTGGACATCGGCTTCGGACAGCTGCTTGCAGGCCATCAAGCTCTCGATCCAGCCGTCAAGGGTGGGGATTGATGGCGGGTCAGAGGGCGCCGTCATAGGGAGTTCTGGCTTGGCGCCAACATCTTCCATGTTGGTGTCCATTGTGTGTGAGAGCGGGTGGCTGCGACGAGGTAGCTCGAGCTGTCGTCAATGCAAGGTCGGCAGCGAGGGCGGGCCCGGTGAGCGCAGATGCGAGTATGGACGTCGACGTGTGCGGGACGTGTGGTCGGGGGCGAGGGAGAGCTGGCCAAGACCTAGGACGAGGGGGTAGCAGAGGTGGTCGAGGGTCAGTCGATGTGCAGACACACAACAAGACAGGAGATGCGATAGATGCTATGTCGATGATGAGTTGCACCCCAGTGTTGTCGAATTGCAATTGCTCCCCTCGCTCCTAACTGGCGCACGGACCCCATTTCAGCCACTAACATCAATCATGCCAAGGCAATTTTGACTTCACACCTCAAACACCACCATTGCACCATTGCACGCTTTCACATCACACGCTGCCATCCAAACACAGCTTCGATGGTCCATCTATACTGTCTACTCACCGAACCTAGCCTAACCTAACCTGCCCGAAGCATCTTGGGCTTGCCTCCAATGTAGAAGAACGACAATGCTGCTGTGAGCCCGCAGATGACTGCAAGCACGATATTCATGTTGCCGTACCCAATCACCTGCTTGAGCTCGCCAGCAATCTCCGGCCCAATCGCCAACCCTGCACAGAACGCAACCGATGACATGGCGTACAGACTTGCGAACGGTCCCTTCTCTCCAAAGAAGTCAGGGTTCACGTCGTAATACTTCTGTACGATGTTGCCTGCCTCGACGATCGACGGAGCTCCGATGGCTGCAAGACCGACTCCGCATAGTCCCAGAAGCGCTGCAAAGAGTATGATCTGGTCCTTGCCTCCGGCATGCGGAAGACGTAGTAAGACAAGACAAGGCACCAGAAAGGTGTAGCCTCCTACTGCAGCCACCTTGGTTCCGAAGCGGTCTACGACCCAGCCGAAGATAGGCCCAAGTACGAAGTCAAATACGCCTAGAGGAAGAAACAATGTGCCCGCCTTCAATGAGTCGAAGTTGAAATATTCTTGTCCAATGGTGGGGATGGTGGCATCGAAGGCGCCTAGCAGTAGTGCCTGAACAAAAGCCACCACCAGTGCTGTGATCAGGCGAGGGTTTTTGAGGCATGGCAGAATCGGAACCTTGCAAACGATGGCCGGCTGATCCTTCGAAATGATGTAGTAGTCGTCCTCTGATTTACTTCCAAGCAAAGGCTCTTCTTCGTTGTTGGTAGCTTCCTCGTCATTCGTATTGGACGTATCACTTTCGTGGCTGTCCCCCCGAGAAGTGACGATGTACCGGCGAGCGACCTTCTTTTCGATGACCAATAAACGCATAATGAAATCGATGGCCAAGACGGCGAAGCCAATCCCAAATACGCCAGCATAGCCGGCTCTCTGGTAGAGAACGCCTCCGAGCAGCGGCTAAAAGCGAGGGGACAGTCAGCGTGTTTCTTATGTAAAGGTAGTAAAGGTACAGGCGAAAGTCGAAAAGTCATCTGGTGGCTCTTGACCTGTACTATCTGTACTCTTGGCCTTACGTACCGCAACCAGATTGCCGACCGATATGAAACTGAAAATGCTCCCGATGGTCTTTCCAAGATTATCCTTACCCACAGTCTCGACACACAGTGCGAGACCAATCGTCCAAACAAAGGCAGCAGAGCAGCCTTGGAGGAGTCTGGCAACGACAAGCGTGGGGATGTTGTTTGCCATGAACAGCAGCACTGTTGCAAGCAATAAGGCTATAAGTCCGACGAGAAAGGGTCCTTGGCGTGTAGATGTCTTGTCGGCCAAAATTCCAGCGACAGGCGAGAAGACGACAGAGGCTCCAGCATAGGCGGCGAGTAGACCATCTACGTGCGATTGAACCTGGTCTTGCGGCAATCCAACTCGGTCTTGAAGCATATACGGAAGTATTGGTACTACCAGCCCGTACAAGAATAGATCAGTGAATAGACCAACAGCAACTGTTGACACAATGAAAAAGGTGTTGCTTCTCCATCGGATGCCAGCAGGAACGACACTGTAGTCATGACTGATTTGGAGTGTGGTTTTGAGCTTTTGCCAGGAAGTCGGAGCCATTACAGCAAGTGTTTTGAAGTCTTGGGCAGTGAGAAGCAATCCTTGCTCTTGTTACCAGAAGAAAGACGGGCATTCATTTATCGTTGCATCGATGTTGTCATCACCCAAGTCCCGGTCACTTGGTTCCCAAATCTGGTTAGCGTTGATCAGTCGGCTTTTGGCTTGTCGTTCCGCGCATTACTCGTTCGAGGCCTTTGCGACTCCAATCCATCAACCAACATTTCTTGCTATTGCGCAAATCACAAAAGATGGCGACCGTAGATGAGGGAACCGCGCCAAACGCAACGTTCGTACATTGCACTCCGTACGAACAAGCGTAAGAGCGTCAACTGACCAGTGAGCAGTGTCTATGTATGTGCTCGACTGCACTTTGAATCCACCAAGACCATGGACCAGCAGGACTAACTACAGCTACTCCAAGGCCAGGAACTTGTCTGAGCGCATCAAGATCCCACAGCTCATCGAAGCGCTGCGCGAGATTTTCGAGGAATACGGCACAATTGTCGACATCGTCGCCAAGTCAAGCTTGAAGCGCAAGGGACAGGCTTTCATCGTCTTCGACAGCGTCCAGTCAGCCGAAAATGCAATCGACGAAGTAAACGGGTTCGAGTTGTTCGGCCAGTCCATGTCTCTGGATTTCGCCCGGACCAGGAGTGATGCGACAGTACAACGAGAAGGAACTTCGGAAGAATTCGAACAGCACAAACGCCACCGCAAGGCAGAGAAGGGTAAGTTTGCGCGTGGCAAACGGTGCCGGACTCGAATACTGACAAGTGTGGACAGAGCGCAAACAGGCCCTCGAAGCAGCCGAAGCAGCCAAGAACCTCAAGCGACCAGCACCAGGTGCTCCCGAGCAAGAAGCTGCTGCACAGCGCGCTCCAAAGACGGCGCGTGGAGCAGGCCTCAAGGGAACATCAGGCGCCGGCGCCGGAGTCGTACCAGACGAATACCTACCACCCAACAAGATTCTGTTCATCAGACAGGTGCCCGAAGACTACGGAGTGGATGCACTCACAGCCATCTTCTCGCGCTTTGCGGGCTTCAAGGAGGTCCGTACTGTGCCTGGTCGCAAGGGTATTGCTTTCGTCGAGTATGAAGCCGAGGACGGAGCTATCAGCGCCAAAGAGGCCACAGCAGGCATGTCGCTGGGTGACAACACCATCAGAGTCACGTTCCAGCGTCAATAGAGGCAAGGTCGTGTTGGCCATGTACAGTGGCTTGGTAATTACAGCAACGGCAAAAGGATATCTCAAAGTAGCAAACCCGAATCAATCAGAAAATGACATCTTCATCATCCTCTCCTCCACCTAGGATGTCCTGGGGCCCATGGTCGGCCTGCGAATCGACGCCCTTCTCTTCGGCCGCCTTTTTGGCCTTTTGACGTTCGGCCTCCTCTGCTTGAGCGTCTCTCTCCTTCTTGCCCGACACCTTCTTCAATCTGAAGAACTCCTCTCTGTCCAGCTCGTCCAGCTCCGAGTTGATGTATTTGATCGTGTTTTCTGTGCGGGGAATGATAACGTGCTCGCTGAAGATAAGGTTAGCTGACAAGGGGTTGGTGTAGAAGTGAGCAGAGGGACGGCGTACATGGCATTGACTCTGCGGTTGACGACCTTGATGACATCGTCGAGAATGACAAAGGCAGTCTGCAGACTGGCAAGCTCGACCAGAGTCTCGACTGCTCTGACGTATGTCTCCCTACAGCGTTGGACTTGCTGACCTCCCTTGCCCAGGCCAGTCAGGCCAAAGTCACTGCTGCCCTCGGTCTGGAAGCTCTCGAATTGAGGCAAGAAGACACCACTGACGTTCTCCTGGCGGGTGCGGACACGGAACTTTGCGGAGCGGACAGACTCCTGGATCTGGTAGCCGATTCCAGCGCCTCCAATGGCGTAGCTGACCTCGGCGAGGGAGAAGGCAGCAATCTGCATGACTCTGCCCATCTTGCGCTTTGCATCGTCGATACGGCGGGTGATTTCTCGGAAGCGTTTGGTCAGGGCCTCACTCTTGCGCTTGAGCAGGTCGTGGCCGGTTTGAGCACCCTTCAGTTTACCCTTCATCAACCCCAGCGATTGCCGGGTAGGGAATACGGCCTCTCTCTGGACAATGGCTGGTCAGCAGGGATGCAGATACAAGACGCTCCAGAGACATACTCCTGCAGCAGACATGTCGTCGACCGCTTAGGTTGTGAGAAGAAGAAGGAAGGAGCGTGGCAGTTTATTAGAGGTGGTATGCTCAGTGCTCTGGATGACGTTCGCCGTTGGTCGGGGAAAGTGCCTGCCAAGACGCGTGCGAGTTTGGGCGGATGGTCAGTTGAAAGTCCAAAAGTTGAGAGCGGCCGAGTGATTGAAGGTACAGTAGCTAGCTACGCAGCAGTTGGCTGTCTGTCTCGACTCTCGCCATCATCGACTGCGCTGTTGTCGCTGTTTCTTCTTCTTCGCCGTCCCTGTCCCCGTCGCTACTACCGCCGTCGTCAGCAGGCCCACTACGACGTGTGTGTATCTTTCCCGACATGTCGACAGCTTCGCATCTGTACCTTGTCGCCGACAATCATGTCATCTACGAACAGGACATTCTGCGCAATCCCGCAAACATCCGCGCCTGGCTCGACTATGCCTCTTTCAAGCGCCAGACGGGTTCGCTGCTCGACCAGGCCTTTGTGCTGGAACGCGCCTGCAATGCCCTCCCGCGCAGCTACAAGCTGTGGAAATTGTACCTCGAGCTGCGCCTGAGCCATCTGCGCAACCGAAATCCCGCCCGCTATGCCACCGAATACCAGAAGGTCAATGCCTTGTTCGAAAGAGCCCTCGTCCTCCTCAACAAGATGCCGCGCATCTGGGAAATGTACCTGTCCTTCCTCTGCAAGCAGCCCAGGATCACCCAGACCCGTCGCACCTTCGATCGCGCCCTGCGAGCCCTACCTATCACTCAACACAATCGTATATGGGCTCTTTACCGTCCCTTCGCCACCTCTGCCTCGGGAGAGACTGCCATCAAGGTCTGGCGCCGCTACATGCAAATCCACCCCGAGCATGCCGAAGACTTCATCGACATTCTTGTCGATCAGAAACAATACACCGACGCCGTCGTCAAGTACATGGACATCCTCAACAATCCACGCTTCCGCAGTAAAGAAGCCAAAGGCCCCTTCCAGTTCTGGACCGACATGTTGGAGCTTATCATCGACCACGCCCGCCAGGTTCAGACAGGTGAAGATACGGGCATCGATGTGGACCGCATAGTCAGGAGTGGTATACAACGCTTTCCGGATCAGAGAGGTATTCTGTGGGTAGGCCTCGCTCGATACTGGATCAACAAGGGCGATTATGAGCGCGCAAGAGATGTTTTTGAAGAAGGCATCACTACCGTCATGACAGTCCGAGATTTCTCGATTGTCTTTGATACGTACGCAGAGGCAGAGGAAGCTTTGATTGGCATCAAGATGGACGAGGCCCAGGCTCGCTCCGAAAAAAGCACTCCTGATGAGAACGCCGATCTCGAACTCGACATCCGCATGATGCGCTTTGAACAACTCATGGATCGTCGACCGTTCCTCCTGAACGACGTTTTGCTTCGACAGAACCCCAACAGCGTTACCGAGTGGGAGAAGAGGGTCGCGCTCTGGGGAGATAACAAGGCCGAGGTTGTCAACGCGTATACCAATGCCATTGCCGCAATCCACCCCAAGAAAGCCCTTGGTAGATACCACACCCTATGGACGAACTACGCAAAATTCTATGAGGAGCGTGGCGATCTACGTAACGCCAGGGTCATCATGGAAAAGGCTGTCAAAGTACCTTTTAGGTCGGTCAACGAACTCGCCGAGATGTGGGTTGAATGGGCGGAAATGGAGCTACGCAACGAGAATTTCGATCGCGCTGTCGATATTATGGCGAAGGCTACCCAAGCACCCAAACGAAGCATGGTCGACTATTTTGACGAAACCCTCAGCCCCCAACAACGAGTACATAAAAGCTGGAAATTGTGGTCATTCTATGTCGATCTTGTCGAGTCTGTCAGCACCTTGGATGAGACTCGCAAGGTCTATGAGCGCATCTTCGAATTGCGCATCGCTACTCCTCAGACTGTAGTCAATTATGCCAACCTGCTGGAAGAAAACAAATACTTCGAAGAATCATTCAAGGTATACGAACGTGGATTGGATCTCTTCTCATACCCGGTGGCGTTCGAACTCTGGAACCTCTACCTTCAAAAAGCAGTCGACCGAAAAATCAGCATCGAAAGATTACGGGACCTTTTCGAGCAGGCCGTTGAAGGATGTCCTCCAAAATTCGCCAAGGTGCTATACCTTATGTATGGTCAGCTCGAGGAAGAACGTGGATTGGCTCGACACGCTATGCGTATCTACGAGCGAGCGACACGTGCTGTTTCAGACGAGGACCGCTTGGATATGTTCAACTTCTACATTACCAAATCGGCGTCGAACTTTGGCCTCACCTCGACTCGTTCAATATACGAGCGAGCCATTGCTGCACTGCCAGACAGTGAAGCAAAGGACATGTGTCTGAAGTTTGCTGAGATGGAGAGGCGCTTGGGAGAGATTGACCGTGCCAGAGCAATATATGGACATGCCAGTCAGTTTTGTGATCCAAGAAGGGAGCCTGGATTCTGGCAGAAGTGGGAAAGCTTCGAGGTGCAGCATGGAAATGAGGACACTTTCAAGGATATGCTTCGCATCAAGCGTAGCGTCCAAGCACAGTACAAGTACGTATCGCACATGCTACGAAGAGCATCAATTACTAACCAGCTACTAGTACCGACGTCAGCTTCATTGCTTCTCAGGCCATCGCACGTAGTCAACAAGCTCCGACCGAAGATGGAGAGGTTGAGGACATCAGACAGAAAACAGACGCCATGGCGGCCTTGGAGCGCCAGGCTCGCGCACCCACTGGATTCGTTGCAGCTAGCACTGGAGTGGAGGGCGGCAACAGAGCGGCGGCAGATGTCGCGCAAACAGCAGCCAACCCGGATGCCATCGACGTTGACGATGACATATGAGAGTCCTCTCGGAGTGGCGCGTAAGAGGGTCGATTTATATTCACATCTGTTCATTGCTATCTTCTTTTGTTCAAATATACCAATACCAGCGCCGCTTCTTTTCCTTTGTATATTGAGATTTCTTTTCCATGGAAACAAAGCAGAAAGCAAAATGCCCCGAGCAGCAGCGTTGACTCTAGCGAAGCACACAAAGTGACACTCTAGCATGCATACCTCTTTGTCATTGACAGCAGTCTCTGTTTCGTGAAAGTGCTCTGGTCGATTACGTTAGTTTTGATGCTAAGGTTCTCCACAGTGTGACGGAAGAGGCAGGCGGAGGCTTGCAGTCGATTTGCCCCTCAGCACACGGACTTGGATTCCATGTTCGACGACTTCTACCAATAACCACGACAAGCTCAACGACGGCCCAAAACTCGACCGACTGAACCACTTTTGCTGGCTCGGTCATTTCCCCTACCTCATCCCTCGACAACAGTTTTATGCACGCACAGTCCCCCACTTCTGTCCAACAGCCGCACACCGAGTCCACGAACCCCGCCGAGCCCACTTTCGACAGCAACCATGGAGAGCAGCGAGGCGCGAGTCCAGTCGACGGCGGTGGAGGTGTCAGCCTCAGCAACCACGTGCCTGACACGGCCACGACTGGACGGCTGAGTCCCTCCTACAAGGCCTCGCCAGCTTCGCGCAATCGCATCGCCGAATATGAGAACGCCTCGGCTGCTTCGCCTTCCAGGAAGAAGATGGAGGGCCCGGCCTTTGCTGTGGTCAAGAAGCCAAGGAAACCTGGCGACAAGCACTCGCCCATCGCCGACTTGCCCAACGAGATTTTGACTCATGCTCTTGCACACCTTTCTCCTCAGGATCTGTCTGCTGTCTCTCTCGTCTCCCGTCGCTTTCATGATCTAGTCACTACTCCTCACGCCTGGAGGACTGCCTTTTCGCGTTACTTCCCCGGCCCGGATTTTCTGGATCCCAATGCATACGACGAACAGGATGAACCGGATGATCGTCTTCGCCTTGAACGTCGCGCATTCACTCGCGTTACCGCTCTTGCTTCATGGCGTAGCGAATACATTCTCCGTACCCGTTTGCTACGCTCTCTTGCTCGTGGCAAGCCTGTCGAGCTGCCCGCTTCTCCGGCTCAGGCCCGTCTTGGCCAGCCTCCAGTCGCATTGCCCATCATCAACTATCCTTCGCAAATGATGACAACTGTCAACCACCTACACGCAACTTTTGGTGGTCCTGCTCTCAACAAGCGGCCTCCTCGCTTCGTGCATGGTGCTGACGATGTGGGCACTGCGGGGAGCAGTGACCCCAGTCTCGGAAAAACAGACTCGTGGGGACTGGGCGATCCGAATATCTTCCTCCAGTTCTCTGAACGCTTCCCTGGTGACGCCATGTACGGGCTCGGCCCTGGAAACATTGTGGGTGTTCCCAACTCCATGGACGTCAGTCAGCCATTTGGCATGGTTCATGGTGAGGGCTCGCCTGGTGGATTCGTCTACTATAGATACACGGAAGAGATGCGCGGCCACTTCCTGAAACCTTCGAGCGGCATCTCCGTACCCACACTGGGCATCCCACAGTTGTTGCCTGTGCAAGAAGCTGTATGCAGCGTCTGGATTGCCAAGTCTTCTTCCATCCCATCTCTTACCGACGGTCTTGTAGGACTGCTCTCTGGTTCCTCTCTCGGTGTCCTCACAGCATATAGCCTTGGACCTCTGGGGACCCGAGATCAACGTTATGGCCGAGGTGAGGTCACTGCGCGTTGGGTCATCAGCCCGGGAGTACCTATAGTCGGAATTGCGGTTGACGAACACTACTCGGTAAAGCGTCAAGGAGAGAGCCGCGCGTGGGCAGTTGTGCTCAACGCATTGGGTGAAGTCTTCTACTTGACCAAGTTCCCCAAGCGTAGCATCGACGACAAGCTTGCCGGACCTCATGACGAAGGAAATGAACGTCTTGCTTGGTCGACTGGACGGTCTGTTTATTGGACTCTCGTCGAGCCCAGTCGGCGCGCTGCTCGTCCCAATCCTTACAGTAATTCACATGTTGATGGCAGCTATTCGCCTCGGACCTCATGGAACGGCATGCACCTGGGAGAGGAGCAAATCAAAGCCGAGACATATGAGGTCGAAGACTACATCAAGCGGAAGCCCAAAGATTTCCAGAGAAGCTGCCTGGGATGGAACATGCGTAGGGTACTGGAAGTTGACTTCGCTGGAGATGATGGTAACCAGGCTGGAGAAGCTGTTTTCGTATTCGAGACTGGCCTCGACGAGGATTACGCCGCTTCTGCGAAACGATATGTCCGATTCAAGGTTGCCGACATGAACAACTCAGCGACTGAAACAAATGGATTGCAATCTACATCCGCTCCAACACCTCCTGAACCGGCTTCTCTCTTTGGCGGACCGTCTTCTCCTGCCATGTCGCCATCGAAGGGCGACATTGACTACGGTCTGTCGTTGTCGACTGTCCAAGATCTGGAAACTAACAAGAAGACTGAGCGCACGACAGAAGAGTGGAGACTTTCCGATCTATCGTTCGGTGGACTCAAGTCGGTACAGATAACAGCTCACGCTCTGGACGGCTCGACCTTTGCGACCCTCACCTCCTCAGAAGACCCACTTACCAACTTCTCCGGGCAGTCGACTGTTTCCTCCCCTAGCATGACGCCTCTGTACAAGTCGAGCGTCTCAGCTCCGCCTGCAGATGTGCCGGGTCAGCGAGCCCGTTTCATCGCTGTAGGTACGATGATGGGCAGCGTTCTGGTCTGGGATGCAAGAGCATCGCTCCCCATTTCCGCCGACGCCGTCAATATGCTCGAACCCGTACGCGTCATTCACACAGAATCGCCCGAGATCTCCTGTATCGCGCTGTCATCTCTGTATCTTGTACACGGAGGAAACGATGGTCTCGTACAAGCTTGGGATGTTCTGGCCTCCACCCTGAGCCCGATACGCACGTTGAACTCACGCTTTGCATCTCGCGCAAGACGTAGACTCGTGCAGGCTCAGGCGTCGGTCCAGGGTGTTGGCATCAATCTATATGCAGCGGGAGCCATCTGCCTCGATCCCGATCCGACGGTCCTGCGCGGCATGGTCTCGATCGGAACGCTATTGCGCTACTGGAGCTTCAGCTCGTCTGCAGCGGACCAGTACAAGTCGCACAAACGTCGTCTCAGACGAGCTGATCGAGGTACCAACGTATCCAACGATCGATTCGCCAATGTCGGCAGGGGCAACATCAAGGGTTTCATCGCGAACGAACAGCTAGAACTCGAACGAGAGAGCGCGCAGGAAGTACGACAGGCGGAGCATCTGGCCGGCAGATTTGGCACAGAGCTGCTGGGCAGCGATGCAAGCGAGGAGGAGATTCTCGCATACGCGCAGCTACTGAGCGAGGAGGCACTTGCAAAGGACCAAGAAAAGAAGACGAGCGAGCCTACGACCAACGGCAAGTCAACAACTACCATGCCAATGGGGGACGCAGACATGGATCCCGACATTGCCGAAGCGATCCGTCAGAGTCTTGCAGAAGAGGAAGCAAAACGACTCCAGGAACTCGAAGAGGCAGAGTTCGAGGCGCTGCAACATCAAGAAGCAGCAGAGGGTAGCAACAGCAGAGAGTTGGACGACTTTGAGTTTGCTCTGCAGCTGAGCCTGGCGGAAGAGCAAAGTCGACTGGAAGCAGAAGCAGAAGCAGAAGCAGAAGCACGTGACGAATTCCCTGCTCTCTCGATACGATCAGGCAAGGGCAAGGGAAGGCAGCGTTAGACATCTGTAGATTAGAGATTGAGCTAGCCCGATTTGGCTGGCGTTCGCGGAAAGTCAGCTGATATCGCTCATGAATGCTTCAACTCCCCATGACATTCTCCTGTGTGTCAGAAGAGCCATCAACGTGTACTATGTCTAGATCACTTGTCCGAGATGAGACATGGCTATCATGCTTTGGACGGTGAGCTGAAAATGTCTGTTCAGAGAGTTATATTTCAAAACAGGAAGGAGCATATCTAAGGAACATAAAGTCGGGAGTAGGCTACGACCTTGGTCCTGCAACACATGCACTTGGTAAAGTTACGAGTGGCTACCTGCAAGCGGCACTCATCGCACACGCAGAGGCAGCCACAGGGCCATGCAACAATGACTCGAGAGTTGCTCTGGCAGACGACACACTGTGGACCACTAGAACCCATCCCATCGGCGCCCGAGTCCCACGAGCCAACATCTCCACCAAGCTCTGGACGTTTGGCTTGACGACGCTCGAGGAGAAATCGTTCTAGAGTCTCTGCCTCGGCGACCGAACTCGAGGCCCCTTCTGTGTTTTCGCTGAAGGCGGACTCGACATACGGAACGTCCAACACTCGTGCTTTGTCGCGATTCACCCGCTGACGGTATTGGGAGCGGGTCATCGGCTTGTTGCTCTGAAGGTGGCGAGCAAGCATCTGTGCTTCCTCTCTGTCTACTGCTGTCTGTGGATCCAGTAGGCGAGCGAGGTCTGCCACTTCGAAACCTGCTGCAGGAGTCTGCTCTCGACTTTGGCTGTAGTCCTCTTGCGTGGGTGTCCTTCTGCCGCTCTCGTCTTCTGAGTCGGCTTCACTGTACGCACTACTCGACGTGGAGATCATGCTGGTCGTATCGTCGTCTTGCTCTCTGGCTTCGTACGGGCCGCTGGCGTCCACATCTCCCCACCATCCACCCTTTTTCCACCAGTTGTAAAGGTCAGAATCGACAGCGTCTTCCCCTACAGCAGAACCAGTGGAAGCTTGAAGGCGTCTGCGCATCTCGACTTCGACATCGACGTTAGCGTTCTCAGGCAAAGACAAGACGCCCCTCTCCGAGACCAACCAGAAGTCAGGCGTCGAGGCTCGTTGACCTGATCCTTGTTTGGAAGATGAAGAAGAGCCAGAGGGCTGTCTGTAGTCGGCGGTCCTGGTCAGCCAGTCGGGCACTCGCTCTATACCCAGCATCGATAGACAAGTCAAGGCGAGACGGCTGTTGATACGAACAAGCAACCAGAGCAGACCTTTCAGGAACTCAAAGCTAAGCTGCCATCTGCCACGCCGTTCTGCAATACCTAGGCCATTGTCATTGGTTACGGCTCTTTTGCTGCCGGTCTCTGTAGACGATTTTGATCGTCTCTCCACGGCGAACCCTGATGCTGAGGGCATTGTTTTGTGATCTGTGAAGCTAAGACCCTTGGCGATACGTTCGTCGACCAAGTCAGAGGGGACTATGCTCGCTCGGCGGCGATCCTCCAACATGGAGGTGAACTCCTGAATTCGCTCTTCTTCGAGCCAGGTCATGGCATGAATTTGGATCTTGCTTCCTTCGTTCAAGAAGACAGACTCGCTTGCAGCTGTAAGCACGTTGAAGCCTATTTTCAGCAGCACAGTGTAGAAGTCTTCGGTCCAACTCAGCCTCATGGATGAGACAGATGAGAACTGAACATTTGCTTGCATATTGTTGAAAGCGATCGAGAAGCGCTCCTTAATGGATGGGTTCGGCGGTGCAGTTGGCGGAAGCGATAGCGCATTGAGCAGCAGAGCCACACCGTAAATGCACGAGCAAACTAGAATGCCTAGAATGATGAGCATGTGAGGAATGAAGCCGATGATGCAGACAGTAGGGAAGCGAAGAATGCTGATATCAGAACCGAGGGGACTAGAGAGAGCGTTGACGAAGCTCCAGCAGAAAGCAGCCATGTAGCATACGGCCCAGATAGCCGTGTTGACCAGACGCACTTGATGTCTCCGGCCGGTGATAGCGAGTACTGCGCTACTGATGTGGCTCATACACGAGATGAGGGCGATTAGCAAGACTTCTGAAGGAACGTTGAGGCGCTGGAGGACCATGGACTTGGTCAGGAGTATGCTGGACAGGTCCGAAGGGTCGGATGAGTCGTCTGAGATGGGCCGAGAGGAAGTCGAGTCGGCGGGACCGAAGATACTCAGGCCGATGGCGTTGGTAAGCATGGCCTCCGACTCGGCAAAAGCCAGCGAGTGTTCAAAGGTGGTCATGCCGGTCTCTGGCAAGGGCTGTCTTCCTTGAAGAGCACAATTCAGGGTTTCGATGAACTGGCTGAAGCAGAACGCGAGGAACAGAGGCCAGAGGAGCGAGAAAGAGCCCATGACATCGAGAAATTTGTCGTCCTGAAGGGACATGTTCATTGCGCGGCAGCATTCGACATCGGATTTCCAGAACAGCAGGGTGGAGCTGAAGTCATGTACAAAGCCGCCTTCACCACCAAAGTTGATGGCTAGATGCTTGTTGGGGTCGCCATATCGCAATAGAGGATAGTCGGGGGATGTCTGACACTTGAGAGCTTGCGAAATGGACAAGACGTGGTAGGAGAGGAGCAGGATAGGAGCCGAGTAAAGGAGTAGACGGGTATGCCAGCGGGGATTCAAGCTCTGGCGGGACGAAGCGTAGAAGTGGGTGCGGTTGAGGAAGATGGAGATGGCAAAGGTCGCGAGAGCCCATCTCGAGCCAATGTATGCAAACATTCCACCGAAACCTTTGATTGCGTCGGCCGAGAAGGGGGTGCTGAGGAAGGACAGGTAGCCAGTGGACGAAGGCAGAGCAGCAGGAGCGGCAGTCGAGGAGGCGACGTGGTGGATGAGGGTAGCGGTGCGATTGACCATGTCCGAGGACGAGTTGTTGGCGAAGGCGATCGTCATATTGTCCTTGGGCATCCAACGCATGGCCAGGTCGGCCATGTTGCGCGCCAGCCGGGGCACGAGGAGCAGCAGGTCCGACGACGACGGCACCAGGGACGAGTTGGTCGACATGTGCTCGGGCATCGAGGGCGGGTAGTCTCAGTCAGCCATGGATGTGACAAGGACGCGACTTGTGTCGTGTGGACATGTGAGGTAGGTTGCAACTCTGCTCCTTCCAACTCTTGTCCTTCGTCACGCTGACTCTCCCTCTACATCCAAGCACGTGCGCCCCACGGGCCGAGGCTTGCAGAGCCGCCGACTTGTCTCGTAGGGCATCGTAGGGCATCGTAGGGCATCGTAGCGGCTGCTCCCGCCGCCGCAGATCGTCGTCACCGTCATCGCTGTGCTTCTCCATCTCGTCGCACCTTGTGTATCGGTCGTCTAGCAATCTGCATCTCACAACTCTGTTCCATCGACTCTTGCAAGCCTGTATCATATTTACCAACAACAACAACAAGACCTCTCACAACCGTCTGCATCACACTACCCGACATGACGGTAGTCGGCAACGTCCTCTCGGCAGACTCGCTGGCCAGCGTCATGGCATCCACCCTGCCCCAAGACAGCTCTCCTCACATCAACACACCCTTCGACGCCATCGCCCTGGCAAGTCATGCTTCGATGCTTGCTTGTGGCTTCCGTCTGGTGGGCCTCGGCGATGATGACCGCATCACCGTCGACAACCCTCCGCGTCTGCCTGCAACCTGGTCAGCAAATGCTCCCAACTACGCCTTTCGCTACGCCCACACTCAGTCGTCCATGGAGTACCTGTTAAAAATCAATCGCATGGGAAACAAAGCCGTCGTTCTGGCCATGGCCCTCGGTGATGACAAGACAGCCACGCTCGATGTCAAGGCCGCCGACTACACTTCTGCAGGCTCCATGCCATTCACTCTGTCAGAGCCAAACACTAGAAACCTCTTCAACCTCTTCATATCAAATGGTCGCCTCTCTGACTACGGCTCTCTGATGCGCCTCAACATTATACAGAAGCTCGTGCCTTCGCTACAGAAGGAAGGCTACCAAGAGTCTGCTGCTACATCTGCCCCACAGCCTGCCAGAGAGCCCTCCACAACTCGTGACGATCCTCTACGTGACAATCGCCAACCACCCGCTCGTCCTCACCCCTTCCATGGTCCTCTCGCTCAGCATGCGCCTCACTTTCCTCACGGAGAACTGGCTCCTCCAGGCTTCGAAGACCCTTACGACTTGAACAGGCCGCTTCGTCCCATGGGTGGACCACCCCATCCAGGCTTTGGCAACATTGGTGAAAGAGATCTCTATCCTCAGGGTCTCGGTCCCAGGGATCCTTTTGGCAATCCTGGGTTTGGTGGCGGCGGCATGCACCCAACTCTTCCGGGCTTTGACGATCCGAGAGGTCGTGGCTACAATCCCCAGGCACCACCAGGCAGTCGATTTGATCCAGTCGGTCCTCGAGGTCCATCGGGCTTTGGTGGTCCACCAAACCCGTTCAACAACTTCGGCAGCGGAGACTTTATGTGAAAGCCTTTTCTCTGCGTGTCTCGCTTCTTCCTTGTCATCAGATTACCCCACACTTTTTTCTAGGCCTCAAGACACAAACTTGTATTATAACAGTATCGAGGTTCCTCCGTGCATCTTGTCACATGCTTCGCCTGCATGAATGCCTTTGTTCTGGTCATTTCCTCTTGTTAGACGCCTGTTGAGCCGAGCACCAACTCGGCAACGAGTCATGCCTCGTGGAATATCTGTCCATTTTCAGAAAGCGCAACGAACATGCGCAGTACGCGATGGAGGACCTTTGATGGCGACTGAAGCCAACGGAAGTTGGTTCTGTACCCGTGCGTTGGTCGCTCGTCCCAGCGGGTGCTATTGGGTGCCGACATATGCAACAGCGGTGATGGTAGGTGACCGTTCCGCGTGCCGTGATTGAGCTGCAATGCACGATTCTGAGATTGTGTTTGAGCCAAGCCGAGCAAAAGGAAAACGATAGAGCCACAGGAGCCCATGGTTGGCCCCATCTATGCATCTTGATTACCCTATCTAAATCGTGCACATGCTATAGGCTATAGCATCAGCCTGCATTGTCAAATCCTGGTTTTGATTGTGGGACCACACGATGAACGAGGGACCCACCGCGGCGCAAGCCCCCACTGTCCACAATTAGAAGGTCATAACGCAACTACTCTAGATTCTGACCCAGTTCATTATTGCTCTGCGTCTGCGTGCTGTATGACATGACTCTACAATGATGTCTGAATAGAGTAATAGAATTCACGCCGGCTCGAAATCTCCCCCGCCTAGTCAGAAAGTCAATTCGGTGAAGCCGAGCACTCAACGTCAAAGCAAACTATTCAGGGTCTCGAAGTTGGACCCTAGTCGCTCCTTCTCGGCTCCAGGTGTTTGCGGAACCGTCTCTTGCATATCTTGAAACTTCAGTAACGCTCTATCCAAAGTCATCCTCCTCGACTCAAAATCACCTCATTGGGAGCGTGCTGATTTTACACGGCCTGCGAGTGTAGTATTCATAGACGATCACAATATCCATCCGGGTTTTGTATCTTGCTGTATTACACGTATCCTCTATGTGTGCATGGCCCTCATCTCAACAATATTGCACCCGAGCTATGGATCCCACGCAATTTCCCCACCTACGGTGTTATAGATGAGCTGCTAATTCGCCCGAGTGCACCGGCTCATCAAAGACACATGCACATTCAATCATCAACGCAATATGCACTGTACAGTACACGAGTCAAGATCGGCATTTGTTGGACTCTTCATCACCTGTGCATATACTCCTACCGCGCTTAAGCGCCTGCAGCCTCTGAGCTAGGCGTGGGCCGAATGGGCTGCCACGACTAAACCAATACAGAGTTATTGGTCATGCCTCCCTCAACCTCACGAGCAGATGGTATCAGCATATGTCGGCAGCCTAGCCCATTGATGCTGGAGCCAACGAGTCTTTGATCCGCTTGCGATCCACTGCCGCTCGTTTTGAGCAGCTGCCTTCAATGTGTCTGCATTGTGGATTATGGTCAGCATATTCTGCAAAGGCTGTGACGACAGAATTGAAACGCACCTAACGAGGGTATCCTTTCTTGCAAAGAAGGATCCACACAAAACGCACTTGTGCTCTCGCAGGTGCAGGTGTACACTGCGCTCATGACGGCTAAGATCAGTCTTCCTGTCGAAGCTCTTGCCGCATCCAGTATGAGGGCAGTGGATCTTTTCTCTTGTCACTTCGTGCTTGAGCATATGACTACGAAGGTTGTACACTCGTTGGAATCTCTTGCCGCACTCGTTGCAATGAAATCTCGCGTTCTCCGCTGTGGTTTTGACTCGACGCGGCCTGTTCAGTAGTGCCTGCACTTCAGCCTCGGGATGTTGGCCATGTTCAGGCACCTGTTCGAAAGATTTCCGTCTGCTTCGCAAGTCGCGCGTTGGAGCATCTTCTCTAGCTCCGGCTTGGGTGCCGTGCCAATGGCGTGAGGATTGCTGGTTAGAAGTAGCAGCTGTGTAGTGGTGCTGGCCAGATGCAAGCCAGTGGGTTGGACTCCCAATACCCTCCACATACATAGCGTTATCTGTCATGCGCATTGAGCGTAATGGTGAGAACGATGGAGTGTTTGACACCAGGCTCGAGTTCGTTAGGGCCGGTGACCACTTCGACCATCTGCCATCCGAGATCGAATCGTGTTCCTGCTTCACACTCACCGGGCTAAACTCTGGTGATCCATGACTCAGCAACACAGGACCAGGAAGCTCAGGGTAGGTGGTAGCTTCATATACAGGCGGCGGTAGCTCTGTCCAGAATTGTTTCTCGGGCTCTGCGGGACTCGACCAACGGCTAGAGTCAAGGTCTCGATGGCTTTGTAGTTGGTATTCCGGGTGGTAATAGAGCTCCGGACCCGCGCTCCAGTGATATTGATGTTGCATGACGAGAAGACTAAAGACTATGAACTGTCTGTACTACACGTAATCAAAGGTTAGTTATATTCGCTGGATGAAAAGCCAAGATAAGTCCTGACGTACTATTTTTTTGACAGGAAGGCGGTGCAAAGGAACAAGAGCGGTTATAAGTTTGAAGAACAACTCAGGTGCAACTACAACTAAATGGAAAAGAGACTCTGATTCAAATCCCGCACAGAGACCAGCACTTGGAGACAACAGACCCGACAATATGGTACCTGCCAAGCTCCGGGCATTGAGAACATGCACCTGACACTTGTCTCTACGAACGCCTGGAACTCCATACCTTAGTACTGATAGTGTGGATAGCTCAAATTGTTATTACTTCGCTGATGCTTTTTGTCTGCCTATTGCAGTTCTCGATGCTCGGCTGCGGATGCCGGCTGCCGAGTAGCGTCTGTCAATCGACCCGACAGTCTGGTTCAAGCAATCAGCCACCCATTATTTCACCCGTGTCTCGTCCGTCTCGGCCTGATGTCTTGATAGACCCAACTTCACCAAAGCACCACCAATGCTCTGAGCCCCACGCTTCCAACAAGGCGCGCTTCCCAACTCTGGAGCCGGAGCAACCATACAAGCTGGATTGGCGCTCGGTTCATCACTGCCCTGTCGAAGCGCCTCTTGCAGCAGTGTTGTAAGAATGGTACCGCGCGGGTACCGCGTGCGTGTTTAGTCACTGTTCGCTTGGAGCTGACGCTCTTGCTCCTCGATAACGCCTTTGAGCTGTCCTATCTGAAAAGTGAGCTGATCGAGCACTGCCTTTATGTCGTTGATGGCGACTGCAGGGGCCGCAGACTGTGAGCTCGGTGAGTCCTGTGATTGGTCTAGGCCCGTGTCGGGCCTCGAGTTTGGCGCAGACAGCGGGTATCGTGGTGCAATTCTCTTGTTCAATACAGATCGTCTCCAACCAGGCGGCTTTTCGATACCTCGGGGCGATCCCAGACCGAATCCAGTCGTGTTCTTCCTACGAACGGACTGCATCTTCTCGTATACATTGATGAGGAATACAAGAGGCAAATGCGTCATCTTGAGCGCCACAATACGAATGTAACGCAACTGTTCAGCAGAGATAAATAGTCTCAGAGGTCTGAGAGCCAGTGAAAACAGGTTCAGCGGAGGAACGAAGTATGTGAGCCTGTCCGATGTCGATGCCTCGAGCACAAACACCGAGTAGACATAGAGATATTCTTCTCTGGCATGTGACAGGACCAAGGAAAGACTGTTGGACAGAATTGAGATGAGTGATGTGACCAGAAGAATCTGTGTCAACCTGTGTTGTGAGTCGGGGTCAGCAGTATCTTGACGGGACAAAGAGGTGGGCATCACTCACGTTATGAATACCAGCATGAGGGGCAATCCGAGGTATGGAGAAATTTTGTCGCTGATATCGAATCCCAAATATGAGCTTCCAAAGAAAACCTTAGTAAGGATGAGTGCCATCTGTCGAGAGGTGAATTGACCTCTGCCGAGTAGGCAGAATGTCGACAAGAATCCACAGTACAAGATTGCCACAAGCGAGAGGAACTTTAGGAAGTCCTTCAAGTCGTCAGTATGGTGAAGACCCAAGGAAACACATATGGACATACCTTGGTCATGGCAGTAAGACATGGGAGCAGGGTGCCGAAGTAAGGGTTCAAAGAGAGCAGAGGAGAGCACATTCTTGGAATCAGAAACAATCCCTCAAGTGCAAGAATATCGAATGATATATCGATGATCTTGTCGTTTCCTTGATGTAGTCCAATCATTCCTATAATTGTCAGCTTGTGCTTGCTTAGCTTGATCATGCGATGGAACCCCTCATGTACCATCCACCAAAAGTTGAATGGTACTTGATAGGGTAGGAGCACATGACTTACGAGTGATGAAGAAAGCGCCACCAACGCCTATCACGAACAGATCCCAGAGAGACCAGAAGTCAGCAAGATAGAACGTTGTAGTACCTGCATCCCAGAATTCTCCAATTTCTGTGTTCGAGTCAGTACTTGTATGCAACAGGACCAGTCAATTCCAGGCACATACCATTATGAGCAAATGATGCGATCCAAATGTAGAGGAAGACCTCAGCCGTAGTTACCGAGTAGAACGAACGCTGCATGAGAACAGCGTAATAAAATGCCAAAAACGCCGCAAAGAACAGAACCTCGAAGGCTTTGAGATAGAGTGGGACGCGTAGACGACAGAAAGGATCGGTGTTCTTGCGTTGATAGATTTGAGCCTTCTTCTGAGCATCAGCGCTAAGTTTGTTCCAGAACATGATATCTCCAGTCCAGATTGCATTGATAATCCTTTGAACTTGCTTTTGACACAGGAACTTTTTAGCTCCTGAAACAGCTGCAATTTCCAAAGCATTGAGGCCGTCAAACTGTTCGGCCAACTCAGTATCGGTCGTAGTGGACGATTCTTCAGCCGCTCCATCATAGGCTTCTGGGATGGTAAGCCTGCTTCTGTAGCTTCCACGAGAACGTAGACTTGATCGCGATAACAGTGGTGATTGTTCGGTGACAGGCGTCAGAGGTTCGGGTTGAGCTTCATCAAGGGGTTGACTGCCATGCTCCGAGGCATCAGGAATTTCTAGCTCGTACAGAAGCGAGTCAATTATCTCCCTGTCGGCTAGACCAATGATGAATCTTGTAGCGACAGCTTCGCAGGCAAAGCCTCTTGCAGCGTGGATGCCCTGCTCTTCGTCGGCCTCGAGGGTGACAAAGTGGCCTTTGAGAACGCTGTTGTGATAGATTGTCAGCTTGATCCAATCCATACTATCATTTATCTTACAGTAGTGCTGCAACCAATGCAGGGTGATGTACATCATGAAGGAGATGTCGACATAATGGAGTGAGCAGATGGTCTTGAGTGGTACGGAATTCCTCAAACGTGATGGGTTTGCCCACAAGATCCGTGAAGTATCTGGCAAGTCTATGAGCGAATGCTGTCTGTTAAGCTGGTACAACACTGTAAATTTACCTTGCGAGTTTAAAGACCAGCGCATTGAACGAATCGTTCTTGCTGATTCGTGGCAGTATCGGCATTGTCGCCTTTACGGGAGACGAGTCCATGCTGATTGACCTCTGCAATAATGCTATCAACTGAGGTCGTGTGGAGAACCAGAGGAAGTTTGGAACAAAATTGGGGTGCGCGCGAGTTCTGCGCACCCTGGACGCCACTAGTCTAGTCTAGAGCGCTCTTTCTTTTTTGCTACAACACAACAATACAACATAGGCAGTTCGAATTTCATCACTCGTGGTTGCTGTTCTGAAAGCCACATAGTGAGGGACGATTGCTTCGAACATGTTTGCAAGCATTGATTGGCGTATGTCTATGTGGCACAATCGGGGTATCTCCAACGGCGCTCTATACCTCCTTGGCATTTCCTGTCCATCCTCCACGTCAATCGCACACTGGGTAGCGGTAGCCTATACCGCCGGGTGCAGCTAAACGGGCACATCTTCCATCATCTCCACCGCGCCTTCTCTTCCGACCGTGAAGATAACATCGCCCAAAGTCTTGGTGACGAAGCCAGCCTCACAGTAAGCAAAATAATATTCCCACTTCCTGCGGAACAAATCCACATCCTTTTCGGTCATGCCTTCGTGTTCTTCCAATAGCGATTGCTTGATCTTTTGGTCGAAATTTTGCATAAATTCTTCGCGCCATAGTCGCAGTGTCTTTGCGTAGTGCGGGCCAATATTCTCCACGGACTCTGGGATCAGCCTGCAAGAGGAACCAGCTCGGACAGAGTCTAGCAGCTGGGTAATGGTCGGAAGATGGCCACCAGGGAAAATGTATCGTCGAATGAAATCGTCCGAGTTGCTGTATGCATCGTAACGCTTGGAACCATTAGTAAATGATCAAATGCAGCAGATATTTGTGCTTACGCTTTCGGGCATTGTGATGCATTGGAAGACTGCAACACCTCCCTCAGGCTTCAGGAGCTTGTCAACACATTCGAAATAGGTGTTCAGGTATTCCTTGCCCACTGCTTCCAGCATCTCAATGCTGACAACTTTGTCGTATAGCTTCCCGTCTTTTGGTGTCGGCAGAGCGCGGTAGTCGCACAAAAGCACCTCAATACGGTCCGTGAAGCCGGCCTCTGCGATTCTTTCCTCGGCCAAAGCCTTCTGCTCAATTGACAGTGTCAAACTCGTGACGCGACATCCTGTCTCTTTCACTGCCAGAATCGCAAAACTGCCCCAACCAGTGCCGATTTCCAAGACATGGTCGTCCTTCTTGATCTTCGCGTTGGTGATGAAGCGTCTCAACTTGCGCATTTGAGCTTGCTCTAACGTCTCTTCGGAGGAACGAGGATCCGACTTCGGCAGCCAGATCGGGCATGAATATGTCATGTCTGGGGACAGGAATGCAGCAAACATGTCGTTGGAGATGTCATAATGCGCAGCGATGTTGAGACGAGCAGTTGTAAGTGTGTTTGTTTTGCGTAGCAGGTACGAGAGTTTTGCGGAGAGGTTCGAGGTGAGCGTGGATCCGTTCGAGAGGTGGTTGCGATTGACGATGAACAACTGGTTATATTAGCAGGTGCTTCAGAGCTCAGGGGACTCATTTCGAACCCGGAAGAACTCTGTCAAGTCAGAGCAGGAGACTTCTCCAAGCATATAGCTCTCTGCGAAACCCTACCATTCAATCAGTCCAAGAACTTCAATTGGAAGTGCCGCGATTGTTACCATGTCTGCGAAGAGCAGCATGCGCACCCAGAATACATCTTTGTGCACAGTCAATTCTACGTCGGGCAGAGAGCAAACGCTCTTTTCCGATTTTCCATTGACGACCTGTTTCTGTCCATAGGTCGAGTCTTTCCCGTCCACGTCTACTAGTCTTAGGTGTCCAATCTGAATACGCGACAAAAGCGAGAGTACAGTGCTCCGCGAAATGGACAAAAGAGGACCCCAGCCATACGATGCCACGTAACCGCTCAATGCCTGTAAAGGGCCAGAAGTCTGTGTTGAATTGACCATGATAGGCAAGTCAGGCACTCGCAAGTAACAATGTAGAATGATCTTGGTTTGGGGGGTCTGAGAGCAGGACAGCGCAACGACCTACCTCGATATTTGAGTCGGACACCGGAGCGACTCAAAGACCGCTTGCTACCGGTTGCGATGTGGAATCGGCTTGGATATGTTATGACTTTACCTTTTAGAGCATGTCAATGACGTGGCTGAGCGCCTTTAGCGCAGCAGATGGAACGTCTCTGGATCGTGCTCCTGACCAGAATAACTCGAATGCTGGGTAGAGCCGGTCTCTTCCATGCATCAGCCATGAGTCCAAAGCTGAGCAACAACAGCTCATCTCTTGAAGACTTCCACTCGTAGCATCGAATTAGCGATTGCCATCATTCATGAGATCAGGTCGTATCATGATTGTGGGTGCAGAAGCTTTGAAGCCCCACCAAAGTGGGAAAGCTTACAGAGTGTTACTCAGACTGAGATTGCACTCGACCGCGCTCGGAGCCACACTCCTGGTCCGCGGTCCAGAACGCATTTCGTTGAGCTGAATCGTGTTGACCGAGATAACAAGGCCAGGAATCGTCGCGCGCAAGATAGGGAGTGATACAAGAAAGGCAGGGTCTGTCGGTGTAGAAGTTAAGTTGACGAATAATAAGCTAACCCTGTTGATCTTGTGTCCTCATTCTGTTCTCATCATGACAGTGAGATCTGGGATGCTAGCATGGATGCTTAGCTATTGATGAACATATATATGTTGTGACAAAAGCAAATTTAACAACAACTCGGTTGTATAGTGTAGCGGTTAGCACGCGAGATTTTGATACCTCAAATATTCTCGAGTCCGTAAGTTCAACCTTGATTTTCCACACATCAAGCATTCATCCTAACACCCTCTAGTGGGTTCGAGCCCCAGTACGACCTTCCATAGGTGATGATCATTTTGGGTCTTTTTGTGCTTCCCGATCTGTCTTGATCATCATGGCAGACAACTATCCAGGCCAAAGCCGGTAAGGATGTTTGTTTTGCCTTGCTGTTGAAACATGCGCGTGTGATGAGAGGTGCTTCTTGTTCGGTGACGCGTGCTTGTTCGCGGAGGCTCGTCGTCAACAACCCTTACACCTCAGTCTACAGCACCGCTGCTTCCTCTGCTTCAACAGACCGATTTACAATGCCGCGCCGAGCACCTAAAGCAACGACCAAGCTGGAGCCCCCTTCTGGTTCACGGCCCCGAACGACACATGCACAAAAGATGGAGTATCGCATAGGAAGAGGAGAGATGGGCGTTCTGACTTTCGAGCCCTACAAGTCATACTTACTTCCTCTATGGCGCTTCCGAACCCCAGATATCGCACGACAATCCTCGACCCTACTGCGGACCGAATTCGAACAGTTTGGAGAAGCGGGAGATTTTGTGGGCATGGACATGACGCGCAAGTTCATCCAGATGGGCTTTACACGCGCAAAACGCTACGCCAACCACAAAGGCGGAAGGAAGTACGACAAAGACCACGAGGTCCTTCCGGATAGCGAGGACCATTCTGACAAGGCCGACAAGCTGGAGGCCAGCCAGATATTCAAAGATATGCTGGAAGAAATCAAGAAAGATGAGAGCTACTTGCGACTTAAGGAGCAGTTTCAGAAAGAGCTCAAGGAATACCAGAAGCAGAGATCGTGAGTCGTCATGGTCAGTTCAAAAACATTCAACCAATGCTTGCAACTTCAGAGTTCGCGTTTTCGACGGATACCGGCGGTCAGGGTTGTACCAACACCCATAATTTGCTCAGCACAATACCGTACATCTCGCCACTTGCGCATGGAATCATTACTCATCTGGTAGAGCGGTATTGATTTGGCTCTGTGAATACGATTGGCACTCATTTGGGTGTTGTTCTGGAGAAAGGCGGTGCTCAGATACAGGACATATGTCACCTGGTCTCGTTGAAGCTTCAACGAAGGCCAATCACTTGCACAACAGTCAAGAAGTGTCAGTCTGGCAGGTCAATCTGAGCGCAAGACCTTCAAGTGCGTATTCAAGTGCCGTAGTCCGAATGACTCTATACTGAGAATTCGAATCTGATATTGTTCATGAAGAAAAGCGCAGTCACTGACAGTGCTTTGAGTCCCCCTACTACTCGAATAGCAATTGGAACGCATTGCCTGTGGACGTCGAGATCAACCTTCCTGATACACATGTGGTACTAAAGACAGGAACAGTCAGAGTGAGATCATTCTGGAAATGACCTCGTATAGCGGGAAGAGGTTCGACCATGTCATATGGCACATGGCGGTCGACCGCTTGACAGGTTCACAGAAAGGACAGAACCGTGGGTGTGGTCGTCTATGCAGCGCAGAACTCTTCAACTAATCCCGCTTGTTATCCCTATTGCTAAACAGCATCGACTGATGCGTTCCAATCTATGCGATCTGCGGCCCCTTCTCCTCAGCAGTAGGCACAGGCACACTTTCCTCAACTCTACTAGGGGATCCTTCTATCTTGGTCTCCTCCTCTTCCTTCGCTTCTAACTTTGGGAAAAGCTCAGGCATCAAATTCGGGAGGAATTTTTGCAGCCTGTTTGATGTGTCGTTCCACAGTCGTTTTTGCTGTTCTGATTGTTCACCGCTTTCGCTAGGTCGTTCTAGGTAGCCGCCACTAGACATGACGAGCAGTATGTTCTTGAGGGATTCTGACACAGCCTCAGCCTAAAGATGAAAGGTCAGTCATGTGTGCGTGGACTATCATCAGAACAAACTTACCAGTGTGTCGCCTTGACCGCTATTCACCAGACGGTCCATGAGGTCCAGAATCTCCATCCACAAGTCGTACATCCCATCCCACTCGCTAAGCATCACGAGGTAATGCAAAAATATTTTGCATAGAAGCTGTGCAGTCTGTATGCGCATTTCGCCCATACTGAAGGGATCTGTTTGGTACACCTCTGGCTTGAGCAGCTGTTGAACCAAGGGAAATACAACTTGGCCGAAGATGTTTGTCCACTCCTTGTGTTCTGGGGATGCGAGATCATTGGATAACAAACAACGTTGCAAAGACGTGAATGATTGCTGGCGAATTTCTCGAGAGGGACTGACACATTGCACAGTGAAGCATCGGAAAATGGGAAGCCAGTATGCCTGCCAAGCCTCATCGGGTTCCAGGTGGGACTGTTCGATGAACGCAGGTACCCGACTAGTCATTTGCGACACAATGGCCATCGCTCTGACACCGCGAAGGGTGGCTTCGTCAGGTGCTGGTCGCTTCTCGGGAGCCGCAGGTTTGCCGCGTCGCGCACTTGGCTCTTTCCGGGGTTCACGAGCCACAGTGACCGTGGCGAAGGTATTCAACAGACCAATAGCTGATTCATAGTTGTCAGCAGTAATTGCCTGAGGCGATCCTGTAGCAATGTCTTCGGTGATATGAAACGCCAAGGGAGCAGCTTCTGAATTTGGCTGAAGAGCATGAAGTACCGACCAGAAATCCGGAGACGTTGCCATCTCTTTCCGAAGGCTTGCCGATCCTTTGATGCATCCAGAAATTCCCTTCAATATCGTTGGGCCGCATTGTTGAAGGAGATCCTGGTTGAAAGACGAGATTGTATGCAACACCACCGGTGCGCGGACATAATCGTGGTCCTGCTGATGGTCAGAGGAAGATGCATGGATACACGGAAGAGTACTAACGTCACTAGCTTTGAGCAGCTTCAAGAGGTAGTAGGACGCCCGACCGACTGTCACGGGATGCAAATTGTCTGCATCATGAATCACAGACTTCAGAGTTTGAGCAACGTCTTGACCGAACGACGAGACCGAGTCTTGGTCACGCGTTGCTAGGACGGTGGCAAGCTCAAGGACGCAAACAAGGGCCGGATCGTAGTCTGGCGTGGTGGACTGCGGCTTCTGACCATTAGGGCGTAGGGGGGTCGGAGAGGCGATTGGTGGTTTCACAACGATAACTTTAGGGGAGTTCTCCACATCGTCTGGTGGCAGGTATGAGAGGAGCGACTGCGTGAAGGCTCCGAGAGAATCGCTAGGCATATTCCTAGCAAGGCACGTATTAGACAATGGCCACGAAATGCATGGCTACTAGCTTACCCAATGTTGGCAACGACTTCATCCAGTCGACAAGCGCTGATGCAGTCCACAGTGCACAGAGTAGCCTCGATCTCTTGATCATTCGGCTCTGGCGGCTCGTCATTCATCACGCTTGACACATAGGATGTGAAAGCGGAGAACAACCCGATATCTGTCGACTTATCGTTCCGTTCGACGACCTGAGCAGGGCTCTGAAGTGGAATTGGTGGAAGATCAAGTTTTGACGTCAATGTAGATAGGGTAGAGGGAATAAGAGAGTTTATAAAAAGGTTGAGGATGATCCTGATAATCTGTTTTCGAGGTTCAGCACAATACGAGCACCATTCTTGATGTTCAACTTACGTGACTCCAGCCATCGCGGATTGTGGCTTCGTGGCCATTGATTATACGGAAGAGCACGAGTGTAGCAAGCTGTGCTTTGTTCTCCCGGCCAAAGTCGACGGCGAATTTGCTCACCATGATACTCTTACCGTTTGCTTGCACTTCAGTGTTGAGAGCAGTACTGGCTGGTGTCTCTGTAGCCAGTGTGCTGATTTGTGCAAGAGAAGCTATGATGTGATCGAGACAATCGTGAAGCCCGTGCTTAGCTGCGATTTGAGCGCATTGATCGAAGCCAGAGATGACTCTCTGGAAGACCGTGTCATCGGTAGCGGACATGAAGACATAGTTTAGGGTTGCAACGACTGGTCGCCACGTGGCTGCAAACATATCTGCGTCGTAGATGTTAGTGTCGCACAGTACCAGATCTTGCGCAGTCTGCGTCTTGATCAAAAGTTCCTTCCAGGCATGTTCGAAAGCGTGCTTGTTGTCATGCTCCTCTGGCAAGATAATCTCCCGAGTCCTGATCGAATCATAAATTCCTTGAAGATAATCTGGCTCAAAGTCCTTGCCTCCATTAACACCACGCAGATTGCGAGCAAAATCGGTCACTGCCATTCGCGCTTGCTTCATGTTCGGATTGTGCTGATCGGTGTTGAGCATGATGATCGCATATGTCAAGACGTAGACAGCGTCCTTGTCCGCGATGCCCTCGGGGTCAGTCTTGTCGCAGTACTTCTCCGCAAAGACTGTAACGATTCTCTCAATGAGCTGCGATTCACCTGGAAGACGGAAGGAGTTGAGAATTTGGCGCAAAGCCTCATCAACACGCTGTCCAGCGAAGTCGAACAGATCAATGAAGGCATCGAGTATAGCCTCGTTGGACCTCTTGGAAATGAACTCTCCCAAAACCTTCTTGTCGACTCGTGATGTTCCCTTGAGGAAACGAGTGATAGACATAACGTCGTCTTTGTTCTCGATAATCCCTTCGGCAGCCAGATAAGCGAGACCAAGTTTAGGATTCTCGTTGAACTTGGTGGCACCGCGGATGATGATCTGTTTACGAATCCTCTGTTCGCGAAGTGTTTCCAGACGGGGCAAGCCCTCAGTAACTGGCTCTTCGTCAAGTCTATCAGCGATGAATTGCACATATCCAAGCAGCGAGTCCAAGCAAAGCGGTGGCACATTCGTAGTGCTCCAAGTGGCGGAATCCGGGAACGCGTTACGCGAGAGAAGACCAACCATGTCCAAACATAGATCGCTTCGATCAATTTCGCAATCGTAGTTCACAAAGAGTTCAGCCATGAAGCTAGGAATCCTGACCAAAGCGCCAACACTTTCCACCATGGCTTCTCTTGCGTCAGGCTTCCGTGAACCGCCTTCCATCCCGAGCTTTTGTCTGTCTTTCACCGGCACTGGAGTCGATCGACCACTTTGCGTAGCAGATGCAGCCGGCTTGACAAGTCTTGGGGACTGAGGAACACCCTCGTAAAGAGCAGGATTGATGGTCGGTTCGTCAGGGATTGGGACACGAGGATGCAAGCAAGCAACAATATACGAGAGGTAGAGTTCTTGTTGTAGTCGCAGTACACTGCGGCAAGTCGCGAGCAAGGTACCGGCGACACGCAACGATTCGTGCAAAAGGGCGATGTTCTCAGAGCGCACGAGCTGGAACAAGTTCCGACACAGAGTATCCTTGGCCAGCGAAGCCAAAGATGGATGATAGGCTATTGAAGGACCAGCCACCTCTAGAGCCACATTTACGATGCGCAAAGCCATGACTCGCATTGTATCGGTATATTGTCTGTCGTGAGGGTCGAGCAGTTCAGCTAGCGTGCGGAACAGTTCTCTAATCGAGGGCAAGCCATAGGGCTTGATATCAGGAATGTCAGTGGTTTCGGTGGCTTTGGTCAAGTCAACCTGGCTGGCGTTGAATTCTGCAGAGGGCCTTTCACCAGTAGTCGAACGAGGGACATCCAGGCTCCCAGAAGGGGGAGTAGTATCCTGGGCAGTTGTCGAGCCGATCTGGGTGGTGCTGGACGCGATTTTGAAGTCGTCTTGATGGTTTGGATTGTCATGTTCAGGCAATGACTCGAGGTGAGTTAGTCTCTGGAAGATAGTCTGGCACATGGTGACCATGGTGATCTCGGCCGAACGACGGAGTACTTCGCTCATACGCAGTGCACAGCATATCGAGATGCCACATTCCATCATAGCACAGACGCTTTGATCACCGAGAACCTCGCCGGAAGGACCAGTGATGATGATTTCCATGAGCTTGAGAATACGGAGGAAGACGACATCGTCCGAGGCGGTATTGTCACCCTCGAAGCGGCAGTTTGTTACACTCGAAGACAGGAGCATCATGGCGTAGGGAAAGTTGGGCATGGCCGGGCTGACGACATTGTACGAGAGCATCTTTGTGATTGCGATCAGGGCCAGCGAGGTGATGGGAGCGGTGGTAGACGAGGAACGGATGACCTGCAGGAAAGGTTGGAGGATCGAGGGAGTGTCGACGGTGCGGATGTCTGTCGGACGAGAGTGTCAACTGCATTGCTGGATACATGGCGCGAGAGCGGTCGCGTGGCATACCTCTGCATCCCTTGAGCTGGCTGCGCAAACGCGCAAAGGCAGACAGCAGCGGGTTGTCCTGGATGCTCTTTCCCTTCTTGCCGCGAAGACCCCATCGTGTAGCCAGTTGTCCACCATCACCATCGTCACCCACGGCGAGAGAGGCCAGAGAGGAGGGTGGACGTCTGGCAGCACCGCCGCCGAGGATTGCTGAGACCGACGATTGGGCCCAGCGCGCATGCTTGCGCATGGCCGATGTGACGGTGATGCATTCTGTAATGATCAGAGCGACGGGGTCGATGGCTACGCTGACGGCACGCGTCGCTGCTGCGTAGTCGCCCGCTGTCGTCAAGCTCGACCTGCTCCTGTGGCCGTCGTCTGCGCCCGTGCCATTGCTCATTGTGCTCGTCGGATTGCTGCCGTGTACATTGACCGGCCACTCGAGAAGCACCCAAATGTCGACGACGTATCCATCGACGCCGTCAAAGCTTCATGCACCCACCACCCCCGAGCCCCGGATTCGAGCCTCAACTCACCCCCGAGCCTCGCCGCATCCATCACTCTCATATCAATCATCCTCTATGCAGAATCCGTCATGGTCATTCTCTAACGCGCTAGCTTTTTGCAAATACATATACCGACATGTTTAGACCACCCTGTTCGTTTGTAATAATCCATGCACAACTCGTGAATTGCCCCTTGGTCAGACAATCCTCTTACGCCGCAGCGCCCTTGTCTTTCACAACTGCTCCAGCTGCCTTCTCGGCTTTGTCAGCTAGTCTGTCAACATGTGTTAGCCAGCACATCCTCGTGCATCACCTCGTGCACACTTACCCTTTTGCACCATCTTTGACGCCCTCGGCTGCCTCCTTCGCTGCAGCTTTGGCTTCTCCAGCCGCCTCCTTGACCACTTCTTTGGCATTGCCAGCGGCATTCTTAACACCACCGACCACATCCTTTGCGGCATCTGCGGCTTTCTGAGCATCGACAATCTCCGACTTGTCCTTCTCCCATTCGCTCGCTGTGTCATCGAATTGAGACTGGATCTTGTCCATCGTCTCCTTCTTCTTGTTCTCTTCCTCTTCGCGTGCTTTCCTCTCCTTTTCCATCTCTTCCATGTGCCTGATGTCGTCCAAGCTGGGCTCGTAGAGATGCCAAATCGTGTAGTGAGGAAGACCCACTACCGAGTATTGCATGCGCTTTGCCATCTGAATATTCAGTCAGATCCCATTACCATATGGTCACGTTGTTCAAGACATACCTTGCCGAATCCCTCGGTCTCTGCGTGCTTCTCGAAACTGAAGGCAGGGAAATGGACGCCGGAGCGGAAGACCTTTGCCTTGGCCAAGATACTGACACCACCAACACCATCAATCTCCATCTCCATGTCCGGGTCGCCGTAAGGGTCGCGCAGGTAAGCCAAATGAGGTCGCCAAGTGGCGTATTCTGCATAACCTTCTACGATGACAGCGTCTTCGTCGAGCGTGTCGGCAAGAGCCAGGGCAGTCTCGGACTCTTGCCACGAGTTGAGGTCATAGGGCTGTTCACCACCAAGCCAATCGGGTAGAGGTCTCCAAACGTCTGTTGTCTGAGTCAGTATGGCAGGCCGTCTTTGTAAAGGAGAAGATACTTACTCGGTACAATGACATCCTTGTTGTGTCTCATCAAGTCTTCCAAAATCGTGAATGGAGCCGTCTCGACATCGACATCTCTCCAGTAGACCCAGCTATGTGTGGGGCGCAGAGCTGCACTCAGAAGCCAGTTACGTGCCTGGGCCATGCTCTTTCTTCTGCTAGCCTGGGCAGCGAAACCGTGTCTACTCTCGACATCCTGGTTGACCTTTTGTCCAAAGTCCTTCTCGATGACCGAGACCTCGCCAAAGGGCATGCCGTCCTTCTCGCTAGCCTGCAACTGGGCCAGAAGATCAGAGAGCAGGGTAAGAGTATTATCCTTGGAGTCACCAACGAGGAAGGCCAGGTCGATGAGGTGGTGGGGGTAGGTCAAGTTGCGCAAATGAGAAAAGAACATGGGCAGATGAGGAGAAGCGTCTCTGAGAGGAGCGCAAAGGAGGATTCTCTCTTCGCGCTCCCAGCCTCTTGCAGTGCCCTGAACATTGGCGAGATCGTAGTATCGGACAGTCTCAAGCTGGAGCTGCTGGCCTCCGGAGAACAGGCCGAGTGACAGGGCGGGTAGTACGGCCTGGCGCGTCGAGGGGAAGAAGAGGAAGATGGCGGCCAGCACAAGAGAGCCGATCAAGGCCAGTCGCAGCATGAGCTGACGACGTCGTCGCACGGCGGGCTGTGAGCGGGGAGCGAATCTGGACGTCGATACATGTCAGGGCAATGCACAGAGACGGGCTCTCGGGAGGGAGTGGATACTTGTGAGGTTCGATGGAAAACTGCGAGCGCCCGCCCAGCGGATATGCGCCTGAATTGGAGTAGCCATGTCTGTTCATTGTTGCTCGCGGAGTGAGAGATGCATGTACAGGAAGCATGCACGACGGGCGATGGCCTAGACACGAGGGCCGGACGTCTGGGGAGGGCCGCAGAAAGATTATGAAGACTGTCCAGAGACGAGAGGGTTGAGCAAATTGGCCAGACTGATGAATGCATCTATCTCACGGAGGAGAAACGGAAGCGTTTAGCTTTGGCCGACCTGGCCCCCTTTCTCGCGTTCAGGGTTACGTGGTGATCCCCACGCCGAACGACTGTAACGACGTGGTGGTACATGGCGATGCACGGAGAGAGCTAGACTACCAAGAAGCACACGCTGAATTTCAGATGGTAATATATAAAAAGAGGCATTGGAAGGGGACCATGAGTCTGGTTCGGCTCGGCGGCATGTGAGTCTATTGCTCGAGATATGCATTTTGACAGACAGGGCAGAGCCCTTCGAGACACGGCTGTAGACAGAGCGATGCAAGAGCTCCCAGCTCAACTCGGAGGTCGACAAAGCTGGCACCAAGTGTCGGGACCATGGACGGTATCGATACTCAACATCGGACATTAAGGAAACCGGGTCGGAGCATGTCGCGACCAAGCCAAGATTCGGGCCGTGGTTGTGGTAGAGAACGCTCAGGGTGTTGCTATGGAGCTTGCACGAAGCTCTAATCAAAACCGCAGGTTGCGGAATAGTCGCGCGAGGGAATGTATTGAGTATGTGTTTGACGGAGAAGGGAGCAAATGCGAGCTTGACATGGTCTGGCTGTACATGGCACACAGTCCCGTGTCTGCGGTGAGGAAGAGAATGGGGCAGGGAAAGAGCAGCAGCTTGGCGGGGCCGTTTGCTAAGAAAGCGCACAGCTGCTGGTAGCGTTCAAGATTTCCGAGACGGACTTTGTTGAGCAGACCAGCCTCTGAAAGCACCTCGCACCTCCGACCTCTATACCCCTCGCCCTCACTCCTCGTTCCTTTCGCAAACAAGAGCCTTCGCCATGGCCGCCTCCAGAATGTTCCGTCCCACCTCGCGCCTGGTGTCAGCCTCGATTGCCCGTCCCGCTCTGCGTTTCCGTCCCGTCGCTGTCTCGAGGCACTATGCTACCCAGGGCGGTGTCAAGGAGATGACCGTCAGAGAGGCCCTCAACGAGGCCATGGCCGAGGAGATGGAGAGAAACGACAAGGTCTTCGTTCTGGGTGAGGAGGTTGCCCAGTACAACGGCGCGTGAGTCCTTATGCTGCCACCATCACACCCCATCGACCACTAGCTAATCCGCCGCCCTCAGCTACAAGGTCACCAAGGGCCTGCTCGACCGCTTCGGCGAGAAGAGAGTCATCGACTCTCCCATCACCGAGTCTGGTTTCACCGGTCTCACCGTCGGTGCCGCCCTCGCCGGCCTCCACCCCGTCGTAAGCACCACCGGAGCGAGCTTCGACTCCTCCCACCCTCCGCCGCCTGTTTACTGACACTCGCCTAGTGCGAGTTCATGACCTTCAACTTCGCCATGCAGGCCATCGATCAGATCATCAACTCTGCCGCAAAAACCCACTACATGTCCGGTGGTATCCAGCCTTGCAACATCACCTTCCGTGGACCCAACGGCTTCGCTTCTGGTGTCGCTGCCCAGCACTCGCAAGATTATTCAGCCTGGTACGGCTCCATCCCCGGTCTCAAGGTTGTCTCTCCCTACAGCGCCGAGGACGCCAAGGGTCTTATGAAGGCTGCCATCAGAGATCCCAACCCAGTTGTTGTCCTCGAGAATGAGTGAGTCCACCCTCTCAAGGTGCCACGAACCCCAGACGCTGATTCGTATCTTTCCAGGCTTCTCTACGGTCTCTCTTTCCCCATGAGCGAGGAGGCCCAGAAGGATGACTTTGTCATTCCAGTAAGTCTACAGTTTTGTCCGGCAAGCTTCTCTACGCCATGCTTACTCGACCCTACAGTTCGGCAAGGCCAAGATCGAGCGTCCCGGAACCGACCTTACCATCGTCACCCTCTCTCGCTGCGTCGGTCAGTCGCTGGTCGCCGCCGAGCAGCTCAAGCAAAAGTACGGCATCGAGGCCGAGGTCATCAACCTCCGTTCCATCAAGCCCCTTGATGTCGAGGCCATTGTCAAGTCGGTCAAGAAGACTGGCCACATGATGGCCGTCGAGTCCGGTTTCCCCAGCTACGGTGTTTCCTCTGAGCTTTTGGCTCTCACCGCCGAGTACGCCTGGGACTACCTCCAGGCCCCCCCTGTCAGAGTCACTGGTGCCGAGGTTCCCACCCCTTACGCCGCTGAGCTCGAGAAGATGTCGTTCCCTACCGAGGAGCTGATTGCCAACTACGCCGCCAAGCTTATGCGCGTAGCATAGAGCAGTAAAAGCCATACTGGAGTTTTGAAGGGTTCTGACCAGGAGACTGGCTGGTGTATTTTTTGATATCAACTCACTTGTTCCTTTTTTTATTCTTTTTTTTTTCATCATCAAGCAGCATTTCGAATGGGGCCTTTAGATGCCATGTTCTCTTGAGGTTAATACTGTATTCCCCGGTGCGAGCATTGGCGTCTTGTTTCTCGCAAGTCAACCTATCCGTTCCAATTCCACCCACGTGTGTCAGATAAAATCATGATGCATTCCGTTTGGATATGATCGAGACTGTTGTATCTGTATAATATCTCCTCTCCAGAGTTTACATCAATCATGGCTTAAAATCACCACACCCACATTCATCATCCGTAGCGTCAGCCAATTCACCATGGCGGGTCCCTGCCTCATCGCAGAATCGTGCCATGATAATGTCTTTGGACGACAAACCAATTGGTTTGTGCGTGGTCCAACGGACATGGGTCTTGTTGAAGACGTTTGTCCACTCAGGGTGATGCTTTTGCACCTTGCACTCTGCCGCCACCGTGTTCATGAATTCCTGATCAACACGTTAGCCACTGACACGTCCAATGCTGGATGACGGATTGGAGAGGCAATAGACCATTGGCTCGTCCTGGACCATCGCTTCCAATTGTCATCAGAGCAGATGAAAAGCTTCACATACCCAAGTAGCTTTGAAAGTCTTGAATCGAAACGTCCGCTCGAGTCCTCTGTTGTCGTCTGTGACCCTCCACCTGCCTTGTCCTCCTGTGGTGAGAGACGCGGCATCACGACCCAGCTGTTCTTCATCTTCCCCCGCGGAGAATTGAAAGCGGACAGTAGATTGTCGCTGTGAAGAAGATGACATGGCTCTCACGATTGATCGAGACACAGGCTGGGTACCCGCTCGTCGCAAGAGGAACATGATTATTGTTGATATAGATGAATATACGAGCGTTGGTCAGTCGATGGTCGGAGACAAGGGTAAATCTTGGCAAGGGCAAGGTCTCGACTTTTCATGGCACGCAGACAAGGCACGCAAAGCAGCACCATGGTTACGAAAAAAAAGACAAGAAATGCATAAAAAGTGGTATCATGAGGGGCAACTAAAGACTTTTTGGTTCTCTTCCTGCTGACAGAAGTTCTATCAAAAGGGTGATGCCTATTGTTCACCATGGACGCCAGACACAAAGCAGCCGTCATAGCAAATCCATCAACGCCGACCTTCACGTTCAACAAGAGGTTGAATCGCTTATTTCTTAGCGTTGGCAGCCTCCTCAGCCTTGGCCTTGGCGCGCTTCTCGCGGGTACCGGCGAGACGGGCCTCGCTGCGGACGTCACGGAGCTTGCGGTAGGCAGCCTCCTCACCGGGGTAGTCGGAGAGCTTGCCCTCGACAACCTGGGGCTTGTTTTCGATAGGGAAGGTGGCGGCGGCCTGCTTAACGAAGTTCTCCTTGGCAGACTTGACCTCGTCGGCAGAGGCGTCACCCTTCTTGGGGGCCTTGCTGTTGCGGGGGAACAGGATGACGCGGCTGCGGTAGGCCTTCAGGCGCTCGACGTTGGCGGCAAGAGACTCCTCAGAGAGGTTCTGGCGGCGGGGGTCGACCGAGATACCGATGGTGGGTGCAAGCTTGCGGGGGATGCCAGCAGCCTAGGGACGTGGTCAGTCACTGTACGTTGCAAGAGCATAGGGCAACGAGATACACACCTTCAACTCAGCAAGGGAGAAACCACGGCCAGCGCGGACGCGGCGGTTGTACTTGAGAGTGGGGCAGCGGACGATGGGGCGGAGCTTGTCGACGGGGCGGGGAGCGACGGTAGCGGCCTTAGCAGCGCGAGCGTTGCGGCGAGCCTTCTTCTTGCCGGCCTAGTATTGGGATCTTGTCAGGAACATGTCGCTGACCACAGGCGCCTGCACTCTCAGGAAGAGAGGGGAATTACCTGGTCGAAGTGCACGCGGACGCGGCGCTGCCAATCCTTGCGGAAATGGTTGTGGGGGATCTGCTGGTTGTGCTTGATGGCCTGGGGGTGTGTGTCAGTCTAGCTGTCTCCCGAATCTCTTTCTTGGCCGGTGTGATGGATGGAGGCAGGCTTGTTCATGTTGTCTTGGTGAGTGCGATGGCGATGGTGATGACGATGGCGATAGCATCGTGTGCGCGGGTTGCTTGTAACAAGCAGGTGTTGTTGGTTGCCGACAAACTCGAGATGTTGATGCAGGTCGTCGAGAGGGCGAAATTTGGCGTTGCGCATCGAGGGTCCACCAAAGACATGGTAACAAGCATGATCCCATTCCATCACGTAGCGGCGGCGTGGCGACTGACCATTGTGTCGGTGGGCGATGATTGATCCTGTTGTCGAAGGTCGCTGTCGTCGTCGAAGGAGGAGAAAAGCTGCAGCCCGCGCCGTGCAAAACTTCGATTTGTCGCTTAGCCCGTGGTGTGCCAAGTCCGCGCACGTGCCATGGATCTTCTCCAACGTCCTGCTTTCTCTCTAGTCTCTCCATCACCTTTTCACCGATTTTGTCCCATCTTGCATAATGCTCGAGTATAATGCCATACCCTCGTCTGCTTCGGCACGCAGCAGGTATATCACAGCTCTGCGTTAGCATCGACTCGCGACACAGGGACTTTTCTACGCGGATCGAGATATTACAATGAATAATGAATAATGAATACGAAAGACTGGCAGTCAACCATAAGAATGTCCTCGACCCGTGTCACACACTTTGTTGGTCTCCCCGGGCCGCGTGACCTTCTGCCAGCAGACAATGTCATCATGTCTAGGAGCAGCCTCTGAACTTTTCTTGACTAGAATGTCTCATCATCCTGCGCTATCTTGTCCTTTAGCCACAGCATCGTAGCTTCCGTTCCTTTCTCGAGGATCCGATGTGAAGGTACCCGGAACACATTCCCTCCGATTGATAAGCCTTTGAGACCCTGGTCCCACAACAACCCAATCTCGGGAGGTATGTAGCCTATATTGTTATCTGCAAGGTCAACCGACTGCAATCCTGCCAGAGCCTCATCTGAGACTGCATCGATTCTGTTGCTTCCGGCGTGCATGATCCTCAGCTCCGGAAAAGACTCTTTGACCTTGGGCACCGACCCGACCAGTCTGTTGTTGGACACGTCTAGATACGAAAGGCGTGGCGCATGTAGCAAAGTCAGGAGTGGCTCCCAGCTCGAGATCTTGTTGCTGCCCAGGAACAACTCTTGCAAAGCCGTCAAGGTCACGACCTCGGTCAAATACCTGTCTCCCAGCGAGCAATTCGACAAATCCAAGATTCTAAGGTTTTGAGCCAAAGAGATCTCGAACGGAATTGTGACAAAGTTGTTGCGAGCCAATTTGAGCTCACGCACGTCCTCTGTGCTGAAGATGGATCGAAGCACATCGGCATCATCGTCTACAAGGTTTTTGTCTCGAAGGTCAAGAGTGCCAGAGACGACACCCCACTGCGAGCCAGAATCGCGAGGTGACTGAATGTCGATTCCCTCGTCTTCAAATTCTTCGCCGGCAACTCCTTGGCCAGACGTTCTCAGGCGTTGAGCTAAGCTGCGTTTGAGCTCTTCTGTCGACATGTTCAATAGTTTACGTTCCCGGAGTGGGTTCGCGGCTACTTTAAGCACATCCAGCGAGTCCATGAGACCAATGTTGTCGTGCAGTTTTGTCAACTCGTTTCCTGTCAAGTCGGCCTGTTTGAGGTACTTCAAACCAGTGAAACCCTGAGGAAGCATGGAGATTTTGTTATCAGCAGCGACCAAGGACACCAATTCCTTCCACCCAGACATATCTGGCAGTGCGACTATCCTGTTACTCGCCATGTTGATCGATTTGATGGCTGGTAACGACAAGTTCTCAGAGAAGGCCAGTGAGGCCAATGAGTTGTTCGCAACATCTAGACGCTCGAGCTTGGCAAGTCCGGATACGCTGAAAGGAAACAGTGCGCCCACCATGGCGTTGTTCGAGGCATTGAGATCAACAATAGGGAGGGTCTCAAAAACGTCCATGGGGAGACCTGTGAGTTGATTTCCAGCCACGTTGAGGACCTGCAGGTTGACAAGTTCGCGCAGACCGTCAGGGAGACTGAGAAGCTTGTTGTGCTGTAACTCCAGAGTCCTCAGATTGTTTAAACGGCCTATTGTTTGAGGGAGATAGCCAGACAGGTTGTTGTTACCTATCTTGAGTTCTCGCAATGATTCAAGCTGGCCGATAGTGTCAAAGACGGTGTTGCCCAGCTTGTTGTGAGACTTTAAGGTTGTAAGTAATTGTACCTGGCAGATCGGATGTTATGAAGCTTACCAAGTTCAGAACTGTCAGTCTCTCCAGCCAGCGCAAGCCAGCAGGAACTGCCTGGAGATTGTTTCCGTGTAGGTCAAGCATCTCCACACCACGGAACTGCAACCCCTTGAACTCACTCTGGTTATCCATAGCCACTTCAGTGGTGACATCAGGGAATATGTCATCAGAAATTGTATCAAGATCGTTATCCGCTGCTACAAAGCGAACAAGATCTGTCATCTGACTCCAGTTCATGCTGCTATCTTCTCGTTGGTCATACATGCTCAATACTTCATCTGGGATATTCTTGAGCCCCAGTCCTGCAATATTGAGACGTCCATCGCCACGAGCTGCTTCAATCCTCTTACGCATAAGGCCACTGGAGCCTTTCGGTTTCGTATTGAATGGGTCTGCGAAAGGATCAGATGCAGAGTCGTTGCCTTGGCTATTCGATTGCTGTCCTTTGGCGACCACCGGTGCTCTCTTTGCAGCTTTGGCTTTCGCAATCTGATTCCTAAGCGCCGCGGAAGAACTAGCTGCTTTCTCCGGAGATGCTTGCGGCTCTTTCTGGGGCGCAACTTTCACAGCTGTTGCAGGCGTTGGTCTCGTTTTGATAGCTGGAGTTGAATTGCTGGTGGTTGGCCTGGGCCTGGGAGTGGCAGCCACACCTGCCCCAGGCTGTCGAAGACTACTCGTCCGTTGAAGCGGCTTCATTGAGGACACTTTGGGAGTACTGGCGGCTGTGATAGGTTTACCTGCTACAGAGGCGGGACGGCCAAGTCTCGAGGGCGTCAGGCCGATCGAGGATGGTGCCCTCGGAAGAGCAACCTGTGCAGGCATCTTGCTCGCTGGGGGAGGCATGGCAGAGGATCTCTTGGATGGCGAAGGCATTTTACTAACAGTTGTGGGACGTGGTAGCTCTCTCGTCTCGTCTATACTCATAGCAGAGGCCGGACTTGATGACTGGCCCATCGGACTTTGTGGCGCGAAGAAACTGGACCTCCGCCTGTCGGTCCCTGGAGTCTCGGGAAGTCGCGAAAGACTTTCGACGGTACGGTCCGACAAAGAGAGCCGAGATACCCTCTTTGCGCTTGGAGTTTTTGGCTCGTCGGCATGATCCAATTGCGGCGCATCGTCGTAATCGGCTTGCCTTGAAGCAGCGCGCGAAGCACTGCGGAAAGCATCCAGAGAGCCTAATTGGTCATTCAAATCTTCTTGCTGAGCAGTGGTGATGATGCTAGAAACAGGTCTTCGAGATTGCGCAATGTACGAGACTGGACGCGAAGCAGGTTTCCTAGTGGCAGGCGCAGGCTTCTCCGAGACAGAATAGGTAGAGCGATGCGATGATGTCCTGGGTGGAAGGATAGCGGAAGAAGGAGCAGAAATACTAGACCTGAAGCCAGCGCTAGATGACAGTGGTCTTGGTAGAGCCTTTTTGGTGGGAGATGGTTTCAGCGAAGCAGAAGATTTGGTAGGAGAGGGCAGTGCAGTTTTGTGATGGTTGTTGGGAGCAGGCAATCTGGAAGCTGATGGTCTTGCGATTGAGGAGAAGTTTGGGATGCCCGATGACTTCAAGGGAGTGGCGGAGGTGGAGGGGTCCATCATGGCCAGCTATGCCCAAGGCGTGTATGGGTAGCCGGAGAGAAGGGAAGGACCAATGATGGAAGTGGTTCGGAGGAGAACAAGGGTCTAAGTCTATTGTACCTGAGTGCATTCCATCTCGGCACTTTGTTTGGCATCAAAGCCCCTGGATAATGAATGGGAGCCGGAGTGCCTGATAACGTTGTGGATGCCCAGCCAACTGGACCCTGCTCCGAAAGGGGATGCATCATTGGCTGCGCGCGTTCATGACACGTGCGCGCGTCCTCGGCCCCCCACCTGAAACACGCTCGACGAGTACCCCTCGACATACACAAAGATTGAAGATTGCGTGCATTCACATCTCTTGTTCTTCTGCATTGCACAGCATAGCAACTGATATATCTCCACAAACTGCCTGGTCTGCCTCACCCATTGACCATATCCGTCGTCTTCTACGATCCATCTACATCATGGACACAGTCCATCTTCCCACACCCAACTCACGACATGGTCATCCCTCTTCTCCGAGAGATTCTTCTTCTTCCCCTCTTCAACCTCCAAACAGTCAACCCGCAGGCCGGGTTGCAAGTCAATCGTCGTCATCGTCCACGCCTGCTAGCGAATCCATCATACTGTCTGAAGATTATGTTCAGAAGGCACAGCCAGATGAGCTTCGCGCCATCGTCGCTAGCCTTATGCCTCTTCTGCAAGAAGCCCGCTCCGATGCTGCTCACCACAAGTTGCAATACCGGATGCTTGCAATTGAGACCACCGAGACTATGGAGCGCATTCACGTTGAGATGAGTATGGCGCAACGCGAGACAGATCTGCTAAAGATCAACGACCCTGTCGGGCGACCCATCCTTCCTGCCATCCAGGAGCCCGACCCAAGCATTCGTCGTGTACACACTGATATGTGGAATGCCATGCTTGAAGAAACACAAAGTCTCAAGTCGCAGAATGCCCAGCTTGAGCAATTGCTCTCGCAGCACAAACGTATGGTTGTGCAGCAGGAGAGCGAGATTGCCACTCTGAATGATCGCATCACTCTCTACCGCGAGCGACTTCGCGAGAACCGTTCTCACCTGAACCGTTATCGTCGTGCCGCTGGATATCCCGAATCGCCATACAAATCTTCTCCCTGGACCACGCGCGACCGCGATCAACCTCCTTTTGCCGCTTTGTTGCATGCATCTGATCTGATGAGCGGAAGGAGTCCAGCCACCCCTCAAACTCCTACACGCAGAAGACGAGCTGCTTCGATAACGCCAATCCCCTACGAGACCCCTGAAACGCTGCAATCCGCACGCTATCTGCAGGTACCGCAGACTGCACCACCCTTGCGCAATTCTCAACTCCAGCCCTCCCAGTCTGAACGACTCGCTTCGACCAAACATCAAACAACAATGCTCAACCAGGTGTTGGTGGGAGAAGAGAGCGGGGCTGAGACCGATGTTTTCGATGAGCTTGCAGGAGCGCCCAGCACTCCTACGCGGATCTCTAAGAAGAGCACTTCTAAGAACGTCTCTTCCGGCACTGTTCAACAAAGATTGTTCGGTCAGGTCAGGAAAGCAAGCAACCAGCAAGATCCTGGTGACATAATGAAGAAGGCATCTGTCTCGAGACAGACGCTACAGCCAAGAGAGAATGATATTGGACAAGAATCATCGTGACTGGAGAGTTGCAGTGCTTGTACAGCAGCATCCGTATACTTAGATAGATACCCTAGTGAATAGCAGCCGAGCAAGTCCTTAAGTAAGAGGTCAGACCTGACATTGATTAAACAAACTCCAGTTTTGCCAATCTACCCACTGTTTCTCCAGCATTTCTGACGATGCACATATGTGGTTCCTTCTCGCCAGCACCAGCAGATGGGAGCAATTTTTCAACAATGACACTGCCAATGGCAACACCTCCACCGCTCGTCAGGCTGAACTCGCCCGTTGTGACGAATCCTATAAGGTCTTCTTTGCCAGGAAGCAATGGGCAGCTATTGTTGTTCTCTGATTGTGGGGGTTCCAGCAAGTCAGCGGCCAGTCGTTGCTGAACATCGGCTGCAGAGGAGGACTTCAACACAGAGGACGGCAGACATCGCTGGCGCTTTCTCCTCTGAGCGGTGGACTTGACTCGAGCCGGGTCAAGGGTAAGCCATTGATCGCGCAACGGGTTGTCCAAGGTGGGCAGACGGTAGATTCGTGCGCAGGGGTCAGGGGTTCCACGTCCGAGCAAAGTGATGCGAACAGTCGAGACAGCCCGAGACGAGTGTTCATTAGATGTGGCCGGAGAAGCGAACATGTTCCTTGCGAGACCAGGAGCAATATGATGAACTGTTGATGCAGTGTCATCTTTCACCTCTTCTGTAGCCTTTTCAGAGCAGTAGGCCCAATCGCAGGCCCATCCATCGCCATCTTCGCCTTTTCTGCCCGGGCCTAGTGTGACGCTGTCATATTCGACCCTCTTGCCTTTGGGCTTTGCTTCCCACTGCGCCTTTCTTTTGGCAGCCTCTGAAGCCTCCCAGAGATCACCTGCCTTCGTGCCTGGGAAGTCGCCAGGGAACCAAGGTACCCCCGTTTCAAAAGCAATCTGGCGCTGCTCATTCAAGCCTCCCATTCTGACTTGGCCGCCCGTTGAGATGGGATAATACATGAGACTCTGCCAAACGGCAGGCACGGTTTTCCATGGCAGAAGGATAACCCATGAACAAGAAGTGCGCCCTTTACTTCCTTCTTTCGAATTCGGCTGTGCAGATGATGGGAATGCCATAATTGGGATGCGAGGATCTTGAGCCAGAGGCTCGGGATATGTACCGGGCGTGGCGGCGGATTTGCGACGGTTGATGCTCTTCTGACTCTGTAGTGCGCGACAAGATGCTTGTCTTCTTGCACGATCGAAGATGCCTGGAGTAGTCTCAGCAGCATCAAAGGGCCATTCTGTCAGCAGTTCAAGGAGTCGATGCTGAGATTCTGGTGTTTGAACAGCAGAAGGTGCGGTTCGCGGCGGGTGATGCAAACGTGGATCGGATATATCGAAAGCTAGCAGGGCGTCTGCAGGCAAAGTCGAGGGATTCTGAACGCCTGCTAGTAACGGCCAAGTCCTCTCAATGAGAAACTTGTCTCTCCCACTGGTACCGGTAGGGCAGAGAGCACTTGTCAAAGCTTCCGTGGAAGCAGGGCCCACAATCTCGATGCTTCCAATTTCATATCGCAAGTCTTCAATGGTCAGTTGAGGTTTTTGAATCTTTACCAGTCGAGTGAGCTGGTCCCAGAGCTGAGAGAAAGCTGACGGGTGAATTCGAATGAATATCTGACGAGACTGTTTTGCGGGAGGAGTTGATTCTGCTCGCCAGATGACTGTGGCAGGAGCAATGGGATGATTTGGAAACATGTCACGCTCATAGAGCCAAGCTTGGCATATACGAGAACCCTGTGTCCATTTCTGGCCTCTGGTTGTCGACGTAGAAGCAGACTTGCCAAGACCCAAGGCGCGAAGGAGAGATTCTATACTCTGCTGGTTACCATGTATGGAGATTGTGGACATGTAGCTCGTGTCCCAAGCAACAGCTCCGCGGTCTTTACTCGCACGATGAGTGGGACGATAGCTTTTGACAGTTGATGTCAGGGGCAAGGCAAAGCGCCAGAGAGGTTGGCTCGGCGGAGTCATGTGGGCTCGTTTTGCATGAAACATGTGTGTGGGTAGCCAGGTCTTGTGGATCTGACGTTTTCGATACTTTGCCTTGGGCACAGGAGGAGAGGCGAGCTTGTTCTTCTTGGGACGGAGGGGTCTGGCGACGACCCCTTGGTCAGGCGATTGCTTGTCCTTGCGGCCAAGGGCTCGGAGACGGCTGACAGTGTCGATGCGAAGGCGCATATGGCCACTCTGCTTCCGACGACGTGATGTTACGGTCGGTGTATTGTCTTCGGCCATCTGTTTCATGTTAGCTTGGTCATGACTATGGTCCGTCACAGACCGACCTCTCGTGCAGCCTGACGACGCAGTCGCTTGGGCACTCTCTTAGCATTGTGACTGGCCGTCCTGCGTCTCAAATCCTTGGGCACCTGTTGGAAAGCTCGCTGTGTGAGGCCCTTCCTGGCTCGTGCCATGCCTTCCTCGAGTGCTCGGATCTCGTATTCGCGGGCCTTGACAAAGGCTCCCACGTCGAGCTCTCCATTCTTGAAGGCCTTGGAGCTTGTCTGTACTGCCAGAGTGCGGGCATCGCGTTGTGTCTTTTGTCGCTTGTTGCGCGAGCCTCCGGTCTCTGTCGGATTTCCTTTACGCTTTTGGCCTGTTTGCTGTGCTCCCGTTTCTACCTTTGGCGCCATCCTACATGTGTCGTTGTTGTACGCGCAAAATTGTTGCTCTGCTTGTCCTGGGCGTCGAGCTTGCGACTCTTCCGACGTCGCGTCTCGAGTCAGACTCTGAAACTTTGGATTCGGCTCTGTCACCTTCACACTGCAAACATCAGCACCTCGTCCTTGATACAATAGTTTATGCGACTAGATCCAATCACCTAGATATCTAACATCCAGTGCCTCACCACTCGGGTGCTTGTCTCGATCCATGTACAGACTCGCTGCTTCGAACCTCCAACGTCTTGCGTCGCCTTGTTCGCCCTCTTCCAAGTATATCAAAACTCCATATCCATGTAAGCCCCGCCGTCCGTTTTCCCAAACGCGAGAAGACAAAAAACTACTGCATGTCTCACCAGAAGAACAAAGGACAGAATGCCAAAAAGGTCTATAAGAACAGAAGAACAAAAGAAACCCTTGTCCAAACATTGCGACATCAAGCCATCATGTTGGACAATCCCACATGGCAGCCTCTCTCATGGCGTTTCATGTTACTCCGGACACTGAACGCCTTTCCGCATCCCACCTGCGTGCACTTGAACGGCTTCTCTCCCGTATGACTGTGGTTGTGGATCTTGAGACTGCTCGGCCGCGAAAATGCTTTGTTGCAAGTCGGACAGACATAGCGATCCTGAGATTGAGAGTATGTTGCCTGACTAGAAGGGGCGATATAATGGTGATGCTCCCACATGTTGGGTGCAGGAATGTCAGCTGCTGCAATCACAGCACCTGGCATGACCGGAGGAAAGTTCGACGGGAGCGGTCGCTGTTGGTAGACGCCGTTCATTCCGTAGACACCGTCGGCTGAATAGTAAGAGCTGGTCGACATCGCGCTAGGCGATGAATTGTAAGCCATCGTATAGGGCGATGTTGTATACATGCCACCACTTGGCATGGGTACAGAATGACGCTTCACGGGCATCGCCCTCTGTTGATGGGGTTCTACATTGTTCAGAGACGATCCGAGGAAGTAAGATTGGCCGACCATGGAAGTGGGACTGTGAGTAGTCTCAACCACAGAATCCGAGCGCATCGGTGGTGGTGAGAGAGGGAGTTGGCCTCTAGTCGAAGTCATGGGCTCCGCCGCCGTCACGTAGCCTTGGCCAAACGTAGGTTCCGTTGGAGCCGACGAGTAGTAAGCTTGCGCTTGTTGTGCAGGACTGCCTGTGTGGATGTCAGTTGCTAGTCCCCAAGGCTTTCCTGCTTCGCCTTACCAGTCTCTTGGTTTGGCAGCGAGGCCCTGTCTCCATCTGCTATGCCCAGCAGGTTTGAGATTGATGGAAGTGAAGGTTTGCTCATATCGTCCTGCGATGATGACGCAGCGCTGGTAGCAGAGCTCTGTTGTGGCGCCTGACGCTGGCCTGCGTGTCTAATGTCTTGATATTGGTTTGCCATGGCAGGATGGACTGAGACCGGATGAGAGGTTTGACCTCGAGACTCGTGATATTGGCTGTAGTGCGGGTTGAAGTCCGGTTGGAACGTGTGCTGGCGGTAAGGTGCGTATGCTGCGACTTCCATGGTTCTTGTTGGAACAGGTGATATTTAAATACAAGCAAGATCTGCACCGGAAGTTGGTTGTGAAGAGGAGTCCTTGGTGCGTGGCAGTAACGGCAGAATAGACGGAGCAGTCAAGCTTCGTGATATGAATATAGTCCCGACCAGGAGAGAAAGTAGTATGTAGAAGAATGACAGGTGGATATAGAGGATGTACGTGAGAGAAGAAGGATGGCAAGTTGATCAAGGATGTCGAGACACGAATATCGACCAAGACGATGCACTGACAGGGCACGAAATGATGCTGCCCGCTGCGTATGGGGCTAAGGAGCAGCAAGGTTAGCGCACAGAAGGTGAACAAGAGAGCATGGTCTTTCTGGGGAGCGGGCAACAGCGACAAGGGCAAGGCAAGATCCGGGCGGAAGCACAGAGGCAACGCAAATCTCGTGCGTGCTGGTCAGTGGTTTTAGGCGGGCAGACGTGCAGGTTGATCCCTGCGATTAGTCTTAATCTATTCTGCCTCGACAGTTTAAAGTGCGCAGGGACTCTACCGACTCTGCAGGGTGGGAGAGGAGCAAAAAAAGAGGTCCAAGGACGATCTGCCCGGGCGATGCGACGGAGATCAGCAAGCCTCCCAAAAAGCGGCGTGCATGAGATAGATTTTGGAGAGCATGATGATGATGAAAGCACACGCACGCGTGCATCCTCCGGTTGTCACTTGCTGGCTGCTATGAATCCGAAGCTTACGCAGCCGGGGCCTCTTTTTCCAGAGGTTTCACATTGTGGATGAGCGCCTGTTGGCGTGGCGTTTTAGACGTATCAGTGATGGACGATAGCCGAACCATCAAGAGAGGATCACTTCGGCGTGGCTGTAGTTTAATGATATGCACGGTCAGCTCTTCGCGGTGGTAGAAGCATTTCCTGGTAGGTTTCAGAGACCAAGGGTCGGAGAACGCCCACACGGACAGCGCCTCCCAGCAACTACCATCTTGCGCCAGGCGTCAAACCGGCGGACCAAACGACCTTGCAGCGAGTCTGGCTTCTGCCGCCTCGCTTACAAGCAACAAGAGAGACTCGAGGGCGCGAGCGAAGGACGTCCAAGTTCTTGGGCTCCAAAGATCCAATCAGAGGCCTAATAATCCTGCCCTTGTGAGCTCCCGAACCGCAGATTGTTGCGCGCCTCACCAGGGCAGTGTGCCTCCTCCAGATGCTAGTGGTTTGTGATTGTGTACCTTGAGTCGGCGCTTCATATCTTTCATATAAAGATCGTCATTGGTCGATTATTGATCAGAATCTCGAGGTACATTTTCAAGGATGGAAGTGGTTCTTCGGAATGTTTGGCTCGTGAGGGATCGACAGCGATCCATGTCTTCTGGCGTTTCCTGTGATCGACCGACCCCCTCTCCGCTTCCAGGTGTCAGTTTCACAATTAAGTTAAGATGATGGCTGGCTTGTGGAGTTTGACGCGCGCGCGCGCGCACGCTCACAACGATTGCCCTGTGTCCAATGTGTTCACACATTCGCTGCCGAGATGAGCATGTCAAGCAAGAACAGCGACTCTCTCGAGCGACCTCTGTGCTACCTTGAGCCACGTTTCTCTGCTGAACATCACTGCCGCAATGCGCCAGCCACGCGATTTGTTGCAGGTGCCAGGATCTTCCTCTAGCAGTCGTCATCAACGGTCTTGATCGACAGTCGCGTGGTGGAAAAGGCGATCAAGGCGATTTTTGGAAGAAGGGAAGAAGTTTGGTCGATATCTCTACTATGACGACGATCAAATGTCGGTTATTCACTTTATTCGACTCGAGACTCGGAAGTCGGGAGCACTGTAGGGAGCAGTCTGGATATGAGTATGGGTCGAAGTCAAGTTCACAGTTTTGGCGATGTAGCAGATCAATCATCATGCCCACATGCTTGTCCAATTTCCTCAGAGTATTGCGCCAGACTGTTAGCCTCGGAGGGCTCGTTTCAGAAGGCTCTCTCATCGTGTCTGCTCGAAGCACCGTTTCCTGTCAAAGTCCCACTCCCGACTTGGTGTTTTGTCTGTTGCGACTTACTGAGTGTCGGTGTCTGGTGCGGGAGACTTGCGAGATTACGCTTGTTTGACCCCAGAGATCGTTTTGCTTGTTTTCTTCCTGCGCATCGCGGCAAGGTAGGGCAACCACGATCCTCACCGCCAGGACATGAACACACTTGGCATCACACCTTCTGGACATCCGCTGATTTTTCCAGGACTGGAGGTTGGGTTTCTCCGTCCCACAGTGTTCGGTGGCTGTTCAAGACCGCTTGCGACTGCCTCTCGTGACGGCTTGAGCGGGAATAGACTCGAGTGTGGGCAGACTCGATCACTTCTCGTACTCGGCGGAGCATGCACAATCGCTTAAGCAGCGGATAAGTCCGGGCACCGCCAGAAGGATAATAGAGTGCGCCATTTATGAGTCAGTGTGATTCTTTACAACGAGTCGCGCAACCCTACAGGCGGGCATCGGTCCCATCCACCTACGACATCTTTTGCAGACAAACACGCGCATAAAATCCGTTGACAACCTCGATTCATGATACCTGTTGGGAGTGGCTCGCTCGATCTCTCGCAACTTGTTAAAGGACCCTCTGCAGCGGGCTCTCAAGTTGCGAACCCACATGGCCAGACAACATACCAATGGAAAAGCCACTTGCCAAACATAGCCGCGTAGATAGATTAATTGTCGAAAATCGCGTGTCATGGTTGTCTTCAACATGAGAAGGGCTTGTCCACTTCGACGTCACACTCAGCAACCCGACCCGGCCTTCCCATCTCAAGGCTTAGACGACTTGGATCGAGCATTGATGGCTAGAGATACTGGGCACAAGAGAAGAACACGAGATACCCTGGCACCACGTCATGACGCAAAACTCGATGTTAACCTCATTCGCAAGCTAGGTCATCGCCCAGCCTCACCATTGACATTCCAGGGTAGTAACTCCAATCGGAGAATAAGCAAGCTCGACTCGAAGAACCCGTCACGCCTTCGTTGGTGAAAGCCGTCCGCTAGTGTCTACGCCTTCTGATGCACCAAATCGGAGCCGCTCTCACTGCCTCGGTGATAATCTGCGGCCCCGCTGATAGCTCGGGCCCGGGCTAACAGGCGTGCAGATGTCATGCATGATGGATCATGGTTACAAACGGCTATCCAAGAACGGCGCGCTTGTACTCCGTAGTCGGCAACTCTTCCTACAACGACATCTTTGCAGAGGCATACAAATCCGAGAGTTCGTTGCGATACAGAAACCAGCTGTATCGCAAGACAAATTCAACAGGTGCACACCGCCTTCGGAGATGCAGTCGAGACATGATGATGGACGTTGTGGGTCTCTCGGTCCACAAGCATGTGAAGAGCAAGCCATGTCTCGGACTCGAGCTTACGCAGAGTGCTGCTAGATGGCGACGAGGCCAAAAGGTCGAATCCGATGCTCAGTTGCAGAAAACACCACTCCCTCTTTGGGTTGTTTGCACGCTTCTAATCCCAGGGCTATGGTACAGTCACACTGCAAGTCTCGGAACATTGATAGTATCGGTCTGGCAGTGCAGACACTATGTCTGATCTTGCCTCTCGGCGATGCAGCTGTCTTGATCGTGACCTGTTCGCTCCCACAGTTACGCAACCGCCTAAGCATCGTCCTCAGAACTCAGTTCTCCGTACATCAACATGATTGGAGTTGAAACCTCATACGTACAGTAATAAAGCAGAAGATGTTCATGATCAACAGTGTCATTCGATCTGCTTTCATCTGACGAAACCTACAGCATGTACTCGAATTCATCCATACCAACATTGTAGTCCCCCACTAGTGGTTTGTCTGCATCGTCGGCTTGCGACAAACTTCGAGTTGCACGCAAGGACTTGTTTGCCCTGGCAAGAAGAAGCCTCAGCACTGTAGCCAAGAACACCACCAACGCCATAAAGCCGGCGCACAGAGCATGCCCTTTTGTATAATTCGGCTTATCAGAGTCAGGGTAAAGTCGTACGCCCACCTATACAAACGTCAAAGCTATGGTTACGAGGTCTGGACAGGGGTACTTGACTCACGAGAGGACCTAGTTGGCCTATAACGTTCAGCAGAGCAACATTGCTGCCACGTCCTTCTTCACTTTGCTGGTTATTGACTGTCCAAACAATAACGGTCGTAACGGCGCTGAAGAAACCAGCGGTTATAGGGTAGATACACAGGTATTGGGCCGTGGATGACAGATGCAATGTTGGAGCAAGTGCAAGCAACATGTAACCCAACAGCGCAAGGCTCGCATGGACGATGATGGGTATCGAACGAGACTGTAGTCGGTCAGAAACTACTGAGGTGAGAAGCACAACCACAAAGCCGAAAAGGTGTGGTGGTGCGGCCAAACCCTGAGCTTTTGTGGCCGAGTAACCCATACTATCATTCCGTCAGCCGATATTCGAGTGTGACATTTGGCACGCTTACTTCTGTATGATGATCGGTGCGAATACTGGCATCGAGGAAAAGGCAACGTTGAGGGAGAAGAAGCAGCCGGCGGTCATATAACTCTTTGGATCGCAGAGAGTATTGCGCACGGCAGACCAATCAAATCTTCTTGCCTTGGATGTACCCAGAGTATGCGCTTGAGTTACGCTCGTTTGCTTTCTCAAACGCAGGGTTGCTATTCTTCGCTCTCTAGCTGACAGCCACGGTGCAGTCGAAGGTGAGTCTGGAATCACCCACCAAGCCCACGCAGCGACAACTATGCTTGGGAAGCCTTCTATGATAAAAAGAAGCCTCCAACTTTCAATGGCAGTGTCCTTGCCGAATTTGACAATAGCATAGGCCAAGGTGCTTGCAAAGCTGCTGGCCAGAGGTGCAGCAGAGATGAAGATGCCAGTCCTAGTGGCAAGTTCGTTTCTCTTGAAGAAGAAGGATAGATAGAAAGGTACTCCCGGACCAAATGCCGCTTCAGAGACTCCTAGTAGTATTCGTAGGATCAGCACAGAGCCAAATCCCGTGGTGACACTTTGTAAAGATGCGAGACATCCCCATGCTAAAACACATAACGATATGTAAGCGTGTGGTGGAAAGATCTTATATCTGCAGTCCCGTCGTCAGTACGTTGATGCTGTCAATCATTTGAGAACATCAAGATTTGGTTGAGGGAACAACCCTGGTCTCCTTTGAGAGATCCTTGTCTTGGATGGTACGACCACTTTGAGACGAACATGCAGTGAATAAACTTACAGTAGTGTCATCCATTCGAAACAGATGTAAGAGATGTAGAATCCAGTTAGTAGCCATTGGAATTGTTCCGGGTTGAGTTCTAAGCTTTTCGACATGCCCGCCACTCTGGCATTGCCGATGTCTACACCGTCAGTTCTGGATCCTGATGTTTGGAAGGTGAGTTGAATTACTTGACCTATCGAGGAACGAGAGCATGTACAAGAATGCTAGAAACAATACTAGGCGGGTATCCAGTTTCCTGAGGAGAGACTTTTCTTCGTCTGGCGTATACAGCTCGAATGACTCTACACTGGAGCGGTCGTCCTCGTCGTCATTATCGTTGCGATCGTCGGGCTGACATGAAGATTGCGAGGGATATTGGTGGTTTAGGTCGCTCAATGGTATATCCTGTGGATGCTCTGCCTGACTTTCTTGCTGATCATGGTATTCTCCAAGGTCTGACCCCTTTGTTATCATTATGTGCGGCAGCGAGTGTTCTGTTCGTGATCCTATATTGTCGTATGCGTAGATGAGTAATCATTCGCAACTATGACTTGTCATGTCAGTAGAGTTGTATCCTTTCTCAAGATGAATACTTGTGTTTCCGCAGGGTGTTCTTGACCCACGTACTCATACATCTCGGGGGTGCGGGCGCGGGCTTCAGCCCCTAGCTAGCCTTTAACGTTATAGCACAAAAATCGCTCAAGACCGGAAAATTGCTATTGAACATTTCGATCGTTGCATGAATCATAATGTTTATCTAATCGACGATATAGGGTTTCCCATTCGAACCAAACAGAATGTGCGGCTTTCTTTCAGCCACGTCAAGAATGGTTTGCGCAAAGACCGAGTTTGCCCATGCAAACCAGCTGCCTAAAGATGCGGTCAGTAAGTTTTGTAGGTAATTGGTGATCAGAGCACTCACGAGTATAATCTCTCCCGCGCTCAACGTGTACACTTTCGTGTATCAGGCCTAGGTGACTGACACGTTTGACGGCAGCAAGAGCGTCTTGGATCTCCTCGTCATCGTCCGAAGTCATTGCTTGTACTAACAGACTCATGGGCCAAGCATTCTGAAGTCCTATATGAGGACCACCAATTCCCTTGAACGCCCTACCAGAGAGGTAGTACGGATTTCCGTTCTTCTCTAGTATCATTCGGCGGGTGTTCTGGTACGTCTTATCGTCTCTTGACACAAAGCCTAGTAGTGGAAGGGCAAGCAATGAGGGCAAATTGGCATCGTCCATTATGATGGAAGAACCATAGCCATCGACTTCAAATGCAAACACCGAGCCGTACTTCTTGTGCGATACGACACCATGCTCCCAGACACCTTCCTCAATCAGTGCACCGCGCGTTCTCAAATCAGCGGCAAGTTTGACTTTGCCAGCCTTAGACAGCATGGCCGATGCTCGCTTCAGCTCGACAGCCATCATTGCGTTAGCTGGTATGAAGAATCCGAGGATAGTAGCATCGTCGCTTGGCCGGAATGCACTTCTGATGAGGCCAGTCCCGTTGTTCAAAGGATTACCGTTGCCAGACAAGCTGAGGGTCTCGGTGCCTGCGTCTGTACGCCGTCGGAAGGTGTATTCGTTATGCTGAAAAGCACCAGTCTGGGGGTCAAATGTAGGCTTCGCCTGCTCGTCGAGCAGTCCAAGCAAAGTTTCCAAAGCAGCATACCATCTCGAGGTCAAGAAATCAGTGGATCCTGTGTGATTGTAGAACTGGTTGGACAAAGACAGGAAATGCGCAACCGAATCCAGCTCATATTTGCATTCAAAGACATTGGAAGGCTCATATGCCGGATGGACGACATCTTCCTGGCCATTATTCGATGGGGCCAGGCGACTCGGTGGAGGCGGTTGAAAAGCGTTGCAGTATGGAGATTCAATGACATACTCGGCTTGAGTGTTGATTGCGCCCAGTATCAGCATCTCTATGGCCTTGTCTTTCTTGGCCAGCTTTTGATACTGGGCCAGTTGGTTTGTCGAATCTCGCAGCCACTCTGCATTGATGTCTCCAGTAACGATGAAACTCTGAGGCCCTTCCCAGGCACCATCACTGCTCTTGTAGGTTGACTTGTCGGTGCCGTCGACGTGCCACCGGACGGTGGTATCCAATGTGTTGGGGAAGGCGTTCTCGAATATCCTAGCCAGATCCTTGTCTATTATCATCTCGTTCATGTCATCAATGATGTGTTCGACCAAGTCTGATTCGAACGTTCGACAGAGGGCAGCTGGACGCTGGAAGGGAAGCGACATGGGGCTATCGGAGAAAGGTGGACTGCTAGAGTGTGAGTAACAGTGTGGAGCAGGTCATGGAAGAACGTACTGTGGGAATCTTGCATAGTGCTCATATGCCGGGCATGCTGCGAGTATCCTTGCTCTCTCGTGAGCACTCTTGAGGGGCTTCTGAGGGTCCTTTGCATGCGCCTTCTGTCCTGTAGCGAGGCAAATGCTTCCCAGTGCCAGAACAACAAAAGACGACAACATCACGTCGACAAGACTTGCAGCGTGACTGGAGCGCGTAGCGTAGCGGGATCTCGCGTTCTGCAGGCACCAGGTCAAGGATATCAGATCAAACATTCATTCTCAGACGTCTTCGGGTGGTTGGCGGCAGGAACTGGGTCGTGCTTGCTGTCGGACCTTCGCTACATGGTCAGTATCGCGTCGCTCAAACGCCGCGGCTCAGCAATCAGCGTCACCTGCGCTTGACTTGGCCGATGATTCATACCTACTCTATTCTGAACATTCATCATGCGTGGAACGTTATTCATTACTATAGTACATAGAGTCTACATGTCCGACTGATGGCGCCGTATCTATTTTTACATTATTCTTCGCGCTTTTGTTGTCTTTCAACTTCCGAGCTGGTCATTGCCTGCTCGTGCACCAGGTTGACCTCGTCCACCTCCGAAATACTCGATTCAACATTCGGGTCCTGGACATCCTCCACATGCTCTGCTGGGCTTGGTCTTGTTTGCGCTTCGGTGTCATTTGCTGTGCGAGAACCCAAGTCCTCCGCCACGCCCAAGTCCGCACTCTGTACCTGGTCCGTCGAAGCATCTTCATTCGCAGTCCATTCGGCAGCGTCCATGATTGAAATGTCAGTCTCTCCTGAAAACCGGTCGCCTCCTGCAGTGACACTAGTCTGTTGCTCAAGCTCTGTGACTGCTTCGTCGCCGTGTTCCTCGTCAGTCAGCATCGACTCTCTTCGAGACTCTGCCATCAACGATTTCTCACGTGCTACCTTGATCTTCCTTCTCTGGCTCTCGGTGAAAGAGAATTGATGGAGAACATGTTCAATCTTTTCTTCCACGAGTGCCTTGACATGGAAAGCCAAGGGGCGCGTGGAGAAGATTCCTGCGAATCTGTAACTCAGCCACAGATATGAAACAACAGCCTTGTGCAGTTGTTCAAGTTGGCGGAGATAATCTCGACTCGGAGTCATTTCCAGCTCTAGAACCTCAAGAGGCATCTCTTCGAGTTCGTAAAGAGCACCGCCACCTTGCTGTTCTATACATCGTGCCAAAGCCGGGATAAGTTTGCTGACTAGATCTTTGTCAGACTTGGATGCTGGACAAGCGCACAGAATGTTTCGATCTGTGACTGTCAATCCTTGAATTGGTTCGATCAAATCAGCAATCCAGAGTTGGTCTCTCAGGCCACAGAGATGAAACCTTGAGTGCATCTGAGAGAGCTCGTGTAGTCGCATGAGGATGTACGAAAATGGTGTATCAGGAGGGAAATATGAAGCGAAGCGTTCGACAATAGGTGCAGGAGGAAGAATACCTGCAGAACGAATCGGCTCAGGATCCTCCTTCATCGCTTTGGCGATGACAGGGAAATCAAAGTCTTCCAACGTTGTCACAAGGCCTAACGTCGAGTCCTCAGATTTCGCAGGTTCTTCCTTGGTGGTAGGAGTTTGCGGCAAAGAGTCGCCGTCAGATACTGACATGTCCCGTGAAGACACTTCAACGGATGCTGCAGCGTCGACAGATACTTTCGTGATGGTCTCCTTTCCAGGTTCCGAGTCTGCCTTTGCTTCTGCAAGAGCTTGGGCGGCAGCATCCTCAGAAGCTTTGTTTGCCTGGTAAGCACTCTTGTAACGGCCAGCTCGCCCAGCGATCTGTTTGATGTCCGGGGTGACCAAAGTTCTTTGACGGAATCCATCGAATTTGGCCGATGCCTCGAAAATGACTCGCTTGATGCTCAGATTGAGACCCATACCGATGGCATCACTAGCGACAAGGAAGTCGTAATCGTTGTCGGGGTCGTTGAAGAGACGTGCTTGTTGAGCTCTGGTCTCGGGCGGCAAGCTGCCGTACACAGTGGCTACCTTTCTTCCCGTTGACTGCTCAATCTGCTTTCGAAGCGCGTGAATGCCCATTACGCTGAAACTCACTATACAATCGCCCTTTCGCAACTTCTTAAGGTTGCCCTGCAAACTTTTGTCTGCCATCTGCAGAGGACTCAGACGCTCGTATTCGTGGACGATCAGCTTCTCACCAAGCGAGGCGCACAGTTCACGTATCAAGGGAACGGTTCGGGTCTCACCGCACAGGTGAACTTCGCGAGCCTTGACACCCAGTACAGCCTGAGTCCAAGCCCAGCCGCGATCGGCGTTACCTATCATCTGAATCTCGTCTATGACGGCAACATCGACATCCTTGTTGAGAGGCATCATCTCGACAGTACAGCTGGTTATTCTGGCAGTCAGGGAATCATCATCGGGGGCACGCTTTTCTTCACCGGTGATCAACATGCACTGCTTGCCCTTTGCGTTGAGTCTTGTGTAGACTTCATGAGCAAGCAGACGTAGAGGGCCGGCATATACACCAGTTTCGGCCTGTTCTAGACGTTGTAGTGCATGATATGTCTTGCCAGAGTTTGTGGGGCCAACATGGAGGTGGATGGTTCGGGGCATGGTGCGAGTGGCGGGGTACCATTCTGTGGGATAACGGAGATCGGCAAGAGCCTTTTGGTTGCGAATGTCGGAGGCAGTGAAGCGAGCGGAAGTGACGTGGTTGTAAAAGGCATATTTGATGCGATCGTGCAGGCCATTAAGGCCTCTTTCGAACCAGGAATCACGCAGGGCTTGGTGTTGATTTTTTCTGGCGACGACGGCGGGATTGATAGAGGTGGGGTCGTTGCGAGAGGTGACTGCCTCAGCAAAGGCCGACCAAGTGTCCCTGAAGCTGCCTTCGGCGTCGAGTTTTTGACCTATCGGGGTCGAGTGCAACTCAAGCTTGAGGGTAGCGAGCTGGTCTTTCAAGACGTCCCCAAACCTTTGTTTCTTGTTGTCGCCGCCATGTTTGCGGATGAGAGGACGCTTACCGTTGGGGGCGGCAGTATCCTTCCTGTCGGGGGAGAAGTCTTTGTTTGCGCGGCGAGTGAAAGAGTATTCCCTGGGAGCGTGGCGGGTGGAGGAGAAGGCGCGACGAAGAACCGGATGGCAAAGGCGCAAGGAGGCCGAGGTCGAGGAACAGAAAAGCGGTCTGCCTGATTGGCGAGTCAATGCAAGCATCACCTCGCACTGGCACTTGGTATGCGACAAAAGGGACGGTGGATTTGGGGCAGGTGCGAATGCAAGAGTTGGATGGCGGAAAAAAGATACCTTCATCGGCAAGCACGACCCTGGAGTACCACCCGGCATGACGCTCAGCTTGGCGTGTCGAACCACTCGAATCTCCGCTTGAGACCGAGTCTCCCGCATGAGCAAGACCATTTGTTTACACTCGACTGCTCCCTGAGCATATATACTCTTTGGGACACCCTCCGGAGACATCAACTCTTCCCAGCATGGGTGTCTCCATCATAGACGCCCAGCGCGACAGTAAGTTCGAGTCGGCCATGTTGAATTGCTGTCCCCGCCCTGACTCTCTACCATAGTCATCCTAAATGTGATACGTTCTACCACCCAGGGCCAAGTACGCTCTCACAACCTTGGCAACCCAATCTGCCTATCCGACTAATCTCTACTTTGCAGTGGAAAGTCCTGGTCCTCGATGACTCCAGCAAGAAGCTGCTCGACAATGTCCTGCACCCCGACGACATTCTAAACGAGAGCATTACCAGTATGCCTTCCCCTAACATGCTCCTCCCACACCGAGTCTATGGAACGTGTCCTGACAAACACTCTCCCTAGACATCGAGAAGATCGAGGACCGTCGGCCGAAGAACCCTGATGTCGACGCCATCTACCTGATCACCCCTCAAACTCATATCGTCGACTGTGTCATGGCCGACCTCGACCGCCGACGCTACAGGAAGACCAACCTGATTTGGACCTCGTTGCTACCCCCTCAGATGAAAGAGCGTCTCGACAAGTCTTCGGTTGCCCGTGAACAAATCACCATCTTCCGTGTTCTCAACATCGACTTCTTCCCTCGCGAATCACATCTCGTCACTTTCCGAGACCCATGGAGTTTCCCTATACTCTTCCACCCTGCCTGCAACAACCTCATTCGCCAGCATATGGAAGACTTAGCCCAGAAGATAGTCGGCGTCTGTGTGGCTCTAGGCGAGTTCCCGGACATCAGGTATTACCGCCCGCGCACTCCTACTCATGAGGCCAGTGTGCTCTGCTCTCACCTCGCTCGCTTTGTTCAGGAGGAGCTCAATCTGTACGCCAATTTCCACAAAGACTTTCCTCCGCCAAGTAATCGTCCCCGCGCAACTTTGTACATCACCGATAGATCCATGGACGTCTTTGCGCCTTTGCTCCATGAGTTCACTTACCAAGCCATGGCTCATGATCTGCTACCAATCCGTGAAGGAGACAAGATCACATACAAGACGATTGTCAACCAAGGAACTCCTAAGCAGGAGGAAAAGGATTTCGAAATCTCCGAAAAGGATCGCATTTGGGTTGAGAACCGCCATCTCCATATGAAAGACACTATCGAGAAGCTCATGGGCGACTTTCAAAAATTCATCGACGAGAATCCTCATTTCACAAAAGAAAGCGATCCAAACGGCATGAATGGTCTTAATACTATCAAGGACATGCTGGCTGGCCTTCCACAGTTTGAAGAAATGAAAGGAGCGTATTCTCTGCATCTTGGTATGGCTCAGGAGTGTATGGATTTATTCCAGCGTCACAAGCTTCCGGACATGGCCTCGGTCGAGCAGGTACGTACGACGACCCCGACAAATGAATCTTCTCTGACTCGATCAACAGATTCTGGCTACCGGCCTTGACGAAGACTACAGAAAACCCAAGCACGTGACAGATCAGGTTGTACGCACTTTGGACGACGACGCGATCGTGATGCCTGACAGACTCCGGTTGATCGCACTTTACCTCATCTACAAAGATGGATTACTTCCCACAGATCTTGTCAAGCTCTTGCTTCATGCTCAGCTCCCCCCTCAACACGCCGAAACGTTGCACAACCTTGAGCTTCTTGGAGTCCGTACGTCGAGAAATCTCAAAGACTCACGTCCACCGCCGATTCCTCTCTTCCCCCAGAAGCCGCCGCCGACCCTGGTACAAGAAGAGTATGCTCTGAGTCGCTTTGAGACAGGCCTCCAACGGCTTCTGGATAATCACACGACCAACACTGTTGATGCTACTGTATTTCCATACATCAAGCCACCGATCGATATGGGCGACAACGATGTTGGCGCTGCACCTGCTTCGTTGCGCTCAGCCAAACCGACGTGGGCCAAGGCAAAATCATCGACCACAGAGCCTCGGCAAAGGGTGATGGTTTTCATGGCCGGAGGCGCGACATATTCGGAAAGTCGGGTGTGTTACGATATGATGCGGCAAAGCAACAAGGAGGTGTTTTTGTTGACTAGCCATATGCTTACACCAGCCTTCTTTTTGCGTCAGGTAGGAGATCTGGGCACAGACAAACGCAAACTAGGCATACCGGCCGAGCAGCCACCCAAGCAGGCGCCGGCTCATTTGTTTGAGCGAGATGAACCGGCACCGGCACCACGACCAGTACAGGCGCCGCCAAAACCTGTCGCTCCAGCTCAAGCGCCCACGCAGGCCATGGGCAACATGAATCTTGGTTCGAAGCAGTCCAACGGCGCGGCACCAGCAGCACCGGAGCAGAGTGCATCGAAGCTACAAAAGGATCCTGAAAAGAAGAAGCGTCATTTCTTTTCAAGCAAGAGAGGATAGTAAAGAAGATATTTCGGCATGGTTAGCGTAGCATCATGAGGCGTTTGTTGGGGCACTATGTCGATATTACATGACGGGGCTCAGATTCTTGTAGAGTTTGCAAAGATTAGGTAGGTAGACAGAAGCGCTGGCGCTGAATAGCAATACGATATGGATACAGCGAGAGCCTAGATGAAAGGGACGAGTGAGGTGCACAGACGGGAGACAGACGGACCGGCGCGTACAGCAGCTGCAGGTGCCAGGAAGCCTGATGGCGACAACGGAATCATGTGATGTAATGTTGTTAGCTATCGAAGCGTCTCAGTCTTCTTCACTCTCAACACGCGCACTCTGATCAGCAGGGCAAACAAGCAAAGCAAAACATGGCGCTCACTCAGCAGGCGAAGACGGACGCTCCTGCCGCAACAAAGTCATTCGTCCCGCTAGGTCAGGGAGACGGTCGAGTATGCAGAGGCTTGGGAGCTGACGCTGAGCAGAGAACAACCCAGAGGTCATGAGCTCGCTGCTCCACAACCTCGGTCTCTCATCACAGCTCGCCTTTCACGACGTCTTCAGTATCGACGAGCCCGAACTGCTTGCCTTTGTGCCCCGCCCGGCATGTGCTCTCCTCATGGTCTTCCCCATCAACAATACGTACGAGTCTTTCCGCCTCAGCGAAGACGAGAACAAGCCAGAGTACGAAGGCTGCGGGCCCGACGAACCCGTCGTATGGTACAAGCAGACCATCAGCAACGCTTGCGGTCTCATCGGCGTCCTGCACGCTGTGAGCAATGGCCCCGCCCGCGACTTTGTCACTCCCGACTCGCCTCTAGCGAATCTCCTTCATGACGCCATCAACCTGAAGCCCGCCCAACGCGCCGATCTGTTGTACGAGTCGCAGGCTCTTGAAAATGCTCATCAAGCTGCCGCCTCCGGTGGTGACACATCTGCTCCCGCAGCAGATGACGACATTGATTTGCACTACGTTTGCTTTGTCAAGTCGGCCAACAACCACCTCTGGGAGATGGATGGTCGTCGCAAGGGTCCCTTGGACAGAGGTGTCTTGTCTGCTGACGAAGACGTGCTGTGCGACAAGGCTCTCGACATGGGCGTTCGTAGCTTCCTCCAGCGAGAGTCCGAAGCTGGAGGTGGTGACTTGCGCTTCAGTCTTGTTGCCCTCTCCCAGTCGCTGGACTGAAGCACCATCGGGAATTCCGGATACAAGAGCAGGCAAGCCTCATAATCTTGACTTTTACCATAACGGCCACCACGTGTCTGTGGATCTAGCCCCCTGCTTCCCGTCCTTGAGGTATGTAGGCTAGTGTTGCGACCGGCACAAACGGTTCGAGCCCTGATCCAACAATGACAAGAACACATTCCTCTGTACCGCGCCAGGCATGCAGCGGAACGCGGACAGACGGAACAGCAGAACAGATGCCGAAACTCCGTCTAGAACAGCCTGAAGTATGCTATGAGACGATGCTTTAGCTCCCTATAAGGTTGCTTTCAGCAAATCCTCTTTCTCCTTCGCTCTCCCTGGCCCCCTTCTGGCTTTGTCTTGTTGCACAGTCTGCAACCGGGGTCTTGGACAGTAGAAAAATTCTTCATGTTGATGGATACAAGATGCGACCCGGCCCGTTTCCCTAGCAAAAATCACAAGATTGCTTAGTTCGTCTCTCATTTCTTCCTTGTCGCCCGTCTCATCAACGTCTTCTTACATTCGCATGTTGATGCGAGTCAGGGTAGATCCGTCATTAAGCGTATCTAGAACAGGAACCGGATCGTCTAGATGTACTTTTTGGGTCATTTTATTATTGAACGTTGGGTGCCGTTGAGACTGTAGCGAATTCGACGATAGCAACTCACGGTTTGGTCCAAACAGTCTTGATCGGCAGAACCATCTAGGAAACAGAAAATGGACTTGGCAACGGCCACTGGAGATGACTTCAGTCAACTCAGACAATCACTCTCGAGCGAGCGCATTCTCTCTGACCTCGCTCCATCTTTTATACAGCACTTTTCCCATGCCCCGCGCGGCGGACCGCTGTTCATCAGTCCGGAGCGACGTGCATACACCATGGGTCTCGGCGGCCACCTTTTGGACCCCTCTACGATTATATCGCCAGAATGGAGTCGGGCAATTCGGATCGTTGCTACCATCTCCTCTAGTTTCAGTGTGATTGGTACAGTGATTACTATATACTGGTTCTTCATGATGAGGAGAAATTTCAGAAGAAAGTAGGTCATGGGCTCTTCGAGACATGAATCTTGCATCGCTAATCGACGCCCAGTCTAATTTTATACCTCGTTCTGGCCGACTTCTTCAAATCATTATGGTATATAAGTTTCTCGGCTGTGTCTCTACGTCGTGGTGCCATTGACACAAACGGATCATTCTGTCAAGGTTTTGGCTTCTTGTTGCAGGCATCAACCATGGCATGTGGTAAGTTCTAGTTCATCTTGCTTCCGGGTGGATCTGTACTGATACCTCTTATCAGACTATGCAATCTTCATCATGTCATTACACATGTATCTCCAGATTTTCAGCACTGGTAGTAAGATATTTGGCCACGATGGTCTGTATCGCTTCAGACATACCGTTATGGCAGGATGGTTCACATTCCCTTTTCTGTGCGGTGTTCTTGCCTTCGTCAAAGGTCGTCAAGGTTATATCGCACAAGGACCCTTCTGCACCTTGCCGATTCGCCCTTACTGGTACAGGCTTGCACTACAATGGATTCCCCGGTATCTCATCTGGGTCTACATCATGTTCGTGGCCGTCCGCATCTATCTCCACGTCGGGCAAGGCTTCAAAATATTTGCTCGCGAGGACAACCAAGACACGAGTACCGAGACACATGGTTACGGAGAGAGCCTTGGTACGATGCCCGGAGAGGGCACACAAACATTACAGGTGCCAAAGAAGAGAAGTACTGGCGCTGGCGAGTTGCAAGATCTTTCCGGTCTCATGGATAGCAACGCTTCCGCCGGCCAGGCACCCACGAGTAGCTCTAGCCAGGGTAGTCATTCCACCTGGCCAACATCTCTAAACTCTTCAGCCGAGGGTCTCAAATTGCACTCTGCAAGCCACTCGAGACGAAGCAGTCACGTCGCCAATGCCCATGACGGCAACGCCCAATACGATCTCCTGCAAGTGCCACCTGAAGCAAAGCAGCAAAGACAATCCGTCGCCTCTATTACATCCTGGAGAACTTCAGCCGACATGACCGCCACCGTCAACACATCTCCAGTCAGCCTCGAACCAATCGACGAGGGACAACAAGTGATGAGCGGCGATAAACAAGACATAGTCTCAGCCGACACACCTATGAAGAAACGACGACGAGCGATTCAGAGGCAACTGCGCCTTCTCTTCATCTACCCTGTTACCTACCTCATGGTCTGGACCATTCCCTTTGTCTATCATTCTTTCAACTACAGCGACAAATACGCCGCACATCCCATTCCAACCCTGGCATTGCTCTCGACATTCTCTTTGACGATCGCTGGCACCGTGGATTGCATCGTGTTCGGATGGAGAGAGAAGCCATGGCAACACGTACCAGGATCTGACGGCACCTTCCTCGGCAGCTTCAAATTCTGGACCTTTAAAGGCCGTAAAAGAAGATGGGCCACGCCCGCACCGAAACGTTTGCCATCACTCGAGAGAGATGAAGAAGAAGCCGTCGGGGGACTGGCGCAAGACTCGAATTGGGCAAGACGTCCTAGTGCGCAACACAGACTTGCTTCAATCCCTGGCAGCAATAAGCCCATGGTTCACATGCACAAAAAGACATTTTCAGGCACTTCGGATCGGGCAACTAGGGCGGCAGATCAAGCGGCAGAAAGACTGGCGCTGGAGAGAGCAGATCGTCAGAGTCGCTTGTCCACACGCAATTCATCTGTCAACCCAGCGAACGAGTGGTTTGAGCGAAGGCTGAGCGAATGCGTCAGTCAGACTCGTGAAATTTCCAACTTCGAACTCCCGACACCCAGTCCTACTAAGGAGTGATGGGACGAGGCGGACGAAGGGTCTGAGAAGCCGGCTTTCTTTGACCACAACAACAACAACACCATATCTTCTTTTTGACTCTCTTGCACAGCGACGGCGTATTTTATTTCTCTTCTTTTCTCTCCTTTAGAACAAAGCGTAGTTTTCAAAATCAAAGTTTAGCATCGGATGTATCAATTGGAAAGTCTACCTATTGTAAACGCTTTTCTTTGAGAGGCAGGAATACTTGTGTCCACAGCTCGCTAGCCTCGCCCAGAGTGAAGGAAAGATCGACCTTATCCATGCCGGCTTCATCGTCTCCGGCCATGGTAGCGAGCTGGGAGACGATGTTGTCGAGTGATAGCGCTTTACCCACGACCTGTGTAGCACCTGCTTCGAGCGACACATGGACAATGTGTATGTGGAAGTGGTAGTAGGTTGGTTGATCTGCAAAAGTCCAAATGTCAGAACAAGCAGCACACAAGTATACGGGTGAACATACAATGGACATAGCATTTAAGCATATCCTCGTCTATGCCATACAGACGAGAGACGTTTGCAGCAATATCCGAAACGATGGATCTGAGCCAAGCAACATGCTTCTTCTTGAGATCGCGCAGACTCCAGATATCTCTGCGCTCGACCAGAGCGAGCAAGTGTAGGCTTCCCAACGTCTTGCGGTCCCAGTTCAAGTCTGGCAGCAACAGATATCTTTCATCATCGGGAGTTGTATCGTGCGGCGAGCGGAACAGAACGTCTTGTTGCTCGGTGCGTCCATCAAGAATGTTGAAAACCCAGTTCAGTCGGCCTTGATCGCGTTTTGCCTGCATGTAGGGACGAACGTGATGGCGATAGATGTCGGCAGTCTCGGTGACATGGCGAACAGCTTGTGCGGCATATTTCTTGAGGTGTTGGTCGGTGCATGGGTAGATGAGGTTGATCTTCAGGTCTGGAGGTTGTCCCTGGGCAGAGCCGCTGTGGGCCATGTACCAGCGATAGATGTCATTGTCGCCGAGGTTCTGGATATGTGACAGCGAGCTACTGAAGTTGGACAGGTGTGATTCGTCTGCGTCAAAGGCGGCGCGCTCGGCGAGGAGGAGGGCTGGTTGGTCTGCGATTGTGCCTTGTAGGACGATGCGGCGGCCGGCTTGGTCTAGCTTGCGTTGGTGTCGCGTTACAATTCGTCTTGGTCCTGTTTCATGCTCGAGAATCGATACCTTGGTTGAGAAGTTTTTCGAACTTGAACTGAGGTATCAGTGCCTCTGCGTTGCTGGGAGCGGCCATGTTGATGATGGTGTGTGTTGATGGTCAAAGGCGCCGCGAATTCGAGCTTCGAGTCGTCTCCACGATTTTGGCTTTCGGTTCATCACAACGACTCAACTCATTCTTGTCAGGTTTTGACTGTATGTCAATTGTATTATTACTATATCAAGCAATGTCCTTGTCATTGCACGTCATGAACCTCCCAGCCTTGGTATATCCGCAGTCCAGCTATTTGAAACAGCAATGTCTCCCGCTCCCGAAACTCCAAGCCATGCATGTCCCCAGCCCAAGCCAATTCCCTTCCCAGTCGTAATCGTTGATTCGTAGTGTCTTTCTATGTCTCGATGAACCTGGAGCTCATCAACTCGTCGACGTGGGCGCGCTGCAGATTGCCCTTGTCCTGGTCGCTTGCCTTGAGCAACACAGCCAGCACTTCGATAGGAGGGTTGAGGCCCAGCGTGTTGGCTCTTCTCCAACGCTTGACTCTGGCGATGCCAATGCATGGCTACAACATGATCAGTAAGCTGGCCAAGGTAGAGAAACATGTTCGTAACTTACACCGTACTGTCCACTCATGTCAAACTCCCTCAAGATCTTTTCAAAGACATCGAGTCCTTGCTGGTGCACACGTGGTGACTTTCTCTCGGCCTCTTTGGCTTGCCAGTACTTTTTGATCTGAGCATTGGTAACCTTGATGGCGCGCTTCTCGTAGTCATCAGTCTTGTCGCTGAAGCTAGGCTTGGTGTCAACAAGTTCGGCGACGGCTTGTTCTTGGATGGCTGCATCGGCGGTTGTGGGTTCGTCAATGACATGGCTCGACACGGCATCAAGCAGAGCCTTGTCCTTCTTGGTGGCTTTGGAGTCGCGCTGAGCAAGAGTGGTTTTCGTGACGCGATTGAGACCCTGCTTTCCAAATGAGATGGTTGCTTGCTGATTGCGCTGCGCTGCCGAAGGTGTCGAGGTGCGTCTTTTGGGCGCCATGATGGTTGTGATTTGGTTTGCGATTACGGATGTGATATTGCTGCTACTGTGTGGATGTAAAGCGCGCAGATGTAGATGAAATTGTGAATAAATCAGAATCAAGATCTTGTGTGTTGGTTGACGGTCGACACAATTCAAGCCATCGACCGAACAACGGCGCGTCATGCGTACATTGACGTCACTTTCGCGATCATCTCGTGAACCACTTTCGAAAGCGGACGTGTCCACCACTTAAACTTCCGGAAGCGGATGATAATATTAGGTAGTTTGTGTAATCTGCATTCTCTCTCTCTCTCTCTTCTGGGTATAATGCGTGTGAGCCAGCGTCGTTCCTGTTGGCCTGCACCAGGTCGAAGCAACCTTTTTTGAGAAAGCGTCCGTAACATGAATTCTATGCGCGCGAGAATAAACAATGAATCGTCTCCAAGCATTACCGTCGTCCTCAGCTCATTCCGCCTACTTGCGCGCAGCGATGGCTGCATCCACGAATTCTTTCGGCGCCGATTGCCTGTAGCCCTGAGGGTTGTTCTCGGTCCATCTCCACAGGTCGCGGCATGCATCTTCGAGTGAGAGCTTGGTCTCCCACTTGAGTTCCTCGTTGGCTCTGCTTGGCATGGCTGTCAGGTTCAAAACGTCGCCCTGTCTGCGATCCACAACCTTGTATGGGAGATCGCGTCCAACAGCGTGTGAGAAAGCCTTGACCATGTCGAAGACGGTTGACCCTCTGCCCGTTCCGAGGTTCCATGCGCGCACACCGGGCTGGTGCTCACGCAGGTAGTTGAGTGCCTTGAGATGGCCTTGTGCGAGATCGATGACATGGATGTAGTCGCGGATGGCGGTGCCGTCTTTTGAGTCGTAGTCTATACACCAGTCAGTTCTGCAGAATCACAGGTGCGCGCACAGAGTCTGCTTACCATCACCAAACACGAGCAACTCCTCGCGCTTTCCAACGGCGACCTGAGCCAACAGCGGCAACAGGTTGAAGGGGATACCTTGGGGGTCCTCTCCCATGATGCCGCTAGGGTGAGCGCCCGCAGGGTTGAAGTAGCGCAGTAAAGCGCCGTTCCACTTGGCACCCGACTCGCCCTTCTTCTGTGCATTGTTGCGCTGAGCCTCGACGTGAGTGCCGATGAGCTTCTCGATGGCATACTTGGTATCTCCGTAGGGGTTTGTGGGGCCCAGAGGGCAGGTCTCGGGAATGGGAATCATGCCTTCGAAGCGTGTAGCATCGCCGTAGACTGTAGCGGACGATGAGAAGACGATGTTGGTGACATTGTGACGGGTCATGGCTTGCAGCAGGGCAATGGAGCCGCCGACGTTGACGCGCCAGTACTCGAGGGGGATCTCGCCAGACTCGCCAACAGCCTTCAAAGCAGCAAAGTGGATAACATTGTCGATGTCGGGATGGTCGGCGAAGACCTTCTCGAGGGCCTTCTCGTCGGTGATGTCGGCATTGTAGAAGATGGGACGCTTGCCGGAGATGGTCTCAATACGGTTGAGGACCTCCTCGGACGAGTTATACAAGTTGTCGACAATGACGACCTTGTAGTCGGCCTCGAGCAGGGCGAGGGCTGTGAAGCCGCCGATGTATCCGGTTCCACTGTCGCATCAATCAGCGCATGGCGGGGCAGTGCGGCGCAATGCGTCACTTACCCGGTGACGAGAACTGATCCAACTGGCATTGTTGTGGAGAGCAAGGCGATGGGCGAGACAAGAGCAGCAGGTGTTTGAAACAGAAAAGTTCCGGACGGGTGTTGGGAGAAAGGGATGTTTTTGATGATCAACTGTTACTTCAGCCGACGCGACGACAGCATCGGGGGATCGCACGCTGTAACTGCCCTGTTGTACCCTGGCACAGTGTGGGAGCGTCCTTGCCCCTTGATGGGGAAAGCTGATGACATGGCGCTCCCAGATTTCGCTGCCAAATCTCAACAGCTTCCTCTCGGTGCTCTCTTGCTTCGACTCTTTATTATCCGCGATCCACACCCGGAACATCTCACCCTTTGCTTTAGGGCTCGTATTCTGGTGTAGATTTCCCTTTTACCCGTCCATGTCTGCTGCTTCGCTGCTGTGCTTGATCACCAGAGCCAACCGCTCTCAAAGCTGTCATGGTGTGTCCTGGAGATTAGTGTGTTTGGGCGTCTGTCGTCCCGCCGCGGATCCATGCAGCTTGCTTGCGAATCCTTCATGTGCAATGTGCATACATCGCTTGTGGCTGCCAGCTCATGCTCATCGCAACTGCTTCAGTTGAGAGACCGTTGTCGCTGCTGCATCTACGGTGCAAAATCAATAAGCTGTCATGGAACTTGGTGCCTCCTTTCCTCAATTGTCCCCCTTTTTCCGTGGTTCGTTGGAGTCCAAAGTAATCCCGCCATTGGAATCCGCCTGAGCCCGCCGAGACTTGTGCTTGTGCTCTCAAGCACAAGGCATGCCCAGTGATTAGTGCAAGCCGCCAGAGTTATGCCGACGCTTGGATCAACTCGTCCGAACGCGTTGTTTTGCAGACCTCAGCTAGGAATGCTGTCTGCAAACAGCGCCTTCACTCTATAGCATGCAGAACAGGACTTGAATTATTGCCTTGATGTCTTGTTTTATTGTTGTAGTTGTTCTTCTTTCGGGCATCACCTAGCAGTCGATTATCTGCTGGCTTACCGGCACCAAAATCTCGAATCGCGTCAATGCCATAATCATTCACGCGTTGAAATCACCCTCACCACCAGATTCTTGGTCATTTGATTCACTCTGTAAGTGATCACTACTCGATACAACATCTGCATTTGACGCATGTCTCGGAAGTGAATGCTGCAAGTTTTGTCTACATACCATCTCGATACAAATCTTGAACGACCAACCACTGATCCAAGCACTATCAGGATTGCTTGCATCTGAGTTTATTACTTCCCATCACACGCAGAATGTCTGAAACTCCAGCTCGCCGGACGCGTGGGTCCACTCGAATGAGCGCAACACCAGCTGCGCCCTCGGTCGCAGGAAGCCGCAAGCCTCGTCCAAAAACACCTAAAGCTCTTCCCGCTGTACCCACTGGACTATCGCACGCATACGGTGCGGTTGGTAAGGTCGAGCTGTCGACGCAACTCGAGGATCGCTCTGGCAACGCTGGCGGGTTTGCTGCTCGCTTTCTTGCAGATAGAGGTGCTGCAGTGAATCGTGATATTGGCGATGCCATTATCCCTGATCCCTTACCTGCACCTCCCGCAAACACTACTAAGGGACCTGCCATCTCTCGACCAGCTACCACCAGACCTGTCACTTCTAGGTCATCCGTCGCTACTACTAGCGTTAAGTCAACACGGAAGATCACAACGCCCTATTATCTGCGGCCCGAGGCTAACGACACTTCCGAAGACTATGACTCTGAGGACGGTAATCAGCACGCTGGTTTTACGGCCCCAGGTGGCTCTTTGTTTCGCCGAGCGCCGTCCACAGGTGCTGGTAGCTTCACTGATCTGGATACCCAGTTCTCTTACGAAGCATCGATGCCACCTTCGACTAGATCTCGGAGAGTTGCAGAGATACGGCCACCACCTACGACTCAAGAGAGAGAAGCCGCTCGGCCATGGAGGGTGTCCGTCTTCTTCGAGACGCTGCACCGTCGATGGCAAAATTTCGAGTTCCCTTGGGACAAGTTCTCACCACAGATCGGGAAAATCTGCCTTGCTCTTCTGACGGCATTCGCGCTCCTCTTCCTTCTCGGGCCCAGCAGATGTTCCAACCTTTTGGAAAAGGGCTCAAACGCATGTTTTAAGGCAGGCGAGTACGCTCTCAGCCCGTTCTCATATCTAGGACGGAGGGCCTTTGGTTCAGGTAACGATGGATTCTCAAGGAGAATACAGACGTTAGAGCTCGATATGCAAGGTGTCAGAAATCAGGTACGAGGTCTGAACGCTGAGGAAATTGAGCGTGTGCGGTCCATTCTTCCTGAGCAGATCATGGTCCGCAAGAACCCTGAGACTGGCGAACTGGAGTTCCCTCCTGGATTTTGGCGAGCAATAGATGCAAAACTGGATCAACGCGACAACGGAAACATCTGGGACCACTTTGTCCAGACCAACCAGAAGAAACTGGAACAACATGCTCAAGACATTGTTCAGAAGACGCTTGAACATCAAAAGATCATCAGCAAGGACGATCTAGCTGCCGCGGTGAGCGAGAACCATGCCAAGTTTCAGGAACATTTCTCTGCACAATTGCGCGCATTCGAGACATCAGTTCGCAAATCTGCAGAAGTTACTGCAAGACGCACCGTGTCGGATATCATCAAGGAGTTGCCCGATAGCAAAGGATCCACACAACTACACAGCCTGGCCCTCGCGAACATAGCTCGGAACACAGAACTCAGACTTCGTAGTGTGAACTATTTCTCCCACACACTGGGTGCCACTGTACATCCCAAATACACCTCCCCAACCCATCCTAGGCAACTCGGAGGCCTTTGGCAATGGGTCAACAGAAATCTTTACGATTATCAAGGACGAGGTCATCCTTCGCCTTTCCGAGTTCTGACACCTTGGGAGGAGCCTTCGGATTGCTGGTGTGCTGCTGCATCGAACGACAAGGGAAAGGCTCAGATCGGTGTGATCATTCCCCGTGCTATGAATCCAACCAGTATCACCATAGAGCACATGCCCTCTACAGGCACTCTCGATATTGGAGCAGCGCCAAAGGAGTTCGAAGTGTGGGTCAGAAGCCGAGCTGGCGAGGATACATCTCAATTACACGACTCTCATCTGGGTTGCGGAGAAGCGCCTGAGTCCGGTCTCGTCTGTATCGGCAAAGCATCATACGACATCCATGCACTGAACCACGTGCAAAACTTCGATCTGGAAGGTGTTGATGGTGCTATCGGCTTCGTCGACTTTGCCATCATCAGGATCATAAACAACTGGGGCCAAGACTGGACATGTATCTATCGTATACGACTGCACGGTGAGCCAGAGCCAGCAGATAACAAGGGTGATATCTCAGAAGAGCTTTGAATACACATTTACGTCGACTGAAAATGTTTCGATGAGGAATCGATTGTGCAAGGAAAGGTTCATGGTGAGCTTCGGTTTCTCACTCTTTGCGCGTTGTTGTTCTAGATACCCCGGCCGACCTGGCCTCTGCAATATCTCTTCTACCTCTTCCTGAAATCCGAATCTGCGATGAAGGCCATTTAGTGATTGCTATTGACTGCTTGTGCTCGTAATCCGCCACGAATAGGTCCAACATCTCTTTGAGCGCTGTCTAGAATCTGCATTGTGGAATTGACGCCTTTGTCCTCCGGATTCGACGGATCCGGCGAGATACCTGAAAGCGGCAAGTAACATATAATCATTGTTCTCAGAGTCGTCCACATTTAGATGCAGACGATGGCCGCTGGAGCGCTTGAGCAGCAATCGCACTACCTGCCATCATGTCGCCGAAAAGAAAGTTAGGAAGCCAGAGCCCGACCAACATGTCTCCTAAGAAGAAAAAGACTCGAGTGATGCCGACCGCAAAACTACACCAATGGACCGCTAAGGGTTTCGAGCAAATGGTTTACACGCCTCCAGCATGCTCGCTCCCATCACCCTTTGCAACCAATCTTCAGATAGACCAGCACATCAGAGATAACATCAAACAGTTTGGATTGGCTCTTCAGAACACATTCGAACCAGCCTTCAACAACCCTCAGAAGGGTGGTGCTCGCGAAAATATCCTGGCCTTCTGCGAGGATGAAAAACTGGTTTGGTTGGATCCTTTGCAGCCGCTAGCACTGGAGACAGGCGAAGGGGTGTATCTGTATGTTCATTCGTTTTCAGATTGTCCTGGGAGCTATAGCTGACGTGACTAGAACCCAGGGAGAGGACGAGGAACTAGGACTCATCAGGTTCAAAAGAGTATTTAGCGAATATGCTGTTCAGTGGTTCGGTTTTGTGCGCAAAGACTCAGAGCTGGTTGTCAACGGACAAAAATACCCCAGCACTTGTGACTTTGTCATCGGACCGTTCCCTGCGTTCTCGATTCTGGAATACCACGACCGAGTTGTGTTTCTTTACCTGAGCCCTGAGGCCCTCGATCACATACCTGGCAAACTCGACACCCAGCAAACTATTGACCGCATCGTTGGAAAGTTCAAGAAAGAACAAGACTCCAAAGACAAGGACAAGGGAGTGGCCGCCTCGACCCAAGGAGGGACAATCGATTCCTCGATAACTGTGAGAACTGAACCCGAGATCCAGCCCGAGGATTCGGATTCGTGTGCATACTTCAAATGGAGAATGACGGAATGGAGACTCCTCTTGCAGCGATCCGGCGTTAGCCTACGCGATCCCGTCCAAGGATCTGATGCCAGGAAACAGGGAGTATGGCTTTTCGATAGCTCGGTTTGGCGGGCAATCGCTTCAGTCACTGCGGCAATCGGCGTGGAGCACAACGTAGACTTTGCCATGATTGATGAGGAAGGCTACAGACGAGCAAGAGTATACAATGGCGACTACAGAGACCTCGTCACCACTGGTCGCAATGGAGAGCTCTTCCTGCCCTACAACACAGAAGAAAAGGAGGGTACGCACTGGCTGCTCGTCCATGTCAAGTACGTGAACGACACACCCGAAATCCACACTTACGACGCTCCGAACAAAGACCCTGAAGAATACGCTTGGGACCCTCTGACATCGCCCGGATACAACCAAGGACAGATCAAAACGATCAAGAGGACCGTTTTACAAACCGGCTTGTACGACGATCCCATGTTCATGGCCGACGATCTCGACAACATTCCCATCACGCATCATCCTGTAAAAAAACAACCAAATGGTTTCGAATGTGGTTATTACACCATTCTGTATTCCTGGGCTATCGCCCTCGGCATGCAGCCTGGCACGAAGGAGCACACAGCGGCATCAGGTGCCAGGATTGATGAACTCATCGAGTTGATCAACCTAGCTACCGCTGGGTTCATGGATTCGGCTACCATTCAAGCCTTTATGCGTTGTGTTGGCTTCTTGGATCCTGCCCACAGCACCATCGCCGCCGATCGTCACTTCACCCGCACCGTACCTTTCCTAGCAAAGACGTCGGTCAACAAATACATCCTTCAGCGCAGAGAGATTGACAGGAACCCCGCCTCGGCCACCAGACGTATCGATTTAAACACCATGCGCATCCTCCTGGACTCAGCCAACCCTGGCGCCTTGGAACTCGATCGCATGAGTCCTGACACGATTCTGCTGCACTTTGACAAATGGCTGAAGGAACGCAACCTCGTGGATACCACCACTCCTCCCAGCCCAACAAGTCCACAAACCATTCGCTTGACTTTCGCCATCGCGCAATCGATGGGTAGTGCCGAATGGGACGTTCCAGCTCAGTTGCCCGACGACACGCGCATACTGCGCCAGATCTGGGATATCTACCATCAAGCGCTCAAGAAAAGAGGATATCTTGGCGAAGCACGGGTAGAGCGAGCCAAAGATCTTGCAGATGGAAAATTTTCATCTCAGGAGACCGTTACTGATGCCCACTACCCTTACGGTGATCCCAAGCTCGTTGCTCTCAGTAGACTCGGCATGCTGCCTACCACAAACACTCTTGCACCAGGCGAGAGAGAGGTTTTGAGACGAGCTTCGGAGTTTCATGGGACGTTCTCTATATAAGAAGGAAAGCTGGTTGATGGTGCAAGGGCATTTAGTGTGGTGGCTCTTTCTGGTTCTTCTCTGCTTGTTTTGGAGTTTAATGGTTTTGCTGGTTGAACAATGTTTCCGTCTTGTCTATCTCTATCTCTATGTAGCTATGTCTTCGTTTCATTCACATCGTTTTGTCTTCTACCACTATATTCTCGAATTACCATGTCTCTCTCTCCCTCGAAGAACTTAAAGTGTTGAAGCTTGATATGTACAAGCAACAAGATTGGGTTCAAGGACGAACATTAAGTTGGATCTGAGCAAGTCGTGAGGCTGTGGGGACGACCCTGTCAGCCGTCAGAAGGAGGCAATAATCATCAACACATTGAGATAGATTATTAGCGCTTGGAGGTAGATGATAGTAAACCAAAATTTGCATCATCAGGTCAAGAGCTTTGTTGAGAGACTTGTGATGTTGAAGTTGTTGGATGTTGACACTGTGCATGAGTGACGTGAGTGTGGAAACACTTGTACAGACAGCGATGATGCAGACAAACGTGAAAAATACATGTACCGGTACACGTAGCACACGAAGCTCCGAGCAGATTCCGATATCATCACGAGACTTAATCGCTTTTGAAGACCCGGCTACATACTGATCTTACAACAATTCGCTACCTCTACATCAGTCCTCGTAATCCTCGAATCCCATTGCTTTTTACCGACTTTTCGGACTTCTCGGACTTGTCCTTCTTTTTGTTGTTTTGTGCACCACCTGTTTCGCACATCAGTAAATCATCGGTATCAGGATAGATGAACCAGAACTTACCGCGTCCATACATGCGAACCTCGGGTTTGGGCTTGCCGCCTTCTTGCCCAGGCTCTCCCGATACATCCGAACTGAAGCTAAAGACACTTCTGCTGCCTTCTTGACCAACAGACGAGGAAGGTGGCGAGCTCTGTTCAGATGCCAAGTATGATCGAGCGGCACCGTGTGCAGCTGAAGGATGGTGTGCATGCTTGGTGTAGTTGATGCCTTGCGCTCGAGCCATTGGGTGTGCGTTTTGAATTCGCTGCTGATAAGCGTCTATACGCAATGGACGTGCAGGGGGATAGCTTTGATTTAGTGAAGAAACTGGTGAGGCGGTCCTCCCAAAGTCCATGTGTGGTGCAAAGAACTCGGGCTGATCCATACCACGATCGGTATAGTATGCGCGACGTGAGCCAGCTGGACTATAGCTCCTGACACTGCCTTCCTGGTTGACATAAACAGATTCACCCGAGTGGCGGGGCGGAGGGTAAGCTCCATCCACACTTTCCGTAGCCTCTTTGAGTCGCAGTTCGTATTCTCGCATCTTGGCCTCATGAGCAGCTTTTAGTCTTTCAAGCTCTTGCTCGCGACGTTGCAAGATGAACTTTGTGCTCTCGAGCTCTTGTTTAGCCAATTCGTGTTCTGCACGGATGGATTCGAGTGCAATATCTTTATCGCGATAGTCCCGAAGTTGCCTCTGCAGCTCCACATTTTGATGGTCTGCTGCTTCTTGGTTCTTTATACGCGCCTCAAGAGTTTCGAGTTCCTCCTGCTTATTAGATTCACGTGATTCGCTTTCGACGAGAAGCAGACGAAGTTGATCGCAGTCCTTAGAGGCTTGAGTGAGGCGGAGTTGTAGTGTCTCTTGGTCGGCGAGTTCTCCCTTGAGGGTACGAATCTTTGCCATGAGTTGCTCTTCACTTTGCTTTGTATGAGTTCTGCGGGCCTGTGTTTCCTTTTGCATCTTCTCATTGAATTTGTTGGAGTCGCTCAGCTTCTTTTGCAGCGCGCGATTTGCATTGATCAGGGTGGCCGTTTCGGCCTCAACAGTAACAGCTTTGATGTGATTGCGTTTGAGCTGACCAATGGTAGCCACGTGTTGTTGCTTGAGGTAACGCTCGAATGTGAGTTCATTTCGTAGCAACATCAGCTCCCGCTGCAGATACGAGAGGTCCTTTGAGGATGCTGAATCGACCGAAAGTTCAGTTGGGCTTCGAGTAGGATGGCGAGGCAAGGTAGGGCTGTCTGGTTGTGATGGTTCCGAGACAGAGGCTAAGAAACTAGGCACTGCCGGCAGCTTTGTCGATGGAGGAGGTGCGGGACTCTTGAACATAGGATGCTCGCCTGCGTAAAGACCATGGCATTCTGCGATGACTTCTGAAGGCTCGGCCTTGAGCCAGCGGTTCTCGGTCAACTCCTCTTCGATTGTGGTAGCAAAAAAGCTTGGATGCAGGAAGTGAACACGCTGGAATTGCTCAGTGCGGCTTCTGATGACGGTCTGGTCCAGATCGAATTCGTCGGCACCGGGGAAATCGATGTTCTTGAGATACTTTCGAGGCTTCCTGACATAGCTCATGAAGTTGAGAGGATACAGGCCGTACAAGTAAGTAAAGTAATGTAACAACTCGGGGGCGGAAGATTCGGGCATATCGGGTAAAGCGCGCAGAGTTTGCCAGGTAGGATCATCTCCATGCTCTTGATCGGAGTCAAGATCAGAATCAGAGTCGCGGCGAACGCGATCATCAGTAACAAGGTCGCGCTGAGCCTTAGTACTCGAGGCACTGAACTTCTCCCAGCACAGGCAGCGGCTGTAGACCAAGAACAACCTCGGAAGCTGAGATGCTACAGTGGCAGGAATGTGTGGGAGCAGCATGATGAGGCATCGCAGGGCAGCTGAGACAACGACTGTGGCTGTGTCGTTCATGAGGCATTTGAGAAGATGCTCGACTACAGTGGTGTCGAGGACCAGGTGCAAATGGGCATGTTGCTGTTCAAGAACGGCAGCAAGCAGATCGAGGGCTTGCATGCGTGTTTGGGGTTGTACGAGGAAATGGTCAACCGAGACGAAGAAGTCGCGCGGATTCTTGCGAGCAAAGGTGATCAGCATGACCTGAAGCTGGCAAGCGGCGTGGTCCTCAGTCTGGATGGACGAAGCGTCCGGACGAGGGGTTGTATGTGAGAGCAAAGCGTCGAGAAGGATGTGGGAGAGATGGGCAGCAGCGCGAGCCTTGTCACGGGCATCCTGGCTCTCAGTGTCATATGCGAGCGAGTCGAGGACAAAGTCTTGAGCGTCCGACATGGCAACTCGGCTGGTGCCAGGCAGATGGACAAAGGGTATGATGGCACATTGGAACCAGATGGCAAGACGGTCTTGGGTGGCTATGGCAGGGCGGAGGGCTTTGAGAACAGAGACGAATGCCGGCAGCTTGTTCGCATGCGCCTCGACGTGGTGGCCGTAGATGGCGCGCAGTTCATCGTGTAGACCTTCTCCTTCCTTCCTCGCCTTTGCGACATATACAGTAAGGATGCGTATCAGATCGTCGGGGAGCGGGTGTTGTGGTGCGTCGGCGTGGCCAAAGGTTGCGTTCAGAGCTGCGACGACGTCGTTTAAAGATCTGTTTCTGCAGGCGTCAGCTCCGTGACACCAAAGTCAGGCAGGCACGTTTACACTGAAGCCATGATTGCGCGGCAAAGCGCTCCAGTTGGAGAAAGTCGACAAGTGCTGCTGATCGGGGCAGGCGTGCCAGCTCAAGACATGTTTTGGTTGCCAGTCTTCATTCACTTCGTCCGTGTCAAAGAATCCTCCTCTGTGTCCACTCTGCATCCAGCATTGCCGACCGCGCGTCAAATTCCTATTGCGTCTGTCAAAACATGGACAAAGATGCCTTTGTTATCGATACTATCAGCCTTGTTCCATCAAAGAGCCCACCAGAGATAAGCCGTAACACGGTGCATCCAATGTTAACGACCATCGTCATCGTCTTGTCTTTGGTTGTGCCTGCACTCGGCCCGTCCTGGGCCGTCCCAGGCCCCGCCTGCTGTTCCGTGACTAGCCGCCCTGTCACGCCCTCGTCTGCTTGAATCACCGTCCTCGTGCCTGAATCATAAACGAACCGAACTACTGTTCCATTCTCATGGCAGATCCATGTACTATACAAATCTTTTATCTAATCCAAACATTTGCCCGCCCGCCCGCTCCAGAACGCCAATCTACATGCTGATGGAACAACTTGACAAAATCGAGGGTATATCCTTATCTTACTCTTCATCCGATTCAACCTCGGCCGTCTGTATCTGTGTCAGTCTGATGTGTCAAGCAATGGATGAGTATCAGTACTTACGTCGTGGTGGAAGAACTTGCCCTCGGTTGTGGGCTTAATCATGCCAATGCGAATGCAGAAGTCTCCGAACTGCTCGCCGTCGTTTCTCTCGGCCGCGTAGCGCTTGAGCAGCGGCTTCATGATGCTGAGAATCTCCTCCTCCATGATGGAACTGCGGAAGAGCTTGTTCAGACGTTGACCGTGGTAACCACCGCCAAGGTACATGTTGTATGCACCAAACGCCTTACCGACAAACGCCACCTCGGCGAGCCAAGGACGGGCACAACCGTTGGGACAACCAGTCATGCGCATGACGATGCTGTCTTGACGAAGACCATTCTCCTCCAGCACACCCTCAAGCTTGGTGATGAGCTCAGGCAGGTAACGCTCAGACTCTGCCATAGCGAGACCACAAGTGGGGAAAGCCACACAGGCACTACTGCTAAGACGCAGTCCACTGAAGTTGGTGTTGTCGAGCTTGTACTTGGCCAACATCTCCTTCATCTTGGGCAGCTCCTCATCGCTGACATTGGACAGAATGAGATGCTGGTTGCCAGTGAGGCGGAACTCACCCTTGTGTGCCTTGGCAATCTCCAGCAGACCGGACTTCATCGGGAAATCGGCAGTGTCCTCGATACGTCCGTTCTCGATGAACATGGTGAAGTGGTTCAGACCGTGCTCATCCTTCTGCCAGCCAAAGGTGTCGATGTTGCTCTTGAAGTGGAAGGGACGAGCCTCCTCAAACTGCTCACCCCAGTACTTCTCGACCTCTGCCTTGAAGACGTCAACACCCATGTCGTCCATGGTGTACTTCAGACGAGCATGCTTGCGGTTCTTGCGATCACCGTTGTCGCGCTGGACAAGCATGACCTTCTCGCAAGCAATGTGAACCTTATCCTTGGAAACGTAACCGAGCATACTGCCAGTGCGAGGGTATGTCTTCTTGTTGTTGTGAGTAGTTCCCATACCACCACCAGCAAGCAAGTTGAATCCAGCAAGATGTCCGTCCTCACCCTTGATGGCGATGAGACCAACATCGTGAGCGTAAACGTCAGTGTCGTTGTGGGGAGGAATGGCGATAGTGATCTTGAACTTGCGAGGCAGGTAGGTAGGGCCGTACATAGGCTCGTGGTCCTGAACAGCGTCTCCAGCAACCTGAGTCTTGACGTCGTTCTCGTCCTTGAGCCAAATCTCGTGATAAGCAGTAGTGGCAGGCAAGAGATGGTCGCTGATCAGCTTGGAGCTTGCATGAACCTCGGCATGGTACTCAGAGTGCTCGGGCAAACTGCTGCACATGACGTTACGGTTAACATCACCACAAGCGGCAATGGTGGTCATGAGGGCCTTGTTGATAGCCTGCATGGCCGGCTTCAGCTTGGTCTTGACAACACCGTGGAACTGGAAGGTTTGACGGGTGGTCAACTTCATAGTCTCGTTACCCAAAGTCGAAGCGATAGCGTCCATCTGGACCCACTGGTCTGGGGTAGCAACACCACCAGGCAGACGACAACGGATCATGAAAGAGTATGCAGGCTCGAGGCCCTGGGCCTTGCGCTCGTCTCTAAGATCACGATCATCCTGCATGTATGTACCGTGGAACTTGGTCAGCTGCTGGTCGGCAGCGGAGATGGCTGCGGTGGACTGATCTTGAAGACCCTCCACGATGGTTCCACGAAGGAAGTTCGAGTTGATCTTGATGTCCTCGTTGGTGATCGGTGGGGGCTCATCAGGAAGTCCTTCGACGTTGCCGACGCCCAGAGCGTCCCAGAGCTTGGGTTCCCACAAGTTGTAAGCAGTTTGGTAACCATCGGGGTCCTGGTCGTCACCAAGACCGCAATCAACAAGAGACTTGCCACCAAGAGTGACAACTCTGGCGTAAAGGTCCTTTGCAGGCTTGTTGTAGTAGATCTTGTCTTCCTTTCTAGGCCAGTAGTGGCTGTCTCCAAGACCAAAGACGGAGAAGTTAAGGCTGGCAAGATCCAAATCGGTGGAGTTCTTGACACCCTCCCAGAAGTTTCTACCGTTCTGAGGGAACTCACCCTGACCAGCTACACTCGCGATCATGACAACGTTCTCTTCGGTCGAGAGATCTTCCAGAGGGTACTCGTCCATAGCCATAACCATGGTCTTCAATCCTCTGGCCTTGCCACGGTTACCCAGACGCTTAGCCAGATTCTCGGAGTTGCCGTTGTCCGAAGCGAACAAGATGGTAAGAGGAGCGCCCTGCAGACCCTCGAGGAGACTGCTGTAGGCGTCCTTGGCCTTGCGCTTCTGCAGCTGACGGACCTCAGATCCGTAGGACTGCGAAAGGTTTGCGCTGAACTGAGGGTGTCTCTTCATCAGTTGGGTCAGGTAGTTGTCTCTCTTGAGGAACTCCTTGAGCTCCTGTCTGATGCGCTCTGAATCCAGCTGGAAGTTTTCTTCGCCGTTCTCCTCTGCGCGAGGGTTCCATCGGTAAAGGGGCCAGTAACCAATGTCAACGGCCTTCTTGGTCTCCTGAAGAACAGACAGTGGCGAGTCGGTCTCCTTGGTGTAAGGCAGGTAGGCAACAACGACCGAGGGTCCGTTGAATTGCTCGGCCTCAAGCATGGACTGCAGAACCTGGGTGTAAGAGCTGTAGACAGCAACAGAGGCGACGTAGGCATTGCCAAAGTTCATGGCGTAAAGACCAATGTCCTTCTTTCTTCTTGAGGCATCAGCAGCAGCTCTCTCCGAGTAGGGCTGCGAGTCAATGATGAGCATGTTGACGTTCTTGTCAGATGCGAGAACGTGGTGAACACCAGAGTTGCCCAAGTCGTAGGACCATGCATCTGAACCGATCAACCATTGCGACTCCTTGAAAAAGAGCCCCTTGTTGGTCAGAAGCTCAGTAGCCAAGGCAGACTTGTCGCTGCTCAAGCCAGAGATGACCTCAGGGGCAAGATTGTTTGCCTTGGAGGCCTGCTGAGCGTCGAGAAGCCATTGGGAGAGTTGCTGCTTAGGGGCATCGGTGGCGAAGTCACCGGACTTAGCAGCCGTCTGGACTTCAGAGATGAATCGTTCTCTGTGCTCAGAGCGTGCCACGAGAGAACCGAAACCGTATTCGGGAGTTGCGCTGATCTCGTTCGAAACGCCTGCATTGTCAGCTCCAAGTCTGTTGGCAACGTGAAGACGGTCTCCGAACAGTTGGTCGAGGATCTTCATGTATGCATTCTCAACCTTGGGCTGCTCCAACTCGAAGCCCTTCTCAGCGTCTTTGGGACCCTCGTGGTTTCCGATCTCGAGATTCTGAATAGGCGAAGGAGAAGACAAGTTCTGGAAAATGCCCTTCAGTGCCTGGCGAATTGTGGAAGGCTCGATGTAACCAAGCTGGTGACCGACAATCAGAGGACCAGTGCTTCCAGCAGTCTTGATGGAAATGAGAAGGTCGAGAAGGAGAGGACCCCAGCGAGTGGTCTTACGGCGAATCTGCTCCAGCACGGCAATCCTCTTCAAACTCTTGGGCAGAGTCTGAAGAAGCTTAGCACCCAACCAGGGTCTGTAGAGGCGTGCGGTCACGATACCAGCACCGTAGAATTCATCTGAAGAGCTGGCTTTGTCGACTTCCTGAGCGAAGAGAGCGGTATCAGATCCAAACAAGAAAACGGCTGACTCTGCGTCCTCGGGACCAGAGTATTCAAAGGCCTTGTACCTTCTTCCGGTTGACTCGTATAGTTCGGCCCAGATCTGAGTGGTGAAAGTGTCGATATCCTCAGAAGTGATGGGGCGGCTTGACACAGACTCGACAGAAGTGGCGTTAGAAGAGACGACGGATGCGCTGTCGCTGCTACCATTGCGACCGTCAGAGCTCGAGCCGCTGGACGATTCACGATCGCTTGTCTGGACAGATGAAGACTTCTCCTCAGGTGCGCCAGCGCGTTCGGATACGGCTGAGCCGTTGGCGACGGCAACACCAGTGGCGGTACGAGTGGCGACCTTTCCGTCGTCTGCATAAAGACCGGACTCAGTGGAGCCAGCGCGGGAGTGTTGCTCAATCTTCAAAATCTTTCTGACCAGCTCTCTGTCTTCCTGTTCAATAGGATTGTCATTGGCGAGGTTGGCAGAGTCGAAGAAGTGAATGACACCCTTGCCGGATTGAATGGCCAAGGCATGTGCAGTCACAGCAAGATCTTGCGCCTCCTGCAATGACTCAGACTGAAGGAACGTGAAGCCAGACTGTCTGATGGAGGTGATGTCCGAGTAGTCGGGGTAGCCAGCTGGTTGCAGTGCTACGTGCAAGACGACGGGGTATTGTGCGAGCTTGTAAAGGTGAGGAACGGCGCGGACCAAGATCGAGGACGAGGTTGTCACTGAGACGAGCTTGCCGGAGCGAAGAGGTTGGAAGGCAGAGAGCAGAGGGTCTGCATTGTGCTTAACAGGGACAATCTGAGGTGGGAATTGGTTAGTCGTAGATGAACCCAAGGAAGGGGGCAAAAACATACCTCGGGCGACGTCGAGATCAGACCTGAAGCCTTGTTCTGTTGATAAGTTGTGAAGAAGTTGGAGAAGTCGGAGTCTGAAGCGAGAGTAGGCTGGACGGAGACGACAAGGTCGCTGGCCAGGTATGCAATGCGTGCGACTGTGTGTGGTCAGCCAAAAGTCCATGGTTGGTCAGCATCTAGGATTCTTGCTTACCGGCCTCTCCAGCAGTCAAGATGGAAGCCATGGCCGCAGTGGTAAGCGGAATAACGAACTCGACAAGAGTTCTAGACAGATATGAGAGTCCTGAGGAGAAGGAGAAAGTAGAACAATGGGAAGGGCACAAGTAGTGGGGGCAATATAGATTTGAAAAATAACCCGAGAGGTGGGAGGCGGCGGGCGGTTGTTCAGGGCGTGACCAGAATTGCCGTTCAATTGCTCATCTCAGACCGAGTATTCCATCAATCGCCTCTGGTGCACGCCGGCATCCAGTGACATTTTGCTAGACCCAGGGATGGCGACATCAGCAACCAGAGCGATCTCGGCCGCTTCGACCTTTGAGCCGGCCACTATGACCTTCTAAATGATTCGCTATCATTGGTTACCAGCCATACCCCATATGCGTTGCCAAGCCAGATCTGGAGGGGATCTTTGTTTGCTGTCTCCCGTGTGAAACCTTGTAACGCGTCTAGTTGTAAAAATGCACAGTACTTTTAGTGGACAATATCTACCGAGAAGGGATGGACGACACACCGAATCTCTTTGGATACGTCTCTACTTGAGACACAATTGTGCATTTCTGTAAGGCTACTTCCGCTCTCAACCTTCGCCGGGGAGACGTGGTAGTTACAAACTTAGCACTGGCGGAGGTAGGGCAATCAATCTCGCGAGCTAATCCCGAGCCTTAGTGGACAGTTTACAAAGCCCGACTGTTCAGCACTCACCACATGAATCAACCACACGGCTTACACCGCGCTTCTCGTGTTGAGCTTTGCGCCTCAGCCTAGCTTTGCCTCATACACAAAGTCATTGTCGTCACTACTCTGTTCGGGGTTTCTTCGAGTTCATGTCGAACTTCTGCTTGCCACCGCCACTGTGTATAAGTCCGAGAAGTCATATAGTATCTTCGACGAAGACGTGCGCTCCACGCGTGTAATTGGAAGAATGTTCATGGTCTGTCTTGCATTGGTTCTGCTGATATCATCGGTCTCTGCCTAGTCTCTCCTCATCATCCTGGACCAACTCGTATGCGGGTCTATATGAACCGTTCTCGCTGTTCGCCTTCAGAACAGGGTTCGGATGTGTATCTGTAGTTCCTCCAAGAGATGTGTAGCCCTTGTCGTAGAGCGAGCAATAAGGTATGTTCAGGTGTCGTATAAACTATAGCTGAGATTAGTTGGGCTTTCTTGATGCGTATGTTAAAGTGACAAACTCACAGTCCACACTTCAGCATAGTGCCAGTCTATCACGGGATGTATCCTCATAAATGCGGGCCACCCTCTGTCCGTCGGGTCGAAGTACTTTAGTGTGGCTCCATGAGGATCTGTCCGCCGCGTGCCCACAAAGATTGCTTTGACGTGGGCGTGGTCGTGCAGATAGTTCTCAAAGGCCGTTCGCATGGATTCGGCATAGCGAGCCAGATCCAGATGATATGTGTCGATGGACAATTGTACAAAGTCCTCGACTTCGGTGAATGGATGAGGCGACACGATATAGACGGACTGCAGCTTGTCCGGCAGCGGCGTTGCCGTCTTGACCGAGTGTGCGTGCAAGGCGGCGAGATAGAGGATGAGGAGGACTAGACAGTCCTTGCCACCATTGTACGAGAAGGAGAGTTCGGTGAGACTAGATTGCTTATCAGCCAAGTTCGACACAGCAACCAATGCAGACAACTGACCTATATCGCTCGAGCGCCTCTTCGAGAACCCTGAGACTCAGCCGAGTCTGGTCCTGTACACCCTGCAGGCGGTCGGTGGATGCTTGGGCGGCCAGGAAAGCCGTGACTCTGGCATGGACCTTTGCGCAGAGGGCGGGCAGGTGCTCCTCCTGGCCGGGAGCTATGGTTTCGGTGCGGCCCTGGTCATCGCTGCGGATTCCAAGGAGCGTCTCTGGCATTACGATGCGTCGGCATGCGAGACACAATCTCGAGCATGCATGGGAGTTGCTGTCCAGAAGACACGTCGGATGCCGTCACGCCGGGAGCCCGCCATACGTGGGGCAATCAGCAATGCCGAGACCCCGCGTCGGCCAAACATCCCGGCTCATACCCGTTCCTCACAGCTTCCTTGAGTATTGATAGGTATTCACGCGAACGCAGTTGATGGACAAGAGGCAACAAGAGCTGCCAATGTATACATATATCTATGCAACACAATACTAGCTATCCACACAGAGACGCCCCTAAGAGTTCCCTTGGGCGTTTCTCTCCTGAGCTTCTTCAACAGCCTTCTCCCAGCTAGTCGTGTAGATGAACCAGCACTCGACGGCAGCAACAATCATAAGTGCAATCGCAGGACCCTGGAGATTACAAATCAGCAAATGGTCAAGATACTAAGGTAAAGAGACTACTCACGGCCCATAGTCCATAGAGATCCCAATGCAAACCGAATCCAGTTCCGAATGAGATGGGCATAGCAATCTACGAATGATTAGCGGACGGCCAAACCCAACAAACAGATTTGACTTACGACATAGTAAGCAAACAGGTTCACGTAGCCTCCTACTTCTTGCCGACCAAGGCCACGCAGGATACCGTTGCAAAGAGCTGCGATTGAGTCAAACAGTTGGAAGGCGGCGTTCAAAGGCAATGTTTTGGCCGTGAGCGCAATGACATCGGCATCGTTGGTAAACAGCCTCGGGATGTACTCTCTGCAAGAGCTCAACAAGATCATGTTGAAAATGCCCACGATCAAGGCAGCATACAGTGAGACCTTGGCATTGACCTTTGCAGCGTCTGAAAGTGTTGCGCCAATGAGATTTGCAATGCGGGTGCTTGCTGCGATACTGATTGGGAAGGGGATCTGGTAGGTAATGCTCGAGATTGTGCTGAGAACGCTTTGTGTCGCGAGATGAGTTGGTGAAATCCAGCTTGCCGAGAGCGTCAAGATCTCGAAAGCCAGGTATTCGGCAAGAACCATTACAAGTCCAGGGAGAGCAAGCCTGATCATCGGCATCCAGTTCTTGAAAGCGAGACGAGTAAATCCTCCCCAACACTCTGAGCCGCCAACGAAACGAACGTAGAGGAACAGGCACAGTGGCATCAGGTTCTCTATGGTCACCACAGCAATGGGAGCTCCGATAAATCCCCAATTCAGTTTCTGTGTTCTGTCAGTGCTGAATGAAGAGTCTGGCATTCGGTAAAACATACCCAGACAAAGAGCCAGTGCAGGAAAACATTGAGAGGCGCACACACCAGAAGCACAATGAGTGTTGCAGAGAACTTTCCTTGTGCCTGCACGAATCTTTTTCCTGCTTCAAATGCAGCATACCCCGGAGTGCCAAATACAAGGACCTGAAGGTATCGTCCTGCTAAGTTTGCAGTCGCCTCGTCAGGCACGATTGCGCCAATGATTCTCGGTCCGTTTGTCCATACAATAGCGATGGGGATCGTGATCACCCACAAGAAGTAAACCATACGTTGAAGCTGGAGGCCAACCAGAGTCCTATTACCCGAGCCTAGCATGGTAAAGTCAGCATGTTTTGAGGGGACTGGATGGCAATAACATCACGGCTATGCTAGGTGTGTTCGCTCAACTCTATAATGCGGGCCCACATCGAGAGAACAATCATTCTAGATGGGCCCTCCGTATCAAGTGAGAAGAGACGCGAGCAGTAGTCGTGATGCCGTACACTGGGGAATCTTACCGTAGGCTTGGGGGCATAGTGTGTCTAGACTAGTAGCCAGTCCTTGGAACATGGCATAGCCGGTGATGTTGGCACTCATTGAAGCGAGAGAGACGGCCCCCAATTCGGTCTTGCCAATGTGGCCAACCGTGAAGACCGAAGTGACAGTCAGGGAATATTGTAATAAGAACGTCAAGATCAACGAACGCGAGTATCTCGCCAAAACGACTGCTTCTCTTTGCCAGGTTGTTTTGATCTTTCCCGATGCGACGGCCTCTTCCCACCTCTTGTCGATATCCTCAGGAGAATCAACTCCGCCGTATGGCTCAGCTGGATTACCCAGCAGAGAGGTGTTCTCGTCCGGCCCTCCATCCTCGATGGCCGACTCTCCGTCGGCACTACCTTTTCTAGGCACAAATCCACCGGCAAAGTTCTTTTGCAACAATCCGCTGGACTTGTTTGACACGGTACTTTTGGTGCGTGGGTGTTTTGGAGGAATCAACTGGTTGTCCCGCAAAAGACTTCGTTCTTCGGCGAGGGCAGCCTCGCGGTCTTGTTCGTTCGCTCGTTTCGAGTCTGGCGCTGAAGCTGAAGGGAAGAATGGGCGTGGCCCAGATGCGACATAGGAAGTTCTTCGGTATGAGCCAGACATGGAATACTGCTGTTCGTGGCCGGCCATGTGGTTGTCACCTCCGCCCACAGCGATACCAGCTTCCGGGTCTTCGTTCTCTTCCTCTTCTTCGGCGTCCGCCAGATCCCTCAGGATAGATTGTTGAGCCCACGGAGAGGAGGATAGAAAACCATTGGACGATCGCGCAGAGGTGCTGACTGCAGGTCTACTCATTGCGTTGACGATGCGCTCGGTGTGCTCTGAGCTGGTTGGGTCGGTTGAGAAGGGTGTTGATGTTAGGAGATGATATGATATACTCGAGAGAAAAGAAACGGTGTCTGGATATACTATTAAGGCATATCAAGCGTGGTGAAAAAGACCTTCACCTCGATAGATGATGATCGAAGACACCCTTCGCCGCCTTGTCCGCGACTTGGTCGAGGAACCTTAAATTACGTGACGGGAAAACAGTTAGCGCGATAAGCACATCGTTGCAGTGTGGAGAGGTCGAGGCTCGTGCCCATTGAGTTTCCTGTAAGGGCATGCAGATCCGAACGTCAGCTCCAGTGTAATCCGCTCATCACCATGCTGATACAGGCTTCTATGATCCGGTGAGTGGCATGTGTCATACAGCTATACCGCAACCAAGGTGTCGAGCAAAGCCAAGCCCAAACGTGCAGCCACGCCTACCTTCTCACGTGGTGGGTCACACGAGCCCTGCTGGAAATCTTGGAGACAAAATACGAGCTTTGCTTCATACAGGCCTTGTCACTTTGAGTAGTCTTGTGGATGTCCATCGCCCTTCGGCCCACTTCGCTCTTCAGCAAACAAGACCGATGCTGGAGCAATCTTGCTCTGGACCTAGAAACAGGTGTTCGTCGGCAAATCTTCATACGAAGCTGATGTTCCAGGTCGACAGGGGATAGCTTGACATCGGAGGTGTTGTCAGGGACCTTAGGTGAAGATAATGGATTCTCTGTGTCATTACCAGGGAATCTTCATGGTAAGGATCAAGCACAAAATCGCAGGACCTCCCGAAAATAGCACAAGTACCCAGGCGGGCACCGAAAATGAAAGGAACGTCGAGAAGAAGGTAAAGAGAGGGCACCGACCTTAACAGAAGCATTCTCGCACTCACCTGCAAGTACCGTCTGTACCGTCGAGCCTCGACAGCCCTAGTGAAGGCGGAACCGCGGTATAGAAGCTGTGTCAGAGGTGCGAGAGCATGTCTTTGCCAAGGCAGGTGCACGTGTGTTACAATTGAATGTCTGAGACAATTGGAAGTTCGAAGTGAGGGATGCTTGCAGGTTAGCAAGAGTGAAAGTCACCGAACGGAATAACCACATGCGTCTGCTTGATGCTCAGACGGGAGCGACTCGTTTGTTTGCGCACTCACTCCGTTTGTTCACGAAGTTGCTTCACCAAGCTTTGTTCTCCTCCCTTTCTCTCTTCTCTTCTCAATTCTCATTCCAGCGCAGAGATCCAACCTCTTCGTCATCACCCTCTTTTTGATCTCAAGCATCAAGCCCTTCACTCTTCGTCATCATGGCTGACATCTTCTCCTCGCACCCGTACAACAGCTTCAAGACCATTCATCCTGCCACTCATCATTGCGATGTGTGCGACAACACCCTGGCCTACAAGGATAGGGCTGCCCACGAGCGCAGCAAGAAGCACAAGGCTGGACTGGACAAGCTGAAGGCCCAGGAGGCTGCCGCCAATGGCTTCTCGACCAACGGCGGCAACGAGAACCTCGACCCTAATGCCTGCCACAACTGTGGACAGCGTCAGTGACTCCAACAATGTTCCATCTTCTGCATCCATCACTGACCCTCTGCTAGCTGGTCACATGTCCAGGGAGTGCCCCGAGCCCAGAAAGAAGACCGGTGCCTGCTTCAACTGCGGCGAGATCGGGTAAGCATGCCAGGTATTCAAATGTGTCTGCAATTTGCTAAGCACCTCCATAGCCACAGCAAGAACGAGTGCAACAACCCGGCTGCCATCATCTGCAAGAACTGCAACGATCAAGGACACATGTCTCGCGAGTGTCCCGAGCCTCGCTCCGCTGCAGGTGTCACCTGCAACAACTGCGGCGACCTCGGTCACTTCTCCCGTGACTGCCCTAAGCCCAGGGATTATTCCAAGGTCATCTGTAACCAGTGTGGTCTCGGTAAGTACATCCATGTATGCGCTGAGTTAGACCAAGAAAATAACACTTGACAGCCGGTCACACCGTCCGCCGCTGCGCTACCGACCCTGCCGACTACGTCCAGAACAGCGCTGGCTTTGGCGACGATGCTGCCACTGCTCCCTCCGGCAACGATGACTGGATGAACCAAAGTACCGGCGGCGCTGCTGAGCCTGCTGTTGTCGAGGGCGACTGGATGAACGGCACCACAGATGCTGCTGCTGGCGAGGAATGGGGTGCTGCTCCTGGCGCTGCCGCTTGGTAGAAGGCTGCGAGGCATGCTTGTCATTCTCATGTTTTAATGAGGCGTAAGATAATTCTCGCATGTAGCAGGCCTTTCGGTGAATTAGGAAGGTGTCCAAGACTCTTTCAGGACTGATGGCTACATAATGTCTCCAGTCAAGTAGCTGTTTCTCGCACAAAATGCAAAAAGTTCGACCAGACCTTGAATCTTCTCCAGGAGCATCGTTACCAGAAATCTCATGAGGATCATGTCAACAAATCCTGATGATGTGGGTTATAGAGTGTACAAGTTCTGTGCAAACCGAAGGCTCAGTTTGAGGGGTGAAGTTCGTATTTGGTGCTTGTATGTTCTAATGCAAATGCAACTGGGTATCTATAATCTCATCCTCTGTTCAAAGTGTTACCAGCACCTTTGGGGTTGTGTTCAACATATTCATCCCAAGCTCTGGCTTTCATGGTCTCTTCATCCGCCTTATCCAAATCATCCTCATCGACCTCTGGTTGAATGCCCGACTGTGCGCCTCCACCCTCGATCATACCTCCACGACGTTTCTCTTCTTCAAGATACTCGTCAATAGTCATGGTGGGTAGACTGTGGTCGGGGCGGAAGACGCCAGCCTGCATTGTCTGGCGAGTGTTGAGCAGGGTGAACGGGCGCAGCGGTTTGCCATCTTTGCTTAGCATAGGACCTGACAGGCCGGCAGACATAGGACCGTCTAGTTTCTCCGAGTAGCCATCGTCGGATTTGTGGCGCTCTCTGATATCAGAAAGCCCTTGCTGCTGGCCTGGCGGTGGAGGTGGGGGAGCTCTTGAAAGAATGTGAAGCTCTTGGGCTAGGGACTCCAGAGACTGGAAAGTTTGATGAACGCAGAAGTCGATTTGGGTCAACTTCAGGCGGCGGTGCATGTCATCGTCATTCTGTAGAGCAGCAGGGTTTTGCTCCAAGTGTTGTAGCTTTTGCTTGAGGTCCTTCTCTTGCTTGAAACGTAAAATCTTCCTTTCGCGGCGGGCTGCGGGATCCGAGGTCGAGGCAGTGGAAAAGACGGCCGGGTCTTCGCGGTATTGCTCGAGCAGTTTCAGGTCGGAAGGGGATAGCAGGTCGTACAAGTCGAGCTGGCGGAGGAACTTCTCATACGAGTCTTGGGCGCGGCGCAAAAGGGCTTTGCGATCCTCAGACGACAAGCGCTGGACCAAGTTGGCAAGGTGGTATTGGGTGAGGAGATGGTGCAAGTCGTTGGTGGCAATATCATCGGAAGACTCATTGGGACTGAAGAGAGCGATTTGGTCCTGGAGGCGCAGACACTGCTCGTAACTGCTGACGGCGGCGTTGACCAGCGCTTGGTGAGCGGCCGAGTTCGTGTCCCATGAGCTCTCAATCTGCCTACGCTTGCCTTCGGCCGCCTGCCATAGCGTGCGGAGTGATTGTGGCTCTTCAGACATTTTATCGTGGTGGTGATGTGGAATGTTTATTGCCAGAACTTTTGGTCGCATTTGACATCATGCAACATGCGAGCGTGAGACGTGCCCCTCTTCTTTTGCCAGCTCCCGCCAACACACTCCAGTCACTGCTGCAACCTGTCTTTCTCGTGACTCTAGCATACCTCCTGCAGCGTGCCGAGTACTCGGTGGTTGAATTGTAGAGACAAAGCATATTTGCAACAGCGTAGGTAGCGCCGGCCTCCTGCATCTATCTGACAGGTCCATTGTTCGTCACTTTTTCCAGCAAACACCATCGCCCTTTCCATTCACGGCTTGCGTCTCCCTCGCGCTACCACATCCATCTCCCTGTCCCTTATCCCCTTGCCTCACTCTCCATCCAGTACCTCAGTGCCAGTTCTTCTCCATTCAACGCCCATCTCGAATGGTAGGTATTATCAGATGAATGCTGATATGGCCACCACCCCGGCCCTCGAAAAGTCACCTACCGACAGTGACAGCGATAGTGACGCTGATGTTGACTCATCGCCTATTGCGCTCTCGTCTACAGAGAAGCGCCGGGATCGTAAGCTCCGCTTCCAAGCATGGTTGCAGAGTACTGCCGTCAAGGAGATCCGTACTGCCATAAAAGACAACAATCGTCCTGAAGCTGCCGAGGAACTGTCCATCCGCCAGCTACTTGCCAGCCAAGAACCCACTCGGATCATCACCACCCCTAGAGAGTATCAGCTTGAGCTCTTCCAGCGTGCTACTCAGCAGAACACAATCGCTGTTCTTGATACCGGTTCTGGCAAGACGTTGATCGCTGTCCTTCTCTTGCGCCACACTATCGCTGAAGAGCTTCAAAATCGCCTACAGGGCAAGCCTCATCGCATCTCTTTCTTCCTCGTGCCGTCTGTCCCACTGGTCTTCCAACAGTTTGCCGTGCTCGAGCGCAATCTCGACTATGATGTGGATCGTTTGTGTGGCGCCATGATGCCCGACAAGTGGAGTAAACGCGTCTGGGACGAGCGGTTTGCCAAATGTCATGTCATCGTCTGTACTCCTGACGTCCTCAAGGGTTGTTTGACCTGCTCCTTCATCTCCATGCGCCAAATCAATCTCCTGATATTCGATGAAGCCCATCATGCAAAGAAAGGTCACGCATACGCTCAGATTATCAAAGACTTCTATCTCACCGATGTTGACGAGCTGTCTCGGCCCAGAATTTTTGGTATGACGGCCTCACCTGTCGATGCAAAGGTCGATGTTCGTCAAGCCGCCAGGTCTGTCTCTTCGCCTATCTGATCAATATTTACCTTCCGCTGATGAAAAACATAGCGACCTCGAATGCATCTTACACAGCAAGATAGCCACTGCAAACGACCTCTCGTTACTCCAAAATGCAATAACCAAGCCAAGTGAAGAGTTTTTGAATTACACGACATCTCGCGCCATCTCTCCGCCTAGTCAGCTCTTTCAAAATTTGAAAAGTCAATTTGGCAGGATCAAATTTCTTGACGGCTTGTTCGACCGTGCAACCGGAGTTCGGTCTCATCTTGGTGACTGGTGTGCGGACCGTTACTGGGGTTTTGCATTGGCCGAGGAACGCTCGAAGAAGATGGAATCTCGTGTCGAAAGGGCTGCCCGATTGGATGGTTCAACGGCACTGGCCGACTTCCAGATCGAAGAGATTGGCAAAGCCATGGCAATCATCTCGAATCACGACTTTGGAAGCCCTCGAGCTGATCAAGCGGACCTCAGCCACAAGGTCCGTCAACTGTGTGTTTACCTGACGCAGCAATTCGAGCGCCACACCGAGCAACGCTGCATCGTGTTTGTTGAGCACCGCAGCACTGCATATCTACTTCACAAGGTCTTTGAACATGTTGGCGGGCCTCACTTGCACCCAGGTCTACTCATTGGAGCGAGCAACGGTCGTCTAGACGACAACCAATCGACTTTCCGCAATCAAGTGGTTACTCTCGTCAAGTTCCGTAAGGGTGAACTGAATTGTCTGTTTGCAACTTCCGTCGCTGAAGAAGGTCTCGACATCCCGGACTGCAATCTGGTCGTACGTTTCGACATTTGCAAGACAATGATTCAGTATGTACAGTCTCGTGGGCGCGCCAGGCACAAAAACTCCAAGCTTCTACATATGAAGGAGAAGGAGAATTGGGACCATGACAACACCTTGTCGGAGAATCGTGGAGCAGAGCATGTTATGCGTACCTTTTGCAAAGGTTTACCCGCTGATCGTCAATTGGATGGTGATGATGACATGGTCTTTTCTAGAGACATGGTCAGTCTCTATCCTACTTATACGATAGCTAGTACCGGCGCAAAGATCACTTTCGGCTCCGCTCTTCAAATCTTGTCACATTTCGTAGACAGTTTGCCAAAAGATGGCGAGGAAGCTCTGCAGCCTACTTACATTACCACATCTCAAACTGGACGGTTCATCTGTGAAGTGGTGATTCCTGAACCTTCACCTATTCGCTCGGCAACAGGTGAATCTATGACGAGAAAGTCACTTGCCAAACGCTCAGCTGCATTCAAAGCTTGCAAGGAACTTGTTTTGGCGCAACATCTCGATTCCAATCTAGTCCCTGTCTACACCAAGAAACTGCCATCTATGCGCAACGCAGCACTAGCGTTGACCTCGAAGCAAGCCGGTATGTACGACATGCGCGTCAAACCTCGTGTCTGGGAAGACAACAGAGGTTCAATGCCTTCCTTGGTGTACCTCACTCGCATAGACTTCTCCGAGGGGCTGGATCGTTCTCATCAGCCTATGCTTCTTGTCACGAGAAGTCCAATGCCTACCTTTCCCAGGTTCCCTCTGTTTCTGAACGATGGCTGCAAGACCAACGTGGAGTTGACATCACTCACACCAGGTTGCAGAGTGTCCGAGACCGAGCTGACTAAATTCACTTCGTTCACTCTACGTGTTTTCAAAGACCTTTACAACAAGACCTACGAGTTTGACGTCGCAAAGATGTCTTACTGGCTCGTACCGTTCGAGCAGTCCGTTCAGCTTGCAGATACTAACTCTGCCTCCCTTGAACTCATCGATTGGACCATTGTGGACTACGTCTGCAGAATCGCTAAAGGATTCCAATGGACACCCAAAATCCCTGAATCGTTCCTGGTAGACAAGTTTTTCATCGATCCTGGAGATGGTGGCCGTCGCTTCTATTCGTCAAGAGTAGCTCCAGAATACAAGCCCACAAGCCCTATCCCAGAAGGTTGTGCAGCTTCGAAAAGACAGACTGATATCTTGGACTATACAGTCAGTCTTTGGAAGAACACTCGCAACAAGAGGAGATGGAACCTCGACCAACCCGTCCTGGAAGCCAAGAAGATACTGCACCGACGTAACATGCTCGCAGAGCCGACAACGAAAGAAGAACAAGACTCGGTCAAAGTTCGAAGCTTCATCTGTCCTGAGCCTCTCCTCATATCTGCGGTATGTGATTTCCAATTGTGGTTGATTCTGAGACTGACTTGCTATAGCTTCCCACTCCTGTCGTGACCACCTGTTACATGTTTCCCGCCATCATTCATCGTATTGAAGATTACCTTATCGCAAAAGGAACGTGTGAAGAGCTTGGTCTGACGATCGATCTACCATTGGCTCTTGAAGCAATCACCAAAGATTCCGACAACACAGAAGAAGATCAGAGTCCTAAACGTATCAACTTTCAGCGTGGTATGGGAAAGAACTACGAACGTCTTGAGTTCTTAGGTGACTGCTTCCTGAAAATGGCAACTTCGATCTCGACATTCACGCAAAACCCCAACGACAACGAGTTCGATTTTCATGTGAAGCGCATGCTGCTTCTCTGCAACCAGAATCTCTTCAATGCTGCGCGGAAGCTCAAACTCTACGAGAATATTCGTAGTGCTTCCTTCTCTCGTCGTACTTGGTATCCGCAAGGTATCAAACTCTTGGAGGGCAAAGGCGCCAACAAGAATGGACAAGAGTCGATGAAGCACGCACTTGGTGACAAGACCATTGCAGATGTGTGCGAAGCACTCATGGGTGCAGCCTTCCTCACCCACGATCAGCCTGGCAAGTGGAAGCCGGAGCACTGGCGTGAAGCAGTCAAAGCCGTCACCATATTCGTCGACAGCCCTGATCATACTATGAATGATTGGTCAGATTACTCCAGCTCGTATGAAAAGCCGGCATACCAAACAGCTGAGGCCAGGGCTGCGAACCTTGAACTTGCCAAGCGGGTCGAGAAGGAGCATGCGTACCACTTCAAATATCCACGTCTGCTCCAGGCTGCCTTTCACCATCCCTCTTACCCAAATCTATGGTCTGCTGGGATACCATCGTACCAGCGCCTCGAGTTCTTGGGCGATTCGCTTCTTGATATGACTAGCATCACTCACCTCTTCTACAACTATCCTGACAAGGATCCGCAGTGGCTGACTGAGCACAAGATGGCAATGGTTTCGAATCAGTTTCTTGGAGCACTCTGCGTCCGTCTCGGATTCTATAAGCATCTCCTCTTCAATCACGACTCGTTGCGTCAACAAATTGCAAACTATGTCACTGATATCAAGGATGCAGAAGCCAATTCACAAGGAGCTATGGACTACTGGACCACGGTGAAAGAAGGCCCCAAGGTAGGTTTGGATGCTGCAGCACTTGCTGTGTGGACCGCGTGCTGATGAGTTCCAAGTGCCTACCCGACATAGTTGAAGCATACGTCGGCGCAATTTTCATCGATGCAGATTTCGACTACAGCGTCGTGCAGCAGTTTTTCGACGAGCACATGAAGTCATTCTTCGATGACATGGAAATTTACGACAACTACGCAAACAATCATCCCGTGGTAGGGGATATCAGAAACTCCAAATTCTGTTCAACTGCTGACCTACGAAACTAGACCCGTTTGCACAACAAGATGCAGAAAGACTTCGGTTGCCATGGATACAACCTGTTCAATGGCGAGGAGACTGAGGATGGCATGCGACCCTTGTTCTGGTCGGGCGTGATGATTCACGACTCGGAACCCATCGGGGTGTGCAAGGCAAAGTCTGCTAGGTATGCAAACATTCATGCGGCGAACAAGGCAGTGGAGGAATTGGAGGGGTTGGCGCCTTATGAATTTCGCGCAAGGTTCGGTTGTGACTGTCGTGATGAGACCGATGGCGGCGGCGAGAATGACGGCACAGCATGATTAGCTAGGGTCGCGGGCTTCATCGTGAGCTGAGCACACGGCCTGAACATGAGGCAAGAACATATGAGAGATGGTAGAATTGACAGATGGAGGATTCTAGTATTCGTTCTAGCCTAAATTAGGTACATAGAGACATCCTCCTGTTGCAGATCCTCCGCAATGTGCAGACGAGAACCTTTGTGCTCGGCACGTTAGTGGTCGTTTTCCGATGTGCCACCGTTGCAAGACGGAATATCGTGTCGAGACGGTGGTGGCGTGTTGGCCTGGCTGAGCTCAATATATTCAAGCTGATAGGGTTAATATATGAAACCACGGACCAAGGGGTTTCCACAGATCCGGATCGTGAAGCGAATGATGCAACAGACACAAAGTATCGGACGTGTGTGGTTGGTATATGAGAAGAGGAGGGATGACTTAAACTTGTTCCCATCTACTCTGCGTCGCGGTGAAACTCGCCCATGCCATCGACCAAGGCTTTTTCCAGACCAGAGGCGGCTCTCCCAATCTCACCACCCTCCTTTTTGGCGGCTTGGACACCACGGGCGACAGCACGCACGGAAGCATCGTCGAAAGCTCTCTTTCTAGCCTCTGCGTCGTCGTACATGGCGTTCTCGGCATCCTTGGGAGCGCCAAAGAGATTGAGACCGCGGAATGGATTCGAACGAGCGTACAGAACCTGGTGCTCGGTGCTGCACAGGGGGAAGCATGAGGCATTTGTCAGCGCCGAAGCAGATTCATCGGTGAAGGCGGCACGCAAGAACATGGTCAGAATGCTCAATTGCTTGATGAGCAGTTTCGAGGCAGCGGAACCGGGTTTGCCAAAGGAGACTGCGCGTTCAGAGGACCAGTTTCCAGGCTGTGTGGTTGAGTGCCAGCCCAGAAGGGTCAGGAAGCAATGTAGGGTCTTGAGCCAGCCGCCTGCGCAACTGACGAGCTCTTGGGCGGCGGTTTGGAGCAGCCATTCTAGCACGTCGAGGGACGAGTTGCGGATTTCGGCGGCCAGATGGGTCATACCGGCGCGCACGTACAGCAGCATGTGGTCGACATGGGTAGCGACATGAGCCGGCGGGAGAGCACGCAGCAGCTTTGTGAGAGCGGCGCGGACAGAGTTGGAGGCGTCCAGAATCAGAGGCTGGATCTTTGGGAGGATGGTGGCGACAGGCAAAGGCAGATTGTTCGGGTGCTCGGTAATGATGTTGGTCAGGTAGTTGATGGCATCGCGGCGCTGCGAGTCGGTCTTTGAACTGGCGAGCGAGAGCTGGTGTGTGAATTGCTGGTCGAGCGAAGGCGCCGAGGTCGCGAGCGACTGCTGGTTGAGCACAATCGACTTTGCCTTGAAACTCGTGTCGGTGAAGTTTGCTGCTTTGGCCTTTGTCTTGCCGACTTTGAGCTTGGTCTTTTGGAAGTCGGCCTTCTTTTCTCTCTTCTTTTTGGCGCTCGATCCCATCCTTGCTGCCCTTCTCAACCACTGTCAAGCAGATCCATGCCACCAAGGTGAAGCCATCGACCGAGAAAATTCCCCCAGTCGAGACTTTGTTTTCGTCTTGTGCGGGGTGCTTATCTTATCCATCTCTTCCATCTTATCAGCCGCATCTTCGTCTGTGACTCTCTGTTCATTGATACAGCTATTCTCTATATATCTATCATTGTTCCCTGCTGTCAGCACTAGCCAACTGACATCATGTTTCAATCTGCCGACCCCAATGTCTAGCAGAAGCCACTGTCTCGGAGATCCATGACTTGGTGGGCGAGAGTGCTCCTCGTGCCGTTGCTTGTTCAGCATGCATTGCGCCTCTGATGCTTGCCTGATGTGACAATGACTGTTGAGATCGACCGAGATCTGATGACTCGTCACGCTGCTAGCTGACTGAGCCCACCCCGAGATCCTCCTGTTCCGCATCACTCATCCTCTGCTCCAGATCGCCGTCTCCTTCATACAAGAAGCCATTGGCGTAGCCATCCTCGCTCTCTTCATCTGAACATGACCGCCGCATGATCGGTGCCGACACAGATGAGAGCTGCGCATACAGAAGTGCCTCTTTGGCCGATGGCCGGGCGGGCGGTCTCGACGAAGCCTTGGCTCCCTCCTTTTTTGGAAGGACGTCTCCTACGAACACTTCTTCAGCTTCAGGCTTCTCTTTGGCCGCCTCGGCTGCGCTAAAAGACGTTTGCGGTTCTTGAGCGAGGAGGTCTTGGTAAGGAACTGCCAGCCAATCTGAATGGTCAAAGTCGACATGTGGATGAGGCCCCCTGATGATATCCAACCTTGCGATCGAATTGGGAACCTTGCGCTTGGTGTTCCTCGGCTTTGATGCTGCTAAAAGAACAAGATTCATCTCATCGAATCCATCCGCGCCTCTCTCGATAGCCCGAAGTGTTCCCTTTGAGAGAATGGACGTCGATTGTTTGACAACGAGTTGCAACTTCTTGGGCCGGATGTTCAATGATCTTCTCAGCTTGCTTAGCGGTTGAGGCTTTACAGCTCTCCGGATACGCTTCGTGCCACCACGATCAGTAGGCATCAGATCTTCATCCGAGATGGAGTCGTGCTCGGAAGAGCTTACAGGGCTCGCAGCTCGATCTAGTGATGTTGCGAATGCAAGCTCGCGAGCTGGGCAAGGCTCCGGGCGTCTTTGGACCTCTGATAGAGGGACATCTGTTTCAGCTTGCGACAATTGGTCGTCTTCATGGTCGTCTTGTCCTGACAGGGAGACGGATATTGAGCTTGGGCCAGTGGGAGGAATGTCGGCACGAATGGGAGAGGTCAATGTAACGCGTCTTCTACGGTATTGTCCGTCATGCGAGCTTGGCGAAGCGAGAGTTGATTGGTGGTTGATTCGTTGTGCTTTCTTTGAGTAAGTCGTCAAGGTCTTCTTCCTGGGCAATGTTGAGAACATGGCGGCGTGGTGGTGTGACTGAAAGGTTTGCAAGTCGATTTACATTTTTGAGACGATGCCGGAAAAGTGCAGGAAGGTGGCCGCTCCTCCAGGTGCTGCCTACCAGGTGTCATTCCTTCCTTCCCAGTACGACTTTGGATAAATTTTGTTCAGAAAGAGGGGACTTCTGCATGTGATAATGATGGGGTATCTCTTTCAAACGCTATGATTTTTCCAATGCCATCTCAACGCCCTGGGCTGTCGCGTGTGTATTAAAAAGTGTTAAAGGAAATCTATGCAACTCATGGATAGAGCAGAGGGAATCAAAGCATACGCCTGATGGCGGTCTCGCCCTTGTACTTGTCAAGGCCTTGGTCAAGGCTTCCCCACCACTCAAAGAGCATACTCTGACAGATGAGCTTGAACCACGGCGTGAACAAGAGCGAGTCGTCCTTGAACATGGCTTTGAGCTCGTCTTCGGTGATGTACTTGGTGGCCTGGACTTCGTTGGGGTTCTCTTCGAGATCGACGTCGGCCTTGATAAAAAGGATGTAATCAACTAGAGAAGAATTAGTCGAAAGCTTTGGATCGTGACTGGGGGTATTGGCATACTCTCGTGCTCGCCCCATTTGCCATCGCTAGGAGCGACGTAGTGGATGCGGGTGAGGAAGTGGAACTGGTCTAGAGGGACCTGGTGTGCCTTGATTCCAAGCTCTTGGTCGAGTTTGCGCTGAGCAGCACGCTTGACGCCCATGATGGCGGTCTCGAGGGTGGAGCCGGTCTCGGTGGGGACACCAAGAGGGTGTGAGCAGCAGGTGTTGGTCCACATGTCGGGGAAAGTAATCTTCTCAGAGGCTCTTTGTTGCAGGAGCAGACGGTTCTTGTTGTCGAAGAGGAAGACGGAGAAAGCGCGGTGCAACAGGCCCTTGTCAATGTTCTCCATCAAGTGGCCTAGCGGTGAGGGTCAGCGATGGAAGATATGACTGGTGGCATGCAGGGACTAGACGTACAAACTTTCTTGCTGGCGCTACCAATAGGCAGGTCGTTCTCGTCGAGAACGATGCAGACCTCGTCCATAAGGCGAATCTGCTCTTCATCATAGCCGTCGAGGTCGTTGTCGTGGGTGGCAGAAGTGGCATTGGCTAGGGAGGTGTTGATCTGGGGGAATAGGCGGAGGATGTTTTCGGCGGTAATTTGTTGCGGCTGAGCGACGGTGGTAGTAGTGGTGGTGGACATGTTGGCGAGGGCGGATTGAAGGTGCTGGAAGTGGAGTGGCCGACTTGTCAAGGGTGGGACAGAGGCAAGGAGAAAACAAAGCGGGCGCGAACAAGGTGACGCTGAAGAACATGGGCCCACGCCCACATGGCAATCTCCAATCTTGCGCCAGCCGCTCCGCTCTCAAAGCTGTCGGTGCCCCATTAGGCTTAAGTGGCTCGCGTTCTCCGCGTTCGCTCTCGGCCGGCTTGGCCAAACATCTGCATGTTGTTTTGTCGGCTTTCTGTTTGGCAAGCACAACCATATCAGCCGCCTATACCATGTCGTCTCTTCTCGACGCCGTGATCCGGTCCGACAATGATCACAACGAATCACGCACGCCCACAGCTCGATCCGCACAGAGAGACGGCTCGCGTCCACGAGGTCCGCCGTCTGTGAGCACCCCGGGTCTGGGCAGCGACGCTTTTGCCTATCGAGATGATGAAGTTGTCGGCGTACGAGGCAGTCGCAGAGGCCCGTCCACCGCCGGTCCGCGTCCCGATGTAGACCATGTCATGGACACGACAGCCGAAAGATTGGCTCAGGAGTTCGAACACTTTCTCAACACCTTCACAGAAGAGCCCATCTCGTCCGCTCTGGCTCCCGCTTCCAGTGCTGCCACCACCGACAGATACTACATCGAGCAGATCAAGGGTCTGGCCCGCTACTCCCTCTCCACCCTGTACGTCGACTACAGGCATCTCGATGCGGCCAAGCCTGTCCTCGCCCAAGCCATCCAGCAAGACTTCTACCGTTACCACCCTTACATGATTCGTGCTCTCCACAACGCAATCGCTACCCATGCTCCTCGCTACTTCCGCCAGCATCGCCAGCCGGGCTCATCAGCCCCCGCCACTGAAGATGCTTCCCTTGACAGCCACGACGATTCCACCACTCACAAGACTTCCAACCAGCAAACCGACAAGGTCTTTACCCTCGCCTTTTACAATCTCCCCCTAGTCTCACGCGTCCGTCAATTGCGGACCAGCCAGATCGGTTCTCTCTTATCCATCTCAGGCACCGTTACGCGCACATCTGAAGTTCGCCCCGAACTCTCGCTGGCCACTTTCATCTGCGACATGTGCAACACACTTGTCCCCAACGTTGAGCAAATCTTCCGTTACTCGGAACCTACTCAATGCCCCAACTTGACCTGCGGTAACCGCCAGGCATGGCGTCTCGACATCCGCCAGAGCACCTTCGTCGACTGGCAGAAGCTCCGCATCCAAGAGAACAGTTCCGAGATCCCTACTGGCAGTATGCCTAGAACTATGGATGTCATCCTCCGTGGCGAGATGGTTGACCGTGCAAAGGCCGGCGAAAAGTCCATCTTCACCGGTACTCTAATCGTTGTCCCCGATGTCAGCCAGTTCAGAGTGCCCGGTCAGCGCCCGCAAGCCACTCGCGATACCAGCTCTGCAGCTAGAGGTGCAGAAGCAGGCGGCACCGGCGTCGGCGGCCTCAAAGCTTTGGGTGTACGCGAACTCACTTATCGCTTAGCCTTCCTGGCCAACATGGTCACTCCTGACGCCACTACCGCTGGTCAAGCCTCCACCCAACAGCTCAGAGGTCAAGCTACCAACATAATGAGCTCGCTCAACCAGGCAAAGAATGCCGATATGGACAAGATTGGTGAAGACGCTCAAACCGAATACCTGTCCTCGCTCAGCCCCAACGAGATCAACGAGCTGAAGACTATGGTCCACAGTGACAACATCTTCATGCGCTTGGTAGACTCCATCGCTCCTATGATCTACGGCCATACTGTCGTCAAAAAAGGACTGCTCTTGCAACTGATGGGTGGTGTGAGCAAATCCACTCCCGAAGGAATGGCTCTTCGCGGAGATATCAATATTTGCATTGTTGGTGACCCCAGTACCAGCAAGTCGCAATTCCTCAAGTACATCTGCTCCTTTATCCCCCGTGCTGTCTACACCTCTGGTAAAGCCTCTTCTGCCGCCGGTCTGACCGCTGCTGTTGTCAAAGATGAGGAGACTGGAGAGTTCACTATCGAGGCTGGTGCTTTGATGCTTGCTGACAATGGTATCTGCGCTATTGATGAGTTCGACAAGATGGACATCTCTGATCAAGTCGCTATTCACGAAGCTATGGAACAGCAAACCATTTCCATTGCCAAGGCTGGCATCCAGGCCACTTTGAACGCCCGTACCTCTATCCTCGCTGCTGCCAACCCTGTGGGTGGCCGTTATAATCGCAAGACTACACTCCGAGCCAACATCAACATGAGTGCTCCCATCATGTCTCGTTTCGATCTCTTCTTTGTCGTTTTGGACGAATGTAACCCAGCCGTCGACGCGAAACTGGCACAACACATTGTTGATGTCCACCGCTTGCGCGACAATGCTGTCACCCCAGAGTTCAGTACTGAGACACTTCAGCGTTATATTCGCTTTGCACGGTTGTTCCAGCCAGTGTTCACTGAAGAAGCCAAGGCCACTCTAGTCGAAAGGTACAAGGAGTTGCGTGCCGACGACTCGCAGGGTGGTGTTGGCAAGAACTCCTACAGAATCACTGTCAGACAACTTGAAAGTATGATTCGTCTGAGTGAAGCCATTGCAAAGGCAAGCTGTGTCGACGAGGTTAGCCCTGGGTTTGTCAACGAGGCTTTCCAACTTCTGAGGCAAAGCATCATCAGTGTCGAGAAAGACGATATTGACATCGACGATGAAGATACCGATGACCTCCAGGCACAAATAGCAGCTGGTGAGCATGATGATCTGCTAGATGAAATCATGGGTGATGATGCGCCCCCTGCGAGACAAAAGACCCGCATTACAGCTCAAGAATATCGTGACATGGTCAACAGCCTGGTCAGCAGAGTCTACTCGGACCATGAGCGAGACGAAGATGGCGTTGAAGAAGAAGATCTCGTGACCTGGTATCTTGAGTCCAGAGAGCAAGACTTGGAGACCACCGACGCGCATGCAGCCATGGCGGACAAGACAAGGAAGGTCCTGAAGAGGATGGTCAAGGTGAGTTCTAACCGAATCTTGAGCGTTTATAGATGGAAACCGCTGACTTGACCACAGGACAACATCCTTTTGCGTATCCGGGGTGATATCGTCCTTGACGAGTCTGACACGAGTTTAGCACAGAGCGAGAAGATCTACTACATCGTACATCACAACTGTGATATCGAAGAGATGGGCTTCCACGATGTATGAACTCACTGGATGCTTGGTACTGATGATTTTTCTACAGGGCGTTCAGAGGTTTATGATGCACCAGCGGGAAGTGTGTTGGTATGGGACGGTAGGCGTTGTGGCAAGGATATACCAGGCGAATCTTCAGACATTTCTTCTTCAGTCTTCCGATTCATCCTCGTCGTAGTGTAACAATTGTGCACTGCTGCTATATAACAACTATTATGGATCAACGCAGTGCTCTCTGAGAGGGGGTGTTTCCGCGAATCTCTTCGGCTACACCTCCAGGCTAGAAAGCACTGTGCTTTTTCGTAAGGATATCACTCCACACCCTCGAAGAAGGAGCGCGATCAAACATGGCTGTATATGGTTTGAAAAGATTGATCCGCGGCCCGCCGGTAAAGTTTTGTGAGAAAACAAGTCATTCTATCGGCACAGACGATTCATGGGCTGAGAGGTGTATACACGTCATGTTTCATTCTTTGTAGCATACATAGGTCGTACACGCATCATCATGGGCCAACCTTTACTTTTGGGGGTCCTAGATCCTCGACGACTGCCTTCAAAGTGCCTCCCCCGTGTTTAGAAGTGGGCTCAACAACTGGCGCTGTCTGCTTCTTGTCTGGCTCTTCTTGATTCACTTGCTTGATCACAGGGGGCTCGACTTTCATATGCGCCAGCTTTTGTTTTGCTCCCGAGTCCAGAGCTCCCCCTTTGGCTGTGGCTGCATCCTCGAGGGAAGTCGCACCCTCGGCGGCGTCAGTCGCGGCGTGAGATGTCGCCGACTCAGGCGCCTCGTTCCCGAGAATAGCTTTGGCAGTCTTCTCGTCTGTATCTTCCTCTTCCAGATCCTGCTGACCGATGAAACAGAACAGATCACCTGTTTTGCCTAGGTCGTACTTGCGGTCCTTGGAAGCTTCGGCGACATTGCATCCACCAACATGTTCTCTCAGCACCGGTCGAAATTCTGTCGCGACAGTTGCAAAACTTTCACGTTCCACCTTCTGCCCAGTATAGTCTAATGCTGGTAGCAGAGCAATGTCGGTGAGCTCAGACTCGTAGGGCAGTAACGCATGCAAAGGCTGAGATTGATGTAACATATCATGCTCTTTCTGTTCAAGATATTGTTCTTGCCGGCGTATGCGATCCGGCGCTGATTCTGCGCGGAGGAAAGGTTCTTCTGCATCGGGTTCCTCCTCTTTTGCTGATGTCTCTACTGAAGTCTCGATTTTAGTGGGCTTGGTCATGTATTCCTCGGGCTTTTGGAAGAGGTCACGGTGTATAGTGGCCCATGCTCCAGCATCGAGTCGGGCAGGATAGTGGTTTCTCCATCCTCTTGCTCGCATCAGTTCCAGCATATACTCAAGCCATCCGGGGTGCGACTCTGAGACGAGTTTAGGACGCTTTGTGGGCGCTTGATGTACGGAAGTGGTATCATGGGCCACACGCAGACGATTCTTGAGATAGTCGTGCACTTCGGCCCAAATGTCGCCAAAGATGAGAGCTGCGTCAGCGTTGGGAGCTTGCCACAGGAAAGGTACAGTCAAGTCTTCCGGGGTCTTGGACTTTTTCTCAGTATCAGACATGGTCGGCGCGGAGAAGGGACCGGTGCCATTGAGATAGGCATCGGGAGTGGCAAGCACCACTCCGAAAAGATTGTCGCCATCGTCTGATCCATATGCCGCGTAGCGATGCTGCAGCACGTGGTATACGAGATATTGGTAGTATAGAGGTGACAGCTCAGCCTGTGTTGACAGCAGCAAGACATGAGAGTGGTCTGCATCGACAGGGTAGAATGATTCAAGGAAACGCAGAGCGCTATTCTCGGTTGTGGTCTTTGCTGTCGAGATGCGATGGTGGACCTTTACTTTGCGTTGACGCGGGCCGGTAGGATCTTGGTGTGGAGGCCACTGGAAGTCTCGGAGGTAGTCGCGTGCAAAGGGCTCGACATCAGAAGGAAGGTCGATGGTTATTTCGGGATGAGAAAGTCCACTGTAGTCGGCGGTCTTGATTGAATGCAAAAGACGCAAGAGCGAGCCTGACGAGTGGGGTTGTGCTTGGATGAGGATGTTTATGCTGGGCTTGTGCCACGAGGTCAAACCACCAGTATCGAGACGGGTCATCCATAAGAAATCTTCGTACTTTCCTTTTGGAATCTCAACGAGCGGAGTAGCTAGTAGACCGAGTTTCGAACGCAGAGCTCTAATGAAGAAGGCATCTTCAACGGTGGAGTCGTCGATGATGACGGCTTGCGGGTGCATGTAGATATGGATGTGGCCAAGAGCACCAACTACGGAAGCTTCTGCGCGAGCGTCTGTACTGTAGTCTGAATAATCGCATCGAGCATCGTGGAAGAATATGTCACATGTGTCGCGGGCAATACCGTTCATCTCGAGCACGTCTTCCAAGGGGATGGCTTCTCGGCCCATCAGAGTGAAGTGTACAAAGTTCTTGTCTATGCGGGCCATCTCGCAGGCCATGGGCAGCAGGTTTGCAGCGCTTCTCAGGTTGGAAGCAGCGAACAAGACATTCCTATTATCTTTTCTGTGGCCCATGGTGCGGGCGATGACCTGGATGGTCTTTGCCAACCTATAGAACTTGACGGGACCAGCATAGTAGTGGTCTTGTTGTGGAGCGATGGATTGCGACTTTGGGGGCGGACCAGTAGGCTCTTTGGAGGCCGTGTTCGGACGGGCGGCTTCTTCTGGGGCAGGGCGAGCAGGCGGCCTATAACCAAACTCGACACCACCAACGCGATGTCCAGGACGCAGCGGACGGCCCATACGCTGGTCAACGCTACCCAGGTCGGTGGGGATGTTGTGGATGAAGAGCCATATCAGAAAGGCTCCGAGCAGGCCCATGGCCAGGCGGCGGCGGCGCATGCGCAGCATCGTGGCCCAAGACCATGGCTGTGAGCCGGATCGTCGCCCGAGGTCATCGTCGCGCTTGCCCAGGTAATCGTGGCCACCAAACGCCATTTTATCGTCTCATGATGCTACCTTCGTTGCTCTCGCGTGTCGCACATGGGTGGCATGTTAGTTATCCTTGAACTTTGTTCTCGACGATAAGCTGCGCTATCAACCTGGTCTGTGCACGCCATCTATCATACAGCACATAGGTATGGCTTCCATTCGGTCTTCCTTTCTTCGCCCTTGTCTGACTGTCATCATTACTGCACATCTGCATGCTCTGGTCTTCGATGAGATATGAAACCATCTGACATTGCTGTCTTTTGCTAACCTACCTTCCCCTAATACTCGCCCACAATCTTCTCCCTTGCTGCAATCTGCTCCCTAAGCTTGTCCTCGTTGCGTGGCCTGAACTTGACCTTGTAGCGATGCGGCAATGCCACCAGACTCGTTGGGTCAGAGCTGCCCTTGATCGGATGTGTTTCGACCTCTGTTCCCCTCTCGATCTCGAAGCTGCTCAGCATCCTCATGAACACGAGGTACAGCTCTCTGTTCGCCAGCAAGCTTCCCGCACACATTCGGTATCCAACTCCATACGTGAAGAGAGGTGCGTCTGGCTGCTCGAGCCATCTTTCCGGTCTGAAAACCTCGGCATCCTTCCACACTGCTGGGTCCATGTTGCACGCCCATGCATTGAGATATATCGTTGTTCCCGCCGGAATCAGCTTGCCTTCATACCTTATGTCCTTGACCGTAGCTCGAGGAAGAGCCAACCGTAGCACTGTGTAGTACCTGTATTCTGTTAGTCATGTACCCTCACCCATACATGTTGCTCCAATACCTTAGACACTCTTTGACCAACGCCATCACATATGCGCACTTCATGTCATCCTCAGGCGCGCAAAGTATCTGGTCTTCGCTGAACATCTTTCGGATCTCTTGTATCGCCTTCTCCTGAATGTCTGGTCGTTGTCCCAGGAGCGCAATGCTCCACGCTACCAGTGTCGTCACCGTGTCCAGTCCTCCGCTGAGCATGGTCAAGCTAATACTTGTAAGCTCTTCTTTGTTGAGCTTGGCTTCCTTGTCCTGGATGATGTTGGCTTGGATACAAGGCTTATGTGTTCCCTTCTCCATGCGATCGTCCAGGTCTTTGTTCAACTTGGTCAGATATACATCGCGGCGCTGTCTCATCTCCTTGGCTCGCTTGGAGCCAACACTGAATGGGTTCAGACGGAGGAACGGCACATAGTCTTGCATGTTTCCTGAGGTACTTCTGAACTAACAGGGAGTTAGCGAGTATCAGGCGAAATGTATGACAGTTGCAACATACCTTGGAGATCTCTTCTTCGACCTCTGTGATTTCATGGAACATGGGATCATCTCGACTTCCCATGCGAGTTCCCCAGTTCAGTGTCAAGGCCAAGCTCAGACTCAGGCGTTGTATCATCGGCATTGGGTCAACAGACTGTGTACCAGCAGCTCCGTGCTCCAGACCCTCCTTAACGAACGCCAGAGTCTCCACGTCGAGATGGTCGACATAACTGGCAACCGAGGGCTTGTTCAGCGCAGACGCAGCACCTTTACGACGACGTTTGAGACTCTCGCTGAAGGGTGACGTTCCGATGGTTGTTCCTGCTGTATTGGATAACACCTTTGCTCCGGATTAGTCCAGCCAAACACCACCTGTCGTCTTGAATGATTCGCACCTTATGGAAAGTGTAAAAGACCGGCCTCGAGCTAAGAGCCTGTGAGAAATGTCCAAAGAGAACACGACAAGACTCGGCCGAATTGCACACAATGACAGGAATGTTTCCTAGTTGGATCTGGTACACATCGCCATATGTTTTCGACCACTCTCGGTACTTTTTGCCAGTCAGTCAAGAGTACGCATATGGTTGGGAGCTACAACCTTTTCCGCGGCATTGTACTTGATGTCTGGGATGTTTCCAAACACTGGTATTCCTGGTGGCCCACGGAAACCTGGAATTCGCGCCTTCCTCCGTACAAATTCGTTGGTCACAAGATAGGACAATGGTAACAGGAGAAGTATGATGAGAACGGATCGCACAGGATGCGCATTTGCTTGGGTCTGGGCAAACGAGATCAGAAGTGAGAGCATGGTGATGGTTAACACGAGCAGAGACAGCTACGAGATTGTAAAATGTTACTGGCGATTGCGAGCTCTTAGTACCCCACACGCGGTATACATACCCCGCTAGCGGCCTGGGGCGCTGTGGGGAGTGCGGAAAGAAGAAGCAGGTATAACAAAACGGCCATGTTCCGCAATGCGGAACCATCACCGCACATCAACCTTCAGACTGTACGTGCGTGACGGTCTGCTCCAGTCGACGTCTCTCAAGGCTCGATCATTTGTCGCGAGGAACAAACATTCGGCAACTGCAGTTCGGACCTACAATCGTCAGCCAATGTTATCGATTCCCAGCAGTTTGTCAAGTACCGTCGGGTATGGATTTGTTTTCAGCATGCTGGCAAGCTTCTTTAGAGTATCGGCACGAGTAGCTGATATCTCGGCCAATGCCTGATACATCTCGACAGCTGCCAATATCCTGGGGATGTTGTTGGATTTGAAATGAGCTTTTTGAACCAAGGACAGTAGGGTCCGCCATCTAGCTACAGGTCAGACTATGCGGTTGGTCGCTTGAATGTGTGGGACTTACTTGAAGGGACTGTTCGAAGGAACGATGGAAGGAAGAGTGTCGAGCAGATATGCAATGAGTTCCATGAGAGCCTGAGTCTCGGCCTCTTTGGCTATCATTTCTCTCAAGAAGCCGGTCAATGCGGACAAACAGTCAGATCTCATATCGATACTTCCTCGCGATATCGTGTCGACCAAAGCCATACGGGAGGCTCGTAGCAATCCCTCTGCGCCCACACCGGCACATGATATACTTCCTTTTAAGATTGCATCTCGTTTCCAGACAGGCGGATTCTCGTTGAGAGGCGCAAACAAGTTCGAGAAGTATTGGTAACTCGTCACATCCATGTCAAAAGCACTTTACTATTGTTAGCTGGTGATGTAAAAAGAATAATCCGAAAAATCAACTGACCTTCTCGATCCAGAGATTTGTGCGAGACACCTAGCGGCTTGATTTCGTACCCTGTCCATCTTCTCAAGAGCCAGACGGATAACATTGCCTTCTAGAAGTCGCATAGATGCAGGTTGAAGTTGTGGTTGGCCTGGTTCCCACATGCTTTGAACACACTGGATAGCCTGTGTTCGCACCAAAGATCCAACGTCTCCCCTTTCAGTGATCGTGTAATCATTAAGACCGGCGTCAAGCGCAGAGATCAGTTCTGGTAGTACATCAGTACCAATGGCACCTGCTTGTATTATCAAGTCCATGGCATGCAAAGCAACGATACGCCATTCGATAAGTGGGGCTGTCCGGATCATGTTGGAGAGAAGACTGAAAGCTGCGATTTGGTCGCAAGTGTATATGTCTTGCAACCATGGAAATACCGCTCCGAGAGCAACAACACGCCCGGATCTTTGCAAAACCATACTCATTGAATCGTGCGCGATTTTGCTTAAACAATCCGAGAGATTAAGGATCGGTGTCGTCGTATGACCTGATTGACACAAAAGTGAGAGCGCTCTTACCAGACGCGGTAGGACTAGTGAGATGGAACTTTCTGAAGAAGAGATCAACCGAGATACGATCTGGCTCAAGTTGAGTGTCCGTGATGATAGATCCAGACGTTCTGCCGCACGTAGTAAAGAGAGCTCCGACAGAGAAGCTAGGAGTCTCGCTACTGCGGATGGTAACTCTGCACGTGTGGCTCGCGAAGTCTGGTTTCTATAAAGACTCTTGTCTTCGCTGAACAGATCCCACAATGATATCAGAAACGACATGTCTTCCATGTTCGAGTTTGGGCCACTGCTTTTGTTCTGCTGGAGCATCTTCGTGTCGATTATCCTCGACAGCGCAAGCAAAGAACCATGACACTGTTCTAAATCGGAGCTGGGAAACGCATAGAGACACTGCTCCAGGTTCGCAAGTGTGATGCTGACATGCTGAGGGGATTGAGGTGCACAGAGTAGACCAACAGACTCCGCCGCAGCCTCACGAGAAGAAACATCAGTAGAACCAAGACCTCTCCACTTCCCAAGAGCAGCTAGTAAAGCCTCTCGATACATGGGATCGAGGCTCGCAGCATTCTGGGCAACGTCTACCATGGCGCGCTGTCGAAGCCCAACTGCATGATAGTCGACTACCTGGACAAGAGATATGCCATTGCTGACTTGGTCAGGATGCCTGCCAATAAGCTCTTGTAGGGCAGCCGACGACCCTCTTCTGATATTGCCGGAAGGGTCCAAACAAGCAGAAAGCAGAAGTTGAATAGCAACGACTTGGATGATAGACGCAGCATCTCGGTAGAAATCGAATCCAATGAGCGATGTATCCGCTGACAAGAGTTCTTTGGTGGTGTATCGTCGCGACAAGGACCATATACCGAAACAAGCGGCATCACGTACATTGCTTCCAGTACTCACGCCAACGGCAGATCTTTGTTCGAAGCTGAGTGCTAACAGCAGAGCGTTCAGTATCTCTGGAAGTTGTTGCGGCGAGGCCGATCTCCTGAATAATGCGTGTGCCAGTGTCAAGGTTAGACCATGCCATCTCAGAGCATTTGCAGCTCCAAAATCAGGCTTTGCAGAAGATTTAGGCATATCCTCTCTAAAGCTGTCGAGAACTGCCTGGACGACCTCATGCCCCATCCCAGAGTCCAGTCGTAGAACTATCATACTCAGTGCTTTGCTGGCGGCAAACCTGACCGGCGTGTCGCGGTCTTCGAGGGATTGCAGGCAGTATTCGATTGTCTCTTCTAAGACACTGGTTACCTCGAAAAAGTCAACAAGACTATCGAATGAGGACTGTAAGCTCAATAGAGCCACGTTACGAAGCAATTTTACAACAAGTTTCTTGGTGACAGCGGACGAGCTCAAGAAAGCAAGCATCGCATCGTCCATGAGTCTTTGACCAGCGGAGTACATGGACGGGATGAGAGAGGCGAGGCCCGGAGTATCGACCGACGCTGTCATTCCTACCAAGAAACGAAGTGGACCTAAAAAGGTGTGCAGGTTGGAGCTTGGTGAAGCAGAAGGATTCAGGAGCTTCGTCAATGCCCAAGATACTATCGCAGCAGGAAGATCCAGGCTTTGCATATCGGGTCTTGTAACCAGACGTACAAGCATCTTTGCAGCAGCGTCTTGTTCTCGGGTAGCACTTGTGAGGTAGTGAACACCCAATGCAATTACGCGTCGTGCGATCGATGGGACTTCTGGCTGTAAAGACATGTGCTCGTGAGTCTCCGGAAGCCGAGCAGTTCCCGATATTGTCCTGAGGTCAAACGGTACGAGCATCAAGTGAGTCAGCCATAGAAGTGAGACATAAGACTTTTCCCAGGCAGTATCAGAGTTCGCACTCAGGATCTTGGAGTTCTCCAGATTAGTCAATATGAGTTCAAGATATCTAGGTTCGTTGTTGAGGAAGCCGATGATTATCTTTTCTCCTCGGACCTTGCAGAAAGTGTAGAGTAGCTTGCTGGCGGCGACATCCAGGGAAACTGTGACAGATGAAGGAGACTTGGCTTGTGAAATCTGTAGGAAAGCCAGATACGCTTCGACGATGGGAGGCACCAAGGATTTGAGATGAGCGTCAAGCAGCTGCGGTTCCCCTTGGAACGGCTCGACCTGTATGATGTATCAGCGACATACTCTGTTTCTGCAATCCGAAATGCTTAACATACCAACTGAATGACATGGTCGAGGTCGCGTAAACGAACAAGATGGTGGACGCGCTTGTCTCCCCGTTTCCAGAGCAATTTTTGGATCGCAACATGGAGATCTGACAGGAGTCCTGCCGAGGCGCGCATCAACTTCAACTCATCATCGACTTCGGCAGCCATCTCGACAAATCCCAGCTCTGTTGAATCTTTGATAGTAAAGGAAAGGGTCGGTGGAAGTGTGCTGGAACTATTACTGTATACTGCATCAACGCCAAGACCTCAATTAACATCCACCAACTCACCGAACGCTTCGAAGTTCCCTGCGACAGACCACCGCATCTTCGAGGTCACGAAACAATTCACATAACCCTCTACCTTTGTACTTGATATGTGGACGTGTAGCTGAAGTTTGCGCCCAAGCCAAAATTCAGATGCAGCAACTTAACCATCGGCTTCGCTGACCTTCGTGATATATCGCGCCTGATCGATTTTCCAGTTTCGAACCACTGTCCCTTATCCTGCTGCTCTTTGAGATCTCACTAGAGTGTCAAGACATATCTCGGGCTCACCATTCCGTGTGCTTTGCTCACGATGTTTGGAGACCTCTTAAGAGCGCGTGACTTTCATGGCTTGCTAGCCCAAAACGGCTAATTTCACGCAGAGGTCTCGGCGAGCCAAAGCGTCGCTCTCGTGTACTGAAAAAAAGGACTCTTGCCATGCTCCTCTAGCAAAGGCGTAGACCGACAACAAGAACGACATATATGTATCATAAGACCAGTGGCATATAGAAGTCCAGAGTATACTCATGCAGAGAGTGTGCCGTAGCAGAAGTTAACGCAAAACAAACAGCATTCATAGTTAAATTGAACGCACCTCTCGGAATCAGAACAGCCGTCATTATGTTTATGTTATGCCTTGGTGGCGTATCATCTCGCACGCGAGTCCGGGTGCAGATCCTTACCATGCTGTTGTATGTAGATTGTGTCGCAAAAGCAGACTATCTAATAATCTTGGAATCGCCCTCGGCAGATCGACCTGGAAGCCGCCTCTATTTGCGCTATCCTCTTAGGCAGACCACAAGTGTGTACCTGAGGCCCGAATGTAATTATCCCAAATGACGACAGACTCGACCTATGCATGCTCTGCGGATCACATCTAATTGAAAGAAAAAAAGGAAGGCTCCAAGAGCTACGCATGACCTCGTAAAATTACATTTGTGATGCAATACGAGTGTGTTGCCTTTCTGGTCCATGAGAAGGTATAATCTGTTGACTAGACTCAGGTAACAGTATTAGGCTTAACCTACTGAAGCGTTCAATGCCTTCTTAGATGTCTTGCAAGACATTGTACGAAGTGATAAGATCAGGTAGGTATGGAACTTGGAAAATTGGCCATTCGATGGCAAAATCGTAGTCATCAGCTTAGCCGAGCATGGATATGACTGACGACTATGGACTTCCGAGGAAGAGGTGTGCCTTCCTCGTACATCCAAGGAATCAGCACGAACAAGAGCTTTTATCTGACTCCCTGTTCAATATGATCAAGCAAGCGTGCGTCGCGAAGCGTTGCAGTCCGGGGTTCTTGGCTGCATCAGTAGAGCTCGGCTTCTGGCTCCTTCGTCTTTATAGCGGCAGATTCCTTTCTCTGAAGTTTCTCAACGAAGAATGCTGTCTCTGGAAAGTATTGTGCGTTTCTGTAACTACACAATTTACCTAGTTCTTTGCACATGGGAAAGCGCAGAGGGATTGCATTAGACGTGCTTTGAATAGATTCTTATTAGCTCTATCTAGAACTGCAAACTAAAGCTCTGAACTCTTCGGGTTGCTCAGCCAAACTGTCGGAACCCGCGGCACCTGCGGACTGAGCTTCACCAGGCCCTTGATGTCTCTACGATCGGTGGTTCCTCCTGTTAGCCTTCTCATCCCCGATCGGAATCCAGCTCGCAGCCCCGCTGCAGAGGGAGCCCGCGAATTACTGCTGTGGACTGACAAGGCATCATCAGACGTTGTCATACGCGATATCGAGAGGTCGTCGTCCGAGAAGGGTTCGTCAGCAGTATCCTCTTCGTATTGCAAATCCGTGATCACACGGGGCATGTGGTGTATGGCGGCCATAGGTGAGGTCACCGACCTCGCGTGCAGGGCAGGCCTGGTAGCAACAACGGCAGGGTTGGAAGCGAAGGCACCAGGATTCATGACGAGCGGTTCACGAGCCAAACCGAACCTCGTGTCCGAGAAACCGTTCTGGAACGAAGTCACAGAGGCGTTGCGCTTGAGTGACTTGTGCAGGATGGGAAGAGTCTGCTGTTCGTAAATGTTTTCGCGATCTTCGATCGATCCCCGAGACATCTCTCTGGTCGTGGTCGTCTTTCGGTCGTCAAAGAAATCGTCCAAACTGTCAAGCTTGAGGACCAACTCGCTCATACTGCCATCAGCACGTATCGAATCCGACATTGCTGTGGCACGGGGATCGAAGTATGACCCGTGATGCTGCTCGTCGGCGAATGCGACGTCAGGTGTGCTGGTAATCTCTGTACCATCTGCATCCAGACAAGTGTAGTAGACAGCCATGACGTTCTTCCTCGCCCTCTCGGCCTGAATGGCTGGCATCGGTATCGACCAGCCGGACTCTTCGGGTATACCGTACAGACTCTTGGTGCTGTCATACTCCTTGCGTGTCGCGCGTGTCGAATGTGATCCTGCCATGCTCATGCGAAGATGCTTGTTGTCAAGAGGCGTGCCTGTGACAGACATGATGTTGTCGAGCACGTCAAGAGCCTGTTGGCAGTAGCTGGTTTGCAACAACCGCAAAAGAGGTGAGATCAGATCTGGCCCTTGTGAGACGATCTCTGCCCTTCTCATGTCGATCTGAGGGATGAGAACACACAATAGCTGCATGACAGTGACCCTAAACCACGGAGTCTGGTTGTTGAGCAGACCGATGAGGAAGATCAAGCTCTGGTATTCCATAGCTGGGAACCAAACTGCTCTTGCCGCAGCGACGACTTGTGTCAAAAAGTCGTTTGCATTGCGATATCGTTGTCTTGCGAAGCCGTCCAGCGCGTGAGCCAGGTCAGGCAGTTGCTGAGCTTCTGCTACACCAGCAAGCGAGTCTGCGGACTCAAAGCACGTTTGATTGTTGCTGTCATCTTCATAACAGTGGAGATAACGAGGTAGGTTGGCGAGAAGTGTAAAGAGTAGGCGAGTGTCGCCGCCAATGAGACTGCTGGAAGGCAGCTTGATCATTCTCTCGAGCATTTCTAGCGATCGATCGAGACAGACATTCGATCTCAGCCCTTTGAAAACCAATGGTTGAAGGCCTTCGAAGTCACCTTCCCATTTTGCAGGTTTGTTCTCGTTGAAAAGTTTAATCACAGCAGGATCACTGAGGTCGAGTTTGTCTAAGAGTCGGTCCAGCATCGAAAGACTTGCCTGAAACTCCTGCTCGAAGATAGTGTCTAGACAGGCGCTTGTAGTCCAGAACAGTTGTGGATACTTGATCAAGTCTTCAGGCTCAAGAGCGCTGATGATACACCTGAGCGTGATGAGGATTTCCTGGGAAAAGGTTAGACAATCGTTCTCGTCATCGGCGATAGTATTTGTCAGACGAGCGAGCATGTCTGCCATCATCTGTCTATCGAGCGAATCGATGATACAGCGGAAAATTTGGAACGAGCGACATGCTACGTGACGCACTGCACAAGTTGTCGCCCAGACAAGGCTCATCCTAGCCCAGTCCCTGCGTATGTTGTCGCCAGTTCTTTCATTGTCGTACGAAAAGCTCAGTACTCTGACTACCTCTTCGATGATGAAGACCATAGGCTCAGGCACACCATTCGAGTTGCTATTGGGGCCTTTGTTATCGGTTTCCTCGTAGGACCACTCAACCTTGGGATCGTGTTGTCTGATTGACTCAATCAGATCTTCTATGCCTTGCTTGCTCGGACCTGTGTGCTCAGGGCCAATCTGCGAGATGACAAGCTCGTGTATCATATGTACCAGCATCTCCCTCGCCTGATCTTGTACTAATGGTGTGTAGTGATCCCACTGGACAACCACAACTTGGAGCAGAAGGGGAATCTTGTTCTTGGGCAGCTGCACAGGAGAAACCACGAGGTCGACAAGCAGCATCAACGCTAACTGGCCAAGAGACAGTCCAGATTGTCGATTGCCAATCGGCAATACTTGCGCAAGGTCCGCAATATATGGTAGGTTTGTCGAGTCTTGAGGTATCGGCGGTGGCGGCCGCTTTTCAGCAATCATCGCTTTGGGTGTGATCTGTAGCAGGAGGAATTCGATGACCTTCAAGCCAGCGGCAGTAGTAGAAAGGAAAACCACGATTTGTTTGGCATAGTCGACAAAGTTCTGCTCCCTACGGTCCAGGCATATTGCGATGATGAAGTCTAGAACCACCTGCACGTTGCCTCCGTATGGCCCAGTGGCTAGGGCTTGCCAGAGAGCTTGTATCTCGTTGTGCAAGACGCTACTACTGCGCGCCGTGATCTCAAAGAGATTGACCATCAGCATATACGAACTCGCTGTAGGTCCCCCACTCGGGAGCAACTGAAGCTCGACAGTCTGAATCCAAGGTAGCATAGCAGCGACCATGTTGCGTTGGTGATCCGGTACGAGGCCTCCAAAGTACCTCGTGAACTCCGAGAAGACGTGGAATGCCATGTCTGCATGCTGCTTGGCAAGTCTGCGAGAGATCTCGAACTGGGCCAGCTTGTATACCGCAGTTGTCTTGTCCGAAATACTGATATCTAGATCCTGTAGCTTGGAATTCTTGCCCAAACGTTCCTCGAGCGTCCTCAGCAAGCGAGCAGACTTCATGCGGATTTCACTGTTCTCGTTGCCGAGAGTGTACAAAGCGGCGCTCAAGATCTTCCAAAAGGGTATCTTATCATCGACCGCGTCTGTCAGTACTTGAGTAGCAACAGTGAAGTAGCTGAAAAGCGCCTTTGGATTCTTGGCGTGATAGCACTCTTCGATCGAGTGAGACAGCAGAAAACTGTGCTCGCTGTTGTGAAGCAGCAGGTTTTTCAACGCCCGACGGCCCGTTGCATGTGTTCTATCACTGGCTGAATCGAAAATGGCATCTACCCATTTGAGCATACGGCGAACATCGAATTGCATGGTGATCTGTCCGTCAGTAGAGACCATGACCGGGCCCGCACAGAGGGATGCCATGGCGCTGAGAGCTGCTGTTCGCAGGTCTTTCTTTTCGATCTCGAGCTTCGCTGTAACGTTTCCACGATTGCGAGAATCTTGCTCTTGATCCAGTATAGACTTTCTCATGTGATTCTCTTTCTGTCTTATTTGCGTCTGGTTAGGTGAGAAACCACACCAGTCCTCCATCATTGAAAAGGCGGCTTTTCGTGCGTGGAACGGCATCCAACGTATAGGATCCTTGGTCTTATGAATGCCTTCATACAACACCTCGACGAGCCCACAGTAATAAGTACGTAACTTCTGGAAGTCCCACTGGTTTTGTACATCTTCGTCGTTGAGAAAGATTCGAAGGTCTTTGGTGAAACTGACGAGATTTTGCAGTATCCATTCCTCGTTGTATATCTCAGCTTCGAACAGGCAATGAGACGTTAGCTGATATAGGTGAGTGAGCTCGGTACGCAGAGAGTCACTCCGTCTACTTCGCCGAGGACTATTCACCGACCGTTGGTGGATCGTAAGCCATTGTTTAGCATCTTCGCTGCAGACGGAGACTGATGGTTGAAGGGCTTCGAGCAAAGGTCTGAAGAGATTCGCGTTGATCGCGCCCAGCCCATGGACAGCTGCCTCTCGAACGCCTGGGTGTATGGCAGACAAAAAAGGAACGACCTTTGCAAAAAGCTCGTATGCGGACCCTATCTTCTCTTGGCTGATGGAAGAAGCCTTAGAACCTTTGCGCGAGTGTTGAGAACTCTCTCTTGGGGCAGCAGGCTGTTGTGAGCCACCAGTGTTGGTGAGGGTTGTGCATGCAAAGATCAGATGTAGCTTCCATTGCTCGATCGTAATTTCAGGGGGGCTAAAGGCAGTTCTTCCAACCATGCGTTGCGAGAAAGCGGTTTCCAGAGCTGCGTATGTGTTGACTCGGGGACCTTCAGCTAATGTACTGATGATTCTATGGGCATGTGAGAGGCGAGCACAGACGATGTCTCTTGTTAGGAGTACAGCTTGAGGACATATTTGTGAGCTCAGACGTATCAGGTTAGGAAAAGCTTTTGACCAAAGAGCCAAGTCGTGGACAGTCTCACTACTACAGAGTTCCACAAGAGTATTGTTCATGTTGCTCTTCCTCAGCCCCTTCTGCAAACGACTGCGTTCAGCTAGCGAAAGCTTTTCATCATTCACGTCAATCACTTGTTGTGAACTCCCTTCTAGAACACTGATGATGCGTGTGGAGGGCTGACCTAGAGCGGTGTCGAACTTGGTCACCAGGCTAAGGACTCTGACGGCATATGCTCTAACATGACGAGACGGCGAGCACAGGAAGAACAGACCGTGCGATTCGATCTCGTCAACATGAGCAAACACTCTTGACCTATTCAAGTCAGAGGGCATGCCGCGAGCGAATTCATCGTCTTGAAGATCTGGTGTTGCCATTTGAGGCTGAGACCTGAGTTCCTCGATCCATATTTCTAGCAACTCAACATAGAGGCGTAGAGTACTCTCGATATGACCGTGGCCTAGAAGACTACCAGCAGAAACGGTGGCGTACCGGTCATCGAAGTTGAATATGAAACGGGCAAACCCAATCGTAACCAGTTGAGCATGAGACTGTCGTGCGATGGATTTGAGAGATTGTGCGGATGACGAGGCAATGTGGTTTTGTACGTGAGCAGTTCCTGTACATAGCAGATTGATGAGGTTTTTCAGGGGAATCTGAGGAGACAAGCACCGAGGAAGTGCTTGCACTGCAACGTGAAGGAGATCGTAGAAGTTCTGTCGAACCTCGGGTGAATTGAAAAGCTCGTCTCTTCGACTGAAACTGAAAGCATCTGCCATCGGCGTCTTGGGTATAGATTGAGCAGAGAATTTCTCATCCAGAACCTTTTGTCCACCAAAGGTCTCGTCACAGATGATGGTAATTTCACCCAGTATTTTACAGAACTTGACATATGACTCCTTTGCGACGTCGCCAAAGCCAGCTGTCATGACAGGCTTGGACAATCGTTCGACTTTGGCCCCATTCACGGGGGCTTGGTTCTGAGACAGCGAGCGCCTGTGAGAATTGGGCGATCTCGAGAAAGGATCCGTGAGGGTATCGCACTCAAAGCTAACGGGGAACGGAGGCCGCTCACCCTTCTCGAGATCCGACATGATAGCAAGGAATGCCCGAATCGCGATGACCATCTTCTCGGGGTCAAGATTCTCAATCCGGCGGTCTCTACCAGTAATTATAACATCTGCATTCATCAATGGAAAAATGATGGATCTAAAGCAGAGATCTTGGTGCTTGAATCCGATAATGCGGATCAATTGTATTAGGGGATCGGCAATAGACGGCTCGGTCGAGAGTAGTGACCTCCTGCCCGTCATGAAAACCATTCGAATTACATCATCGAGCTTTTTGAAAGTAGCGAGCTGGGTTTCGGGAGCTCTGTAGAGGTATACCCAAACAAGGCGACACAACGCTTTAAGTGCATGGCCCCTGGTAGTACGTTCCTTCAGCTTTGGCTGGAGCTGATGGAGGGTGGTGGTAAGCCACTGTTGCTGGAAAACGTCGGCGGGCGACACGCAAATAGTCACAGCGAGGATTGGGAATGCCTGAGGCCAGTGCTTAGGCTTTGCGAGAAGCTGGTTCAGTTTGACTCTGAGGATATCCAAAATCTGCCTCCATTTTGGAGAATTGAGTTCGGTGGTCGCGCTGCTTGCGACTGGCAGCAGCAGATCCTCGAAGAGCTGGCAATATGCATACTTGACCGGCTTGCCATGTACACCGGCAAAGAACCCTGCTAGGAGATTGAGCAGGTCGCAAGACTTATCCCATGCGGCTTGGGGTTGCGTCTGGACCTTGAGCCAACGCATGCTATGCACAAGCAAAGCGGTGCGGTTCTCGAGATCTCTATCAGCATTACCTTTGACTGACAAGCGTCTCTGAGCAACCTCCAGATCCGAAACATAGCGGTCAGCAACTTTGTCAAAGCGTAGGTTGCCCATGACCCCCAACAACTGGCCGAACATGTTCCATTGTGATTGTTTCAGGGCTGAATATGCTAGGGCCTCGGAGTCAAAGTTACGTAACTGACCATAGATGACATCCTCAAGTCTCTCGGCAATGTCGTTGGTCAAGGCGGCCAGTGTACACTGGGAGATTACTTGCATGAGTACACGACAGAGGATGTAGACCGAGATTGCCGAGCGCCGCTCGCCTTGACGCAGGTTTTGTTCCAGAGTAGCAATGGTGGCGGGATCGGCATGGGAAGGTAGCGAGGCAGAACTGCTGTTTGTACTGATCTGAGACAAGTCGGTACGACGAGCAGTAGACGAATTGTTGGTCGCTTGGGCACGGGCAGCTTGCAACTGAGTATGAATTGGGCTAAGCTCGTCGCTTTTTGACTTGCGCCAGATCATGAGGGCATCTATCAGAGGCTTCGGACGAGGGCGCACGATGTGGCCGAGAGCCTTGATCAGCTGATCAAAGGCATGGTCGGCGCCAGGACCACAGACAGCTTCAACTCTGATCAAAGCATCGTCACGCTCCGAGACACAGCGGTTGATCTTCTCGTTGGCTTCGCTGATGAACTCGTTCAACAGGTGGTGAAGGGCATATTCCCCGACGGTGGTGGGTTCTTGCTGATGGTGTTGACGCGACCGTGAGCGGTGATGGCGGTGATTGTGGTGGTGGTGATGCAGATGAGGTTCGTGCTCACGCTTGATGCGACCGCTATGCATGCGCTCGAGACGACGTAGGGGGACCTGGTCGGCGGGCGCGTTCAAAGTCGAGGACGAAGGGCTCTGGCGCAGAGGCGGGCCATCCTTTGGTGCTTGTGCGAGGATGATGCCGGGACTTATGGGACTGGCAGCGGTAGACGAGACATGGCTTGGGTTGCGCGAGTGCTGGAAGCCGTGGACTATGGAGGTCTGGCGGTGGTGGCCGTAGGATCGCTCGACAGACTCGCTCCGAGCAGCGCTTGTATTCGAAGAGGGAGCAGGAACGGGAGTAGATGCCGGGGCTGGTGCAGACGAAGACGAGTTGGTCGCTTCCAAGCTCTCGGCCGGGTCGTGGGAGTTCATTGCGCGTCTAGCTGCAGCGCCATGGGCGAGCGTGGTGCCGCTCCTGCGCAGGCGGTTGGTCCGAGAAGACTAGACAGGGGGCACGGCGAGAGGACGGGCGACGGCGTGGTTCCAAGACACGAGACGGAGGGTTGCGGTCGAACAGCAATTCTTGACACTATCAAAGACATGACCCTGGATGCGCAGAGTGTGGGGTGCAGTCTGCGCCCATTGGGAGTCGTTCCCACGGCACCATTTATTTGATACGGACTACATTGCTCATTGCTCCCCTGCACTGCGGTGCCTGACCTCGATGCACCCCTCGGCCCACTGTGCTGTCACTGCTGTGCCGCACTCGGCTGTCGCCAGTCTGGCCTGCTGCCTCCGTTCGGTCTTGCAGACGACGGGCGCCCTCAGCGAAGAGCCGGTTTTGTCCGCAGAGAAATGCAGGCGGTTTCGGCATTTCTTGGAGCCGAAGCAGGCGGAAGACGTCCGCCTGCCGGCCGTCAACTGCATGATGCGGACATGAGAGACTGCTGAGCATAATCGTCCCACTAAATAGTAATAATAATCCCCGAGCCCCTTTGCCGCTCGTGTACGCCGGCCATCTACTTAGACCGTGATTGCTAAACTCTGACCGCTCTCCAATCCTTCTGCCTTCCCTCACCATTCTCAATCCTGCTGACTAGATCTCGTCAGCTGTCGTTGGCGCGCTCTTGTCTGTTGAGCGGTCCATTTTGATAAGCCCGCCCCGCACCCACCCACTCTCAGTGGACACCTAACGCTTCATCTTGCAAGCCTTCGCCTCTTCTCTCGTCCATCTCGCACCCCGCTCCGGCTACCTGTCGACAACATGGCCCAACTCGATACCCTCGACATTGTCGTCTTGGCCGCTCTCCTCCTGGGCACCGTCGCCTACTTTACCAAGGGCACTTACTGGGCCGTCGCCAAAGACCCCTATGCTGGCTCTCTTGCGAACGGTGCCGCCGCTAAGGCTGGCAAGACCCGGGACATTCTTGAAAAGATGGATGAGTCGGGCAAGAACTGTGTCATTTTCTATGGTTCGCAGACCGGTACTGCCGAGGACTATGCCTCGCGCCTGGCAAAAGAAGGTTCCTCTCGTTTCGGCTTGAAGACAATGACGGCCGATCTCGAGGAATACGACTTTGAGAACCTCGACTCGTTCCCCGAAGACAAGGTTGTCATGTTTGTTCTGGCCACCTATGGCGAAGGCGAGCCTACCGACAACGCCGTCGAGTTCTACGAGTTCATCAGCAGCGAGGACGTTTCCTTCAACCAAGGAGTCGCCGCTTCCGAGAAGCCTCTGACCAATCTCAAGTACGTCGCTTTCGGTCTCGGCAACAACACCTACGAGCACTACAACTCCATGGTCCGCAACGTTACCAAGTTCCTTGACAGGCTTGGTGCCAACAGAATTGGCGCTGCTGGCGAGGGTGATGACGGCGCCGGTACTATGGAAGAAGATTTCCTGGCCTGGAAGGAGCCCATGTGGAAAGATCTGGCCGACTCGATGGATCTGCAGGAGCGCGAGGCCGTCTACGAACCTGTACTTGAAGTCACCGAGAAGCCTGACATGGACCCCGAATCGGACGATGTCTATCTGGGAGAGCCCAACAAGAACCATCTGGAGGGCAAGCAGAAGGGTCCTTTCAATGCACACAACCCATACATTGCTCCAATCGCCGAGTCCAAGGAGCTTTTCACCGTCAAGGATAGAAACTGCCTGCACATGGAAATCGATATCAGTGGCTCCAACTTGTCCTACACTACTGGCGACCACATTGCCATCTGGCCAACGAACGCCGGAAAGGAGGTTGATCGTTTCATGAACATCCTTGGTCTCAGCGAGAAACGCCACATGGTCATTTCCGTCAAGGGTTTGGATGCTACGGCCAAGATCCCTTTCCCCTCACCCACAACTTACGATGCTGTCGTCCGCTACCACATGGAAATCTGTGCGCCTGTTTCGAGACAGTTTGTTTCGGCTCTCGCGCCTTTCTCGCCCAATGATAATATCAAAGCTGAGATGACTAAAATCGGCAACGACAAGGACTACTTCCACGATCAGGTCGCTGCTCGTAACTACAATCTCGCTCAGCTTCTCGAATACCTGTCTCAAGGCCAGACATGGGACAAGGTGCCCTTTACCATCGTTGTCGAAGGCCTCCACAAGATCCAGCCCCGCTACTACTCCATTTCATCGTCATCCTTGGTGCAAAAGAACAAAATCTCTATCACCGCTGTTGTGGAATCCGTCGAGATCCCAGGAGCCACCCACGTGCTCAAGGGTGTTACGACCAATTACTTGTTGGCTCTCAAGCAGAAGCAGCACGGCGACCCTACCCCTGACCCTCATGGACTAGAATACGCCATCGACGGACCTAGAAACAAGTATGATGGCATTCACGTGCCGGTCCACGTCCGCCATTCTAACTTTAAGCTTCCTTCGGATCCTTCGAAGCCCATCATCATGATTGGTCCAGGTACTGGTGTTGCTCCATTCCGTGGTTTCGTACAAGAGCGTGCCAAGCAGGCACGCGACGGTGAGACAGTCGGTAAGACCATGCTTTTCTTCGGCTGCCGAAAGAGGACAGAGGACTTCATCTACGCCGACGAGTGGGAGGTACGTGAAATCAAGCCCACATGAGGAAATCACAGAACAAACTGACTGTTACACAGGCATACAAGAACGATATGGGCGACAGTTTCGAGATGTTGACCGCCTTCTCTCGCGACGGTGCTCAAAAGGTCTATGTGCAGCATCTTCTCAAGCAGCGCGCTGCCGAAATCGACAGACTCCTGCAGCAAAAGGCTTACTTCTATGTCTGCGGCGATGCAGCAAACATGGCTCGTGAGGTGAACACTGTTCTAGCTCAGATTATTGCCGAACAAAGAGGGATTTCAGAATCCAAGGCAGAGGATATCGTCAAGGCCATGCGCAACAGCAACGCCTACCAAGAAGACGTTTGGTCATGAGAAGAAAATGTGGACGTGTCCATTCTGCTCTCTTGGATTGTTTTTAAGCGGCATGTTTTGCATGGTCAAGCGATGGTCGGTTTGGATAAGTTGATAAAATATACATGTGTCATAATCTTCAACCTCAACAGAATAATTGTGATGTATCTTCTAGAGGTCGTGACAGGTGGCGGCTTATGCAGATGCAATTCCCCGAAATGCAGGCCCTCCCGCTAACCCGGTTGCCCTGTCGTATCTGAGGTCACGGTAGCTGCAACAAAGAGGACATGGACGATTTGCTCGTGTCTGTCATATCCAGATCCGGGTTCGGCGAGACAGCTGTGGGCAACAGCCGGCGCAAGGACCTCCTAACGTCGTCTGCTCCTGCGGTGCTCTGTGAGAACTTCAAAGTGCATTTGCCTTTCCAACCATGCTGTTTCGTCAGAATATTCCGTGCCTCTCACAAGACTTGTCATGCAACAGCGGGCTTCCGGCAGTGGGTCCCGCATCGAATTCGAGACAAACGCGCCCCTCTTGGTGTTACCTCAAGCCGTGACACCACGGCTCCAAAACCATCTGCTCATTTGCTCTAGGCTATGGTTTTGTACAGATATCTGCATAGTCAGGCTCTTGCCATAGATCATCCGTCGTTTTAGCTGCACACGATATGATGCCGAACGACAAACAGGCGCGAGATGCTACGTCCAGCATGTTCTATTCTCCCTTGCCTGGGTATCATTGCCGGCCGCTGTTCAGTGGGTCTTGGGCATTCGAGCTGGTAAGGTCAGTATGAGCGTGGTTTACAATGGTTGCATGACAACGAGGTGTCTGACCATTCACGACCGAGCTGCCTCTGTAGGATGTTGCTTCTCCAACATAGTGACAAGATAGGCACTCATGCTGCAATAATGGCAAAGGCTCCGTCCATGACGGATCACAGAAAACAGCATTCTCGAGGAGAGCAAATCCGTTAGCCTATCCCTGTCTGCAGGATTTGACACACTGCAATCGAGTAGTTGGGCTCAGAGATGCCGTGCAGTGCGGTTGGTGCAGGTTGTGTAGCCGGAGCATTTCGAGGTGGTTCGCAGCAGCATCCACCCATTCGGTTCGGCTTGCATATCCAAAACACTGTCTGTCCCTGATGCTCGTCCTGGCCATCCGACTTTAGATAAAAGACAGCAAACCTTCCCGCCGTACCTGCACTCGAGTTTTTCTTGGAGATCATTGACTTGAACCGCATGCGCGCACTTTTGCATTGCTATCCTGGATTCTGGCATACATTTCACGTCCTGTTCCCTTTATTCTTGTCCGGCGTCCTTTATCGCTCTGATATTTCTCTCTCACGTATCGAGTGGTGGAGTGGTTGTTCACATGCTAATCCATTGGCGCGGCTCTTGCACATACCTGTCTCTCTCATCTTAGTACGTAACATAGCTTGTGCTCCTTCCCCCGTTCACGCCGCCCCGCCAAAGCACATGCAAACTCCGAAAACTCCTTCCTCGACCGCGTCCGTACACGCGTAGTTCGTGAGGGAAGAACAAGTCAGAGATTGCAACACTCGATTCGGACAGTGCGCACTGCATTCTTTCATCTCTTCCCTTGACCTTGACATTGACCTCTTCTCATCATCCTCCTCCTCTTCATCCTCTCCAGTCTTCCCGACAATCATCTCCCATCTTCTTCATCTCTTGCATTCAGTCCGCGGCGACGCAACATTGATAGCATAGCTTCTGTGCTTATCAACCTTCTGTCCGATAGATACAACGCATTCCACCTTGTTATCGACCCTCTCGGCTTGAAGCACTCTTCCATCAGTCTCTGTTCGGTCTACTCAGGTAATAAATTGTCTCTGTCTCACTCGTTGCAACCACTGACTCGGATTGCAGTCAGCATGTCAAGCATAGCCGACACTCAAACCCAGCGTGGCAACAACTACAATCGCAGCGGACAGGCCATGGGTCAGCGTGGCTCTGACTATAGCCAGTCCCGCAACAGTAGCGCCAACTACCACGGCGGCTACGGTACGCAGCAGGGCCATGCAGCTGCCAGCATGGCGGCATTGACTCATGGTCTCCAAGGCATGAACCTCCACGACGCCACTTACTCGAACCAGTCCAAGGCTGCCGTCATGGCTGCTGCTGGTCACCAGTTCAATGGCCTTCCCATGCCTGCAGGTCTTTGGGGTACCACCAACCACCTCATGTACCCTGGAGCTCACTCTTACCCTGCTGCCGTTCACCAGCACAACCCTAGCCTTTACACTCCCATGACTGCTCAGTACATTCCCCATGGCTATCATCAGCAGCATCATGACAACAGTCCCATGTCTCAGGCTTGGACTCCCAGCCACACAACTGGTGAAGTTCCAACTCTCATCACTCCACGCCGCGATTCCATCTCGTCCAACGAGAATGATGCTCCCGGTACCCCATCCTATGCTGGCTACCCCACCTGTCATCAGGTCCCTGGAGTTGCTATCGTCAACCGTTCTCCGAGCGGCATGTACACTCAGAGCTCCCCTTCGCCTACTCAGGTCCTCGCCCCTTACGGCATGCCTCTGGCCAAGATGGCTGAGCACCGCAGCATCTCTCCCAGCCTTCACATGCTTGTGAACAAGGAGCCTCCCATCCCTCAAGCCATCCCAGCACCCAGCTCTCCTCTGAAGCCTCTCGACAGAGCTCTGGAGAACATCCGTGGTGAGACCAATGTCTACATCCGTGGTCTCCATCCCGAGACAACCGATGAGATACTCGAAGGTTGGGGCAAGCGCTTCGGTGACATCCGCAGCTCCAAGTCGATCATCGATCACTCGACTGGCCTTTGCAAGGGGTAAGTCTGACAATGTCGCTCCATCCATTCATCCATACTGACATCGGTGTCCATAGCTTTGGCTTTGTCAAGTACCACAACTACGAAGACGCCGAGAACTGCATCCGCGGTTTCCACTACCTGGGCTATGAAGTTAGCTTTGCCAGAGTTCGTTTGCCTTCTGACAGTTCTCACTACGCTTTGAGACCATTCACTGACCATGGTTCCAGGAATCTTTCTACTCCAAGCTCAAGACGTTTGCTGATGAGGGTAACACCAACCTCTACGTTTCCAATCTGCCTAAGTCTCTGAACGAGCACGAGCTTGCATCTGTCTTCACTCCTCATAAGGTCTGCTCGGCCAGAATCCTCCGCGACAAGAACGGTACCTGTCGTGGAGTCGGCTTTGCTCGGTGAGTCGTTTTGCTGCTCCCATCATGGTGTCCACTCTGACAGTCTTTCCAGTTTCGAGTCCAGAACGGTCTGCGAGGAAGTCATCAAAAAGTTCAACAACTACAAGGTCAACGTCGGCGGTGATGAGTACACTATCCAGATCCGCTTCGCCGACACTCAGGAGCAGAAGCAGCTCAAGCAGCAGACAGCCGCCGCCCGCCAGTTCCGTTCTGCCGAGTACGAGTATGCCACCCAGGCCCACAAGGCTGGTTACTCTTCCAGCCGCGGCTCGTACGCCTCCAACAACGAGTTCGAGACGTACATGACAACCAGGTCAGTCTGTTGACAAGTCTCACCAAACTCATGAGCTAACATGTTCGTCCAGTGTGCCTGTACAGAACCAGCGCTGGTCTCATCCCGCTCCTCGCATGCCCCCCCGCGGTCCTCTTGGCCCCGTCTCCTACGTCAACAACATCCAATACTCTGCTGTTCAGGCCAACGGAGGTACCAACTCGGAGAACCAGCCACCTGTTCGCAACGATGTTGCTGCTGATTCCAAGTCGGCCGTCAGCTCTTCGCCAGCCATCGCTCGCGGCGACCAGAGCGCTGTTAAGTCGATCACCTCCGAGGATCAGATCTCCTGATCGGTTGGTTCTCGTAACGACCACTGACGACTGATGATCCGATGAACCCTCTCTCTCGCCTTGAAGGGTTGCGGGCTTCGCAGCACGACATGTCATTGTCTTATCTTGCAGCATGTTCCGACACGACACACATACAAAGCATTTCTTCCGCACGCTCATGACGTCTTGCTACTCTGCCGTCCGGGGCTCACCGGCCATCCTCAATATCTCCTTCGCCTTGTAATCGAAGGCAGTATTACATACTGCATGCACACAGCTTTTGATCCGGACTTTGCCTTGCTGGTATCGCATTTTCCTTCTTGACCAACCATTGCCATTGCTGTTTGTCTTCTTTTGTTCGTGTTTTTCTTTTCTTCTTCTTTTTCTGTCTCTTTTGCTTCTTTCTTTCGGGTGTCATGGGTAATCGAGGTGATGGTTTTTGAACGAGATATGAGTCATTGCACAACATTTGCTAGAGGGACGAGATTGATTGAGAGTTTGCTTGTACCGAGTATGGGATATTATGGCTGGAGTTCAAAAGTAGATAATCACAATGCGACCAATTTTCAGCCTACAATACTTCATTGTGACTTGGTGACATTGGCTTTGACGACGGTGATCCGGAAAGCACTCTTCGAGTCTTTGCAAAGATATCTCAATGCGTATGCTTAGTATACTACAAACAGTATCGAGATATTGACCGAACTCATGCTGAACCAATATATTGTGATATGCAATGTCAGCATGCGGTTGGCACAAGCTCATTCCCTCGACACCCATGTCAGACTCATTTCTTGGAGAAGAAAGACATGATGTTTCCTTGTCCCTTTGGAGCGGCCTTCTTGGCCTTTGCCGTGGTTGGCGCGACCGACACCTTCGCTTTCTTGGGCGCAGGCTCCTCTTCCGAGAAGGACTCCCAAGCAGCTTCTTCTCGTGTTACTATAAACGTCGTCAGCACAAGATCAAAGTTGTTATCTGGAAACTTTCCAACGTACCAAGGTAGCCTTCCTCATCCTGAACCGTCTTCTTCTTCATGACTCTTCTTCTGCCACGCCGGCGGCCATCAGATACGGTGACAGTTTCTTCGGGTTCTTCTTTTTCCTGGGCTTCTGGTTTAGAATCAGGTTCATCCTCTGCATTTTCCGAAGCTTCTGCGGCTCCAGTGTTGGCTGGTACATCGGCCATTGGTTCGTCTAGTCGAAAACAAGTCAGTCTCTCAGCATACAAAGGGATGGAACGAGGTTGAAATATTTCATACCTTCCATGTCCATCATACGGCGCAGTTCATCTTCCCTCTCCTTCTTTGATTTGGCTCCTGTTTCGGTGATGGCACCATCATCAAGCATAGCGGTATCTTCATCGTCGGCTTCTTCATCCGATAGACCATTCATAGCATCTACAGCAGTTAGCTCTTTCGTCGATGTTCGGTGTGAAAGATTCTGACCGTCTTCGTTTGCGACCAGATCTGCTGCCGGTGAAGCTTCAGCGGAGGTTCCAGTGGCCTGGCTCTGTGTCTTCGGCCTTGCTTTGGCAAAGGCTTTGAACAAGCTCGAGCCTTCGCGTTTGAGAGGTGCAGCCTTTGTAGCAGCAGCACCAGCAGCAGCAGCAGGCTTGGCAGAAGTTTGGGTTGAAGGCTGCGATGAGTCTGGAGTGGTTTTGGACGAGGTCGTTGTGGTCTTGGAGAGGGGTTTGGCAGCAGTCTTTGTAGATGGGAAGATTGATTTTGCTGGCTGTGCTTCGGATTTTGAAGTAGTGGAAGTCTGTGCTGGGGGTTGAGCACGCATGGGACGACGCTAGGTGGTGATGTGTCAGTAGCTGGGGTTGGTGTGGTGAGCGAAGGATCTCACCTTGACTTGAGGGTTCTGAATAACACCATATTGCTTGTAGGTGGCGAGCAGGTCTTCACCAAGAGCTGTAGCCATGATGGCTCGATTGCACTCTGTCAAGACATGCAGATCCTGTGTGGAGTCAGCGGCTGACTTTGGAAGCAGAAGACAAGCGAGCGGTGGGTACATTGATCCTGGTGGGCTGCAGGCTGTAGACATGGATAGAGACGAGTTGGTCGAATGTGGACTTTGCGGCTGCATAACATGTGATCAGCAAAGCGGCATGTAGGATGGGTAGTGGATGGAGATGACTGACCGTCAAGATTGTCTTGGTCTACTAGAAGTAATGATGTTGCTCGATATGATGCGGGCTCTTGATGGGCAGGACTGGATTGATCGGGGACGGCATCTTCTGGCTGTGGGGGCGAGACAGACTGGAATCCGGTGATCAGGTATGTCGCATGCAACGAGTCGGGCTTCTTTTTGATTTGGGTGGTGTGAAAGTCGTAGAGCATCTGTTTGGCTCGGTTGGCGTGGACTCGGAGTGCTCGACTCAAGGTGCGGTAGCTGACCTGTTGCTCGCGGGTTAGCATGCAGTCTTTGACGGATCAAGACGACTTGACTTGCCGTCTGGCCATCGTTCAGCACGTTGGCCGAAAGGTACTCTATGTAATCATTGGCCATTTTGTCTGTCGCTTGCACTTTTGCTGGCCCATGTCAAAGAGCAAGCCTAGCCATGCTCGGTGGGTGACGCGTTTCACGCGTTGGCTTTAAAGTGGCTTGGCGTTCGACTTCCTCCTGCATCAACCCGTGTCAATCAAGTCGACCAAGTCACTGCTGTTCACTCTTTGTCTGTCTGAAAGCCTGTCTTTGATCTCTCTTGGGCTGACCCGTAGAATTCTGCCTTCCACTGTCTTCCAGCGCCGCTTGTCTTGCTGCCTGATGCTTGTCTCTGAGCATCCCATAATCCCACCCTATACCGACCAAGACACGCCATATTCCCATGGCTGTAGTTCGTGTCTTTGACTCTTGACTTAGCTCGTGTGGACTCTATATCGTGTCTTGTTTCCATTGAGCCTGATACGATCCCTGTCTCCGACTCGAGACATGGTCTCGTATCTGGTAGAAGCTATGAGCACCTCAATCCTCAGCCATCTATCTGTCTTTTTAAATCCTCTCTTGCGCCATGCTGATTAGTTCCATAACACCAAGCACGCTCTCATCACCATGAACATGACAACCACCTGTTCCGACTTGATCGACTTCGTCAACCACATGGCCGCTTTGGAACCCCCCGAGTTGCAGGCCATCTTGGACACATGGACTCTGACTCCCGGCCAGACGGAGCTACTGCGTCGAATCGCGGACCACTTTCTCGTACCACAGTCCTCTCCTCGATTAGCACCTTCTCCCCGACCCGCATCAGCATCCAACAATCCCTGGAAGGCTTTCCATCGCTGCGACCGTCTTGTACTCCATCAAGTGTACCTGCATCTCCTCAAGTCAGGTCCCCAGCACTTTGTCACTTCTTATTGCGATACTACCGTTCACGACGGCTGCATGTCAGCTACCAAAAGCGCCCAGCAACAGAGTACCCAACGTTTGCGTGAGCTCTTCATCGCTCTGGCCCTGTACGACTTTGTCAGGAATCAGTTTTCTCGCTTCTCTGGCAACAGGTTGTCAGATCGTATGAAGGATCAGGTCAAGTCGCTTCTGCCTCAGTGCGACGTGATCGAACAGTACCGGATGGGCAAAAATCTTAACTTCCTCTGTAGACGCTTTGGCATGGGTTGTGTCTTGTACCTTGCCGATTACTTGTCTAAAGACTTGTAAGTTTTCTGTCTTTACACCTCGCGCTCGAGTTAGCTCACATATGATTAGCCTGTGCAACAAGTTTACCGCTAGTGGAGAATACCACAATCGTGCCTTTGGCCACCTCGACGCGCTGGGCCTGGTGCAGCTGGCCGAGGATAACGGTGCTAACAAATTTGCCAGTGAGGCTAGAGTTCTCTCATTGGCTTACCTGAAAACGAGGACGAGCCAGTCTTGAGTGTTCCTTGGATGACAGAGTCTCGTTTCTGCAAACGACACCGGCGTTGTGTGCTGCGCATACACACTTGACGATTTTTGGGATGTTATTCGTATCTGCTCAGGAGTTTCGGTTTGGTAGTACATGATAGAGGATGGAAGAAGGCGTAGCATGAACTTGAACTTGAATTATTGTCATTAGGGGTATAAAACTTCAACTCGCTGAACTAATGGGTATCAATGCGTCCCCTCTTCTAATCGTAACTGATGTGATTCGTGTCGCTCTTGGTGTTTCCATGACTGGTCGTGGATGTCGAAAGAGATATGTATGAATCAAGGGCTGCGGGAGCGAGCGATATACCGCTGAGCCGTGTGGAAAGTAGTGCTGAGAGACCGTCGTGATGGTCCGTGGTGGATTGATGGACTGGTCGGCGTCGTATTTGTCGTCGGTGTCGTTTCAATGTCAAGGAAGATCTTGGTCGGTTCTCCAACTGCTTTCGTGCTCGCTCCCGCTCACTAGACCGCACTTGTTGTCTTGCGGCGACCTCCACCTCTGCCGCAGGTAAGGCAGGAGATGATGATGTCAAAGACGGCGACAATTCCGTTGATGATGGCCTTGAGGATGGCGCCGATTCCGTTGACGATAGCCATCAAGGCAGCGCCGATGGCTTGGAACACCGACTTGATCTGGGGTGGAGTCAGATACTGATAGCTCGGATCCAGAGCAGAGTGAGAGAACATACGCAAGATACAACGGCACCCATTGTGTTTTGTGTGTGTATGTGCTTTGTGTTGTGTGGATTGGTTGATAAAGGTGCGCCGAAAAGGACAAGTCGGATGAGAGTGGGTTTATTGTTTTGCGAAGACGCAAGGAATGTGGAAAGGTGTTGATGATGAATGTTGTGGGACGTGAAACAGCAGGAGCACTTATATCTTCAAACTGCACGCACGGTGTGACCATGATATCACACACCTTTTTTTCATCCTAATATCAGAAAAGCAGGAAATTTCCTTAGCTGCCCAGCAACCAAGGCATCCGATGGGTACGATGCCATGGATGCGATGGGCCAATTTTCAGGCCTCGGTCTCAATCTGGGAATAATCTACACGATGCTGGTCTGACCCTTACCTCATGAGCTCGATGCGCGATGCAGGCTCTGCGGGTTTGGACTCGATGCGGCTCCCAACATGCTGCAACAAACGGCCGTCTTGTTTGAAAGAAGATACAAAATCAGGGACGGAGGCTGAAAACTTGGAAGATCTACAGCACCTTTGACAGGTGCTAGCGGAAATTAGATGCACCGCCACTAGACTATGTCATAGTCACACCAGCCACATGTCATCCTCAGGCGCTTGTGGCTCCCATCTTTACTGTATAGGTCATGGAAAGAGTCATCCGCACATTCTTGCAGCGGCGAGACGGCTGTATACTATCTCGGCGATGGACGCGTGGCTCTAGCCTCGTATTCATGCAACATGTCGTCTGCATGGGAGTACATAGGCAGTGACGTGCGACCCAACTCATCTGTGATGAGCGATATCAACTCCAGTCAATCTAGCAGGATGCGATTGCCATGGTGCGATCGTGCATCTCGTCTTTGTTAATGATCAGTTACCTTAGCATGTCATTATTATCGGACTGGCTTTCAGTCACCTCTGGCGCATGCTGGGAGGGACGCTGGTCCAATGGTATTTCGTCAATGTCCGGCTGTTTCTCAAACTTCAAATGGAAATTCATGCTTGACATCCACCACGACGGGCTGGTCACATACTGAACACACAAATCGATGCAAACGAGTGCTCCAAGTATGTCAGAGAGACAAATACTCTGTAGGAACCGTGGACGGGTCGGTTGATGGTAAAGATGTCTCTTGATATGTTGTCGCGCATACGACCCTGACGCCACAGGCTTCTTGGCGTTATGCCAGAAGTGTTTCTAGCTTGGGCAATGGCAAAGAATGGCCACAAGGCGGACCGATGAAGTCGTACAGGCGAGCAGATGCTGAGTACCCGCAGAGTTTCACAAGTGAAGGACAAGCAGAAGAGTGCTGTTCGAATAGCTGTGGTGATGGACTGACGTACCTTGGAATTCGACGTTAGCCGAGATGCCCACACGCTCGAATAAGTGTAGAGGGGCACGGGCCAAGCGTGAAGCAGAGAGCAGCGATTGAGACGAGACAACGACAACGAGGCCTAATTGCTGAATACCACCAATCACACTCTCTGTCCCACCTCACGTGAGTCTCGCTCGCCATCGCAATTCTTCTCGCTCCTGACAAGTCGCTCTCCGGACAGATACTATCGCAGCTATGGATCAAGCAAAGCTCCAGCGTCTCCAAAATGCCGTCCGCATCGGTATGGACTCTCGCCAATCTCTGATACGAATGCCCTGCTAACTCTTGCCGCAGGGTAAGCTCTACGTCCACAGAAATCCGCTGGAAATGCGCGCGCGCCGAGACTGATGTACTACGATAAACAGTGGCAAGGGTACTCCCAGAAGAAAGGTCAAGAAGGTCAACAGATCCGGTGGTGGTGACGACAAGAAGCTCCAGGCCGCTCTCAAGAAGATGAACGTCCAGCCCATCCCTGCCATTGAGGAGGTCAACATGTTCAAGTCGGACGGCAACGTCATCCACTTCGCTGCCCCCAAGGGTGAGTCGCTACACCCGGAACCCCTCATTGTCGTCAATATCCAATATTGACACGTGCCCACCACAGTCCACGCCGCCATCCCTTCCAACACCTTCGCCATCTACGGTAACGGTGAGGACAAGGAGCTGACCGAGCTCGTCCCTGGCATCCTCAACCAGCTTGGCCCCGATTCGCTCGCTTCCCTCCGCAAGCTCGCCGAGAGCTACCAGAGCATGCAGAAGGGTGTCGAGGGTGAGGACAAGAAGGAGGACGATGATGACATTCCCGACCTTGTCGAGGGTGAGAACTTCGAGGGCAAGGCCGACGTCGAGTAAACGTCGCCAAACACTACGACCCTGATGCAATAAAAGCAAAAATCAACTTGTCAATCGCATTTCACTCTACTCGCCTCAAGTCCTCTCTCATGCGGCAATCCGGGTTTGACCTTCCATGCTCGATTATGCCCGGAATGGACCAAGGCTGTCACTAGCGCAATTTCACCGTCTTATGAATGTACGCCTTTAACCTATTGCAAAAGTTCGGCGGTAGTTGGTCGAGGGCAAAATCATCAGCTCTAGCTATTCTGTATATGCTCTGACGAAATGCGGAACTTATATCCATATCCTACGTTCCTCTTGTTCTGTATTTGCCAAGTTCTGATATCGAGCTTCTTGTCTCAGTGTTCTACAAGTCCTAAGCTACCGCTACTTCCATTACTCTTATTTGCACCAAAGGCAAACATACGTTCTGTACGACAATGAAAGGCTCTTGAGAGACTTGATACATAAAATCCAACCGTAACCCAACATGAGCACATGCCTCGAAGCCTCTCGCTGGCCAGAAAGCAGCTCTACTAACGTAACCATAGGGATGTCTACTAGACAAATGACTCCCCTCATTAATGCCTGAGCTACTCGATACTGCATGAGTTGACATGCAAGATCATGATGTCCCCTTGACGCCGCATTCCACCCTCCACTCTGTCTTACCTCAAAGACTTCCGAGCAACGTGCTCAAACCACCATCGTATGCAATCAAAAAGACGCGTATTCTCTGGACCTGACCTGACCGTCATACCGCTTTATCGATGATGTTGAAGTGCATGTCCATTGATGCCAAGTCCAAAGCTTCGCCGGACAGATTTCTACGCCTGCACACTCAATTCGACCACCATCCACCCAATCTTTGCCCAATCTCATCCGTTCTTCGTCCTGTGCATACACTGATCAAAAAGGAAGTACGACTTAGTCGTGATATGCAAAAATGATCGACGCCTGCAGGACTCGAACCTGCGCTCCCGAAGGAAATAGATTTCTAGTCTATCGCTATAACCACTCAGCCAAAGCGCCTGATGAAGATCTCGCTGATTAAAGCCGTTCATATCCTCTTGACTTGTTCGAGCCCATGCTGAGGAAGGATCACCGACCATCAGAACACTCACGAATGGCCCCCATGCCCGACAAGATCGAAATCGGTATATGGCATACATCTCAAGAAGATCCCCATATCAAGGAGAAGATAGAGAGAAGAATTCATTGAGTCGAACCATGTATTACGGGGATCAATCGAACCAGCGAAGAGATCTCAAGAGCTCGAGGAAGCGTGCAGAGGTGACAGGGGCAGGACGATCGTTCATACAAGAAGACCAGCAGATTCGATGGATCAGGAGTGAGAGGAATGTACTAGTCCTCTACGATAAGAGAATCAGATCAGGAAAAGAACATTCATTGCCAAGATGAGATGAGCAGATTTGATAGAGGAATCAAAATCATACCGCCTGATCGCTACGTTACTCTAACATGTTTCATCCAGAAATGGGCGACCCTGCTCCCACTGATAGTTAATAAGATCGAACCATGCTATATCTGACCGGTCATCGAACCACCTTGTGCGCCCATGGGCTAGTTTTCTATTCGTAGCTTCTGGTCCCTGCCCTCCTCTCTCATGAAGGCATAGAGCGCAATGCTCGCCATGAACAGGCACGGTGATCTCTAGATCTGCGACGTGCTCAAGGAGAGTTCAGGATACTACGTATCTCAATGGATGTGTTCCAGTTCTCGAAAGTATTGTGCATTGTTATAGTTGTACGCTTTGAAAACCTTTGCATACGAGAACCGCAAAATATGCTTTGCAACCACTCTGACCACGGACGTTGGACTCGATAAATTGAATATCAAACGGCTCATGTTACGAAACCATAAGGTAGAGTTTCCCAAGCCCTTCCTTCACAATGGCTTGAGCATACTTCAATGGTGTCAGAAGTAGCTTGATAGACTTATTGACGACGGTTACTCAGCTAAGCATGGAGCCAGATTCCTGAGGTTTCTCGAGATGCACAAGGAAAACTGAACAGTCACGGAGTAGGCGGTATGAGAAGTATTGGAACAAGCAAATTTTGTGAACAAAGATTTTGTAGATCGCAAATGACTGTGAAATTCAGAAATCAGAAAAACTAACCACCAAACCACCACAAACTCTACATCTCTTCTCAAAGAGATCAAACAGCAGCGTAAATCAGAAAGAGATTATCATCATTTACAGCTCCCCATCAGTCCAGTCCTGATACCCAATATTGGTACTCAGGATGGTCATCAGCCCAAAGGCCAGTTATTTTTGATGGTTTTTATGTGTTTTCTGATTAGTATAATACCGAATCATTCAAGCCCCTTTAGAAAAAGGTAGAAGATGCTTAGAGGAGGACAGCGGCACCGGCAATGAAGGCAGCGAAACCACCCATAGCCTTGACGGAGTCGGCAGCACCAGTGTAGACAGCAGGCTTGCTGGAGGTGGCAGTGGCAACCTGGATGGTGGTGGCGACGGCAGAGCACTTGCCAGAGTTGCAGACAGTGACAGTGGAAGTAACGGGACCGGAAGAGCCACCGTTGTTGCCAGAGCCGTTGTTCATGTTGGCAGTGGGGTTGGCACAGCTGGTGCAGACGGTGGTGGTCAGGACAGTGGCGGTGGGAACGGGAGAGTTGACAACGACAGTCTGGACGGGGACCATGGAGCCGGCAGAAGGAGAGTACTGGGTAACAGTGACGGGGACAGCGGCACAGCCACAGGCAACAGCAGAAGCAGGGACGGTGGTGGCGGCAGGGCAGATGTACTCAGTGGAGGAGACAGGGACGATCTGGGTGATGACGCTGTTGCCGTTCTTGAGGGGGCAGTTGGTGACAGTGGGAGCACAGCTGGAGATGGTGATGACGTTGGTGGAGTAGACGGTCGAGGTAGCAACACCGCCGGAAGTGATGGGGGTACCGTTGGGGTTGGTCAGGATGGCGAAGTCAATGCCATTGGCAGCGACAGCCTGGCCGACCTCAGAGTAGAGAGCACAAGTGCGGGCGGCGGTGTCGAAGGCGGTACCAACACAGCTGGTGGTAGCTGAGCAAAGGTTGATGCAGTCACCGAGAGAGGTGTAGACAGCACGCTTGGCGACAGCTACGGTTCCGTTGCCGATTTGAAGAATCGTGCCGAAATGGCTAGTCCTGTTATCATTTGTTAGTCGATCTAGCCTTCTATTAGCATCTGGAAAAGGTTATACACACGAGCACTCGATGAGGTAGTTGCCGACGAGGCCACCGTTAAGGGTAGGGCAGTAGGCGGACTCGGCAAGAGCGGGGAGAGTAGCCATGCCACCGGCAGCAGAGGAAGTTCTGGAAGAACCGGCAGAAGAGCTGGCGTTCTTGCTGGCAGAGGCAACAGGGGCAGCAGAAGAGCTGACGTTCTGGTACTGGGGGATGGCCTGGGCAATGCCGGCGGTGAAGGCCATGGCGGCGACGATGTTGTTGATGGAAGGCATTTTTGTTGGTTTGAGGGGGGTAATAATTAGGATATTATTGGTAGCGAGTGTTGTGTGTTGCTGAATGAATGGACGGCTGAAGCCTGATTATTATAATATTAGGTGACTGGAAAGGCTGGTGAGGAGCTGTTGTCTTTCTGATTTGCTGTGATGATGAGAAAAGAATTGGATGGCTGGGAACCAATACTGCCTTATATACAGCTTTGTTACCCTTCTGAGGAGACAAGATCCCTCTACGTCCTGCTTCCAACGGTGCGTTGCCTCTGGCAGAGCAATCTCCTCCCTACCGGGCAGCAGCACCGTTACCTGGCTCATCTTGCAACGATAACACGGAAACAAGCATATCCATTGCAGGTTAGACGGTTAAACTCTCGTATGTGTGGAGGATGGATGTTGTCCAAGGGTGAAGGATCGACTTTGCCCCGTGATGTCCAAACACCAAAGACGTTGGAACGACAGCCAATCCGGATTGAGTTCTCCTGACGCTATACGAAGCGAAGCGTTGCTGTGCCTGGATGGCAGTTGGATTGGCATTGTTTTGTCGCAGGATGGAGATTTCAAAACGTTGTGCTCTTTGTAAACACATCTGACTACAATGCATCCGGCCTGTGGTTTTCGATGCTCGCTCGCTCTGAAGGATTCCGCACGCGACCGACATGGACCACCACAACTGTTTCTGGAGAGACGAAGACGCGTGGCTTGTGGCATACTCCTAACTTGTCCCAAGGCTCCTCGTAAATGCAACGGTCTAATATCATACAAACACGTAGCCGTTGTGTCCCATCAAGGAAAGTAAAAGCCCTGGTGGAGGACAAAGCGCACCGATGCTCTTGATCATGCCCGAGCCGTCCAGACAGATGCACTATTGCAACATGAGGAGTATTCTCGGCATACCCATGACATCTATCACCTCGCGATCATTCCCTTGAAAGTTCATCGATGCCCGATTGACGACTCGTTGTGGTATGCGGGGGAAAGGGGAAGATGATGTCTGGTCCCTGGACTGTGACGCAGACTTCGGAAAGGGCCCACAGCTTGGCTCAGTGGCCATCAAACAGTCCTTCGATTCTCGACCATCGCAACAACATCGCGATCCACTATTCCGTCAGAGCACACATATGATCTCGGATATGCACTATGGTAAAGCCCTGGTTACGAGATTGGAGGAGGCGAGGACTGATCTCGAATTTCCGTCCGTATGATATCTCACTGGCTCATACTATTCACCAACCCTATGATCGTATACGGAAGAAGGTTCCAATATCGGCCTAACCGTGAGCCACCTGTCTTATTTGTTTGAGCATGTGTCAAACAAGCAAAACCCTGCCAGCCACCGTCGGCCCTGACCGGCGAGCTACCGGATAAATCACTATGCTTGACATGTAGGACACATGACCACCGTCTTGTTGGCTTGAGTAAACATCTTTTGGGCGTAGTTGAGCAGGAACCCTGCAGCCAGCAGCAGCACTCGCAAGTCACAAAAACAGATGCCCTAGAGTAGAAACGGCTAACAGAGCAAGTCTGCAGCAGAAAAGAATGCTTTGTGATGTATGTAGTAATAGCAAAAGCCCGAGTATCGCAGAGGCGTGGTATCATGAAAAGCAAATGAACAAAACACGGCAGTCCATCTCACCTAGCGCAAAAGCTATAGCCAAGCCGGGCGAATCTATGCGGATGGTGCAGTTTGCCGCTGCAGCTGCCAACTCCTTCTGCACATACCACACAATCTTTGTACAACCTGTGTCGTGCCCTGCGAGTCCTCATCGCGGATGAAGTTCATTGCAACAGCAAGTTTGGCAATAGGGTCATCTGGCTCTGCACTCTTCGAAACCAGGATCTTGCTCTCAGTATAGTCGACCATGCGGCCACCGAAGTGACGGGCAATAGCCATCGAGTAAAGAACATCGCGATTCTCGAGCATTGACAGTATGTTGCGCATGGCTGCAAGAGCCGAGGCAATCTGCTGAGCGGCATCGGGTGAGACGACATCGTCGTGAATGCTAACGAAGCGGCCCAGCTGGTGCCAAAAGGCATCTTGCAGATATCGAGTATATTGTTCGACAAGTTTTGGGTCTGGTGGGTTGACTGGAGGTTGTGCAGGAATCATGGCGGGATCGAGGAATGTGCCGCACAATAAATTCTCCACTATAGCTAGTCTTTGTAGAAGGTTGGTGATGAACAGAGGAGCGGTATTAGAAGGGAGTGATCGAGGTAGGCAGGCGAGTTGCCATACAAGGCGAGCTTCTAGAGACATGACGCCGTGGGAACCACCACCAGTCTGAGCTTGTGAGAAGCGTTCAATGCAGTACATGAAATAACGTAAGAGGTCGTGATTCCCAGCAACGAGATTGAAGCCGTGGTCTGTGTACCAGCTGGTCTCAAGGAATCGATCCAGTCCAGAGGCATATTCTGCAAGGTACATCATGCGAATCTGTTCCATCTCGTGCGGTGCAAGAGGATTTGGATTACGTGGGTGTTGCGCAGGCGGGATGTTATCCAGACTGTGTAGTGAATCGATGTTGACAAGACGCACTACGACATGTTAGCAAGCAGCGAGCCGGGTCCAGGCAGCATTAAACGTACCATTTCGTTGTGGGTGCAGACTGGTTGTGTATTCTTCGTGGGGCGGTGGAGGAGGCGGCGGTGGTTGTATAGGCGGAGGTGCAACAGCTGGGTTCACAGGACCCAACGCAGGGTCGATCTGAGCACCAAACTCGACAGGAGGTTGCATGACAGTGGCAGGAGAGTAGCCAGCACTGGCAGCAGGCATGTATCCTTGCGGGACATTCGAATAGCGCTGTGGTTCAGAGGACATTTGTGGCTCATGCTTGATCTGCAGTTGTTGCTGTTGGGGTGGAGGAGGAGGAAAGATGCCCGGAGCAGGTTGGATGGTTTGCGGTGAGGTCTGAGACTTGAAAATGGGATCATAACCCAGACACTCACGCTTGCTCTTCTGGCAGTTGCGACAAGCAGGATGACCCTCGTCACACTTGATTCTACGTTTTCGACACGTCAGGCAGCCAGTTTTTGTGCGACGTTTGATCTCCTTCTTATGGCGGGTTCCTGGAAGTTGGTTTGCGTTGAGCTGCGGGGTCCCTAAGGGTGTCTGATAGCCCATATGAGGAGGATAGCCGTTGGACTGCATGTTGGACGAGGCCTGTTGCATGCCCGCCTCGGAAGGATATGTGTAGTTCGGTGGTGGGGCATGTCCGTGTGGTGGGTATTGACCATTGGTGCTGTGCGCCGGAGTCGGGTGTGGGTGATGTTGCGGTGGTGGGGGTTGGTGGTGCTGCGGATGGTGGCCATTCTGAGCATGCACTGGCGCTGGAGCAGGACCGGGTGCCGGGGTGTGCACCGTCGGTTGATGCTGGTAGTTCATGGGCGGCAGGGTCGGCGTCGAGTGCTGCGAGACGTGGCTTTGCGCCGGATCAGACACGCCCGACGCGTCTGGTATTTGGTGGCTGTTCTCTTGCTGATGCGTCTGTTGACCGTGTGACGCGTCGGTCGCAAGCGCTGGAAGCTGTTCCGGATGCTCGTCGCTGTGCGGTGTCGACGTCTGGTCGCGTTCCGGATGCGCGTCGTCTCGGGCGTCCTTAGTCGCCGGCGGTGGCCGTGGTGGAAGCGACTGATGTGACTGCAGGTGCAGCACGGGATCCGTGTGATTGTCTCCCATCGCTCCTCGAGTCCTCCCTCGAAGCTACCGTACGCCTCCAATCAAGGCAGCCGAGCCGAATCTATTCGACAATCAATCAACAAGACGCACGTCAGTCGCGCCGCAAGCCTCGGGCCAAAGATGCGGCTTGGCGGATTGCTCGCTTAGCACTCGAGACAGCTGGGTGCCTGCCTTCAAGATGGTCAAAAGAATGGGAGTAAGCGAGCCTTCCAAAGGAAAGAAGCGAGACCAAGGTCCCGCCCTTTTCACCTGCGGAGTTGAGCCTTGGCGCTCACCATCCCGCTTCCGATCCCGTCGGTTCATCATGCTCGAGACTCCATAATCTTGTGGAAGTAGCACGTATACGCTGTGGTAATGCACAGTTTTTCTCAGAGTGAGGGATGCTCATCGAACAGTCTGCATGCCCATCTCATACCCATTATGCAATCATGAACTTATTAACAGTCTCTATGCCTTGATCTTTCCCACCGTGTCTGCTCTACCTCTAGAGAACTTCTACTCCCTCTCAGTGTCATGTTTATCATCATCAAATCCCTCCTCGGCATGTGTGGACAACGCTCTCACCGTCCCAGGCGTCTCGGGTTCCATAACATCCGACGTGCCTGTGGCCTGAGCCACACTCTCCTGAACAGTCAACGGACTGATAGGATCAGCCTCGCTGCTACTGTTGATAGAGTTCTTGCCCTTGCTCTTGTTCTTGCCCTTGACCTTCTTTGGGCTCCTAGCTCTCTCGCTCGCGCCTCCTGCTCTACTGACAGGAGTCTTAGGTCTAGACAGTGCGTTGCCGTCTGAAGACGGCGGCACTGTCAACGATGACCGGGAGTTGAGAAGGCCTGTCATACCCGCATCACTAGTTCCTCGCGAGGTGTGTGCTAGATCGCGCACCTCGCGAAGGATTTCTCGGAAACCTTCCTCGAGCGTGTTCATGCGTGTGAGCATAATTCTACCCACCATACCCTTCTCCTCCTCTTGACTACGACGCCGCTGCTCCTGGCGGCGTCGTTCCTTATCTAGTGCCACTTCGCGCTCGCGCAGCATTTGCTCGCTGAAGCTCGCTGGAATACTCGGCTGATAGCCTGGTGACAAGGGCTCGGGCGTCAAGTCACGTCGGTAGTGGTCACCGAAATCAGATGCCAAATCGAGCGCAAGAGCGTTAAATGATGGCTTCCTATTCGCACGACGTGTCGAGTCGCCAAATCGATCGAAGCGTATGTTTGGAGCCGTATATTGCGAGAGCCGGTTAGGCATGTTGGGACGTGGTCTGCTGGGGTTGCTCGTACGCGGTGTCTTGCGGCCACTGGACTGAGGCGCTGATGCAAGCAGTGGTGTTGAGCCACCACTGTGTTGTTTGGCCGTGGTAGGGCGGGACGGCTCGGGCACACGCTCTGACGCTGACGATGTGTATCCCTGCTGCTCCACGATCGGTGAGAAGACCATGGTACTGTGGGACACGGTGCGCTGATGGCTCTCACGCTTGTGCTCGCCGCTCATGAGTCGTGCTCTTGTGGCAACTGGAACGGAGCTCGCTGTTTGCAAATCTGCGCCCTCAAAGTAATCCTTTGCTGTAGGTTTGGTCGGAGATGGTCCTTTCTTCTCAACAAGATCTGGGGTCCCTGTGGGAGTTCTATCATAACCGGTAGCTGTGTTGTTATCTCCGTCGTTGGTCAGAAGCTCATCATCACCGTCTGCGTCTGTCTCTTGTGGTAAGTCTTCACGCTCCATCTCGAGATCGGTCTCTTCTTCTATTCGCATTGGCGTAGGTCTTGGGAATATTGTGGAAGCAAGATCCTCAGGATCAGACAAGACAGATCTCGAAGTTGTAGAAAAGTCGCGCTTGCCTGTGGTAATTCTGTTGGCCGAAGTCTGAGCGCGTCGAATGCCCGGTCTACGATTCTCTAGTCTTTCCAGAACGGAACGAGGCTGCTCCATCGGGGGGCTCGCACCACCCTCGTCGCCCATGTCTTGCATCCAGTTATCGACCACAGTCGCTTTTCGTTGATCAGGGTTCGAGTGCTGGGAAATAGTTCGTGTTGCCATATCGAACGGTCGGCGGAAAACCTCCTCCAGTGCGCGGTCTTTGTGGAAAGACACGATGGACGGTTCGCGAAGACGGGTACCAGGGTTGCTCTTCAGGGTGAACGCGGGAAGGCGGCCCCTTCTAGGTGCTTTGCGCTCGACGAGATCCATGGGGGTATACGCATTACGCATAAGGAACAATCGCTCGTAAGCAAAGATTGCAAAAAGCATCGGAAGATGGGTGATCTTGATGATTGTCCTGTTAAACCTGACAAATTTTCGGAATGGGACGAGGTAACGCAGCGGCGATGCTACCCAGCCAAACAGATTCGTAGGTGGGATGTACGAGAACAGAGCATCTGACTTGACCATGGAAATGGTGTTGACGGCGAACAGGAACTGATGCTCCTCGTTGGCGTTCTGAACAATGGCCATGAAAGAGTTGGTCAGGACGGTGATAAGGATCGTTACGATAAGGAAGTGACAGAGGAATAGGAAGCCAACCAGAACGGCCTTCCCTAAGAGATTGTACTTTGGCCAAAGATCCCAAGCAGCAGGAGTGAAGCCCATGGTCAGTTGGAATCTGGCTCTGTTAGAAGTGGTAGATGTGCTGTAGATGATGGACTTACAATGCGTAGGCTACCTTGGAGGCCTCTGCCTTCTCTTCACTAAAAGATAGTGTAAAGGCGACGAAGAAGCCACTGCAGGCAATGACGATGAGCACAAGGATGGCAATCATGTCTTGAACCATGAGACGGAAAGCAATGAGGAGCTGAGAAAAGTATTTGTAATGATCCAAGACGCTGAAAGCACGTGGGAACAGCAATACAGCAGTAGAAGCCAGGACATCATAAGCCATATGCGCAGTGTAATGCTTGCGCGCGGCAGGAATCAGGATGCCATAGAGCCGGAGCACATAGTAAGCGAAGAAGCAGAGCAAGATACCCAGGTCAAAAGCGTTCCACACACTCATAATGTATAGTCCGAAGCCTTGCTCAGAGAAGCCTACCAGTTCGTCAAGCATGTATCCAGCACTCCAAAACCAGAAGATGATCTCGAGTGGAGTAATTTCAGTGGACCGATCAACCAAGACAGCCAAGAACAAACCTAGCATGATGGTGAAGGAGAGGGTAGAGAAGAGCTGTCTGTAGCGAGGCACCCTCAGGCGAGACAGCTTGAAAAGCGAGGCATCCTTGGGGTTGTAGAGGGTGACGCTTCGTCTAATGGTAGGTTGCGCATTGTTAGTGGGAGCGGGCTGGGGAGCAGTGTGGTTTGCGATTGTGCCATAACTGTTACGTCCTCTGGTCGGAGGTGGTGTAGGTGGTTTGCGGTGGAGGTTGTCGGCAGCCGAGTGGAAGACAATGCTGCCTGCCCAGATGGCCTCGAGCTGCTGCACGACCAGCGGGTGGGCCAGGAAGCGCTTGGCCTGGGCACGGATGGCAATCTCGACGGTCGAGATACGCGCAGACCTGTTGTACTGCCTCAGCTGAGCGCCTCCCTGGGGAGCGTCCAGTCCCTCGAGCGGGTTGAAGTCGTAACTCAGCGCATCGATCAGTTCACGGAGGCTGAAGTCCTTCAACAGGCGGATGGCCAGCAGCTCCGAGACCATGGCCCTCGTCTTGCTCACACCGGCGTTTCCTGCATCTTGCTGAGCCTCTTTCTGGAACTGCAAACAGTTTGCGACCAGAGCGCATATGGTGGCTCGATTAAAGTGGTCTTTGCGGATCTGGGATTGGATAGGTTTGACCAAAAACTGCGAGACCTGGGGCGATCGCAGTTGTTCCCATGTGAGGGTGGTCTCGCATTTTTGCACTATCAATATGCGGCAAGAGTGGGTGATGTTGTACAGGGGCAGTTTGTCTGTTGTTTTGAATCAGCACTGCTGTGAGTGCAGGGCAAGGCCATGGGACAAACCCAAAAGTGCTGCCGAGAAAATGGGCAGCAATGGTGTATCCAGATCGTCTTCTCCGCCATCATCATCGTCGTCCTCGTCGTAGTCATCTGCATCCTCGTTGTCGTCGCCCTGGTCGTAGTCATTGCGCGCAGCCAGAGGAGAAGTCTCAAAGGGGCTCGAAAAGGGCGACTTGTCGGCACGCCTCTTTTTCGGTCTCAGCAGCGTCGACAGCATCGTGGCCGCCTGTGCTAGATGGAGAGCCCTTGGAAAGCAACAAGGACGAGAAGGGCGGATCGGAGGCTAGACATTAGAATTACCATGCGCTACTTAGTCACGAGCGACAAGGACCATGGGCCGTGGCAGCACTGCGGGGTGTTTATTAGTCTCGCCAACTTGTCGCAGCGGTGAAGCAACGGCGGGAGGCCTTGTACTGCCTGTCTATCTCTTGTGCACATGTAGCTGTCTACTCTCAAGCACCTGTCTCGCTCCATGCACTTGCTACTTGCGAATAAATGTCGCAATGCCAGACAGATCCAAGCCGCGTTTCCACCATGTCTCGCGCTCGACTTTCCCCGCCTGCCTGAATTGCTCATCTGCATCCAATCGATCGAGGCCCGTGTCACTATCTTTATGCATCTAATCAAACGAATTGCGCAACGGCGTCATGTACAGTACCCAGACACTCGTCGGGAATCCGGATACTCATTCCACTTCGAGACTCTCCTTTTGTGATGTGTATGGCAACGACTCGGCAGGTTTCAGGCCTCCTTATCGAAGCCAACCTTCCAGAAGCTTTTTTGCCGAAACAATTTTGGTCGAGTAAACAAAGACGGTCAAACTTTCCCGTTTCGTCCTGAAACTTGCAATCCGGGGTTGCTCTCGCTCGGGTGCATCTCAACCGAGGCCTCTTGCTTGCTGGATGAGATACAGTATATGCAAATCTACCATCTCCGTCCTCCTGACTAAACCTGCCTCAATCTTTCCACTGTAGATCTACATGTTCCGGTACAGGACTGACCAGCTTTCCATTCGTGACAGCCTCTCTGACGTTGCCAATCGTCCACTCTTCCATTTTAGTCTGTGTTTCCACACACCATGTACCCATGTGAGGCACCAGAACACAGTTGGGATTGCGAATGAGTCCTTCGTGTACTTTGGGCTCCTCCTCGAACACATCAAGACCGCAGGAAGCCACATGGCCAGAGTCCAAGGCTTTGACCAGTGCGTCTTCGTCCATGACGGGTCCGCGGGCCGTGTTCACAATGACAACTCCCTTCTTCATCTTTGCAAACTCGGCGGTTGAGATTATGTGACGAGTCTTGGGCTAGTTTCAATGTTAGCTCTGCGTTTTGTTCGTCATGGATAAGTTGCAAACTCACGTTCAAAGGCAAATTCAAGCTCAGGACATCCGACCTCGCGAGCAGCTCGTCGAAGCTCACATACTCTGCGCCAGCTGCGCCCTCACTGCTCATCTTTCTTCTGTTGTGGTAGATGGCCTTCATGCCAAAGACATCCATCTTGACTTTCAGGTTCCTGCCAATACCTCCCATACCAAGAATACCCAGAGTCTTGCCTTGAGGGTCGTGGCCAAGAGCAGGAGGAGGCGAGCCCTTCCATTTGCCTTCACGCAATGCCTGCATCGAAGGGTTGAGATTGCGGAGAGCACCAAGGATAAGGAACACGGCGGTATCAGCAGTGCTGTCATCGGCAACGGTAGGGATGTTGGAGACTAGCAGCGGTGGATCTCTCGCGGCGCAAGCGTGCGCATCTACTTGATCATAGCCGGCGCCATTATGGGCGAGAAATCTCCAGCTCTTTGGGGTGGCTTGCACCAGTTCCTTATCAAAGATACCCGTGATGCTCACGGATGGGAATGTTCTGTAGGCAGCGACTACATCATCAAACCGCCCGCTCTTGCACTCGGCGATAAACTCGTCTCTGTTTGTGGCGTTGGGAGTTATGATCTCTGCAACTTCGGACAATTGCTCCCATGCCTTGTGAGCGCTACGCTGACGTTAGAACCAGTAGGTGACATTCAAGTACCGAGGACTAACAGGACGATCTCGCCGAGCTGGAGAACCTTGGGCTTGGACATGACTGTACGTTTGGAAGATGTGTATTTAAGAGATGAAGTCAACTAAAGGTATGTTGTCTACTTGATTGCGGCCCGATACCGCGGTTGATAGTGAGCGGACCAAAGTGCGGAGATCGGGTATATGACAGCCACCTAAAAAGGCGCACCTGGCGACATGACCAAGTATTATCTACCGATTCATACAGAAGATGACCAGAAGAGATTGGGGCCTTCTGAAACGGACTAGCAGGATGAGCTTACAGATGATCAAAATACCAAAAACCCATCACTAGACATAAGACTCGAGGAGAGTCGAATCTAGAAGACAGCGGACCTCTCGGTCCTCGGGTAATTGAAATGCGAGCTTCTGGCTCTAGACCAAAGTCGCTAATGATAAATACAGGATAATAGTTTCATCTTTGAATTGAACATACAGCCAGGTAGAGCCGAAATTCTTTCGGCTTCAGTATATCATATATATTGATAGTTCATGCAATCGGAAGGAATTGCATGTCCTTCTTGAAAAAACACCCAGCACTGTACGAGTGTGCATTGGATCTGCGGCCTAGGTTGAGCGTGTTTTCAGTATAAGGACATCGAGTCGTCAGAGCGTGATTCAGTAATCGTCAGCAGACGCAAATGGGCTTGTCATCATAAATTCAGGATCTTGGAGGTGTTAGGCATACTTGCGGACTAGCACCGAAAGATTGATGCTTACCTTGATCCATCATGGCGCCGGGCTGGTCGAGCAAATTCACAACCTCTTGTCCATCTTGAGCTGCCATTGCAGCAGGATGATCGCTGCCCACAGCATTGTTCGTGTTGGTCTGACAGAAGGCTGTTAGAACTTGCTTTCAGAAGTACGTTTCTCTTCATGTACTCACAGGTACCATTTTGTCTCCTTCAACTCTGATCTCTCTGTCCGCAAGCTGTCTCATAAGTCCAAGGAAGGCACTATTCTTGAATTTCGATGTCTGGTTGTCAGACACACGCTCAAGTAGATTGGCTGCAGTTTGGGCTAGCTCATCGTCGTTCTGCCGGTCCAACTCCCTCTGATCTCGACGCTGTTGCTCTGACTCCTCATCCATCACATCCGGCAACGCGTCTTCCTCCACTGACTCAATGATATCTTCTGCCGTGATAGGAATCTCCCGCGAGACGTGCGTCAGGGGATTTCTGGCGTGTTCTTGTTCCAACGCTCTCTGGCGCTCAATCATTCTTTCTCTCTGCTGCTCCGACAGGCGGAAGTGGGTTTGTTGGTCTCCGAGTGCATGTGAATTCACCGCTTCCAAAGCCTCGACCGTTTCTGGCGCCGCTAGAATGTGTTCCATCATATCAAATAACATAGTCTCTCGCTCCTGATCAGACACTGGTCGCTGCGTGGCGATGTTCGCTAGAGCGGGCCGCCTAGAGTAAACTTCATACTCCAGATCTAGCACTCGGCTCAGGGCTTGGGAATTGGGGTCTGATATGATTTGGCGATTGAAGCTCTCGGTCAAAAGTTTTGTAGAATACTGGGTGATGTTCTGAGCAGCAATCGAATCCTCCTCCCGGAAGAAATTGTCAAGCCAGTAAGCATTGTCGGCAGAACGAGGAACATTGCTGGGCTGCAGGTGATTCGACTCGGTTCTCTGCCATAGCAAATCCGCGTACGAGGCCAACAGTTGCTCAGTCTGAGCATCTATGCCAAGTCGAGTGTTCTCACTTTGCCGAGCAAGACCATCCAACATGTCATCCAAGGCGGGCTCATAGCAATATCGTTCCCGAAACAAGGTGCGTTTGGGATCATTCAAGGCGGACAACAGAGGTCGCAACAGCATGGCTTGGACGGGATCCATGGTCGGAGGATGTTGGATGAGAAGATTGACAACCTTGGCCGCTCGATGAAGTGATTCGTCTGTATTTGTGATCAAAGCATTGGCTAGAGCAAGACGGAAGAGCGGGAGATGCGGGTAGATGTCTGGGAGAAACGAGTCGAAGTCAAAGGAGTCTAGATGATCGTCCTGTTGCATGGCAGAGTCATGGTCCATGGAAGCATCTTGCAGAGCAGCATCAAAGGCAGCTTCGAAAGCGGCTTCGTCGAATTGGTCTTGGGGCAGGTGTTGTTGGTGAGAGGGTAGGGATTGAGAGGCGTAATGCGGAGCGGAGCGCATGGGCAGGAAGGATGTCGAGGGCAGCTGCATGCGGGAAGGAGTAGCGTGTAGGGGAGCAGGCTGTTGTGCATGTTGGCCAAAATGATTGTGCCAGGCTTGGGGAGCTGGTTGGAGTTGTGGTTGCTGCAGAGACGAGATGGACAAGCGATTGAAGTCTTGGGTCCACGAAGCCGACGGAAGCGGAGAGGCTGACTGAAAGGGCGGTGTTTGCGAGTGGAAGGTGTCGAGAGAAGAAGCAGCCCATGAGGGACCTGCGAGGGCGTGGCCGTTTTGGAAAGCCTCGAATTCTGGATCTAGTGATGCGACATTTGGATCGAATGAGCGAAAGCCCTGAGGAGCAGTCAGCGACGAGGGGTTGAAGCCGAGGAAGCGGTTCGAGGTACTTGAGAAGGCGACTGTCGTGACACTAAACGGTCCTGCTGTAGAGTGCGGTCAACTGACGAGTGTTTGGTCAGATTCCGCACCGCGTTCGAGGGTCCGCAGAGGGCGTCCGACATGGTCTCGGACTGGGCGAGTAAGTTGAGTGATGGTGGATTGTATGGATAGCTACATGTCGGCTGGATCGCAAGAAAGAAGGCGGTAGCTGCAACACATGCACATGCAAATCATGGGCGCGTGCGGCAACCGAGGTGCGATCCCCGGCTTCCCGAGTCGGCGATAAGCTGATAATCCAGCCTATCGCCGGCCTGCGGAAAGCTTGGCGCCGCTCATACTCCAGCTTGAGCGCATAGCTGGCAATACCGCGCGCGACCCGACCATAATAATATATCCACTCTGCACACCACATCGCCAACATGGTAGTCCGACTCTCCTTTTCTCACCAGTAGGACTACCACGTAGCTAACAACGCGCTCGACAGGCTCAAGTCATCTCGAATTCCGGTCACGATGACATGATCGTATGCTCCCCAAGACCCCTGGCGCAAGCTTGCATTCATTGACTGGCAAACAGCACGATGCCGTTCTCGACTATTACGGACGCCGCTTAGCAACCTGCTCATCCGACAAGACGATCAAGATTTTCGAGGTTGAGGGAGACTCACACCGCTTGGTAGACACACTCAAGGGGTACGTGCCTTTCTACATAGACCTTCTGTTGCTCGTCTGACCTCTTTCTGCAGACATGACGGCGCTGTCTGGTGTGTTTCATGGGTACGCTCTCTGCTCTCTGCATGCCGTACCTCTCGTTGACCCCATCCAGGCACACCCAAAATACGGCACCATCCTCGCTTCATCATCCTACGACGGCAAGATCTTTGTCTGGCGCGAACAGAACGGCCAATGGCAGCGCATCTACGATTTTACCCTCCACACCGCCAGCGTCAATCTGATTGCCTGGTCACCGCCAGAGCCCGGTTGCCATCTGGCTTGCGCCTCGTCCGACGGCTCGGTCTCCGTCATCACCTTCAGCGATAACTCCTTCTCGCACTCCATCTTCCCAGCACACGCCATGGGCGTCAATGCCGTTTCATGGAGTCCATCACTCCTGCCCGCCCAGCTCGCTGCTGCTCAAACCCCTCAATCTCAACCACAACCGCTACGTCGCTTCGTCACAGGCGGCAGCGACAACCTGGTCAAGCTCTGGGACTTCAACCCTCAGTCTCAATCGTACGACAACATCTGTACGCTTGCAGGACACTCGGACTGGGTGCGCGATGTCGCATGGTCACCCACACCCCTCTCCAAGTCGTACATTGCTTCGGCCTCGCAAGACAGAACTGTACGAATCTGGACGTGTCAGGCAAATGCTGATCCTGCGAGCTCATCAAACTGGCAAAGCACAGAGCTCAAGTTTGATGCTGTTGTCTGGCGTGTCAGCTGGAGTCTGAGCGGCAACGTCCTGGCTGTCAGCGGTGGCGACAACAGAGTCAGCTTGTGGAAGGAGAGCCTCAAGGGTGGATGGGACTGCGTGAAGACTATCGAGGAGTAGATGTTGCGCTGCACAGAAAGCATTCGCATCAGGTTCATCCCGTTTTAGCAATACAATTTTATGTCATTGACCTTGTCCTGTATAGAACCTCTCCCCATTTCCATTCCGCAGAGCGACGACGTTGCAACGAGCATACGTTTTAGGCAGCCACGATATGCACATAAGCGAACGACCACACGGCATAGCGTACAGGACGCAGGAGAAACACACACCCACAGCGTCCTCAATGACCCTCTTGGGACCTTGCCTGCGATTCACCACCACTTTGCTGTAATTCAACTTGACAGCGACAGTCTCTGTGGTTGAGACAAGGGACGGAGGTAGCATAGGAGGCAGCATGTAAAGTGAACATGATTGTGTCCTTATTCGTGTTCCTGAACGGTGAACCATTGGAAGATATCACAACCTTGATCTTCCGCCCGAGACGATCATAATTATACGTCTGATCAAAGTGAAGCCATTCGTTGACGCTCATTTACTTCGTCAACCAGCGACCGCATCGGACTCAACTATCAATTGTTCGCCTGCGAGCCTCCCTCTACTCAGACTCAACATCTTTCTGGCCAGATCTTCTTACACTTGCACTTGCCACTCGTTATCGACCTTTTGCACGAGCTTAGCCATCGAAGAAGTGAGTCGATTGTTGTGAAGCGGAGCAAATCTTGCGCTCTTCACTTCGTGAGGTCGCCTCTCACTCCTCCGCAGTCGTTGTGGGTTCCCTCACCTCACTCTTCGCAGTCTTTGATCTGCTCTCACCTCATCTCTCACGTTGATCTTCCCTCTTTTCCTCCTCTTGAACAACAACATATATCCTTCTTGTGGCAAGTTGTTGGTCCTTCTTCCTTCTTCCTCTTACACACACTTCCTCTTCCATCATCCGTCATTCTCAACAGCACACTTGGTTCGCAGCTTTGGTCTGCGCGCCACGCCCATCCAATTCTTCAGATCTTCCTCGTCGGTTCAAAAAGCCTCGACATCCACACCGACAATGTTTAACATTTATCATCGGACCCGCGCAAGCCTCTCGTCTCAAATTGCCAAGATCTATGCCAATGAACCTGGCGTCGAGACCATGGACGAGTCTCATACAGGAAACAATATGCCAGGAGCATACCCAGAACAATATGGCTCCTTCACCATGAGCGGCATCGAAGCTGTGGACGAGGCTCCCACGTTATCCGCAGTACCCGAGAGCAACCAGACTGGACTTCCATTCACCATGAGCAACATCGGGGTTCTAGATGTGGCTCCCACAATTGCCGTGCATGAGGTCGTCGAGGGATCTTCACTCGATACAGGTGAAGACCCAGTCGTCCAGAATGCTTCAGATGGTGCAGATGGATCGTGGATCCCAATTCCGTGTGTATACGACCCGAACGGATCAACGCAGTATGGTATCGCTGACGCAGTGCTAGTGAAATGGTTAGCAACGTCATGTTGAGGTAGATCTCCGGCACCGGCCAAAAGTTCCTCGTCGAGAAGGACCTCTTGTGTAGCAAGTCAAGCTTCTTCAAGACTGCGCTCAATGGTCGCTTTATGGAGGCCAGGGCCAACAAGATTTTACTTGATGACCGCCTCGATCTGTTTAAGATCTTCTACCACTGGCTCAAACACGGCAATCTCAACTTCATGGACTCGAACTGGACCATGTCAGCCGCAGAGGTCTTGTCTGCTCTCGTGGAGATCTACAGCTTCGCTGACCGCAGAGGTGTTCCAGCCTTGGCCAACCTAATCCTATGCAAGCTTGACGGACGTATTAGACCTGGAGGTCTGCCTGTTCGTCTTGACGTCAACACCATTGCTATGGCATGGGATCAACTTCCAGAAACCAGCAAGCTCTGCCACTATCTCGTGGCAATTGAGCGTGACGCCAACAAGTGCAATCTCCCTAAGCGTCCAGCTGTCGACTACGAATGCCTTTCTGGAAGCTTTATCGCCGCTCTTCTTAGCGCAACCGAGAACGGCCAGTGGTGGACCGCAGCAAAGGTTCAGCAGCAGCGTGTTGACATCGCCAAGGTCCACGAGTACATCAAGTCCTACGGTGGATTGGCTGGAGTCGATCGGGTCCGCGGATGGGATGCAATCATCCGCGCAATGGGTATCAGAGCACCTGCCGGCTGTGACCAAGACAAACTCCGTGGCCATTTCAGAGCAACTGCCAGAAGATACCTACGTCCTTGGGACACCGCCATTCCTCGTTCCTACATAGCCTCGGCCGAGGAAGACTGCCCTAGACCTTTGGTTAGACAGATCCTCCACAGTGCTGAAAGCGTTCGCGTTCGCGGTAGCCAGTGATTCAGACACGAAGAGAAGGACAGGGTGAGCGAAAGGAGAGCAACAAGGCTGGGCACGACACAAATGAACAACAGACAGAGATGAAGAGGGAAGCGAGAAACAAAAGGGAGATGATAATGAAACGGAGCAAGCCAGAGATTGAGATGGAGACGTGGAAAAAAAGCCTACCTAGCCATAACCCAGCATTGATACGGACAGCATTGAGATACAAAGTCATTGATGACCAGAATCGCTGCATTGTCTTTGTGCTCATGGCGTAGAAAGAAGGCTTGCAGATCAGGGTGGTTGAGAAAGTCCGGGGAAGCCGCGTGTTCGCTTCATCAACGGGGCAGTGACAAAGGGACTCCTTTCTGCGACTCGATCGATGTTATCCTTCTCACTTTACCTTGCTGACAGTCCTTGAGCGCAGTTGCAAGCCCTTGTACTAGCAAAAAGGCCATTCAACTGTTGGTGTTAGAGGACACTTCTGACCCCTCGAGCCTCACCCTTGGCATCCTTATTCGACGACGACACCGATTATCTGTCATCTGGCATGAGGTAGCAGAAGCCCGTGATGCACATCTTCGCAAACTCTGCACACCGGACGAGTCGACCGACATGGACCAGGACGCTGGCATGTGGCCTACTGTACTGTTCCTCCTGGACGTCCGGCGCCGTCGCCGACAAGACGGCTGCCGACTATTTTGTCTCGTCACTGCCTGGAGCTCCTGAGCCTTTGCTCAAGATGCATGCTGGGTACGAATCTCGTCCTGGATCCACACAACCCCAAAGCTGACACTGCACTCAAGTCATGTCGAAATCACACCTGAACATCATGGCAACCTCTTCTTCTGGCACTACCAGAACCGCCACATCGCCAACAAGCAACGCACAGTACTATGGCTCAACGGAGGCCCAGGATGTAGTTCTATGGATGGTGCCATGATGGAGGTTGGCCCCTACAGAGTCAAGCCCGACGGCAATCTGGCATACAACAACGGCTCTTGGGCCGAGTTTGCGAACTTGCTCTTCGTCGATCAACCCGTGGGAACTGGCTTCAGCTACGTCGATACTGACAGCTACGTTCATGAGCTGAGCGATGCTTCCACCCAGATGGTGCAGTTTTTGGAGAAGTTCTACACCATCTTTCCCGAATACGCCAACGACGACGTGAGTACGGTTCTGTCTATCACGTACAAACGCTTACAACATGCAGCTCTACATCGCGGGTGAATCATACGCCGGCCAGTACATTCCTTACCTAGCCGAAGCCATCCTCAAGCGCAACGCCGAACAGAAGAGCAAGAAGTGGAACCTCGCCGGCCTCCTCATTGGCAACGGTTGGATCTCGACAGTCGACCAATCTCTCTCATACCTTCCCTACGCAAAGAAAAATGGCTTGATCAAGGACGGCTCCGACAATTCCAAGAGGGTCGAGGCCCAGAACGCAAAATGTATACAAGACCTCGACAAGGGTGGAAAGGATCACGTCGATGTGCCATCGTGCGAAAACGTCCTGCAAGAGATTCTGAGAGTCAGCAACGAAGAGCACGGCAAATGCGTCAACATGTACGACGTGCGTCTGGATGATGCATACCCCAGTTGCGGCATGAACTGGCCCCCGGACCTCACTTCAGTCAAGCCTTATCTTCGCCGCCAGGACGTCACTGCTGCTTTGCACATCAACGCTGGCAAGACCAGTGGCTGGACCGAGTGTAACGGGCAGGTCGGCTCGGCCTTCAGGGCTCGCGAGGCGAAACCTTCTTATGAGATCCTGCCCGCTCTGCTTGAACAAGTCCCAATCTTGCTCTTCTCGGGCGACAAAGATCTCATTTGTAACCACATAGGCACTGAGGAGCTCATCAACAGAATGCAGTGGAATGGCGGCAAGGGTTTCGAAACAGCACCCGGTGTTTGGGCACCTCGCCGTGACTGGACTTTCGAAAACGAGCCTGCCGGCATCTGGCAAGAGGCTCGCAACCTTACATACGTCCTCTTCTACAACGCCTCGCACATGGTTCCATTCGACTACCCTCGCCGCAGTAGAGATATGCTGGACCGTTTTATGAAGGTGGACATTGATAGTGTAGGAGGCACACCCACCGACAGTCGAATTGACGGCGAGAAGGGTCCTCTAACCAGTGTTGGAGGTCATCCCAACAGCACCGCAGCCGAGGAAGCCGAGAAGGAGGCTTTGCAGCAAGCAATCTGGAAGGCATACTACAAATCTGGTGAGGTTGCACTAGTCGTTGTTGTCGTTGCCGTGGCAGCTTGGGGATACTTCATCTGGCGACAAAGGAGAAGTGCAGCCGGCTACCGCGGACTCTCGCTCAACCCTGACATGGATGGTATGGGTCTCAACTCTGAGAACAGAAGGAAACAAGCAAGAAGAGATCTGGAAGCTGCTGATTTCGACGAGGCAGAGTTGGATGAGTTGACTAGTCCTCACAATCATGAGAGAGAACGATTTGATGTGGGAGAGGACAGCGACGATGACGACCATGGCAAGCCATCTTCCCATCCTCAGCGTGGTAGATAGATTAGTGTCTAGTCAAAAGCAATGTAACATCACAGCATACGCATCGGTCCAATTCGAGGAGGTCTTGTCTGTGATCGACCAGCCGACTCTCTGATACCCCCCTCTATCCCATGTCTCGGTCTTCTCGCCGCATGATATAGCTTCTATGCATCGGCAGTTCCAAATTGCTTGTTTTTTCTTCTTCCCCATGTCAGCCCCTCATTTCCATTGCCAAGATGCATGGGACCTGGACGATCTGTCTACCAAACATACAACCTCTTCTATGCCTTCTCCGCACTAGCATGTAGGAACCCCGCTGGACAGGTACAGCCATGTGGATGGTATAGCCGATAACAAGATGTTTAGTTCTGGCTGATTGCATGTCGAAGACGTCAGTGTGCTTGAGTGTAAGACGACCGATGTTCCCCTCTCTCGAAAAACACAAGTATATAAACAAGGTGCAGGGTAGGTGGCCAGCTATTTCCTCTTCGTTCTTATATCCTGCTTCTTGGTTGGATTTTGCTTCCAAGATGCTCATATCTCTGATCACTGTCCTCTCCTTCATCCCACTGGCTTTGGCCCAAGTCGGTGTGGTCAATCCCTTGGTCCAACACTGCGGTCCTTCCAATGTCGTCTGTGTGAATCGCTACGCAGCAGTAATGCCCTACCATTTCTTCCGCCCAGATTCGTTCAACGGCACCTCCATCCCCTTCTCTGCCACTTCAGTCCCCAACGATACATCCTTTTCTCTGCTCAACAACTCCAATTTCATCGTCTATGATCGAGAAAGAGGGTTGGCTATCCTGGGAGCCAATCCCACGTATGAGAAAGTGTTTAACGTCAGTGAGGCTGTTCACGAGGCTCCTGTTTATGTGCCTGGGTTGAACAAGCTGTTTTTGAGTCAGTTGGCTCCTCCTGCTGGTTTCTTGCCGCAGTTGGTGGTGGATTTGAACAAAGAGCCGCCAGAGTTGAGCGAGTTTCTGAGTGATCCGCCTGTTTATGCGCCCAATGGTGGTACCTTCCATAAGGGGCTAATCTACTGGGGTGAGTCAATCTGGAGTACAGTGATAGCAAGATAAAGAGCTTACATGAGTACAGGTGCTTCGGGAGGCAATAATTCGATCGGCGGTACAGAGCAGAGAGCTGGCATCAGAACACTTGATCCTCATACCAACAAGACGACTACGCTTCTGAACAACTATTTCGGCTGGTACTTCAACACTGTGGACGATCTCTTTGTGGATTCGAGAGGCGATGTCTGGTTCACCGACCCAGGTACTTTCCTCACTCTTCATCTCCTTCCCACGAACCCAAAATACTGATAAGAAGAACAGACTACTCATGGTTCAACGCCCTAACCGACACTGCACCTCAACTTCGCTCCCAAAGCTACCGTTTTCGCCCGTCCACAGGTCAAGTTTGGGTCATAGACGACACACTAGGCCAACCCAATGGCATTGCCATCTCTCCCGAGGGCCGCAACATCTACATCAGCGACACTTCCTCAGTCGATGGAGTGATTTCATCTGCTTACCCTCACCTGCATGCATCCCACTGGAACCAAACTTCCGCACACACAATCTACAAATACGATCTGCTCGATGATGCAGTCAGTGGTGAGGTTGCACTCATCAACAAGCGTCCATTCTACTATTCGCAGGAATGGGTACCCGACGGTTTGAAAGTGGCACAGAATGGATATGTAGTCACAGGAGCCGGAAAAGGAGTAGATGTATTGGATTGCAGTGGCAGTCTGGTATTGAGGATTCAGACGGATTACGTGGTCCAGAACTTCGCTTGGGCGGGTGGCAATCTTACAGAGTTTTGGTTGATGGGTCAAGGTGGGATTTCGAGGGTCAAGTGGGAGTTGAAGGGTCAGGATTTGAGTAAGAGCTACACTTGACGAGACTTCTGAAGAAAGGCTTTGACAAACTCTTTGAATATGTAGTCCATTTGTTTGTAAGAGCAAATGGTGTGTTAGAAACGAATTCTCTCTTCGCCTTCTTTTTGAGCATAAACAGCAATGATGACGTCCTGGGCGGAGCTGACTGATCCTCAGACCATCTCGTAGCACTGTTTTCCTTCACCTCCCCCCAGTGACAAGCCATTTAAAACGCCGTGCGCCGCGCTCCATGCGTAGATTTGGTGTTGTTATTACACAGGCATTCCCTTGTGTAGCCTCTCAACCCCGGCATTGGTCGTGATTAAAGCAAAGATATTTCTGCCTCTCGATTGACAAGAGTGCATCGGAACATCAAGTTCATCGCTTCTTGGCGTTGGGTCTGGGCTTGCACTCATCGCCGCTGATGCCGTGCAGCATGACCTTGTTGGGGTACTGAGGGTTGTTGGCTGCGTATCCCTGGTGCCAGTCGTACGAGACAGCGTAGGCGAAGATGGTGCCGTTGTGATTGAAGTCGGTACAGCTGATGCTTCCACCAACCTCAGGGTAACCCTTGAGGCGGTGCTTGGCGTCCTTGTCCCAGAAGTGGAATGTGCCGTCGCTACCAGCTGTGCTGAAGGTGCCGTGGACAGGGTGGAAGGAGATGGAGTTGACCGAGTAGACGTTGGACACATCGCGGGTGTTGGGGGCGTTCTGGCGATGGCACTTGAACGAGAAGTTTGAGCTGGGCAGAATTTCAGTCTTGTGTTCGCACGGCAAGCGGGTGGGTAAACTCACCTCGAGTCCTTTTCCTCGACGTATTGGATGGCACATCTACCTTCGATGGAACCGATAGCGAAACCTGTGGCATCGGCGAAACAGCTGATAGTTCTGGTTTGCCATTTGAGAGGACTCTGGATTGTCTTGTATGCAGTTGCAGGCTGGTTGAGGTTGAAGATCTCGACGTAGCGATCGGCGGTAGCGACGACAAGAAGTTGATCGCGTGTGTCCATGGCGTAGACGCGCTCCTTGCACTGAACGGAAGCGACAGGGTTTTGTTGGCGGCAGTCCCAGTACTTGATGGTCTTGTCCCAGGAACCAGTGACGATCATGTTTTGGCCGTTGACTGAGATGCTTTCAATGCACTTGATGGGTTGGTCGTGTGCAGCGACTGTCTGGGGAGTGGTGGCACCGCTTCCGAGATCGAGCATCATTGCCTGGTTGTTGGCGCCGGCGCCGAAGACTTGTCTGCCGTCCTGTGTGTGCGTCAGTTGCTGCTTGATAAAGTGTCAAGGTCGGAGGTAACATACCTTTGACCAGCAGGTGCTCAGGGCGGGAGCCTTGAGGTCCATCATGGTCTTCCCCTGGTTGGAACCATCCTCGTTGACCTCGTAGATGTAGACTTTGTTGTCCCATGATGCGACAGAGAGATGGCCAGACACGGGGGAGAAGCTCAAGTCCTGGATGCTGTCGGTCTGTGCGCCATTGAGGGTAACATCGTTGGCAATGCTGCCTTGTGTGGCAGTGGTCGAGGTGGCTGCGGCAGGAGCGCTACCAAAGATGCCGGCCATTGTATTTTCCGAATCGGAGAAGTGGCCGTCGAGGGATGTGTCGGAGATGTAAAAGTCGTGCAAGTCCCTGAGGGATATTGAGTCCGAGCAAGCCTTCTCGTACTTGAGAGTTTGGAGGTCGAAGTTGCGTCTGTCGTGCTCGAGGCGATCAAGATGTGCTTGAGGGTAGAAGGTGGTGATGCGCGTGATTCCTGGATAGACAATGCGCACGGTGGGGGGGTCTATGGGCTCATTGATCAGTCCCGTCTCTACGAAGCGCGACACACGTCCAATCTGAGGACTGTGTATAGGAGCAAGCACGGGAGATGAAGCCTCTCCCTCGCTGTCGGCATCGTAGTAATCGTCCATGTTGTGCAGTTGTCGCGCCGAGTTGCGCAAGCGATGGAGAGCGAGGTGAAGGCCATGATGGTGCGGAGCACAGGGCGCGAGGATTTGTTACGTACCGTATTATATGGCGACTAAGCAGGACAAGCAAGCCAGACGCGAGCAAGACGGCGGTATGAGATGCGACAGCAAGACGTGGTATTCTGCGTAGCTATTGAATCTTGTAGAGCTCACGACGCCGAACCGAGCGCTGCCCTGCGACCCGCTGCCTACACCGCCCGGCGTTTTCTGAGACCGATGTTCCGCCGCGTCCGCGCCTGTGCGCATGCAGCTTTGTTACAAAATCCTGTCCGCCCAAAGCTTTCTCTCTTTCCTTCCCTCAACTCCTCGCTCAAACAATCGCAATCAAAGCTTCCACACCGAAAGGGCGCTCTGGCTCTCTTTCTGCTTCTTCTCGCTTTGGGAGAAAGTCCCCGGACACGCCATGGGTCTTCTCGTGGTATGCGGAAACGCGCCGCCATAGATGCAAGCACACCTGCGGCTTACACGCCTGTCCCTTCCGTTTCGCTGCCTGGACATGGTCCCTGTCGCCATTTGCACTCTTCATGTGCGCTGTTGGTCTTGTTGCTGGTCTCTTGCTCGGTCGCCTCGCCTGCAAAGGGGATGAGGATATGAGTCCGCGGCTGGGCAACGGGGCTGGCTAAGGGGTCCTTCTGGCGTCGTGGAGAGGAGGTGATGGGTTCGTCTTGGTAATCTCGCCGTCTTTGGGCTGCGGGAGTCACAGGAAGGGCATCCGGCATCTTCTTCGTCGAGGTCGAAAGATATGCGATTGCCTTCTTTTGAAAGAAAGAGGTAACTCGATGGGGCTTATTCTTGATGCGAGGAGTTCACCAAACACTTTGGGTCTGTGTAGGGTGGCTGTTGTCGCGTCTCACTGCGCTCGCTGCCACGCCTCTGCTCGGTCAAACGTGCCAGATTCCTTTACACAACACACACAAATCGTTCTACATGATGATGAAAAGGTATAGAGTCAAGCACTGAGATTTCCACTTCGTCACCCTTCATTGGGGCGAGGCTGGTCCATTGATGCTACATTTCCTACGACGGTATCTGACAGAACGATTTGATGTATTCCTCTTTTTCCCATATACACTGCAAGATCCTAGAAAGAAATGAAAAATGAATGAACATGTTCTTGCACAATCAGCTGTCCATCATATCGCGTGTAATCTTGCCCATAGTATCTCTTGCTTGCAGTCACGAAGGTGCAGCTTACAGCCAGAGCTCTGTCATGCTATCATCGAAGTGCTGGCAGAGAGGAACCCATCTACACGCGCCGAGCAGTCCAACACTTCCGTCGTCTCTATCATGTTTCATGTAATAGAGACCACCAGGCTCTTGACGTGCATTCACGCAGCGACTGCTATCATCTAGCTATCCTCCGAACACGAGAGCTAACTTCAGCCATGGCGGTCGGTGACCGGACGTCATTCATCGCTGGTCGACTATTGTTCGATATTGATTTCCAATACGAGCCATCGCCGGCTAGGGAGGCAGTATGCTCACGAAGCGGTGGTTGAGAGGAGAAAGCAGACGCCGGCAAAGCATTATCTAGTCTCACAGGCAAGACAAGAGCCAAAACACGGACAAAGAAGAGACTCTGAAGAGAAAGAAGTAGATGCATACATCTCTATCAAACTGCAAATGGACAATCGCTTTGGAGAACAGAAGAAAATATATAAACAACAATGATCCTCTACTTTTCATGTTTGGTAAGACCGAAGCCATCATCTAAGTAGGCCTAGGACTTCCAAAGCCCAGTCCTCCAGAAGAAGCAGGTCTCTCCTGTGTTGGCGACATCATGGCGAAACTGCCACTACGGCTACCATGCATGCCTCCCTCCTGTGCCTCTCGCTCCAAGAAGTCAGACCAGAGTTCTGCGAGCGACTCTTTGCTTCCTCCTTGGTGATTGTCAAAGCTGGCGTCTGATAATGAGGGTGTTGATGGTGTGCGACGGAAAGGCGATAGAGGAATTTTGAGCATCGAGTTGGAGGCACCTGGTCGTGCTAATCCGGCTTGTTCTCTTTGTTCTGCTCAAAGTGTTAGTGTCGGTGCTAGTGGTGGTTCCAGATGATGTGGACGAGAACATACCTTCGCTCCAACCAAGTAGTGCAGCAATCAATTGCAAAACCTGGAATTTCTTCGGATCGCTGCGATCCAATATCAAGAAATGCAGGAAATGGTTGGTCACGATATGACGATCCACGTTGTCCTCGGGCTTGCCGCGTTTCAAGAATCGCAAAGCCTTCGTGAGGTGGTCGTTGAGAATGACCGCTTCATGCCGTAGTTTCCCGATCAGCAAGTTTTTCTCCTTGACCTCTTTTTCAAATGGCAGAGCATGCTCGAGCTCCTTCCGTATCTTCTCAAGTTCCTCTGCTGATGCCGCAGCCGAGGACTTTGCCTCCTCGGTCTGAGCACGCAAGGCGTCGAGTTGAGCTTGTGAGGTCTCGACCATTTCGCGCAGCTCCTTCTTGCGAGCGTCTTGAATGTCTTGCAGGGCTCGCTGCAGCGAGTCGACAGTCGAGTTTTGTGTGTCTCTTTCACTGGCAGCTCGGTCGTATGCTTCTCTTTGAGCATTGAGTTGCTCTTCGATCTCAGCTACACGCTCACCCAGTGATTCACGCAGGGACCTCTCTTCCATGGCGAGAACTTCCCAATCCTGCATGGCTTGTCGAGCGTTCTCAAACTCTTCACGAGCATATGCTTCCCTGCTGATCAATTCATCGCGCTCCTTGACCCAATTCGACTGGCTGACGTTGGTACGGCTCCGAAGCGATTCAATCTCGCTTTCATGTTCCTTGCGTTGGGATTCGAGCTGGTCAATGGTGGCTTGGAGCTCCTCTTTACTTTCGCGAGCGGATTTGCTCTCCTCTTGTAGGTCCTCGATTTCGGCGCGAGCTTTTGAGAGTTCTTCGGCATCGGCTTTTAGACGTTCTCCCAGTTGCGACTTGATAGTGTTGACCTTGCCCAGGAGTGTGCGATACGCGCTCTCAGCGTTCTCTTTGCCTTTTTGAATCTCTTGTAGCTGTGTTCTGAGCCTTTCAACTTCTTCTCCGTCCGAGCTCCGCTTTCCGACTTGTGCTTCTTGGGCTTGTCTCTTGAGCTCCTCAACCTCCTTTTGGTGTTCTTCACGCAGGGAGTCCAGCGACTTGCGTAGCTCTACGAGTTCGGCGTTCTCTGCAGTCGACTGTGCTTCGTGTGCTTCCTTGGTGAGACTATCGACTTGCTTCTGATATTCTGCTGTTCTAGACTCGAGAGATTGGCGGAGTTCGGCAATTTCTAAATTATCCCTAGTCGTCTGGGCAGCCTCGGCTTGCTTCTTTAGGTCCTGGATCTCGGCTGTGTGCTTCTCCTGCATAGACAAGATGGACTGACGCAGCTGAGCGACTTCTGCGTTGTCTCTATCGATCTGTGCTTGTTGTGCTTGATCCTTGAGATGTTGCGTTTCCTGCTGGTGACTCTTCTGCATGGACTCGATCGAAGCGCGCAACTCGGCGACTGCCGCGTTGTCCTTGGTGGCTTGGGTATCTTCGGCTTGCTTGTTGAGTTTGTCGAGTTCTTGCTGGTGCCTGTCCTGCGTGTCTTGTAGAGATTTGCGCAGGTTTTGGAGTTCAGCATCGTGTTTGGCAGCCTTGTCATCCTCAATTTGCGATTTCTTGTTTTCCGACTCTTTCGCGTGCTGGTCTTGGATAGATTCAAGCGATCTGCGCAATTCGGCCAGTTCCTCACGTAGCGAATCACGCTCCTTGACTATGGCGTCCAGGCTCGCAGGTGTTTCGGATTTGACATGGCTGTCTGTCTGAGGTATCGGCGGATCTGAGGTCGAGTGTGTAGTCTGCTGGGAGCCATTGAGAGGCAGAGGCTGTGGAGTGGTTGGTTCATCAAGGCCGGCTACCGACTGCTTCCGGCTTGCTGTGTCGTCGTCGTCGGCATCATCGTCAGGGTCGTCGTGAGCGCCGTTAAGGTCTGGCCCGTCTGTCGAAGACTTTGTCTTGTCATTGGACTTCTTCTTGTTCTTTCTCTTCTTCTTGGAAGCTGCAACGTGGCCGCGTCAGCGTTGTGTGGTCAGTCGGAAGGAACAAGATGGACCTACCCGATTTTGACGCTGCATCGGCATTCGAAACAGCAGACATATTCGGAACACGAGAGCGGATATGATTGAATGTCTACAGAGTCGCGATTGACAAGGCAGTCTAGCCACGAGCACGAGCAGGGGCTCCGTACTTCCCCACACTTTCCCACGCCGCTTCCCGATCCCGCAGCCATCGACTCTGTCCCACTTTATCCACCACACTCGTTTCATCTGCGACAACCATCGTCTTGTCAGCTTGCCACTCTCAGACACTGGCGACCAGCTTCCCGGAGTTCTGTTGAACCTGTTTCTGGAGCCAAGAGTGTGTCAAGATCGGCCTTGGTCTCATGTCCTGCAGCCATCCCTCAAGCCACCATCACCATTCCCGCCATTCCGTATGGCCGATTCTCTCTTGCTGATCCATGAACCCCTCCCATAAGCCACTCAATCGCGGGGAAGTCAACAACGATGCCAAATACTACATCCCAATCACGGACTAGCTGAGAGCTTATGTCTGCCTCTGCCTATTGGATTGCACACATTACCTAGATGGACGGCACCCCGCATTTGGTCCAGACTCGATGACCATTGGTATATAGACCTCTTTCTGTGCTGGTAGGGTTCTGAGCAATTTCCTTCATCATCCATCATGTCTACCACTGTACTCGTCGATCGTACCTCCAACTTGACCGTCCACGAGGCCCCTAACAAGGACTCTAACAACCTCAAGAAAGAGGACCTCTCAGACCGAAACTATATCCGCTGGGATGCTGAAGGTGTAGAGAAGATCCCACATGACGAAGAGGATGATATCAATGCCGTTGCCGACCAGATCAATCTGATTCAGAAAGCCCAATGGAACGTCCATCGCCATTGCTACAGCGGTACCCACGCTCGTACGCATGGAATTGTCAAGGGCTCCTTCATCGTTGACGACAGCCTACCCAAGCATCTCAAGCAAGGCGAGCTCTTCTCAAAGGGCGGAGAGTTTCCCATCGTCGCAAGATACAGCACTGAGCCCGGTGACCCAGGCCTCGATGTATGTTCGCCTCTCTTCCTACTCGTAATCACCATCTAATGCCTTCATAGGACCGCATCCCTGTCCCTCGCGGCTTCGCCATGAAGCTGTTCGGCGTCGAGGGAGACATGTACGAGAACTATCCAACTCAAGACATTGAGTTCAACAGCACTCCGGCCCTCGACCTTGCCACGGCCAAAGTCACCAGAGAAATCATCGACTTGCGCATCAAGTACGGTCACGACCAGGATGAGCTCCGCAAACACCTCGAGAAACGTGACGATACAGAGTTGCAAACTGCTCGCGACAAGGTCCGAAACACCCACCTTGAAAGCACTCGCCAGTACTCGCAGACCGCCTATCGCTTTGGCGACTATGTCATGAAGTACTGCCTAGTGCCGTCCAGCGAGACACAACGCAAGCTCTACGACGAGACTATCCGCCCGGAACACGGATCAGATATCCTCCACCGCTGGCTCCAAACCTTTCATGCCACACATGACGCAGAGTATCTCTTCCAAGTCCAGCTATGTGAGAACCTGGAAGATCAACCCGTCGAGTACGCCGGTAAAGTTTGGGATCCTGAAAAGTACCCCTGGCAGACTGTGGCCACGGTCAAGATCCCCAAGCAAGAGAGTTTCGACTTTGAGAGAAAGACCTTCTGGGAAGATCACATGAGAGTTGACCCTTGGCATGGCTTGAAGGCCTACCAGCCTCTGGGCGGACCCAACAGATTGAGAAGGGTGGTGTATCCTGCATCGAGTAAGCTGCGCCGTAAGATGAATGGCCGCAAAGAGGTTCATGTCACCAGTGTGGATGATATACCCAATTGAGGCAAACAAGGCTCTCGATTACACCGCCATGTATAACGAATGTATGTTGTTTCTATAGTTTTATGCGTTTGTGACTTGAAGCCTGCTTCCGTCCCTGATTTATTCTCACAAGACACTCTTCATAGTCAGTGCCCTTTACTGCAACATCGTTTCGCAATTTTGAAGACGCTCATGCAGTGTGGTCAGACCCTGCAGCCTCCTGACCCTCAAAACTCCCCCACGCGACCTCTTACTTCCCGCTGCGCTCCACTCTTGACATCAACCGTTCTATACAACTTTCTTTGATGTCTCCTTCAACAAGCAAAAAAAGCCATGGTGGTGCAGTGGTCAGCACACCCAATCCTGGTAACCCTTACATTCTCTCGAATTTCGCTCGTTTGCCTTGATACACTCTCTCAGGGGTCGGGAGGTCGTTGGTTCGAATCCAACTCACGGTGTTTGTTTCTTTTTGCTTTTGTGTATCAATCGTGCGATATAGGGATGCTTGCGTATCTTTTGCCTGTTTTGCATTTATGCGAATATTTTTGTTTCTATCGAACAAGCGATCGGAACAGAGGGAAATGACTCGTCTCTCTCTCTACCTTGATCACTCGATCACACTTTCATGGCCCCGCCAACAAAAGATACCATCCATGAACATGAACATGATCAGTTCTCGAGCGACAGAAACATTTAGATGAAGCAAGTTAAAGAGTGAAGAGGCAATATATATCAACAACTCCCATGTGGAGAAGAGTTTGATGAGTATCAAGCTGGAGATATTAGTTTGGGAGGATGCCAGAGAGACTGCGACTTACGTGCGGCCATCAGCATACGAAAACATTATCTATAAGACTATTAGAAGCATCTGAGGGGATAAAGAGAGAGAGAGAGAGAGACCAAGAGAATGACAAAGGGTGGGATACTGATAAGGTTCGATATGGTAGTTCAATTCATGGACTAACAGACAGCTAACTAAGAGAGGAGCGCGAGGCGCGACTCGGTGTCATGGTGCGCGAGAGCAGGTCTTGGCGGTCCTCGGCTACATCCGAGGACCACGGTTCGAGTCTGTCCAGAACCGTGTTAGGATGGTATACAGACTTATAGAGCATAGAGTATCAAAAAAAAGGACGCAGTAAATTTAGTAAACTAAGACAAATGACTTTAATACTTGAAATCACTAATCCAGAAAGTCTGACACTGTCTAGCGCCAAAGATCTGGTAACCCCTTCCTTGAGCATTTCCCTGCGCACAAGTCTTCCAAAACTGTCTCTCGCACCAGTATTGGGGAATCCATACATTACTGTTTGAGTTGATTCTGCCATCATTCCAGCAAGGAGGGGCAGCACTGACGGTAACCTTGTTGCGGCCACCGTCAAAGGAGACACCGATGGAGGCATCGGCGCTGGGCATGTGCAAGTTCTTCTTGCACAGGGCGTCGATGGCGTTGACGATGCGCCAGTCCTTCTTCAGGCAGGAGAACTTGTAGATTGTCCAGTCCCATTCGGATTCTGCGACTGCGGGGACGGCGAAGAGAAGGGTGCAGAGGGCTGCGATAAGGATGGTGAGGCCAGTGATGCGGACCATTGTTGCGGTTGTTTTTAACGAATCAATCGTACTGCAGACGATTGATGAGAACAGATGATTTGTGATGTGATTGTTGGAGAAGAAAGCGTGTGTTACTAGAAGAGGAATCGATTTGATGAACGGGTGTTCGGCATCTATTTATCAATGATATTTGTGCTCGATATGTTTCCGGTAGACAAAGAGCTTCAATGCTGAATGTTATTGAGGACTCGATGTGGCAGTATTGCTCAGACATCTCTTTGATCAGAGACAAGAGCGCCTTTCAAAGAGAAAGAGAGGTTTCGTATGGAGAGATGTCTCTAGGGAAGTGGCAGAACAGCATGACATGCAAGAGATTGAGATGGCAGGCCCGATGGTTCTGGACCAACACAACATTTGGGGGATCGTGTTACACGTTAACATACCAATACCTTACAAAGCTCATCATCTTCTGCGACGTCTGGGATTGACACTGCCGTCTAGTCGTCGCATCTTATTGGTAGCGCCTTCCGGCAGCCGATGGTCGTACGTGTCAAAGGCACCATCCGGGCATGGCCTTCAATGTGGCTATCTGAACAAGCCTCTGGTACATCTTGAGACGCTGCAAGCGTACACTTCTCCAGTCGATAGCTCGATGTAATGGGCTTCTCTTGCCATGGTTGTGGTTGCTATTCACTCCCCAAAGCAGCAGACGTCGTTTACACCCGGCAGATGCCGCATATCAGCACAGACCACCTGCAGTCAAGCATAAAACTCTTCCTTGCCTTGCCATCCTCCTTGAACCCATCAAGTTGATGGCCTCCATACCCTTATAACCCCCTTATTCCGTGGGAGTTCGTATATTCTCGTGAGGCCAATAGGAATGCGTACATAAGCGCCACTCAATAATCTTGTCTTTTTGGTTATAAATCTACAGAATGACGGGTTCGCTTGTGGCTTACATCTCTTTTGCTTTGAACCTACTGTTTCTTTGCGTTTGATTGAGCGCGGATGCAAGATTCTGCTGTAGAGCACATGATTGCCTGTCTCAAGACCTGGCGACCGCAAGTGTTGATCTGAACATTGCGTACTGTGCACCTGACGAGTGCACTCGCTAAGGGGACTACGTTGACTCTCGTCTTGTCAGTATCGGTGTTGCAACAGATCCAGTCGGGCCCACGTCTGCATCTCTTCTATGATTTCTGTCATGCGTGGTCACGCTTATCCATCATCACATTTCATTGAAGGATGACTCGGTAATACAGTGTTGGCGGTATCTCTCGTCCAGACACCGATCGGTGGTATCTTTGCGTCAATCGGGTTCTGTATTCTTTGTTCTTGACCTCGACACGGGGAGTTCAAAATTGATGTCAGTGACAGCCCTGGAGCAAGTTCATCACGCACATGAGCCAAGTAATCGTAATCATCACATCTCAAGTGAAACGATAACACGATGATGGATGAAAGTCGGATGAGCTCAGTTCTAATGCCTGCAGCGACTGGCCTCAAATATGTATCTTGATACTATCGAAAGTGCACAAAATCAAGCGACAAAGGGTTATTGTGTAAATCAATATACATTCACAGCACCGACTCGACAAGACTATAACCGGACAACGCAACTCCAAAACACGTGTCTGGCACATTAACGTATGTGAGCACTCGACGAGGATCTTGGAGGAGCAGGAGTTCGTTTGACGACCGGCGGGGGAGGTGGCAATGGCCACACAGGAGTTCCATCCTGCCAGATGAAATCTGCAGTCTCGGTAGCCCACCAATTTGCTTCTCCCTCGTACAAGACTTCGTCATGTTCAGGCGGGAAGACGCCCAGGTCAGTGAACTCAGCAGCTCTCTCATGACCCCAAGCGTGTAGGTACGGTTTGGCTTTGTAAGTTCGTCTGATCTTTTCCTTCTCAGCTGCTTGGAGAGCGGGTTCCTTGTCCGGATTTTGTATCTTGGGTGGTGGAGGTACCGCGGCGCGGATTTTTTGCTGGTTGAGGAACCATGCATCACTGCCGAATGTGTCCATGCCTTTGAAAATTACACTTGCAGTTTCGTTTGTCCTCGCTCCATCTATCCACGCTAAGATGTCTTGAGGCGACATACGTTGTGATGGAAAGTGGCGCAAGCACCAGGCAACCATGTGCTTCAGTTGAACCGAGTAATTTTGTTGCGCGGCCAGCCAGTAGGTGTAATTGCCTATCTCTGGTTCCAAGTCTTCAGGTGCAATGTTAGGGTTGAATTTATAGTTGATATCGCCAAAGGTCTCCGGAAGCAACTCCATCATCAGCTCGAGCACTCGCCCAATCTGCCACACGTTCGTACATGTTCCGCGTAGATTTGCCATTTCTGGTTCCATTTCATGCGACATCTCTGGAGCTAAATAGCCTGGACTATAAGTGAAGCGCAGGCTATCCTGTAGATTTTTAGGGTCGGTCTGATTGGTAAGGCAACCTCCTCCAAGATCCGCAACATGGGGTCGTGGGTAGATGGGGAAAGCGGATGTCCTATCGGGTTGAGCGAGTAGTATATTTCCTGGTTTTATATCAAACACCACAATCACGTCTGAGTCGGTCCTGTGGGGACGTAGCCGTGCTTGCTCTTCCAACTGGACAGCAGCCTTCATAAGACATTCGAGAGTGTGCCAGATAAATGGCTCCGGTATGGCGACCGCCTTTTCGACGTGGGCGTCAATGAGCTTTTGGAGATCTCCGTAATCGTAGAATGGCATAAACAAGCGCCAGTGGTTGTAATGCTTTGCATAAGGTGTTCCCCAGAGCTTCCTTGCGTAACCATAGAGCTGAGAGCAGTAAATCTCTTCGTTGACATCGGGCACAGTCATCAGACCTTGTAGATACGCTTCGTTTAAAAACCTAAGTTCAGGTGCTGCACGACCAATCTCGTTTGTAGGATCCGCACCGAAGTCGTGGCCCTTGTTCTTGAGTTGCCGATAGATGTCCCTATAGAGACCTTGCTCGGCGGTCGGTTCCCAAACTCCCTCGAAAGCGTCTTTGATGACAACGTGAGCAATAGCTTTCAGAGTTGAGTTGTCCACCAAAGTCCAGAGCGTGGCCAGGCCATAGGACCCAGACCCGACTCCGTATCCGCCAATCCATCGTGTGTTCGGCAGCGGATCCGGTAGCTTTCTGAGTCTTTCCAGATTCGAGCCATCCCTACGTACCTCAGCTTTTTGTCTGTCGTTTAATAATCTCGACATATTTTTCAACGAGAGAATCGTGCCTTGCTAATGGCGATGGAGGGGTGATGCCAGAGCAGCAGAGGTTAGAGTGACAGGTGAATCCTCTTGCTCGGAGGAGGATGATCAACAGCTGTTTATTTCTGCCAGCATCAGCATATTTACCGAGTTTGTCCAAGTCATTTTCTGCATCCGGTGACCAATTTCCTTTGAAGTCGGACAAAGTTGGTAGGCCGACAAGGAACTTCGAAATTGTTGGCGAGTTCGAATGAACAAAGAAAAAGCATCGTCTGACCGTAAATTGAAACGCCATCAACCGTCGGATCGAGAACTTTGACAAAGGGGGCTATCGTGCTTTTATGCTTGGTGTAGTCTGTAGATCGTTGCAACCATCCTTCGAATAAGAGAAGCGCTGCTAGAGTGGGCTGATGTCAAGCTTTGGTTCTGGATGTGACGCATGTAGCTGTAGAAATGCACAGTAGTGTCAAGAGACAGGATAGTGTCCATCAAGACGGAACAACGTGTCCGCTCTCCTTGTGCCCGTCCCATTCGAAAGAGACTATGTCATCCGGGTATAGCTAGCTGTAAGAATGCATGGTTGGGTCAAGGGACAGCAGAGTGTCCATGCAAAAGAGACATCTTGTGCGCTCTCTTCAGATAACGCTCTGTTTCAAAGACACATTTTGCCTTTCAATGGCGAGGATGTCCTTCTCGGCCTTGGGACAAAGGGAGTGGAATGCATCTCGACAGCAGCAAAACAAAACGATGATCACGCCAGGGAAGATGGAAGTCACGCGCGACCGAAGCTTCCCCCAAATCCTTCTTTCCAAATCAAGATTTTTACCACCCACAGCAAAACAGATCATTAATGCCAAAGAGACACCAAAAGAAGGATTTCAGCACCGATCAACAGAACAGAACAAAGAATGATCACGCCAGGGGTCGAACCTGGAATCTCTTGATTCGTAGTCAAGCGCCTTGCCATTGGGCCACGCAACCAATTTATGGGTGAGCCATTGATAAGATCTGTATATACAGCCTCACACGCTGACCGCGCGTGCGGATTGCGGCGATAAGGCGGGGCTTGGCATAGCTCGCCGCAAAAGATGAAGCCCGCAGGAAAAATGTCTCTGAGTGAGCCAGACCAGATCACGACACACAAACTCGATAGCCAAATATGGCAGCAACTCTCGTCCAATCGCTCAAATCGGAGCCGTATACCTTCCTCCAACCGCCAACGACGTTACACACATCATCGCTCGATTTTCTCAAGCAGACACTTGATCCGATCGCAAAATCCATCGCCGAGACACAGCAACAACGCTTGCAAGAAGTTCGCAAGAAGAGAAAGCGCGGTCAGAACGACGAAGCCGATGACATTCTGCGCCTGAAGAAAGTCCATGTCGACGGGTTCGCTGTCGAGCAAGTCTGGGAACAAGCAAGGCGCATCATCGACGCCGCCAGGAAAGAGGCTCAGCGCAACTTCGACGAGCTTGCAGAGAAGTACGCCATCGACGACTCTGAAGGCGAGAGCGAGGATCAGGATGGTGAAGACCTGTCAGAAGCTGGTGAGAGTGACATTGGCGAGGAGGGAGTGGACTACGAAATCGAAGGCGAAGAGGAAGATGACGATGAGGACATGGAAGTAGACGGCGAGGTCGATGACTACGAGGAGTCCGACATCGAGGCCGACGACGATGTCGAAATGGGCAGTGAAGACGGTTCCGAGGCAGAGAGCGAGGAAGCAGCCGAGTACGTGCCCGACCCGCACGGCCTGAACGACGGCTTCTTTTCCATCGACGACTTCAACAAACAATCAGAGTTCCTCGAACAAGCCGACGCTCGCGGAGACAACGACTTTGAAGACGACGACGAGGAGGGTATTGACTGGGGCTCCAACCCTCTTGGAGCTAGCACCACAATCGCAAAAGCAGCACAGAACGACGATGATGAATCGGACGACGAAGATGGCCCGACGTTCGGCAATGTCGACCTGAATGCACCCGAAGGTTTCAGTGACAACGAGGAGGAAGTTGAAGAAGGAGAGATGGACGGCATGGGCTCGCTCTCAAACACAAACGAAGTCAAATACGCCGACTTCTTCGCCCCTCCTGCCAAAAAGGTCCGAAAGAATAAGAAGGGCCGCCCGAACCCTCACAACTTCCCTGCCAAACAAGCCTCCCCAAGTGGCGCCGACGAACCCGCAGAGAATGAGGAAGAGATGGAGCGTACCATGGAGAAGGTCCACCGCGATCTATTCGACGATGTGACCGATGATGAGGAGGATGAGGAGAACCTTGACCCAGCCGACCCTCGCTCTCGTCGTTCAGCACACGAGCGTCGCCAGGCCGCTCTCACCGAGGAGATTCGACGCCTGGAAGCTGCCAATGTTGCAAAGAGAGATTGGACTCTGTCTGGTGAGGCTCGTGCTGCCGATCGGCCCATCAACTCACTGCTCGAAGAGGACCTCGAGTTTGAACGCGTCGGAAAGCCCGTACCAGTCATCACCGCCGAAATCAGCGAGAGTCTGGAAGAGCTTATCAAGCGTCGCATTCTGGCAGAAGACTTCCAAGATATCATTCGCCGTCGCCCCGACGATCTGGCTACTGGCAACTCAAGCAGACGCGGGCGTCTCGACTTTGAGCTTGACGACAGCAAAAGCAAGAAGTCTCTTGCCGAGATGTACGAGGAGGAGCACCTCAAGGCCACCGACCCAAACTACGTCGATGCAAAGGACGAGAAGACACAAAAGGAGCAGCAGGAGATCGACGCCCTATGGCGCGACATCAGCAACAAGCTCGACAGTCTCAGCTCATGGCACTTCAAGCCCAAGGGTCCCGCTACACAACTCGACATCCGTGTCGACGCACCCGTCGTACGTCTCGAGGATGCCCGTCCCACTGCTGGTGCAGAGGCTGCTGCTGCCTCACAACTCGCACCACAAGAGATCTACAAGGCAGGCGAGGCGGCCGAGAAGGCAGAGGCCGAGCTTGCCACCCGTGGCGGCCTGGTTGTCAACCGCGAAGAGATGAGCAGAGAAGACCGCAAGCGTCGCCGCAGACGCGACAAGGAGCGCGAGAAGAAGTCGCTGGCCAACGTCGATCCCTCAAAGAAGGAGAGCAAGAAGACAAAGGAGAGAAAGGGCATCATCAGCGACCTCAAGAAGGGTGGTGTCAAGGTCATTGGCAACAAGGGACAGATCACAGATGTCTCGGGTGCTGCTGTCAAGGATGCCAAAGCTCCTTCTGCTGGTGGTTCTTACAAGTTGTAAGATGCATTTTGTTGTACAACCTCCATTCTTGTTCTTGTTTATCATTGCTCAATACCATATTTCTTTATCTTCCGTCATCTGTTATTTATACTCCGAGTATAGCACCTGCAAACTCATCTGAGTGTCTGCTACGTGCTAGAGTCTGTGACTCCCATCCTCTCATGTAGAACAATATCCACGCCATCACAAGGCACAAATGACTCCCAGACCAAAGATGAATCCAGAGAAAAATGAATTCAGAAAAAGCTTAGAATATTCCGCTTGTCGGAGGAGACTGTGTTGCTTCTTGCAGTTATTGTCCAATACCACAGCTACGTAAGTGGCTTCGTCACAGGAGACAGGGCTGCTAACCCAGTCAAGCAAAACGACGGAATGCCAGTCGACAAGCACATTTTGGATATCGTGAAGTTACGCGTGGACGTGTAGATTAAAAGGATGGCCACTGCTCAGAACTAGCGTGGGTCTCAATATTAAATCTTTCACCTTCGAAATCTGCCGAGTTCGGTTGTGTTATCGCCATGATATTGCAAACGGAGTACAACTCATTTTTGTGTTCGGCGAAAAATAGTAGGAGTTGAGATGGTGATAGAAGGAAGGAAGGAGGTTGTTCTTATCTTATCAATCTAACCTCATCTCTACGCCAAGCCTTCTGCACGGCGAGGACTTCTCCTTCCACGTGCGTTTGCGGGACTTGTGTGACCAACTGGTTTCTTCCTGATATTGCCCTGGTACACAGGTGACTCGTCTCACTGACGACCGTTATGAAATACGGTAGCATGTCTGCTGTGTTGCATATTACCAAGCCTGCGTCTAGCATGTATTAGCGACGATCACCAACCACCCATAAATTAGTCAGTATGGGTGGGTCAAGCGTGAGGTCAGGTCTGCCGCAGCACGCATATGTCTCCTTAGACCCCTCGCTCCTGTCTCTTCACCTCCCAAATCACGCGTTCCACAACTGCCGATCACAAACTATATATTCATCCCAGCTCGTTGAGCAAACGCCATAGTCAACACCTTCTGATACGCGAGCTTGAAGGGCGAGCAATCGTACGATCAACAGTCAGGAGAGTATATCACCTTCATCCTTGACTGGGCCCCCAAATTTCCGGACCAGACAAAACCTCTATGGACGCCAGGACTATGATGCTAGAGCAGTCTCTACAGCGACAAATTGCGCTCAACGAGGATCTGAAACCGACACCTCGGGAGAAGGATCATCAGCTGGCAGATTGTCAAGACCTCAAGACAGGTCTGGAAGGGTACATGTTTGAGGGATATAGATATGTGTACACATATCTTCATGTCGTAAGATTGATAGATACGTCCAAAATGATCAGTTCGAGTACTCATCAATCACGCTGACAGGTTTGACGAACTTGCCCAAAGGCTTGTACTCAAGGTCTGTCAGTCCAAATGCCGCCGGCCCTCCGATCTCAATAGCTCGTGCTGTCGACGTCCACTTATCACTGGCGGTGATACCAATAACAGTAACCAACAAACCATACCGATATTCAGGGGTACCAATAGCTTCGCCAGACTGAGCATCAACCACAGAAATCAGATCCGGCACTATAGCCAGCACTTCATCACTGCCATCATCCTTGGCCTTGAACGCGGCGATGTTCTCATTCTTGAAGGGAATCTTGATGCGACCTTCAAATTCTGCCGGGGACCCAGACTCATTTGCCTCTATGATGACTTCGCCATAGACGTGGCCGTTGCGCAATGTGCGGTCTACGCCGATAACTTTGCCTTTGAAGATGACTTTTGCGGCCTCGGGGCCACCAACTTCATCGATGATGCTTTCGGCCACGGTTTCGATGCGATTGCGTTGGCGGGCTGTTGCAACTGCTCGACCGATACGCCATGCGAGAGAGATTGTGTGTTCGACGGCCCAGCGTTTGGTCTCTGCTCCGGTGACTGGTCCTTCTGCGCAACCAACGTGAGAGCCTATACGATGTCAGCATGATTGACTGCCGAGATGAGGTTTGAGTAGGGCCCACCCATCTGAGAGAGAGCAGCCCTGATAATGCGCTCTACAGCTAGATCGGATACTGCGGTCGGCATATACAGCAAGTTGCCATTTCCGTCCGCGGTGGCGATAGGACAGAACACGCATGGACGCTCGTTGAACACGACGGGTGTAGTTTGCCACTTCGTCGGGTACGCCCTGCCCATCCAATCGCCGTCTGTTGCCATCATCAGCGAAAGTCATGTGGTATTGATCAACATATGACCTACCAACTGTAGGCAAGTTCATATTAGAACTTGCTCCCAGTATCATGCCTTGCAATCCATTTCCACCACCAATCTCGAGGGCGATCATTGCAGTGGCTTTCCTATCGCACATTTCGTATAGTCCACGCTGAGCATCCATCATTCTGTGACAGTCAGCGTTATCATCAGCAAGAAACACCATAGAACTTACTCGTCGCCCGGAAGCTTCTCGATTCCCACTGTCGGTGAGCCTGCTCCGCCGCCACAGCCAACTTGATCGTCATCTTTCAGGTCGTGAGGATTGATAACCCTGATCACACCTCCCTCCCGCAAGATACTTCTCATGCGAAGCATGTGCGAGTATGGACTTCCGCCTCCTCCAGTACCCAAGATGTAGCAACCAGTTGACATCCACTCGAGGTCTGTTTCGGAGATATACCAAACTCGATCTATCACTTTCGGCTTGTAAGTTGCTATGTCAACAGGTTCAACCGCAACATGCTTCTTGGTGTCAGCACCATCATGCCGTGGCTTGTTACCATTCTTTTCGTAAACACCCATATCGTTCTCGTCCGAGAGCTCTTCGTCTGTAGCTGCTTTCATCTCGTTGGCACGAACGTAGTCAAACTCTCCAGCTGCTCTGATTATGAACCTGCTCTTGTTCGCGATGTACTACACCAATTTGTCAGCTCTAGGATTTGATACATCTCGGGCAGCACTTACTGGTAGTGGTAGTGTCTCGACCTCAACGATCCTCACCGAGTCCTCTGCCGCTCCAGACTCGATCGCTTTCTGTACCGCTTCGCTCGAAATTTCCTCCACCAAATCTGCAACACTCTTTGACTCGGTAGATTTGACGGTATCAATCACAGCGCTGACTCTTGCAATTGCAGCTCCGATTGCGTTGGCTACTCCAGAGTATTCTGGCTTGATCACACGGCTTGCTCCGATCAATTCGTCGGGTGCTACGATTGCTCCACCGCCTACCAATAGCACAGGCAAGTCTTCTGGTGATGTCTTCATGGTGTCAACAACCATCTCGAGCATCGTCTTCACAGTCGCCTTGAAAGATGAGATGCCACTGTGCGACAGGTGTTGTACCTTGTTCCGGTCGCCTATGTCAATTTTCTTATCTCCGGCAATCGTATAGTCGGTGCTCGTGGGGACATTTCCATCAAAAACGAGAGCCTCTGTTTGGATCTTGTAGCCTACGCTATCGGGGCCGACCGTGGTTTTGTCAGCGTCCTCTCGTACAACGGAACCACCACCGAGGCCGATGCTCTTGACATCTGGGCAGGAGAAGTTCATGCGAACGCCAGCAAACTCCGAGTAAGCTGCTGCTTGTCTAGGGAAGCCATTGGCAAGTAGCAAGCCGACATCAGTTGTTGTCCCACCTGTACCGTGTGAGTATACTACTGATGTGAAGCAGAGCAAGACTTACCAATGTCGACAACCATCATTGCTTCATTTGTCCCACCCTGGGCCAGGTATGCGGCACCTCTCATGCTGTTCGTTGGTCCACTGGAGAATGTCCTGATAGGCAGTCGCGATGCCATCTCGCCACTCAGAATCGTTCCATCATTCTGACTGAGGAACACGGGACATGTCAATCCCAGACGTTCGATAGGTTCTTGGAAGGAGCGAATGGTTTTCCTTGCGAAAGGCAAGATCGAAGCATTTAAGATGGCGGCATTTTCGCGCTCCAGAAACCCAAGATTCGCAACTTCTTTCGACAGTACAACATTGCATCCAGGCAAGATGTCGTTGATGATCTGTGCAGCTCTTTCTTCCTGATGATGGGTTGCATCGATTGGACTGAAGACTCCGATGACCACGATACTTGTGATGCTCTTTTGCTTGATTATGTTGCACTGGTCTTGAATCTCCTGGACATCAATATCGGCGATCAGATTGCCATCGACTGCGACATGTCAGAAGAGGGATAGAACACGATCAGCGGTGATTTACCTTCGAGACCCCCCTTGACTAAGGCATAGTGACCAAGAATCAGGTCCTTCATGTCTACTGGCCAGTCAATGCAAGGCAAAGCATGTTTGCCGAAAGGTCCACATAGTCGGATCACGGCTACTCGGGCAAGTCTTGCGGCATCTCTCTCTACCACTGCATTGACGAAATGCTGAATCAATTCAGCGATTATTCAACTCACTTGGGATGATACACATACTGTGGTGCCAATTGTTACAGAGGCGACGTCAGAGGGATTGACCTTAGCCTGCTCAAACATAGAAGTCAAGGCATCACTGATACCTGAGCTCGGATTTGTGGTTGTAGGTGATTTGTGCCTATTGTACAAGTCAGCAAGCGTCGTAGTATATAGATCATTTATCGTCTCCACTTACCATGCTACGATACCTTTGCCAGGTTCTGATGCTTTTGTGGGATCCAAGATGACTCCATCGGTATTAGTACTGTGAGTTGGTCGGTTAGCCAAGATTCGGGTTATCATCCTGCTCGACGTACCCGCCAACGTCAACACCAATCCTGAGTACTCTGTGCATCTTCTATGATCACGTTGATTGTCGGGGAATATTAAACAGATACCATTTGAACATTTGTGAGGAATGGTTGGGTTTAACCACAATGCATTGAGCTGATGCTCGGCGGAGGGGCCCCGATAGCGGCTCCTTCGCTTGGCAGCAGCGAGCGGCCAACACCTTCCACCAGAAAATGATGCTCGGTATCAGTCGCAATTGTCGTTATCAGTATCGCGAAGTAGTAGTGGTGTTTGAGATGGTCGTACTTCCCCTCAACAGACTCGTTATCTGACATGTTGTTGGCTCCGCATTTGATATCCCGGCGAAAGTCCACCGATAGGCAAGCTCATCAGCTACCCTGTCTGTTGGCCTATCTAGATAATAGTGTGATTACTCCTCCACTACAATACGTACTGCCTACGATGGATGCAATACTGATACCCCACGCTCGTATATATCGTGCTTCTCCTTGAAAGACATGATCGCTTCATTACGGACACTGATCATGAGTGGCTTACGACTGCGAACACTCAAGGAGAAGATACAGCTCCAAGGTGATGGAAACGAGCATGAGCAGGTTGACTCATGGTCCAACCGTGATCTCATTCCTCTACCACCCTCGAGACGGACTTGGGGCTGGTTCCACTACTTTGGGTATTGGACGCTGAACTCTCTGAATATCTCGAACTGGCAAACTCCAAACACCTTCTTGTGTAAGATCTTCCGTCGTGTTACTGTGACAGTTGGCTGAATTTGAACGTTAGCTTATGGACTCTCTGTGGGCCAGAGTATGATGGTGATTGTGGTTGGTAAGCTGCTGGTCACCTTCTTCTCCACACTCATTGCCTGGTGTGGACTTCGTTGGCATATTGGCTTCACTGTCCAGAATCGCTTCACTTGGGGTCTTCGTGGAAGCTATATCCCTTTGATGCAGAGGGTTCTTTTGAACTTCATCTGGTGTGCCATCCAGTGTAAGTAACCCGCTTCCACCTCAGGGCCCTATGGATACTAACGTGATGTAGGTTGGAATGGTGGAAGACTAGTCGCGGTGTGCATCACAGCTATCTGGCCGTCCTTTGCCAAGATGCATAACACCCTTCCTTCATCGATGCCTACCACGACCTACCAGTTCATCGCGTTCGTGCTCTTCTGGATTTTCTCAGTACCGTTCCTGTTCGTCCGTCCAGAAAAGTTCCGTTTGCCCTTTTTGGTCACATCCATCTACTGTGGCCTCGGTATGCTCAGTATGATGATCTGGTCTCTGTCCGTAGCGAAGGGTGTAGGCCCACTCTGGACAACGGGACAGCACATTCCCGAGACCTCGTCTTGGAACCTTCATTGGCTTGAGATGAAAGGCATCAACCAGATTATCGGTGGCATTGCGGCTGGTATAACCAATGGCTCAGACTTTTCTCGATACGCACGAGCACCTAAGCACTACGTCCTAGGGACTGTTCTATCAGCATGGGTCACTGGCGTCCTTGTCAGCTTGGTCGGACTTGTGGTGACAGCAGCGTGCCAAAAGATATACGGCGAAGTCTACTGGAACCCTCCGGACCTTCTCATGCGCATGATGGACAGCGGCGAAGGCTCATCCAAAGCCAGAGCAGGCGTCTTCTTTCTCGCTGCCGGTTTCGCTCTAACTGGCATGTTCGAGAACGTCTGTGGAAATGCTGTCGCAGGAGGTATTGACCTTGCTGGCCTCTTTCCTCGCTACCTCGACATTCGCAGGGGCGCCATTCTGACCTTTGTGGCTGTTTGGGTGTGCCAGCCATGGCAACTTGTCAACAAAGCAGCTACTTTTGTCAGCGTGTTGAGCTCTTTCTCTGTCTTTCTGTCGCCAATCATGGGCGTCATGGTAGTTGACTTTTACCTCCTGCGCAAAGGGAGAATACAGCTCAGCCATCTTTACAGGACCAGAGATACTGCATACTGGTATCACAAAGGCGTTAATTGGCGCGCTATACCTGCATGGATCTGCGGGTGGGCGCCCACGATCGGCGGCCTTGTGGTTACTGTGGGAGGTACGTCGAGCCCTCCTCGAAGCTTGGTCAAGCTGTACTATATGGCATTCCTTGTGGGGTTTTTTGTGAGCGGCACGGTCTTCCTTTTGCTCAACCTCGCCTTTCCATGCACAGGGCTGGGTGAGTACGAGAAGGTGGATGTCTATGAGACTTTTACACCTCGCGAAGCTGCCAACCTTGAAGTCGTGACAGCCAGTGAACCGCAGGTGCTGGATGGAGTTGAATCTGACCCAGTCGACAACAAGATGGAATCCGGTACGGTTGTCGAGAAATCTTTGTGAGACGCTGATTGACATTGTCGAGCGCGAAATCTGATTTTAGATTGTCCAGCATGCACAATGACATGTGAGGTGACCACAGTCAAGAAGCTTTCGGGTGTTGAATCGATAGAACATGCGGGACGTTGACCCAAGAGTGCGTCAATGCGGTACTAGTCAGCTATCGTGCTTTGCCGAAATTTCCCAATGGTTCGTGACATGCGACCTGATGGCGACTCGGGAGTTCCAAGCACGAGGGCGCTCATCGTATGCATATCTTTCCCTGTGGAGAAAGCGACTATCGATCTTGGAAGATTGGACATAACAGCTTGTGGAGACATACTCCGTACTCGTGGTTGGATTTGACGTGTGAAGCTTGTAACGAGGCTGGCTGGCTTCCCGCAAGCACATAACGAACCAAACTGCAGAAGAGTACAGCATTCGTGTGATGTGAACGAGTCTCAGAATGCACAAGCCATCTATAGCGGGTGGAAGAAACAAGGAAGCCAAATTGTTTCCAGAAGCAACCACGTTCTATGCGGCAGAGACAAGTGACTTGCCAGCGAAGGAGGTGGTCTCGGACACACGTGGTTGGACCCACGTTGCCGCCCGCCGAGCAAAGAGAGTTACGGACGTACAGGGAGTGGCCGTAACTATTGGCTTCTGGAAGCGCCATCTCGCAGCTCGGCAGCGAGCAATTTCTTCGATAGAACAAAGAGTGACGGTGATGGCCAAAGGTGAATTGCAGCTGAAAAGTACTCGTGGGATGATGTCAGCAGCTCTGAGAAGAAGCAAGTAGATGGCGATAAGGGGTGACACGTGTCTAGATAAAACAGCCTAGAAGACTGAGAGAATTACAGCAATATGGCCTTTATCTCTGGGAGCGACGAGTGGACACAGCACAGACATGAGGCAACATAGAGTGGCACGGGGAGAGATGGCCAGGTAAAATTGCTCGAGTGTCGAAAGGGATGCGGGCAAGATTCCGTTTAGATTGGCGAAGGGAGTTTTTGGCTAGGGCGGTTCTAGAGGGGAAGACAGTTGGGATGGGTAGACCGCGGTTGTCTCCGCCGGCGGAGAGCGAGGCCCCCCCGAATGGATTTATTGGACTCAGAATCTCAGATGTGGGACTCTCGTTGGCAGCAGGAATTGAATGCAAAGTGACAGCTGGGATGCTTGAGATGGATGCGGTGGCCGATGAGAGAGAGCAAAGGGATTGATTATCAGAATGTATAGTGCAAGCGAATTGTTGACAAGACGCAAATAACGATTGGCATTCTCCTCTAGGCAGCCAATCACGAGGCGAATGGAGAGGCAAAGGGAGGGAAAGCTCTTGCCTTCTCCAGCTTTATTGACTTGGGCCTCTTGTTGACCCTGACTCGTCGCGTAGCATTTTGTTATTGAGAGAGTGCACCATCGGTCGCTCGTCGTTCTCTGAAAGGCCCGTTCGCGCTCGAATCGAATTGCGGCTTCTCGTCGCCGTGCAGTCCGAGCCCCCGTCGTGTGTCTCTCGCTGGTCCATCTCTTAAGCCTGCTGCTTGTTCACCGTGCTTGACCCTGCCTCTGGTCGTCTTTGTCTTGGCCACCGCCCTGTGTCTTCGCTCCTGGGATCGCCCGTAGCCATCTTGCATCTCTCAACCCACGCACTCTTCAGCCCTCTGTCACTTTGCAAGTCGGCATTCAGTTTACGTGCATCGCCCGTTGAAGTGCCGCTGCCCGTTTCGCTCTACCCTCATCCGCTCTTGCCCAGCATACGCAGCAGCAGTGCTAGATTTCTAGCCTCACGCCTCTCCACCCGATCCAGCCAATCCAGCCTTCTCCGCACCTGACGTCGAAACATCACCACTCTCTCCCACTCGACCAACAACCTTGGCCGACTCTCTCTTCTCGTCTCATATATCAATCGCCTTTCCTGTCTCGTGCTTCCATCGCCGCAATGGCTTCAAAGGTCGGTGCCGACCATGCTTTCTTATCGTCGCGACAGCGCGTGCTCACTCTCGTCGCCAGTTCCTTCGCGAGTACAAGCTCGTAGTAGTCGGTGGTGGTGGTGTCGGAAAGTCGTGTTTGACCATTCAACTCATTCAAAGCCATTTCGTTGACGAGTACGATCCGACAATCGAAGGTTCGTGTCCAACGCCGCTTCCAATCCCCACCGTCTCTGTTCTGACCGCGCCTTCTCCGCACAGATTCATACCGCAAGCAGTGTGTCATTGACGACGAGGTCGCCCTTCTCGATGTGCTCGACACGGCAGGACAGGAAGAATACTCGGCCATGAGAGAACAATACATGCGCACCGGCGAAGGTTTCCTTCTCGTCTACTCCATCACCTCGCAACAATCCTTTGAAGAGATCAAGACGTTCCAACAACAAATATTGCGCGTCAAGGACAAGGACTACTTCCCTATGATCGTCGTCGGAAACAAGTGCGATCTGGACGGTGAGAGAGAAGTGTCGATCGAAGGTACGCCTACCCCTCTCCCTTGTGTTTATTTGTTCCGGCCGTTTGACTGACACCCCCTGCAGAGGGCAAGGAGCTCGCTCGCAGCTTCGGATGCAAATTCATCGAGACATCGGCCAAGTCTCGCATCAACGTTGAGAACGCCTTCTACGACATTGTCCGCGAGATCCGCAAATACAACCGCGACATCACCGGCGGTGCACCCGGCGCAAGAGCAAATGGCGGTCCTGCCGAGAAGATGAACATGGACGAGGGCGACTCAGATGGCGGCTGCTGCAAGTGCACCGTCATGTAAAAGCACACCACTTCCTCGCCACGCCGCACGTCCGCCCTTTGCTATACCAGTTTTTGGTGCCTGGAGCTTCTAATCTTCCCTTCTTGATCTGACTTTTTAGAGCCTTGGGTTGTCTCTTGTTCTTCTTTTCTGTTTACTCGTTCGATTCCCCCTAGCACAATCCCCCATGTCTCTTTTTCTCTACTTTCTTTTTCTTTTATACCAACTTATCAACCTTAGAGCGGCGACAGAAGTCAGTCCTCTGCCCAGCACGTATCCACAGGCTCGTCAAGGAGGACGAAGCCGCGAAGAAAGGTCTACAAGAGGCGGCAACGATGATGACAGCAAAAGTGGAGGACAGAAGAAAAAGCACAACAACGAATGAATGGACGACAGCACGCCGTCTACTTTTCCGCATCAGTTTCTAGTCTTTCTGCTTCTCTCGCTCGCCCTTTCGAATGCACATGGTGGTCGACCAGGCTCTCACCGGAGCCAGGTGTTGCACTGGCGCTCGTCCCCGCTGTGCTCATGTGGTCTGGCTTATCTCTGTTGTATTCTTCAGATGTTTCGTTTTCCTATCTTCGAACAGCATGTGTATCGGTGGTCACAGATGTGTCTGCGCGATGGGACAAACAACGGGCGTTCACCAGGTGCGAATCCACGCTCTTAGATGTACTCGAGTAATCTCAAATGTTTTTTTTTTCCCATACCAAAGACTTCTACAGTAAGCATCATGCATGTGGAGAAACCGAAATCTAGAGTTTGGCCGATCGACCAACGGCGCTACTCCATCAAGGTATACGATCGTCGTCTTGCAGATTCCCATCTTTTCCGCGGAGCTCTTGTTGGATATCATTGAGCACATGTGTCAGGTATGCATGACTTCTTACTCTTCTCCTCTCAGCTGATCTTCAATCTCCTCTAGCTCTTCGGCGCTGTCGATCTCGATGATGCGACCGACTTCTGCTTGGTTGCGCATGAGTTCCTTTGCTCCGGCGTATACCATTTTGAGCTCGCTGTTGCAGGTGACGGGGAGGTAGTAGAGCATGACGTAAGGTACGGATAGACGACCGGAAGCCTGTGGTAAGTCCTCATTGTCAGTGATGCTTCTCTTCTTTGCAGCATAGACAGGAAGCTGATGGAGTGGAGAACAGTCATACCATTGTCAAGGGGTAGCTCAGCAAGATGAACCTGGGCGAGTGGTCGGGCAGCTCTTCGCCTAGGATGCTCAAATCGGTGTATGTTTCATCGTCTGCCTTTGAGATTTCCAAGGTCTTTTTGTCGATTTGGTCTTTTCCTTGACGAATGTTTGTTTTAGCCAATGCAACATTGTATTTCTCATCTCTCTTTCTTGTGTCTGTTGGGTCTCTGCTTCTTCGAGGTGTTTGTGGCTCTGTTTCCCAAGCTATTGCTGTGTCCTCCTTCTCTCCTCTCTTGATGAGACATTCAAAGCTGCTGGAGCTAGACGATCCAGGAGGTATGCTGCTTACAGATTATGGCTTGCGGGTCCTTTGCCCTCGAGGTCCCTAGACGGAACTTGCGGAGTGCGGCTTTGGTTTCGGGGCTAAAGGTGTAGAGACGTGCTTCGGATGCCTAAGGTTCTGACTGTTAGCTGTATGTCCACCTCGAGGATAGCTGGGTACGATGTATATATACCATGTTGGATAGATATGTTTGTGTGTGTGGAGGAAGAGAGGTGTTTTGATGATTGCAGACCCCTCGAGAGCTTTGGGGGTTGAGATGCCCCGCAATCGATTGACGTCGGTCTTGTCTGTCACGACGCCGATGCTCGTTGCTCAAGACCACGAGGTTTCGAGTATCGTCCATATTTCTTCTGAGGCATTTTATGATTGTTGCCTGGTAGTGTAGTCTTCTATCAACCATATCCGAATCCATCTACCTCGATTGTTTGAATGTGTTCTTTACGGACATGCTTGACCAATGTACTTCACCCGGTTCATCGTGGAAATCACATATTATTGTTCTGACCTTCACATCTCGAGCGACAGATGTAGAGAGCGATTGTCTGTAGCTCAGATAAGCCAGGCGGTAGCTGGAGATATCATACAACCATGTCTGATCCATTTGGCAGTAATCAGGGAAGAGATACAATAGTCCAAGCAAAAGAGCAGGGTCACACCAGCCTCAGCGACACCCGATCGTCACAAGACGACTCGACCTTCGGCAATCGCTGCCCCGCAAACGATCAGTAATGACATCTTGACCGCACCTGCCGCCAACAACACACGCGTGTTGATTCACTCTCCTTTTTCAGTCACTGTTTCTTGCTCGCAAAAAGGTCTTGTTACCAAGACTTTCACATGTTCTCCCGCATCAATCAAGTGGCACGTCATCTCAGTCGTCCTTTACCAAACTACCTACATCGTTCCGCTGCCGCAGCTGCAACTTCCCGACTTACGAGCAGTACTCCTGCAGTCATGGCTGATGCAAACAACAAGCGTACTATCAACACGGCGGCGTGTTTGATTATCGGTGATGAGGTTTTGGGTGGAAAGGTTGGTCGATTTTTTTTCTTCTTCCACTCCAAAGAAACATCAATGTCCTAAGAGGTTATGATCAATTCGAGTTCACTTGGAACATGATCCTCGAATCCTCATCAGTTATTCTCAAGAAGTCGGGAGAGAACAACCAGAGCTAACCGGTAACCTCAGACCGTCGACACCAACAGCGCCTACCTCGCTAAATTCTGCTTCTCGCTGGGTATAAACCTCAAACGCATCGAAGTAATCGGCGACGAGGAATCAGAAATCATCGAAGCAGTCCGCCGCATGTCCTCTTCCTACGACTTCGTAGTCACCTCCGGCGGCATCGGTCCCACTCACGACGACATTACCTACCAAAGCATTGCGAACGCTTTCGACCTGCCTTTGGTGCTTCATGAGGATACGTTTTCTCGCATGAAGAAGTTGAGTAGACCTCATCCTGGTCAGCCCAACTTCAACTGGGAGACTCCGAGCCCGGCGCTGGAAGCAAAGAAACGAATGGTGATTCTGCCTCATGATGAGAAGCTGCCTAGTGAGCAGCAAGTCATCTTTACAGCTGAAGATCTTTGGGTTCCCGTGGCTGTGGTCAATGGAAACGTGCACATCTTACCTGGAGTACCCAGACTGTTTGAGCGCATGCTCACTGGACTCAAGCCAAGTCTGCTGCCTAGATTGACCGATCCCGAAGGCAAAGGCGTTTATCGAATTATTATTTCGACGCCGCTGCCCGAGAGTGGTGTGGCTTCTTACTTGACTGAGTTGGCCAAGAAGGTTGAGCCTGAGGGTATCAAGGTTGGAAGGTAAGTGTTTCATCGACATGGCTTGACTGAAACGAGAGACTGATCAATATGCACAGTTACCCAAGATGGGGCAAGGCGAGAAACACAGTCACGCTCGTTGGCAGAAACAAGGAGTACATGGACAGCCTGGTCCCAGAGGTCGAGAAGGGTGTTCAAGGCAAGCGTGTCACCAAGGAAGGCGAAGACGACGTTGATGGCGAGTCGGACAAGGACACTTGAGCCGTGACCAACGGTTGCTTCGGGTATGTAGATATGTAAACAAGTATATGGATGACTTGCGCCCTTCTCCCATCAACAGTTCTAGTCTGTAGGTTCTTCGATTTTCTCAGATACATATCCTTTTACGTAGACTACGTCAACGGTGAGCTCTGATTTGTGATTATGAACGACTTGTGGAGTAATACGTAACAGGTAGGACGTGGTTTCTGTTATCAACCATCATGAACCAGATCCCCAGAAACACTACGTTTAATGCAGAACAACGACCTCCCCACCAAGTCCACGTCTCCTCGCTGTTGCTTCAATTGGACAGTCGAAATGAACATGGGATCTTGTATCCTCCCGCGGTCTTTCTCGAGCTAGAGCTTTGTATCGCATTTCTCGCCGTCGGCGTGAATGTGGTAATGACATTTGCCCATATTTGACTCAGGTAGCGCGCGCTTGCCAATATCTTCCTTTCTCTTGGCTCCTACGACCGTCAGCAGCTCAATGAGTGCTTCATGTGGCCAACGCTGGCCTCCATCCATGGACAAGAAGGGTCCCAGATCACATTTGTAAGCAACCAGGTCTACCATGACCTTGCGCAGAGGTGAGCCCGGAAGAGTGTTGTTCCAGATGAGCTTGAACTGTAGTGTAGGCAGAAAGTTGTCTCTTGTGTGTTTCTCGATAAGTGTGGTCATCACTTTGTTCTGCAGAGAAGGCATCAGGTACTTGTCGCCAAAGATCCAAGCTCTGATAAGGACGTCCCAATCAAGCTCGTAATTATCCTTGTCAGAGAGTTCTCGTGTATAGACGAATTGGTTGACAATGCTGAATACATTCACACGCTCATCAACGAGAAATAGCTTGCCTTTAGCAGCCTCGGAAAAAGAGCCGTCGAAAGCGCCACGAAAGTAGTCTGAGTAGAAAATGAGGAGGTCTTTGTGAATAAGGAAAGCCTTCTTCTCGGCACCGACTTCGACTGTGACAATAGTCTGGAAACAACTTCTTTGTGGGTGTCAGTAACGTGCACAATGAAGGAAAACTGAGTGATGAGCGTACGTGGGTGGGATCTTTGACGGAGCAGACGCAGCCTTGGTACTGAAAACGTTTGGAGTTGTGGTAGGCTTGGAAGGGCCAGATTCAGTCTTGACAATGGGCGTCGACATGATAGCGGTGTTGTGAAAAGTTTTGAGCGGCGTGCAGCAGTTTATGGCGCTGGTATGAGTCAAGATAAGAGATCCAGCAGCATAAGTGTCGGTGCTGACGAGTGAAGAAACAGAACTTGTGTGGAGTTTAAGAGTCACTGATGATGGGCGTATCATACGTCTGTGGCGATGATCTTGTGAAGATGTTGCGATCGAAAAACGAAGCCGAGGGTGGGCAACTGTAGCTGAAGCACAGGAGGAAGGTGTGAGACACGATCAAGGGAATGTGTCGACAGCGTTGTGAGAAGTGATTTGTAGATGGCCGACAAGAGAGATGGCCGACAAGAGACTCGGTGTCCCAGCGAGAGGTTATCGGCAGGGTATGCTTTCGATAGCAAGATAGATCAGGAAAAGCAGATGGCATCCATTGGTGGATGCATGATGCTGCTCGTCGATAGCTAGTGAGGTTGATGGTCGGGGGAAGAGCAAGACTTTGTTGCGATGACGAAGTGGAGGCTGGATTGAAAGTGGGCTTGCTGTTGTTTAGGTGCGGTTGACACGCGAAGTGGAAGGCACGATGCTGTCTGCGGTTGCTTTCACTCGACGAGCCCAGGGAAAGCGTCGTCAGATCCGCCGAAGATGTCGTTCAAAGAAACGGATATGGCAATTGAGTCAATTTGATGTCTTCTCTCTGAGTAAAAGTCCTTTCCTGTCCAACGTTCTCGTGGACTGCTCTTCACGACACTGATTGCCAAAGTCGCCTCGCATCATAGCTACTGAAACTTCCTTCCAGAAGCAATTGACAAGCCCCGTCGCACAACTTCCCGCCTGTATTCGCAGTATGGTTCGTGATGAAGATCTTGGATAAACGTGTGATTGTTCTGCAGGTGCGTGTCTGTAGAAATGAGCATGTATTCAAAAGTCTCAAGGTTAATCAGTACCCACAGCAGGATCAACAGTGTTCGCCCTTGGCATGAACGTGGTAGTGGCATCCACGGCATAGCGCGCGTGGGTAGTGGCGACCGTTGGGTGAGATACGATTCATCGCATTGGTAATGTCAAGCAAGGCTTGATCAGCAAGGCGAGTTTCTCCATCTGTTTCCTTGAGCGAGCTTGCTTTGTGGGTTACCATGTCAACAACGGCCTCGCGAAGCTGAGAGCTCGATGTCGTGTTCTCATAGACTTCTTGGATCAGGAAGAGAGGGTTACTTTGATCGTCTTCGATCTTGTAGATCACCAATGCCATAACGCGGTTTTGGAGCAGTGGAATCTGATGTTGATCACCGAAGATCCAGAGTTTGACAAGAAGAGACCACTCAGGAAAGTCGTTTGGCTCAACTTTGTTCTCCGGCCACGACTGAGTGTAGAGCCAGTATTGGAAAGCCTCAAAGACATCAGTGTCGACGTCGGGCAACTCGATCTTACGCTCGACCGCTTCCTTGGAAGAGCCGTCGAAGGCAGCGCGGAAGAAGTCCGAGTAGAAGCACAGAAGATCCTTATGGCAAGTGTAGAGTTCCTTGTTTGCGCCGACAAGGAGAGTGACCGATTCTCTGTAGACGTTGCTGTGGGGGTGTCAACACAGGAGAGATCATCAGAAAGCGTGTAACGCACAGGGGAGGTTGATTGCGTCTGTAGATCGTAGAGACCGCTCTAGTGACTGGAGCAGTGGGGTTGGGATAAGTTGAAGACATGTTGCGCGATTGTGGATGTAGCTGCCCAGGTCGAGGAAAGATTGAGAGCCTCGAGGTCAATATGGAGGCGCGGCAATTTTGAGTGATAGCGTCAAGTGGCGGCGCCAGCACGAGTGAACGGAAAATCAAAGTGAGCCGAGCGACCTCCTCAAGCAACAATCACTTCCTACATTTGTGCTGAAAGTCATTGCAGGACTGCACAGTATCCACCACAAGCTATAGTGTAGATCGTGTATACGTTCACGAAGGTAGACAGACGAACAGGGCGTCGAAACACAGAAAGAGATGTCGTTTGTCAAAGGCAATGAGGACACAGAGAGCATTAATTCGATTTCCACTTTCTGAGCCGGGCCCTCTTGTGCGATAGATTCATTGACTGCCCTCGGAAACAACATTGGTTTCCAGAGTCATCTTGCATCATGGCTACGAATTGTCATGGTAAAGGCGACTTGCAAGTCTTGGAAGAGCCCTGTATTACTCTCTTTTCACTCCTCCAAGTATGTTTCCCGATTGGAGTCTTTGACGTACGTGTGATAGTTCTCCAAACGAGTGCCTGGTAATGTAAGTATAGAGTGGAGAGTCGGAAAACAGCCAGTAAAGTACTCACGACTTGATCAGCAGTGCTCGCCCTTGGCATGGACATGGTAATGGCACTTGTTCCTGTCGGGCATTGTAGCCCAAGGCAACTTATGCTCCCAGGCATTGCTCGTGCAACAGGCAAAGTCAACGAGAGCCTCCTTGCTCCAGTTGCCTAGATTGACGTCTCCGAAGACAGATATCTCTCTTGGGCTGTGAGTCATTTGAAACACGCAGAGATCTATAGCGTATCTGCGAAGAGGTGATCCCAACATAGTGTTCTCATAAGCTATATTGACAACGTCAACATTGAATGTACGTTCTTCGAGGTTCTTCTGTAACAAGGCGTCGATGGCACCATTCTGGAGAACGGGGATCTGGTATTTATCGCCGAACACCCAGAGACGAGCGAGTCTTCGGGAGGAAGGAAGTTTCGGTGCCTCTGAAGAGTCCTGGAGATCTTCGATGCTGCGAAAAGATTGCGAATAGAGCCAGACTTGGAAAGCCTCGAAAGTGTCGATTTTTACGTCAGGCAATTCGATCTTACGCTCGACCGCTTCCTTAAAAGAGCCGTCGAAGGCGGCGCGGAAGTAGTCGGAGTAGAAACACAACAAGCCCTTCTGTAAGACGAAGGGCTGCTTAGACGCACCGACTAGAATCGTGACAGTCTCTTTGTAGTGCTTTCTGGAAAGGCCATCGGAATTAGTGGACACGTCGATATCCTCCAAGTGGGGTCTACATACTTCGTAGGCATCTTGCCTGGCGTGGAGACTGCTCTGACTGCCGAGCTCTCAGTCTTCGTTGGAGTTGATGTAGTTGACATGGTGATGAATGGAGGAAGATGCGGTCGAAGGAAGACGCGGTCGAAGGCAGGGGAACCGCACAAGACACCAGCGCGCCTGGTTGTCTTGCGCGAAGAAAGTTGATGTAAATGGAGAGACGGGAAAGAAAGTTCGAGAATGATGGCTCTGATAAGTGAGACGCCGAGTTGACAAGGTGTTGATTGTGAGAGGCCGAAGGAGTAACGTAATCTGATGTGAGTGAGCCTCTGATGGAGTGAAAGTTCCTTGTTCATCTTGTGCCAAACACTCAGAGATGCACCAAAACCACTCGCAGGGCAACAACACAGGATCACGGTAGGGCTCAATAGCACTAAATATCCCGGAAAACCAGTCGTAATGAAACACACTCCATAGCATAACGTAAAACAAAAGGGTATCCTCCATGCTTGTACAACGTAGACAAAAAAGAATGCCGTCCCGAAAACATTACACCATTACTGACCTAACAAGGGAAGGAAGAGGTTGAAATGGCTGCAACCAAGAGAAAGGAGAAGAAGAAGTGGAACCATTACTTCCCAACTTGAGCAAGACGCTGATTAACAGCTTCGACAAGTCTCGGATCCGGTCGTGATTTATGCGGCTTATGAGATGGACGATCACGGCATTCGAGACAGCGCTCATGAGCACATTTGTCGCAGGTGCAGCTGTGACTTTGGAAAGGTGTGGTACATTCGTGGCATGTATAGCGAACTCTTTGGCGAGGTTTGCGATATATGCGTTGAACGCCTGCTGGAGCTCTCAAGATGGGGTCTCTGATGGTGGAGATCGAGTAGGGTTCTGTTTCTACAGTCAGCGGAGGATGATGGTAGATCAGAAAGAACTCCTTACCATGACGAGACGAGCGAGGTGAGGTGTTGTTGATTTGTTTGTCTTTGCCGTGACGAGAGTTGTGTGCGATACGGACAGGAACGAAGTCAGAGATATCGTCGTCAACTTCCAACATCGGCAGGAAGCTGTCTTCGGCGACGATAGGATCCAAAGATGTCAAAGGTTTCGAGATCTGTTTGCTACTCGATGCCATGTTGTTGTCGAAAATGTCAAGCTGATCCGAGCCAGCGGTAGGTGCTTCTGCCATGAGGAGGTCTGGACTCGTCGATGACTCTTCAGAAACAACGTGGAAGGGATACTCCCTCGCTTGAGCCATGGCTTCCTTGATCCCTCTTCCAGGGGTGCGGGGACATTCTCCACATAGTCTGTGATGACAAGCTCGACAGTGAATACCATGACCAAAGTCAACACCACACTCGTGACAGCTACGGTGGGTGCGCATCCTTGCAGACTTTTGAACACGACGAGCGGTAGCAGGGAAAGTAGACCGATCACTGCCAGCGATGTTCATCCCATACCGGTCACGCAATTTCTGGGCCCTTTCCTGATATACCGAAGCACGGTCAATGTGGAATGTTTCAGTCGTGACCGGTAGGATGGGTTGAGATTGCTCCTCGGGTGCATCATGCGTCGTCAATGGTCCATCGGCGTCGATGGTGTTGATGAACAATGTATCATCATGGGAATGTTCCAAGATGTCGTTTGTTCCGGCACTCGGGCGAGGAATGTTATTCTCCGCATCAGAATCCTTGCTTCCTCTCCGGATTGTGGTAGTAAATTTCTGGAGATATTTGCGAATCTGGCCCCGACGGCTATGCTCATAGGCAGAGTCTGGGTGCGAAGACGGTGGCATACTGGCGGACGGACTATTGTATCCAAGGAGGTTCCTTTAGAGTCCGGTCAATATCTGACGACAGCGACCCAGCAATCCGTCGCAGCGACGACTGTATCGTGGCGGTAACCAAGTAAAGCCAGATCAAGCCCGTGCGACAACGACACAAATCCGAAAGACAGGGTGGTCTAAGAGAACGATGGACGGTAGTTGGCTTTCCAAGTCTAGTGTGAATCCAAGCAGTCGGAGTCCAAGCAAACTGGATTATGTTTCGCAATGATAATAGCTTCCAAGGGTGACAGTAAGCAAGGTACGGTACTCAGTACTCTACACGCGTACCAAGAGACGAACGTCTGGGTGGAATGAGCGAGTGTGACCACGAGTAAGATTGTCCTCAGAAAAGGCGGCCCAGGGAACCAAGCATTATCAATTCGCGAAAAGGGCGACCATTGCTGTAGTATAAGAACAGTGAGAGGAAAAGATGATCAAGCCCTAGACCACGAGGGAGCCAAAAAGATTGCTCTTCGCTAAACCACGGGGGGACAATCAAGTGCAAGTGCAAGCACGCAAAGTAGGTCACCTTGTTTGTGGAAAGACTGGAGAAAAAGCGGAGCAAAGAAGATGGCGGTTGGACGGCGCGAAAACCAACAAGCCTAGTCTGTGCTCGCTTGGGAGTCGCTTGCTCTGTTCTTGCAGCGCGCCGGTCTTTTCCTTCTCCTTGCTGGTCCGTCTTGCTGCTCGCGTAAGAGGTATGACCGGTAGATAAAGGCAATAGCGCGATACCACCGCGTGGAGGCTCTTCCTTATACAGACGAGGGCAGGAAGAAAGGGGGTAGAGCAGATGAATGTGTGTCCGTTTGAAGCAAACGAAGCACGACAGATGGATATTGTGGCTGATTGGCAAGCCGGGAAGGGTAAAGAGTAGAGATACGCAGGCGATGTTGCCTGATTGATCGCCGGCTTTGGTTGGTGAACGTCAAGTCTGAAGAAATCCCATGCACCAGGGATCTCTGCTTTTCCGTGAATCAGGTTGGGTAATTTGGGGAGAGTGTGAAGAAGGATGGGAATTTGGGGGATTGGGAGCCGCGATTCGCGACTTTCTCACTGCTTTCCTCACCCCATTCCTGCCGCTTGTGATGCATGTTCTCATTCGCGAGAGACGCCTCCCGAAAAGAGCCAAGCTTTGGCTCTGCGTTGGCTGGAGGAGTTTCTGGTGACACCTTGCTGCAGCAAACCAGCATGATGGTCGAACACCGTCGCCCGGGCTGGTGGCCGTCCTCCGGATGCGCCTATTCCTTCCGCAAACCCTGTTATAATCACCATCCACACACACCCCACGAAGCGGACGGCGCCGCGCCCTTGTCGAGCTTCCCAAGCGGTGGGAGACGTGTGCTCAAGCCTCAGTGCCTACAAAAGCCCATCAGCCAGCAGCGAAACAGGTGCAAGTGGAGTTCTAGGGCTCACCTCGTCTCGCGCCGACAAGTCGTCTTAGCACGTTATAGGCTTTTCTCGCTTGCTTACCGACCGGCGGAGTAGCTAGCTAGCTTTGCTTGCCTCTGCACAACCGTTTCGCACCCACTCCCGCAGACTGAGTCGTCAATCGAGCATAAAGAGAAGTTGGTATAGACATATATGTCTTTTATTATGGCAATCGCAATCACAAACGATGGTTCGGACACGAATGACACTGACACATGAAAAACCTCAGTCATCAATCGTCAGCTGCATAGTCTTGTGCAACTCATGCTTCGCTTCTGCTTCAATCAAAAAACTTCCCATGCTCCACAGCAAAAGAGAGAACGAGAGTAGGGCTTGGAGGTCTCTCGGAGAAGCAGTACACTCGGTTTCCGTACACACCTGATATGCAGTCACCTCAACACGGAACTGCAAGTACCCGTATCCGTGCACTAGCCACCACTTTTTGCCCTGTTTCTTTGATCCGAGGTCTCTTCAGAACCAAACCGCCATGGGAAAACCAATAGTGTTATGCATGTGCTTATGCGGAGAAGGGACACTGCAACATAATTGTTCGAGACCCTCTTCTCGTACATCGTATACCGTTTGCGAGACCTTACGGCACCCGTATATCGTATATCAGCAAGATCTGTGGCTCGAACCGCAAGCATAAGCATGACGCACCACAGTGTGTGATGACGAGAAGGAGATAATGCATGGGTCAGAGAGAATTAGACTATGATGGTATTTCACTACACCGCTAGCTATGATGAATGCAAGCCAGATTGAAAGCAAAACAGAAAAACGCCCAGAGCCTAGAGATATGCTCAACACCATCGAGGAAACGAAGAGGCCATGCGCCCGGTCAGAAGAACCCCCCACAGCAAAATACACATGAACGCCATGTTGGTCGAAACAAAAGCGGTGAGAATGAAACCCATGCAGAAAAGATCAAACATAAGATTGATCGAAGCCACCCATCACATCAGCGCCACCCAGACCATCCAGATCCATGAACTCCTCAAATCCGGAGGCCGGGTTGTCAGAGATCTGCTGAGCCGATGCTGCAGAAATAGATGTCGATGATGCATTATTACCTGCAGCTGTGACACTCGCATGATTCTGGTGTTGGCCATCATGAGTCTGGTAGCCGGGTGCAGCACCACCTCCGCTGACATGGCGTGCTTGTTGCTGTTGCTGTTGCTGCTGCTGCTGCTGCTGCTGCTGTGGCGGTACTTGTTGTGATTGTCTGACGCCGTCTTGGATGACGGTGCGAGCTGGGACTGCTTTTCCCAAGGCTTGTTCACGGGTCGATGCCCGTACGTCTGGGAGTAGACGTCTGCCGTCGGTCGCGTCTTTGTTGCAGTCACCGTGACCATTCATCAGAACCAGCACTTCTGGGATTACACCTTCTCTGACACGCTCTTCGTACTCTTCTGCTTGACGTGCCAGGAGAATGGGAAGGAACAGTGTAGACTCATACCACCTTCCTCTAACATCCTTCAGGGCGACGACTTTGTTCTGTTCCAACAGCTTCCACTGATAAGCCTTGCCTTTGGCTTGTATGGTGGCGATGTTGCGACGACGAACGTCTTCCAGCAAACGTAGCGGGACATTGTTTGTGTCGGAACCAGCGACTATGCCGTTAGGAGCACGGTTCATAGTAATGGGCTCCATTGGTGCTGGTAACATAACATAGGCATCTCCTACGAACGTGATTGAAGAATAGACTTGCTGCCCAGACTTCTGAGTTCTCTCGACAATGGCTCTCACGACCAGGACACGAGGTGCCTCCTGTCCAGCAGGAGTTGGTAAACGAACTGGCTCATTCAGCCAAATCTTTTCAGCTCCCAAGTAGATACCGCTCCAGCGAGTTTCGGTGAATGAAGGTGTTTCTGAGCGGGATTCAGGACTGAAGGGGGTATACGTGGCGTCAATGGCCTTTGCGGCCATGATACTAGCATCGATCTCGGTAGTGCCTGGGCCGTATTTTCCTTGAGCCAAAGCGTTGAAGTCGAAAGTGCTGTAGTGCAGAGGGTGTGTGACTTGGTTCAGAGCTTGATGGGTGTATGGAGGGACTGACCACGCCAGCCAGGGACGGAGGTCACGGTCTTTTGTGATGGTGACTGATTGAGTGGGATGGTCGGGGAACGAGAGAGGTTGCACTCTATAACTGGAGTTGGTGCCGACCTTGGACCTCTCGGTGATGATACCCAGACCCCATGCACCCTGGCGATCGAACCAGACCATCTCACCCTGACGGAACAAGAAGACGGCATACTGGCGATCGATGTCGTAGTCGATGGGCTTGCTAGCAGTTCGCGAAGCGGATTGTGCAGCAGCGACAGCAGCAGCTGTAGCAGCAGCAGTGGAAGAGACAGGTTGCGGAGTGGGAGTGGCAGCGACACGAGTGGGGAGCGTGGCATGATTAGAAGGTGCTGAGCCTGTAGTTGGCGTGTTGAAAGGTCTGGTCTGTGTACTGGGACGACGAGCAATGATTGGTTGTGTGTTTGTGTCCCTTCCTTTCATGGAAGCATCAAGCTCATCAGGACAGCAGATCTTGCAAGAGCAGTTGTCCGAGTCGCCTTCAGGGTCGGTGGCCAGCCAGAGCAGATGTGGGTAGAAGTCGCCAGGACTTCTGAAGCGCTTCTTGCGCCCCAGAGGGTGGCCGTACAGGTAGGCGTCTTGCCTCTCGTTGCCTCCTCCAGCATGTGTCTTTGTCTTTGGTTCTCCTTCTCCTTTCTTTGCCGTCTTGACGTGCTCGAAGAGTCGATAGTTCTCGGGAAAGTGGGCGAGGATGTATCCTTTTTCTAACAAAGTGGTCAGCAAGCCTCGAAGCTTCGTGTCGCAACTACCGAAACGCACCCAGATCGAGGCCAATGTCGCGGGCAAGCATGGCAGCAAGCTTTCGTCTCCAGTCCATGTGCTTGCTCTCGTCGATGGCGACTTCGCGATAGTAGTCCTTGACTCCATCGGATTTGGGCTTGTCGTCCAGCTGCTTAGGCGTGGGTTTGTTGGCCTCTTTTTGGATCCTGGCGCCGTTCTTGATGGCTGTCTCCAGCATACCATCCGAGCGGCGCATGTACACGGGATGGAAGCGCCCCATCTTGGGCCTCTTGCTGTGATCGTCGGTCTGGAGGCTTCAAGTCGAGAAGGCTCGCAACAGTCGATCGAGGCGTCAACTAGGATCTATCCGCGATAAGATCAGAAGTCACTTGGCTGGCGCCGACGAAACAAGCGGGGTAGCACTCCGGTCTTCAGCCGCATCCATGTCCAGGTTTTGGTGACCAAATCCACCGCCAAGAGGACACTTTTGCGTGCGCCGTACGACTATGTGCTCTGTCTTGTTCGATCAGACCACAGTCCATTATGCGTCCAAGTGCAATTTGTCTTATGGATAACCTTCTACAATGTACACTTCGTCTCTCTGAACATCACTTAGTCTGACACCGTTGTACATCGTTTTGTAGAAGATGGTTATGCATCATCATCGGTCTTTATCAACCAACTCAAGCAGCAGCAAACAGAGTGTCGAACTGCTCTTCAGCCTCCTTCCAGATATCGAGCCCATAGATCATCTTCTGCACATCAGCATCCGCCCACCTATCCGGCACCTTGGCTCCCTCTGTGCCTTCTCTGATAGCCTTGAAAGCCGCATCTCTAGCTTCCTTGGCTGCTCCATCACCCAAATGCATTTCTTTTCCATTCGCCGCTGCTAGTGCAACAAGACCTTCGGCTCTACTCTTTCTCAATTCCTCATACACCTTCAAAGCTTTGTTGATGCTCTTAGCACTGGTATCAGGCAACTTGCTCAACACAACTCCCAAGACAGCACCGTCTTCAATAGCTTGAGCAGCTCCCTGAGCCAAATGCGGCAGAGTAGGATGACAAGCATCACCCACCAAAGCCATGTTTCCATGGACCCAGGTAGGCAGAGGCGCATGTACTCTCAACTTCCACTCGCAGACTTCGCCTTCGGGGACCATGTTCAGCATCTTCTGCACCTTGGGACAGAAATCAGAGTACACATCCAACATTTCCTTCTTGCTACCCTTGGTGGTATAGGTAGCTGAAGGCGCAGCAGCAAAATTGACATCAGGCTGTGCAGTGCTGAGGTTGTAGATTGTGTTGTTCGAGACCGGGTAAGCGATGATGTGGCGGCGTTCACCTATCCAGCGAGTTGCTCTTTCTGCATCAATGAGTTCGAGGAGTTCAGGATCGTCTTCCATGTCTTCTCTCTTGAGCATGATTCTGTATGCTGCTTGTCCCGAATCAACTACTTTGGCATCGATGTTGAGCAGCTCCAGCATCTGGTCGCGGACGTTTGACTTTACGCCATCGGCTCCGAGGAGAACATCGCATTCCACCTCGTATGCCTCTGCATCTCTGGGCTTGACCTCAAACTTGACTTTGGGGCTCCACGAGTGTACTTTTCGCACCGAGTGCGAAAAGTTGAATGTGATGTTTGCAGCCTCCTCTTGACAACCCTTGTACATTTCTCCAGCCAGACCGGAGCGGTGTCCCACCATATGCGGGTATCCGTACGTCTCTTTTACATACCCCAGCTTTACATTTGCGAGCTCGGCATCAGAGGAGCCCTGGCGAATCGAAGTGTCTTTGAGATCTACAGCTTCGGCTTGGATGGGTGCCCAGACGTTCAAGCGGTCCAGGATGCGAGCCATGTTGGGAGCCAGTTGGATGCCTGCACCCACAAAACCGAGGTTGGAGGCGTACTCATAGACGGAGATTTTGGTGAAGCCTTGACGGGCGAGGGAGAGGGCGCAGGCAAGGCCGCCCATACCTGTGGGCTTTGTCAGTGGATAGTCCGAGGGCAGCAGGAGGATGGAGCATACCTGAGCCGGCGATGCAGATGTGCATATCTTTGACGTTGTTTGCCATGTTGACGGTGTTGGCTGTGGTCAATCACCTCGTTGTATCAAGCTATACTCTTTGGCCAGGTGAATAAAACAGCAAGGTTTCAAAACAGCCAGAGCAAGGCAAAAGTAAGCAGAGAAGAGTGCAAGACAGTCACAAGAAATACTCGACCGCTTACGACCGAAAACAAGTCAAGAGACCTAAAAGCCGCGCGCCATACCCGTACACACAGACACTTGCGGTTATAGACAACGGCATCTCTGCGCGGTATGGAGCCAACTCTTTCGTCACGGCAAAGTGGGACGGGTGGTTTCCATGGTGGGGAAATCGATTTCTCCACATCTCCAGGGTTCCAGAAGCGTGTCTTGACACTGTTCGGCCGACATGGCCGAGCTCCGAGTTCGGCTTGATGTTCAGAGAGTGATATAGAAGGTTACTATAGTGGAAGAAAGATGGACTATTGATACACAAGTAGGCAAATGGGTATAATGCTGGGAAGAAAACGCATAGTCGTGAGAATCGTCAAGAGCCGCAAACATGAGAGAACAAACCATTCATTCTTCAAACCATTTCCAGAGCTTTAGCACATCGCATATAGAGCACTGCCCATTCACCACGGTTGCCCTCTCGAGCCAATCTCTCAGCTTGAGGTTCTGCAACCTGGAGACAACGTAAGATGGCAGCAGCTACCTGACCTCCAAACTTGACAGGGGGTTGCTCACGCACCATCTCCGGTACACATTGTCGCAAGGCATCCATGGCGTGTTTTTGGCTTTTCCTCTCAGCGATCTTGTCAAACATGATCACATACATATCACTTGAGCGTGGCGACATACGGCGAGGAAAAGAGCGCCAAACATCCCAGAACTCAGACCAAGCAGATGTTTTAGCGGCAGTGCGGAAAGCATACACAGAGAGAGCAGAGGTAAGTTGATGTAGAGTAAGTGGTTGTGAGTTTACTGATGCAGATGTACCGGTCGTGGTATTTTGAGATTGCTCAACCATGGTGGGTCTGGTGGAGGTAGCCTGATACAAGATCTGGCAGACTGAGTTGCTGACTGGATCGTACCCGTCTTCAAACATGCTTTCCATGACAGTGAGCGCTCGTCGCAGTCTTGTCTGATCAATGTGAGTCTCGGCGGTAGGTACTGTTTCAAGAAGACCGAGCATGATGGCCTCCAGCACGGCTAGATAGGTCTGCTCGTCCGGGACTAGGCCGGCAAGATGCATGTTCTCTAAGTCTAGGATCAGACAAGTGGAAGGATAGCCAGGGTGACCCAAGCGAATCGCATAGCAGCGAAGCGAGATGTGCGCATGCCAATGCGTCGTCTCTAGAAATCTGGGCATGGCGCTGTAAAAGGCTTGGAGAAAAGGAGCGGTATCCTGATCTTTGCTGTTCCTACCAAGTGCATGAGAAGCATCGCTAGGGCTCATTGTCTTGAGGTGATTGACCATGTGATTCAGGATGAGGGCACTTTGCACAGATCTGTCAGAATGGGGATTGATTTGAGTAGTTGTTGAAATTTGCGCACCTTGTTGTGTTGATGGTCCGGCAGCAGAGTGGAATGCTCGAGCCTGTTGTCCGCTGGGATAGTCAGCAGCGTGGGGACGGTAGCGGTAAGAACCAGGTGCGTCTGATGACTCTTCAAGCAGCAAGCCACTAGACACACGCTTCTCTGCGTCGTCGACTTCTTGATCCTTGTCAGTCTTGGCCTTGACGGAGCGCCTGAGAATGCCGCTCCATAGTGTCTCAAGGTCAATCTGGCCTCTCTTCTCGTCCGTCATCATTTGAACGACAATTCTAGAACCAGAAGATCGAGTGCCGAAACCGACAATGTTTTGCAGCTCTTCGGCAGGCTTCTGGAGAGCACCGCCTTCGACTCTGCCGACATTGACACAGACCCAGCCTGTTCTGATACCATCGTCGAGCTCTTGACTTGCAGTCTCTTTCGAACCGACAGCGCTCAACAAGCGAGTTCTCTTTGCCTTGCGCCTCAGTTTGAGCTTAAGCTCGTTGCGACCAAGCAGACCGTCGGCATAAGGAGTCAGACGATGTTCAGTACGCAGCCAGCGGCACAAGCGATCGGCCGAAACGTGAAGATGCTTTTCCGAACGAGCAGTTCCGATGATCATGATAAGATTGGCGCCGAGGGCAGGAGGAGGGTCAAGTTCGCGCAAGTCGATCAGGGAGAGATGGTCCAGGCCTAGCTCGACCGAGACGTGCTCAAGGATAGGTTGTAGTAGGGCAGGAGGGGTGTCAGGCAGTTCAGGAAGTTTCTGGCGCTCGGCGAAAGGGTGTTCTGACTGTGGCGTGGGAGTGTCGACTTGTAGGTACCAAGGGACTGCTTCTACCTCTGTCGACGGAGGGACTGAGGCATCATCGGTGGATCCGATCGACTGGGCAATGGCTTCAGATGCATCGGGCGCATCACGTTCAAGTTTCTCTTGGTCTTGTTGGGCGAATCTTGCAGCTAGTGAGAAGGGACGGTATGCCAATGCAGCTGGACGGAGGAGCGAGGCGGAAATCGGGTGGACGAATGCTGGCGAGACTCTGCTCACGATAGAGCGGCGTACACAGCTGCTCAAAGACATGATTGGGGTTGGAAGCTACGAGGCGAAACGAGACTTTGACGAATTCATGGTTTCACAGTTTCACGAATCGCCGCCAAGGGCAGCTAAAGTCCGTCGATCGGCGTTTAACAGAGACCTCGGCCCGTTCTCTCCGCATCCACCATATCAATGACATGTGCCATCGATTCGACAGTCAAGACCTACCACATCATCCGTCTTCTGCTCACATTCGTCTGTTCAAGTACGAGGTCACTGTCTGCTTTGGCCGTCTTACTGGTCCGCCACCATGTCTTCACACAAGACGACCACGCTTCCTATAATCCCGCTGGCAGAGGGATCCGTCCTCCTGCCAGGCCTCACTCTCCGCATTCCGCTTCAGGGTCGTGGCGATATCGCCGCCATCCTCGCAAACATCTATAGCAAAGCTGCCACTCCGAATCCCGATCACAACTCAATCAGCGTCGGATGTCTTCCCGTCAACTCTCCCTATCTCAGTCGTGATGGCCAGAAGCTGCTCGATGATGCTAAAGACTCTAATGCCCGACCCATCGCGGGCATCAATCCTGCTCAGGCCACTCAAGACCAGCTGTTCTCCGTTGGTACCCTTGCAAAGGTCTCAGGTGTCCAGGGGAAGAGGAGAGGAGAGCTGGCTCTCGTCGTCGAGGGCGTGAGCCGCTTCCAAGTCAACTCCTTTGTCAAGGATCGCCCATACTTCGAGGCAGACGTCTCGGTCCACACCGATGAACATGTCGACGAATCAGATACCGAGGTTCAGGCTCTTTTCGCCGAGCTCAAGCAACTCTCCCGCGAGCTGCTCGCCCTGATCAGACTCTCGTCCCTCCTACCACGTGCTCCGCCCACGTCGCTATCGCCACTCCTCGCTCGTCGCCTTGAACTCTTCATTGTCAGGAAAGACTTACAAGAAGCTGGAGTTCTTGCCGACTTCATGACAAACATAATCGAGTGCTCCCAGGAGGACAAACTGCGCATCATATCTGCTCTCCCAATCAAACTCCGCCTCGAGCGTGCTGTCGACCTGCTGCAACGTAACGTCTCGAGCATCCAGGGCAACAATCGGATCATGTCCATCCAGTCTGCCGTCCCTGACAACGACGGAGATTCAGATCAAGCCACACGCATGCGCCGACAACAACTGATCAAGAGATTCGGAGGCGGCGTGCCTGGCAGCCGCCCTGGTTCACCTCTCGGTCTCGGCAAACCCTCCGACGATGAAGAACCTAATGAGATTGACGAACTGAAGAAGCGTCTTGACGAGGCCAAGTTGTCTCCAGAGGCCGCCAGAGTCGCAGCTCGAGAGCTCAAGAGACTATCTAAGATGAACCCTGCCCAAGCCGATTACCAGGTGTGCAGGACCTATCTCGAAAACCTCGTCGAGATTCCTTGGACCAAGTTCACCCAAGACAAACTTGACCCTGCAACTCTGTCTCGAGCACGCAAGCAACTAGACGAAGACCACTATGGCCTTGACAAGATCAAGAAGAGACTACTCGAGTATCTGGCTGTGTTGAAGCTCAAGCAGCAAGTCAATGCCAATCTGCAAGCACAAATCGATAAGATCACCGAGGAGGCAAACGCTTCTAACAATACCGAAAACACCGAAACTTCTCAGAAGAAGCTTGCACAAACACCCGAGGAGGTCAAGATCTTGGACAAGAAGCGTATGGTCGACAAGTCACCTATTTTGCTTCTTGTAGGACCCCCTGGAGTTGGAAAGACCAGTCTGGCCAAGTCGGTTGCCACTGCACTGGGTCGTAAGTTCCACAGAATCTCTCTCGGTGGTGTCAGAGACGAGGCAGAGATTCGTGGACATCGTCGAACATACGTCGCAGCAATGCCTGGTTTGGTTGTCAGCGGCCTCAAGAAGGTCGGAGTCTCTAATCCTGTCTTTTTGCTGGACGAGATTGACAAGATCGGCACATCAAGTCACCACGGTGATCCTTCAGCTGCTATGCTCGAAGTCTTGGATCCTGAACAGAACAACAGCTTTACCGACCACTACGTCAACATTCCCATTGACCTCAGTAAAGTGTTGTTTATCGCTACAGCAAACTCTCTCGACACGATACCAGCACCGTTGCTAGACAGAATGGAGACCATTCAACTACCAGGATACACAACTGTTGAGAAGCGACACATCGCCAACCGCCATCTCATTCCGAAGCAAATCACTACAAACGGCCTTGATCACGATCAGGTTGCGATTGCGGAAGATGTCCTTGACAAGATCATTACTTCTTACACTCGAGAAGCTGGCGTACGCAATCTCGAGCGCGAGATTGGTTCTGTCTGTCGCAGCAAGGCAGTCGCTTACGCAGAAGCCTCCGATTCTAGCTCCGATTCGTCTTACAGCCCGGTGGTTCGAATGGACGATCTAGAAGAGATTCTGGGCATCGAACGCTTCGAGGAAGACATTGCAGCTACCACATCACGTCCAGGTGTGGTTACTGGTCTTGTGGCTTACAGCTCTGGCAGCCAGGGCAGTATTTTGTTCATCGAGGTGGCTGACATGCCTGGCTCTGGTCGGGTGCAACTCACTGGAAAACTGGGTGATGTGCTCAAAGAATCTGTCGAGGTCGCTCTGACATGGGTGAAAGCCCATGCTTTCGAACTGGCTTTGACACACGACCCTACCGAGGACATCATGAAGAGTCGCAGCATCCACGTACATTGTCCGAGTGGTGCCATACCCAAAGACGGACCTTCTGCCGGTCTAGCACACACAATTGCATTGGTCAGTTTGTTCAGCGGTAAGCCTGTCCCACCCACTGTCGCCATGACTGGCGAGTTCAGTCTTCGCGGCAAGGTTCTTCCTGTGGGTGGTATCAAGGAGAAGTTGATTGGTGCTCTTCGCGCTGGCGTCAAGAAGGTTCTATTGCCAAACGCCAACAAAAAAGACGTCAAGGATTTGCCTGAAGAAGTTCTTTCGGGCCTTGAGATCTGCCATGTCGGTCACATCTGGGAAGCCATGCGTCAAGTCTGGCCTGATGACCATTGGCCAGGCGAGCGACAGTGGGATGGCCTTGAGAGTCGCTTGTAGGGCCACCAGCCTTACTTCCATTTTGTATGCTTAACGAAAGGCGTTGTGATTGAACATATCGGGATGATCGTTGTCTGTTTTTATTCCTATGCATACGTTGTAGTCTTGCCTATCTCGCGTTTGATCTAAACCAAACTTAACTCTTTATACCCATCCCCAGCCGAACACGTTATACCCGGGTCTTCTCCGTATACACGATTTGCCGTGTAACACTGCGATTGACGGAGACAATTCCTCCGCTGATCCTTATCTAATGTGTACACGTGCGTTGTTCTTTTCCAACTTCCAAGAAGTCCGTCCAAAACCGGTTATCTTTGCAGCAAACTGTAGCCGCTGCGAGAAGAAAAAAATCGAGGCACGGGGCGTTGTTAGGCCCCCCTCGGGGTCGACGCGAGCCTCATTACGTGGTAATGGCGTTGCGGCAAGTTTACCCACACATCGCAACAAGGGTCGTCAATGATTATACTTTTATGTCGACGCATGAGGCTCTGCCTGTCTGTCACCGAGATCGTAAACGGAACAAGACGTTTGTTCCTGCCATTTTCTGCCCGAAAGTCGTGCGAATCGGCCGTCTAGGAGCGTGCTGTTTCTTTCAGGCCTACCTACGTTTTACTGACGCGAATGTCATGACCGATAGGCAATCCCGCACCGCCTCCCGAGGCTTCGGTGGAGCATTTCCACCTATCCATCGTGTTGTGGCATCGTCGATCCCTGGGTCATTATTGCGCCTATCGTGTACGTACACCCTACGCTACCTGAAGAAGCATGTGAATTCGAACACCCGGCAATCGCCAATGGCTGGCAGCCGTCCTCGGTTCAGGGTCTGATCGTGTCAACATTGCAATCTGGGACACGCATCAGCCATCAACATCCCGCTTAGGGTCACAGACAGCTTGGCATATGCCTCGGTTTCTTTCTCGTAGGCACTCTCAATTGTCTCTTGTACAATCCGGACCAAACCGATTTCATGGGGTAGTCATCCGGAGTTGATTCGCCATGTCTGCCACAGTCGACGTCGAGGCCATGAGCCCTCAAGAGAGAGCTCGTTATGAGAGGAAACGCGAACATGAGTTCTACAGGTTGGTCTGACAGAAGTCTAATTCACATTCCCGCCGGACGTCAAAATTAAGCTCCATATAGCTACTATGAGCCGCTCCGAATACTCGCTGGACCAGACATCAGATACACCGATCCCAACTCTCCCGAATCTGTTACAGAGCACAATCCGACCTCTTCCACGGATAAAGCCTTGACTGCATTCTGCCAGCTTGCCGCCCTCCGCTTGAAGGCCAGACGGGCCATGATCTTTTGCTTCGACAGTCAGAATGCATACATCCTCGGCGAAGCCACTCAGACTCTCTCATTCGAAGATGATGACATCCACGACACGGGAGACAGTCTCTGGTTGGGCATGACCAAAATCCCCCGTGGTGAAGCTGTCTGCGAAGCTACCATCAACCTACCTACCAACCGCGGCAGCAATGCAAATGATGAGGATGCAACAAAGATCCACATTGTCAACGACCTCCGTGAGGACTCGAGATTCCGAACTCGACCCTATGTCACTGGAGGCATTCAAGCTCGATTTTACGCTGGCGTGCCTATCACCACTGCGAAAGGCTTCAATATCGGGGCTTTCTGTGTCTTGGACGACACCCCACGAGACGGGCTGAAGAAGAAGGATGTACGGTTTCTCCAGGAGATGGGCTCCTTAGTGATGGAACATTTAGAGATGCTCAAGGCACGTGCAGAACAGCGTAGAGGCACTCTGATGGTGAAAGCTCTCAACTCCTTCATGGAAAATGAACCAGGTACTCTACAAGAGCCATCCAAGCCGCCACCTCCTGCCATCACGAAGACGCTAGAAGCCATCGCTCAAGCCACGGAGATAGCAAACACAGAGGGTACGGAATCCTCGGAGCACATCGTCGAACAATTGACTTTGCAACACAAACTGGAAGACGAGGAGGCATTGTTGACGACAGGTCGTACACTGAACTCAATTGTCGCTGAAGCCAACAGTACTACAAACAACAACAACGCCGCGCAGATTGCTCCTGAGATGATACGACCCTCAATGTCTCGCAGAGATAGTACCAAATCCAACACTGGCCTTGTCACGAAGAAGGAAGAGGATCCACTTAGGCTGCGAGATCAAGTTGCGAGTCACGCGATGCAGTCCGCTGCAGATTTTATCCGGACAGCGGTAGGCGCAGACGGTGTTTTGTTCCTGGATGCTTCCATGTCAAATTTTGGAGAGATGGCAGATGAGGAGGCTATCGACAACACGAAACCTGGCCGCGAACTTGAATCATTCACTAGTGACACAGACGGAGCCGGCAGTGCCACAGACACACTCGATAAGTCAAATAACCAGGAAGATGTTTCCAAACCTTGCTCAGTCTTTGGAGCATCATATGGACTGGTACCGGCCGGTTTCACACCACCGCATGCTGCGATACCGAAGAAGCTGTTACAGTCTTTGTTGAGATGTCACAAGCACGGGAAAGTGTTCCTGTACGGCGCTGAAGGTGATTACACTTCTGATACACATACATCGGATGGTTCCAGCTTTTTCGATGCACAATCTTCCTCCTTGACAACCACGACTGGCCGTGGCACGAAAGACTCTTCGTTCCAGAGGCGCAAGCGATCAACACGTTCTGCCCTTGGCAAGAAGCTCGGAGCTCTATTCCCTCAAGCAAGAAGTTTGATGTTACTTGGCCTCTGGAACATGTCTCGAGATCGATGGGACGCTGGCTGTATCGTATACTCGAACTCGCCAATCCGAGTATTCTCTCTCGAGTCTGAGATGTGCTATCTCAAAGCATTCTGCGATGTCATTAGTGCCAAGATCGGAAGGCTGGATGTTGAAATGTCACACAAGGTCAAATCAGACTTCATGTCGTCGATCAGTCACGAGCTGCGCAGTCCACTGCATGGCATCCTCGGAACTGCCGAGTTCATTCATGATCAAATTCATGATGACGAAACCTCAGAGATGATTGGGCAGATTCAAGTTTGTGGCCAGACGCTACTTGATGTAGTGGACCACTTGCTCGACTTCTCGAAGGTCAATTCTGTCTCCAAGCACAACAAAAAACAGCTCGGTGCCGACCAAAGAGCTCGCAATCGCTCTGGCGGTTTGTCTCGAACCGAAACACTTGGAGGCATGGTAGTTGAGAAAACCAATGTCTTGCTGGACGAGTTGACAGAAGAGGTAATTGATACAGCAGTCTACTCGTTCTGCTGCTCAAAGGATGGCCAAACGCTTGATCAGCGCAAAGTCACAGTCATCACCGACATCGACCCTAGCGCTTTGTCTTTGGGCTGCGTCATCGCGGTCGGAGCGTGGAAGAGGTTGTGTATCAACCTGATCAACAACGCTCTCAAATATACTGAGCGGGGATATATTGTCGCCGCCTTGAAGTTGATCCCGCCCACAGAAAGGCAGAGACGTCCACGTGCACGACTGACGATCACGGACAGTGGAAAGGGTATCTCGAAGGAGTTTTTGACAAGTCAATTATTCCGAGCGTTTGCGCAGGAGGACGATCTGAGTGAAGGCACTGGTCTAGGCATGAGTATGGTCGCAAAGATCGTAAAGAACCTGGGAGGCCATATTGACGTGCAAAGCAAAAAGGATGTTGGCACAACGGTCTCTGTCACTTTGCCGCTGGACGTGAGGGGATCTGGAGATGCCCAACGCATCCACAATCGCACACTATCATCCGGACCAAACATGATCTCGATGCACTGCTTGGGTTTCGCACCCGTTGAGTCATATCGGGAAAAGAGTATCATGGCTGGCCGCGACTTCCAGATCGAAACGCTACGCAAGACCTGCCGACAGCTCAACGTCATGATCTCACCCTCAAGCTGGTCGGCTTCCAGTGATTTCGATCTAGCGATGGTCACTGAGGAAGATGTGCCAGAACTTTTGAGAATACTGCAGCCGACATTGGTAAGGACACCGCATGCTGGCCCCGACGCTATTCGTGCTATACGAACAAGACCTCTTCTGGTCATCTGTAGGAACTGCCGATCACGACGTGATTTGAGAGAGTCGGCACTGAATCAGCTGGTCCATGGTCATATCGAATATTTAGCACAGCCGTGTGGTCCGCAAAAGCTCGCTGCCGCCATCCGGAGGTGTCTCAGCAACACACCCAACGATGATTCTTGGTCTGAAACTTCGACTACACCCCAAGCGAACTCATTACAAAGATCTGCTGATCCTGGGTTCCCGTTTCCTGCGAGACGTCTGTCGGAGGACCCCAACATGAAAACACCAAGACCACCATTGCCAGAATCTTTCAGGCTAGGAGAACAGGACGACAAACCCCCGTCACTTCCTAAAGATTCGCCTTTGGACGGTTACCAACAACAGACAACTGTCACTGTTACAACGAAAACCACACCAGTCAAATTGGCAAAACCAGCAGCAGAGATCGATCCTTCGAAGCCAACGCTGCTACTTGTCGATGATAATGTAAGCCAACCTCCACACGTACTGTACTTGAAGAGAAAAACTAACCTCTTCCCACCGCAGGCAGTGAACCTTCGCCTCATCACCGCATACGCCAAAAAGCATGGCCACGCCCGTCTCACAGCAACGAACGGTCTCGAAGCCTTTGAAGCTTACAAAGCCGCCGCCCTCGGCAACCCAGAGAATCCCACTCCCAAACCCGAAGTCGTGCTCATGGATATCTCCATGCCGGTCATGGATGGCTTTGAGGCCACTCGTCAGATCAGAGCTTTTGAACGTAGCCAAGATATTGCGCCAGCTACTATTATCGCTTTGACGGGGCTGGGGTCTGCGGAGGCTCAAGAGGAGGCGTTTGTTTCTGGCATTGATCTGTTCTTGACGAAGCCGATCAAATTGGATCGACTTACTAAATCGTTGAATGATATCAGGGAGGGGAACGTACAACATGTTTGATGGAGGGGAACGTACGACATGTTTGATGGAGCGATTGGTCGATTAGATTGGATTCAGGGGCAGTATATACTCGGAGGCGGCGTCCTCGAGTTGATGTGTTTTTCAATTGGTTCATACTATTCGACTAGCACAATGAAGCCAGAACTCGAGGCACAGCCCGGGTCTGTACGAAAACACCGTTCATCTCGAGTATTCAAGCAGGCAGTGTTACGAAGCCTACCTCCTAAGCTCCTCAGCGCTCAAGCCGCACCAAAGCATCATCTTCTCATCAACCAGCTGCTTCCGAATCTGCAGGTACCCAGGTATCCTATGTCGAGAACGGCACTGGAGGTGCCCTCGCAGAGAGAAGTCAACCAGGCCCATGAACTTCTGGCTCTACTATAGCTTTCCCCATCGTTTTTGATCTGCGAAGAAGCAGCGAGAGACTGAACGATTTATTGACTCGACACCTCACATGGGTCCCTTGGGTTCAGGCCAGACAGGGAGTTGGTCCTCGTGATTGCTAGTTTTAGATGATGAAGTGGTTTTCAACTCTGTGCTTTGTTCCAGAGTGGGCAAACTCTCTTCTTGCATTTGCTCCTGTCATCATATGATACCTGGGACCATGATATGGTTGTCTAGATTACTCATTATGATTATGGCGTAGTCATCACCGTTCAGCTAACCCGTATTCGGGTTGTACGCACTTAAGAATCGTTCCAGGCGTGTTGACCCGTTGGCGTGATCAAAACTGGAGTTTGCGATCACACCTCAGGGGAGAAGCAAAGGAGGCCCGTGATATCTACTTGTGGACGTCTCTCTCCAGTATCGAAGCTCTAGATATATCGTGAGATGTAGCGAAAAGAGATAGCTAAGGGACATTAGAGCAAGACTAGGAGCTGATGACACCCTCTAGCAGGTAGATGAGCCAACAGAATCCTGAGTTTTTGACACCAACGTTGACTGAGCACAATCTAAGGCTACTACAGATAGGAAGAAGGAAGAGAAGATAGAAGGTCAAGATCAAGTTGACCCTCCTACTCTTTCTGAGTATCTCCCACACAAGATGTATAGATCTGCCAAATTATGATACCATGGCTAGTCACACTTATCGTCTCCTATCTCTCGGTGACAGATTTAATGAGCTCTGCAGGGTATGAATACTAAATCGTATCAACATCACAGACCCCAAGTGCTTAATCACTCGACATCAAAACTAGGATATGATCAAAGTTTCTTGCTCAGAGAATGACCCTGCTCACAATAATTCCCGCTTCTATCTTCCTGATAATTATGGGAAAAGCGAGCGGTGACTTTCTCATTTGTCTCAGTGTCTGGTTTTTTGTCCGGTAACCAACTGGTGTTGATATGATAGCACCTATGCGCATGGTGAATCGGTTTTGCCGTCATCCATCGTCGAGGCGAAAGACATGAATATGGTTTCATCACAAAGAACACAAGCATTATGTACGTGAACATTGATGAAGCGATATCTACCTCTAAGTTGAATCGTTCACTTTGAGCCACTGCCTAAGTTCAGATGACTCTACGGGACATGGACTCTACAGCAAGAAAGCACCAAACGTGACCGAGAGCAAAAGCGCACCAACCATGGACATGCCAGCATTAGTATCAAGCATGGTTCCAGCAGCGCCACCACTCAGGGTCGTAGATTGTGGGCCCGCGGTCTGTCCCACTGCACCAGCAGCTGTCGACAACGTATAGCTGACCGAAGCAGTAGCTGTCCCATCGATCTTGGCAGTCGAATTGGCACCAAGCTCACTCGGCTGATCAGTCGCATTCATGACACCATGAGGACCAGCTTCAATGGCAACGATGTTGGAAGTTGTAGATGACAGACGTGCTTGCGCGATAGACACTTGTCCATTGTCGAGATCGAAAACCCAGTAGCCAGCACGCATTACGGGATCGCCCATGAGATATATGCTGGAGTTTGGAGCAGCTTCTTTGACCATCAGGAGACATGCGTCTTCCCCGTCAACTTTTGCAATGCCGGAGCCGTCGGCAAGTGTTGCGGGGATGAAGAAGGAAGTGAGCGGGACTTCTAGTTGAGCTTTGTTGGTCCCGTTGCCAGAGAATGTGAGTGTGAGGGATGTTTTGTTGGAGATCTTGCTGCAGGGCAACACTGCATTGGATCCTGACATTGTGACACCAGTCATGTTGACTATCTTGTTGTAAGTGTCTGAGGGAACGTTCCAAGTGGCAGTTCCAGAATCTGGCAAGATGGCTTTGTCAAATTCGTTGGGTGCAACGATAGTCTCTTCTGTGCCATCCTCGTGGGTGATGGAAACTTGTTCCATACGCAAAGGAAATAGCTGGACTTTCTTATCTTCAAGTCCCGATGGCAAGAGGTTCAGCGTCGTGAGGTTGCCGATATACTTCTCGGTATCGACACCACCGAACAGGATTGAACCATAACTGCTGAGCTCGTTGAGGTAGAGACTGTAGAGACGGGAAGCGATGGCTTTGGCACCGACCAGTGATTCAACAAAAGTGGGATACTTTGGTTGACCTTCCTCGACCGCCTCGAGAGCTGGATAATTGAGGCCCATTATGCCGGTGTAAAGGCCATTGCCCAGAAAGTTGCCTTCGACTTCATGTGCGAGTCCGAAGTGAGCACCAGTCACAACGATATCGCCGATCTGAATCATGTCGGTCACAAGGTCTGCAACGTAGCCACCTTGGTTGGAAGTGGCGGTGGCATTTTCACCATAACCTGCGTCTATAGCGCCTGGAGAGAGCGTTTGGAAAGTAGACGAGGCTGATGAGTTGTATGACCCGCCAGGACATTTTGACTTTGATTTTTGCGCTTGACAGGCAGGCGCATCCGCAGCCAGGAATATAGTGTCGCTGCTTCCAGTGTCGATAATTACAGTCTGGGGTTGAGGGGGTGTGCCGACGGTGAGGTTGACAAAGTATCTCAGGCCAATAGAGCCAGCAAAATTGGTAAGCAACGCAGACTCGGAAGTGCCTTCCACATGACGTTCGACAAGATCTGGAAAGTGCGAGTGTTGTTCGCGTCCGAGTGAGAATTCAACAGTGCCTGCCGCGAGAGCTGACGATGCGGAGAGGAGTATGACAGAAGCTGACTGAGTACACTTCATGGCTGACAATGCAATTTCTCCAGTGACGATACAAGCGAGAAGGATGGAGTGAAAGAAGGAAGACTCCTGGACATGCCTCCAGAGGTTCAGATATGCTGTTTCATGATGACAGGTTTGACCAGCGGCGCGGTCTACCGCGAGAGTCCTGAGGACCCATAGTTGTCTCTCAATGGCGCAGCATCTGTTGGTCAAGATCCTGCAGAGCGCCTAAAGCTGCGGTCAATTGCTTCCTCAAATATCACTAATAGATTGCATCTTGTTTCTGTGCCCGCCTGATTGGTTGGCAGAATCCTTCGGGTTGGCGCTTGTGTTTTGCTTGCATGCAAAGCACAAATTTCACATCTTGCACAATGTCAAACTGCTTGCATATGCTCACGTAGAACATGAGTACCTTAGTCTTATGGACAGTATTGTATTGAGCGACGCGCTTGATTCCATTAACCTGCAATATTCCATCGTGTCAATTGACAGGAAGAAACCATCTTCAACTCTGCACTTTACGGTCATGATGTAAAGCACAAGCCAAGCCCAGCCACCACCGATCGCGGTGGGGAAAGAGCTCGGTGCTGCGCATGCATCAATCTTTCTTCCTTCACGACACAGACATTGAAGTTTTGAACTTGAAGTCTATTTTTGACGGCAATATAGTGCTCGTAGGTAGGAGGACTGTACTCGCGTTGGCCAATATAGCAGAATCCTGGTATAGCATGTTGGCATCTTGAGGCTTGTTGGTAGGTCCACTCTCCAACATGATCCACTTCTATTCTGGCATCTCCAAGCATACCGCAGCAACATGCTCGGGCAATCCTACAGCTCTGTGAGGACTTGGAGAGAAAGAGTCATGGTCGACGAGGTATATAAACCTCCTTGACATCCGACCAAAACCAAATCATCACACAACTCAGCAACACAACAACCAAAGCATCCAAAGCAATCAACTCTTCCGCACTACTCTACCACTACCTTCCAACCTACTTCTTCAGTTCCTCTACATCTCTCGACAACCTCTCCAGCCTTCAAATACCACTTCATCAACCAACAACCTTCAAAATGCAGTTCACCATCAACTCCCTGATCGCCCTCACCATGGTCCTGGCCACCTCGGTCGAGGCCAAGAAGGGTCTGCACGGCAAGGGCTTCACAGGCGACGGCGTGTAAGTTTGGCTCTACTTCTCGCTCTAACATTCAACTGAGTTTTCTCGCAGCTTGGGCGCTGGTGCTCAGTTCCTCGGCGGCGTAGTCGGCGGTGCCATTGGCCGCCGCGGCATTCACGAGCGTCGCCAAACCGACCCTCTCGACTCTGTTCCCGAGTACAACTACGACATGTGCCGCGAGTCTCTCAACGGAGCCAAGCTCAGCTTCACTCCTGCTGGTCCCGGTGGCTTCCAGGTCGCTGGTGTGCCTTCTACTTGCATGGTTCTCGCCACTGCTTTGACTGGCAGCTACAATGCTGGATACCCTGTCCCTCTCGGTGCCGATTCCCTCAGATTCAGCGGGTTGACTGATGCAGAGCTCCAGCAGCTCCAGTCTTACTTCCACTAGATGGGATGATTGATACACACGACTCTCGAATATCGGATCTGATTTGATTGCAGGCTGGGGATAGCCCGGCTAGGAGGCAGTGGCGGTGGATGCAGATGATAGAATTTCCTTTGGTTATCTTTCTGGTGTTTGTTTTTGCTTTATGTTCGCTCTTTTCGTATCTGCTTGTTTTCTCTTATATATCAACTACCATGCATGGTTTTCAACATACTCTTCAGTCCTCTGTGCCTAGCGATTCTTCGGCCTCCATCAATCTTGATTATCATGTTCCATCTCAAGGAAAGAGAAGTCTTCAGACTCTGACAGAACGTCCTTTGCGTGTTACATGCACAGCTGATTGAGAGGGTACTTCGACAGAATTGTCGCCTTGGACTGGCAACCGAGGAGGGTAGGTCGAAATAAACTCCATGTCAGACGCAAAAGCTTCCCTGCCAAGAACGCAGGTACCGCACCAATGTACCATGTGCGAGAAAAGTATGGTTATTGGTTATACTCCTGTCAGCTAAACTATACATGAAGCTCACAGAGGACAGCTGAAGGTACGTCCATGAATATGCTTAAATCAACATTCAAGTTATCTGTACGTGGCTTTATCAAGACATCTACTCCATATTGAACTATCTGAACTGTTCTCCACCCAGCATCCCTGTAAACAGTCTTAATCCTTGAATCCTGTTTCTTCTTTCGACCTCGTTGAGAAGTTCCTCGTGCACCTCGTGATAAGCCCATTTCGGCGCCGCCCAGAACCAAAACGTAAACACCCAGACAAACCCAATAATTTTGCATAACCAGCTGGGCAGGAACTTTCGGATTGGCGAGGCGAGATTCTGTATCACTCCCTCCGCGGCGATGACGGCAAAGTTCATGCAGTAGAAAGCAATGTCATCAACATCCTCAGCGAGGTTGCCACTATGAAGAGACACAATAGCATGAGCCAGACCCGAATTGAAGAAGATCAGAAAGACGAGGAAAGTCTTCTCAACCCTGGGTCCCATGCTGCGTACATGCAGCTTTCCAGCCACCACTTTCGCAAGACCAACGTAAGGTCTGTAGACCAAACGATGCCAGAATCTTCCCCAATAGCGACGAAGACTGTAAGACTCCAAAGGACTCCCAAACATAGCTGGCCACTCTTCAGGCGAGTCAAGTCGTAATACGCCGACAAAGATGATGCTAAAGAAAGTATGTGCGGCATCGACGTCGACGAAGTTGAGCCATATCCAGCGGAACGTGAAGACAGCTCGAATCCACGTTTCGCGTGCCGTGACCGGCTCTGGAGTTTCGAAGATTGGCAATCGTCGTAGATATGTTTGAGCGTATTGGTCGAATTCCCATGGCTCGAGGGGGCCAAATATCATTGGTATGAGAGGCGTGAACAGATGCACAGTAAGTTGCCAGTACACGACGAGTCTGAGGAGACGAGATGCGACAAAGACAAGTGAAGCCGTCCTGGACACTGATACAGCACCGGATGGAGAAGTTGTCCGGTTTGTATCAAAGTGGCGCACATCAAAGAGCAGCTTGTAAGTAGCCTTGATGTCCCACTGCTTTCTGATCTTGCTCTGCACTGGTAGCTTGTCAATGTATAACAAGCCGATGATATGTGCTATCCAAATCAGAACCGCAAGCCCCCAGACTCCAGACAGAGAAGACGGCCACGTGAGGCATCCAGCTGTAGCAAAAGCTCGCCATGCAGGCACGAGGAAGATCGGGAAGCATAGATTCCGAAGTTGTTGTGGAATGTTCAGGAGGATGTAGAAGGCCAGACTTGCGGTTGCGAGATACGCAACGGGTACTGAAGGTGAGAGAGCAATATAGGAAATCATGTCGACGCTTGGTTTTGGTGATATGGTTGACCAGACAGAGCGACCTCAGGATGATGCACTCCCTTGCCATATAAGGGTCAGTCATTTCAAAACATACATTGCCAGCACTTGTGTATGCCAGCACTCAGCCTACCTAGCTTGTTCCCATGCTATATCCATGGCGGCGTTTCTGGAAGATCAGGCTGTTGGTGAGTTGGTGTTGGTTTGGACAAAGCCTCCGTGTGCGAAGCTGTGGGCCTTGTCGACAGTACGAGGGGTGATCATTGCATCGCATCCCGATAGTGTTTCTGCTACGTCGACAACCTGTTCCTGGTAACAGGCGACACAGGAGTTGTTATCATAGACTCGTGCAGTTGTGTTGGGTGGAGAATTGCAACAACCACCAACATAGCCCCTCCTTCCTTCAGGCGTCTTCCGCTTTCGTTGTTGCGGATCACTGCAAATGTGGCATTTCACTTTTCGCATCCAAATTGCCAGCTGATTGCGCGTCTCATGGCTGAACCGTATTTCGATACTGGACCCTGGTGACTGTACATAAAGTTCATGTCGTTGCGCAAGATTAGTATCGAGGTGAAAACAAAAGACGCAGGAGCAGGAGGGATTTGGAAAAGCCTCGGCTAAAGTTTCCCTCCACAGTTCATCTGACCCAAGGATGTCACTCTGGCTAGCCAGCAGTTGTGTCCAGGAAATCTGAAAGCAGCAAGTAATGTCAGCAGATTTCTGCGTTAGGCGAGAGAATGATAGCAAATATCACACATTGGAAGCGATCGGAGTTTAAGCAGAAAACTTTGGTTATTACAAAGGATGATTTTATGTACAGCAGCATAGCAAGAGGTGCTTGAGCTTGAAGATGACCCACCTGCTCATATCAGATAGAAAGCTGGATGACGAGAGTAGGTATGATTGGTTGTTTTGCGCGAATGTGATGATGCTGACTAGGAACACTGCAGCCACATTCTCTTGATATGGGACCGCAGTCCTAGCTTAGAAGACAGCACTGAAGGCATTCTTGATGTATCCCAAAGGACCCTTCTTGGTCTTCTGATCGTCAACGAATTCGGACTCGATCCTGTCAACTGAGAGATCTCTCATGCCGGAAAGGATGTCAATGTCTCTTGTTCTGACGAACAGCGGTCTGTCTGCTGGTCTGACAAACCAACTGTAGACCTTCCAGACCAAGTAAAGGAAGACAAGCAGGGGACCAGCAAGGTAGAGCTGGAACCAGGTGCTAGCATCAAGGTTGGGACCACCGACGGGGTAGAGTGCGGTGTAAAATTGGGCTAGGAGAGCGAGTACGGTGATGAGCATGACGAAGTATGAGCCCCAGACGCCGGCAGAAGCTCTGTAAGGCAGCTCGTCGAGCGAACGACCGTTGTATTTCCTATCAATGGTTAGTCATGAATTGGAGCGAGGGCGGATCATCACTTACCAAGCCTTACGGAATCGCACATGGGCAAGACCGATACCGCCGTAAATGAAGAGAATCGAGAGACCCGACAATGCCAGGAGCCAGTTGAAGATGTCTCCACCGCTTGGTGCCAGGTTGATGAATGCAAGACATCCAAAGAGCAGCTGGATGATAATGACGTTGATGGGACGTCCCTTCTTGTCGACATACGCCATGAATTTAGGTGCCATGCCTACGATGGAAATCAGTTTATGTCTGTGATACAAAGCTTGTCTTTCACCAACCGTTTGCGGCTAGAGCCTGGATTGTTCGGGTGGACCCAAAAGTACAAGAGTTGGCGACACTCATGACGGCGATGAGAATGACAGCGTTGAATATAGATGGAAGAACCTTGATGCCAGCAAGCTGAATTGCAATGACAAAGGGAGAGTGGCGAGATGAAGAACCAGGGCCGTTGTACGCATCACTGTTTGCCGGGACAATCAAACCAACGAGCAGCAGGTTGACTCCGTAGAAGATCAGGATACGGTAAATGACCTGCTTTGAGGCCTTGGGGATCTCTTTCTTGGGGTCAATCGTCTCGGCGGCGGCCAGACCGGTCAGTTCAGTGCCAGTATAGGCAAAGGCTGCAGTGACGAAGACGCTGCAGAAACCGTGGAAGCCGCTGAGGAAACCTCCGTTGGAGTAGGGTGCGTGCCTGGTCCCAATGTGTTAGTCTATGTCTCAAATCCTCGAGCCGCTAGGACAAACCAGTATTTTCCTCCAATGTAAGGCTGTCCTGGAACACCACCAGTGTCGATGATGATACCAAGAATCATGAACCCGACACAAGCGATGATCTTCATCAGACTGAGGGCGTATTCGACCTCTGCATATCCGCGCACACCGAAGAACTGAATAACGACGAGAGCGACCAGCAATGGAACGATAAAAGCAGCGGCATTGACGCTCTCAGATCCTGACCAATAATGAATGATGTTGACAGCAGCGGAAATTTCGTAGGGGAGGACAGTCAGCCAACTGATGGCGTATTCCCAAGCGCAGGCGAAACCGAACGAGGGGTCGACGAAACGGACAATGTACATGCAGAAAGCTCCGTTGATGGGATACAAGACGGTCATTTCTGCGAGAGCCTGCATCATGAAGTATCTGGATAATCATGTTAGTCGAGAATAACTGGTAGTGAAACAGCCCGAATTCGTACACTTGGATACCTGGAGAATAATTAGCAAGCGCATATTGGTTATCTCGATATACCACTTACCAACGACCATGAAACCGATCAACACAGAGGCGGGTCCACCAGTTTGGAATGCACCGCCTGAACCGATGAACAGACCGGCACCGATTGCACCACCACTGATATTTTGATTAGCACGAAGGTGTATTCTTAAGACGTGATGGTATACTTACATGGCAATCATCTGCATGTGTCTGCCCTTGAGCTCTCTGTGCAGCTCATTCTGGGAGCCAACCACCACGTCGTGTGCCTCAGGGTCGCGGCCGAGTTGGTGGCCATGGTCACCAAGAGTTCCTTGGTGGGGCTGTTTCTCGCCGTAGCCTTTGAAATCGTCGTCACTCATTTTTGCGACAGGCAGCTAGTGAGAAAGCGTGGGTTAGAAATTGCGACTGCGGCCACCCTTGTTTTGATGTCTTTCGGGGGATGCGGGAAATAAGATGCCTCACGGAATGCAAGAATCCGCCGAGCGCAACGTTCCAATGATAAGCTCTGCTTGTTCAAAAGAAGACGCCACTTACGGCTTGGGGACGTACTTATCTTCGATAAGCCTCGGTCAATGGAGTGTAGTAGCGAGTGGCGTCAGATGACCAGCCGATAATCCTCCAAATCCTACGTTCACATACAAAGGATCCGAGGGGTTATCTTTTGTGATACCGTACCACCATGACCTTCCTCATCGGGCCCAGTGATTATTTCTTCCTCATACAAACATGCGATGTTGAGTAGCATCAGGCCATGCATTTTCTTGGCCTTCAGTAGATGGTCGCATACCAAGAAGCGCCTCAGTCGCTAGTTGATGATGCTCACTTTCTTGTCTGGACATCCGGCTGTGTCGTCTTTGTCATGGAAAGCTTCCTCCCCGAAGATTACAGCACTCGATGTGATTGGTCCGGCTATAGTGAGCACGCGAGGCATTGGGGAGAACATGGGGAAGGCGAACCTTAAAATATGGGCCAATGATAACCAGAGCCCAGACTCGAGATTCAAGGGTAATCTATTCACCATCTGAACAGACATTGAATTGACCAAATCTAACGGAGCGCAACCGTCTCAAACTTCATTTCTTTCTGCTGCAACACATCTGTCAAAGTTGCTGTAGTATTCGCTGCGTGCGCACCTCCGAAGAAACATCGCAATTATCGTGATAAGAGCTGAGACAGTGATGACCTTCGACTTCCCTTGCCTCCCTGATCCTCTCGAAGAGACATCCCCCAACGAAGTTGTCTGGATCCCTCGTGCGACGACGCGTCAATTATCTTACGAAGTACAGCGACGATACGAGGTGGAAACGTAGGTGCTCGGACTATCTTTCCCTTCCAACGCCTCGCCAACTCTATCAAAATATTCGCAACACCCTCCAGAACCATCCCTTAGACGCTCGTTGACCTTTGAGGTGTCGCCTTAACTTTGGTTCTTCCACATCTTAACATCTGCTTCCTTCTTCTCTCTTATCAGTCAGTGGATCTATGGCGTGTGAGTACCAATGTTACGAAGCTTTGTCTCGGCCGAGCTCCGTTGCTCGCGCGTGCTACCAAACATCATGGGGTGAATGGCGCCGCAAGATAGCCTGGCCTATCGGCTATCAACGGATACATTGAGGTTCCCCCGGGCTTCAAAATATTACTACACGTTTGACGTGTCCAGTTTTTGAACTTATCTGAATAGCGAACTTTCGGCTCTATCAAATCCTCACAGATATTCCCTACAGGACTTTACCACGCGCGACTTACTACTGGTCCATCTGGACATTCCGTTATCAATAGGATCATTGCGGAGTTCAATGCGCTCGGGATTGCCGAGCTCCACTCAGCAAATGTCCATGTGCTATATTCATTTCGAGCACTCGGTCTTGCTTGAACGGTACGACTGAATTTGAATGCACGACCAGGTCATCTCCTCAGGTCATTACATTGTAGCCAAATTGAGAAGCACAGGCCCAGGCCTCACTCAAGATCACGGTTTCCAATGTGGCATCCCATCATCAGTGGGACACTATTGTCTCGATTCACTCTGAGATCCTCGTTCGCGCGCTTCCATTACATCTTTGGCATTGATATCCAAACTCAATGGGACGAACCAATATATCTGAGCAGTCACACGACCGATGAATTTCGAGGAAAGAAACACCATCTTACCCTTGACTTTTTGCTTTGCAAACACCGGACCCGATGGATTGTCCACATTGTGTCATTGACTCCCTTGAGCAGCGCCTCTGTGATTGGGTGTGTCCACATCGTCAAGCACAATGTTTCACTGCTCATGCGTCGAGGGTACAGCGACAATACAAGGTGAACAGGTAAGTGCTTGGACTGCCTTCGTGACAGAACGACGACCCTATTACAGTCTGTGAGCTACCCGAGACACTACTTGCCAGTCTCTCAACGGGAGTTTCGATTTGGGCATGCGAACGGCCGGGCCGAAAAAGGATGCCAAATCATATTCCATACCGACATCGACTGCTCTGATGTCGGATGGCAGGCTTTGGGCACTTATTGCAGTAGCAATGATGAAAGCATGCAATGGCCTCCTTACGCTGTCCTGCGTAAATAGACGTGGGACAGGAGGCTTGACCTTTTGATGGGTATGTTTTGGTTCTCCCAGTTCATAGTCCTGTGGCTTCTGCTGGCGTCGTCGCTCAAGCCAACATTGACAATAATATTACGCCGTAATTTGGTATGGTCTCATTGCTTCTTTGCTAAGTGTGCTGGTGGATGATCGGGCTTATGAATGTGTATGCGTTTTACGACTGTCTACATGCTACCCTCTTCCATACACATCGTGGTAACATTGTCCTAGGTCGGGACAGCTGTTCAAGAACGCAGTCAGTCAATGTCTCTTTCAATACTCCAATTGTTACTTACTACACTGGCTCCCGTCCAAAAATGATGTGCCAAATATATTCAAATACACGTCCACTCGTGGCATCGTCGAGGGGTGTATCATGCAACCACTTCAGAGCACCAACATAAAACTCTAAAGGACGTTTGTGGACCTGATCTCGCGAGACTGCAAATTGAGCGCAGCATGGAGTGCCTATAACGTGAGGCACATCATCATTCCCGAAGATATGTTTCCACGCATCTGCGAGCGCGTGTTCGGCTCTTCTGTCTTCGTTGTCAAACTCTTCCCGAAAGGGTTGGATCTCGTCTGGACAGCCTGGGATAGCGATGCAGCGGAGATTGGCATAGCCGTTACCCTGAACGAACTCAGTTCTGAGAGATGACAAGCTCTTGATATTTGAATAACCGTCTGCATCTGTGTGCCATGCTCGTGGGTAACCGTCTTCGTGAGGGTGTACAAAAGCAATAGTCGAGGGAAGCTTTTCGTAGTTCTCTATGATGTACGTGAGGTAAACATTGGCCTCGCGCCCTTTGTTTTTTGCTGTATGTAAAGACCAGGTATCGTTGTCGACTGTATACACGGCATTCTGCCATCTGTGATTCGTGTCAGCTTGTTACACGGCAAAATCCAAGGCGCCGAGAAAACCAACGTCGGAAGCTTTTCAACCCAAGATGCATCCTCGCTTTGGAGTTTTCCTATCACAACAATTTGATCCAAAGAGTTCGAGCTAGTTCCGGTAGCTGAGACCTGCTCTACAGTCGTGGTAGCTGAAATCTCACTATGGATAGCGGTAGTCGCTTCAATGCGCCCGTCCTCCGACGCAGACGTTGAAGAAAAGTCTACAGCCTTGTCGACCTCCGTCGACGCATCGTCTTCGCTACCAATGAGCGACCTGAAGTTCGAGCCATGGAAAACATCCGCGACCGGTAAGCGGTACAAATATATTCTGATCAAGAAGAAGCCTGCCAGAATCAAGATAGCTGGAAGCAGTCGCGTCGCTGTCCTCATATTGGCGGCACGCTGAAAAATGTGGCAGAAACACACGTTGCTCCGGACGAGAGCAATATTTTCAAAGATCTGCCCATCGTCAAATCGACAACTTGGCCTCTAAGGGCCACCCAGGAGTTTGGCATCTTCGAACTGTGCCGCACTGCTGCGGCGTGCAGCAAACAATCTTAATTCTCATTGGTGCCGATATATTAAACACGACTCAGCGAATCTGTGCCTCCCCACATCGGCGCCTAAAAACGCAATGTCTGATTCTGCCCTCATCGATGGATACTCGACGACAACTGAACATCTCAAGAATCAATGTCACTTCGAAGGACAATCTGTTGTGCTCTATTATCATCTGTGTCTGGAGGCCCCGCGATACGAAAAGTCAATTGCGGCGAGTGGTTCATTCATGAGAACTGTGCCCTGCAGGAAATTGTTTGATCATGCAGTGATTGACAGTTTTTTCAACGCTACGTTTCGACAGGCACTAGTTGTTGGCCGAGACATATCTTATAGCTGCATGGTCCAATAACATTGTCAGTTGTCGTTCTCTTCCACTGAATCTGACAGCCTCATGACAGTCGACACTGGTTCGATATTGACTATTGCGTTCGAGAGCCAGAACAGTCCGCAACGGCAATGCCATCATCATTCTGTGATTCGAATAGCAATCTTCGGCCTGCTCTAGTCACCAAGGTAGCCGCTGGCATAGATTAAAGCAGGCCACCCCAACTCATGCTTCCTACCCAATGCGTTCCTCACAGCTGATGAGACGACATATCACCTCATCCGCGCTTCCGCCAGACAGACACCTGCATTAATGCACGTCGCAAACTAATAAGCGAATATCTGCTTGGTAAAGTGGCCGATGCTGCTATTCTGGTTGCCAAACACAACTGATTGCAGTCGCATATGCACAAACAATAGCGCCAAATGTCGCACCATCGAGCAGTCGGGATATTGCTTGAGTGTGAAGGATTATCACATCTTCCTGCTAGAGAGACCAAGTTTGCAGGCTACCACTCTCGTTGCCACATTCTTATCATTAAGTCCGGTGAGTTGCCCTGAGCGCGAAGCGCTTTGGAACAAGACGTAAGTAACGCTACTCGCCTACTCACCTCTACCATCCGGACTCCTACTGTATCAACGTCAGCAGACAAGATGAAGCATTCACGAGTGCTGCTGTCATTCTACTGGTGGAGAGCATCCCTGCCCATTGCATTGTTCTATGCGATCTTCTCTCTGTCCTTGACGGTCAGCGCTGAGAACTGTGGAAAGCCATTCTCGATGCCGGTCACGAATGTAGCTCTCAACAATGGAAATCACATGCGAGGAGTCCAGATCGCAATTGGATCATCCGAACAACCCCTTGCTATGATACCATCGACGTACGTTGACTGAAACCTCGAAAATGATCTTGCTGACGAATTACAGACTCACCAACAATACGCTTATCTATGACAGCCAGGGGCAATGCGACAAGAGCTTCACCCAGGCTAAATGCTCAACGTACCGAGGCGGTATGTTCGACACGAGTAACTCGACGACTTATGAAGCTGTGTCAAGCATGAGCGCGTCTGGAGCGGATCCTTCTGACACGTATGTCAATGCTACCTCGGACCTCTGGTCTACTGATACATTTCATTACACATCCAACATTTCTTCCGAAGTTGCGTTCGGCATCCGACGTGCCAACACTGGCGGGGACTATCTGACTCAGCACATTCTGGGTCTTGGTGCAAACTCTACCTTGCTGAGTACACTCAAGAGAGATGGTATAGTCGCTTCTCGCTCCTGGTCTATGTACTGGGGTAACTCTGGAGCGCCTGAGACGCAAAACGATGGCGTCTTTGTCTTCGGGGGCTATGACAAGACCAAAATCACAGGGACGAACTATTCGTTTCCTCTTACTTACGACAGTCACTGCCTCTCGGGAATGGTTGTGTCACTAAGTGATATCTCGCTGACCTTTCCCAATGGGACGAAAGCGGATCTTTTTGATTCTGCCTCGAACCTTCTGAGAGCATGTATCATGCCGGACTACCCAGTTCTGATGACACTTCCTCGCGATCCATATTACCAGAATCTACAACTTGCTGTGGGTATATCGAATGTTCTTGAACAGCACTCTTTCGGTCTCAACTTTTATGGCGAAACATATTCGTCCGACTACGAGTCAGTTATTGCTGGACCCCAACGGCTGAAGATTAGCTAACCATCTATCTAGTCTTGACTTTGGTATGAGTATATCGCTCCAGTCAGGTCCCTCGATCTCCATTGCAAATTCACAGGTCGTGCAACCAGACGCAACCATCCTCGCGAACGGCTCCATCAACTATAGCAGTACACTCAATGAAGTCAACATCATCCCACTCCAATCTCTGAATGCAAACGACATGGTCCAGCTTGGACGGCAGTTCCTGAGCGGCGCTTATCTCTTGGTCAACGAAGACGCAGGTACATTCACTCTTTGGCAAGCTACCGACAGTTCAGACGAAGAATTGGTGGCGGTAGACGAGAATGGCAAGGTCTTCAGCCCCGTGTGCGCGTCAACGAAACCGGACGACACTACAGTTACATCGACAGGGTCCACAGAATCAGCTTCCTCGTCTTCCTCAACATCGCTTTCATCATCGCCAACATCATCCTCAAAGAACTCCACATCCAGTATCATTGGCCCTGTAGTCGGTGGCGTTGCAGGAGTCGTGCTGCTGATGGGTCTCGGTATATTTCTGTGGATGCGAAAAAGCAAGAACAAAGCCGCCAATACCACCAGCGATAACACCAATATCCACGGTGCAGATGAGAAGGCAATACCACTTTCCAACTACACTGCTACAGAAAGAGACAGTTCGACGCACGAACTTTGGGGTAACCCACTCAACGAGATGAGCGGACATATCACCCCAAAGGAAAAGACCAAACATTCAACCTCTGTATCGGGTGTGTACGAACTTGGAGACAGTCGTTGACTGTGCAGTAGAGAGTAGTGACTTATATGCATTATCCGTGGTGAGGTCTTGGGAAGGTGTGTGTCGGAGGTGGAATAGTGTTCGAAAAGTCTCCCCAATAGTGGTCATATCTCTGGTTGATCTATGTTTGTTGCAGTCATAGCAACATCCCAATACTTGTATATTGCTCCTTATCATATCTACACTTGCGTATCTCCATAATTAAGATCATCCGATTTTGTCTGTCATTGGGTGTTCGTTGTTCTCCCTGCAATGTACATCTGGTGCATCAGCTTCGTTGGTCTCTGTCCGTATTGTCTATCTAGCATAATCTCCAATGATCGACTTCTTGAACCAAACTATATACTGCGTAAGCAGCCACATTGTACAGTTGAAAAGCTTTTACATATGAATACCAAACGATACTCGTCTAGAGATACATCTCCTTTGCATCTCTTATTCGTGTAACGCAGTCACTGGAGGATAACCTCTTAGCCGCCGGCTTTGATTAACCTTCCAGTTCTGCAAGTGGTAGACCAATATCCAACTCCGCTAGTGGCGAACCAATACCTACATCTCGTGGTCTGAAAGGCATACGGAACACAGGTGCCGACGACGGTTTACACAGTTCCTCGAAGGCTTCACGATCTGCCGTGTGGATTAGCAATAGAATGGCAACATAGCGTGCATTGCAAGCATACCTTCTTGGTCGTAGAACTCGCAGTCTATTGCTTTGATACGGTCCATGATGCTTGTTTGAAGATTCTTGCTTGATGTCGAATCATTTGAGAGCACGGAGTCGATACTGCCAATTGTTGACCTGCGTTGGAGTTGTCTCGCCGACTGAATGTCAATCTGACCTTCTTTTTGTCGACTTTCTTGATCTCTTCGAAGTCATTCACTGGGGACAGTCAGCGCTATCAATGAGTCCAGAAGGACTGTTAACATACATGACCACTCGATAAAGCCAGGACTTTGTGTGGCAGACTTTGCCGACATCTTATGAGCATAGTATAAGAGTGATCTTTGTCTCTCAGCGTCTTCCAAGACACGTAGTGTCTCGGACGCGCAGTGGTCCTGGCCAGCACGTGTCGATATTCGCACAACATCGAGAGTCGCGACCATAGTCTTACCAAGCAGCTGTTCCTGCACATATTGAAGATCTGAGTAAGTTGTCAGCCTGTCTTCTACGATATACGATAGAATCATCCAATACCCACCTTCGAGTTCGTCGAAGCAATACATAGGCCTGGTGTTGTATATCGTGCTTCTATGAGCTCTTTCGTCCTTGACAATAATCTGATGCAAGCCTTTGAACTGTAGTCTTGCCTCGGTTAAACTTGACTTGTGTACACGACTGTTGTCAACCCATGGAACAAAAGTATTTGCTCGAGTTGCACCGCCATGTGGTAGGTGGTATATTGTCTTCTGGTCTCTGGTCCTGCTCCGAAGCTTTTCAACCACTCCAGACGGGGATCTCAGTATCTCTAACGAGGCATCGAACGTTCGCTTGTTTTCAAGAACAATGGTCACAGGCTATGTAGCCGAAGCCAAGAGAGCGTTCTCTGCAGCGTAAGAAGTGCCGAGGTCGATTGACGAGTATCTTCTTTCGCTGCTAGCGGAAGTGAACACGGTACCTGGGGTTGAAAATGCATCGGAAAACGCATCAGTGCCGGGTGTGAAGACTGGTTCTGGAAGAGGACTGCCCATTGGAGAAATATCTCCTCGGGGTCGTCCGGTGAGTTGTTGACGAGGTGCCTGGAGGGCACCAGGACTTGTGGGTGGAGCAGATTCTGTTGAGACCACTCTCGGAGGCTGTACAGGACGCTTCGATCGAGTTGGCTCATGGTGTAACATATGCCATTTCAACCATTGTCCAAAGACATCCCAATCCTCAGCACGGACTCCTAAACTGACACTCGGTGATCGCTCTTGGTTCCGGGGATGAGTTTGTGTGGGAGTAAGACCAAGTGCGGTGTCCACAACGCTGCGGGCAGTGTCCAGGAGTTGAAGTACAGGTACAATGCGCTCAGCTGTGACCGCGCCCTGGATATTTGATGTTTGATGCCTGACTACCGGGCGCACTCCGCCAGAATCTCTCATGATAAGGTATTCCATCTTTTGCGAGAATTGATGTAGCAGCTGAAGCATATCGTCTGGTGATTCATTACGATCTAGATGTGCAGTTATCTGGTGTAGTGCACTTGGCTGATTGATGCTGGTGTGAGACAGTGTTGTGAGATAGTTTATGTCCAAGTCAGTCGTGCTTGTTATTGATGTTGGCGTGATTCTTCTCAAGACAAAGTTGACCTTGTCGCTCAAGGATCTAGAAGTTATATCAGATGGCATACGGACAGAGCTTGATGGGTGAATTGTACTTTACTGCACGCATGATCTCCTCTGACTGCCTCTCGATGCCATGTGTGTTTTGGAGTGTCGTTGTCGTTGCGTGTAATGTTGCAATGGCAACAACTCGATCAAGCTGTCGGTGAAGCTTCTCTGCCTCCTCACGATATATTGGCCATGTCGCTGTTTGGTACCCACGGCCAACACGGTCGAGAAAATCTTTGATTCTACTGCTCGTCTGTGGCAAAGCGGTGATCAGAGGACGTGTCGTTTTAGCAGTGAGAATGCGGTGCTTGTCGATGAATTTGATAGTATCTCCAAACGTCTCGTCAAATCCTGCTAGCGAAGCGAGGTCGGGACTGACAACGACGAGCCTCTCGAGGCAGGTAATTACCTGCCGATACTCTCGCTTGAAGCATTCATACTCGTTCGTAGCGTTGTAGTTGCCGTCAGTAAAGCTCTCGTACACTTTCCAGCTATACTGTGCGAGCAGGATGACATCGCTGATGGACCAGCCAAAGCTCATGACGCAAAATTGGTAGAGGTTCCCAAGTGTGAGCAACAAGCATCTTGACCGACTTGAGCGGGACTTGGTTGAAAAGCCCAGCAGCCAGCGGCCGGTCAGATCCAGCGCACATTGTTATTATCAAGTGGCAACAAGGCTGACAAGGCACAAGTCTCTTCGATACCAATATGGACATCTTGCAAGAGTGTCACGATCCAACTGCATGTCAATCAAGCAGCGAGCGAATGGAAAGTGCAAGAAGCGGAACGTGGCCCTGCCAAGCCCTGCTGTTTCCCCCAACCTCCTCTGCTCGCTCCTTCCTTCCAGCCTCTTTCCGTCTGCATCATCATCGACCTCGCAGCGCAGCTCGCAGTCCCTCGGTCAGATGATTGCTTGTCTTTTCCAAGATCGTAAGCAGCAAGACGTGAGGCTTCATCCTCAGCTGCAGCCTGCAATCCAGATCTTCGCTGGTCAAAGGATTTCTGCATCTATCCGATGAGCTCGCAGTCTAGAAGTCCGACTAGACGATCTACTGGCGCAGGACACATTCAGGCAGACATGACTATCTACTGCTGCGCGTCGCGGCTTCCAGGAGCCGTTCCTGCGCCTCGCTGACAGTGCTATATCCTCGCCTCAGTCGTGCCTCTCTTCATTCTCCTACCGCTATCTTCAACACCGTATCCAATGACTCTATTTTGCTTTCCAAAACGTTCAGCATACCATGGCTGGATTGACATGGATCAAATTGCACTTGAATCCATTCGCTAGTGTTTCAAAATTTGAAGATGTCTCGGTAAGATGATCAGTCGTTCGACTGCAGCGGCACGGTCACTGACAATCTGTTAGCCCGCAGACAGGCGGCAGTATGTCCTCGATTCTCTTGAGCATTCGAGACGGAGAGAGTGGGTCTGGGTAGTCGTTGTAGCTGGAGTCGGCTTCTTGACAGACGCGTACAATGTCAGATGACTCTGAAAGGCTTATATACACCTTCTCATCTGATACAGATCTTCTCCATCAACCTAGTCATGCCCATGATAGGACACATCTACTATCCCGATAAAGGCACTGTACCGCACGAGTACGCAGTCGCTATCAACATCGCAACACTGGGAGGAAGTATTCTAGGCCAGCTAGGCTTCGGTCTCGCTGGAGATTGGCTGGGTAAAACAGCCTACGATGATGGAAAAATCTCCTCTGCTGATTCATCGCAGGTCGAAGAAAAGCCTATGGACTTGAGCTTATCATCACTGTTGCCGCGGCTCTAGGATCAGCCATGGCCTCAACTGGTGTCAATGGCTCTATGTCACTCATCGGATGGCTCGTGTTCTGGCGGCTTATCATGGGTATAGGCATTGGAGCCGACTACCCACTGAGCGCTGTCCTTTGCTCAGAGTAAGACTCTCTGTATGATGAGCCTTTGTGGTTGTTAATTCGTGTCTAGGATGGCTCCGACCAGGCTTCGTGGAAGGATGTTGACAGCCGTGTTTATGTGCCAGCCACTCGGTCAACTTCTTGCTACACTAGTTCCATTAGTTGCAGTATACGCCGCTCGTGGGTCACTTCCGCATGACGCCAAAGACTGTTTGCACGACTGCCAAAAGACTTTAGACGTTATATGGCGTTTAATCCTGGGCCTCGGAGCAGTACCCGCAGCAGCTTCTCTCTGGTTTCGTCTGACCATCATAGAAAGGTATGGTGTGGAAATCAGGTATTCCTTCTGTATGCATCTTGACTGAATCAACCACACAGTCCGAGATACACTGTCGACATTGTAAGGGATGATCATCAGGCAGCTGTTGATGTCGACCGTTATTTCTACTCCGGCGACCACTTCTCGTCTATAAGCCGGGAATCTTTCCAACAGGATCATGAAGATGAGATACACACAGAAGAATTGAACAATCCGGTCTTTCCTCTTTCGGTTGTGGATTCAGATGAGATACCACAGCCACCACAAGCTTCTTGGGCGGATATCAAAGAGTACTGCACCTTGGTAGCGACTTCCTTGACATGGTTATCGCTCGATCTCGCTTTCTACGGGCTTGGAATGGTACGTCTGGGTGAGACCAGGTGATATCCCTGCTGACTCACTCTACAGAACGATTATACCACGCTCGAGAAGATCTGGGCAAACAACCAGATAGAGCCGCAGTTGTACCAATCTCTTCTAGCCAACGCATGGCAAAGCTTGTTGATCGTGTCGCTCGGGGCTATACTGGGCAACTTGATTACGCTGGTCTCGATCAACCGCCTGGGACGAAGAACCATCCAGATCAATGGCTTCTTTTGGCTGTTCGTCCTCTTCCTCGTGATCGGTACAAGCTATCGCAAGTTGATGGACTCACAAAGATCTTCAGTACTCGTGGTATTGTATATCTTGACACAGGTCTTCTTCAACTTTGGTAAGCATGCAGGACCCCGTGATCAGAGTTCGTGACTAACGTCAAACACAGGCCCAAATGCAACAACCTACATCATCGCAGCGGAAGTATTCCCTACGCGCTACAGATGCACCGCTCATGGCATCAGCGCTGCTTTCGGCAAGTTCGGAGCTGTGCTGTCTCAATGCATTCTCGGTTGGATTACAGGCAGTATTCAGGATGACAAGACATATCTACTTGTGTAAGTTTCTTGTCACGAAGATCATGCTGTTTATACTTGAGCTCACGACGATTTATAGCTTCTCGGCGTTTATGCTCATCGGGCTTGTGTTGACGGTATACTGGATCCCTCGCTCGCGCGACAAGAACGGACAGACTTTGACCTTGGAAGAACTAGCGCTAGGCCGAGCTGCTGTCAAAACAGATTAGAGGGTATCGGTGCGACAGGTAGTTTGATTTCATGGTATTGAATGAGATTGCTGATGTGTACTACTCTAGTTATATAATAATATCCATTTACGCCTGAACCCCTGACCCCATCCGAGATGTACGCTACCAATGCTTGAAGAGGAGTCTCAATCCAACCACTACTCATGCCTTGACAGCACCAAGAATGTATTGACCAAAAGACTGCTTGAGTGAACAAACAGTACCGTTCCATGTGAGACCAGTGCACCCAGACGTATCATCGCAAAGCACTGCGCAATCTCCGAAACTGCCTATGCTAGATGATGAAACAATGTTGTTGGTCGAGGTATCGTAAGTGCAAAGAACAGTGTACGCAAGACCGCGGACATCAGTGTAGGTAGTGCCATTAGAAGCTGGGCAAGAAGGTGCAGCGATGGGAGTTGACGATGGAGTGACTGCTGTTGATGAGGTACTTGAGCTCGGGAGGATGGACGAGGAACTCGAACTCGAAATCGATACAACAGAAGAGGACGGGGCGGTCGTACTGGAGGGTATGGTCGAAGTGCTGAAAGATGTCATGGATGGTGTCGTGGTGGAACTCAGCGTGCTTGAGCTGCCGACAGACACCACCGAGGAAGCGCTGACACTTGTAGTCAAAGTTGCACTTGTCGATACTGAGCTAGGGGTAGTGGTGATCGGACGCATGTATCCAGCAATTCTCGTGCTCAGAAGATTTGCCGTGCTGACAAACGACTGGGGAGTATCTGTCTTGATCAAGCACTGACCTACTCCATTGCCGAGAGCAGCGCCTTGATTGTAACTGAACCCAGTACACCCAGTATAGCTGTCGCAAGCCTGGAAGCAGGCAGTCCAATTGGCAACATTGGTGATTGTTGATGCTGTACCTCCAGCTGAACCACCGCCGCACATGTACAGATAAGGTTTCCCACTGCTGTCTGTTACTGCGTAGACATTGGTGTTGATGGAAGTGCAAGTGGGCGGATAACTTGTTGTGGTGTATCCATCGGCACCAACAGAGGGCGACAAGCTCGACGACGACGATGATGAAGATTGAGTTGTAGCTGTTGAGGAGGAAGAGGAAGATGAAGAGGGAGAAGAGATAGCGCTGCTGCTGAGTACGCTTGTTGACGTTGCGATTGTTGCTAACGATGTTGGTATTGTTGTTGCTGACGAAGCTGATGATGGTGACTGTGATACTGATGATGATGCCAAAGACGAAGACGACAATGCCACAGAAGAGGACGTCGATGTCACGGAAGAGGTCGTCGATGTGGAGGCAGCGCTAATGTACCTAGCGCCCAGGATGCCACCATTCTTGACCGCTGCTCCGAGGGTTTTCTTGAGATAGCAAGCCGATCCAGACAACGACACGTCGACACAGCCACTTGTGGTTGCACAAGCTGCAATGCAGCCTTCAAGGTTCTTGACGGAAGTGCTAGCCATATCACCGCCTGAATGGTCTATGCCACACTCAACCACAAACTGTGCTCCGTTGGCCGCATAAGTGTATATCGAGCTGTTCGAGGCAGGACAGGATAGAGGCGAAGCAGTGCTGGCCGGAGCTGTCGATGACGCGCTTGAAACACTAGACGAGCCACCGTTGTTCGGTGATCCACCAGATATCCTTACTGCAGAAATGGTATTGCTACCGGAAGCGGTGTAGGTGCTCATGCTCTTCTTGAGCCAACATGTGCCTGAAGAGCCGCCTCCAACACCGCCCACATACGTAAATCCCGCGCAGCCGGTCGGGATCGCGGTATCGCAGGCATTCATACAGTCTAGGTATGATGTAGAAACCTGAACATTAGAGTATGATCCAACGCTATTGTCTGACGAACAAGTGACATTGTAAATATTGCCGATGGAATCAGTGATTGTCTGGCCATTTGCTGATGGACAAAGGCTCGCTGATGGTACGCTGGAGGTCGGTGAGGCTGTGCTGGATGCGCTTGTGACTGACGAAGTGGTAGTGACACTGGCAGTGGCGTTGATGAAGTTGTAAGGCGTCGTGTCCAATGTCCACTTGTTGAAAAAGGCGAGCATCAGAGGTGTTGCATCGAATGGCGATCCAGCTACGATGGAGGGCCATGTATGTCCGAGACCATGCACATAATAGTGGGCACCCAATAGCGGGAATGTGTCGTTTCCATAGTCGTAACGAACCACATTATTATTGTAAAGAGAAACCGAAGTGTTCGAAGACCCCAAGCTATTACGGCTTGCCCAGCTTGTCATGAACAATGGGATTGATGGTAGACAACGACCACGACGGCCTCCTCCAATGTATGGAATTGTTGTATCGGAATCGCCATGAGTTGTAAAAAGCGGTACTGGATAACGACCCGGGTTACAGGTAATGGATACCGTCGCATCATTGCAGTTGACGTCAGTGTTTCCTTGGTAATACGCCCCTGAGGCACCAGAAAATGCTGCAAAGATGCGAGAGGCTTGAGGATCGCAGGCTAGGATGTTGGCAGCGAATCCACCTCCGTTGCTCTTGCCAGTAGCATACAATCTGGAAGTGTCGAGGCAGAACGTGCTTGATAGATCGGTGAGAAGTTCAAGTGTGAAACCGATATCATCGAAGCCAACAGCATCCGGGTCACCTTGCCATTCCGCGTTGATACCGGCCGGGTAGGCAACCAGATAGTTTGGGTTGAACGTCTCGTTAGACAATCCCGAGATATTCTCCTCCTCCTGCGGAGAGGCACCTCTACCATGGTACGAGAACGCGAAGGGAGCGGGTGTGTTGCTGTCGTAGGACGAAGGGATATGTAGTAGGTAGCTGCGAACAACTCCGCCCGAAGTTGTAAAGCTTAGGGTGTTGGTTGAATCGGCACCTCCACGAGTAAGTTGAGGCGATAAAGGATTTCCACAGCCTGAAGATGCGGCAGACTGTGCCACAGCAAAGAAGGCTGCAGAAAGAAGGACCTGACTCTTCATGTTGTGTGTTCGATGATAATAGCACATCCCGACGACGGCCACCTCGAGGCTTTTATATCTACATGTCGCATCCTGGACTGTCCTTTGCAGCTGCCCAGGACTTTTCATCACCTGCTCTGGACGCCGTCAGGAGAATGTGGTTGCCAGAATCGGACGAGAATAGACATTTGGAGAGAGCTGCATGTGCGAGGCTGAACGCTATGGAATGTTAGAAGCACGACCGTTTCACTCACACCTGGTCAGTTGATAGAGCTTGCGAGTCGCGACAGCCACGGTGGAAAGAGAGGCTTCCGTTGAAGCGGCATTCCTACGGTCGGTCTTCGAATCTGGATCTACCTTGAGCATAGACCAGCATTGGACAGTGCCGCTTCACGAAAGTAGCAGAAAAATGCCTCTGCGAACTGACCACAGTTCACGAGATCAACGTTACGATAACCTCTGATTCTCTGGCATGTTGGCAGGGATAGCTCAACGATTATCAGCGGGTGTTCCTGCGGCGTGTCAGGCACGGAGATCCTTCTGCATACACAATGATGAGGTTGAGCTCCGGATCCGACGACTCTGTACTTCCAAATCTTTTGCTTGCGGAGAGTTGCCACTCTGCACACCTGCATACATGCGATATTTTCAGCCGTTCAAGAAAGGAAGTAGACCATTTCGAGATAATGATGCAAACGCGGGAGCTGCCGAGCTGTGGAGGGAGAGAAAAAGGAAGGCTAGCCAACTTTAAACGCTTTTCTGCAAAAGGGTTGTGTCCAGCCGGCCGTTCAAAGTCGCATGATCTCGATGGTCATGTTCGGAATCCAGCATGGAATCAACATTTGATGGAAGGGTGAATGAGGAAAGAAAGACGGCTTGCAGTCCTGGCGAAACACCGGCAATCGATCCTCCCGTCGGCATGGCGTCGTCTGGGCCTTTGCTCTTGCCGTGCGTCACTCAACAACACTACATGTTCCCTCTATGATTATCATACTGCATGATTCAGGAGACTCCACGATATATGCAGACCCGTAAGATCTATGTCTCGGCTCAGCAGGATTCGCCAACGTCTCTGCGTGCCTCCAAGCTTTGGTTGCCGAATGGAGACACTGCAATCTAATCGTGTGGAGGTTGGCCCTTCTCGGTTCCTCAGACTTGTGCTTGACTCGATCTCGAAACAAGTAATACTGTGTTGGCAACGCAAGAGGTAACCATAACCAACATAGACCATGCGCAGCCGTATCTTCTTTCTTGCTGATGGGGTTCATAGTCAACTGACACTCCGATGCTGGAGCTGGTCGCTTCTAGGACTTCAAATTAGGATTGCTTGACTCAAGGACTCAGGAACGACTGATGCCATACTGATGACTTCACAAACGTCCACAACGAACATCAAGCATGTGTGATCATCGCTTTCCAAGTCTTTGGTGACGTTCATAGCCAGATTATGAGCAGCAATTCATTCGAGGGACAGGGTCGCGGTTCTCTGCCTGTCCCCACCACAGTCCCCACCACCGTTCCTCCACATTCCGATGCCCTGATCTAGGGCAAAGTCTCACATCCGAGCCAACCGAATGACCCCTCTTCGAGCATCAGTTATATATACTCTGGGCTCAAGAGAAGGGATCTGTAAGTACTTTACTGGCCGCTAGATCATCACACTATGCAGATTCTCGGTCTTGGAAACGGCACACCTTCTGGTAACTCGGAGATCCTCCTCAAGGCTGCTTTGACAGCAGCTACCGAGTCCGACTCTACCATCACGACATCATGGATACACGTTCCCTCTATCTCTATACCTACAAACCCAGCACCTCTGGACAGCCCTGTTGGCTTCGATCTCGCCTCAAAGCTCAATGTCGCTTCAAACGACGCACCCGACGACCGAGCTGCCGTCCGCGAAGCCATCCTCGACGCCGACGCCATAATCGTTTCTACACCCACATACAGCCATCAACCCTTGGGCACTCTGAAGCTACTCATGGATAGAATAGGCGGGCCCTCGTTGGATGTAACTTTCGGCAAGACCTTCAGTCCTGACAAACTCGACCCTCGACTCTCTAAACCAAGAGTGTTGGGTTTCATAGCTGTAGGAGGATCATCAACACCAGATCAATTTACTATGGTGCTGCCGACATTGCATCTGTTATTTTATGCTCTACACGCCAAAGTCGTGGATCAATTCATTGGCCAAGATCTGGGAAGTTCAGGGGCAGTGTGTTTGCATGAGGATCTGATCTCTCGGGCACAGAAGATGGGAAAGAATATCGCAAGTCAGATTGGCAAGGCCTATGATGATGTAGAATATCTGGGCGAGCAAGAAGAAGGTGCATGTCCGCATTGCCATCTCGCCAAGATTGAGTTCTTGCCGGCGCATGGTAAGAATGCTATTGGTTGTACGACGTGTGGTACCAGAGGTAGCTTGGTTGTGCGAGAAGACGGAGATGTGCTGCCGGCGTGGGAAGAGGAGTCAAAGTGGAGTTGCTTGACTTGGACGGGCAAATTGCAACACGCGAAGGATATCGTGAGTTGGGCTAAGAGAGATGCACCGAGGAAAGAGGATATTAAAGAAGCACAGGAAAGGTGGAAAAAGGTTGTCGTTAAGCAAGTATCTTTGCCAAGTCAAAGCAGGGCACACTGGTGATTATCGAGGTGACTTGTGTTTGAAGCACCAAGAAATTATAATTACACATCTACCTGATACAAAACTTCTCCGCCTGCTTCAATCCTCATGTTCTTTTTTGTGCTGATACGTACGGAGGAGATGCTGAGATGAGTATCACTGTCATCCGAAGTACAAGAGCGAAAGTCTATCAATAGAGGCCTCACGAAATGGAGACAGGGTGACTCTACCTCACATCTCCACGAACCAAATTTCGCACCCCTCCAAACCCCACACACTCCCTATACCACGGATCCTCGGCACCTTCGATCGCAGCGATCACAGCAAAGGGGGCAAGTGACAGACACATCACACGACAATAGCAGCATTCGTCATCCTTATAAACTCCAACGTAGTATAGGGGGAAGAATAAACGGAAAGCAGCCCCATAGCCGTTGCAAAAAGCCGCTAGCCGGTGAACGACTGCAATTGATTGCGACAACAACAAAGAACGCGTCGAGAGCGATGGATAGCGATACTGGCAATCGATTGTGATAGAACTTGAAACCCTAGCTCGGAATAAAGGGAAAGAGTTCACGTGGGTAGGCGAGATTATGATCATCTTGGAGATGAGAGCGAGAGTTTTGTGGTCAAACACCTAGGGTCGCTCTGCCCTGCTCGGCAAAGTCGGTCCATGGTGGTTTCACTAGAGATGAGATCGTATACTGAGAACCGATGGGAGGGAAAGTGTTGGTATGAATAGTAAAGTTTTTGATCCTTCTACCTGTATACAGATATCCACATTGTTCTAGCACAGAGTCGAAGAAAGAAAGGTAGACAAAAGACCAGCGCCTATGGCTCCATGAGATTCCTCCTCTTCTGTTTTGAGAACAAAGGAAAATCGATATACAAAAGAAAGGACACAAAAGAACACACATCCATCGATAACAAACAGGTGGGCGCAAGGACGAACATTGTTCGCGGAATGGTACCAAGCTGCACAAGCAGTAGGATTGCATCCAAAGAGGATCGGGAGGGTATAAGCAAGAAGTAGAAACAACAAAAATAGTAAAAGAGCCCAGCCCTTTGTAGATCGCGATGCTAAACCCTCAGGGTGGGGACGAATATGTAAAGCCAAAGCGCGAGGAAATAGACAATAGACATCCTGATAGATGATCGGCGAGAGACAGTTGTATGTCATGCCGCAGTCTGAGAAGGATAGTGCATAAACACACACGAGTGGATTTTTGGGGTGGAGGAGATCATCAATGCCGGATTGGGGTCGTTACAGCTCATCAGAGCGGGCACTTACTAGAAATCTAGTAAGCGGTAGGGTAGGCGGCGCCCGAAGGTCTGTGGACAGTGATGAAGCCAGTGGAAGCGCAGCTGGAAGAGCTGGCGGCACCGGCGGAGGTAGTGGGGTAGTAAGGAGCGGCGCTGCTCTGCTTGGGGACAACGCTGGCACCGGTGGCAGTGCTCTGAGCAATGGTGCTCATGGCAGAGTCAACGGTGACGTAGACGGTCTCGCTGGCAGTAACAGTGACGGTAGAAGCAGCGGCGCAGCCAGCAGAGTCAGTAGCACTGGCGCCAGTTCCGGGAGCACCATAGCTTGCACCGTTTCCGGTGACGGCGGCCTTCTCGCCCCAGAAGCTGAGGTAAGAGCCAGTGGAGGTAGGCGAAACAGTGACGGTGTTGGTAGTGGTGCTGGTGGTCGACAGAGTGGTGGTCGAGGTGGAGTCGGACTCGTCCATACCGTAGCCAGAAGCAGCGGCCGAGGCCGAAGCGACAGGGGTGGCGTAGACGGTCTGAGTCTGGTAGGCGGTCGAGGTCTTGTGGATAGTGGTGGTGATGACCGACTTGGTCGAGCCACCGCCAATGGTGTAGGTAAGAGTCACATCAGTGGTGAAGGTGGTGTAGGCAGTTACAACCTCAGATCCAGTGGCACCAGCAGCAGGGGCAGAAGTGACACCAGAGCCGTAGGCACCGGTTCCGAAGGCAGCGTTGGTGTTGATGCTAGGGTAAGCAGAGACACCGGTGCTCAGGGGAGCAACGACCGAGCTGGCAGCAGCGCTGGTCTCGACGGCAGCGGCTGAGCTCTCGTATGCGCCAGTGGAGAGAGGGATGGCGACCGAGGAAGCCTCGACGGAAGAAGCGACGGGAGCAGCGACCGAAGAGCCAGATACAGGAGCGTAGCTGAAGGCGGCAGCGGTCGAGGTCTGGTTGAAGTTGCCATAATCCTGACGCTTGTACTGAGCAGCGTTTGCGCCGATTGCCAGGGTGGCGGCCACGAGGGAAGAGCTGAAGTGCATGATGATGATGGTGCTGATAGATGTCTTAGGTATGACCGTTTAGGATGCGATTACAACGTCGAAATCGTGAGAACTCGTGGGTATGCTGTATATGCTGTGGTTGAGAGAATGTGGAGGCAAGAAATCAATTCCGCGCTCGAAGCAAGTGATCAAAGAGTGACTGGTTCTGTAAAAGAGTGTGGTGTCTAAAGGAGACGGAGGGACCGGACGAGAAACGCTTTGTAGTCTTGAGGGTGAGGAAGAAGAGAGAGATGTGACGGGGAAGAGGGCTCAGAAAAGGCGATTCAGGATGGATGCCCGTGTGGCACACACCGGTGGATGATTGCTTGACCTACAATCCATGCTAGTCTGCAGGGAAACCATAATCACCATCAATCTAATGGTTTGATGCAGGATGCAGTCTGCGGTCAAGGTGTGCGTTTCATCGAATCAGGCCGTTGTTGGACGGACCACTTAGCGTGGCGATCTACGGCTAGCGCCTTCCCCTTATCGCTTGTTCCTGAACGGGTACCTGACAGCTTGCAGCTTGCACAAACTTCTGCACGCCCTTTTGCCCGGCTTATTTGCGATGTACTGCGACCACCGTTCCGGTTCGAACAGTGTATGCTTTCCGTACTCAGGCTTGGGCTGTTGCCATATCCCCTATCTTGATTCCGTTAGACAACATCTGGAACTGTCACGATCAAAATATACCAACGCCCAGCTGTGTTGCGGTCTTTTGTTCTCCGCTTCTTGTCGCCTACCGCAGATTGATGCACCATCTCATTTCCTTTGGCGCTCCTTGGCTGGCTTGCCCTCGACCAACAATAAAATCTCTCGTCGGCCTTTCTGCGCCGATCTGACCATTTCGGCTCTGTGATCCCGGTGCCTGTGCCACATTGACACTCCACAGAGGAAGCCAATAATCAGTCGCAATCTTTGCATGAGTCGCCGTAGTGGCTTGTTGCCCGGGTCCCAGTGCGGTTACGACGAAGGCCTCGACCATACCAGTACGAGGCGTCACAGCTTTGGCAAGCTATCACGTTGCATTTTGTCTGTCATTCTTGCATATTGAACAAGAACTCAACGGCCATGCGACTAATCCTGTACGTGCAACGCTCACCAATGCCGAGACCAAGGCACGCGGACCACCAACAAAGCCTCGCAGCAACATGAGCTGTCAGATCTCTTGTCTCCAGACCGCAATCTGCCAGTCCCTTCGACAACCCCATGGACACCTTGATCTGATCTGTCTTTGTTTCGCCCAGGAGCACCCACCAATACCATAGGCTTCAGCACAATCTCGCAGAACACGACTGACTGTGTTGCGTATAGACACGATCGATCTGCTTTGAAATGAAGTGTTTAGATTTTCGACATGGGACCGTACACGATGGGCGACAAGTGCCGGACTAGGGATCTAACAGTGTTATGGATTCAAGGGGCCAGTTCATCCTGTTTAATATAATGAAGTTCGAGGAGAACGTGCTCACTATCCTCAGCAACTCACCCAGTCGTCTAGCCATCCCAACGCCTTCAGTGCTTCTACGATGAAGGTGTTACAAGCCCTCAAGATATGTTTGTAAGACACGTAACGGTGGAGATTCCCATGATCTTCTTGGGTGTTTCGCAAGAGGGCTACACCTCGACAGACATGCATGGCAATGCGCACACGTGGAAGCTGGTGGCCTGAAGGGTCTGCCAACTTGAAACGAGGTCATGAAGAGCTGCCTCGAACCAGGCAAGCCACGGCCCTGACGTGCCGAGCACAAGCGGCAAAGCCCTGCTGACGACATGGGTGTCTTTCCTGGCGAGTCTCTAGGTCAACACCACCTGGCAGCCTGAATCTCCAACCAGATAATCTTCTCTACTGACGACATTGTTGATGCTGAAGTACTGGCCTTGGAGTCAAGGAGCCACGTTTGGTCTGGTCATAAACAACAAACCTTGTTTGATCATGTCGTGCTCAGTGTGCTGCGTGCGAACTCATTGAGTGAGTAGAGGCTGCTGAGACCTCGATCGAAGCTGACTTCAGACAATCGGCTTATCTCGCGCGACTCCAACTCTTGAGATCGTTGGCTGCGAGAGGAGTCTCAGGAAACAGAGACGGAGGACGAGGTATACTTGTCTTGCTCGATCTTCCTCATCGACGACATGCACTGCGATAACGAGTGACTATTCGTGGATCATGGTTCTCGCGCGACGGAATAATCTGAGACAGTGTCGTGCATGTAGTCGCGATTGAAAGCTTGGGATATTGATGCAACCATGCGTATAGTGGATATCGTGTCCAGTGTAACGAGGCTGAGCTCGCGGCGGTGAAATGCTGACCTCGAGTTGAGCTTGGCCAAAGGACAAATGATACTACCAAGAGCGGCCGGCGACAACGTCTAGGATTTTTCCATCTCGGCGCTGGTGATTGACACGTCGTGGATGGAGGAAATGGATCCTCTTGGGAGTACCATTTGTAGAAGAGACGGATGTTATCATTCCGGTGTATGCTCCGCACCTTGGTCTTTCTCGGCATTACCATGAGTCGGTTGCCGTCTGTTGGCTAAATGATAGCCGATCTATGGATCCGCAGAGCAGAGCGAGATTCCAAGCTGTAGGTCGAGATACGAATGATTGACCGCGTCGTATGTCGGCCGAACTCGCCCGTCGTGGTATAGCAGACAAACGCCTAACGTCAGCATAAGAGGAGTGACTCGATGATATATCGCCGGTGCATGATGGATAAAGGGAGTTGACAGGTGCACGAGTCGGGTGGAACAAATTGGCGGGACCGTGTAAATGCGAGATTGCGTATGATTGGCGCAAAAACTGTGGGGGGTTTGTCCGCAGGGATCTGGGGAACGTTTTCTGAGAGTCGTAAGGCCGAGGGGTACAATGCGGGATGGAGGTCAGGACGGTTCGACGGCCATGTCGACGGAAAGATCTTCTGTAACGACAGCTTTGGGTCAGACTTGCCGTGCGTGACGGACGCCTATCCTTGTCTGGCCGTATCGACAGAGCATCGCGATTCTCTCCGTTGATCTTCCGTCCTCTCGACTGCCTCCTCCTACCTGACCTGCAGGCGAAGACATGGGAAGCAACCTCGTCTCTCTCCTGCCATTACCACCGCTCAATCGCCTTTGCTTCCCTCCGGCCTGAGGAGTCTTCCCTCCTAACATATATTCCTATCGTCCGACCCACCATCACCGGATCACTCGTCGTCTAGAATTAGGCCGGAAGAACCCAGCCGTCCATGGCTACCAGAGTCCAGGTCGAGACGTCGACCATGTCCTTTGCGAAACCCCGACCCATCGTCGCTATCGAGGAGGTCCGAGGCCACGAGGAGCCGAGTATCCTGGTGTTATACGAACGAGATCAAGAGCAGATTGTTGCAGAGATAGCTGGTGTGCTCGGTCAACAGTGGCGTCTGATCGACCCTGAAGACGGCGATGCCTCTCCCATTGACGGCACTGTCGTTGGTATATGCGGCGCTCATGATACATTGAGATGGCGAGGCTCCAGCACTGTCCTGGCCACCCACTGTCTAGATGATCCCAACCCTGCTGTTGGTTCTCGGTCCTCCATCTGCGACTATGAATACCTCTACACAACCAAGCCTTTCTTCAGGCGAGATCTGGCCAGGTTTCTCTCTTTCGTTCTCGGCCAGATCAACCCGCACAAGGACCTCGCGAAGAAGGCAAAGACGACTCTGATCTCCACAACCTTCCCCGACGTGCATGCCGCGCTACCGAATCTCGACATCCTCTCTGTTGGTGCCGATGCCATCGAGATTCGTGTTGATCTGCTGAAGGAGACGAAACCCGACGGTTCTTTCAGCGACGTTCCAAGCTTACAATATGTCGGTGAACAGTTGATGACTTTGCGTCAACGAACAGAACTGCCCATCATATTCACCACCCGCTGCACAAAAGAGAACGGCCGATTTCCTATGGACGACCCCAAGTTGTTTTACGACTATCTGTATCGTGCTGTTCAATGGGGCTGCGAATACATTGATGTTGAGCTCTGGCTTCCTGAGGACCTTAGGCGCAAACTCGCTTCCCAGAAAGGAAACAGCAAGATCATCTCCGCCTTTCACGACTTTTCTGGAAACTTCAAATGGACATCGCCCGACGCCCAAAGACTATTCGGGCAGGGCGCTATTTACGGAGATGTTGTCAAGATGATCGCTCTTGTGAGCACCATGCAAGAGAACTACGAGCTTGAGTATTTCCGATCCATCATTCAGAGCACCTATCCCTACCCACCTTTCTCTGGTTTGAACATGGGACCCATGGGACAGCTTTCAAGAGCCTTGAACAAAATCTTCACGCCAATCACACACCCACTATTACCTATAATCGCTGCACCAGGACAGCTCAGCGCTGCCGAGATCAATTCCGCCCTCCACTCCATGGGACAAATGCCGAAGCTTGATATGTACTGCTTTGGTAGCATGCGCGCTACAGGACAAGCCATGTTCTTCGAAAAGTGTATCAACGAGTTGAGCTTACCTCACCAACTTGTTTGTGTCGAGCAAAGCTCCCAGGACGGGCTTGCTACTGTGGTCAAGATACCACATTTCGGAGGCGCATTCATCAATCCTCCTATTGCGGCATCGGCGCCCTGTCTCCCCTCAATCTCGGATGCAGCGGCCTCAATCGGTCAGATCGATACCGTGGTCGCTCGTTCAGACGGTGACAAAACAAATCTCGTAGGCGACAACGCGACTTGGAAAGGAATCAGAGCAACTCTTTGCCGAGACTTTGTTCCCTCAGCATATAGTGGACAAGCAGCGATACTATTGGCCAGCCAAGAGTCTCAAGCAGCAGCGGCGGTATTCGCACTCCGCAGCCTCAACATCGGACCAATCTACACCATTGGCTTCAAGGTCCAAGGCCCACTGTCTGGGTTCGTCACGCCTTTCAAAGGATTGGAAGATGTCAAGAAAGTCGAGCAGCCTGCGGTCATCATCTCAGCGCTCCGAGCAGACAAATCGCTTCTGGTCTCGCCCCTGCTGAAGCACTATGGAGGCCACAAACCGGAGCAGCGAAAGGCAGCAAAGGTCTTCTTGGACTTGAGCAATGGACCTCGCAAAGGCGATCCAGTCGCCCTTGCCGAGACACAAGGCTGGGCCGCCTACGGCATCGCCGACGTCAACGCATGGACGACAGTCGAAACACTGAGGCTTCTGGTCGGCCAAAATGTTCCCTACGATTTCGTGCGGCTTGCAGCTGGACGAAGTATTTACTGATGATTGCATTTTGCTCGGCGTTCTGGTGCGAGGTCTATAACCTTGGCTTGTCATTTCTTTGTTTCTTTTGCTTTCTACCCTTCCATGTTGACTCAGATGCAGAACGAGATGTTCTCGCTCCACGCTGGATACTGTTTACATAATCGACAATAGCCATTTCGGAAGAGATTGTTAGCGATGAGATTTATGACTCCATATTCCATGATCGGTTTGCTATGATTCGACGCAGGCTGACAGCATGCTCTTCCTTGCATGTCACCCTTTGGAAAATTCGAATGATCATGTGCACATAGCAAGGGCGGCAGCAACGATGGCGCTGTAGATTGAGACGCTGGACCCAAAGCAACAAATTAACCGAGGTCGGTGTTAGGGCTGGATGTTGGAACAAGTGGACCCGAAGCTCGTGTGCGGAGTCGGTCATCTCGGCTGCTCGAAGAGCGAGTTTCTGAACAAGATTCGAGCCGAGTCTGGGGATCTCTTGTCATCATACACGACGGAGCAAATGGGAAGAGGTTGTAGGGTGCACAAAGGTGATGGAAGAAATGTGTCTGGGGTAGAAGCAGTAACAAGACGCGAGATTGGCCTCGTGGATGATCGTGTTGGCAATATATCATCATGTAGGGCTTCTGAAGGGCGGCACCGTCTTCATGCACCGTTCCCCGCTCTTGAACATGGCCTCCGCGACCACGGGGCGTGACCCTGGGGCTAGAAGTTGAAGCTCGAGATCCGGGAGTCACAGCGCCAGTAAAGCGCCTTGTTCTCATACCGAGTCATCCACCCACCTACCTATTCCTACATCCGTAATCGTCTGCACCCTGCCCGGCGCAAAGCGACAGCCCGAGTGCTCACCTCTCACTGCCACCCCACACCTCATACCTCCACCACACGTTACTCGCAAGAGTGCTGGCATGAGGAACATTCGATCGACATCTCGCTGGAGCTGAGCCGGTCGTCATTGTGTCGTTGGCCATGTCTCGGCCACAGATTGGTATAGACCGTCTACCGGTGCGGCGGGCCAGCAATGAACCCAAGGAAGCCATGAACTGCAAGAGTTGTCGCAAGAGAAAGGTGTGTTTGAGATGATCAAGTCACGTACGTACAAAAGACTCAGACTCGGCAAAGATCAAGTGCAATCGGCTGCGACCGTCTTGTGAAGCCTGCCAAGTCTTTAATTGCGACTGCGTCTATGGTATGGAGCCAAACATGTCACATATGAAGATCGACCAGACTGACTCGTTTCGATGTATAGACGCGGTTCCCAAGAAGAGAGGTCCCAAGACCGACGTGCTCGAAGCCTTGTTGAAACGCGTCAATGGATTGGAAAAGAGGTTGAAAGACGAAGGGAAAGACCCAGATGAAGGCACACCAGAAGCGATAGTCGCAGAAAGCGTCAGGGATGCAGCGGACAAGAAGCCAACGAAGAAAGCCCCTTCTCCACCAGATGCTCTTGCCCCGCGACCTGTCGAAGCACCGCAAATACAGCAACAACGACCGCAACCGCCACAGCGCCATCCAAGCATAGGCTTCCCAGACCAATTCGTGCGGTGAGCACTTGTTGTGACTGCCTCTTGAAGTGAACCCATGCTGAGAGTCTGAATTAGCCAACAAGCGCCATCCGCTCTCCAGAACAACACTTTACTCGATGCATATTTTACACGAATACACAGCAAGCCATATTACATTCTCGATGAAGCTGCGACCCGCCAGAGATGGCAGACTGGACAGTTGCCTCCGACCGTCATCAATGCCATCCACGCCGTTACTGCTCGGTGCGTTTGAGCTTCTCTTGGTATCTGCTCGGAACACTTCATCTAACAGCGCGTAGATTTGCACCGCAACATCTTGGTGGTCACAATGCTGCAGTCCGTCACAGCGAAGAATGTGCAGTGCGGGCACGGAATTTGTTAGACATCGATGACCCTACCATTGAGAATGTACAAGTTCTGCTATTGCTTTCAAACGCCTTCTTCCAGGCCGGCAAGGGCAAAAAGTCATACATGCTTCTTAGTCAGTACCCGCCTTGACATCTTGACAAGACCACGACTTGCTGACCACTCCCAAAGCCAGTGCCATAAGTATGGCATACGCACTCAACTTGCACCGAGAGTTACCTGCTGGTCTTCGCATTTCGCCGAACGAACGAGAGGGCCGTCGCAAACTATTCTGGACATGCTACATCATGGACCGCTTCCTTGCCTCCGGATCCAAGCGACCGTCTCTAATCGCCGACGAAGCTATCTTCTTGCGGCTGCCTGGCTGGCAATCTGATTCTACCTCCATACCATACGAAGGCAATTTCTTCTCTAACGGAATCAACCTACCCATGTCTGCAGGACCGGGAAGACTGCATCAAAGCGGAGGATCCATGTTGATCGAGATCTCGCGGATACTGGGCATCACAAATCGCTATCTGGCCGCAGGCGGCGTGAAAGGCGACTCACACTTCCCCTGGCATGCCCAGTCAAATTTGTCCAAGATCCGACAAGACCTCGACACTTGGGCTTCGGGAGCACAAGACGCGTTTATGTCGATTGAAGCATTGTTCGGACAGACTGAGAGCCAAACACTGGTCTTGAGTAAGCTGGTATACCATCTCATTCATTGTTTGATTTACCGACCTTTCTTACCTATCGACTTGACCGAGCTCTCTGGCACCGGACAACATCAATCTTGGCAGATTGAAGCGACAAACCTCTGCTTCTTGCACGCGAACGCCATCTCAGAGCTGACTGAGATTGGCAAGCATTCGTCCATAACTGACTGGCCAGCTTATGTCGGATACTGTCTCTGCACTGCCGGTACCATTCATGTCCATGGCGCACATTATCCCAGCCGAGAAGGGGATGTCTTCACCCGAAGTGCCGAATTCCTGTCGAAAGAGATGTCCCAGCTGTCGGATATGCGCATCATCTGGGCTGGAGTGCAACATCAGAGAGAAACTCTGCAGACAGTTTACGGATGCCATTCTCAGCTTGTGAAGTCGCTAGCAAGCAATCCCATGCGATTCTCACCCGTTTTCCAGATGGAGGACTTCTTCGATCGATACCCTGGACAATGCATTGACGGGGCACACACAACCTTCACCGATGTTACTGTGGAAGCACTGCATGAGAGCCTACCAGCCTACAATGGGTTCAACAACAGCAACAACAACAACAGCAACAACAACAGCAATGGCTGGCAGTGGACATCACAGCCTCAAAACGGACCTTCCATTTCTTCTTCCACCACGGCAACGAGCAAATCGTCCGCTAATTTAAACAATGATCTTCATGTCTCTACAGCGAGTCGCAAGCGCCGCCGCACAAACGATGCCAAGAGCCCTCCAGACCTACCAGCTGTGATTCACGACCCAGCCCTCAACCCTCTATCTCCAGAGTTTACAAACCCCTTGACTTCACCAATCGCCACTGCTCTCCCACCTCACACCACAGCGGCAGAAGAAAACCAGACATTTACTCAGAATCCGCTTTCGCCATCGTTCTCCTTCTCACCCTGGCAATCACATCTTTCCCTTCCAATGGATCCAGATCTTAGATATCCAGCGCAGTTCGACAATTTGTTCAGTATTCCGGGACAGAATACGCACTCCAATGCTATGTTCGACCAGCAGACACCAGGAGGGCTTTCTGCGAATGGCAGTGTGAATACAGAAGGAGACAAAGATCCGTTCATGAGTCTGTTAGAGCAGTTGGCTGAGAATGAACAGACTGGTCATGGGGGTCCGAGCGATCTGGACTTTTTCTTGTCTTCGAATGGCGGACCGGGATGATCTCTTCTCATCTAGAACGATCTCGAAGAACTACATGGGTTGCAATATGTACAGTAGCTTTGATGTTTTTTTTTGCTTTCAAGTGGCGCAAATTGGGCTATGATTTGAGGATACATCAACGTCCTTTACGAAACACAGCGAAGAGCAAGTACATACAATGTGTCATTTTCTATATATGTATAAAACTAGTTTCTTTTTTCCCAAACACGTCCACCATCCTTGACCAGACAGCATCTTGACTCCAGAAACTCCTCGCTATGCTCCTATACGTTTACCAAAATTCAAGCAGAACCTTGTGTCAAGCCGGCTTCTCCCAGACCCTTCTAGAGTAAAAAGATTGATCCTTAATGGTCTCAGGCATATGCTTTTGACTGCATGTACACATCAACGACCTCTTCATCCCCTTCCTTGTGATCAATCGTCGACAAATCCACCGCTGTATCTTTAAGATTCTGCTTAAAGCATCTACCGGGATGAAAAACATTGAGCAACACCGCAGCCACAGAAACCATACTAAAGTATCATCTCGAATCAGCAAAAGGGCTTCCAATCAACAGAATAGGAGGCGGGAGAGATAAAGAAGGAAACGACTCACACAGAATCCAACACCACAAACTCTGCTTCCCTTCTCATGATAGGCGAACCCCAACCATCCTTGAGTTCAGCGATACGATAAGCACATCTTATAAAAACAAGCGTGAATGCCACAACCGCAGCTCCCACAAACGTGTGGAAACTTGATGCTTGCCACAAATGTCCGGCCGCAGGTGTGAATTTATCTTTGTTTCCAGCACACCTTACAAAGAATATCGCCGCGAGGATGGCAAAGATGAACAGAGTGATTACTTGGCTGCTGAGTCCTGCTATCATTACATCAACGCCTAGGTCGAGTAACTTTTTGTTTGTGCCGTTCGCTGCTGCGGCTGAGAGGGCGCCGCCGGCGCCTTGGAGGATGATGGCTAGGATATCGCAGGAGACGAAGATGGGGGTGTAGAAGGAGGGTTTTAGGGGCGAGAGACGAGGTTGGAGGGAAAGTGTTATTTGTTTGAGTAGCAGGTAGATGCCTGCGGTGAGGAAAGCAGGTGCGAAGGTTAGGAGGACGATGTTGAGTTTGAAGCCAGTGGGGGAAAATGGATCGTTGGAGAGGATGAGTCTGCTCGCGTAGCCTGTTGCCGTCGTCAGTTGTGTTCCACTCTTTCTTTCGCTTCGAGAGTAGCAGGCATAATAAACTCACCTATGCTCTCCAAAGCCGTTCCTAGTACCATCGCGATGGAGAATCCAAGCCATTTACGGTATAAGCGTGCTTGGTAGCAAAAGAGCAGACAACTGATGGCGAAAAGAGCGACGAAAAAGGCGTTCGCGCCTAGATTTGGTGCGTAGCCATATATGGAGTAGGAGGCTGGACATGTGTCTTTTGTGCATTGTGATGGTCGGGTGGTGGCTTCTCGGATGAGAAGTCCTGGCAGGTGTGACATTGTAGGCGGTTGGAAGCCTTTTGGGGGCCTTTGGTGGAAGGCAGGGTCAGGAGAGTCGATTGTATACAGTCGTGGTCGCTGAGGATGACAGAAAATGCCGTTCCAAGAAGAGTTGATAGGTACCAGATAGTGGTGGTTGGCGCAATCGAAAAGCATACACCTATAGATCTTTTCTTCGACCTCAGTACAGCTAGTGTCGAAACCTTCCAAAAGTCAAAGAGAGACCATGTGCAAGGGTTACCTATTGTCTATATTACTTACGCCTATGTTCGAGGAGAGCACAACGGCAGATCAAAGCACACTATGCCGCGCAGGCGGAACGATATACGCGGTATGGTCAGGGCAGGACATGGCATTTCCCCATGTTGCACCTGATGGTCATCATCTTCTTTCCTACACTTTCCGAGCCCCGAAGGCTGCCTATCGAGGGCCGAGATCACAAGAGAGCCGGACATTGCACTGACTGACAGCTGGTTGCGACTGCGTAGTCGCTGTAAACGAGATGAGCGAGACCCGCAGACGAAGCGCTAATAGATAAAGTCGTCGTAAGGCTGAAACTTGCGGCTGATTCTTGCCGAGCTGATTGAGAAGCCGGAACTAGCATTAATTCGGCATACCTAGCGACTGGTCGGCTCTAGACATTAAACATTGCTGTACAATATCATTGTGTAGATATAGGGGAACAGAGATGAGCGCGGGATCGGGATATATTGAGGTTATACAAGAATTCAATCAAAATAGCATAAGCCTTCCTTTTTGTCGTAGCACCATCATCTCTTCTAATATTGTCAGTACGCCGTACACCACATATTTTGCGTCAAAATCGCCGTCGAAGATCAAATCTAGTTCTTGGTCTCGACATTGATGGTCTGCTGCTCTTCTCTTGCTTGCTCATCGGCTTTACGAGCGGCTTGTACCGAAATGACGTTGGGCAGAGGAGGAAGCAGCGAACGGGTGGCCTGGCGGGCGTTCTGGGCCATGAGAGCGTCCATGATGACAAGAGCAGCCATGGCCTCAACAATGGGAATGGCACGGGGAACAACGCAGGGGTCGTGACGGCCCTTTGCCTCGAGAGTGCCCTCGGTCTCGTTGTAGGTGGCGGTTGCCTGCGACTGGCCAATGGTGGCAGCGGGCTTGAAGCCGACAGTGAAGTAGATGTGAGCACCGTTGGTGATGCCGCCCTGGATACCGCCAGAGTTGTTGGTCTTTGTGGTCAGACGAGGACGAGGGATACCGGCCTTAGCAGCACCCGAAGCGGCAGCTGAGCCCTTGGGAGCAGGAGCAACAATGAAGGGGTCGTTGTGAATGCTTCCAGGAACTCTTGTACCGCCGAAACCAGAGCCAATCTCGAAGCCTTTTGTGGCAGGAATGCTCAACATGGCGTGGGCCAGCTTGGCCTCCATCTTGTCGAAGCAGGGCTCGCCCAGACCAGAAGGTACGTTACGGATAACGCAAGTGACGTTACCACCGATGCTGTCCTCCTTTTCCTTGTACTTTGCGATCAAGTCGGCCATGCGGTCGTTGGCAGCTTCTTCGGGGCAACGGACGGGAAGGAATTCGTCGACCTTCTCACGGGTGATCTCGTCAATCAGCTTGAGGAACTCGGGGTTGGTCGAAGGGGTGGGGTGGTCTGCGGTGGCAGGGTAGAGCTGCTCGTGGCCGACCGAAGAGGTAAAGGCAACAATCTCGATGCCGTGGGCGAGGGTGAGGTACTTTTCGGCGATGGCGCCGGCAGCGACACGGCCTGGGTATTGTCAGCAGGTTGCTCTTGGGTATACAGTGAAAAGAGAGTGAGTAGGACGGACCGATGGTCTCGCGAGCACTGCTTCTGCCACCTCCACTGCTGGCCTTGACACCATACTTCTCCAGGTAGGTCCAGTCGGCGTGACTGGGGCGAGGGTACAAGTCCATGGTGCTGTTGCCGTAGTCCTTGGGTCTCTGGTTCTCGTTCATGACGCGCATGCCAATGGGGGTGCCCAGGGTGACGCCAAACTCGGTGCCCGACTGGATCTCGACCTTGTCTTTCTCATTGCGCGGTGTGGTGATGGCGCTCTGTCCCGGTCTGCGTCTGGTCATCTGAGGCTGGATGTCGGCCTCTGTGAGCTCCATGCCTGGCGGCACTCCGTCGACGATGCATCCGACACTGAGGCAGTGCGACTCGCCATAGCTGTGTAGAAATGGGTTAGTTGGAGGGGTCGGAGAAGTATGACATGACGGGGGGTCGCGTACGTTGTGACTCTGAAATGCGATCCGAATGTCGACATGATGTGTGTTTGCGAGAGAGAATATCAACAGTTCAGGAAAGCAAAGCGACAAGGCAAGAGCGAATGGTCAACGGGCAATGGCTCGTCATTCGTTGTTGCTCATGCCTCGAAAAAGTCCAGCCCGCGATCGGCGCTTGTCCGCGACTTGTCTCCCGCATCGCTCTTTCCCTCCTCCAACGTCACAGTATCCACTTCATCAAACATCGACCATCGAATATTCAAAGTCGCCTGCTTCTGCCATGTTGGCTCCCAGATCGCATATTCCCGTCCACTGATTTAACGCTCGTCGTTCTTTCACGCATCTGTCTGAAGCCTCATGCCATGTATTGATTCGCTTCGATTTCTTGAACCATCTGATCTACCGCCTTAGCCTTTGTTTGCAGATTCGTTGACCACACCTCGTCAATATAGAACCTCGGACATGGCCTCGTCACCAGAGCACGTCCGAGTTGAGTCCCTGAACCTTCCGTCTCCTACACGTCAACTCTGTTTCTTCTCCACTGGCTGTCTCGCAGGCTTTGCCAGTCTTCCAATGGCTTTTCTACCCAAGGTCCCCTCTCTCATGACCGCCACTCCCCCGGTACTCCGTGCTGGTGTTAGATTCTGGACCTTTGATCAAACTCGCCACCTTCTGGCACCATTCCACCTCCCTGTGTCGTTGACCGGTGGGCTAGGAGGTGCAGCAGGGGGCTTTAACGAGGTTCTCCTACACTCTCTGGTTCAGTCGAGGAAGCTGCCTGCTGCGGCCGCTCTAGGTGCTCAGACATTGCGTCTCTTTCTTTGCTTTGGCACCTTTACCTTCTTAAGCACTACCTTCAGCGACATTCTGCCACCAAAGCCATTCTGGAAGTGCTGGCTGATGGGGGCTACTGCTGGTGCTACGGGTAGTACTGTTGTCGCCGCTCTGGAAGGTGCAAGAGGTAAAGCCTTGTGGGGCCATGCGATTCCAAGAGGTGCAGCAACTATTGGTACCGTGATTGCAGTTCATGTCACCAGCTGTGCTGCTTTGCTTGACAATGTAGATGCTGGTGACTGATTGGTTCCCACCTGTGATGGTATCTGCTCTCTCGTAGTCGCTGTCTTCGATGGATCTTTGCTTCTGAGCCTAAACCTCCATCTCGATGTTGCCAACGCGCATGTCAACACGACTGCCCAGAATTCCGCAGACAGCCGGCAGCAGACAACTCTCGCGCTCACATATGAACGTAAAGTCAACCACAAGTGACCGACGAAAGCCGCGATCGGGCTGAACGAGGTGGGTGATGGAGTGTCCACAATCGGATGATAGGGCGTTGCGGATGCAAGGCCTCTGCCGTGGAAGAGTTGTTCAAGCGCGACGACGGGCCCACCTGAAGATTAAGAGCGAGTAAGACGACTGGGATCCAAGTGGAAGGGTCGGAAAATGCTCATGCTATTCCGCGCGCGAAGGGAGATCGTTGCTGAGTCCCCACTTGTCATGCTGAGGAAAGGCATGTGTGCGCAGAGAGGGAGAGCGCAGCCATCCATCAGATCACATGCGTCTTTGTGTTGTCAATGGGGCCAATATCAAAACATTCAGGGGCACATCCAAACACCTTCACTTCACTTCTCCCTTGTCGTCACTTCAATGTCACCAGCTACCCATATATACCATGCCGGCGCCTCCCTCCCACCAACCAAGTTGGTGCCAATCCGGCAAAGTCATCATCACCGCACCCCAAAGGTCTTGGGTTCAATCCCCAGCAAGACCAAAAAGACAGAAAAAAATGATCTGAAGGGCAGAGCTAGAAAGAAATGAAAGACAGAGAAAAAAAAAAAGTGAAAGAGTCAAAAAAAAAAAGCGGAAAAGCCGTCCTGAAAGCAAGACAGAAAAATAACCAAAGCAAACTGAAAAGTTTCTTCCGCCGACCACGGTGTTTCTTTTGCTTCTTGGTGGAGGATATAGGACTTGCCTTGTACAAGATCTGGCAATCACGCTCAGATACTGAGTCTCCATTCATAAGGACTCTTCGGGCTTGGATTGCCTTGATCTTGTTCAATGACACACAACAAAGCGAGCTCAGACAAGGATCACGATTTCAGAAAGTCTGGGTCTCTTCTTCGAGCCAACAGTGTCTGGAGCAGACGTCACTAGAAATGCAACAACCTCGATCACACTGTTGCGTAAGTCCCACAGGTTCTCTAGAGGCAAGTTGACTTCGCTCTGCCCAATTTTATCACTAAACCACTGCGACTGGGGAAATAGCCATCACGTGATACTCTGTCTCACAGCTCTTTCGTTCATGATTTGCTGTGTATCATTGCAAGACAGACGATCGTCCAATGTGCCACCCTGTCTCCAACTCTCAAGCGTGCAATCACAACCAATATTGTGATCAGGGATCACGAAAGACAATCCCGAGAGTAGCGGAAACATGGACGACAAGCTACAGTAGGCGTCGAGATACGAGAGCAAAAGAATTGGGTATCTGATACAAGTAAAAACACCACGAAAGCTAAAAACACCCCATACCACGTCTCGAAAGAAGAGACGAAAACAGGAACCAGAAAGCCAAGGGTAAAGAGATCCGAGAGAGCAACAAATCCGCATTGGAGCCATCCGTCGAAGGGGAATGTATGCATCGAACAAGAGGGAAGCCCTCACACAGCAGCATTAGACGTCCTCCTACTCAACGAAGCATTGGAAGCCCTCCTTCCACTACCAACACTACTCACACTAGCCGCTCTAGCGAGCCCAGCCCTCTCCTCGTAGATCCGCTTAAGATCATCCACCGAACTCTTCCTCAATCCGCTCTTTTCAACAACAGGAAGACTTCTACCATACTCTCCTTGGTGAGCAGTGCCAGAAGTTTTGTGCACGGATTCAATAGATGCCATGCGCTTCAGCAGTCCCGGCGACGGCGTTCTAGCAAAAGTGGGAGGAGCAGGAGCAGCTGGAGCAGGATTGGAAATGGAAGCTTGGCGGGAGGGTGCGCGTGAAGAAGCTGCCCAGGTGGGCTTGACAAAAGTGATGTCGTTGTCGCGTTTTGGTGGTGAGGGCACTCGTGCGGATACAGAGCGGTGAGGTGGCACAGAAGGTGCTTCGTTGCTTGTTGTCGAGCCCGGAGATGCGGTGGATGAGACCGGTTTTCGTTTTGCAATATCGGTGGCTAGTGAGTTTCTCAATTCTTTCATGAGGTCGTTCTGGGCGGGAGGTGCTGGTTGAGGTGGACTAGGCTTGCTAGGGACGTTAGGAGGAGATTCGGTATATGGCAATGCATTTCTGACGTCCGTGAAGTCATTCAAGGTACTCGACTGGCTAGAGTATGACTGTGAGACGGAGCGGCTGGGGAAAGTTGCATGAGGTGGTGGCGCGACGCCTATTGGTGCGGGTTTGCGTTTGACGGGAGAAGCCAGACTATCAGTTCTCGCAGGAAACGCCGAATTGGACTCCTCAGGCTGCCTCATTTTCACCATTGGTCGAGGTGGAAGAGGTGGACTAGCAGATTCATCGTCCTGCAGATGGATTCTGTGGAATCGCTCTCCAGAATCATGTGAAGATGTATCTCTGTAGTTCTCCTGCAGCGGGTCCTCGTAGTCTTGAGCAGCCGGTGGTGGTCGTAGTGCAGCAGCAAAGGAGTCTGGAGCAGTCTGACAAGCGTCTCTCAAGCCATGTGGCCAGTGTTCGACTGCAGCTTCTAGTATACGGCGAACAATGGAAGTCATCTTCGCATCAGCCAATTGATCCGAGCCGCATACAAGAGCCGGGGAGAAGCAGATTGCTAGGTTGTCAGGCGTCATCTTGTTGATTTTCTGGTGACTTGTAACAAGAGAGAGCAGGGGGAAGAGATGAAGTATTAGGATTAGTCTTGCTGATTGTGATAGACATGAGGCGCTCGATGTTGGAGATAGCATCTCGACCAGATCATCCAACTCAATGTCGGTCTGAGAGTCTCCAAACTTGTATCTCAGCTCATCATAGCAGGTCTCGTGGAATATGGGTGTTTTCAGTTCCCGATACCAAAGCTTGATCAGGCCAGCGGCCAGGTGGACACCATAAGCATCAGTCTGCTGGATGTGTCTGAGAGTGTGGTGGTCCAGATCAGGCTGGGAGTAAGTGATTCCACCCTCTTTCCAGACGATGAACTGTTGACCGCGGTCATAGGCCTCCCTCAAAATGCCAACAAAGATGGATTGAGGAGGTATGCGGAAGATGCCTTCTGTCTTTATGTTTTCACTTTGGCACAAGAAAGTGGTTGTTTCTCTCAGCACACGAGGCAGACGTCTCTGGCCGTATAGGTTGCGGGGCATGGGATCGTTGGCGCCAAAAGCTCTGCGACCACTGACGTATGGCGAATGGACGTCGGGCGAGAGGCGGCGATCGTGAAGGTAGACGCTCGGCGGGATGAGCAGCTTCTCGATGGGAATGTGCAGAGCCAGAGAGGTGAGGGTGGAGACGTGGACAATCTTCTTGCGGAACTTTGGCGAGACCATGGTGCCAAAGACCTCGATGAGGACGCGCACCCAGCTACGTTCGTGGACGACATAGAGTTTCTGCAGTCTCTTGCGGACTGCCCTGCTCAGGACGTGGTATGCCTGCAGGTACCATCCCATGCCGGGGCCAGTCTTCTTGTCGGACGTGGCGCTCTCGGCTTGACCACCGGCGAAGAAGACAATCTCATATTCTTCGCCTGCAATCAGCTCTTCCTCTCCTGGGAGTCTGGCGAGTACGTAGGGTAGAAGGGCATCGTAGTCGACTTGGAAGGCATCGGGGAAGGCGGCGGCATTGAGGATGTAGACGGGTAGGCCGGATTCGGAAGTCAAGGGCGAGCGATAGAGGATTGAGGCGGCAGTGTCGGCGTAGTCGTTGATGTATTCGGAAGAGAATCGCGGCGGTGGGACTGCACTCAGCGAAGTGCTTCGGAGTCGAGTCGCTCCTCGCGCAAAGGCCCTCATGCTGAAACAGACGGGCCGCCCTGTCTTGGTTCAGAGACGACTTGATTCTTTCAATGCAAAGAGATGTTTGTATATGATCGAGGGAAACAAGAGACGCTTGCAGTAGAACAAGGAGAATCCAAGTGTCGAGTGATGGACAGGGTGCAGGGCTGGTTACGTATGTATGCAAGCAGCTCTTTGCGTGTCGAGTCGCAGCGCCTCGCACCCGCCGAGTCAACAAAGTCGTAGCCTGTTATTCTCACTTTGTCAGTGGCATGCGTGTCACCCTGACATGTCCCGAGATGACTGGTCCACGGCCACGCTGAATCGATTCGACTGGATATCACAAGAATGACTTGACTTTTCTTTGTTTGCGGCCCGTCAACACAGAAACACAGACTCAGGGTCTCCATGCCGTGCCAGCCCGCAGTGGGTGGGGTTCATGGTTAAATCAACACCAACGAACCACCAACGCTCTTTGTTCATGCCGCATAAAGCCTTCGCCAACACTGTGAACAAGTCATGAACCTCGTCTACGGAACATAGCTCGGGTCCCGGAAACTCTTTAACATCTCAGCAGCCGTGTTGCTCAGCTTTGTCTGTCTGTAGGCGTCTTCTGCTGGGAACGAGAGGGAGGGCGTTATCGATTGCTAGTTATCGCTATCCCTTGCTTGTTAGACATCTTCCCATTTTGATCTTGCAAGAATCTGCTCATCTCAAGACCCGAACTTGAATGTCATCGATGATTTGTGATGGCCATCAGGGTTGCAGTTAATTGCCATTACCAAATGTAAAAGGTCTGGAACACGGAAGCCGTCCCGCCTGCTCCGGCTCTGAGCCGTCGTCGAGAAGATGATTACCTCTCGACGTCTCGCGCCCTAAATCACGCCTTCCACATGTCAATTCATTCTTTTCGTCCAGCCATTGCAAAAACTTATCAACCTTTGTATTCATTCACACCATGTCTCGTATCTCATAATCACAACTTTGCAGCCGTCTCGCCGGCGCTCTTGCTTTCCTCTTTCTCCGCTTCAACCACTCTGGCTTCTGCTTTCTCGCCGACACCGGACCCGCCCATCTTGGAGACAACACCTTTGACCACATCGAGAGTTGCTGCTGGTCCTCCAGGCTCAGCTGCCAGAACCTCGCCATCCTTCTTGACGACGAACACTCCACGTGTGGTTCCCTTGGGTGCCTTCTTCAATCCAATCGCTTCAATGAGCGAAGCTGAAGGGTCACAGAGTAGAGGGTACGGGAGCTTCTGCTTTTCCTTGAAAGTCGTGTTGGCCTTTGGTGAATCGGTGCTCAGGCCGTAGATGCTGAGCCCGGCTTCTGTCAATGGTTCATACGAGTCTCTGAAAAGGCAAACTTGGGTTGTGCCTTGGAGTCACCATGTCAGCAACTAGCGACTTCAGGCAGAGAGCAAATCAGAGAAGAGACAGTGTCTCGACGAAAGCAAAGTAACTCACAACCAGGCGTGCTCGCTTTGGGGTATGTGAAGAGCACGACGCCTTCCTTGCTCTCGTCGACCAGCGACTTGAGCGTAACCTTACGACCGTCATTGGTCTCGACTTCACCACCAAAGCCTTCAAAGTCAATCTTATTCCCAGATTTGGGTGTTCCAGAGGCAGCCTTGGTTTCCGGCTGAGGCGCGGCTACGGGTGCAGCACTCGGCTCAGGCGCAGCTGGTTCAGCAACAGGCTCGGACTTTCCGTTCGCTTTGGCGGCCTTGGTCTTGCGCTCCTTCTTTGGTGCTGGCGCCGGAGCAGGAGGAGGAGTCTTGCGCTTGCGAAGTTCGACCATGGTCGCGGAGAGCAGTCGATTGGGGAAACGAGATATGGGTCCGCGACGGACGACGAGATCGATCAGTGAGTCTACGCGTTAAACGGTGCTAACGACAGAGTGCTGGCAATCTTGTTTGTCAGCAAGAAGCTCAAGAGAAGCTCGAGGAACGAGCTCTGAAGCAGTTTACGCGCCAGCTTTGGAGAGCTTCGCGAAACCCCGCCTTCGGCAATGTTGACCGACCTTGGTTTTTGCAGGAGGCTTCCATACCGAATCCCCGAACTGCTCACTTCGAACACTCCGAATACTTACTCCGACCGCCGACCGGCATTTTTCTGCACTCCAGAGCAGAACTTCAGGCCATGGAATAATCTCCGGTGTTTCTTCTCGCCTTCGAATTCTGACTGCCGCGACGCGAGATCGGACTTCACTTTTGCTTTGGCGTCTTGGCTAGAAATGCCTCCAACTCGAGTCTGGGACGCGAAACATCGTCATGACTCGAATAAAGATGCCTGCTTTCTTCAAAAAGACCTCTCACCAGCATCAGTCCTGATGGCTGGAGAAGTTCGCAATACCTATGGCATCATACTGCTCGGTATTTATTACCTAGACGTCGCTGCTTTTTTGATGTTCGCTCTTGCCACTCGGCTGTCACAAACTCGAGATCCACCTCGCGACGCCCATGCCAATTTTTTGACACTTACAACAACAAAGGCAAGTCTATCCAGGTAGGTCCTTTCTATTGTTTTCGTCGGCTACGCAAAACCACCTCTTGCGTCTGCGTTTCTCATCTCCTTCTGGCCCCTTAAGCCCCTTCCAACCTCGACATTCTGGTGGTCCAACTTGCATGGCCTCTGAAGCTTGGACCATATTCTCCATCAAACGCTTGACTAACCCGCAATTTTTTGATAATATTCAAGTAATAGAAACTCGATGTTTCGGTGTCTTTGAGTCCAGAGCACGAGACTTTTTACAAACACGTCGGCCATGCGTTCCGAGATCGCTGCTTGACGTCTCGCTCATTCGGACTCATAGCTCTGCTGACCTAGTTTTTATACTTCCGTCATCTGCCTTCTAACCATCTTTCCTGTTTCCTTACTTTCTTCACCTACAATCAATCTCGCTCCCTCTACCAGTTCCGGGACACTTCGGTTCATCGTCTTCCTGAAGACCGACTTCCATCGCAAAGCCTCCAACCCTGATTCATCGCCACCATGGCATTGGAAGAAGAGAAAAGAGGCGGATACACCGCTGGCAGCGTCAGCTCATCATCAAATACAGACTTGGAACAAGCTCCGCCGCCGCGACCTGTTCAAGAGAAGGCCACGATTCCCGAGGGAGATGAGACTATGACGTTGGACAGCAGGAGAGAGGGCCTGATGGTCAACCCTTTTGAAAACGATGCCAACGGCGAGACCGAATACAGGACGTTAACGTGGCTCAATGCTGGCTTCCTCCTTGTTGCTGAGACCATCTCGTTGGGTATCCTCTCCCTTCCTGCTGTCGTTGCCAGCATGGGTTTCGTCCCCGGTGTCATCCTGATCATCTTCTTTGGCGCTCTCACAACATACACTGGATACGTCACCTACCAAGTCAAGATTCACGCGATGGGCGTGCACAACTTTGCTGACGCCGGTTTATTCTTCTTTGGAAGATGGGCAAAGGAGGTTTCTGAGGCTGCTCAGATCATTCTCCTGGTCTTCATCATGTCCGCTCACGTCTTGACATTCTCCATCATGATGAACGTTCTGACCAATCACGGCACCTGCACTATCGTTTTCACCGTCGTTGGTATGGTTGTGTCGATGATCCTCTGTATCCCGCGAACCATGAAGAATGTTGCGCTCATGTCAGTCGCTTCTTGCTTGTCAATCGCGACCGCCATCTTCATCGCCATGATTGGCATCGGAGTCGACCCTCCCGCTGGTGCTCACGCTTATGCCGTCACCCCTTCGAGCCAGACTTCTTTCCGCACTGGTGTCGTGGCCGTTGCCAACATCCTCGTCTCTTTCTGCTCCAACATCGCCTACTTCGGTTTCATCTCCGAGATGAAGAAACCCAGAGACTTCCCCAAGGCTTTGGCCATGCTACAGATCAGCACCTGCTCTCTTTACCTCATCGTTGCCGTTGTCATTTACCGTTTCGCCGGCACTGATGTCAAGTCCCCCGCCATTGGCTCCGCCAGCCCCGTCGTCCGCAAAGTCGCCTACGGCATCGCCATCCCCACTATTGTCGTCGCTGGAGTCATTTACGCACACGTGGCCACCAAGAATGTATACGTCCGCATTTGGCGCAAGACCAACGTCATGAACGAGAAGAGTTTCCGCTCGCTTGGCAGCTGGTACGGACTCACCATCATCCTCTGGGTTGTCGCTTGGGTCATTGCAAACGCCATTCCCGTCTTCAGCCAACTTCTTGGTCTTCTTGGCGCTCTGTTCTGCACTTGGTTCTCGATGATTTTGCCCGCTGCTTGGTGGATTATGATGAACAAGAAGCAGCTCACTGCCAACTGGAAGAAGATCACTTTAACCATCATCAATATTGCCATTGCACTCATTGGTCTCGCCCTTTGCGGTTTGGGCGTTTGGGGTGCTGCCGTTGACATCTCGGAGAACTCTGGCAGTGCTAGCGCTTTCTCTTGCGGCGACAACTCATAGGTCGTTTGGAAGAGTTGTGTTCATTGTAAAAAGCATTTGTCCTTATCAGCATGGCGTTTTTGGGGGGGAAAAAAGCAGATTTCGCATTCGAAGCAAGCATAGAAGCTACGTGTAATGTTTTTACAAGCATTGGAAGAAGAGGGAAAAGCATTATACGCATCAGACCTGCGTTCTCAGAAAAGCAAGGTCCTACAGAATAAAACACCTTCACTCTATACCACTTCCGCTTGACCTTTCGCATACTTGCCACATCTTCAGCTTCGTCACTTCGTTCATGCTTTAGCCTCTTTGACTCTTTTACCTTTGCTTTTACCTCTTCCATTTAATGCCCCTAGTTCCAAAAAAGTAAATACCAGCGTGGGCTAGATTATAGATGCTAAAGAAGGTTAATTTGGCTTAGTAAGTAATATATGCAAATGTGAGTTATATGCATATTAAGGAATATAACTACTATAACACTAGGAAGGAAACCCAGCCACTTTTGACAACATGATACTTTGCAAGACATGAATACGCATAGTCATATAGACTCGTCAATGTGAACATTTCCTTTTACAGTTTCAGACGAAAGTAAGCAGTTTCTGTTATCGTTGTCTAGCTGTGGTGGCATCTTTAGATCACCTTCTTCTTCTGTTTTTGAGTTTGTCAACTCCTGTTTCACAAGGGTGTTGCTTCTGTGTTTGTACAAAGTTTGCTTTCTATCTTCCATCGTTTGTTTGCCCAATGGTTGCATGCTTTGCCTTTTAATCTTACATTGTTGTTTTCTAGTATACATTGTTCACTCTTCCGTCTACCATCATTCCATCATGGTTTTTAGATTTACAATCGCTGCTTCCTTCTTATGTTTTTTTGTTTGTTGTTGTTGTTGTTTCTGACTGCACCGTTTTCCTTTTATTTGCTGCTTGCCGCATCACTGGCATTGGTTACCCTTTCTATCCCAATCGCTTCTCCATCATTTGTATGTATAGGAGGGGGTTTTCGATGCTTTACCAAATCCTATCGCTTGTTGTACACCCCCTGTGTTTCTGTTTTCTCCGCTTATTAGACACATTCCATCCCCCTTCCGACATCAAATTGCTCACACATATCGCTCACATCTGTCGAAACTTTGCTTCTACAACAGACTTTTGTCCAATTTCCCAATAATTACTTGGTTTTCTTCGTAAAAAGATTGGGTTGAAATAATCGTTTGCTTCAACCCCCCTGCTTTCTACTTGCAGCGATCCAAAAACACAGAACCAAGAATTCAGGGGCGCTGCAATAAGGTAGACATACATGAATTCTAACGACCTTAGGGATTTTCAGGCAAAAGTGACATGATAGCAAACAGACATCAAGAGTCGAAGAAGCAAACAGCAATATCGTAGACTGGTATTCATTACTACAACTGACCGATGAGGGGGAAAAAAAAAGACTGGAAAAGAAATAGAATGGAAACATGTGGTATCAATCTTCGTGAGTTGTCGATTCAAAGCACGCCCAAGTCAACGCCATCATTGTGCTCTTGTACACACCTCATACACTCCGAATGAAAGTAGCTTGGAAGGGATTGTGCTGTTGACCTCCAATTCCCTTCAAGTCCAAAGAAGCAAGAAAAGCAAAAGACAGAGATTGTAAAGAAATATTGCAGACGAAAGAAAGCAAGGAAAGAAAGGTGACTCTTCACAAGACGGGAGGTATTCGGCCAGCTCAAGCATCGCCGGCACCACTGACCTCCCTAGCAATTTGCTCATACCAAATTGCATGAGATGCCCAATCGACCTCGGCTACCTTCCTCAGCAACTCGACCATCTCACCAACATGCGTGACAAACTCAGGCAAGCCAGCCGTCGCCAATGCCTCAGACGCACCACTTGCAGCTCGAACCCGCTCACCCGAAGTCTTTGCCACGACGCGGGAGAAGACATGGCTCCGGAGTCTAGACCCCAAAACTTTGGCAACGGGGTCGGTGAAGCGTTGGGTGGAGGCTTGGGTGATGACGCGAGAGACTGCTGATTGCAATGCGGTCTTGGTGGAGGGTGGGAGGTTGTGTGCGTTCTCGACTACGCTGAAGGCGTCAGAGGACAGGTTTGCGAGGTCCTCCTCCGAAGTAGTTTCGGAAGGTGGATCCTTGCTGAGGAGATCCCAGAGACGAGAAGCCTCGGCTTTCCAAGAACTGCGTACGTCTCGTTTGAGCATGTTCTTAGCCACCAGCAAGATGGCGCCAATCGTAGTCATGTGCAGAGCCTTCTGCTTAATGGTGCACAGACGCTCCACATCGAGGGCAAGAGTCTCGGGCATGTCGTTAACACTTAGAGGACCCTGCCCAAAGGTAGTATCGACCAATGCGCGGGTGTATATCTGATGAGCTGTAGGTCTATCTGCAGGATTGCGAACCTGCTCTGGATCCCTGCGGTCGGCTTCGGTCAACAAGTTTCCGCTCGCGTTGCGCCACCAGCGGCTTGTACAGGCCAGCGTGATTTTTCCAGAGGCGATATCTGCTGCAAACATGCGTGACTCGTATCCAGCAGATTCTCGAATGAGGACGGGTGCCGCATTCATTAACAAGAAGTTGGAATAATCAAGCGAAAGCAAGTCGATAAAGTGCAAGAGGCGGAAGAGCTTCTCAATCATAGCACCCATGTCCTCGCCATCGCTTGACTCGAGATCATCGGCCAGAGCCTTGACTTGCGCATCGCGGAAAGGTGCGCATAATTTGGGCAGGATATTAGCCATGAAAGAGAAGAAACTGGCGTACGAGAAGATGCCTTGCTCGCATTGTCGATAGATTAGATCCGTATCCAGAGCTTCGACAATGAAATTGTGCATAGAGTTGCCGGGTTTCACGATGTGTACGAGCTTGGCTCTGATTTCTTGAGCCATAGCGACTGTCCACGGAGTACCCATACCTTGCTCAACTCCGGCTCGCATGCCATCACAAAGCTCGCGGTTGATCACATCCCGAATGTCCGAACGAGCATTCGGGGAGATGCGGAAATCTTTGTCGATGGCGAGCTCGTGAGTCAAAACACGATTGCTCGGCATAGGCGAGAACAAACGAGCAAGGTTCGTCCTCACGTCGTCTTGTGAATCAGCATCGCTTTGTGCTGACTCTTGTACAAAGTTCTCGGTCACAACAGGTAAAGCTTCTGAGGACTCGGTCACGGAATCTTCAACATCGGCAGCAGCACGAGGACGAACTTCAGCAGGAGTTCTCCTCTTAACGCGTCTCCTTCGGCTCTCACCAATGGCTTTCTTGATAAGGATATCAGCACGGTCAGGGCCGGCCAGCTTTCGGATCTTGCTGAGAAGCATAACCTGATTATCACGAATACCTTGACGGTAGTCTTGGGCAACCGCGCCCTGGGTATCGTCTTTGACTGTCTGCCAGATGGCATCAAGCTCGACGAACGAGGCAACCATGGTCTCGACAAGAGCTGACGAATCCTGGGCTCTCCAGGCATCGAACGCAGAAAGATATGTCGTGTACACCCGGGACAGATCTTGAAGGCTAGAAGAAGGAAACTCAAAGTGATTTGTAGGAGAAAGCAAAGAGATGGCGGATTCAAAAGACTCGACCAACTCGCCAGCTGTGGCCATGAGATGCTGCTCCTGAGCACCATTCTGGCTGAATACGGCTGCTGGATGGACGATGACAAGATAGGCGCTGAGGAAGGTGCGGGTAGGCTGAGGCGATGGAGTGTCCTCGACATCTTGTAGGGCGAGAAGACGAAGGACTCGAGTGGTGGCTTGAATTATGGGTGTCCCTGAGAGCAAAGCACCTACTTCTTCAAAAGAACGTTCGCGAATGCTTTTCAGGCTGAGATTGCATTCTGAGAAGGCCCGTATAATCAATCTCCGTTGTCGCACACGCCACGCTCGTTGTATCCTCAGGACAGCCGTCTCTTGATCCAGCTTTGAGCTCGTGTCGTCGTCCACCTCGGAGACATCATCGAGTTTCTTCTCCAGCTCGCTAGCTCGTCGCGATTTACGAGAGGTCAGATTCCGCTTGTATTCAGCCCTCCTTCTGTCTGCATCTGCCATTCTCTCCTCCATATCCAAGCGAGCCTGTTTCTCTTCCTCGAGCTTCTTGGTCTTGATCTCTTGTGCCTTTTGTTTTGCTCTCTGAACCTCTTCGGCACATGCAGCAGCGACTTTGGCAAGGTGATTTTCGCGAGCCATCTGAGCAGCTAGTGCTCGTTCCTCACTAGCACTGGCATCTCCTCTGGGAGCAGCCTTTGCCATGGCGGCTCGTAGGCGGACCTTTTCGGCATGGGCGGCACGGTCGGCGAGGCGTGCTTTGCGGGCTTCGATGATGGATGCTCTGCGTAGGTGTTGTGCGATGTAGTTGCTCTGACATGACGAAGAGCGGCGTAGCGAGCGGGTCGAGGTGTGTGATTGTATTGACGATAACGAGTTGCGTCGGGACGAAACGGCCGAGGATTTGTATTGGCGAGACTTGGGGTCGCGGTAGAAACGAGCGGCGATGCGAGCCGGTGGTGCGCAGACTTGGCCGGCATCGTCAGACATGATTACCATGGAGGTGGTTTCGATGTCGTCTTCGTCGGCGATGATGGCCTGGTCGTTGTAGTCGGGCAGGTCGCTGCTGATTTGATCGTCGTCGGACATGTTTTCCATAGCCACGTTGGCAGAGTCAAGCGACATGTTGCGAACCAGGCTCATTCTCGAGTCGGCAAGAGACAGAGGACGACGAATGTCGTGATAAGATGGCGATTATAGACCCCTCGGGCGGCCGCTAACTCTTCCCAAAACGACCTTCACCCTTGATGACGTGCGACGAAACCGCTGGACCTTTGCATGTGATCAATAGAAACCTTCTGGTGACTTGTAGCGTTTAGCAATGGCTGCAGGACATGCAAGAACGATAGAGATCATGTTTCAGCAAAGCAGTCATGCGTCCGCTATTACGGGCAATTGCGTCTTGCCCTCCATCCCACTTTCCGTTCTTGTCTCCGCTTCCGCATGCGTAATCCCTCGGCGTCCTTGTTCCAACACCTTCTCTGCACTTCTTACCAATCTTGCACCTCCTTTTGAATCCACTCCACATTGACAATTCATTGCAATTTTCACTAGCTTCAACGACATCATATGTGCTTATAGTCTTGTTGGAATTCTGGTTGGCGAGAGCTACATATGAGCTAAACTACCTCCAAGAATGACTGCGCTTGTCCTTGTATCCGAGAAATCTCAAAGTTAGGCTATAGCCGTCGGTTCGTCACACATGTGACTGATAAAGTAAAAAAAGAAAATGCATCAGCCAGAACCACACAGGTGTGATAACATGGCTGCATGAAAGGCCGCAGCAAGAAGCTGGCCAGCTCTGACGACTCCAAGAATCTCTCACATCCTCTACTCTGCTTTCAGCATCCTTCAGTATGCTCCCTCCTCTTCTCCAACTTTGAAACTTTTTTTCTCCTGCTGTGAAATGTTGCACACATGATGACGAATGAAACTCGTCGCGCCTTCTGAACAGAGGGAGTGGCATGGCGCTGAAAGAACGCACTCAAAAGCAGAACAAATGGCGTCGTCATGTTGCGTCGTAAAAGTCGTGATAAAAACGTATGGTGAATATGTTACATGTGAATAGATCATGCGATGCTGTTGTTGTCATCACAGACCGAGGCCAGTCGGTGTGCGGCCTAGTGTGTTACCTGGTGTTCGCACACTGTTGAAGAACTTGAGGAATGCCGATTTCTTCGAAGACGACTTTTGCTTGATCTTTGCGTACTTGACCATCGGTCCGACGATATCCGAACCTTCAAGTTTGGGGAATTTCAAGGGATCATCTAGAGCTGGCAGATCTGTAAGAGGTGCTGGCTCTGCCAGAGGTTGGAAGACTGGTGTCTCGCCATTTGCAGCTGTTTTGGCAACCACCAGTTCATGGTTTCTCTTCCATTGCGCATCAATCTCGGCCCATTTCTTCTCCGTGTACTTGTACACCTGCGAAGTTGGTCCATAGTGTTCACTCGTACGAGCTGCTTGATGCATGAACTGTCTGCGAGCCGATTCCCAGTCCTCAAAGAGCTTGCGGCAAGCGTGGATGTTGTAAGTTTCTGGCAGATATGGTTCTGGGAAAACGCTAAAGTTGGCATGTCCAAGTTTGGTTGCCCACTTGTCTTGAGGACTGACAATGTGCATTGAAGAGATGTCCGGAGAAGACATGACTTGGCTAGAATGTATTGCGCCCAGTGAAGCGGTAGAAGCATGCGCCGAGAGAGAAGGTGCGACCATGGCCATCTCAGGTAGGACTGGGCTGGAGAGCGATGGACCGATCATGGACAAGCGAGCTACTTGAGCGTTGTCGATGACAGTTGGAGACTGCAATGGTGATTGAATTGCGTCTTCATCAATATGCTCAGGGATAGGGATGGGAAGGAGAGGGGTAGATGCCAGGGCCTTGCGATCAATTGGCTCATGTGCTTGAGGTAACTGGATATCCAGAGGATTGGTAGCTTCGACAGCAAGATTGGCAGGAGTTGGTGTTGGAGTCGACTCGGCTTCGACATCAAGAGGGGTAAGGACTGGGCTGGCTACAGCAGACATACGGAAAGACGGAGCACGTGACGGCACGCGAGAGACCGGAGCACTCTTGGTACTGAGTCGGCGAGTAGCCATGGTAGGAGGAGAGGTTGGCGTTCTATCACGGCGCTTTGAGAAAGATGACAAACGGCTGCCCACACGAGAAGCCAGACCAGTAACGGATGACTCGCTAGAGTTTGCTCTGGACCTAGTCTTGGCCACCTTCAGAGGAGTTTCGCTGTCGCTGTTGAACTCGCTTGGTCCATCTGCGAGAGAGTAATCCAGGTCCAGACTGGGTCGTTCCAATGCGGATGCAGATTGACAGAGACGAGGATCCAATTCAGCTTCGCTCAGATGGTAGATGTCATGGTTAGAATGAGTTTGCTCGAGGCCACATTTGCAGTTGGACTCAAAAGCGGAGTCACAGAGATCAAATCCGTCCTCCCTCTCGTGAGGGTCCTCGACGAGATCGTGAAGAGTTGTCCTCGAGACACGGTTGTTCAGTGATTCGATGCTAGGTTCGTGCTTTGGAGGAGTCGTGGCCAGAGATGAAGAGCTAGAGCTGGAGTGGCGTGCGTGTTCGTGAAATGAAGAAGATTGGGTTAGAGGTGAGTAGTTGTCAGAAGCGTTTGATGAGTTGCGGGAATGCATCGAGTTGGTGGAGTATGGCGAGTCGAGCATTTCGCCAAACGTTGCGGCTGAAGGCGTTTGCGCGACGATCAATTTCGGCAGCATAGATGGTCGCATATTGGCGCGTTGCATGATTCTCTGCCGGATAACTAGGACGACGGCGTCCTGACTATAAAGCGGATGCAAATGGCATAATGGTGTGTCGTGTGAGATGGTTGGAATGCCTAGAATGGGAACCGGGGTGAGGCCAGAGAAAAGGTGCAGAGGAGCCAAGCAGCCACGAGCAGAGGGTGGATGCAGACAGTAAACGCCGGACGTCCGTTGGCTGCACGTCAAACCTGACACTTTGGCGCGCCTACTAGAATGGTTGCTGGAACAGAGGGAGGGTGAAGAGAGAGAGAGAGCAGAGAGGTTGCGGAGGGTGTTCGTGAAGAAAGATGTCTCAGAGCAAAACGGCGACAAGCGCAGCAGCAGCACAGCGAGCTAGAGGTGGGCAAGACAGACAGACGCAGCAGGCGATCAAAGGTCAGTCGGAGGTGCAAAATAGAGACTGGGCCCTAGCGTGCGGGTCCCATGGCATTTTTGATGCTTGAACCTTCGCTGTAGTCGCCATCGGAGAGCTCAGGCCCGTGGGCGCGGAGCAGACATGTGGCCCCTCTCCATCCTCGACCAGACGAGCGCCTAGCGGGAAAACCACCACCCTTGTTGCAAGCAACCCAGCCACCTGCAGCCGTAGCCGATGCTGGCACCTGTCGAGTCATATTGCCATCGAGGCTCCTACCTGCGCGAACCTGGTGCACGAGATACACAAGACAGTCCTCCCTTGACTTTTGCGCCGTGTGTGCCCGCTGCCTGTCATCCAACGGCCACACGTACAACCTGGACGCTCCAGAACCGTCAAATCCTTCGGCTTGACGAACACCTTGTTGTACGCCCCGTCACTCAACGACCTTCCACAACTGCCGCTTTGGAATTGTGGCCACCACTGGTCACGCTTCAAGTGCTATGGATCAGGTGCTGGCACCATGTCGTCTGTTCTGTCAGTCTTGACCCTTTAGAGACCCTTGGGCTTGTCCCTCTATCCTGTCTACAGCTTCCACTGCAGGGTCTGTCTTTGCTTGTTCGACCCATGTCTCCCTGCTTTCCCCTGTCTGCTGTACCTCAGACAGACATGTCCGAAGCATTCTGTCACTTGTCCGTCGTCTCCAATCCTAAGCGCGCGCAGGTACAAACGGCCAGACCGACGGCCACATGTGAGCTAGGGCCAAATGACGAAAAGCATGCACGCTTCAACCTCGTGTGCCAAAAGGTTTTGTCACGGCGTTACAAACCCACCGACAGCCGTGGTGGAGCATGTGGACGAGGGCAAGAAAAAGAGACACCAAACCCTTTGGCAAAAACTCGGCTCAAAAAAAATAATGAAAGATTTCTAACCAGTCACGTTGCACCCAAGACGCAGCATTTCGGCAAGTAGACAAATCTTCTTTTTTCGCTTTGGCACCCCAAGCAAAGTCAACCTGGCTTTAACGCAGGTCGGGACAGCTTCCCGCTGCAAGTGTGCCTTCTCCCGCCTTTCTGCCCTTGTCGTCTGCTCTTGTGTACCCACCCCAGCTCTTGGTTGTTCGTCCTTGCAGATACAGCGGCTCTAGCTGCATTGTGCCTCAACGGCATCCTGTAGAATGGGGTTTGGGAGAGACCTCGTTCCTTTTGCCCTCATGTTTCATGTTTGAACGGTCAAAGTCCTCAGAGCTCAGGTCTTTGTTCTTTGTCAAGGCAGGCTGCACACCGCAATGGTCGCGTGGGCCATTTTGCTACTATGCGGCGGGGACGCCGACCCTGCGGGCAACCCCACTCGAACCATAGAAATCAATGCATCTGTACCGATCAGGTACGGGAAGCGAGGAACTTTCACGACAAAGAGATCCAGCAACCTGGGAGGCAGGTGCCCAACATCGCCCCAGCAGACCAGATTGTTGAAACACCGATAGACGCACTGAGTTTTGCTGACGACAGCATGCAGAGTACTGTATCGACCCATGTAGAAAGCCTGAAACCAGCCAGCCAGCAGATACCTCAACGTGATGAAGCCAAAGTCTCTCGCTTGGGCAGCGTCTTCTACGTTTAGCCCTTTGGCCCATCCCGAGTCATGAACTGCGACCGGCAGAAAGGTGGACAAGCCGCGGGTCCACAGCCGAACCGTCCTTTTTGACAGTTATGTAGCGACGTGGTTGGCAACTGGCGCTAACGATGCATGTTCATGGACCGACACTCGCTCGCTGTCCAGCGGCGCCGCCACGGCAGTTCCCCGTCGCCAGCAGAGAAGCCGCGAGCAAAAAGCGGAATCGTGCAAAGACAAAAAGGTTGAATTCACGCGATGCCAACCCTCGGTTCTACGCCGGCGCGAGCCACCGTCCACGAATTCATAACGGATTGCGTTGAGGGCCAAAACTCTGTTTTTGCACCAAAGGGCAGTCGAACCCGATCTGGTGGATATGCGAACAATGTACATCAGGTACAAGCGGCTTGGGTTAAGAGAAAGCATATGCATAGTGACAGAAGGTGAACAACTCAAATCGAACATCCATTGGGGTGATGATGAAATGGAAAGAGTGTTTGATGATTGCAGTCGATTAGCAGTGCAAAGCAGAGAATGCAAGTGCAGCAAGCACAATGAGTGCACACAGCCGATTGGGAGAGAAGCCATGGCAGAGGCCCGCATCAGCTTTTGTAATTATGGATTACGTCCTACTTGCTTGCGCGGCCAGGACTTTACTGTTTGACGTGATCTGCTCTGTTCCTCGAAGCTTTCACTACCGTTTGCACATCGTTGATGTTGACGGTTTGTCCTCCGCTTGACCCTCGGGAATTGCTGTCAAACTTCAATGATCGTAACTGGGTGAAAGCCGTCGATCATCTTCAGCTCCTCCACTTCTTCACCACTTCACGACGACGGCATAACTTACCTAGACTATTGCTTTGCAAGGTTCGGTATCTCCGTCCGAAAAAAGAAGGTGTAAATGGACAACCTGACGTAGAGGACACTTTCAAAAACGCCCAAAGGATTATTGCACTATCATTGCTGACTGATAAACTCCTTCCTCATCAAACAATGGTTGAACAAGAGGACGACGCGGAAGCTAAGCGAAGCAAACCAGGCGCAGCGACTGAGGAGGCTTCTTCTTCTTGTCTTTTTCCCGTCCAACACGGCAAGACGATCGAGACAAAAGTCTCGTCGAACGCTCCAAGGGTTATTATGCATCCCTGTGTCATGAACGCCATATTTGAACAGGATAAAAGGCGGATGAATATATGGAGGCTTGCTTGGCTTGTCGTGCCGTGTCTCGCGTTACAGCACCGCAAGGGGTAACCCTGTCCATAAACCTTTACCGAGGTGACTTCCTCTGAACGGCAAGGGACTATTGTATCGTTGTACACGCAGAAGGTTTCGGGTTATAGATGGAGATTCGATAGCAAAAGATCTAATCGACCCTCGGTTCCGAGATGCTGGGCGAAGAAGGGAAAGGATCCGTAGCACCAATCCTCGTAAGCCGCATCCCCAACAACCTGCGCCCCTTTGCCCTTATTCTTCTTCTCTTCCTCGTCCGCCCTGTCCTGCAACTTGCAAATCCGTTACTCGTTTCGAAGGGTCTGATCCATGTCGTGCCATAGTTCTTGAGTAAACTCTGTTGTGCTATTCACGGGTTGAACGCCATCTCGTACAATCGAACTGATCTAGAATAGTGTTGGCTGCCTCAGGCGCCTCCAGTCCCACCATCGGACGATGCCACCAAGGGCAGACTCGGGTAGACCTTGCAATTAGTGATAAAGGCTTCGGAAAAATACAAATCCCACATCGAATTGAAGAAGTGGTATCTCGAAGCGATTTCCCAAGCGGACCTTCCTTTCTAGACTCTGCCACTTCGCAGATGGCTATCGGTGTCGCCCAGACTTGCTTCAAAAGATATGGTGTCGTATTCGGGGTTCGAGCGGGACGTTCTGGCCACGGAGGTGAAAGTCCGGATGCTTCTCCGCAATGTCTCAAACCCAGAACTTCGACCAAGCAGTCTTCTGCTCCTCGGTCCCGGAAAACTGTCATGTCGAAAATCTAGTCAGTGGATGATCCTCATGGGTCTTCGTGTGCACAAATGAGGCGTTGAGCTACACTTTCATGTTCAGACTGGGGTCGAGTCTATAGAGAGCCAACGGAATCACGACTCTCGCTAGACCAGGATCTGACACGGCAAGAACCATGTATATTCACAGCTGCTTGCGTGCCAGGATCTTGCACGCGGGAGGAGATAGATCTACAACGCACCTCAAAATCAACCTTGGTAATATCGACAAACCCCTCATCCAGGGTCGGGGGGCTGTATCTGGCAGCGAACCCAGTGAACGCCTGTCTCGGCAGCATGACCCTCGATTCTGGGTTCATCTGATCGCCAATCCAAAGTGTCAGTATGCTGCATGTTCTTCACGGTATCCTGCAGCCCGCGAAGCGTGTGTGCGTACCTCTAGTTGTTGCCCACCAATCGATCGAAAGGCATCGTTGTGTTCGCACAGTGTCGAAGGGGCTGTGAAATGCACGCATCGAACTGGAATCTCGAGCGAATTTGCGAGCTGAGTCCAGTACTCGCGAGCTTTGACGTCTGCATTGGTATTGTCTAGATCAAAGTACTCAGTTTGATGCTTTGAGACGTGGCCGCTGGAAGACACATACCAACTGCCACCGATTTTCCGTCTTCAAGCAATTCCCTAGCCACCTTCAGGCACCTTTCTCTCTGTGTTCTCGTCAACTCGAAGTCCAGAAGGGGTGCAGAAGGAAGTGCAACGTACAGACTTGAGTATGTCCTGGTTAACACGTTCGTAACCGAGCGGCTTGAGATGCTGTTGAAACCACGTCGATTTTCCTGCGCCGGGACTTCCACAGAATATAATGAGTTCAAGATTGTTCTCTCTGGTAAAGACTGTGGGACCTGCGTGATGTTAACACGCAAACAAAGTTTGTGAGTCATGTGAAGACCTACTCGCATGTGTTTTGCTCGTCATGACTGGTGAGATGTGCGCGGTTGGATCGAAGGTGCGCACGAATGGTCGAGCATCTTCGCCAAGGAAGAACTCTTCTGGAGTCTGAAATTTGATGCCGACGTTGCTGGCCAGGTTCCTTCAGTAAGGTCAGTACGGTATCAAATGAGGAATCAAGGAGATATGGACCTGTCTGAGCAAGAGAAATCTGCCTTGATGGCTTTGGAGGTTGATGTTCGCCCTCCTGCATCGCCAACGAAGTAACAGGCCTCGAGGTCGACGTCGCCATCTTGGGACAGCCCTTGTGCTTCCAGTAGCTTGTCCCACATTCCCGTGCGAGGTTTACGGAACTTGTCTTTGTCGGTAGCTGCATAGAGCACGATAGGCAGGTCGAGTTGTGTAAGGGCACTCTTGACCTTCTGTTTGAAGTCGGCAAGCCGTTTCCTGTCTGAGTTGACCGTCTTGGAAGCGCTGTTCATGCTGATCCCAGCTTGGTTGCTGAGGATTGCTAGTAGATATCTGAAACGATCAGTTGGCAATTCCATAGCATGAGATACATGAATTTACCCATCCTCGGCAAGTTGCCTTAGTTTTGAAGGCACTTGTCTGTGCCACCACTTCCAGTCATCGCCGTCTGTGGCAAAGCGTTTGCCTGACTTAGCATCGACCAGAGTGGAGTCCTACACAAGTCAGAGACGGCTGTGCTGGACCGTGAATGATGGCATACGAAGTCAAAGGCTGCAATCTTGCGTGGTCTATCTGCAGCAAAGCTATCGGTCTTGTCGTACTTGCAGTACAGCAGTGTATTGTCGATGATCTTCCATGCAACCTTTTCGGGGTCCTTCTGGGAAGCTGGCTTGAAGAAGTTGGCAACTGCCGAGCCTGACCCATTTGTTAGTTCATGGTTTCCACATGATTGACACATTCGACAAAGTACTCGTGGTTGTACTGGCTGTGGGTGCTGTGCGCTTTAGGGGTGGGGGCGAGACGCTTCCGTCCTCTGTAGCCAGGCGTTTGAGAGTAGGCGGCATTTTCGGGTATGCAGAGACGAAGTTGGAGGTCGACGAATGGAACCTGCGTGCTTGTACTCTTGTAAACAGCATTACACTATTCACTTTGTGAAAGTGTTCACGTCAAGGCCATCGGAAGACGTGTCTGCGTCGCGTCTCCTCTCCACGTGATTCGCGACCAATGTTGGCCGCATTGGGTAATCATCTCGAGGCAGGCAGGCACGAAGCAGGGCGAATTTCACATGCGTCTTCACAGATCAATACATGATGACGAGCTTTTGAGGGTTTACAGCGGATGCTAGTTTCATTTTTTTGTCGAGTTGGACATGGTAGCTAAGTTGCTTGCAAAGTGCAGCCTATATACATAACTGAAAGATCAAGGATTCGACATGTCGATCTCTCGAAGACATTCAGGTCTTGTCGCGGCGTTGGTCCTCACCAGCGGATCGCGAGCAAGCAATCGGCGCGTGGATATATGGCACGCCGTAGCGTATCTGCTCATGTGCAATGTGCCAGGCTCTTGAAGTAGCTGACCGAAATCGTCTTGTATCCGTGAAATCGAGTGTCGTAAGGGGTTGTGTAGGTTGAGTTGGCAGCGGAAGAATGTAGCGCTTGCCTGCAGACGCTCGCTTTTCCTCATTGCACATGGCTAAAAAAAGACTTTTTGTTCATCATCGAAGGGAAGATTTCGGTCGTTTATGCGAACATGCTAGCACCGCCGGACTCGATGGCCTCGATCTCAGCTGCGGTCCACGATGTTCTGGCAAAGCGGGCAGGCAGGTCGCTACGGTCGAAGAACTCTCCAGATGCAGGCTCAACAGGGCCGAGCGACTTTCCGGGCTTACCACCGACGAAGCCGCCGTATTGGCTGGCGGCGGTCTGGCGGTGCAGTGGGCCGTGTTGCTGGGCCTTCTGTCTGTAGGAAGCGAAAGATTCGGGGAGGTCAGAAGTGGGGGCGGCGGGATGAGCGTGAGGAGTGTGGTCAATCTCTGCGCATGTGTTAGAAGGCATGGTTGGAGCTTTGATGCGAGATTACGAACTGCTGGGAATTGATCTCTTGCCGAGGAAACGGATCATGGGCTGGCGAGCGAAGAGGGTGCGTGTAGCGTTCATTTTGGAGAATGCGGTTGTTGTGGGTGTTCTGAGTTGGACAAGTTGCCGTGTGGGTGCGAAGATGGAAGAGGGAGTGATCGAGTCTTGGGGGGGAAAGTTGGAAGCTGTGGAGCTGGGCGTGCTCGGCGAGTCGGGCTTTAGTGAAGATGGAGATTGGAGTTTGGACAAGTTGGAAAGTCGAGAGACGGTGGCAGAGATGGATGGGCAGGCACAACTTCACAAGGAAGAGAAGAAATTTGTACAAAAGGACGTCGGTGCGGGGCAGGTCAATGGATTATGGATCATGCTAAGGAAGGTGCAGGCATGGTGTGAGATGGCCTTGGTATCACGCCGCAACTGCAACAGCGCGAAGACGACATCGGCCGCGCTGAATACCCGACCTCCGCCGGCTTGACTTTCAACCACTCGTTTGCCCACATCCCATGCGCTTTCTGCCTGAAGAGCCGCCTCTGACAAGCCCCTCTGACAAAGCAGCAATCGCTCCTGCCTTATCTTTGCTGCCCCCGAGCATTCGGTCGCTCTTCCCCGGCATCCCATCACACAACCACGCAACCGAACTTCTCCTCGGTCTTCTCTTCGGCCGACTCTCTCCACCAGCTCCGATTTTTCCTCCACGGGGTAAGCCGACCTCTCGTCACTTCATCCGTCGTGCCTATTGATTGCGCTTCTGTTCCGCCAATTTCACTCTGCCAAAGCGTCTGGAGAGGATTCAGAACGTTGCCGATATTCCGGTCGTCTTTCCACTTTCGTCGAGTCTGCTCCATAATCAGAGAGTGACACCGTGTGATCGACCAACCAGACAGTCCTGCCGCTCAGCTCTGCAGCCTCTGCTTGGTTAAGTGAAGAAAAGGACCTATCACTTTCTGCCTAAGATTGCGAACTTTTGGCTCGCTTAGCCGTCTTTGGATCTCACGTGCAATGCATGAGCTCTTGCTCTATGGTCAGGTGCCACTCGAGCGCCATGATCAAGTCCTCAAGATTCTCGCTGGCATTGCTGCCATGCAACCTCAGACTTTGTTTGAAAGACGTCTGATCTACAGACCCATGCGCTCCGCCCAAGATAATAAGCCTAATAAAAAGTTCCCAAACAAGCCCGTCAAACCTCAGCCACTCATATTTCAACATCTTGTCCGTCAGGTCGACCAGTCTGAGTTTGGCAAGGACTCTGAAGTTCTGCTCGAGTCTGAAACCAACGCGAATGCTAGCCGGCCTGCGTATACATGGAGGATCAAGACACAAGAGACCCCAGAACCCGAGATCAAGACTATCATCCTACGACAAGCAACAGATACTGTGCTGGATACAGACCAACTACGCGTCTTCCTGGATCCTACTAATAACGGGTAAGATTTTACCCCTTCTGACACATGCTTTCGCTTCCGGTCTCTGACTACTATAGGTTTGTAAATGAGTTTTTCATCGAAGGTCACAGATTTGTGCACAAGAACATGGTGCTTACGTTGTTCCGTCTCCTGAGAGCAGGCGACACGCCTCAACAGACCCCTTTGACCACGTTACCCCCCTTGGAATCTCTCAGCCCCCTAGACGTTAGCGGCGCATTCGTTCTCGAGGCCTGCGTTCGCATAGACGATCGAACCAAGCCCCATCTGGTGTCTACTGCTTCTGACGAATTGAGCGCGTTCAAGGACCTGATGAAAGGCTCCGTTGATATGAAGGTGCCCGAGAGATTGTCGCTCGACACTCGCGTTCGATAAGCCTCTCAGCTCTGTGCAGAAAGATTTCTCTTCTCAGGGTCAAATGTGGCTATGTTTCACTTAAGGGATTGATCCGGCCGTCTCATCGTGTAGCCGCACACCAAATTCCATACAACTTCCCGTCAGCTAGGGACATCCCTTAATCTCGGCCTCTCATGCTCTGAAGTTGAAATCAGCAATAATGCACTCCTCCCGCAACTCCAAGTGCGCACCGTGGGCTAGCCAAGTTTCCAAGAACTCCTGGATTGGGTGTATATAGTCAGCCTCACACTGGATCCGGATTTATCTATGCTACCATCAGACAGCTGAGCGAGTGATCTGTCGATCACACGAATCGCTATGTGCACCGGATTTTACGGCCGATCTCTTTAAAACGCTTCCCCTAGATTCTGTATTTCTTAACCCGCTTCGAACTGCAATTCGACGGGCGGAGATGAGTACGGTGACAATTGAGTGTCTACTTGGACGACTCTGCATCTCTCATCGGATATCAACCTCCAGTCGGCTCAGAAGCTGCATTATTGCTTCCGCCTCCTCATGTCATGTCAGCCTATGTCTCTATCACACCACCCAAGCAAATCACTCCATGGTGTAGATGTTGTTTTCGCTCTGCAAACGTACAACCTACTTCCAGGATATTGACTTCCTTGAACTATGATCTGAAGTGCTACCGCAGCATACGACCCATTTTTTGCATCTTTCGAAGCTTAACACGCTGTCATCAGGAGATCCCGAAGTTTCGCAAACAGATACGAAGCTCTGCTCATAGATTACTGCCACATTAGTTTTCTGAAGCTTGATCAACCGTTCACCTCGTCGCATACTGCGTGTGTCTTACTGTAGCGAACTACATCCCTACGCACATGCACATTCTTCGGTCTGGGGAGTCGGCTCTCAGAGAAGCCGCAACAGAAACACTCTCAATTTCTCTCATTTTGGGCATCGTTTGTACAGAGACCCGCGGGACTGTGCTCAAAAGCATCCCTGACTCTTATGAGCACGACAAAAGTCAGGCGAGCGCTTACAACACCTCCATGACGACCTCAGTCGAGATCTCAGCAGCCAGTTTAGAATGGTAGTTGGTCTGTATTGCAGAGTGCCAACTCGCCCTGAGCACAGCTTGTCCGAAAAGTCGGAGTTCTTATGGAGACGAGCTGACTTTGACATCTCTGTGCGCGTTTGTGTAGTCGAGGGCATACTTTGTCTCTGTCAACTTCACTTCAAGGCCTCTAGTCCACAATCTTGCAGAACCATAATACAATCGATCGGATGCCAGGCAACAAGGTTGAACCCGAAAAAGTATTGCAAACAGAAATCTCGGGTTGGTTCGGCGCAATGTCGCGAACCGAAGCAGAAACATAAATTACCAATCATCTGACAGACGATATACCGCGTCCATAGTGCTCCGAGCGCTGCACTGAAGCATTTCAAGCAGTCTTTTCGCAACTGACGCTTGCTTTCAGCATGATCGAGCGATGCAACATACTTCTTGCGATTGTCACGGCAGTCAGAAGAATAACACGCCTGGAGCCTAGAAGGTGGCTGCTGAGAGACAGCATAGCGCATCGTGCGTGCGTGCGTGCGTGCGTGCGTGCGTGCGTGCGAATGTCTTCTGCCGACCTCGAACCACAGATATGCCATATACTATTCACTGCGATCAATGCCGATTCGTTTCGACTCCAGTAACTCGAGTAAAGATCGACCTGCCAATTGTGAACGGCTTCCATGGTTCCTGCCAGTGGCTTGCTGTCAAGAACGAGCATGCACTGAGACCCACCAAGAGATGCAGGAGCATTGTAACATGTGCGGGGAAGTCATATATATCAATCGGCATTCACACCGGTTCGCCGAAATAGGAACGAAAAGGATACAACGCAAGTCAGAAGTCCTCAGTAAGAACCGAAATTGTCATCAGGCATACAGATGCCTGAGATCGTTGGGACATTCCACATAGTATCGGTAGCCGACGTATGCTCCTGTTCTCCCTCTTCCCCTATGCCTGTTTGACATGGATCAAAGTTGCGTCTTCCTATACTGACAGGCGTTTTCCTCGTCCAGAGAGCCTCAGGTGAACGATCCTCATAACGCCAGGATGTTTTCCGCTGCTCAAGATCTATGTTTGTAGGTTCACTGATCTAAGATCGCGACCCTCGTCGACCCTCGGTATCGCATGCAAAGATGATTGCGTTATTATTGGTTCGATCGTTTCGCGATGCTGCCCTTGGCCATATTGGATCTCGCATGTCAAAGCTTCAACTGCTTATGAGTTCGGATCGTTGCGAGGACGTCGCTGTCATGATGATAGGCTGTCCATGCAAAATGTGCTGTGGTTTCAGCCTCCAGGCTTCAAGTCGTTTATGTAAGGGCACATGAACTGACACACATTTTTCGTTGGCTAGATCCTGGCTGAATGAGACATTCAGTGTGTATCGCTGCAAAGGCAGGACAGCTGAAATTGCTTTCAATCGCGTCTGGTGGGGCTATCGAAAGTACACGCATGAAAAAGGAATGTGGATCTTCGCGTTGGAACTCACATGGAAAAGCATGGCGGCAAAGGATTCGAGCTAACCCTGCCGTCCAAGTACAAAAACTGTTGACCTGAACCTCAGAGTACCGCGTTACAGCCATCGAGTTTCCGGCAATTGAGGAGTGTTCACTGCTCGAACCACCAGTGTGTCGTTCACGCGGCTCGGCTGTAGATAGAGAACTTGCCGCAATATAGCAAAGTCGGCGTTACAAATTGCCATGGCTCGCATGTGGAATTAACCACTATAAAGCAGGAATGACAGTGTCATGGCGTGTGCGGGGCATGCTGGAGTGAATTCCGATTCGGCATGCATCTAGGGCCATGATACATCATCCAAGGATGCGCGCTTGATAGTGCTAGGCTCAGACAAGCAAGAAAAGTGGAGTCTTGTGGTAATTCTCGGACCTGGCGCCGAGGGGAAGCATCGCTCATAATGACTCTCAATTGATTCCACAGGCTTTTTGGGCTGAGGATCATATGCAGCTCTGCATCAGCCCGGGGAGCCGGCCCTCATGTATAAAGGGCCCAAGAAGCAAGGAGGGGACAGACTATTCCCACGTCCGACGATTAGTGTGAGCTTTGAAAATTGCTTATAACCAGTTTGGTGAGCATTACCATTGGTCGCATACCCTTGTTATGCAGGAAGGTAGACTGCCGCGCTACACCACGCTAACCGTCGAACGTGAAAAGAGTCTGTACAGATGGTTTGTTGAATCGGGGTAGACTCCGTACCCGCCGTGTCAACCACACCGCGCAGCTTCAGAGGAACCGCATCTTTCAAAGTTGGAAGCCTCTAATGGTAGCTTGCATGTTCTCTGATGCTATATATTGACTGCCCTCATCCAGGCTCAACCTTTCTCAATTCTTCCCTGCCTTCGGCTCAATTTTGGTTAGGGTACGAGCTTCGCTACTCATAGTCCACCCGATATAGCTCGGTCTGCCAAGCTTGACGGCATCGAATTATTCGTTGCATTGAGAAGGATCGATCAGACACGGATCGATTTTAAAGCTGCTTCTCAAGCACGTCTGACCAAACGCCATCAACTCATTACCTGGTCGAATACAAGATGGATATTGCAAAGTTTCTAGAGCAACCTATCCGTTTCAACCCACGACGTGCTAGCGTCCTTTCGACCTCAGCATCAAGTCCGGGGCCACCATCGCCATCTGTTGGAGGCACTCCGACGACCTCATCGCCCGAATCCGATGCAGCTCCATCGTCGGAGAGACGTTGCTCGACAACACAGAACTTCCATCCCACGCCACCACAGACATCACCTTCACTAGTAGACGGAAACGATCAAGGATCAGAACGATCGAAGCAACACTCAGCAACACCAGACCCGCCTACGGAAACAGTAGTTCCAAGACGACGCCGAGTCACCAAAGAGCGCAAAGGCATCACAAAAGCAGCCTGCTCATCATGTCAGCGGCGAAAATCAAAGGTTCGATTTGACCTCCCCCACAGCAATATCCTTGCACAACCTCGACTAACCACCACACAAACAGTGCGATGGCAAACGCCCAGCCTGCAGCTCCTGCGTCTTAAAAGAAAGATCTTGCGAGTACTCGACCAGAGTAGGCGTATCGAGCCAAGCCGCCAAACGAGAACGACTCAAAAGCTACGCCACCATTCTGGGACTCGTGAGGGATGCTGGTCCCGAGGATTGCGAGAAGATCTTGCAGGACTTGAGGACGCCAAAGACTTTGAATGAAGCCATCAGGATCGTGCAGAGGAAATGGGTGTGTAACTCTGAAGATTGAGTCGTGCTTCGGATGCATGCTTGATCCAATAGGACGGTGAAACATACTTCTCGCTCGATCATGGACGACATGTGGATCAGTGATGGTCGGGAGTGTGATGGTCGTAGTCTACGAATGACCAATAATGAACGAAGGGAAAGATACACACAAGAGGAGAGTCGAGGAAGCCCTTCGAGGGGCTTGGTGGTAACGACGAGACGCAACGAATCGTTCATACGCATAGCATACATATAGCGCATACGCGCTTACTTTCTCATTCTTTTATCATAGCCTTCGATTTATCTAGCAGATGTTTACAACTAGCAACATATGCGTTATATCTTTCTCAAGGTCGGAGATGTACTTTCGCAAGGAACGACTACCCCTTTCGAGTGCATTTACAGCTTGGCGGACTATCGTTGACACCCCGAATAGAGAACAGATAAGACACAAGTAACGTCATTATATTTGTACAGATATTAGAATACATACAGGTTGAAAAGGGATGTAGAAAGCTCCAGGCCTTCTCCCTTCCACGACCATTTCAAACCAGACGGCGGATTTACTGTCCAATGTTCGGAGGACGGCCATCAGCAGCCCTCGTGCTCTCAGGCACAAAGTCAGTACCTGACACATCATGGATACCATGGGTAGCAGTAGCAGCCGGCACTTGCATGTTCTCCACTCTACGCTCACTCTCCATACCAGCGGCATCTGCCTTCTTGATACCGCGAGCACCTGATGTAAGAGCCAGAGCATCTGCAGTAACCAGTTCCTCGTTCTCTGGCGGTGTCCAGCTGGAACTCTTCCAAGGCTTCACGTGCAAGATGTACATTGTGTCGATCTCCTCAAGAGTACGGCCTTGGTGTTCGCAGAGGAAGAAGTAGGCTACGAAGGCGCCGGCAAAGTTGCAAGCTGCAAACACGTACCCATACATATAGTCGATGTCGTTGGTGATGAAGCGGGTGAAGAATGCGATGAGGAAGTTCCAGATCTGTGTTGTTGTCAGCATAGGCTTCACAGGCTTCACAGGCTTCAAATGATAAAATGTGCTTACCCAGTTGGAAGAAGTGGCAATACCCATAGCCTTTGCGCGGTAGCGAGTAGGGTACAGCTCACCGACGATGCACCATACTATAGGAGCCCAAGTACTAGCGTAGCCAGCGATGAACAAACAAGCGAAAACAATCATGATGGTTCCGGCAGTCTTGTCGTTGCCACCTTGGTCAAGTTTTGGCTGAAGTTGGAAGTGTCCGACACTTGCAAAGACCATGAACATGGCAAACATCCAGAAGCCACCGAAGATGAGAGCCTTGCGGCGTCCAATGTTCTCAACGACCCAAAGACCACCGAAGGTACAAACAAAGTTGACAGCACCGAGAATTGTGGCGGTGACGAAACTGTCGCTTATTCCGACGGAATCAAAGATGGTTGTGCCGTAGTAGAAGAAGAAGTTGGCACCAGTGAGTTGCTGGAACATTTGAAGGCCGGCACCCAGGAGTACACGGTAGGCCATGCGGGGACCAGTGAAAACCTCGTACCAGGGGTGATTGCCACCTTGTTTCTCAACGTCGAACTTGGCCTTGATCTCCCTAATCTCGTTGTTGACAGCCGAGTGATTCTGCGATGCACCATAGACGTTGGCGATGGTCTGTCTGGCCTTCTCGACCTTTCCTTGACGATAATCCCAGCGAGGACTTTCGGGGAGCAGCCAGATACCTCCAGCCATGATTCCAGACCAGACGAAACCGATGCCCATGGTGATACGCCAAGAAGCTGGGCCGTCGATGTGCTTGGTACCGAGGTTGATAGCGTCCGCGAGTAAAATACCGAGGGTGATGAAGAGTTGGTAACACGATACCATACTACCACGGATGTTCTTGGGAGCAGTTTCCTGATAGCAAAGTCAGAATGTTGCTGGTAGTATCGAAGTCATTAGATCAAGCTTACACTCATATACATGGGGGTCAGGACAGAAAGCGCTCCAACACCGAGTCCAGCAACCCAACGACCGATCGCCACTTGGTACCAGTGGTGGGTTGATGACATCTGCACAATCATGCCGATCCAGAAAACAATGTTTCCAACAAGGATACACATGCGGCGGCCGAACTTGTCGGCAATGGGTGCAGCGATAATGGCACCAAGGAGGGTACCAATCGACAACAGACCGACAATGGTGCCTTCTCTCACGGGGGTGAACTCTCCGTTCTCACTGAAGCGATTCAAGAAATCTGGCATGGCCAAAAAGCCGGAAATCTGGTTCGTTAGCATTAGCGAGGCTCAATTGCTCGTTCATCAAATCATTACCTGACCGGTGTCAAATCCGAAGATGAGACCTCCAAGGGAAACGATCAAGACCATGAAAATGACTCGAAAGTTGTAAATGTGTATAGGTCCGTTGTCCTCCATTCCTTTTTCTGCAGTGTCCATGGTTCGCTGCGCCGTCGTCGGCGGTGTCGTTGCACCGCTGCGGAACGAGGCATCATCTTTTTCTTTCTTACTGAACATGCCCATGTTGGCGTCTACAAGACTATGGCCAATGTGGAGAAGTTTGGGGTTTGTAGTGTGGGATAGAGCAAAACGTGGGAAAAGGACCGAAGAACAGTACTAGGTATGTGGAGTGTGTATGGAGAACTTACGATATATAAAGCAAAAGCGGATCTTCTTTTTTTCTGCTGTCGCTCAATTCATCATTTGGCAGGATCCGTGACTGAGGTCATACCGCCCTAGGGTCAACGACACGGCCTTCGGAATGCAACTGCACCGAGCAACCATCGCGAGACCCGTGATCGATATTTCGTCTGCCGAGCGCATCGTCAGTACGGAGGACTTACCAATTCCTGCCGCGGACGATGATTCTTAGACACAACGATGTCATGGGTTGCATGCGACGTCATTAATGGAAGGGTTTGAACTTTGGAAAAAGGCCTCATGGACGGCACGAGAGACCGCTCGACTCCCATTGGTCGGCAAGAGGATGAAACGATCGGATCACGGCGGTGGCTTGCAGGGCTACAGAGCAAAACTACTTTCAATCAACCACCTTTCGCTCTGCGTCATCAACAATGCTATAATACTGTTATGCATAGTTCTAACGACCATGCGACAGCTTTGAAGTGTGTGGTTCTCATCTTTCACGGCGATGGGAGAGGCAGAGAGCATCGCCCAGCCTGTCCTCAACACAACCATGGAGAGTGGTGTGGAGAAAGCATGGAATTTTCAGTGGAGACTCCAATCGTCAAATGAAGAATCTCGCTGCGCAAAGTGATCGCCTTTAACTCGTATCAAAACGCTTATATTAGCCGAGCACTGTAGGTGTCCAACTTGCAAGATGCGTCGTCGAGAAGAATCGGCAAGCCGGCCCACGTCCGCGCACCACTCGCGTTGATGAATAATTCGACATCCGACCGACGAACACTGCCTCAAACCAGCGAAGAGCAATGGACCCTCTCGGAACCGGGAATCCGATTGAGAGATGCGGCAGTTGAATCTTTTCATTACAGTTCCGACTGCTAGCCATCTCAGGCGCGTTGCCCACCGCATATATAACTTTCCTCGAGATTGGTCTTTGGCACATCAAGATAGCGAGATCAAAAGCTATCAAGATGTAGAGATGCATATAGCGCTCTTTGGCTGAAGCTATCGTGCTTCCTCGCAAACACGATGTGTCGGTCCTAGCACGTGAGAAGTACATTCGATCCGCTTCCAGGTTCGGCATCTTCTCTATCGAGTACTCCTTTCGAGGCCGACCATGCTATCGCAACAGCCTTCTCGATCACAATGCAGCTGTCTGTCCATCCTTCAAAGGCTGATTAACCGACCTGTCGCTGACTGCGAATCTCAAATTTGGACGATGCTGCCACAATCACCCTGGTCTCTATTCATCCTAATTATAGATCGATCATCCTGTGGGTATCCACGGTCCATGCTGTCTCAGCATGTATACTGACTTTGTAGAATGGCTCTTCGCTCTATTTAACAATGTTGCTTGTTGCATTGCCGGTGAACAAGACAATTACAGAAGCACAGCCCATTACTCCACAGACGTGATCGTCGAGACGGTGTTCTCTGGCTCTTGAGAACACCAACGTCATGAACTTCACGACCATACCTTTGGGACTTGCATCCTTGAAAGGAGTCATATAGTAAGATGAACAACTCGACAAAATATCCTGATGTTAGTATCGAGGATGGTGAGTGTGATGTAAAAAGTGGCAGGCACTACTAGACTGCGATGTTCATATTGTTAGTTCGGGGAAGATCTATGTTGGTTAACAAGAACGAAACGTAAACACTGCTCGGCCATGACTTCCACAGAAGAACAACTCAAGCTGTTTAAGAACGAAACGGGTAGGTATTGCTCGAGCGGGACTTCCTCATTGCCCTAGGAAATGCGGTTGACACGTTTTTCCATCTCCTCACTCATTGTCACTTTGACATGCCGTTGCACGCGGACGCTCTACATCAGCTTACACATATACCTTCCCGCTACCACTCTCCATATATCGAATTACAACTCTTCACGACCGCACACTCTGCATCCATCATCGCCTGGTTGCAGTACTGATTTGGCGCTAACAAGATACCAACGTTACCACCTTTCATCTGACCATACACGCTGCGTGTTTACACACGTCATTTGAGAAGTATATTTCCCCCATCGATCCATCACTCGTATATCTTGCATTGGATATCTCCATACTGGTAGCTTTGGATGTGACCCTATCAGGGGTTCTTGGTTCTTTCTACAAGCCGCTTTCCAACCACCGCAGTTGATTTTCGTCACTAGTCATTGCAGGCCACCGGGTTTCCACCATTAGTCTTATATCGCTCTGCTCCTTGCATCCACTCCTGTCGTCATCTCATCATGATACCTAGATTCTAGCCCAACATCGTTCTCAGCAGTCGCCATCGAAACTTCTACGTTCAGCCATGTCGTTCATGCTGCCTAAGTATCATCTCATCCAGCACTGGTTTCGCTATCTTCCATCACGATATGATATTAAGCTCTGACTATTTGGGCCGTACTTGTGAACTCATGCGCTAAGGCTTGAAGCGCTCTGACAAGATACTATAATGTAAAAACAGACTTGCCGCAAACATACATGGTAGAACCCAAAAGGACCGATACATTGCGAGACAGAGCCGTACTTCTTTACTACTAGCGAAAAAAAATAATGCAAAGAAACAGACCAGCTAAGGACCGGAAAAGAAGAAAAGCAGAGATGGCGCTTAGCTCGATTGGTATCTATGCTACAATGTTCTAACCAATACTATATCTCTCCTCTCGATACGTCTATACAAGATTTATAGACTCTCCTGATATATTCTTATATGAGTAGTTTGTTTGCCTCTCTAGCCCTCATCACTGATATGTGACCCATTGATAGGGATGGCAACGAGCTATTACATCTACATTATAGCTTGTCATGCATTAAAGATGCGAAGAGAGGCGTACTGTCTACCGCTATCTCTACGCTGTGTGCTCGTCTTTAGCTTGGGTAGTATGCAGATCTGTTGTCTCTGATGTGATGTGTGTCACAGACACCGATGACTATCTCGTACGGCTGATGTGGATCGTGATGGCTGCTTTGCACTGGGGTTGTTGTACTTGACAAGAGTCGGCATCTGTGCTCGAGAGGGTTCTGGTCTTTGCGATGAGATCGTGGAAATGTTTGAGGAACATACGCAGACTGGAGTTGTGTGGAATGGCCGAGTATCGCCTGTTTGAATATCCACGTGGCTGTTGTCTGTCCTGTTCAAGACCGCGTGCTGGGTAGACACTGCTCCATCACTTCTGCTGAAGGAGAGAGATATGAGGTATGGGTCGGAAGGACATGGATTTATCCATATAAGGAACATGAGATGGCGGTTCTCAATGGGTTTGGAGCTTGATGTTCATCCAGAAATCAAGTTCAACGCGGTCGCGAGTTCGATTGCCATCTATTATCGTGCCCCTTTTCCAAGTCTGAAGACACGACAGAAATTTCAGTCCAATGTTGAGAGCTTCCGTCATCCGAACCCCCAAACGTCTGGAATCCGTCGCGTGGTCGGGACCTCGAGATGGGAAGCCCCTTGAGTTGAATGTCCTGTGCGCTCGAAGCCATCTTTCTGCCACTCCGACTACCCTGAGAATGAGAGACCGACTTGGCTCCTTCAAGACACTTTTTGAACAGCGGTCTCAGAGTTGCAAAGCTGACGGCTGTGATGCCCAGACCGGGCTCAATGGTACTGTACAGTGCAAACTTTGCACTTTGCTGGAAAAAGTGTTTTCCTGGACGCAAGCCCTCGACGTAGCCGAAACGAATGAGTGAGACAATACTTCCTGCTGCTCCCAGCGCGAGCAAGAGATATGCCCAGAACTTTGTTATGCGAGGCATGTTGAGTTTCCAGATTGTGACGATAGGCAGGAGAGCCATGATCCAGTCGGTGGCTGCATTCAAAGCCGTGTGCACGTAGCTGGCAGGGATAACGACATCAGGGATTGAGATGCACTTGTGTTGCACGGTGCGTAAGAGGAAATTCGCTGGATCTCCACAGCCGAATGTGACGATGCCGAAGTAGATGAAGCCGTAGACGGTGCTGACGGCCATGCAGATGTAGATGACCACTCTCTGCCACGGTTCGATGATGATTCGTAGGAAGAAGAAGCCTAGAGAGATTTTCAAGAATACCGCGGTGATGGCATAGGATCCGCTGAAGGCGATGATGTCCTAGAATACTAGTTAGCATATAGACCTGGATGAATACGAAGCAGCCACCTACTGTCACAATAAGAGAGAGACCCTTGACGTTGTTGTACTTCTGCGGTTGCATCTCCATCTCGACAGCTTTTATAATATACACGCATTGTACTGTGAACGCTGTCTGTTATGCGTATTAGCTGGATTTGTCCACAAAGCAAACGCTTCCAACACCTACGATAGCAAGCATGATGGTCCAGTCGTCCCAACCAAACGATTTCATCATCACACTGCGGACGTAGACACGCAAGATGACTGAAAACCATGCCACTGATAAGATGGCTACTGTGCCTGAGAACAAAGATTGAGGAATAGAGCCCAGGTGGGTCAAAGTGGGGATCTCGCTCGCCATATTGATGTGTATAACGCAGAACCAGTCGCGTCCAAGCTCAGAGAGGTGATGCTAAGAAGAAGCAGATGTATGGGTTTCCAGAGATGGTCCAGAAGAGTGACCTGGTGACGTAGGAGCAATCTAACACCCTTGCTCTATCATCTCCAGACAGTATAGGCTGAAGAATGGGTAGATAGCGCGTCAGACTCCAGTGTAATCAGAAAAGAGTGACGACCGAAAGAACATCCTCCAGAAAAAGGGAAATAGACAAAGCCGGGGACGTGCCTGCCCTACATATGTACATCTATTTAGACACCAAGAGCACAGGGCGTGAACCTTGAGGGCCATCCTCAGATGTGAAGATTGATCGACACAACATGGGCATGACTGAAGACTAGTCTGTTCGAGTCGACGCAGCACTACCAGCCACGGATGCTGTGGTTGAGTGTGGACTCCAGGACGCCACCGCACATGCAACAAAAGCTGAGGTTAACTTTAAACCTCCATGAAACCCGACTAGCATCGGTACGCCGAACTTCTCCTGGTAAGTCAACTTAGGCAAACTGTCACAAGGACACTCCGTGTTTCAATCCCACAGATGGCGCACCTCCTACTGGAGAAGTGATGTGGTGGTCAGTCGGTCAAAAGACAAGATAAAAACATCTTTTCACAACGCTGGAGGCTCTTTCTGTCGTCGAAGAGTGTAGCTTCAAAAAACTTTCCGAAAGAGGGTCCAACGGTCGCGCTTCCACAACGGCATTTCCTGACAACAAGATGCTTGACTCTTTAGCAGATCTTCTCCGAGTCAAGCAATGTCGTATTTTAGAGACGGGAGGTCGACCGCCGAGCGAGAAAACATGGTAACTATCTTAATCATTCGAGCACACCCGAGGATGTCTTCGGCATGTACAAGTGGATTCATCCACAGTCTCATCTCATTCCGGAAAATATACCGAGACATGTCTCCGTACCTGCATGCCACAAGAGATTTTTCTGCCTATCGGAATTCCCCTGAGATTGATGCTGCAACTTTACAACAAAGTATTACAGTAGTATGCGCTGCCACGCGGTCTTGATGAGCCTGTGCACACAGCACATCCCACTCAACTGATCGTCACATAGGGCCAAGCAAAGCACGAGCTGATCTACGCCCGCAAAGACCTGGAGACGAAGATGACGATCACACAGTTTTGGTGCAGAAACCCAGGAGGTTGGGCTTCTGCGATACGAGGTGCATGGAAACAACAGAGAAGGCAGGATTGATTTGCGTGCCACGTGGGAACTGCCAGTTTCATGTCGGCAAAAAAGGGTGTGAGGTGTTCCGAGGTGGAAGAGTCAGTCAGATATGAGACAGCATGCGTAAAGCAAGATAAGGAGTGTGAGAGATGTTTCAAGCAGGTCACGCGAACGAGACGACATGCTGTCTGATGTCCAATCATCAAAACTCGCTCTGATACATGTCCTGCTGAGATTTACAATTCTCTATTGCTATGATGAATTTCCTATCAGGAGAACGACCATATTTCGACGCACCCCCTTTGAATGACTTGAGATGATGCCCTTGAGTCAGAATTCCCATACCAAGCTTCCCCCAGCGCCATGTTTAGAAAAGACTCCCGCAATGCAACATGAATGACATTTCCTTTTACGCCACTCTCTAAAGCTTGGGCTTCACGCCTTCGGGGCTCATGGCCGATGCCTCCTTGTTCAACTCCACTTTGCCTGTCCGTTCTGGTCCGCCTTCGCCGAAGAATATGACTTCGATGGTCAGATCATCGCGGTATCTGCGCGAGTATGGACTGGGTAGAGTAAGCAGAGCGGACAGAGTGTCAGTGTCCTTGCCGCCGAGGGCATTGCGAGCGAGATGAGTTGCAGCATTCTTATCTTCGACGACGAAGCGCTGGAACTCTGGGTCATTGACACCCCACTGCTGTTGACGAATAGGAGCGCGTTGGCCCGTGTGATCTTCTCCGTGAGCGGCACCCTCAACGTTGAGGGTAGAGCCTGACTTGCTAGAGCCGAACCATGACTTGAGCCAGGACGCGTTTTGCTGAGGAGCGGTGTGAGCTTGTTGATCGAGCCACATGCCCACCAGACCGACAACCTCCTCATTGGTGAGCATCTCCCAGAGTCCGTCTGTGGCCATGACGACAAAGTCACCCTTTTCAGGCTGGACCTTTGTAGTGGTAACGATAGGCTCGGCAGTGACATATGGAGGTGTCTTGAGGTGTTTGGAGTAGGAGCGGGTGAAGAAGTTCTTTCTCAGGAGATCCTGAGTTTCCTTGGACCACTTGTAGACGGCGTCGCCAAAAGCACGACTAGGCTCAAGACCGCCGAGGATACGGCCGTTGTGAGTAACATATGGCTCGTTGGGATGTTCGTTGCGCAGACGAGCATTTTCGGAGTCTGTTCCGCCGGTCTGGTCGACAGAAAGAGCAGTCGCAGTCCATTTGCCGCTAGTACCGCGACGGCCCAGAACAGCGCGCGAGTCACCGGTGCAAGCGACACGAAGTTCCTTGGTTCGGCTGTCGTAGAAGGAGAGCAGGGCGCATGAACCAGAGAGAGCGGGAGCGAGGAGTTCGGCAGCCAGGGATCTTGACTTTGCGGTCTGGACCCTCTTGACACTCTCGTGGGTGATGTCGTTATCGAGCAGAGTGAAGGCCTTTTTGATGGCAGCGTCGACGGCGTCGGGAGCAGGAGGCTTCAGGGACGAGTTTGCGTTGGCGGCTGTGTAGGTTGTGTTCAGTTCGCGAGCGACGTAGGAGATGAGGGTCTGGCGGAGTTTGGCAGACGTGGTCCAGCCACTGTGTCTTGGTTATCAGTTGTTGCAACAGTAGAAGAGGGGTTGGAAAAGCGTACGCGTGACCGTCAAAAACACCCCAGAACATCCAGTCGCTGCCTTCGGTCTGACCAGCGATCGACTCAGGGACGTGGATGATCTTCTCGGCATGGTCGTCCTCGATAGGGTCGTTGCTAGGGATTTGGACAAGGTCGTAACGAACGACACCGGAACCACGGCCGACCAGATAAGACTCCTGGTTGGTCCTCAACTTCTGGGTGGCTTGGTCGGCAGTCAGCATCTCGAGGACCTTGCGACCGTAATCGTCGGATTCCTTGTGGAGAGGCTGGTTGTCGGGGATGATGCTGGTGTAGAGGCCGCCTTGTTCTACGATGAGGGCGCGGCGTACGGCATCGGTAACTTCTTCAGCGACAGGAGCAGTGGTATCGGGGGTCGGAGAGGCGTAGTTGGTAGCCGAGGGCGAGGCAGAAGTCGAAGCGGAGGACTGGCGGTACTGGTACAGGGCGGCACCTCCAGCAGCGACGGCACCGACAGCCAGAGAGACGCGGCGGAGACGCATGGATGAGGGGGCGGACGAGGAGCGGGAGGCTAGCGAGCGGTGGAAGACGACATTGCCGGCGACCTTTGAGCGAGAGACGTTCGGGCGGCGCACTGCACGCAGGTTCTGAACCACAGCACGACGCATTTGAAGAGGATGCTGTCGCTCGCAAAGACGGTGCGACGCGAAGACGAGAATCTGGGCATGAACGCGGCCGACTTGGTGGTTGCAATCAACAGCCGTTTGTTGAACTAAGTCACACTTGGCTGATCAGAGACAGACACCATCTTTTCAAGAGGCAAGCTGAGATGACTGAAACTTGGGTTTGCGGACCTCCTTGACGGCTTGATGACTTGACAACAGTCCTTTACCTTGATAGCATCTCCAACAATCATCTGTTCTCATCAGAAGGCTCCGTGTCAGTGACAAACTTTGGCGCATGCCCTAGTATTCATCTACGTCACCGGTCTGGTGCAAATCGCAATATTATTTGAGCCGTCGTCATTGTCAACTCAGTCACACACCACCAACCATGTCGTCGAGAGCACTCCGAAAGGCACAGCGCGAGCGCGAAGAACAGGACCAACTGCGAAAGCTCCACGACGAACACGAGGAGCAGCATGATGAATCCGAAGAGGACGACGAGGCTCCTGCTGCTGCCCCGTCCAAGCAGAGTCTCTTTGCCATGCTGAACCAAGACGGCGCCCATGACGACCAAGACGATGCCGAAGAAGAAGATGTCCAAGAAGATGAATCTGAGGGCGAACCTGAGAAGCCTGTCGTCGCCCAACCGACACCAAAGGCGACCAGATCAAAGAAGAAAAAGAAGAAGGCAAAGAAGGCTCAACCTACGAATGCTGCCTCTGCCAAATCGGATCCCTCTCTCGACGACATTGATCTGGCCTTGAAGTCTCTCAGCACAAAGGGCTCCGGCACTGCGACTCCTGCGAACACTGCCGACCCCAACACCAACCAAGTCTGCCGACTACTTTCCGTCGACACATCCTCGCTCCATGCCGCCAATGAGATGCGCAGACTCTTTGGTCGCGCTGCACTCGAAGCTGACAACGACGACGATAACAATGCTGGGGGACGCAGGAGAAACCGTGGAGGTGCTCAACAAGCTGGTCTAGCTGCTGCTCTGGGCAGACGACCCGGTCAAGGTGGACGAAGCGATGGTCTGGCTGCCCTCAGTCGTCGCCGCAACATCTTCATCCAGGGCAAGGAGGAGTGGCCTGTTGCCACAAGCGGTGGTCTCGGTATGGAGGTCATTGAAAAGAGGTCAGACGGCACCGTCGAGTACGCTTTTGTCCACAACCGCATCTACCAGGATGTCCAGAGCCAGTTCGAGACTTGTGTGGCCTCAATGGACCCTCAGCGTATGGTTCTCTTGCTCCAGCACAACCCTTACCATATCAGCACCCTGCTGCAGGTTTCGGAAATTGCAAAGCAAGAGCGTGACCACACCACTTCCGGTGACTTGCTGGAGCGTGCCCTCTTCTCCTTTGGCCGTGCTGTTCACTCCACCTTCTCAGCCAACCTCCAACAAGGTAAAGCTCGTCTTGATTTCCGCCGTCCCGAAAACCGTGAGTTCTGGTTGGCCGCCTGCCGCTACATTTCCAACCTAGGCATGCGTTCAACCTGGCGAACCGTCTATGAGTGGTCAAAGCTGTTACTCAGTCTCGACCCCGAAAACGATCCCTACTGCATCAGTCTCGTAATCGATCAATACGCCATCCGTGGCCGCCAGCCTCAAAACTTTCTCGATCTAGTCAACAACCCCGTCTTCACGTCAAAATGGAAGCACTTGCCAAATGTCCAGCTCAGCCGCGCTCTGGCTTTGATTCGCGTGGGCGACGCAGCAAAGGGCAAGCAATCCCTCTACACGGCCGTGAGCCGCTTCCCCTGGGTAGCAGCCCGCCTCTTCCAGGAATTGAATCTCGACCCACCACCCAGCATCTGGGGCAAGACCCCACGCACCGACAGCGAGAAACTGCACTCGGAGACCTACGCCACTCGCGCCAAAGATCTTTGGAATACACCCGAGGCCAGCGACCTGCTGGTAGAAGTCAGTTCGGCAGTCAGTAGCGAAGTCCCCGACCCCCCTGTGGTAGACAGGGACATCACGTTAGACGAAGGCAGACACATCCTCATGAGCGACACACCCACCCTCATCGCCCTGCTCCCTCGCTCCATAACCGCAAAAGTAACTTCGGCCTCTGACCCCCTACCACCCCCTGCCAACCTCACAACCTACACCCCCCACTCTTCCCTCCACTCTCAGCGTAACCTCCCTCCCGCCCATCTAGGCGGCGCGGCAGAATCCCTACGCGAACTCCAAGGCCTGTACCGCTTTTTCTCCGAACTGTTCCCTTGGTTCAACCCTACGGGAGAAGGAGAAGAAAGACCTCAACCGAGTGAAGAAGAGATCGAGGCGAGGATTGCAGAGAGTGGGGTTAGTGAGGAGGTGATTGTGCAGAGGACGCAGAGGTTGATGGAGTTGCAGCAGAGGCTTGTTGCTGTTGGCGGTGGTGAGAATGAAGCTGTGGAGAGAGGGGATGAGCGGCGAGGTTTGAATGCCAGAGTTGAGGATGCGGATGAAGATGACGAGTAGGATTGTCCATGTTTTGAAGTGTGATTATACAGTATATTGCACATATCTACATGAAAAAGAAAAAAAAGTCCCACGGCTTTCTACCGAAAAAATAGCAGCAATTAGGTGGTGACACTGCGTCAATTTTTGATTTGTCCTCCCTCTGATACACCTTCACTCCGAACGAAATATCATTTCTGTATCATGCATGCTCTGTCGGACGGTAAAGGGTGCGACTCTCGAGGAAACGACAACTCGACTCGACACGTTTTCAACGCCCAAAACACGCAAAACTTCTCGTCAATGGCAGTTTCGGGTCCCACTCGGGGCATTTCCTGAAGACCTGATCATGCAAAGGATTTGGGTCGGATTCGATCATAAGAAAACGAGGATATAGAGGTTGAGCTGAACCACAAGCAGACCTCAAAAGGACCGTACAGATGAGTTTGATGAATCAAAATAAAAAAATGCCCGATGGACCGAAGAAAAATGCTATGGAATTTCCCCTATTCCTCTCCTTTGAGAGACAAAAAACGCCATGGCTATGCTAGAGTCGTCAAGGCTATGACATGATATGCCGCAACAGACAGAGACGCTAAACCCCAGTGAAACGCCCCTTGAAATGCAGAAACAGAGGAATGAAGAAAAAGAAAAAAAAGAAAAGGAAAACGAAACGACAAACAAGGAGCGTGGAGAGAAGAAAGGAAAAGAGGTCAGACAGCTCATCACTCGTCTTCCTCAACAAACGGATCACAGTAGTCTCTCGACGAGCCAGGGGGCTTCTAGCCCCCACCAACGCCTCCGCTGCTGCCAGAGCTAGTCATCCTTCTACCCCTGGAAGGCCTCAAACCACCAACACCCGCCGACGGCGCAGAAAGCTGATGATGGTGCCCAAGACGGCTGGGCGTCCTGGCATGACTATGCGGCGCAACGACCGCGCTCTTCGGCGTCAAGCTCTCACTCCTATCATGACTGCTCACCCCATTGCGGGAGCCCGGACGCGAGGTTCGGCCTTCGGCAGTAACGAGACTGAGGCGCGCGCCTGAGGTACCGCGGGAGTGGTTGGTACGAGGCAAGCGGGATTTCGAAACGAGGTTGTTGATGTTGTTTGTGTTGTTTCGGTCGAGGGAGACAAGACCGGGGACTGGAGGGATGGCGCTGGGTGAGGCGAGGAAGGCTGATGCGCTCCAGCCTGTTGATGAGCCGCCAGACCCTCCGTCGCGACTGATCGGTCGATATGGTGACGCCATGCCGGTAGCACCGCGTGAGAATGGACGTTGCAGGTCGGCTGAGGGGTCAAAGTAGCTGCTTATGCGGCCCGGTATGCGATCGGTGGTTGGTGTGGGAGGAAGGGAGTTGTTGGTGGGTACCATTGTGGAAGAGCTCGAACGACGCAGTTGGCGACGATTGCTGACATCACCGACGCGAGCATTGTGGACAGCCCGGGAGACGTGCAGTTCGGACGACTTGATCAAATCTGATGCCATCTCACGTACCAGAATAGCTGGGTCGTACTTGGCAGTTTCGGCGATGATGGGGTGCAAGCCGAAAGTGTGAATGAGCGCGCCATCTTCGTCACTAGAGTCGCAGATGCTGCGAATGATTCTTAGCAAGTTGAGACGGACCAAAGCCTTCTTGGTGCGAAGCTTCTGGGCTGTGCGTGAGAAGAGATCGGGGTGTATGAGAGAGCTGGCGAGGGGAGGACTGAGACGCAAAAGCTTCTGTAGAGGTTCAAGGAAATTCTCGAAGCTGTCTGCCTTGCTGTGGTTGAAGCAGTTGATTATTGCTTGGGAGAAGCTGTCGTCTCTCAGGAGATGTTCTTCTACCTTTGCAGTCTCTTCTTGCAACCTGGTCATTGTTAGTCGTAATCATGTCTCGCACCAAGATTTGTATTACTTACCAAACGAAGATGGCATCCAACGCCGTGACCTGCCAATACTGATCCGCTAGCAGACTGACATAGAACTGCAAACCCTTGTTCTGCCATAGGATCTTCCTGCCAACTTTGCCAGAGTGTGCCATATCACACAAGATAGGTAATGCAAATTCCTTCAACGGACGCTCGGTCTTAACGATGCGCTGCAGTAGGGGAATGACTCCATTCAGCGCAGCATCTTCTTGTCTGGTCTTGCTCAACCTGCACAGATTGTACATGATGTTCAAAACTTGGTTTGAGATCTCGCGGAAGTGTGGTACTTTCATGCTAGCGTTCAAAAGGTCGGTCAAAACCTCGATGGCGTTCGAATTCTGCAGAGCGTCGAGTGTGGTTGCAAGCATGGACAAGTTCTTGATAAACTTGAGCATGGTGATTTGGTGCTGAGGTGACATGCGTTTCAGGTCTTTCAACACGCGCTTCAAGACCATGCGATCAGCAACCGTTTCCTTTACGTGGTTCTCCGCTTGAGAGAATAAGACGAAGATGTTGACGATGCGCCCTTCGACCAGCTCGGCGAGTTCGCCTTCTTCCTCCAAAACCCGGTTGAGCACCAAGGATAATGGGTACAAAACCGAGCTGCGTGAAAAGATTCGACAGAAGTCGTTCTTTGGTGTCGGACCTTGCATTTCGAATACACTCCAAACACCATTGACTCCAATCAATACGAGGTCTCTCTCCGCGTCATAGTCTTCCTCGAGGAACTCAACCAAGACATTCAGACCACCACAACTGACAAACATCTGGAGAGTAAGCGTGCTGGTCTGATACATCTGCCTAACGAACGCAGCTGCTTCCAGTCTGATATCGCTGCTGTACCTCTTTTGTGCAAAGCGTGTGATGATCGGAATACCACCAACGAAGCAAAGATTCTCTTGTATCTCGACATTGTCCATGATGATCAAATTGACAACTTGAAGGAGTCTCAGAATGGTTGTCGGGCGATTGCATGTCTCCAGGATCTCCAGGATAGGCAACATGCCGTGCGAAGACATGACTACAGTCTTGACCTCAGGGGACTCCCACAGCACTTGGAACAGTTGGTCCACGATATCTTGCAAATAGTCCTCAGGCTGCGAGACTTTGAGTGAGCCGACCAAGCCCTCGACGAGAGTCACTAAGCGAGCAAACTTGTCACGAGCGATGTTGGTTTCCAGGTCCATCTCGTCAAAGCCTTCCTCAAGTTGAGCGAACGGATCATCCTCGTCCTCTTCATCCCCAAGCCATGAGTGACTCGAGAGTTTCGAGTTGAGCATGAGCGTGCCGATTTCGGATCCGCTCTCACTTTCGGGCTGCGGTGTTTGCTGTTCATCTTCTTTGCCAAAGATGTCCGAAAAGTCTTCATCTTCAGGGTCTTCGGCATACTTTTGAATCTCCACTTCAGAGCGGGTTCTACGCATCGCTGCAGCATCGTGTATTTGAGCAGATGCTCCGCGCATGTGACCTATACGCGAGCTTGGTCGAGGCAGACTCTTCAGGTCTGAGGGGTGAAACAGTTTTGGAGTGAACGAATCGTCGCTTCGAATTGTGAGTGCTGCAAGTTTCTGACGGAAGACCGAGTCGTTGTCCGGTCCGAGCAGATCAGAGTAATCTTCTGTCGAGTTTTCTCTGTACATTAGTGACGGACGTATGGGAGCTTCTGTCGGCTTGGGCTCGGGCATCGATTTTGTTGATTTGTGCATTGGTCGAAGAATCTGCGTCCTCGACGAGTTGTCCTTTTCAGTCTTCTCCAGAGCCTTTTGTGCTTGCCGCAGCGTGAATTGCCCAGGATTTCTTGTAGGCGCAGAGTGTTTCATGTCGAAAGTGTTGGCTCTAGGTGGGAAGAATGGTCGCACGGTTTCCATGGGATCACCACGAATGACCTCCATTGGGCTTCTCACTGTAAGGTCTCCCTCAAAATTGTCATCCCAGTTGTCACCTTCTTCCTCGTCTGCGTTCACATCGAAGGTAGCATACTGCTTGAGTTTGTCTGATGATAACATGCCAGCGAAATTGTCGTGAGGTTTCAGATGCGGCAACTGCAGAGCTGCGTTACCAATGGAAGTCGCAAAGTCATCGTCCCAGTTATCTTTGGCATCACTTTCGGGTGATTGATAAGGTTTGGTGTCGTTTGCTCTGTGCGCCAATACCAAACCTCCTTTGTTGATTGCTGGAGTCCTCAGATGTGATCCAACATCAGGTCTCGGAGGAACAGGACTCAGTGAGAGTGGTCTCGACGAAGAGCGCCTCGATGATGTGTTCTGTGGCGACTTGAGTGCTTCGTTCCATTGCTGAACACTCTTTACAGCTTCGTCGTACTGTGTGGGTTTTGCGACAGGTTGATCAGAACGTCTGCCACTGAGGATCCAGGGATGCCGTAATAGTTTCTTGGCTGTGACTCTGAGGTTAGGATCTTTTTGGAAACACTGCATGAGAAAATCGCGAACGGCCTGAATGATGTCAGCAATATTTCAAGCGAGACAGCACAAAGTAACCCTACCGGAGAAGCTCCTTCGGGAAGCGGTGGGTGGTCGTCGTTGACGATGCGGAACAGGGCTGGCATGGGTTGCAGTTTATGATATGGAGGTCTTCCGTCAAGCAATTCGATGACCGTGCACCCGAGACTCCAGATATCCGAAGCAGTGGTAGCACCAGATAGTTCGATGACTTCAGGAGCCATCCAATAAGGGGTACCGACTACGCTACTCTCATGAAGACCAGTATCCTTCCGCGTCGCAACACCGAAATCGGCCAACTTGACTAGACCCTCCTTTGTCGTAAGAATGTTTGCGCCTTTGATATCCCTGTGGATGACACCCTGTTCGTGAAGGTATAGCAGGCCGTTGAGAACCTGGGTCATGTACAGGGCGACAAGATTTTCTGGGAATTTGCCAAAGTTTTTGCAGATAGAATGTAGCGAACCGTTCTCGCAATACCTAGATTGGGTGAGCATGGGCCAACAAGGAAGGGTGTCAGATGGCGTACTCGAGAATAATGTACAAGGATTCAGCAGACTTGACAAAGCCATTGTACTTGACAATGTTCGCGTGATTAAGATTCTTGAGCAGATCAATTTCCATCTGCATACACAAGTCAGCACCTGTGTTTGAAGACAAGCATCGAGCGTGGAATGTAACGGTACCATGATTGCGCGAGACTGTCCTTTCGGCAGATCTGCCAATTTGACTTGCTTGATCGCAACTGTTTCGCCGGTACCCCAGTTCAAGGCACGGTAGACACTGCCAAAGGCACCTTTGCCAAGGCAGTCACCCAGTTGCTGCGAGCCTGTGTCAGCTCGACGGCCAAGCAATATGTCTCATGTGTAGCAGCTCTTGTCTTACGTAGTCTTTGAGGCCAGTGACCTCGCCAGCGGCCCTCTGTACAGTCCCATCTTTTGGCATCTTTTCCCAGCTCGGCTGCCTACTCTGGGTGGGGGCTCTAAGGGCGGATTGAGGTTGGAAACTGGCTCGTCTTTCGAGGGCAGATGTGAATCGCTCGCTGCCGCTGTCGGATTCGACCGACGACCTGGGAGGGCCATAGGCCGACTGAGGGCGTTGGGCGACGGCCGGCATGGCGGCGGGCGTGTGTGTGTCTAGGTCGTATGGGTGGGCGGTGTTTCGGACGTGTCTCTCAGGCGCGGTGGAGGTCGGGGTCCAGGGACAGGGGCAGGGACGAAGGCAGAAGCGTGTCCAGGTTGAAGATGTTGAAGCTGAGCGACAGCAGTGGCGGCGATAAAGACGGGGCGGTCGTTGGCCTCATACCAGCCAGAGATGCAGATGGCAGTCGTCACAGTCGCGGATTGGATGCAAAATGCAGCAAGAGAGAGTGGTCGGGTACGGCGTTCCACTCTCGCATCGAGGGTTATGCGTGGGCACGGGGCACGAGGCTGTCCAAACCGACCATCCAGGAGATTGAAATGAAGTCACTGGCGATGCTGAACGGCTGTTTGTTGTAGTATCTGAGACACAGCAATTCCATCGGCACCCAAGTCTGCGATATGCTTGCCCTGGGAGCAACGGGCCACGCCAATTCAGCAACCTTCGCGGCCGACGTTGAAACCGGCGGGGCACGACTTCACCACTCCCGACCCACATTCCCGTGGCCGACTGCACTACTTTGATCAACTTCAACTATTCTCTTGCTTTTCTAAGAGCTAATTCTTGGTTCTTCTGCCTAACACTCGTTCCACGCCATCTTCATGCTACCATCTCTCAACCTCGTGGCATCCTGTCTTTGCCCATAACCATGCGGCTGAGCCTGCGTTTCAAGGGTCATTGCATCATTTCTCGTTGTCGTTGTCGTTGACAATCTACTGTTCTCCTTATCAAGTCTCATGACTGCCCGTCATAATCAAGCCATACCCGCTTAAGAAGCCACCGTGGACAAGACGCCGCCGTCCACGGCGATGATCTGGCCATGGACGTAATGGTTTGTTGCCAACAGGAGCATAGTCCTGGCCATTTCTTCGTCCTTTCCACCGCGCATATGAGGAACGTGACCCTTGTCGGCCACCTTCTCGGCAGGCAGGTCACTCTTCTGTCTATCATCGGAGCTCTTTGCCGTCATCTCGCTAGGGAAGTAACCCGGTGCGACTGAGTTGACTCTGATGCCGGCTTTCAAGAATTCGGCAGACATCAGCTTGGTCAGATGCACAGTTGCACCCTTGGCTGCGTTGTAACTGTCACGAGTAATGGTAAGCTTATATCCCCCACATGTGACTCGATCTCAACGTACGCAAAGTGACCCTGGGCGTGACGCATGATACCGCTCATGGACGAAGTGGTGATGACGTTTGCGCTGAACTTCTCTCCGGAACCCTTGGGCTTCATAGAGGCCTGCAGCAAGGGCAGGAAGGCGACAGTGGTAAAGTAGACTGAAGTCACATCGGTAGAGTAGGTCTCGTTCCACTGCTCGACCGTCTCGTTCTGCCACAGCTTGTCCTTGAGCTCTCCAGCATCTTCCTGATCAGGTTCAGCCTTGGGTCCACTGACACCCGCGTTGGCGACTATCACCACGTGTTAGCCTCGTCAATTTTCACACTACGAACAGGAACATACCGAGCAGATGGATGCACTTCTCATTCTCCTCAATCTGCTTGACCAGCTTCTCAAGATCGGCCTTCTTGGTGACATCAATGTTTCCGATACTACTCGTGTGATCAGTAATGCGTCCTCATCAAATTTAGCTGTGGTCAAACATACGGAATGATCTCTCCTTGGTCAGGCTCGTGCTCCTTACTGGCAGTCTCGAGCTTCTCGGTGTCTTTGGATCTTGTTAGCATTGGTACACGCGTGTGTAGCAGAAACTACCCACTTCTGCCAATAATGTAGACCTTCGCGCCTGCAGATACTGTCAGTCATACACTCTTCGATTGATAGTAGTGAATCCGTACCGTTGGCGGAAAGAGCCTGAGCGGTCATCAAACCAATACCAGAGCCACCTCCAGTGACAACAGCAACCTTGCCCTCCATGCTGAAGAGCTTGTGGGCTTGCAAGTGTTGAGTCTCGGCCATGCTTGTTGTCTTTTGTAGTGTGTTAGTAAGGTAAGAGAAGTGATAACAGTACGGTTGAGTAAATGAAAACGGTCTGGGATGTATTCTCTTAAAGGTTGAGGGAGCTCTGCATAAGGAAAATAATAGGTGAGAGGCTCCACGCGCTGATGATCAGCAGTGACGTATGTATAAGCTCACGCCGATCAACATGCTTTCTCGGCTGCGATTGCCATTCTATTCACAGATCATGTGCTGTGGTCCTTGATCGCTTTCTCAATGCTCAATTTTATTGTTATAGTAAGAATAAGTTGGTATCTGGGGCAGCTTGTAGCTGTGAGAAAAGAAAAACAAAAAGCTTCGCTGCTGCTCAGAACACAAATCAGGAGTGCTAAAAAGAGCGCCTGTACGTCCCGCGTCGCTTTTATTGAAAAGGAACCTGCCTTTACTCGGAATCCTTCTTTCCGCTGGCATTATATCCAAATTTCGTTTTGGAATTCTCATTGTGGTCTGATGGAGGCTTCTTTCCTCCTAGCCTGGAAGACAGCTGCTCTTCGAAGAGCGCTTTGTCGCGTTCAGCTTATGTCTGTGGGGGAAGGCTGTCTTGACTGTGGTCAACACTGGTTGGTTTCCGGCTGCAGCTGTTGTCCTGTCTGCATGATATACCCATGTATGTCTCAATCAATCTTCCAGTGACTTGTGAGACTGCTGTCATCATGGCCCTTGCCAAGATACAACTCGACTGCGTAGAGTGCCATGGTCCCGGCGAGATTGGCCCACCTCCAGACATTACTACCTGCATCTCCACCTTGGCTTGTCCACCACTCTCCGGGGTGATCAGCCGAAGCCGAAGCGAAATGTTGCATCAGCAGACTAGTGTAGACAGCAATCAGAATACTAGGGCTGAAGTAGCTGAGGAAGCCGAGGACTTGACCGACGCCATCGCTGTCTTCGAGAGAGGGTTCTTGCGAAAGTGCGCGAGCTCCTGATTCACGCACAGCCGGGATGATGCGGGCGGAAGCATACATGACGAACAGGCGATAGGCCAGGGAGATGATGACTGAGGGAGTGATTGTCATAATGGCGGCGAAGATGAAGTTGAAGGACGTGTGGATGGTGGATGGAAGAGTAGAGAGGGCGTGCATCAGAGTAGAGTATGATGCCATGATGATAGGTGGCAGTGGAGGAAAATCGGGTTCGGCAGGAACTGGAACGGACTGGGAAGGGTTTGAAGGCTGGTAATCGGTGAAGATCTGGTAAATGCACAGGGTGACATAGGCGAACTGGTCAAAATCAGTCTACTGGGCGCAGAGAAGAAGGATGTTTGGAAGACTCACGAGCAGCGAGCTCTCAACGGGGTTGCCCTTGCCGCTACCAATTCCCCAGACGCAAAGGAAGAAGGCGCAAGTGATAGCGACGCCGATCAGGATAGCATCGACATTACCGAGCTCTGGGAAAGTTGTGATCCTCCAGAGGAAGTAGACGGAACTCGAAATGATCGAGGCAGATGTGATCAGCAGACCGATCTGCAGGGCGACAGTTAGCCTTCGATGTCTATTTGTTCACGCAGGTTCGGCCGACGTACCATCCAACCGTCGCCTCCTTCGCGGTTCACCAGGTATCTCGTGATCTGACCAGCGGCCTGAATGACGAGCAGACTGCAGAAGCCTTCGCTGAGCTGGAAGACGGGCGTCGACCAGCGCAGCAGTTTGTCCCAACCGCCAATGGTGAGTGACTGGACCAGACCGTCGCTGCCAAAGACCCATGCGTACAAGGTATCGTGCTGTGCTCTTTTCCCGCTGAATGTCTTTTCCACCCAGGCGGTCGCATCCGAGTCGACCGAGAACTTGTTGAGACTCCAGATCATAAGGGTGGGGATGACGATCCACTGCGAGGCAGCGATAGTGTTGACGAGAGCATAGCGAAGTCGGGAGCTGTCGGGCGTGGCAAGTCGTAACGCAGAGTAGAAGAAGTAGAAGGCGCTGAGCGAGAGTGAGAAAGCGAGACCACAGGTTCGGCCGCCGACATCAAAGGCCAGTGGGATGGTGAAGACGACGCTGAACAGAAACAGGAGCGCCGACAGAATGCGCGTAATGTACCACATGGGCGCCTCCAGACGACACGCTCAACGGGCGTGTATGGGAGCCGAAGAAGGCGGAGAGGACTCGAAGGAGATGTTGTAGTGGGCGCAGCGCATCCAAAATGGCTTGAAGTCTTTCTGCCGCCCGCTGTCTCTGACCGCCCTTTGACTCTTGATGGGCTGTGTGAAGTGCCTGTTTCGCCCGGAGGTCGACTACTCGGGGCGAGACAACCTGAACTTCTGGAAGGCTGCGTAGAAGAAATGTATTCCTGTCGCAGTCGGACAGCGTCCTTGGTCGACGAGGCCAGCCCTGCTTGTCTGAGCTTTGGGGGGGCACGTTGTCCTCTTTCTGTCGCGTGCTGTCCCTCTAAATTACCTTCCCCACTCCGTGACCCTGGTCGATTTCCACAAGATGTTTCTGAAACTCGGAAGACCGTGGACTCCCTGCGCTGGTCGCTGTTGCTTGTCAGAATTTCGATGCTTCCATTGAATAGTGCTTGCGGTTCTTGTGAAGAGCTGTTGTTCACAAGAAGACAGAAAAGTTGAGGAAGGTGCTGCCCGCTACCGACCTGCATCCCGCGCCGAGGGCGAAGCCACGATGCTGCATGCTTGATGATACAATCATTCGTTAATTACACACTAACTACTGGGAATCCGGTTTCTCGAGCATCCACCATCATTCTTGTTCACCGCCCGCCTTTAGTTTGGAATCTCATCGACGCTGCGCACATCTTCCGACTTGGAAACGTTGATCCTGTCTCTGGTCTTCTTGCTGTGTGGGTAAACATCCTTCCTCAAACGGTTGATTCCTCCGAGAGGCCTATGCGCATCCAGACCTCTCCACGCGTCCAACGACATGCGATCCTCCCAGAACACACGTCTTTCGTGACTGAAGCTGTCTTGTGCAGGGAAGATAATAGTGCCTAGCGATTGATAAGGACTCGTTGCCTCATCCCATACGACGCTTCCATCCTCGGTAGGATGATGAGCTGGATCCGTTCCCAGCTGGATCTGCATCATCTTGTGAGTAGGTCTTGTCTACACAAGCGGCTGACTCTTCTTACCTTGAATTCGTATTTGGCTTCTTTGTCGCCGAAATAGTCGAACAGCCAGTCTGACAACACGCATGACGGGTCATCATTTTTGACCTTGTCATCGGCTGCTTCCTGAGACTCCAACACAGGGAACAAAGCCATGTGTCCGTAGTATTGCCCAAATCTGAATGCTGACTGGGTGTACATGGAATGGGAGATGATGTTAGTGTTTGGAAGCATGTAAGGCGCGTGTTGCTTCACCAGATCCATTTGCAGCTTCAAATGTCTGCCCAGGGCCGCAGGATCATCGAAATACTTCTCACGAAGACTCATGATGTCCAAGGTCGTATCGACATCTGTCAGCTCAATGCTCGGAGCGTTGTTGAAGAAGAAGTCCTGGGTGTTGACTGAACTGTCGACGCCTTCCAGTCGAAGTCCTGTAACACCAAAGACCTTGAGTCCTAGACCGCGAGGACCATTCTCCTGATCACGTTGTAGAAGATATGGTTCGTTTGCATATCTCGCTGCAACGTCATACGTTTTACCTGGCTCCGAGAATATGCCTTGGCGAAGATGCTCTGGAAGATCTGGATGGACTTGAAGCTTGCCCTTGACAATTCCCTGCGTTTTCACATGAGTCGCCCTGAAAGCTTTTCTGTGAAGGTCAAAGTTGCGCTTCTGCATGCGCTCCATGACCTCCTTGATCCGCTGTGTCTTCTCTTGCTCGTCCGGTTTGATGGTCTCGACTCCAGAAGCGTTCCAGGCAAGGTAGGCGTCATTGGGTGGTGCGCTAGACAAGCCGCGCTTGACATTTGTCCAAGCTGAACTCACAGTCTCCTTCAATGCTTCCGTCATCGTTGGCTAGGTATATCGTATGTATTTATCGAAGCTGAACAAAAGAAGCTTGATAGGGCTCACGGAGTTTATTCCCTTTGGTGAATGCCCTCTGTCAATGTACGTCATGAAAACGGTAGCTGCCGCGGCTGCATCGATACACTTAATCCGTTACACGGCAGATGTAAATGAGAATACGCGTTGCTCATGAACCCGATTTTGCTTCTCACGAGTGAGGACTGAGCTGCTGCACTCTACTGACAGAGTCTAGATTGAGAGTGTTGTGCAGACTTGCAGAAGACTTTACTGTTAGTTGTGAGTCCAAGCACAGAGCCGCTTCCCGACAGACTGGGTCTCGTCGAAGTTCTTACGGCCGAGTACTGCTAGCCACACGAAGTACGGAACATGTTTGATTCTGCTTCCATTTCATCCATAATCACGCTGTCATGTTCAGAACACGTAAATCTCGGAGAAGAATCGTTGCTGTTAATGCGACTTGCATCGATAGGAAGGTTGAACTACCTGGGTAGGCGAACATCGACATTCTAGAAACTTGACAGGATATCGGACGTTAGACGACCTAGAGAATTTGGGACACTAAAACTTCAGAAACGCGTTTTGCTAGTCTACGTGCAAGGGCTTTGGTGACAAACAGTCGAGTATCTGCAGGGTGATAAGATGGCCGATTGAGGGCCAGATTCGAACTGAGTACAAAGAATGAGACACGGTTGTCAAGGGCCTTCAACATTTGATCTACACTTCAATTTAGACACGAGTGTGGTTTCTACATCCCTCATAGAATGTGGTCGACTTGGTCATCGACCCGACAGATTGGTAGCTCTGATAGTGAGTCTCCACAGGACGAGGTCCTTAGACTCAGAGCAGCTGCAAGGGTGACGCACCTCCCAGCTGAGCCCGAGATCAAGTTGAGTTCTTCGGAGGTCAGGAGACTTCGCACCTTCTATCCTCTTATGTTCTTGAGTTTTTTCTTGGGCAGACACGTACTGAGCCATCCTCCCTTCGCGAGCGGCCTGGCCGTATTGTTTTCCTCTCGTTACCTAGATCGTGTCAGACAACGGGTCTGTTCGTGACAGATCTAACAAACCTCACCTGCCTCAAGACCAACAGACTTGTCCGATCGCTCTTCCACAACGATGATACCCAACTTCGATCTCTACTGGACTGACCAAGCTGCCAAAGGGCAACTTGTCGACCTCACCGTACATCTCCAGCACGCACCGACACATCAGTACGCCGGTCATTAGTAGACTGCACTGGCGAGCAGACTCTAGAGCATCTACGCCCAGTCTACCGGCGGGGGGAGACGTCTGTTTGGGTCAGGAACATACTTGACGTCGCCTTGGTCGACCCCCTTATGTCCCTTCTCGGCCCTTTGACCCCAAACAGCAAACCTGCGACAATCAGCTCTTGGACTGCACATCTTTGCTAACGAACTCACATCGGAATATAGAGTCGCAGACTCATGTCTGACACTTCCCTTTCACACCCAGCAATCAGATCCTCGAAGTCGCTTTCTTGCATACCAGCCTGACGGCAGTGCCATATACCCAACGACCTCAAAGTCTGCAACGCTACCGACTTCATGTCCCTGCCCACTTCTCGCAGGCGAGGGTCTTGGTGCCACTCCCCAACGGGCAATTGCTTTGGCTCCACAGCAATGTTGATGAACCCGGCATTGTGGAGGTGTCGGGGTAGCTCTGTTCCGACCCTTGGATCTTTGTTCTGCCTCTCTAAGGCCTGGCTGTAGATGTTCCACCATCTTGAAAGATACTCCAGAGGCCTTCCGCTTCGCGATTGGATATTGAATTGTGCTTCGAGCATCTGTAGCCAGCCGCCGTCTCTTAGCCGGTCGTGGAGGTCTTGCACATAGGATGCCCATCGGCTTGCGTTGATGCTGTCTGCGAGGAATCGTGAGTTGACGAGATCATATTTGTCCCTGGCGAGTTCCTCTTGGTCGTAGCGGAAGGGTTCGTTGAGATTCCATCTCTTCTTCACTACTCCGGGCGACGATCCTTCGGTATGGAAGATGTCGACAGCGACTACCTATTCGGCACGTCAGTCAGGTCTGGTGGTAATGCATGTATCGGTACACTCTATTACCATCTAGGCTTACCTGGCATGCAAAGTCGTCATCCTCCGAGCTGGAAGATCCTGGCCCCAGCTCAGATTTCTCCATTACTTCCTCGGCCCACTCGATGCCACCACCACTTCCGCAGTCAAGTATAAACTCTGGAGCTAAGTCGGTTGGCAGGAAGAGACGTCTCTCAAACAGCCGAGAGACAACGTCGTAGAAGTCAGCCTGCCGGTTAAGCTCTTCCTTCTCGAAAGTTAGCCTCTAGCAATTCACTCTCCACGCGAAGCCCCTGACCTGCTTCGCGACCTTGCAGCAGACAACACCGACCTCGTTCGGGACTCTGTGGACAACACAGTCCATGCCGCTCTTTGGTAGGGCCTTGTCGATACGTAGTCGCCTCGGAGCGTCAGAATCGCAAACAGGAGCACACACTGTGCTACGTCACGGACACCACAAGGACTTGGTAGAAACTCTGGTACTTACATCATCGATAGGTACGCAATGTATACCGTGCTGTACCGAGAAGGTGAGGAAGTCTCTGCCATACTCATGCACCGAGGCATCGGTCCTAGGTTGAGGCTGCGGGTTGGAGGTCATGCTGTTAATGCCGTGGTAAATTCACCTCAGTTGCTCTCTTGTGGTAGAGAAGTTACTTCCCCCGTATCCAGGTATGTCGATGTCTATGCAGGAGCGCGAGGAATGAAAGACTAAGTCGTAAGATCAAGCGTGGAGCCTCTGAGAGTGATGAAGGATCGAATGAATGATTGAATCGTCAAGGTTGGCAACGCAGTGACACACACTCACTAACTTCCTGTCGAATTGATTGATGCGAACGCTGTGGCTTAGGGTGCAAAGCCTATATTTCCGATGAAGTGCAACACAAGCCGACGGACGTTGTGTATTGCCGTGAGAGCATTACACACCTGACGTACGAGCCACCAACTGCCATAGATCATGGGTAATCACGGGGAGTGACTCGCTCGGCTGCTCCGAAGCCTTCTTGACCCTGTGCCAAGTCGCTGACGAGCACCTCTCGGCTGGACCAGCTCAAGGCGCAACACCCGTCTTCTCTTAGACATTCTCAACTCACAAGCATTGAGGCCTCGAGATAGCAACGGTCTCACCAAGAAGAGTACATGTGGACCTGACTCGACACAGCCATTCTGCTGATCTCTATGCAATGCGCAAAGACCAAGTAATTCTGGAGATGGTTCCGTGCAAGCATGTACCATGCCTGTGGTTGCACTGTCTATCGAATTCTGCAATCGACTTACGCGTACCTGGACACCTGTCGAAGACCTTGTTTGGAGCAGGTACCGTCATCGAATCGGCATGCATGCTGCAGGCGTCATGTGGCTGCCACGAACACATCCTTCCTCCATGCACAGCGAACGCCTGATAAATTAATCGGACTGTTGTGCTACATCGGCCTACAGCCCTCCAATGGGAGTCATGTTGGAAGACCACTCCGAACTCCACTCGGCATTTTGAACTCGAACGCAGGGCATTGTACTGTTGACTGCCATGACTGACAGGCTGTCAGATATATGCTTGTTTTGTTCTGAGGTGCAAGCAGGGGCCCCCAGCTAATGGTTGCTCGGACAGATTTTCAATGGTTTGGGCCCGCTCCTTCACCGACTCCATGGCTGCGGAACTTAGCAACGGCCTTCTGCCGCCTTCCTTGACGGGATATTGGGACTTCCTAGGCTTTCACACATCCCATTCCACCTCGCACTAGCAAAGATCGTGTGAGTTGAACAGCCATCATCTCTCCTATCTCCTTTTGCTTGCGATGGGAAGCTGATTGCGTTCTCTTCAACTGCAAGAAGGAATCTAGAATGGTCAGTGCGTTTGAATTCGGAAGAACGTCTGTCCTTTACTCCTTGGTTCTTTGATCAGTAAACCCACCTCCGGAGAGTGCCATACAAGCACTGTGCTAACACGCTCCGACCGACATGTCCAACGTAGATCCTCGCGCTTGGGCCAGCCATTGTGTGCAGGTTCGAGAATTCAAGTTGACCGTTCCTTGTTTGACACGTGGATGATCCTTCCCAACGCGGAAGGTCGATGCCTTCCGTTCCCATCAGGGAAGGACCCATCATTAGTAGGAGCGCGATGTTTTTTCGTATTGATACACCAATCGTTGTCGTATTGGATGCGCAGACATTTTGTTTGTCGGCTTGATTTGGGCTCTCTCTAGGATGGTATTCTCATGCTATTTTGCATGGCTTTGCCCACCCAAGTCTAAGTAATCACAAGTTTTAGGCAAGTTTGGCAAAAGATTGTCCTATTCAAGCCACCTCTGCCAGTTGGTATCATCGCGGACAGCGTCTGAGTGTTCCCGGAAACGACGATCTTATAGCTGATCTTGCCAATCTATCATGCGAGCATTGTAGGTCACGGAGCTGCACGAACTCAGCGATGCATGACTCTTCCTTCTCGGCTTGTGGATCTTGACGTCTGTGTGCTTGCGCATGGCTCAAACCTAGCCATGGCATGCACACCACAACTCCTTCTGTTGTCCTTGGCCACGAGACGTGATTTGCTAGCCCAGCAAGGCCTTGAGTCTAGTAACAGGCTAACTCTCACATGCAGGATTGAAGCCAAATATTGACAGCCCCCACTGCATCTCTGTTCGTGGGTCGATTTGTTTCTCGACTGCCTTGCTACCAACTATGCTTCTATATAGCGTGCGAGTTATATCTGAAACTACAGTCGTATTCAACGTCGATATCTAGCAGGCTGATCGATGGTCTACCAGGTGAAGCAAGCGTGCGACTGGCACCCGGTCAGATGCGCTAAGGTCCCATTCCGATGCAGGGAAATATGACAGCTGCGTCCGCGACCGCGCACCACTTCATCGCTGACAGCCTGTCTTCGATTGCATGACCCAAGACTTTTCGCGAACAACCGAATAACCATTACTACGAGTCGTAATCTTCCAACCGACGTGTCTTCGAGGGCGTTAAGAACCGAGCCTGCAATCATCAGCTACCACCTTTGGCATCTTCGCACCTCAAACGAAATAAAAAGGCCCTGCACACAAACTTCACATGTTCAACAAGCAAAAAGAGACGAACGCATACGTATGCCATCACCATGCATGAGTGAATAAATGTCACTCGACGGTGTCTGTATGATGCCACGATACGGCAAGTGTGAGCAAAGCATGTTTTAGCTCTTTGATTGTGGCCTTGCTTCGTCGTCAAAATTGAACAGAGCTTCTCGCATTCGCTTGTTGCGAGCGAGCGTGCTGATACTCAAGATGCCCTTTTAACCTTGGAGCCGCGACACTGGTCTGAGCACACGAACATAGTCTCGAAGTTCTTTCCATCGTCCATGGCATGTACATGATACGTGTACATCACTACATGAACGATAGCGAGCAAGCTGCCGAACGTCGCGTGCCTAGCTTGACCGAACCGACCGAAGTCAAGCCACATAGGCTCCGATGCGATTAAATCCAGAGATACTGCCAGCAGCCGCCATGCACCTGAAGATAGGATCAAATACACATGGCGCATGTTCATGGTTGTATGTGGTGTGACCACTTCCAGGTTTGGACTTGGGAGTTTATCAATGCCCAAAGACATAGTCCACATAAATAGTCCAATCCCTAGTGGAGGCCGGTTCCCGGTCGTGGTCTGCAAGAAGAATTTCCGTAGATAAGCCACAGAGTCTGATAGTGTCCTATTCGAGGTTCGGTGGCTAAAAAGATAACAAGATAAATATCCATCCATCCTATGCTGGCAAATGCATCCGACTTTCATTTCAACCTTGCATACACTACTAGGAGCTAGCATGGAGTCTCGTCCACGTCGATCGAGAATATGTAACAAACCACGCCGTCAATAGTCTACACTTGGTCGAGCTAAGAGGAAAGTCCGAAGGAGCTTCTGCATGGAGCTACACCCTTTTCACTAAACCAATCTGCTAGAGAAATGTCTCAAAAGCTATGCTTGCTTTGGAGGAAACATGTTCATTGATATCAGCATATACCGTGTCCACGTGCAGAACATGATTCGACATGTGTCAAACCAGTTCGATTGATGAATGCGATATCCCAAAGAAGAAGGAGAAGCTTGAGGTGACGACTGCGGCTCGATTTAAACAAGGTCCAAGCTCAAGCTCTCAAAGATCGATAACTCATATCAGCCGGGCATCTTCTCGTTCTTCTGCTAGGTTGTTTTCGATCATTCTTGCTGAGGTCCATCTTTATTTGAGAAGCACAAGTTTTCACCGACCATGCTCTTGTTGTCGGTATTTCATGACAAGTGCGAGCAAGTACGATGTCCATGTCAAGAAACGTAGCGAAAAGCTGCGTTCCTCGAAAGCAGACCAGAATAGTCAAGAGGTTTCTCTCATCTTCTTAGCACATGCTCACGGTAGAACGGAGGTGTTCATCCGGCTGTAGATTGCGTTGGGATTCAGAATGCTGCTAAAGGTGAGCCAAGACGCGTGCAGCAGTGGTTCAATCGCGATGTGAAGTGTGTCGTCCGATCGTCACCATTCGTTACAGTGACATCACATCACCTAAATTACATCAGAAGCATCTTCGACTCCTCACCTATAAGGCACCTTCTCCGTTCCCAGAGCCGCAGATCTGCTTCTACACATCAACTTTTGCACATTTCAAATCAATCATCATGTCTGAAACCGACCAAGGCCAATTCAAGCAGGGTATGTGTCTTGCTCGTGAGATGGGAGCACATCGACTGACAAATATCAGGCTTCTCGATCCCCGTCGCTCACCAGAAGCCTCCGGGTCTCCAGACTGACATGAAGGGTCCTGATGCCATCAACGAGCACCTCCCCACCGGCGATGGTGGCTTCCAGAAGTACAAGGCCGCCGGCAAGCTCGAGGGCAAGAAGGCCGTCATCACCGGAGGCGACTCTGGTATTGGCCGCGCCATCGCCATCCTGTACGCCATGGAGGGCGCCGACAGCTTGATCGCCTACCTCGAGGTCGAGGAGAAGGACGCCCAAATCACAAAGCAGAAGGTCGAGGCATACGGCCGCAAGTGCCACTTGCTCCAGGTCGACCTCAAGAAGAAGGAGGACTGCAAGAAGGTTGTCGACACCGCTCTCGAGAAGATGGGTGCCATCAACATTCTTGTCAACAACGCCGCCTACCAGAACATGGTTGAGGACATCAAGGATCTCACCGAGGAGCAGTGGGAGTTCACCTTCAACACCAACATCCACCCCTTCTTCTACATGGCCAAGTACGCTCTGCCTCACATGCACCCTGGCGACAGCATCATCAACAACGCTTCCATCAATGCATACATCGGTCGTCCCGATCTCCTTGTACGTACAAACTCTTTCTTCCTCTTCCAAGTTATTCCTTACTGACTGCTTCCAGGACTACACATCAACAAAGGGCGCCATCATCTCCTTTACCCGTGGTCTGCACAACCAGTACGTCGGCCGCGGCATCCGTGTCAACGCTGTTGCTCCCGGTCCCGTCTGGACTCCTCTGATTCCTGCCACCATGAACGAGAAGGCTCAGAGCGAATTCACCAGCCCCATCGGCCGCCCCTCGCAGCCTTCTGAGATTGCTACTTGCTTTGTCTTCCTGGCTTCGCCCGACAGCTCCTCCATTGCTGGACAGACTCTCCACCCCAACGGAGGTGTCGTTGTCAGCGGTTAAGTGTTTTTGCACATGAACTTCGCTCAAGGACTGCTGCGTCGAACAGAAAGAAGCAGATGGACTTGAGCATGGAAAAAAGAACGAACGGCCTTTGCTATGATATAGTTTTAATGAGTTTATGAGAATGAGACTATTACAACCATCCTCCGTCTCCAACCTGACATTGGTATCCTCGTCATCAATGGTGACTTGATTCCACGTTCGTGGCTGTCGTTGCGCCTTCCTCGACGAGCTTGCGACTGGCATATAACGCTCTTTCCCCTATGATAGTGTCTCACCACGCCTCAAGCGGATTGTTTGCATTTGAAGCTTAGTTCTCATGCATCTCTCGGATGCTCGGCCTATGATATCGAATCGGCGTGATCTGGTAATGCTCATCGAGCAGAGTCGACAGTATTCTTTCTTTTTCTCATCGTTGAGCAATCAGACTCTGTCCTCGACGTATGAATGTCGAAAAATCAAAGGTGCAAATGGAATGGCTTCCAAGCTTTCACGATGGTGAAGTTTCAGTTCTGCCGAGTCGTACAACAGTTTCTTAGACCCACTAAATCAAGTGTGGTCACCTTTTCCTACGATATAATGTGTATATTTGACTTAAAACAAGCACTGGTGCTGGTATCACCCTGTCTGTCCTCTCGGTTTCACGAACGACCTGTGGAAGTTCATCGTTACAGGCATGGCTTTCCCATACATTCTCTTAAAAGCAAGAGGGAATATACAGACGTATTCTCTATCGCAATCTCTGGGCATGTCTAGTGGAAAAACTCGATGTCGTGCTCTAAAGCCCATCACCAGACAACCTTCTTCGACACAAATTTTGTAGAGAGCAATCTTTTCTCCAACATGTGAGTCTGTCTTTGCGATCCGTTTGTTGACCCACACTCGATCGACTGTTGAGCACCAAAGAACAGTATAGCAAGCAGAGGGTGAAAACATCAGACTTGAGTAACCACGCTTCCCCTAAAGAAGAAGAAGAAGAAGGTCTAGAGTATGGCGTATCTCCTCTCCCTTCGTGTATCCGGGTATCTTCCATAATGTTTGGTTTGATGAGGATATAATTGATATAAGCCCAATTTGGGGTCCTCGTCTAAACATTAGACCATCAACAAGAGAAGGTGTAGAGATATAACATAAAGGCATTCAAGCAATACCACAAAGAAGATGGACTCTACGAACACAACACACAATTCCAAGGACAGCAAGAAGGCAATGGAGACGACATTAAAGATTCATTTTTGGTTTTCCTAATCCATTACAAGCTCGTAAAGTCTAGAAAGATTGGAGTGAGAGGATGAGCAAATGGAAAATCTCTTTGTTCCTCAGACAGATAACTCCACATGTCCTCCATCGCTAGTACAAGAAAAAGACAAAGATCCAACAAGGAGATATCACCATGTCCAAGAAGAAACTAAACCAGTTAAAACCCAGCCTAATGGTCGGGTAGGCGGAGGAAGCGTGTGTAACAGAGATGAGTTGCAAAAAAAGGCAAGAAACCGGGGTATAGTACGGCAAGCCAAGGCGTAAATGCAAGAGCAGAAGCAGCTGATGCGAAGGAGAATGGGTATTGGGGGTATAGCGAGTCTGGCGTTCAAGTTGGCTGTATTGTAAAGCGAGCGTTATAAAGACAAAGAAGGATCCAAAAGCAGAAAATGCAGGAGAGAGAAAGAAGCGCAGGACGAAAATGCAGCATGCGTGGTGTAATAGATCAATGCCGGTCGAGGGTTTATGCAGTCTGTTCTTCGTCGACACTCAAGCCCATCATGGATGGTATAGGCTTGCGCTTTGTGCGTGTTTGTGGGAGAGGCAGACCCTGTACTGCCCTGGGCTCTTTCATAAGTGTGGTGTCCAATTTCGCCGGAATTCTACTAACGACTTGACGGTAGTCACCAGGAAAACGAGAGTTCGGTGCTGCAGTCGATGCGGAACGCCAAAGGTGCTCTGAAGTGTCGAACAACCAAGATGTGTTGTGCTTGGAAAAGATGGAGCCGCGGCCTCTGTTCCGCTTGGCGAGGATGATTTCGTCAAACAGCTTGATGGACGGATTCTCGGCACGAGTAGACTCCCGCTCGTGAATGAACTCATTGAACATCTGGGTTTCGCGCATCATGGTGATGTGTTCGGTCTGTTCACCAGGCACACTGCGAATGAATTGATCCATGTTGAAGTGATACACCATACCTGCCTTTCTGCGCTCGCCTGATGCCGGGTGCATAAAGCGACGGTAGGTGTACAAGAGTGAGGCGAAGCAACGGACGAAGACGGCGCGAACGGCGTCAGGGCGGAAAGCCAGAGGACAGACGACCGAGATCTGGTGTAGGCAGCGTGGATGTACGCTGGTGTTGCATCCACCGCATCGGTAAACACCGTCTTCGCACTTGTCATCGCAGATACTGCAGTATGTCTTGTCTTCACGCGGGCGCCAAACCAGACAGTGGCCCTCGATCCATTTCGTAGTTTCGGTGTCACGCGGGCAAGAAGGTTGAACGGCGTTTGGCATGATCGTCGAAGCGGCGAGGGTGGAGGGTGCGTAGACCGAGGGCGCATAACCAGCAGAATTAGCTAGAGTCGATCCTGACATGCTGCTGTTATGGCTGATGAACGGCTGATTGCCATTAGCAACACTAGGTCTCCTCAGATTGGCCATACGATCGAATCCAAAGGAAGAATTGCGCCTGCTCGCCACATCGAAATGTCCCGAACGCTTCTCACGAAGTGATGTTTGCATGCTGTAGCCTGAATCATTGCGAGAGACAGGGGTCGTGGGGAAGGTCTGCGACAATGGAGAAGGAATGGTTGGAGATGGCGGAGATCTGGTCGATGAGGATCGGCGGGCTTCTGACATGTTTGTTGACGGGTGCTCGCTTCCTCGAGAGGTAGTTCTAAAGTTTAGGAAGGCATTGAGGATGATGCTGCGATTTTGGATAGGCACGGGTAATTCTGAGAAAGCTGCAGAGTTGGCTCCGACCAAAGATGCCAGACTCGATGGAGTGGCTCTTTGGCTGTAAATCTGAGGGTTTTCGGAAGAAAAGGCGTCATTGGGGAAAGTCTCGATGGCGTACGAGGGAGGTCCGACAGGTACGCCGTAACGTATGTGGTGGGCTGCGACTGCTTGTAGCGAAGCGACGAGCTTTCTGCGCTG